GGGGGGGCACCAATAATCCATGCCCAACCTCTCTAGGGAAGCTCTACGCAAAATAGCTAGCATCACCCCGGCCACGAAAGAGGCCTTGGAAAGGATCATAGAACGTATGACGACCATACCACCATATAGCCTCCAGTCTCCAAGTGGGACAGCTCAGTCTAACTACTATCCTAGTGAAACGTGCATCACGCAAGAGGTGGTTGCTGCTATTGCCAAGGCGATGGAACGAAGGTTAATTGAGCCTGAGAACACACGTGTTCGCAAGACAATCAGAGACGGGAAAGCCATTTATGAAGTTCTACAAGCCTCTGTTAAAACGGGCGTGTCCACCTCCTACGAGCTCGATGCGGGGGCAATCCTACATTCATCATTTAACTACCATGGGCAGTACTAGGAGGAAATGATAATAAAGGTCCTTTTGAGAAGACCTTATTCCAGGCCCCGGACTTTACCAGTATACATGGCTTGTGTCCTACTTCCAGTCTCATATCGCAATGTCATTGATGTCTCTGGCACTTGCTTTCTGCGGAAGCGGAATTTGGGAAGCAGTCAAGCTACCCAACGTAAGCTATCAATACTTGTAGCAAGGAAAAGGAAGCTTATTAACTGGCCGCAACCCCAATACATAGGTCTCCGAGACCTGGTACACTAACAATGTCCAGGATCAAGAAATGTGGGCGAAGCGCATAAAATAGTCGGCAGTTATCCCCATAGAAATTAAATCCATGCATCTAATATTCCCTACGTAGATTGACTTTGCCATTCTCGAACACTGACTCCTTGACGGTCAAAGGGGTGTTGCACGTTGAGCACAATTGTTCTAACGGGAGACTGACTGTCCACATTGATCGCACTAAGGGCTTGCCACATGGAAAGCCATCGTTTGGGGATTTCCTTTGTCGCTTGCATATTTGGCGCTGTATCACCGATGTCAAACCATACCGGGAGTACTACGAGTCGCTTACTGGGGCTACTGGGTAGTATGAGGAATGGAGACAGCTCAGGGCCTCCCAGCCGCAGCCGCGATGGAAATTTGAGCAAGCAAATACCTTTGTAGAGGATGGACACGTTGAGCGCTAGGTATATGAGGCGAGCAGTCAGGGCATCATTCAGTCATGGTTCGAGAGGAGTCCGCTGGTTGCATAACAAATGATACAGATGAGAAAAGGCAAGAAATGAAAGAAAGTAATTTATTATTAAAGGATTCATAATGCCTTGGATTTAATACTTTTCTAATAACATAGCACCGTACGCCAAAGAAATAACATTTTAATTTGATATTTCGTCCTTCTCTCCTTCATAACCCTCCAGACGCCAGCCAATACATAGTTAAGCTTCCTGGGGTAAAATTTAGGGCTACGATCCCCCACCTGATCCTCCTATCAATCTTATCGCACGTGTTTCCACCGTCTACTCTTCAAGATCAATCAATCAATGAGTTTACGAACCTCCAATTATTCAAACACAACAACTCCCATACGCCATCCAAACCTCCAGATCTTAAAAAAGCAACCATGACCCCCAAGCCCCGCACCCTGCTCCTCACCCTCGACGCCTTCGAAACAATCTTCCACCCCCGCCAACCGGTGCCCGACCAATACGCGTCCGCCGCCCACGCCTTCGGCCTCCCCAAAACAGTAATTACGTCCGAGCGCATCCAAGCCGCCTTTAAATCCGTCTTCAAGGCCCAATCCAAAGCACGCCCGAACTACGGCCGCGCGGATGTCCTCCTCGGTCAATACAACGGCCCCCGGCAATGGTGGGAGGAAATCATCCGCGGGAGCTTTTCCCGGGTAATCGCAGAACACAACAGCCACAGCAACCGTAATGCTCAAATCGATGTGCCTGAGGGACTGATTGGGCATTTACTTGATCGGTTCGCGAGTAGGGAGGGGTATGCGCTTTATGAGGATGCAGGGCCTTTCTTTGCGCGGATGGCGGAGGCGAAGGCGAAGGGGTTGGGGCCGTTTGAGAGGGTTTTGTTGGGGGTTATTTCGAACTCGGATGATCGGGTTCCTGCTGTGTTGAGGTCTTTAGGGTTGGTGGTTGGTGGGTGTAGGGCTGATGAGGGGGTTGAGAGTGGGCGGTTGCCTGGGTTTGAGGAGAGGTCAGCGGCGGAGAGGGTGTCTGCCATTGATAGGGTGAAGGATGTTGATCTGGTTGTTACGAGTTATGAAGCGGGGGTGGAGAAGCCGAGTCCTCGGATTTTTGAGGTCGCGGGGAGGCAGGCGAGGGCTTTGGTTGGTGCTGGGGCTTCAGAGGAGTGGACTTGTATGCATGTTGGGGATGACTTGGAGAAGGATTATCGGGCTGCTGTTGGGGCTGGGTGGGATGGGTATTTCCTTGCCCGGAGGGATGAGGCGAGGGACCTTGATGGGGTTAGGGCCATTCGATCGCTTGAGGATTTGATTACGGTGCTGGAGGGCTATAGATGATCTAGTCCTGGTCCTATGTTGGGTGCTTGTTATGTATGATTGTATGATCAAGATCTTCTCTACTCCGTTTCTTGGGTAAGTAGTTGTATGATATGAACGGCAGCTTGTATTTTATAAACGAATAGAAAGGAAACACCCATGCTATTGAATTGATAGAGAAGGGATCACTGAGTGAGTGGCCCCAGCTACGTGGCATGCGAGCTCTTTGTTAGCTCCTTATAATACCCCGATATAATTGTGCCTTTAGCTGCCTTTTCCATTTTGCGGCATACATATCTCTCAAGGCTACCAGAGACCATGAGTACTTCGCTGACCTAGAAACCGCCGAGTCCTTCAAAGAATACTACCGGAACCCGCTCCGCCTGTGATGCCTATGCAAGAGAGCACCTTGGTGGCTATATTATCCCAGTGACCATGTGTAGCTACGCAATCCATGCCGGACCTATTCTCGACTTTGTCGCTCACTTTTGTTTCAAATCCCTCCGGCTGAACATAGAAGTCGTGGATCCCGCTCGGACTATCTATGGCTCCTTTGCACATCAGGTCTCCTTCGGAGCCAGATTGGGGAAGATATCGATATCCATGGGAAAAGAATCTGTCAACCAAAATCACCACTAAAGCTCCGCTATCAGCCACCACCCTACTCCATTTAGATTAGCGCCTTTATCATTATCTACACCATGATGTCGCTATATTGCCATGATATCGCGAGTATCGCGGCATTTCAATGGTCACTTTATTCCTATAAATATGCTTCATTTTATCATTAGATCAGAAATCAGAGACCTCGTCATTTCTTCATTGCACCCCTTAGGTTTCAGCGGTAGATTACTAGGTAATAATGAATCCCGCATTCCCAATAGAACCCCTTCGCATCTACAATATGAGCCGAGTATAGGGCATCAGTTACCTGGACTTTATTTTAGCACACAACAGCCAATAGCCTGATATCTCACCGAAGCTTTCAGCATGGCGCCAGAATCTGGTAACTGATATTGCAAAGCGCACCTAAGGACCTTGAGGCCAGTAGGGTTGTTCATAGCAATACTTGCTGGGGTCGTCAAGGAAGCGCGGCCCAGCGTTGGTTAGGCTTGGAAAAGGTCCGTCCTGCAGCTCATAAGCATGCTGCTCGCCATCGAATGAGTCCAGGTAATGAGCCTCACTTCAATCATGGATGTGTCCAGGAAACTAGAAAAATACTGGCCCTAGATACCTGACATCTAGTTATCGGACCACTTCAGGTCCTCAAATGATGGACAGCGGACTCCTCAGTTGCAAACTGTTCGGCCTGTTCACACCAATGACTAGAATAGGAGTTAAATAAAGATATAAATGAAGGGATGGCATAACTACGGGCCAAAGGGAAGAAGAATATATGCTTATCACTTTCAACTGTACGCGATAACGTGTCACCTATAGCTCTGACTGTAAACATGTTGATGTTGATGTAAATTGTGATATTGATATTGATATTGGTTACAATCCATGCTTGGCCGCCCGTCATAAAATACTATCTAGGTAAAAAATTAAATCATGGTCATGATTGCGAAACATCTGGGCTCCAGAACACCTAACATCGGAACAAGCAAACCCAAAGCACATATATACAGATGAGTCGCCAGCCTTCCTTAATCCCATTGTCCGGTCTTACCAAGAGCACCAAGTCGGTTGCTGGTATGTTTGTTCACCAAAGCAGTGATGTTTGAACCGCCGTTGCGGTTCCTTGTACGAAGCTCCCTCTCGCGCTCTTTTTCTCGGGCAGCAGTATAGTAATTCACTGCGCCCTTCTTTGCAACCGACACACCGGTCGCAGGCTTGGAGACTCGCCGAGATGAGTCCGATTTGGATGAGGTACTTGTGGAAGAGCCAGTCGTAGTCTTCCGAAGCATGGGAGGCCGGAAGCCAATTAGATCAGGTCCAGAGCCAGTTTGGAAGGCAAACCGAGTGTTAGAGGAAGCGGAAGTGGCAGAATTGGATGATGCTTGCCGGAGTAGAGCAAGTCGATCTACAATAGGGCCCCTAGTCCGGCGTGGATGCCGTGGAGGAACGAATTCTTCCTTGGACTGGCTGCTCGACACCTGCTCATCAGCTGCCTCGCCATCAATATCCATGTCCTTTTCATCGTCCTCATCGACGGATACGTCTTCGTGGAAAGAGTCATATTCAGGCGTTTCGGTCAAGAAAGAAACGGTTTCGCGAATTTCAGCCAGGGTAGCCGGCTTCTTAGACATGGCGCTTACCGGCTTGCGACGCATATGAGGCGGTGGCCGATTATTGATGTCCTCAGGTGAAGGCTCAAAAGGCCTCTTTTTCTTGTTGTGAGTCCCAGTTGCAGCATCTGGTTGAGAGTCGGGTATCACGTCTTGCGATGACTCCTCTCCTTGAAACTCGAGGTTTTCTTCGGGTCCTAAGAAATCTAGACCATCATCGTCTATATCTCGATCTTCAACAGCCTTGAAGAACGCAGCTTTCTTTGGGTTCTGGGCAATTTCACCAATCTTTTCATCAGCCATAAGGGCCTTTCGCATCCTCGCGAATTCCCGCTGTTTTTGTCGCCGACGGGCGAGGAGCTCATCGTCAGAATCATCCAAGTCAAACTCATCGCCATCCCTCCTGCGTCGTCTAAGAGCGCCTGTTGTGATGTCCTTAAGGAGCTTGGCTACTTGTTTCTCATCGGCATTTCTCTGATGGAGTCTAGGGACAAGTTACTATATGCTCTCATCAACAGTGACCGGGATTTCTGGTACTTACGCATTGAGAGCTGCCAATTGTTTCTCATCGACAGTCTCTCCGCCGTCATCGTTGATCATCTGCCGATCGTACGCATCCTCCACGTCGTCGTCCTCGTCACTCGCACCTCCAAGACCAGCATATTCGTCATCGGACTCCTCTGCAGCTTCCTCAACCACATCCCTCGCCTTACTCTTGTTTTTATCAAACGGCACGCCAGGCTTCTTGGCAAATTTCTTCATAACGTCGAATGCGCTGGCTTCAATATCAAAGCTGCCTTCACTTTGCTCTTCAATAATGGAAAGCTCGGTTGCCCGTCCTCGTCGCAGATGCTTCAGTTTTCGTTCTACAGTAGGTGAATTGTTCCGGGACACATTCTGGTTGATAAGAACAGTCTCCACAGTCGACGTAGGAGTGCTCAAAAATCTTTTCGATGGATCGAATGGAGACAGTACAAATCCAGCATCCTGCGTTGGGTCCGGAATTTGGGAGAATTGAGACATTCCTCGTGGTGCAGGGGATTCAGAAACTCGCATCTCAGGCTGTGCCAGTAGATCTGTCTCAGGCCGCTGCTCTTGGCTATCCTTGATGATCATCTGTGAATCTGGCTCATGTCGGCCATCTACTGGATCGGGCAATGAATGCGGAATTATAGGCTCCTCCTGGATACCCGACTCATTATCGCCCAAGGTTCCTGCGAATGCCTGTGTTAAGCTCATCGTCATGTCGTTCGAGGGCAGACCAGGTATGTGTGGCCGCTCTACAGAATGTACTGTAGTTGGGTTAGATGTCTTTATGGGTGTCCTGGGTGCGATTTCCTCGTCTTCGTCGTCGCTAATGACTCGAGTAGGCCGCTTTTGCCTTTGGGTGGGCAAACCAGTCTCCTCCGATGACGTGACTTCGGAGCGGTCATCATCGGATTCCTCGTCTTCACTAGCTTCAGAATCGAATAGACCATGTGCCCCTTCGTTGTCGTCGCCATTTTCATCCTCATCTTCCTCTTCCTCTTCCTCTTCATTGTCCTCCTCAGACCCAGAGAATTCGGGATCATCGTCGTCCTCTTCATAGTGTTCGCCTTGTTTACCCTTACTCGCTGCCTTCTCTTGCTTCGCGATTTCTTCGGCTTCCTTCCGCGCCTTTTCAAGGAGATTCTCTAATTGATCTTCCATGGCGGCACGCTCTTCTGCCGTTTCAACCACGATACCCTTTGCCCTGAGCTCTTCAATTCGCTCCTGTCTTTCTTTAGCTGCCTGCTGTCTGGCCTGGAGCTTTAGATGTGCGGTTAATTCAGCATAATTCATGCTTCCCTTGCGAGGTGGAGAGTTGAGCTGAGCCAGTGCTTTGAGTTTCAGCATAGCGGACGACTCCTGGAGTCTTTTCGTAGGGAGGTTTTCGAACGCCGCGTATCTCCGACATTTCGCAGGAGATGTAACAATCTCCAGGTCACTGTCCGAGTCGTCCTTTTGATTCTGAGCTACCTGCTCGCGAGAAAGGCGAACCCGGATAGGTGGCATGGTGAGAACCTTCTTTTCCCTCCTCTTTTCAGTTACCATTGGTTGCTTATCCGCCGCTTGATCTTCAACATGGGCAACAATAGGCTGCTCTTGTTCCCGTGGCGCTTTTGCAATCATTTCCTCCAAGGTCGGCAATTCGGCTGGCGTTTCCTTTGACGTACTATTTGCCTTGTCGCCAGAGGGCTTTTTGGACGGCCCCAAAACGGGTGAAGTAGGCGGCGTTTCCTTGGTCTTATGAGCTTCAACATCCGAAGAGTTCTGCGAATCGACGGTACTCGACGAGTTATCCGGCGCAGCGCCCAACGCATTCTCTTGCTCAGGCACAAAGTTGAAGCGGGCAAAAAAGCTCTCCTTAGTGATCTTTTTTTTTGTCTGGGCCACATGAGCCAATTGCATGTTTCTGCTCATTCGCTGGGTTTCCCGGGTCATCTCTTCGAGGGCCTTCTTGCTAGCTTTTCGCGCAGGACGCGCAAGCTGCGATAGTTTCCGCCCCGAATCACCATTTACCTCACTCTCTTCACCCGAGAGTATCTCCGAGCTAAACTGTTGTCGTTGCTTCACCTTGGCATCCTTCTTCTCCTTTTCAATCCTCTCCTTCTCCTCACGCTCCTTCCGTTTCTGAGCAACAAGCGCAAGAAACCGCGAATTCGCCTTCGGTCGGGGCTCATCCTCATTTTGTTGCTCCTCCCCCTCCACATTCCGGCCCTGGTCATTCTCGTGCGCCGGGGAAGAAACAAACAGAGGCGAGAACGCGCGCGCTCGAGCCGGTGAGCAAGACCCATCTTCCTCCTCACGCTCAGCAACCACCTTCACATTAGCAGTTTTCCTCCGTGGTCCAGCCACAGGGAGGTCATCTTCGTCATCGTCACCGTCAGACATCGGCTCATCGGCACCTGAATCATTCGCGTGTTTCTGCGCATCTTTCAAGCTCCCCGAGACTCGTTCAAAAGTAGATTCCTTCTTTTCCGAGTCCTGGGCCTGTAGCCGAGCTACCATACGGCCCTTGGGCATGATAATATCGTCATCTTCGTCCGAGGTCTCTTCGTCCAGGTCCACGGTGGGTTGTGGGTCCGAGACTCCGCTGTTTTTGAGCCTTTCGGTGATTCTTGCAATGGATCGTTGAGGTTTGATGTTTCCGTCGTCTGAGTCTGAGTCGCTGTCGAATTCGGCGAGGATTGCTTTAATTTTTTGCCCTGGTGTGAGCATTGTTGGGGAATTGGCCGCTGGAGACGCGGAGCGCGCCGTCCGCGGCGTTGAGGGGGTCGACATGATTGAGTCGTATGGGAGAATTGGGATTAATGGGTGGAAATTGAGAATAAAATCATATCTATTATGCTTTCTTGGGGGGTATAAGAGAGATAGATTGGGTCATTCGAGGGTGGGAAAAGCGTGGCATCAATCAAGGGCGGAGGATCCAATCTCACTAGACTTGACGCGCCGCGTGTTGAGCGCGTTATCCGCACGCCGTCACATTACCTTATCGCACGTGATACAGTGTCGTAGCCCTAAGTTTCTATCAAGATACCATGGCAGAATTCTTTTTGCAAGCCTTTATAGATGTTGCATTTCTATTGACAATCCTTGAGGAACCTGTCCACTTAAAAGGTAGCCACAGGGTAGACGTAGTATGATGGGAAATCAGTTTAAAGTAGGTCGAGACAGTTCAATAATACAAGTTCATGCAAAATGTGTAGTAGAGCAGATGTAACGCCAAGTGAACTCCATCCGTTTTCAAATATAAGAGCCGACGCTGTGCCAGATGCTTCGCTGTTGGAGGTAGGATTTAGTGTTTCTGGTCCAATCTCCAACAATCTATACGTCATCAAGGAATCGTTGGTTAACCAATAACTAGAGCTGTACGTAGAATAAAACACAGTTCATGAACGTCGGAATTGGGTAAAACGTTGCGGGCGATCAGATCTCTATGTCAAGCTCTAGATCCAAGGCTGCAATGTTCTCATCGTCCATATTGCGATGACGAATCGTGGCGACTCCCCCCTTAGCAAGCTTCTTTTGGGAGCCGGAGGGGGTATTGCTTCTGTTAGGGGTATTTGCTTTCGACGGCGTATCTGACCCAGTCGCAGGGGTTCCATCCCGACTCGTCACATCTGATTGTGGCGCTAGGCCATTGCCATTCGCGTCGTAGTGTGTCCTCGCGTACGTCCGGACGCGCATGAAAGGATTTGGCTGAGCTTCTCCACGGGCAACTGCGGCAGCGGCTTTTCGACTGGCTTTTTTCTCTTCCAACTGAGCACGACGCACATTTTCATAGTTTAGTTTCTGGTTGCGAAGGTTTAACTCAAGTAAGCGTTCATGTTCGGAAGGCTTGTCTACACGAGGCTTGGAAGAGTTCGTGCTGAAGGCAAGTTTCGGTGCGCTCGTGCTGGTCAGTTCAGCCTCTAACCTCTCAACTTCAGCTTCATCACCGGCAGCTTTTGCAAGCTTGATTTTCTTTTCGGTCTCAATGCGCTTGAAGATAGTCGACTTGGTATCCAGCGATCCCTGCTTTCGCAGTTTTTCGGTCAATTCTTCGGGGGTGAATTTATGGTTCAACAATCGGTTAATATCCACCACTTTTTCAGCTAGCACGGATTTTGTGGCCATCTTGCAGTCTTCAACCGCCATGGTTTGACGATAACGATTGAACTCCGCCTGCAACAGTATTAGAATTTGGTTACACGTACAAGGGCTAGAGCACAAACCTCGGTGAAAGGAGAGTCTGAACAAGCGATGAAGGGGAACTCGCGCTCTGCTTTTCCATGCGCAAGCACGGCATATTGCTTCGTCACGAACGACCGGCCGTTAGCGCCCTCCATAGAGTATGGTCGCCCCTCGGTGAATTCTAAGGTCGATTAGGGAACATTCATACAAGCGACTCCAGACGGATTGGGGGCACGTACTCTTGATCAAGCAAACACGATACTCGTTCTGGCCAGTTTCCCTATTCGGACCGATATTGACTCGAGCATAACAGCCAGAGATGGCGTCATCAAACCCAGGATAGAAACAAACCTGTGCGAAGTTGGTCCGACCGACACGAGCTCGCTGAAGGTCCCGAAGCTCAGCTGGCGGATCATCCTTTGGAAGTGAGGGAGATCGATCTCTATCATCCCACTCGGCATCGCTCTCTCCTTCCGCATCCTCATCAGAGATCCTATTATCCCTCGAACGAACGGGCTGGTCCTTGGATGCAGGTTCACGACGACGAAGTTCATCACGTCTGCCCTTCTGCTCACGCTGTCGCTTGTAGGCCTGGATAGCATCCGAGGTTTCGCCGACCTTGCGACCACCAAGTGTGGTCTTCTGGCGCGAGCTCTTTCGTTGGCCATCCTCCAGATTTGCCATGCTAGCCTTCCGCTTGTTCTTCTTCGCTTGACGGGCTTCCTCGCGCTCACGCGACGCCAGAAGACGCCGAAGAGCTAGATCTTGATTGTGGCGATCAACCTGTTGCGCTCGCTCGGAGAGAATTTGTTCTCGCTGGATTTCCGGCATCGCCATGATTTCTTCTTTGTCCTTCGCGGAGTAATACAGCTTATCATAAGGAAATATGGGACCGTCGTCTTCAGCGCCAGGATCTGAACCTTCAGAATCGGACGCCAAGTCGGATTCAACCATGCTGGCGGAGTCGAGGGAGTGGTGGGACTCAGCAGTAGACCTGGTTAGAAATGTCATGTTAGTCGCCTCGTTGAGTCACCTTCGTAAACACAATACCACTACTTGGACAGTCTGTCAGGGGTAACAAAGTCTTCGAACGTACACTTCTCCGTTCTCCTCTTCATTTTTCCGTGACTTTCGACCTCGACGGGTAGGCTTCGCAGTTCCTTTACGGCCCATGGTTGATGATGCTTCGGGGGAACGTGGAGGGGATGCAGAAAGAGACGCATCTTTCTGCCTTGGGGGGGAGGACGCCTCCTCATCTGAGGCGTCACCCGCAAGAGCGAGCAGCTCGGCATCAAGATCATCCGCCATAGTGAATAAGACGAACGATGCCTGAAATATTAGGTGCCCTAATGACTCAGGATGAAGGCGCCTCTAAGCGACGGGAAATACCGGCTCGGATTTGGTGAGAAAATAATGAACGGATTGATAGTCGCAATGAACGAGGTTGCAATGATTTAGCTGAAGGGTATCTGAAATTGAACTAAATAGTCGTATATATGAAGTATAGATAATTTGGAAAACGACCGAGAGATCGATAGCGCTATAGAGGTATAATGGTAAGGAACACCGGGAAGGTGAAAGGTGGCGGGTTGAAGAAGTGGTGAACTTGGAAGTGAAAAGAAGCGACACTTTTTGAGTCGCGGTCGGCATTAAATGACGTCCGGTCCAGACTGCCAAGCCGGGCTTTCTTTAAGCGCGCGTCTGTGGATTTCCAATTGCACTCGAACCACCTCGGAATGAATGTCAGTTAAACCCCATTAAACTATCACTAGTAGTCTTACTTCTGTCGAATTTTCTCTTTGCTCAATTCTCTCAAAATTCCTCAATCGTTCGGCCCTCGCCATATTTTTAATTCAACATGAAGACCGTCATGGCGCTCCGAAGGTGCCCTCTCACTCACTCCTATCGGCCCACATCGCCTTTAATGTGCGATTTCCTCGCGCCGTCAACTTTGCGACAGAGCTATCGCGGATACAAGTCCACAGCCAACACACCTTTCTGGGGTGGATCTCCCGATGCATCACCGGATACGAACTCCCGCACGTCAAAACCTAAGTATGTCCTCAGCCAGAAACAACGCGAGTTCTTGGATGGTGCACTTCGGGTCAATCAGGCCGGAGAGCTTGCAGCTACTCTCATCTACAAAGCGCAGACACCGCAGGTTGTGCGCTCCCATCCCCACCTGCGTCCTTTAATGAAGCACATGTACGATCAAGAAGCCGGGCACTTTTCGACGTTCAATCAGATGATTGCGAAACACCAAATTCGACCAACGGCAATGTATCCGATATGGCAGGTGGCGGCGACATTCCTCGGGTGGTCAACCGGAGCTATGGGACGTGAGGCGGCCATGGCCTGCACAGAAGCCGTAGAGACGGAGATTGGCTCTCACTACAATGAACAGGTGCGGGAGATACTATCGTGGCAGGCAGAAGCGGAGAGTCGAGGGGAAGAGCTAGACGATGAACTGAAGGATATGCTCGTAACATTCCGAAGGATCCGCGACGAAGAGTTGGAACATTTGGATCATGCTGTTGAGAATGATGCCAAAGAAGCCCGGCCGTATGACCCGCTGGTCAACATCATTCGCTTCGGGTGTAGAACGGCTATCAATATCAGTGAGAAGATATAAGCCGACAAGAGGGGCTACAACCTATGGTGTTGATAGACCGCTACCCATTCCTTTGTACAATACCACGATTATAGTAGATGTATTATATGTTTTTGACGTGTCGTGAACATGATGTCCTCTTTCTATCTTCTTTGTCTCTAGCATGCACTCTATCGGTGTTTGAACACGCTTGCTAAGCGCCGGGTTACGCTTTCGTCGATCAAAGTCTAAACAAGTGCTGGGTATCTATGTCAAATCATCTCGAAATCCCTCTGCAAGAAGACCGTTCAATCATCCGCCTTATCGCCCTGGTTCTTCTCCAGGTATTCCACAAAGCCCTTTGAGAACCGGACCACTTGCTGGTAAACCTCCTCAAACCCGTTGACACCTCCATAATAAGGGTCCTGTACGACTTCCCCGCCCCCAACACGCTCATGCAACACTCCACCAAGACCAAAGTCTCCGAAGAGTCGCACCTCCGCAACCTTCGCTTCCCCGCTCGCGGCAAGGGAGGCCGCCCGAGTGCCTTTGGTGCCACGCGACGCCGCGCCGCCCGGTTTCCTCATAGAAGCTATGACCGACTCGCGTATGTCCAGCAGGTCGCGCAAGTTGTGCTTGTCCATCGCCATGAGATAGTCGAATGTCAGAAAGTCTTCCTTGGTAACCTTTCTGGCGGCATGGTTGTAGTTATTGATACCGTGCCGGCGGAGAGTTGACATGGTCCGAGAATCAGGAGGTTCGTGGGTATGATAAGCCCCTGTACCGGCGGAGTCGATCTCGTTAATTAGAGGATGGGAAGCAGCCATATTCCGAAAGACACCCTCGGCCATCGGAGACCGACCTATAGAGTACGAACAGGTTAGAGTCGATACCATGCTATTCGAGAAAAGGGAAACTGTACAGATGTTCCCGAGACAGACAAATAAAACATTGATTTGACATCCAGAGGATGCCGACTTTGTGGCTGTCATTATGTTATGATTGAGTTCTTCTATGTGTTGTGTTTCCTATCAATGTTTGCTGGCGGGGTCCTTGTTTGTCGCAGATTCTTTATCGATAGATGATGTGGCCCGTGCGTAGAAAGTTATTTATCAAGCTTAGTAAATAACTAAATATAGTTAACTTACTGCCTTAGTTAATTATCCTTTCACTACTGGGTATTGTATTAGAGGAAGTTTTCTATCTTCCTTTTGTGATTCTCTTTCAATCCCAAGGGCACCTTATCTCCAAACCCATCATTGAAAACTACTCACTACCTTGTTTACCAACTACATATCAACAAGGCCTTGCGGAGAAGCCTTTGAAATTCAAAGGATGAGCCAGTCTGATTACAAACGATCATCAATCACAACACATAAGAGAAAATTCCCGCACATCATTCCGCGACCACATTCAAGGAGTCAGTGTCTTCTTAAGTTTCCGTTATCTTGCTCACCGAGTCCGTGATATTCGATACTGGTACTACCCACGGAAGTGGGTACAGGGCTGCCAGCGGCCAGTTCAGGCTGGCCGGTCAGAATTTCAGCCTGCTCAATGCATGCTGGCGGCACAATATCTACTCGAATAGCTAGAGCCCGAATTGTTAGTGGATTGCTCAGGATCAATGAATGTTGCATACTTACAGTCATTGCGAGTTTCATAATGCTGGATCAGATACTTGGGGCTGTTAGCCTTCTTATGGCAGAGGTCGAGGGTGTCTTGAGCTTCTCGAGGTGCCCCCAGAGCCAAGTCGGGAAGTTGCCGCTTCTTAACAGCATTAGAAATACCGGCACCGTTGCTAGGATACTTCCGATTCATCTGACCTAGCTTACTGTTTACCTACAAAGAATCTCGGGTTAAGATGCTTGAACACTGAGTCAGATTAACTATATGACGTGCCTCATAACGTTGTACCTGAGTCTCCAGGTCATCCTTCATTGGTCGTTGCTTTCCTCTTTTGGCTGCCTTAATGACAAAAAGTCCTATAGTGTGCTGCCTCGGCAGCGGGCTTAGCTTCTCAAAGGAGCTATATGATTGATAGACTCTCTTGATCCTCGCAAATAGGAAATTCTAGCCGTTAGCTCTTGCGCCTTGATAACAAAGAGCGCACTGTTAGCACGGGATCTTCGTCGAATGCTTAGCATGACTGGTAAGTGCGCTCCAATTTAGATCTCGCATCTCGTTACCTATGACACCCATATCCATACTCCACTTGCCAATATCCGTGTGATCAAACGAGGTCGTTGCCCCATTTTCTGGGTTATCTTAGGACCTACACTGCCCCTCAATGTTTTAATTTACCTTGATAATGAAACCACTAGAGCTCCACTCCTGGCCACGGCCTGGTTGCTATCCCTTGATTTTTAGCTGACCTTTCGTGAGTCTTTTCTGTTCCGTTCGACACTATTCTATATCGAGTTGTCCATAGAGACAAGGCCTGAAGCATTGTTCACGGATCATTGTCCTCCAGAACACTGCTATCACACGCCACGATTTGAATACTCCTCATTTTGCATGATACGTATGTATATTGACTAGTATAGGTAACTGGTCTTCGTGAAGTCAGGATTAGGGATACGGCATCGCTCATGTTCTCTCCTGTCCCTTCTAATGCTGATGATTTAGTTAACATCCCAAATAAACTAAGATGTCGCTCCTTAAATATATATCTTTCCATCCTGAGCTGAGCTACCTAAATTGCTTGCCAAAGGAGACTTCTTTGGATTGGCCTTCTACTGAGTAAGTCATAACGTTGACATTTCTGCAGCCTATTGGTTAGATCTCAAAGAACTAGCGCTCGTTCATCACGATGTATGTAATATGTCAACGGTGTTACCATTCACCTAAACACTCTAATTCATGATTTTGCAGTAATGATTTCAACATGACCTACATACAACAATCTCCATGGTAGGGTCCCGTAATATTTTGGCACTCCTTGAAGCTTAAGCTGGGGTAATCACATCGGCTGTGATGTAAGCCTCGGTACGATAGGTAAACTCCGGGATAAGAGTGAAATGCCATCTATGGAGGTGAATTTAGAGTGCTTGAGGGATTTGGGGTGTTGGACAAGGCGAGCGATGCCCGTTAAGCTCTTCGGTACTCGAGACTTGTACTGTACCGAGGATAGAGTGTCGACTGAATAGTTCTTACCGCCTACCGCTTGTAGACTGTACTAGGCAATGGATATTGACGGTGGAAACCTCGTATAGTTGGCCTGACTTGGAATACGATTCGCTCCCTTTAATATTAGGTGGTAGGAAAGACGCATAGCCACTAGAGTCTTTTACACTAGACTTGAAAAGAAATTCTGACGTCATGTGACTGAAATGACAGGATGCTCTGATCTGACCCTGAAGGAGATTGAGCCCTATTCATGAACTCATGCTGTATAGTAGTAGAAGATGGATCCAATCATACAGGTGTTGGTGTCCTACTATACGTATTTTCGATCAGATTAGAATCAAGTCATGAAAGATTCAATTGCCGGTAGATAACTCCGTTTAGATATCGGGCTACTAGTAGTAAAATGACGTGGGATGGAGACACTAGCGCATCTTTAAAAATGAACTCAATAACACGGATTTTAAAGGCAACCATATTCTCCTCGAATCTTTTACGACTTTTGACAGGACTGAAGAACATCCTTCTTTAGGCTACCAAAAAATAAAGAAATAAAAAGAAAAGAAGGGAAAAAAAGTTCCTATAAAAAGAACTAACAAACAAATGAATTAATTCTTTGACCAAGGAACCGCCACGCCAGGGTGGCTGTGATTGTTGGCCCAGTGATGGTTCAGTGGGGCCCGTGATCCAGTGCAACTCTATCCACGGTATGGTTGCCAGGGCTCCGTTTCAGCAATGGATTCTCCCAAGATTCAGATAATTCTCCTTGATGAGCTGACTCGTCTAGGAGGATTACCCTTTCTTCAATTGTCATATAACGAAAGTGAAAAATATATATATATCCAACAAGAAAAATCGTGTCAGAGGTGGAAAACGACCGACGGAGAGAAAAGGTCAACGAAAGGATCAATACCCAGTAAGTGATTTCCCCACTGTTTTTTTTGTTATGTTCCCACCTGACTTGCCGATACTCACCTGGAATTGGTTTAATCTCATTACATTCGTACCTCAGGCTCCTCCCATCATTTACGAATCGCTTCCCACTGATCGTCCATCTCGTTCCTTGGTCAACAACGCAAACCTGCCAAGCCAAGTGTGCCTCGCGCGCTTCGTCCACAGGTGGCGCGGCATCTGCCAGGCACTTGTCAAAAAAAAGCTTCCTCTTTTCCCTTTAAACCTGTCGTTTCTCTCCTTTATTACCACGTCTCACCTATCATATTTTTACTCGTTCAACAACAAATCAACTGTATCTCCCAGATCGCCCAGTCCCTCGCCTGAAACTTCCGCCGAGAAACCGAGCTTGGAGCCATTAAAGTGAATTTGAGAGCATTCCACCCGCGCTCCTGGCGCAATCTCCCTCCGCAACTCCCTTGTTTAAGGAATTCACGAAGGATTTCCCATTGGCACGACTATTAACCCGAGACACGATCGTCCAACATGTCCTACAATCGTCTGGGTCAGTACTTGTGCATTGCGCACTGCCTTGCTCGTTAAGTGGTTGTGACTGCGCAGTCGCACCTCTATCCTTTCTCCGCACCAATTTCCCATCTAAGACTTTTATAACCTTGGGCGTTCTGTTCACAGCCTTGGTGCGCATAGGTTACCTGCAGTTCTCCTTCTCCCTTTGTTCTTTTTTGCTTCCTTCATTGATCTGCGCTCAGTGACGCTTTATTGTTGGGCGTCGTCGCATCCTCGGTATACTGACAACCAAGTCTAGGAGGCCCATATGGTGAGGATGACCATAGTCGCTCTCCCATGATGAATCCCCACCAAGTAAATAATCGCTCCCCTTCACCGGGTCGGCCATTAAATGCCTACCAGCTCTCCGATGTTTCATATGGACCGCAGGAACGTCTGCATATGCCTTCTAGTGACATATTAGCTGAGCAACCAACGGTAAGGATGACCTCGAAGATCGAGGTATATCATAACAGGAATACTGACCGACTCCGCTTGACAGTATTCTGTGGAAAGGTTACCAAACTCTTACGGCCATAACGAAGCTTATGAACAGCACCACCACCAACAGCATTACCCCGGATATGAATATTCTGTGGATCCGGAGGCACACCATGATGCCTACTATACTCAGCCTTATCAACCCACAGTAACGCCACATGATGATTATGACCTAGGGCAATACCCTGAACACCAACACTCGTATAGCGATGACCGTATCCCTATCCTACAGCAGGAAAACCCATTCGGGCCCGACCCGTACAGCGATGAATACCATGATGAGCCAACCGACCCCACAACCCCAAGTCCCGCGCCCCTCCGACGGTGGAAAACAGTCAAAGAAGTTCAACTGTTTAATGGTAATCTCGTTCTGGATTGTCCGATCGCGCCCAAGCTTCTCAGTCAGGTTCCACACGCCGAGCCCCCTGGCCGTGACGAATTCACGCATATGCGCTATTCCGCTGCGACATGCGATCCGAATGACTTCTTTGAAGAACGCTTTACATTGCGCCAGAAACTGTTCGCGAAACCCCGACACACTGAACTCTTCATTGCGATTACGATGTATAACGAGGATGATTTCCTCTTCGCGCGGACGTTGATCGGCGTGTTCAAGAACATCGAACATATGTGCTCGCGAACGAGTAGCAAGACATGGGGCAAAGACGCATGGAAGAAGATCGTGGTTTGCGTAATCAGTGACGGTCGTGCGAAAATCAACCCACGAACACGTGCGTTGTTGGCTGCGATAGGAGTCTACCAAGACGGCATCGCAAAGCAACAAGTCAACGGCAAGGATGTCACGGCGCACATTTACGAATATACTTCTCAGATAGCTCTCGAATTAAAAGGGACCCAGGTCCAAATCAAAGGGCGCTCGGCAGTTCCTGTACAAATGATCTTCTGTCTGAAGGAAAAGAACCAGAAGAAAATCAACTCTCACCGCTGGTTCTTTCAAGCGTTTGGGCGTGTATTGGATCCCAATATTTGCGTTCTGCTAGATGCTGGAACCAAGCCAGGTAAGGACTCCATCTATCGTCTCTGGAAGGCCTTCGATGTGGAACCGATGTGTGGAGGCGCCTGTGGTGAAATCAAGGTCATGCTGTCACATGGCAAGAAACTGCTCAACCCACTGGTTGCCGGGCAGAATTTCGAGTATAAGCTGAGCAACATCCTCGATAAACCCATGGAGTCCGCGTTTGGGTTTATTAGTGTGCTCCCTGGTGCATTTTCTGCGTACCGGTATGTCGCCTTGCAAAACGACAAGAATGGTCAAGGGCCATTGGAGCGATACTTCCTTGGTGAAAAGATGCACGGTGCCAATGCTGGTATTTTCACGGCCAATATGTACCTGGCCGAAGATCGAATCCTGTGCTTCGAAATTGTCACCAAGCGTAACTGTCGCTGGCTCCTCCAATACGTGAAATCTTCCACGGGTGAGACTGATGTTCCGGATCGAATGGCCGAGTTCATTCTTCAGCGCCGTCGGTGGTTGAACGGTAGTTTCTTCGCGGCGGTGTATGCCATTGCCCACTTCTATCAGATCTGGAGAAGCGACCATAGCGCTATCCGGAAGTTTATGTTATTCATCGAGTTTGTCTACCAGACCATCAACATGTTGTTTGCTTGGTTTGGCATTGTAAGAACGGTCTTACCCCGTCGACTGCTTTCTCGCTAACACTTATCACAGGGTAACTTCTTCTTGGTATTCCACATTCTTACGACATATCTCGGTCAGAAAAACCTCCTCAGTACCACTGGTCGAGTGCTCGGGGTGATTTTCGAATGGCTGTACCTCGCAACATTGGTGACTTGCTTCGTCTTGGCTTTGGGTAATCGCCCAGGCGGATCCAATAAGTTCTACATGACCATGGTCTATTTCTGGATAGGTATCATGATTTACTTGGCATTTGCTTGTGTTTTCGTTACGGTGAAGTCTATCCAGACTGAGGTGCAGAGCGGCGGCTTTACCTTCTCTACTCTCTTCACCAACTCCACGTTCTTCACCATCATTGTGTCCTTGGGGTCGACGTATGTCATGTGGTTTGTGGCATCGATTATCTTCTTTGATCCCTGGCATATGTTTACTAGCGTCAGTATCTCCTCGCCTGTCCTCCCGGAGTTCATTGCCTAACATGGAAGGAACAGTTTATCCAATATATCTTGCTCACCCCGACGTACATCAATGTGTTGAATATTTACGCATTCTGCAATACCCACGATATCACATGGGGTACCAAGGGTGACGACAAAGCGGAAAAGCTGCCCTCAGCAAACCTGAAGCCTGGCGGCAAGGTTGATGTCGACATCCCGCAGGATGACGGCGATTTGAACGCGCAATACGACGCCGAGTTGGCCAAGTTTGCCGAGAAGCCTCCAAAGGAAGTGCAAGTCGTATCGGAAGAGGAGCGACAAGCGGATTACTACAAGGGGTTCCGAAGCGCAGTCGTGTTGGCGTGGGTGTTCTGCAACTTCGCCCTGGGAGCCGTTGTATTAAGCGCGGCTGGTTTGGACCGCTTCGATGAGAATGAGAAAACTAATGAAGGATCGACGAAACGATCTCAGATCTACATGGCGGTCGTCCTCTGGAGTGTTGCTGGGTTGTCAATCTTCAAATTCATTGGAGCATTATGGTATTTGGTTGTGCGAATGGTACGTTTAACTACTATTGATCCATGCATGGTTCTTACCTTGATGGCTAACTCTTTTCCAGTTCCGTGGTGTTTGAACGTTTTCGTTTCTTTGTCTGTTTATGTGAATGATGGATGGTTTTGGATACCACTGCGGGCTCATGTGGTATACTATAAATGATGATACCTGCGATGTCTCATGATACCCCCGTGGCCATATGATGTTGATGAATTTTGTCTACGGCCGGGCTTTGTATGTATGTCACAGAAAAGGGCATAATGTACGATGTAGATACAAAATGTACAAGGAACGTCCAAGATGTACGATAATCTAGACCCCGAGATTCACGACTCGGAGTGCTCCACCGGCGTGATTGATGGGAAGATGCCCAGATAGCCATAGAATTAGAATTAGCGCAGAATTGGCCGATAAGTTTATTCATGACGCCATTTAAAGCGACAGTTGTGAGATTTCATATCAAATCCCGACCAAGGTGTTGAACCCCGGCCCTCAAGGTACGTAGTATATCTAACACCGTGCTCGGAGGGTCCTCACTGCTTCTTGCGGTAGGGTTGGACCTTGATAAATTATTCAGAATCTTTGGGATAACACGAGTCTTTCTTCATTTTATATATCTTTTCACTTTACCGTATTACGATGCTTAATTCTCAAGCAAAACCCGAACCGAAGTATTCTGAGCGGGCATCAAATAGTGACACGGAGATATCATGGAGCGCCGCATCGGAGCAAAAGACTCGACGAAAGTCAGCGCCACTTCTCTTGGAGGATAGAAAAAGTTGCTGACCTAGTATACAGGATCGATCTCTCGGTCCTGCCTCTGTTATTACTCGGCATGACAGTATTCCAACTTGACCGCATGAACATTGCCAGTGCCCTGACCGGCGGTTTTGGCAAGGATATCGCTGTGAACCAGAGCACGATCAATCTGGGAAACCAATTGATGTTTCTGGGTATCGTGGTACTGGAGATTCCCTCGAATATTGTGCTCCAGAAAGTATGTCCTCAATACATCCTTCCTACTGTGCCATCAACCTATGCGACATACACCTCCATCAGCGCATCCCAACTAATAGTTCAATACAGATTGGGCCTGATAAATGGATCCCCGCGCAAGTCTTCGCATTCGGCACGATCGCAACTTTCCAGATCTTCCTGCGCAATCGAACAGGCTTCCTAGTCATACGAAGTCTGCTCGGCCTCGCCGAAGCCGGATACATCCCCGCCTCCCTATACACCTTATCCCGATGGTACGAGAAGGAAGAGCTTGCAAAGCGAATAGGCATATTCTTCTTCGGCATGTTCGGTGGCAACGCCGTCTCGCCTCTTCTGGGAGCAGGCATCCTCAAACTTGACGGAAAACACGGCCTAAAAGGCTGGCAATGGATCTTCCTAAGTACATCCACCCATAGCCCTAAGCAGCAGAACCCAGCAACCTAACAACCAACCCAACAGTCGAAGGCATCTTCACCCTCACAGCAGCAATCCTCATCCTTCTCCTCCTCCCCCAGAGTCCCGAAAACCCTACCCCATACCTGCTCAAACGCGGCGTGATCTCCTTCTCCCCGCAAGACTGCGACATCCTCTCAGCCCGCCGAGGAATCCCCAAACAACAAACCTCCCCAGTCTCCAGCATCCGCAAAGCACTCCTCAACTACCGCCGCTGGCCTCACTTCCTCCTCGCTCCAGCTTCCTTCTCAACCTGGAGTCCGTTAACAACCTACACCCCAACAATCATCATGTACTCCTCCCCCCAACCCAAACCCCACCCCCCCTATGAACCCAATACTAATAGACAAAAAAGGTCCCTAGGCTTCACCCGCATCCAGTCCAACGCCCTAACCGCCATCGGCGCCTCCCTCACCCTTCCCGTCGTGTTCCTCTTCTCCTACATCAGCGACCGAACCGCCAAACGTGGCCTAACAGTCATCGCCGCAGTGACTTGCTATCTCATCGTGTTGATCGTAGGTCGATCACTCCTCCCCCATTTGGGGAAATGGAACCAGTTCGGCGTCTGGACGGCTATTAATGCGTTCGCGGTGTGTTACCATCCGGTTCATAATACGTGGGTGCAGCTTAATTGTCGGGGTGAGGGGGAGAGGAGTATTGCTATTGCGTGAGTCGATTCTTTAACGTATTCATTTGTTGGTATTTAGGTTTGGGCTAACTGAGACTATACAGGATGTGTGAGTGCCGGTTCCTTTCCATTGGGTTTGGGGAAATTTAGGGTTGATAGATGCTGATGTTAAGTGTGGTGTAGGGGTTATGGCGTCGAATGCCGGGTTGATGGCTGGGACGCAGATTTTTCAGGCGGAAGATGCGCCGATGTGAGTTGTGAGCCTTGATATATATATATATATATAGGCGGGTTTGTTTGCCAGATGCTGATTTGTTGTGCTTTGGTAGGTATCTGACGGGGCTTGTTACGAACATTGCGTTGGTGGCTGGGGCGTTGGGGATTGCTGTGATTCAGGAGGTTATTTATGTTGGACTTAATGCCAGATCGAAGAAAAAGGGACTTGGCGTTGTTTGTGTTACTTGATTTGGGGTTTATATGTCTTTATAGAGAATAGATTCGTAGTAAGGTAGATGTTTTACGGAGTGGGTTGTGCTTGGTCCCGTTTCCGGAAATTCTGGACTCTACCATATAGATTCGCAGTGGATAGATACGTAAAGATAGCGAGGTAATATAAAAACTGTATGGCCAACGGCAAACAGCGCTCAATGCTTCCGTGTCCACCCCCGAGGATGAGGCCCCCAACGCCTGTGTGGTCCACGGCGCGCCCCCGACGGTAGCTAGACAAAGAGTCTCCAGAGCCACGATCGACATCCGCCCATAGACACCCGCCCTGAAATGACACGGTCATGCTGGCTTCATTGACGGGAACTTCCTCAGGTGAATTACCATGCCTTGTGATGATCCATCATGACCTGGCATCAGTACCTCGCCCTGTGAAATGGCCTTGTATAACTCATTCCTGCCGGCGATACTCTATGATCCATGGGGTATGCGTATAGCTGTAGAATATAAAAAAAATTAAAAAATTTAACCAATATGTTGGTACCGTAGTTCTACTATCAACCTTCATGTGCTGTTGCTATCTAACTAGGGCTAATGGCTTAGACCTGACTGGTTCAGCTCAAGCTATTCCTTTCCTTGAGGAGTTTGATGGCGTCTTCTTTCAACTTGAACTTCTGGATCTTCCCACTGGCAGTCTTAGGGAAGACATCTGTGGGTTGCAGGTGGAAGACATACTTTGGGACTGTTTGAGATGTTAACTTTGCTGCAATACCAACCACCAGGCAGCCGACTTACCGAGATGGTTGCTCAATCGCTCCCTAACCCAATCCCGGACACCCTCATCTGTCAAAGCTTTCCCCTCATGCTCTTTGGGAATGATAAACGCAGCCACAACCTCACCATATCTCTCATCAGGCACCCCGACAACTGAAACATCCAGAATACTCGGGCATGTCAATAGACAATTCTCAATCTCCAGCGGATGGATATTCTCCCCGCCCCGAATAATAAGGTCCTTGATCCGTCCAGTAATCGTCACATAGCCATCAGCCGATAGCGTCGCCTCGTCACCCGTCTATCCACTGTTAACCATCTTATCCGATTCAGCTAGAGACACATACAACTCACATGCATCCAAACCTTCCCACTATCATCCGCAATCATGGACTCGGCCGTTCGCTTCGCATCCCCCCAATACCCCTTCATCAACAGATACCCGCTAACCGCCAACTCCCCCGGCACCCCGACAGGAAGAATCCGAGTCCGATCAGCCGGATCCACGACCTTGGCCTCAACATGCGGCATCAGCCTTCCAACTGTGTTTATCCGCTTTTCTAGCGGATCGTCCGTCGTCGTCATAGCCGAAACGGGGCTCGTCTCCGTCATACCATAGCAGATCGTCAACTCTGTGAGGTTGAGCACTTTATGTAGTCTCTTCATCAGCTCGGTCGGGATGCTGCTGCCGGCTGCGATGCCCGTTCGGAGATGCTCGAATCCCTCGGATGAGACCTGGCCGTTTTCGATCATGGTGAGCTCTTCGATGAACATGGTCGGCACGCCGTAGAGTGCGGTGCATTTCTCCTCCTGCACGGCTTGCAGCGCGGCGCGGGCGTTGAATGATTCCGACGGGAAGACGATGGCCGAGCCGTGGGTTGCTGTCGCCATGTAACCCAGAGTAGAGCCAAAGCAGTGGAATAGAGGCGGGGGGCAGCAGACGATGTCGGACGGGGTGAGGAGCATGCGGTCGCCGATATGGGTGCCGTTGTTGAGGATTGAGCGGTGGGTCAGACAAGCCGCTTTGGGCATGGCGGTTGTCCCGGAGGTGAATTGGATGTTGACAATGTCATGGGGGCAGAGGTCTCGATGGGGTAGGGGGGCTTCGTCAGATTTTACATCGGAGATCACGGACGAGTAGTCTGTTAGGCTTTTGTAGGTAGAGGTGTCAACGCGGCCGGAGGAGTTGTCGACGAGAATGATGCGCTTCAGGGAGGGGATGAGCGCCGAGTCGAGTGTGGAGCTCTCCAGATCCTCGACGAGGTGCTTCAAGATTGGGATGTTGCTTCGGGGTAGTTTCCGCGGAAGATTGGATTCGGTGCTAACGATCATGTGGGTGGCTTCTAGGTGGCTTAGCGCTGAGACGATCTGGTTTGCGTTGAAGGAGGGGTTCAATGGGACCTGAGAGGTGATTAGCATGCCGTCGTGTAGTATGCATGCTGCTTTTGGTAACTGACGAGGATGGCTCCGAGCTTGAATAACGCATAAGTCACCTGCAGCATGATGAGCGGGTGAGCTATCTCTGATAACAGACATTATTGGCGCCGTCGGTTGGGACTCTTTGCGTACAATGGCAAATTCCATGGAATTCCCGAGCATCACTCCCACACGGTCGCCTCTGCGCACGCCCACAGACTCCAGGCCCCGGGCGAGGGCGTTGCTCTTCGCATCGAGACCGGCGTATGTCAGTCGGTCATTCTGGTGTTTGGAGATGACTCTGATGACAGGTTAGTTGCGCTGTATCCCGGCAGGATAAGTCTCATGCAAGCAGGGGCAACAAACGCCGCTCTGTCGCCATATGAGCTAACGATATGGGCGAAATGGCTTCCCACGGTGGATTCCAGCAACGGGGGCTTATGGTCCGAGCATGGAAGTGTCAGCGGCCATGCGATCTAGACATCAGACACGCAGGACAAGGTACGTACCTCTAGCGGCCCACGAGCATAGCTCTGGGTTAGCAAGCTTCGCCGGAACGGAGATGCCCCCTGCAAGGTCTTTGAAAAGTGCCCGGCACTCAGCGCGGACCACCGGGGTCCCACACTCAGGCGACAGGCGAGGGGCATATATTTCTTAAGGAGAATCATCGCAGCCGCATAGCATGTGGTACCTGAAGTGAGTCGTTGGCGTCGTCGGTTTGCAAAGAGGTCCGGGTTTACACAGGTCACACCCCTTGGGTAAGGATAAATCACACCCAACCAGTTTCAATTCGGGTCGATTATTATACCAGGTCCATTACTGGTGGTTTGCATAAACTTAATTATTGACAGGGTATCTTTGGAAGGTTTATATGTTCATGGGAATTTGATCGACGAGGGAAAACTGGTGGCGGTCTTCAGCGGTTTATTTCCCCTCACGCCGCTTCATGCATACTACCTTATGCGGGGCTCCGCCCCATCATTGACTAATCGCATTCCTGGGGTAAAAAAAAAAAACGCAAATGCACGGTGGATCGCCCTAAAATCGCTCCAAGAGGGAATCCTGATCGGAGGTCTGACCTGTTGAGTGTCAGTTACGTTACTTCGTCCAATTCTGTGTACAACCACACCTTTCATGCACCACGCAATGCGCCTCAGTGTCGGTGGAGAAATATCTCACCTCAACCCCTCCGAACCTATAATAGATATCTACTTACTTCTGTAGTAATGTCTCTATATTGATATCATTGCTCGGGCGGGTATGTCCGTATGTCCACCGCTGTCATGGCCTTCCCGCAATGGTTTTGGTTGCTGTAATGAGGTTCAACGTAGACCGAGGTTACTATATCTCAGCAGACTGGACCACTGTTTTTTAATTTACTACTTAATTTGACACAAAAGAGTGATGTTCGCATACCGGTATGGGTACTTTATTAATAAATATCAATGCATACAATATATGTATAAATAAACGATCCATCGCAATACTAACAATATTATCTAGTCTCCACTCAGCTTGCTTGTTGACCCCATGATGTCGCTCTTCCCCCCATAGACCTTCAGCCAGAGAATACAGTAACCGTTATTATAACCCCCAGCGAAGGGAACAGATATTTCTCCGATAGGATAGCGACCTAGCATACCCCCCTTACAACAAACCTTAGGCTTCTCAACTCCCAATTGCTTTCGGGGAGGCCGCCTTCTCCATTCTTCCTCGAGATGAAGCAAACGTGGTCCTAGCACCTGCCAGGACCAGCGAGCCATGGATAATCATGAAAGAATCGTATATTTTAATGAGGGATCCAAGCGGCCTGCTAGTTATCACAGAGCCTCCGACTACTTGTAGGACTCGTGCATGATGATGAGGCTCCTGCAGCGAGGCTCGGTTCAGGAGCATCTCTGTAAATCTAGTGCCGCGGCCTCCCCAGAACCATTCCAAGCGCGCGAGATTAGGTAGCACGTATAGAATGAGTGGCAGTCCAAGCATCGGCCTCTGTGAGTTGTTGGAGATGGTTTATCCACCGGGATGACTCTGCAGGAGAATGACAAACTTGGTGGTACACAGGTATTTCCTACCCCAGCAAGAGGAACTCGATCGCCTCGCTTATTGAGGAGTTCTGAAGTAGATAATAGGTCATATTTCTCAATCGGTGCGAGCAACATTGTTCTAGCTCCAGGTAAGCATATGCTGCTAGCCGCAGGAGGGAGTACAAGCGCGAGCTGCATTTAGCTAGATTGAGCCTATCCGAATGGGCGGTTACATGTTCAATAATCCCTAGTAGAATCTCTACCCGAAAGGTAACTAGGAGCGACATGATGCGAGTTGGGTGAGGTTGTACGCAAGTAGTCAAGTGGATGTTAACCCCTCCCCATCACATGATCTGACAGCCCTTCACTTATTGGAAGTAATCAAGCGAGTAATAGAATTAGGACTTAACGTATTTCCCGGTCGAGTGGGCCACATGGTCGAGCGGGCCACCCTCCGCTCCGATCCCACCTCTAGGTGAGATTCTAGGGTCTATATCAACAAAATGATTGCATTTCTATAGAAAAACTAGTTAGTAAGTGGATTAGGACATCTAACCCCTAGTATATCCCCGAATATAGCAATTAGAACACTGCGGGGGGGGGGCTCGTACGCGCGGCCCAACTGTAGAAAGTGTAGGATCTATAGAAAGTGCATCTTGAGCTTCATTAACCTTATTCTCGCGCTGAAATCACTTTAGGTCTTCCTGAATAGCTGAGCCCTCTATAATGGCTAGCTGTCTAGTAGAGTACTTTTGCTTTTAATCTTTTTATTTATTTTCAGCGCGATATTAACATATTTTATCCCGCGCAAGAACAAGCTTATTAAGTGTCAATTCATGATCTTTTATAATCTTATCTAATCACATTTCTAGCAAAGGTAAAGAACTGTAGATATATTCTCTAAGCAGTTTCCTTGCTGTAGATGCCTGCTTCTCTAGCTGCCTAGTAGTATAGGGCGTTTTAGATACGGAATTAGTTGCCTGACTGCCTGGTGGTATAGAGGTCTTTAGTCAGACATCCAACTTACTAAGTACCCTATCCGGATCAAATAGAACTAGGCCAGTGCCTGCAAAGCTATTCTGAATATTTTCTGCTGTGAAAGCGCTTTTGCGAGCTTCTGGCAAGATCTTTAGAAAATTAACCTTATTAATATAATAGATTCCTAAGTATGCTTTCTGCTCCACTAAGCTCCTGTACGCGCCTTTTAGAGACTGAAAACAGCCTACATCTAAAGGCTGGAGCTTATTAGAAGAGTGTGCAGGCATATAGATAGGAATAATATTATTCTCACTGCATATTTAATCAAATTAAGATATAAGGTGACTGCCATGGCTATCTATAACTAGAAGACAGTATTTCCCAGTTGTATAGCTAGTAGTCACAGGAATAAAGAGATTTTTTAAGCCAGTAAAGACCTATCTTATCAGAAGTCCATTTATTAGAACTAACTTCAATCCTGCTACCGGGTGGGAGCTTGTTATTTTGATACCAGCCCTCTATATGGATCTTTTCTTTGAAGATAACGTATGGAGAAAGCACCCATCCAGTTGAATTGATACATTTAATAGAAGTAACCCATTCCCAATTATCTAGCTGTATAAGAAGCGGTTTTCTATAGTAATCAGCTCTAGTAACTACTTGAGCAGTAGCTACTAGGCCTATAGCGAAGCCAGTTTCATCAAAATTATAGATATCTTCCTGTGCGATCCTATATTGCATTATAGTTATTTTATACACAGTTAAATTACTCTTTAATAACTTTAGGGTCTTTGTATTTTGCACGTTGATAATTATAGCGTTGAGAATAGTGGGTTTTGATTTCATTATATTGTTTAATAAAGCTAGAGACCCAGTTCTTTCTAATAGTCTGAATAGATGTAGTACTGCGCGTAGCAAGGAGAATATTGGCCAATTCTTGTATATAAGATGGTCGGGGAGATGCTCCATGTCAATCTAGTGATAGAATCTATTGTATAAGTGAATCCTCTTTATTCTGGGTTAATTTTTAGCTATTGGCGTGTGTTTCTGCGCGTGAAGTGATCTCATTAAGTCGTTGTTGGAGAGTTGTACGAGAGATATTATAGACACGTGCTGCTTCGCGAATATTGTAAATCTCCTGCTTTTTTAAAGCAGAAATAGCAAGCAGTAGTCTTCCCTCCTGCTCAGCTAGATTTCTTGGATTTTGACGCGCTTTTGGAGGCATGGTTGATGGTTGAATTGAGTGAGGCAATAAAACGCGTAAATTTTTAATGAGGTGGCCCGCTCGACCGTGTGGCCCACTCGACCAGGAAATACGTTAGCGGTAGGCAGTATTTAGTAAGCGGCAGTAGTAACAACTAGTGCCAGTAGCTTGGATGCTAGCTAGGCAATGATAGAGGCTCATTGGGGTCTAACCCAATCTCTCTTTACGGATATCTTTTGGCGTGGAGAGGTTACTTTTGGGCTGGTCTCGTTTGGCTCAACAAAGGGTGTCCGTGCTTGATACCTAATGAAACTCAACATACAGTCAAGGTGCATTCGTCCCAGGCTAGATGAATTGGGAGAATCTAGCCTACCATGGCATAATAAATATCCCTGGCCTGACAGTCTGTCAGCCATGAGCAAACGGCCCAAATAGCACGGCCCGAATAGCCAATAATATAGACGGACGATGTGCTAATTATGATATTTTCTTGTTCGGTCCTCTGTAGATGAGGCATTTTGTGTTAGATTAGTGAGGTACGAGATTGCTATGCCACTAACGTTGGGTCTAGCGGCATGTCTAGTAGCTTATGCTATACCCAACCGAGCATAATATGCCTAGGCTGCTATTGAACTAATGCAAGGCTGAGCGGTTTACAATATATTACCACAGCCTCCCCATGGTTACATCCTCCTCTACGCGTTGACAGTCCAGTGTGCAAGGAGGGCTCGGATGAAGCCAACTGGTATATGTAGCATAGAACATATCCGGCGAGGTGGAACACGTTCTGTTTTTAATTATATCTCTCTGGTCCTAGCTCACTCCTGGATACATGAAACTCCTCATCAGGGACAAGTTGCCCTTCTGATCATCTAAGATGAACATCCTCAGCGTGTATGACCTGATTGTTCTCTTCATAATCTTCAACGTTGCTGAAGGGGCTCACTTAGCGCTCAATCAACGCTACCAAGCCATAGAATTCCCGAAGGCCCGACAACTTTATGCGGCCAGTCCATCTCTCGATCTCAAAGCAAGAGCAGATCCGGGAACATATGCGTTAAATAGAGAAGCATCATTCCACTTCATACACGAAACTCTGGAGGATGACGCGGAATATGTCTTCACCACCACACTCAATGTGGTATCTCAATACCCACTATTTGCCGTCGAGGCTCTAGACACCGACATAGACAGCATATCTTGCTCGGATTCTCAAATTCGATTGTCTATCAGAACGCTTAGCCGATCCAAAGTATTAAAACAGGAGCTTGAGGCTGTCTCGGACTTCGTGATCGTCACTTCTCATAGGGGCTGTGACTTAGAAGGAGAAAGGTCCGTTCATCGGTAGGTTTCCAGCAGGGCACCGAGATTGAATCCTTCTCATACTAGATGCAGTGTCACAAAGACAACTGTTGATCTTGACCGTCAAATATTTACCTTCAACAAAGTCAAGTATGACTGGCATGATGCGTTCCACTCCACCAGGGTGTCCTTCTCTCATAGGCACCGATCGGGGATTCAGAAACGCACATATACCCCACATAAGAAACGACAGCAGGAGCACTCAGATGCACCGACAAGCACCAAGGTAATAGACGATGGTGCTGCACCTTCTATATATTTTCCAACGGCCCCTACGGCAACATCAGAACTACCTTCGATCGCGACGAAGTCACTCGACAAACATTACATTGACCAGAAGATATTTCCGCCAGATATTCCCGCTGCTGACATGTTCATGTAAGTATGGGGTGCGCAAAGACGTGTGAAGTCTACGTTGCTAACCCTCTCAGACCGCAAGGAGTGATAGTGACATGTAAAAACTGCTCACTTCAGGGCAATATTGAGATAACCAGGGGCTCATTCAATCTTTCCGGTAATTCTATCAAAGACACAGTAGCCTTTTTTGATGACGGTGCGCTTGAAATCATCTCGAACGGCTTGTCCGCGCATGTTGAGCTTGGACTCGACCTCTCGTTGAGCCAATCCCTCGCTTCTCTGAACGTCTCACTTCCTACGATTCCTCTCACCCCATTCGAGGTAGGTACCTGAGCACAAGGTGTTCTCCATTTGCGGTCTTGACATGTTTCTAGATACCAGGAGTAGTGGCTTTCGGGCCAATAATCCGTCCCGATCTCACCTTCAGCGTAGATCTGGTCGAAGAGATCGGATTCTCTTATGGATTTAACCTCTCGGTACTGTGACCTAGCTGGAATATTCGCTGTGACTATGCTGATTTACCCAGGTGCCCGACAACTCCAAGATTAAGATCAATATGGGTGATCCTAGAAATTCATCCATTACGGGTTTGTAGGCTTCCCACGACAGTCCCCGTACGTCGACGGTCGACTAACAGGATGTAGTGGTGAAACCAAGATCCATGCACTGCCATTTCAATCTACATCAGCGTTGGCATCCCTAATTTTTAGTGTCACCTTCACACCTCAGATCCTCCTCGGAATCAGTACGGTGGAGGGGATAGTATCCGGAGGCATTGGAGCATTCGTCCATCTGCCAAAGGTATCTGTCAATGCCACTCAACTGCACCAAGTCAATGAAAAGTGCGAGGCCGTGATCAGCAAAAATGAAAGCGAAGAAAGCTCGCGATCTGCCCTGGACAATGTCTTCGACAACCTGATGCATATAGCCCCTTCCGTGGACGTCAACATGGGTGTCCTGGCCAACATGCAGGTGGATGTTGCCCAGATCAGTGAAAGCGTCGCAGTCCAGACCGTGCTGGCATCGACCTCCTATCCTCTTCCTACCGTGTGTTTGAATTTTGATCCGAAGGGTCATAGATATGGCGCTCCTTCGCGTAGTAAATCAAGCGCTAGTGCAACGAAGGGAGCTGATGCCGATCAGCAATCCGGCACAGCAAGATTGGTAGAAGGGCCGAATATGGTATTGCTAAGCATTTTTACGGTTTCTCTTTTGTCTTGGATATTGTGGACGAACTGAAGATAAGAGAAGATAAGATAAAGGACGGCAGATCGAGATGCAAACTATGCAAAGCTTGGGCAACTGAAGGTTTGTGAATGGAGGAAGAGTCCAAACCGTCACGGGTCCAGGGGAGAGATCACTACTACTTAGTACAATTCCGAGGGAAAGTCTGAGTAATAATCCCTAGTTCCGCCCATGTCTCGTTTCTTAGACTTATTGCCAAGAACTATGCCAGTAGATAAATATAGGAGAGGCAGTGGTGGGCGGGGACTGTCCTGTTATTGGTGTTTTCTTCCCTCGTATGCGCACAGCCACAAGGACATGTGATGTCGTATTTGAACCCGTCGGGCACCCAATCTGGTTAGCGCAGAGTCGGGATCCCGAAGAGGAAAGGCGCCATCTGGAGAAAGAGGGTTCTTCCTTCGACCAAATTCAGGCATCTCTTTCTACATCTACTTGATTCTGCTCCTCCTCGCTCTAGGTGAACATCCTCTGTTCCTTAGTAACAAACTATTCCTCTGCACGACGTAGGGCTGCTTATCCCTTCGCTTCTAAAGCGCAACAACCTACTCGTCTCTGAGTGAATCCTACTACTAAGTCGCCTGAAAAGCCCTCTTTACAGTACCCTATCGGGAAAGGCTTTATCGGGTTCGACCCTTCTTTACTGTACATTATTATCCACCCCTTTTTTTTTATCTTTTTGTCCATTGAACTCGGGTCGCTTTTTGATAAAAATGTTTGCCGACCAATTGCTTTACCCAATGGGCCACTCGTCTCAGGGTGATGAATGGCTTGACTTTGACAACTTCTTTGAGTTCCCCTCGGGTTCTGTAGACAGTAACCCAACCTCGGTCAACTCAATTTCCCCGAAGGACTTGGACTTGACTTACAACGACATGGACGGGTCCAATTGGGACTCGGGTCTCGATATGTGCACTCAAATTCCATTCACCGACTTTGTCAACCATGAACCACCATTCCAAGAATACTTTGCCGGCGCATCAGGCGCTGAGCCCGTCGCCGACCCCAATGATGTCCTTCAACTTCCTCCAACTTCGCCAAATGAAGTGTTCGTTGGAGGGGCTTTTGACGGTGCCTGGATGCCAGATGCGCACGACTACGATGACCAGTTCTTCTCAACTATTCGGCATATGGTCGAATCTAAAGCAGCGGTTGACCCGCGCTGCTCATCTAAGAAAGAGAAGCGCCGAGAGGCAGCCATCGCCCTACATCTCCAGCGACTGGGAGATGCCCCACTTCCCGAGATAGACATGTCTCCAGAATCCAATACCAGTTTCCCATCGCCTCCTTGGAGTGTTTCCCGTGACGCTACTTGCGTCAGCCCTGCCACGACCTCACTATCTGAACCAACCAGCAAGTCACCGACACCCCCATCGGGCGACACGACGCCGGGAGGGATGGAACTCGTACTAGATCTGAACATGAATACACCGGCGAACCTGCCAAGGAAACAGAAACCTCGGTCACGGGCTCAAAAGGAAAACTACATCAAAGTCCGGAAACATGGCGCCTGTGAAAAGCACAGGAAACAGCATAAAAGGGTAAGTAATTCCGCAAAGCACCTTGACAGCCATACTAATCAGGATATAGTGCAACTGCCTTGACATAAATGGTTCTCGTCTTGATGTTCATAAGTCTGCTCTTGCTACCACGGCGGTGCTTGACTCGACCAGACAAACTAGCGTGCCACTTCAGGGGCCTCTTCATACCCGGCCACGTCATGTTTCACTCCCCAAGCAGGCGCAAGTTGGTGTTCTTCCGCCCAATGTGCAACCTCCAAAGTCCGTCATTCGGACGGTCAAAGACGACGACGTTCGTTGCCTCCCGCAAGACAATCGCCGAAGCATTGCTTCACCATTGGATGGTCATCATGGAAGGTACTCGCCAGGTTCTCTTCCAAAGCCAATGGAAACTGCAAATGCTGGCCAGCTCAGACCACAAGTACCACATTCTTCCAGCCCGACAACGCCTTGGCGTGGTCTGGTTCAGACCCCGTCGGTTCCAGGTCGCCTGAAGTCTCCTTCACACAGGTCACTAGTGACGACGACCAGCCTCCCATCTGTCATGGAACGGGGAATTTATCCCGGATCTGCCGTCAGCTATGTGTCAAGCGGCCTACCTCAAGCTGTTTCATGGTGTTTCAGCCAAGTTACAAAGGAAAGCCGCGAAAGCTTGGTTCGTACACAGTCCAGAGTAGAAATGGGCACTCTGCCTCCGCAATCGGTACCTACCAATCTCTCGTCGAGCGTTGGAACCCGGCAAGTACGTGTTGCGCATACCAGTTCCAATGTCACGAGTCAAGCGTCTGTTGGAGGCGACAGCATCATTCACAGCAAGTTTGCTACCACGGCGATTTTCAGAACGGGTCTCGCAGCTGCCTCTTTCTGGCAAAATATGCGATCGGTCATCTCTTGTGCAAAAGCTTTATTCGGCAAATTCGCCGTCTTTGCTTCCAAGCAGCATTGGTTCGCTAGGAAGGGAATGGGGCTTATTTAACCTATAACCCTGCTTGAGCCTGTTGTTGCTTGTGCTTCGGCTTCTGCCCTTTGATTGTTCGTTTGTGGAAAAAGATACCTCACGTATGTGGCTATGTTTGGTTTGTTGCTGGGCTTTTTTAGCGGCTTTTGTTAGATATGTCTTGATGAATATACAGTCGGCCTGTGGCGATTGACCTAGTGTTAGAGATATACATAATTATTTATTCACTTATTTGCCTATTTATCGTGAACATAGAAGGGAAATCCACTGTCGTAGTAATGCATGAGGCTCTACTCGGTACTCATAGGTTAGATTCTATCTTCTATCTAGATTGATTCTTTTATCTGTTCCCCACTTCTACTACTCCCAAATTACCCCACGCCCTTTTCAGTTTAGGGTTACTATAAATGGGTCACCCACACCAAGTCTATAACAACTAGTCTTTGATGTTGGTACCTGACAATCCTCTTGTGAAAAAGCCACTATAGCATGTATAAATATCCCCCGATTGCCTTGTCAGCGAGATACAAGGAGTAAGCTAACATAATCTCCAACCCTACTGTCAAAAGCTTACTGTTGCTCGTGACAACGGTGCTATAATTACTTTGACAATGACATCGAAATCTATCCCTTCAGACTTCCACTTCAAATTCTCAACAGTGACTGGCTATTTCCTCCAAGATGAGCCAGATACTGATCCTGAAAACTTCGACTATGTATGTTCGGCCCAGCCCACACCACCTTATGCAAATTCAATTAAATAACTACTCACAATCAAGCAAGGTGACATCCAATTTCGGCCTCATACCTCGAAACTACGACACCGAGTTAGACCCAGAAGGTCACAAAACCCAATGGGAACGCTTCGAACACCACCTTAACAGATTAAACCGGGACAGCAGCCCCGACACGCAATTCAAACTCCTCTTCCTAGGCCGACACGGAGAGGGGGTGCACAATGTCGCGGAAAGAAAATACGGCACCGAACTCTGGGATGTACGTACACACCACTCCTTTACTCTCTTCCCCACAGACACTCCTATCACATCTACCCTTTATCTATACCAGCTAGCTATATTCAACACTAACTGCCCCAAAGTGCTACTGGTCTCTCCAGGACGGCGACGAAACCGGCACCTGGGTCGACGCCCGTCTCACAGATCTAGGAATCTCCCAAGCCCAAACAGCAAACAAGGCCTGGAAAGCGCAAATCCAGAACAAAATCCCCGCTCCCCAATCATACTACGTGAGCCCCCTGAACAGGTGTCTAGCTACCGCCAGCGTCACCTTCAAGGGCCTCGGTTTACCACACACGGAGCCATTCCGGCCGGTGATCAAGGAGGTAAAAAATAAAAAATAAAAATAAAAAATCCCACGCTCTATTCTGCATCCTATTAACACTCTTGACGAATCTAAAATTAACGTACATTACAGCTCCTCCGCGAAACTCTCGGCCTTCATACCTGTGACAGCCGCTCCAGCAAGGCAGCCATCGAGCAGGAATACCCGCTGTACCGATTCGAAGACGGCTTCGCGGAAGAAGACCCCCTGTATGACCCGAAGCTACGAGAATCTGACTCGGCGCGCGATGCCCGGCTCCGGGATCTACTGCTGGATATCTTTGCGCGGGATGAGAGTACGGTCGTCTCTTTGACGGCGCATTCGGGTGCTATCACGAGTATCTTAGAGGTGGTGGGACATCGGCGGTTTGCGTTAATGACGGGGGCTGTTATTCCGGTTCTGGTTCGGGCGGAGAGGGTTGCTGGGCCGAAGCCGCCGATGAGGGTTGAGTCGCCTTCTGGTGCGCCGGCTTGTCGGGAGGGGGTGCTTTAGATGGTTGAGCGTAGTTTGGGCTTGATATTTTTATAGAGGGCTAGGTGGTCATAGAAGTGGGTGTTGTTGTGACCATAGATTCGCTATTCTGAAAGGGATGTGATTGATGAGAGAGCATGCTGATATATGTAGTATATTTCAATATTGTACACGTGGTGAGCTCTGTCCACTACAAGCTCCTTGAAAATTTGGTCCGTCCTAGATAGCACTTAACTGATACCTCCTCGGCTCGGAGAGAATGATCCATGGAGATGAGGGAGATGGTAGGCCGCGTTTAGATTCAAAAGAAATGCCGCAAATAGAAAGAATAGTGAACATACGCTGGTCGACCCGCCAGGCGGAGTGCTAACGGTCTAAAATAATACAAGAGACAACGCCGAAGAAACCCATCATTTGCCTAGACAAGGCCGGATATAAACATCGGGAGAAACGGTTTACCAGCTGTAGTACTGGTTCTGGGCAGAGATTTTCCGGTCGGGGAGCTGTGTCCAGAGCTGGGCTTTGCGCTGGCGTTGCGCTTTAGCTTCCCGGTCTTGCCACTCCCTGATCCGGGTCTTTTCCTCCTTCAGGACGACTGAAATTCCTGTATATGGGGGGCGGAGGAGGTTAATCTGGCCTCTGGCACGGTGGTCATAATCGACACCATATGGACCCCGGTTGACCCATGCCTGGTCAATGTAGATGGCAGTCGGGTCGGTGATCGTCTTGCGCTCTCCAGACTTGAGAGTGACCGTAATGGGCTTGCGGGTTGCCGTCTCGCCTTCGAGGGCGCCAAGACCCATACCAGACCGAACTATAGCAACGTTCTTCGCATGCTTGAGATGCTCGAGAACATCCTTGGCGGCCTTCTTCTTGCTGAAGCGCATCTGCAGTATGGCTTCATCGATGTTCTTTCCCGCGATCTGGCGAGCCAGGGGACCAAGCTTCTTAACCGAGGTCTTGAAAAAATGGGACTTGGAGAGCGATTCACGCTCGGTGCGCATAATCTGCTCGGTCTTCGTCAGACGGCCTCGGCGGCGAATATCTCGGGCAACCATGCTACGTTCCCAAGCGATACGGCGCTTAGGACGCGGGTCTATGGCTTGCCGCATAAGGTCCTTAGTCCGGTGCTCCACGCTGTAGTCAGCAGCCTCCTCTCCCTCGGTAGGCTCAACTTGTGCTCGACGTGTCGGCATGGGTCCGGATGTAGACAGATTGGGCTCATCCTCCGCGAAAATCGAGTCCGCACTCAGGGAACCCTCTCGCTTCTGGGAAGCCGTCCTTCGGTGGACCGTAGGCTTTGGGGCATCAGACTTTCCACCGAAAAAGAAGTTCTTGATGGACGAAAAGGCGGTGGTTTTCGATTGAGGGACTTTGTTTCCATTGTCGCCGTTTTCTTGGGCACGGCGACTGACGGAGTAAGTCAAGGTGCGGCGAGGTATGTAGGTGATGCCAGTCCGGGCTAGAGAGATTCGGATATGTGAGACTTTGCCATTGATGGGTTGGAGTCATCAAAGGAGTCCAATTGATTCACTTACCTGACCGAGCCAGATGCCCATAGGGGTTCAGAGCACCAAGAGTGGCCATGGCGACGGACAACCAGCGAGGCAGATGAGGCAGGTTGGGGACGTGACCTTCCAGAGGACGAAATGGAAAAAAGTGGTCGGGATTGCAAAATGCTTGGCTGCGGGCTGGGTGTGACTGGTTCGCCGTATATGTTTGAATGTTTGAATGTTTGATCAGGGCGTCAGCCACAGCCGGAGGCAAGCCACACGGGGGCTCCGACCTTGAGCCGGATTCTGAACACTTCTCATGTGGCTCTGGAGGTCCATGCATCTCCCGAACCCATCCGCCATTCATGTCGTCCGGTCTCCTGTATCATTACCTCATACTCGGACAAGGATGTCGTTCTCGGGAGCAGGGCACTTTGCCCTTTTCGGTGCAGCCCTATTCCCATAGTAACAAAAAAAAATAACAATACCTTCTTCTCTTTCTTTTTGTATCTCCATGTGCATACAGTAGTGTCTTTCTAGTTATCGGTAGGCTTGCATAATTTGGGATTAATATATATAAATTATTTGTTTTTCCCGCTCTCTCCTTTTGATTCGTGTTTGACCTTTTTTTCCCTAGTTTTACAGCATCGAGACATCCATCGTATTGCACAATTCTATGTTCTAGTCCGTTACACGGTCATCTGTTCGATCGACATGAGTCCTAAGGAACCAAGTTACAGATCACTGCAGAGAATGAAACCACTTCCTCCTATTGGAGGCACTGTAATTTTCTCTTCGTCCTAAATACTGGTGAAATCCTGTCTCATCTGACCCCTCGGATTGGTCACTTTTCCTTTCTGTAGTTGAAGACTCAATACGTAGTTAGCTTAAGTTGGTGAAGAGGAAATTCCCCGTAGTGGAGGGGAAGACGAGTTTACCGTACGTACGGAGCAGTTTGCATTTGGCTTTGCTTTGCTTTGCTTTGCTTCTGCTTTGCTGTACTGTTTGTTCTCTCAGGCTGTGTTTTTTGTTAGAGTATTTTTTTTTTTACATACCGAGCTCTCTTCCCTTTTCCCTCCTTCGACTTTGGACTCGACAGTCTCTTAATTCTGCCCCATCTCCACCGTTTCGATCCACTACCCTCATCATCTTCTTTTCTCGTCTTTTCTTGGTCCAACTTTTCTTCTCTCTATCTCCCTCCCCTTTTGCCTAGAAGGGTCCTTTCGGCGTGCACTCTTACGCTTTTGCTTGTAGGTTCATTGCGGCACTTCCCCATTCATTCTTTTCCGCCTTTTCCATTCTTTGTATCTCGCCGCTCACCAGCTTCTCTTTCTTAGCCCTCTCGCTCTCCCTTCCTGTCGTCGGGTGAATCGCTCGATCTTTTCCATAGCTTGTTCTACCCCCTCTCATCCAATCTCACCGTTGGTCTCACTCTTTCGTCCTAAAGCGCCTCACTTTTATCAATTCGTCAGGCGCCCGGACCACCCGAGCTTCTGCTGTCAAAATAAAAAGACGAAGGGCCCGAAGCAAAAAAGAAAAAAATTAAAAATTAAAAAGAAAAGGAAAGGAAAGGAATTTTATCTGAGAGAAATATTTCTTTCAAACTTTGAACTCCTTTAACTCTTCGCTCTTTTTGTTCTCTCTCTTCATTTTTTATTTTTCTTTCTGCGCAACGGATCGTGGTTGGGCCGATCTCTCCCCCTCCCTTCGCAAGCAAGCAAGAAATCGTGGCTACCCGGTTCCAGAGTCTAGACAGGCTGTGGCCGGGGCAGGAATGGACTCGTTGATGAGGCGACTTACGGCAGTTCTTTGATTTGGTCTCTTTTCCTTTTGTCACTTCCTGAGTCCTCTTTCGCCAGTGTCTCACTGGCAGCTAATTCTTCTTACCCGTCTTCCAATCCGTACCAGATTCCGATGATGGACATCAATTCACTCCTTTCGCCGCAGGATTCAAATTCCCAGTCAGGGCGTTCGTCGCCCACCGTAGGCCCGACGGCGGTCAGCAACACATCGATACCGTCCACTGGACCCCCTCCAAAACCTCTGCGCAAGAATCGCGCCGGTCAAACGAAACAGGGCATGACCTCATCTCCGCTTGCGCAACACGTATTCGCTCCGCCGCACGTTTCAGAACCGTCGCCGCCAGCGATAAGCCCGACAGTTGGTCCAAGCATGAGTGGTGGCGGAACTCCCCCGGCAGCAGACTTACCTCCTCCTAGACAACCTTCCACCCCTGGAATGGATACCCTCGCCGACTTAGCTTCGATGCAGCATCATCAACCTCAGCGCTCGAGTGCCCCGCTTCTCAGAAGCACCGAATCTTACGAGAGTCAACTTTCTCCCTCGACGATGTACCCCCATGTCAGCTCCGTCTCCCACAATACACCCACGCCGCGATCGTCATTCGATATCGCTATGTCAGACGGCCCAAGGGAAGCCGCCCGACGAAACTACTTAGATACGTCGTTAGTGCCCAATGCTCAGCGACTCGCAACCGAGCTATTTGCTCAAATCCAAGAAAACCCCCAGTCTTACGACGCTCATGTGAACTTCGTTCGCCTCCTTCATGCGGGCTTCGTGAACCATGTATACCCGCCGAATAACCCCGACATCCACGGCGACCCTCGAAACTATGACCTGCTTAAAGATATGCGGACCGCTCGTGAAGAGATGGACAAGCTTTTTGCGATGGGGGAAGATCTTTGGGCTGAATGGATACAAGATGAAAGCATGCTCGCACAAACAGTTGACGAGCGCATCGCGGTCATGGAGCTCTGTCAGCGGTCGGTCGAGGAGGAATATGGCAGTACGAAGCTATGGACCATCTACGGTGAATGGGTTCTATATCTCTACAATTCTGCGCACGGCGAGGGTGGTCAACATCAGTGGACAGAAGAGGATCGCATGATCGGCCGCGAGGTCTTCTCCTGGCAGTCGGTTCTAGACGTCTGGCAGAGAGGTGCTGAAGCAACCCGGTGGAGGATCCACGATAGCCATATGGTCTGGGATCGACTTCTCGACCTGCACGTGCAGGACACCGCTCGAAACCCGACTCAAGAAAAAATCGGGCATGTGCGAGGCCTATTTGACATTCGACTGCAGACACCTCATGCCAACTGGGACCAGACCTTCCAAACGTTCTCGGGCTTTATCTCCACCTATTACAACGCAAATTACGAAACCATCATGGCAGATACTGCGGGCCGATATGCAACGGCTTGCAAAGAAAAGTATTCCGCCCGCGAGGAGTTTGAAATCAGACTCTGCAAGGCTGCCGAGTCGGGTAACCTTACTCAAGAGTGGACTATATTCACGGAGTATATCGAGTGGGAGGTCATCAACAATCGTCGGAAGCGTCATACCAACTTCGATTTGGTCAATGCCGTCTACCAGCGTGCAGTTCTTCGATTCCCGACCGATACCAACATGTGGGAGGACTTCGTTATGTTTCTCATTGATGAATCTATGCATGGTAATGCAAACACCACGACTATCTCCACCCTCGATCGCGCAACACGGCACTGCCCGTGCTGCGGCACTCTTTGGTCTCAGTATCTACTCAGTTCGGAACGGGAGGGACAGTCCTTCGCGAAGATTGCAGACATCAAACACAAGGCTACCAGCACTGGCCTTCTCGATGCCGGCGGAATGGAAGAGGTTCTCAAGGTACACACGGCCTGGTGTAGCTACCTCCGTCGCAGAGCTTTCATGTCCGATTCCACCGATGAAGATCTCGACGTCGCAGAGGTTGGAATCCGTTCGGCCATCGAAAGCGTTCAAGAGCTGGGTGAAAAGAAGTATGGTCGATCCTATCAGGGCGACCCCCTGTTTCGCCTAGAGCGCATCTACATCCGTTATCTAAGTGAAAGCGGCAGCTGGGATAGCGCGCGGGAAACTTTTAAGGGACTTGTCGGCCGACGAGGCAACAGCTACGAGTTCTGGCTAACATATTACGAATGGGAGTTGATCTCGTGGAGCAAGTTCGTGCAAGGCGAGGCCACCGTTGATGCCGCCCGCCGGACCCCTAACCCCAGTTATGCGACCGCTGTGTTGAAACAAGCCATCAAACGGACCGACTTGGATTGGCCAGAGAAAATCATGCAAACCTATATCGCGCACTGCGAGGACTATGAGGACTCAGATGAATTGCAACTGGCCATTCTGGAAACTAGAAAGGCGATGCGGGCTGTCACTACGCGACGAGAACGAGACGCGAGAGAACTAGCCGCCCAGCAAACACAGCAGCAGGCTGCCGTAGCCGAAGAGGCTCCGCACCCCGAAAAGAGGAAACGAGAGGAGGAAACTACTGCGAACGGCTTGCCTACTAAAAGGGCTCGCGGAGACGAGGACGCACCCTCTACGGAAGCAGAACCAGCAGCCCTCCGACGAGACCGTGAAAACGCCACAGTCGTGGTGAAAAACTTACCTCATCAAATCACCGAGCATAAAGTCCGACAATTTTTCCGTCATGTACGTCATTTTTCCCCTCATGGTGAACGCACGACTAATTGGTAGCATGATAGTGCGGTACGATAAACAGCGTCAAGATGTTCCCGGGTGACGACGGGAACTCGGAAGTCGCGGTAATCGAGTTCGAATCCAAAGACGAAGCCCTTGTGGCCCAAACCCGCGATCAGAAATTAATTGATGAAAATACCATCGAGGTCCAGATCGGGTTACCCTCAACATTATTCGTCACAAACTTTCCCCCGGAGGCAAATGAAAAGTACATCCGTGATCTATTCCGCGAAGTAAGTTGTCTCCTTCCCTTCAATCATTATCTCGGACGTCACTAACCGTCCGGCAGTGTGGCGAGATTATCGACGTTCGCTTCCCATCTCTCAAATACAACACACATCGTCGCTTCTGTTACGTGCAGTTCAGGACTGCCCAGGCAGCCCAGAACGCCACGAAGTTAGATGGGACTACTGTTGGTAAGCATCTGAAACTCGTGGCTAAGATCTCGGATCCTTCTCGGAAACAGGACCGTCACGGTCCAATCTACGAAGGGCGGGAGATCCATGTGTCGAACATAGACTGGAAGGCCAGCGAGGCAGACCTCAAGGAGCTTTTCTCGCAGTATGGCACTGTGGAACTGGTACGCATACCCAAGAAGGTCGACGGTGGCAGCAAGGGTTTTGGCTACGTTGTCTTCTCATCGAAGGAGGAAGCCACTGCTGCTCTTGCCAAGCACGAACAAGAGTATCGTGGGCGGCCCCTTCACGTGAGAATCTCCACTCCTCAGAGCTCCAAGCGCAACGCGACCACCATCCTCTCTCGCGTTGGGAAATCCCAGTCCCCTGCTGCCGAGATGAATGGCAACAAGGGGTCGACCGATGCGGATATGCCAAGCAGCGACCGGACCGCCCGTACCCTGGGACTCATGAATATTCCCGACACGGTGAACGACGCGCGCATCCGAACCTTGGTCGAGCCGTACGGCAAGCTGATTAAGATTGTCCTCCGGCCCGATCATCAGGGGGCCATTGTGGAGTTTGCCGATGTCAATCATGCCGGTCGGGCTTCTTTGGAGCTTGAGGGCCAGGAGATAAGCCCCGGACGCAAATTGCATGTGGGCACGGTGCCGGAGATGCTGAAGCAGTCAGCTGAGACGAGAGATGGCCCCACCCAGCCGAGCAAGCCGAAGGAGAAGCAAGGGGGCTTCCTCCCACCCACGGGACCGATCAAGCGACCCCAGCAACCGGGTTCGCGCGGCGGCCGGCGAGGAGGACTCGGGATGAAACGTGGCGGGGCCCCCTCTCACGGGGAGAGGCGCGCACACAATGGAGAGAATACGATGACGACGACTATGATGACGACCGACAGCGCACCCTCCGCGGAAGGGGGGAAGACGAAAAAGAGCAACGATGACTTCCGTGCGATGATCCAGCGGGGTCGAGAGAACTGAAGTTTGGCGCAATGGATTGCCCGGCAGGTTTGGCGTTCCTCTCCCCCATTCGCTTGCCTTGTGGTCTTTTTTTTTTTTATTCTATTTTCTCCTGATGAAATGAATTGATTCCGCGATATCTGTCACACTTGGTCCCTGGTGGGTACCACAAATTCCCTTGCACCGCCGTGTTTCGTTGTATGAGTATTCTTCCATTCTCTACTATTATTTGCAGCTGGGTTTGCAGGTTGCTCTCTGGAAATGTAGATTATTTTTGTGTGTGTATTCTTCTTGATCACTTCGCTTCGTTAATTATTCATGTCACTACATAGCAGTAGTTGTTGCTAAACAACACCCGGAAGGGTCCCTCCTGAAATGAAATCGGGACTTTGATCTTACTACCTTTTTTACTAGTAGTCCGTAGTAGTATTAAGCATATTGAATCAAATTTCTTGGGTTCTCTCTGGTGAGCCATTGTTGGTCCGTAGTCTTCGATTAGGGTTTAGTTACATCAATGCTAGACTTTTCCACCGTCAAAAGCGGGAAGAGAGAATGAAAAGAAAAGAAAAATCCCCGCGCAGACGCTTTGACCAGCTGGCTAAGGGACATTTGACCGTGAGGGATTTTTTTGCTAATGGTTATGTATGTGTGTATGTATGTATGATGACTATGTATAAATTTTGAAGATCCTTCCATGTCAGTCCATCCGTTAAGGAATGATCATCCGAGTCACCAGGTTTCCTTAAGAGTCAGCAGTCAACCCATTCAGGTTATCTGTTGGATGTATTTTTCTAGTCTAGTAATTCTGGGAATGTTAACTTTATTTTGAGGTCTGGAATGAATATTCTATTGAAGTCTAGGGATATTTTATGTCCACAGTAAGAATAAGAAATTAAGAAGCTCCACTATAAATATTTAACTATTAAACTTGATCTCCGCATCCGTGTTATCAAATGGGGTCCTGAGGCATGAAACCCCAACACTTAATCCACTCCTCCCCTTCCTCTTTCTCTTCCTCTTCCTTTCTCTCTCCTCCCTTCCACTCAACTTTATCTGTATCTACTAGACTCATCCAACTAATTCCTACTAGTTTCCTTTTTTCTCTATTGTGATTGTATCTGTAATACTCCTCCAAGATCCCCTCCCTCGACTCCTAGAAATCCTTCCCGGTCGCGCAACACTTACTTCCTCTCTGTCGTCATCATACAATCCCTCCCCCGCAACGATGGATTTCCACCTAGTCCCTCGTGGCGAAGACCGAAATTATACAGGCTTTTTAACCAAAACCATTGTTTACATATCGACTTTGATCCTCTTTCTCGCCTGTGAGTGCCGTTGATCGCAATCGCATTCGGAGTATGACGACAAGCTGACGGCCCTGCAGCATTCGGCTTAACGGTCGCATCAATCGTCGTCCCAAAATGGATCGTCTATCATAGCGATAACAACAGGGTGCGGGACCTAGCTGAGTCTCCACTCAAAGAAAACTTTACTGATCCATTCTAATTGTCAATCATATCTAGATCTGGTACACATACGGTCTCCACCGGCGATGTTCTTCCGTCACCAACTCCTGCCACAGCTTCCCCCTGCAGGACGATTGCAGCGGAGACGATCGCTATTTCTGTTCCATGTGGCGCTCCGTGGGGTTCCTCATGTCTTTTGCTGTCGTCCTGGAGGGTATGAGCATCGTCGCATACTTGATCATATTGTCCGGCGGGAAGCGCCTGCGCGAATCCGGGTGGAAAGTTCTGAGCTTGTTAATCATCTTGTCTGTTGCCGTACAGGCATCCAGCATGTCCATTGTCGTAGGTTTTCACTTGTCTATCTAATTCGGACTGACCTTGGGAGGAATTGGGTATGCTAACCTTCCCCGCGTAGGCTTACCTATTCGATCATGAGGGGCGCTTTTTCACCGGCTGGGCGCTGGACGAGTCGTGGATTTATTGCACTGTTAGCTGGTGCGTGGGGTTGCTTTGCGCGGCTGGTCTGATACTTGCTGGCCGAGTGCTCCCGTCCGAAGGTGGTTATGAGTTGATTCCGGATCACTCTTGAATATTGTATGAATGATGGGAAAGACCGGTTTTTGTCCACGGTGGTACTATTCGATTCGATATACGGTTATGGTGGTAGGCATTTTGATGATTGTCGATCTTGCGTGCAGCTTCATGTCCCCTTTCTTTCTTTCTTCATTCTTCTGGCTCGGCCGTTGTTCCCTCTGCTTATGTTTGAATGTATATACAGTCTAGATGGCTACGAGTAATGTTTATGAATCCGTAAGTTTTCACCATTGAAGAATAACATACTGACTCCAATTTATCACGCACAAAACTAACCCAGAGTGCAAAAATCCAGCCCTATATCATCACCACAATGAAGAATCAAATCAAATGACAACCCCCCCGCCCCCCTCAACCCTCCGCACACCCCCTTTCCCATCAGTCCTCGAATTCTTCCTCTCTCCACCTCCTCTCGTTCTTCTCCTCTTCTTCACCGACGCCAAAACCCAAGGCTGAAACGTCGGCAAAAGCTCAATGTCCGGAAACACAATCCTCTCCGCCGCAACCCCCGCAGCCCTCAAAGAATCCATCTCCCCCCGAACCCGACTCACCAAACCCTTCAAATCCGCAAACGACTTCCCCCGTCCAACCTCCCCAAGCAACCACCCAGGCACCGGACCAACCAAGATAGTCGGTTTCTTCCGCTTCTTCGACCTAGCCTCCTTCCGAGCAAACACAAGATCGGGGTCAGGATCATCCGAATACAACGACAGCGAAGACGAAGATGCAGACGAGAGGGTCCTCCCCTCGTTCTCACAAACAGAATCCTTACGCCGCCCATAACCTCCACCACCTTCACTTCGCCTCTGGTCGTCGACGACGATAGCTCCATCCTCACATGTATTATAGGATGTCAACCTCTCCAACTCCCTCTTCCTCAGCACAACCTCCCACCCCTTTACTCCGCCCCATTTCTCCATCCGGCCGAGCACGACCGTTAGCAGCTCGCATTGTGTGAAGGGCCAGTCGATGCGGTACCGCGCGCGCTGGTAGTGCTGGCGACAGTAGTGGACCCAGAGGTGGGACGGGAAGCGCTTCGTGGCGGTCTTGTTGCGGCCGAAGATGTGGGAGATGACTTTTCGGCGGGGGTTGTTGGGTTCGGTGCTTGAGGGGCAGGGGTGGGTGAATTCGCAGGGGGGGAAGGTTGGATCTTGTTCTTGGTTGAGGTCTCGAGGGAGATCTTGGTTTTGGAGGTTGGGGGTGGGCATATTTGATAAAGGGATGTTTTTTGGCGGGGGGAGAGGGGAATAGGATGGGAGTGGGATTTGGAATATAGGACGGGTATTCTTATACTACTGGTATTATGGGATCTGTGTGGCGATGAGAGAGAGGGTGGATGTGGTTAGGATGGGATTCATATGCGATGTTTGGGGGGGGAAGGATGTTAGTGCCTCGTCGGAGATATCCGATGAGGATGTGGATGGTTGTGATCATGCGTGATAGGAGACAAAGAGCTCTTCACTGTTTGGGGTTTGTTGATGGTGGTGAGGTCCTGTCATTCTGGTGGTTGGTCATTGTGTGTGATGATGTCTTTGAGAAAGGGAGGCGGCAAATCAGAGAACAGACCAAGCTTTCTATTCAATTCAAGGCAATGCAATCGTTTTATATTCGTCACATCAAATCAAATCAGGTCAGCCATGTGCCAAGTATCAATCTGCGTATGTATAGATATCTGTATGTATACACCCAAACGCCATCCGAAAATATAAACCCAACGCACATTCATACGTTTTCGTTTTCCATGCAATCTTAAAAGGCCAATGAAGAAAAAAGGAAAGAAAGAAAGAGGTCATCAAGTCATGGACCGTTTTCAGGCCGCGTATCCAGCCGGCAATTTCGGGACATATCTCCTCAGCGCCTGCCTATTGGTGAACCCCACAGACCCAATGTCGATTGTATTCAACTCTCGACTGAGCGCATCCATCCCCTGGTTACCCGCCATCACAGGATAATTTTGGCTCATCGGCTGGGCAATCGGCACCTTGGCTGGAATTGGCGGCCCGGGGTTGCTCGGGGCGTACAAACTGGAGGGTGAGTGGCCGCGTGGAGAAGGGGAGACAGAGCTTCGATGAGAATGGGGTGAGGGAGTCGCATTTGGTGAACTTAGTGTCCGTCCATGTCCGTAGGGCGAAAGTGCGCGGCCACGACTCGTATCCCCTGGAGATATTCGACTAGCGGGATCCGGCGCCACGTACGACTGGGGACGGCGATATCGTCCATCGACCAAAGGCTTGGATCGTGGGGCAAACTCTTTGACGGGTGCTGGCGGCGCGGGGCTCCTCTTTCGAGGAACATTCTTGAAACGAACCACCACGCCTGGTTTCTTAGTCTTTCGCTCTGGCTCCGGGGCCCACGTATCGGTAGGGAGATGGTCAGAGGGATCAATCTCCCGACCGTCGTCGCCAATGATCGGACCTGGGTCCCGCGCTGCTTCCCTCTCAGACCGTCGAGCAGCCTCCATCGCCTGTGCTGGCGTTTCATATGCCGGTTCTGGGTCACGCAGGACTGCCGCACGAGCTGCGTTCGGATTAAAGGCGTCATATGAATCTGGCGAGAATGGAATTTGTGATGCTTCTCGCTCCCCTAGCAGCGGCGGCCGGGGGCTGACAGATTTCCTGCGAGGAACAAGACGAGTCTCCAATGAATGCGCTGAGCTTCTACTACCGAGCGATCGGCGCTCGTCCACGATCGGCGGAGAGACTTCTACTGGGTAAGGGGGGGTCACGGACGTCGGTTCCAGAGGCATAATGACCTCTTCGATCAGCTCACTGCGTCTGCGGCTCTGGCGCCTCTCATGTGCAGCACGGTCTGATTCGGCCTCTGCAATCGCAGGGTCAAACCCGGCGACTAGACTGGGTGGCATGGATGGCCCGTTCGTATGTGGGGGGAGGTCCTGGATCCGGCCCCCATCGGACTGCATGTGGGACGGCAACGATAGGTTGATTTCGTTGGAGGTCCGGGGGGATGCAAGCTCTGGCGAGTAAGCTTGGTACGAAGGGGTTGGTGACGGTACTAACTGCTGACTGGTCTGAACCAGGCCTGATCGATGAACTGGGGGTGGTGGCGGAGGGCCCTCCTCTTCTTCATCTTCCACCCGTGGTTGCATCGTCGCGTACTCTGCCGGTAGACTCTCACGACTACTAGGAGGGCGGAAAGGGCTGGTCTCCTTGACCAAAGAGTTGCTATGCGAGCGATAACGGGGCTCGGTTTCCACTGGATGGGAACCGTATTCTACCTGGGGATCGTGGATACTGACCGGAGAGTGTTGTGTATATCTTGAAACTTGCTGTCCATGAACGATCTCGTTCGGCACATATTGCTCCGCGGAAGGGAACGAATAATGGTTGCTGTGGTGGCTACTCGGTCGAGGTGGGGTGGCCTGTGACATCGGCGGATGCATCTCCGGCCCGGATCGACTTGTTGGCCGGTCGTGCCTCGAAGAGCGGAAGTCCGCAGGGGGCATATTACCATAACCAGATCGCGGCCGTGCGTGAGAGCGTGTATCGTAAGACTCCGGCCTGTCACGGTACGAATGGTAGGGCAGTTCCTGCGGATGACGCTTAGAGGGAGGTGGGGCATAATGAGACGCAGGTTGACTCCATTCTCGATGAAAATCATCTGGAGTTTCATAGGTCCTCCCTGGGTGCGAAGGGGGTGGACCATATGCTGTCGCATCAAAGGGGGCCTCGGGAGACACTGGATATCGGGATGGGTGGCGTGAATATTCAGCCGGGGGAGGTGTAGAATGGGGATGTTCATGGACTGGACGGGGAGGAGTCGAATGGGAATGCTCAGGAGCCGGACGAGGAGGTGACTGGGTTGGTACTGGAGCCGAAGCGGTCTTTTCTGGAAGCGTAGGACGTGACCCAGTCGGATCACTAGGCAACGGACGTCGCTTGACCTCTTTCAGTTGTCGAGGTCCAGATAAAGATGAAGAAGAGCTGATCGGCGCTGGGCTCGGGGTTAAGTTCAAGCTTGAGCTCGAGGTACTAGGTCTACTCGGAGCGTGAACTTTCTCCACTACTTGAGTACGTCGTTCAATGACTGCGTCATCTTCCGGTCTAGTGTCGTAGTAAGTCATCTCGATACGAATTTCACCAGCATACTTCCCGCGAAATTGTAACGGATGCCAGCTATCGCTTTGGCTACCTCCGGGGATGATCAGGTCTTTGAGATCAATCCATGTCTCGCCAATAAGGTCGGTTCTTTTATCATCGTTGAATATAGATACCTTGAGCCGGAAATAGTCCGGAGACTCATGTACGGTGAATCGGAGCTCTTGATCCCTAGAGAATATTAACATGGTATCGAAGCATGACGAAAAAGAAGGGAGGAAACATGGATTTCATCTCGTACCATCTCGGCGTTTGACCACCACGCATGTCCGTGTCAGTTTTCTTCGCTTCTTTTCCTAAACGAGCCGCGCAATAGGGATTTTGTTTTCCCATAGTCTTTCTGTTGGGCAGGTTCTTCGCCCGGTCGACGACGAGGACCAGAGTCCCAATAGCGGGCCCATCAACAGACATGTCGGCATAGATGCCTGCGGCATGGTTGAGCATAGATAACCGAGGCGGTTTGGAAGCCATCATATAACGACTACCCAATTGAAAAATCGTCCGAGTTGAACGGAAGACAGTTAATACAAGGGAAACGATACGGCTCGAGACCACCACATCCGTCGCAATGGTATACCAGGAAGAATCGACAATGCAAATGGACCACAACAAACAAAAAGAAGAAAAAGAAGATCAGTGCGCACCAGAGTCTTTACAGCAGGGGGCTTTTACACACACACACACACACACACACAGAGTACCTGCAGGGGATATTGATGAACAAAAGACGGAAAAAAGAAAGAGGATGAAGAAAGGGAGGGGAAAAGCCAAACAAGAGTCGATAAGACGATCTGAGCGATCAACCCTACACGGTGATTTTCGGCCTGATTGGTTGACAGCGGGTCCGTAGGTTTTTGGGGTGGCTGGGGGTGGCTGGCACTGGGTGCACGGCAGCCCATGATTGGTGGATAGGCGGTGTTCCTGCATGCAGTGCTCAGGTGCCCCATTCGACCTTACCGAAGAAGGATTAGGACGTGTTATCGTCTGGGAGGGTTTAAGGTTTGAAGAAAACAGCCTCACGGTTGTATTTTGTGTAAAATCCCAGTATCAACGTCAGTTTCACACCATTTCAAGTTTTCCACATTCCAGCCACTCTCAATTCCGAACCCCACTTTTCTTTCTTTTTTCTTTCTGCTTAGATTAATTGGCATCGTCATCGTCAGGCGTAAGACTTAGCGCCCGATTCCAGCCTGCATTCATGTCGACCCGTTCACGGCAAGTTCTCCACATTGAAATGTGGGCTGCATACCTTAATACACTCTGGACCGTCATCGGTGCGTTCCCTCCTCCACCCTCGTGAGCTGTCACTGTAGGTTTCACAGAATATCTCCCTCTCGAAATGATAAGCTATGCATCTCCATATCACAAACGAAATACCGAGGGGGGAAAAAAAGAAAAAGAAAAAGAAAAAGAAAAAGGGTACAAAAACGAATACGTGCGGATATCCCTGTCAACGCAAGAAACGAAACTCGGTTGCCTGTCCTCGGAGATCCATTCAGTATTTCCACAGCCACGAAACCAGGCAGTTATGTTTGAACTCATCTCACTCCACTCGCTGCTATAATTAAACCCCTACGGCTGAATCCCGGCAAATCCAGTCAGTCTGACGGAAAGGAAACGGCCTGACCGTCGGTCAGAGTTGTGTCTCAGTGGGAAGCTGGGAACCACGACCTACGTATCCGCATCATGTCAGACAACAACATATTTCCCGACTCGACCGTGCTGCCCAGGCCCCCATCCATCCGCCCTGTCTCTTCATTCTCAACGAAAGAGGCGGTCGGAATTAGTCACACCAAATATCTCTCACCACATATTTCTCTCTAATGGTCTAGAACAAGCTCTCACGGCGATATTTCCCTTCCACGTGGGTCAGGAATGTTGGCCGGGGATACTCATTGTTGAGGCATGGCCCGGGAATGTACTGTACATTAAGCCGAACCTGCACCTTTGCGGATCGTTGATATAACTTATTGCAAAATTAAGAATTTCCTTCCAGCCAATTGGGGATGTGGTTTAGTGGTATAATGTTCGCTTAGCATGTGAAAGGTCCGGGGTTCAATTCCCCGCATCTCCATATTCTTTTGCCCTCTTATATCCTCTTACTGTGGCATTGATATTTTGGCTCCCTCCTTTTGCTGCCTTTTAATGTCGAGGGTTGGAGCTAGGCCTGGTTTGTTCTTGACACTATACGTGGCCTTTTTGCTTTTTCTTTGTGTGTCTTAACTTTTCTTCTCAGCCATTCTAATATTAGCTATCGATTATTCATATTTTGTTCAATGTTCCCCTGGGCCTTCCTGTGGCTAGTGCTGACGATACATAGCGTGAGTCGTGTTTCAGTGGTGACCCCGTGCATAATATATTGTTTCAACGTATACCAATCACAACAACAACAAATGGGCCCCTATGTCCCTCTAAACCGTCTATTAAATAGCAAAAGAGAATGGCGAAGCATGTGAGAGAAAAAAGCACGAAATAAAATCCTGAAACCCACTACCAAAGCCTTAGTAAGATCCCTAAGCTCCCCGGCATGGCTCTTCTCCCACGGATATTCTGGATTGATGATGGTAAAGGCTGCTGCTATACATTGGGCAATCGAGATATACAGGGTTGCATGGGGGAGTATGCGGCCGGGACATATACGGCGCCCGAATCCGAAGACGAAATAGTATGGATCAGCCTCCGGCTCATGCCCCTCGGAGTTTATGGAAGCGTTCGGGTTTAAAGGATAAGGGATCTGGGTAGGGGTTAGGGTCGTGTGTAAAAACCCTGGTGTTAAAGTTAGCGGGGACAGATATGATCTAGGTGCTAAGAAGCACAGATCTGTACAACAATTGGCACCATCGTGACCTTCTTTATTCATTTGATAGAAAAGGAGAACAGGACTAAGGGGAGATAAGTCAATACGCACCAGACAATTCGGGATGACAACAGAACCCTTGAGAAGAGCGTATCCCTCATACGTGTCATCCTCCACAGAAGTGTGTGCAGCATCCATTGGGAGAACCGGATGCCACCAGAGAACTTCTTTGATTATGGCATCTATGTATGGTAGATTCTCGTGATCACGAAAGCTCGGTAGCCGGCTTGACCCTACCACTCGATCAATTTCTGCTTGGGCCGTCTGTTGCACCTCTGTAAAGGGTGCCATCAAAAGGGGAAGAAAGTTGTCATTGCCGATACAGTCTGAGGTAAATCAGCGTTTGCATGATTCGCTACTGCGTAGTATGGCAAGGGTGTATGCATACCGTATCGGAGCTTCCACCATAGAAGGAGGCAGGCCGACCATTTATCACTTTTCTCCTCGTATGACCTTGTTCAATCCTGCTGCCATGGAGTAAATTAGAAAGAAGAGATGGCTGGAAGTCTTGTTAAGGTATTTTCCGTTTTACAAACGCGTAAGGCACATCGCTAAACGCTTGCAGCGCTCTGTTGGGAATTTTTTTCGCCATGCGTGCGAATTGAGCTCCCGGAAACCATGTCGGAAAAACCATGTGGGCACGTATTTCACTGGAATTCCTGCCAACTTAAGCACCAATAATAGGAGTTAGTAACAGCTTCCTACAGCTAGGAATGAAATCAACAGCCCATGTTCTTGGAGGTAACGCCAAACGCAAAATTTCTCATAGCTTCATCGGCCAGGTCAACAAGGGGATAAATGCCCGTATGGTTCAATCGTATAACCATAATCGATCTTGAGACCAATAGCACCAGCCTCTCTAATGTCTTAGCTACAAATCTGCTTTTAGTTCCAGGCAACCCTGCAACCATACTTGCGTATATGCTGGATCAACCGATCCGGATCTTCAAGCAAGCGAAGGAGAAATCGACGGACCTCGAGTTCCTGTACTGCGTTATACTGTGAAGTAGATACCTTAGATCTAAATTCATAGCCTAGCGCCTTTCGAGTCTCCTTACACGAGGGGTTAAAATATCTTAAGAAGCCTAGAATATTACCAAATCCGGCCCTGGTGGCAGAGCGCTTCTCTAGTATGTCTCTGGCGAAGCGGGCGTAGAGGTATTTTTCAGCCAATTTTCCCAATTGCGCTCAACGTGGGATGGCAGGTCAGTCAGGTTGCCGATTATGGGTTTCCGTGGGGGTCCTGGTGGTGAGGTCCCAGAGAGTCGCTTCTAATGTAAAAGGGCCGGACGAGATATAGGCCAAACTGGCCAACCGTGAGGATTAGCAGTATGTAGATAATGGCGGACAGAGTTTCTTTCCTCTACACCTCAAACTTCGTGTGGAAACAATGAGGGGAAATGGAGAAAGAGATATGTCAAAGACCAGAAAAAGTTAGGGAAGGATTGTTATCATAGAAGGGTCAAGAATGGACATGACACGCATGACGGTTGGTTATATTAGGCCTCCAATGAAAGCGGATGAATAATAATACTGATATTGTACACATGCGTCAAGTTAATAGCTCTGATCTTCGTGTTATCAACGGGCTTATTGGCTCGAGTATCAAGAAATTTATCGGTCACAATCGGGGATCAGGTGACACATCCTACCCCTTCTAGAGAAAGACTGACTACCAAGAGATATACAATCTGGTACCTTCATTTCCTTTGACCCTCTGAACAACTCCTGAACTTGATGACCACATGGAGGTGCGAGCCCAATGACTCCCAGATCCTCAGAGGTTCCTATCAGCAAACGATTGAATGATCCCTTCATTGCTCGCCTCATACACCCTCAGCTCAACCTTTTCATCATCCTTCAAGATGGTGTTCGCCTGAACAAATTTCCAAGGCGCTTCAGGCTTTGATGCTACGATTTGTCTCCAAACCTCGTAGTCACCATCGACAACACTAAGTGGCACATAAAAGGCCTTGGAACATTCCACATCCGCAGTGCAATACCAGACATGTAGGCGATGAAGCATGTGGCCAATGCAAGTTTTCCCTTGAGAAGCGATCTTGGAACCGTCAACGCGAATATAGAGCTCTCCTGTGGCTGGATTGCAGCTCACTGAAAAGAGTCCAACAGCTTCAAGCAGCAAGTACTTGAAGATAGCGTATTTTGCCTATTCAAGAGTGAGTAGTTGACTTTACGAAAAGTTTCGGACAATCCATACGTTGCAGTATGGGCTATTCCACGCCTGCTCTTCCACGTCGAATGCCTGAAGGGCACGAATACCCTCCACTCCAATGTGAAGGTACATGTTGTAGATCACTAACAGATGTTAGCTGCATGGGTGCATCGCGTAAAAGAACAAAGCAGGAATACACACATTCATCTGCCATATCGCTGCCTTCGTCGTAACCAAACAAGGAAAGCATATCTCTGTCTTCTCCAAGATAATATGAAATGAGCATAGCTCTACACTCATTGATAGTTATTACCAAGTCCCCAAATACATTCTTCGGTGTTTGCCCAAGTTGATACCACGATTCGACAGGTTTGCCTGTGAGCGTGCTGATGGGAGGATGCGCCAGGTTGAAATTGTAAACACCCGACGAGCTCTCCTCTAGAAGCTTGCCTGACCCGTGGCCTAGAAGCTCACGGATTGAGGTGACCATGAAGCGGACAATGTGGTTGATCTTTTTGAACTCCTGGACCTCGGATGGATGGATCCAATATAGTGCACGATTTGGGTGGGTGTCTGTTATTATCCGGTTGGCATACACAATGTTCTTGAACTCGCTGTTCATCCGGATGTAGTGATACTGTATGTCGCCAAAGCATCAGCGAATTGATCCATGATTGAGCGCACATACTTACGTTAGGTATATCGGAGGTCTCCCAGGCGTCACTACAGACGAAGGCAAGTACTATTACTTGATGTAAGTCAAGAGAGCAATGAGTTCCAGCAACGGAACAACTGACCGTGCACAATAGAGAAGTTGGGTGCTAGAAATTCGGATTGCTCGAATGGCCCCTTGCCATTGTTGACACCAGGCACCGCCCAAGGAAGGGTTCGAATGAATTTTGTCGAGCTATTCACCATAGCCATCAACTTAGCAGTCTGCTGTGGATCAGCAATACTGACAGCACCTCTCCACTCGCATCTCACTCCGGATGGATCTCTGTAGGGTTCGATGAAGCCAAAGATGCTCTCTACTCTCGGAGAATAGTCCTTTACCCAGCGTTTCAGACACCGACGGAATGCCCTGAAGCTCCCTGTGATAAAGCTCTCAATGTAGTCTATGAGGTAACGGGCTTGTTCCTCATTGGCTGAGAAGCGGATGGCCTTCGTGAGGTGCTCACAGATCTGGGCCAACTCTTTCGAGTGGTCACCACGCTCAAGTCGGATAGTTGCATTATTGAGACCTCGAACCCAACCGCCGTGTTGGAGAACCTCGATGGGAGCAGCTGACCCCTTTAATTGATCTGCCAATGCAGCATTCGACTGCACTGAAGCCTGAAGGATGTCGTAAACCGTGCTATTCCCTCGCGTAGTCTTTCGGATACGGGTATTCTCCGGTGCCACACAATGCTTTTGTAATACACGAGAGATAGCAGCAATCTCGCTTCCTGTAAAGCTATCATTTCCAAGGTAGTACATCGAGTGTCGAAGCTTAAGGGTATTGGGTAAGGTGGATAACATAGGCTCAATGACCTTCTCCAAGGCGGCTCTAGCAACCGGCGAGATGGTTGCCATTTTACGCAGAGAGTCCGCAGATAAATTAGGTATGATCTTTTGATCACCACCACCCTATATATAAATCATTAATCTCATTGTGCGTGCCATATGGCAGGCAAAATACATACGCAGAAGTTGTTCAAGTTGGACATGAACATGCCTGCAAAGTCTAAGAATTCTTCCAGCTCCTCAACTGAGATCCCAAAGCGCTCAACAAACATTGTCCATTGTCCTTGACAAGCCTTGTGTAGCTCAATGATGAAGTCGAAAATACCGTTGCCTTCGGGGGAGGTCTGACGCAGGAGGATCCTGGTACCATGCCAAGCAGCCTGCGAGAGATGATGGGCGTATAGCTTCTCGCGCTGCGAAAGACCGTCAAAGACGTCCTTAATCAGGAGCTGATACGTCGCCGCATGACAGAGAGATGGGGCTTCTGAAGCCATCTTGTCGTAGAATGGACACGCAGTAACAGGAATATTGTGGAAAGGGGTAGTTAGACAAAAAACAGTAAGAGACGTGGCCCAGAAACAGTTTTAAATAGATGGGACCGTTGTCCTCGACAACCACTTCACTGTCCAGCACAGTGACCTTGTAGGCTCCTAACAAAGTTCATATGTGTCGCCAGAGCGATAATTCACAAACAACAACAAGTATAACAGCAATCAAAAACCCTTTGTCACCAGAATGGTGCACTAATAAACAAGAATGAGAGAACATAGCACTTGTCACACAGACACTATTAAGTCCCTAGAATGGAAGCAAATGCATTTGTCGTGGATTCTGCTGAGAAAAACAATGCTATGCATATGACAACTTCGCACAAAAGCTTTTCAAACCAGTGATTACCCAAGAGCAACAGTGTAGAATTCAAGAGCCAGGACATCAAAATAGCTCCTAAAATGGTACACTCCAAGCCAGTACGTTGAGTTAATACAATAGTAAAGTTTCCAGTCCTACTCTTGGCCATATAATGGTCTTTAGGGCTACCGACCCCTGCAATAACCTTATAAGGACGGAGGCTAGGAATTCGACTTCGCTACAAAGGAACTCCCGAGACATGAGTCCTACAAGATCCCGATGTCTGTCCACCTAGGTGTAGACTAATCTTGTGTTACTTCTGGGAAGCAATCCCTGCCACTATTCTCCCGGAGTACTGGCGGAGTGCAATCGGTGGTGATACAATATTCTGGTGCCTTTGCATCACTGATACAAAAAGATTAACATGGGGACATACTGTGCCTCGCCATTCTATAAGGTTTGAAAACCCTAGTTTTGTAGGATTATGACCTAGATTATTAATGCCGCAGAAACGCGTCTTGACAAAAGATGACCAAAAGTATTCAGAATAGGTCCCGCTTTCGCATATCAGACCTTTCATAGGAAACTGTGGCTTAACAATGCTCGGGTTCTGTCACACTACAAATAATTCTAAGTGTGAATGACATTCTATTACTCAGGAAAGAATTGGGCAATATCTTGAACGAATGGACTACCTAGGGTTCTGGTGACAGGCTAAAGCTATAGATGTAAATAATACCACTCACCTGATAGGGTACATACTTTCAGTCCCTTGAAACATCAGCATCCTCCGCGACCCCGATAAGCGCCGATAAGCCAGCAAAAACAAACCCATAAATTCCCCCGCAATTCATCCACAACCATACCACACCACCACATCCACTCTTCTCTCCCTCCACCCCAGACCCCAAACCTCAAGCGAAGAAAAGATAAAAAAGCAAAAATGGAAGGCCTCACCCCCACCCAAATAACATCCTTCCACGAAAACGGCTACCTAGTCCTCCCCAACCACCTAACCCCCACCGAAATAACCTCCCTCCTAACCGAGACCCAAACCCTTCTCGACACCTTCTCCCTAGAAACCCATCCCCTAACTCAATTTACCACCGGCGACGACGCAAAAGACAACAAACCCCATGTTGGCGACGATTACTTCCTGACCTCCGGCGACAAAATCCGCTTCTTCTTCGAACCCGACGCCTTCTCGTCCACCCCGGACCCAACCACCGGGAAACCCGCTCTTCTGAAGCCCAAGCAGCAAGCCGTCAATAAGATCGGGCACTCGCTGCACACGCTCTCGCCGCCGTTCCGGGGCGTATCACTGTCGGAGCGGAACGCGGCGATTGCCAGGTCCTTGGGGTTCAAGGATCCAAGGGTGTTGCAGAGTATGGTTATTTGTAAGCAGCCGGGGATTGGGGGGGCAGTGCCATCGCATCGGGACTCGGAGTTCTTGTATACGAATCCGCCGTCAGCGGTGGGGTGGTGGTTTGCGTTGCAGGATGCTGGGCCGGGGAATGCGACGCTGGGGATGTATCGGGGTTCGCATCGGGGGAGAAAGGGGGGTGCGGTGAGGAGGAGGTTTGTGAGGAGGAATGATGCGGAGGGGAGGGCGGTTGGGACGGAGTTTGTGGAGAATACGGGGGCTGCGTTGCCGAGGGGGATGGAAGAGGATGAGGAGGAGGGACAGGGGCCGACGGACGAGGATTTGGAAATCTTGGAAGTGAAGGCTGGGTCGTTGGTTTTGATTCATGGGAATGTTCTGCACAAGAGTGAGAGGAATACGAGTGAGCGGAGCAGGTTTGCGTATACGTTCCATGTCATTGAGGGTGCGGATGGATGGGAGTATGATGAGAGGAACTGGCTGCAGCCTCCGGAGAGCGGGGAGGGGTTCTCCAAGTTGTATCGATGATTCAATAGCTACCGGTGTAGTGGGTTTATTTGTGATGGACGTCAATATCATCAATTGCGCTAGTTACATTTATATTGCCATGATACAGTTGGGCGATCCCAAACCCCGAACTCCAACCAGGTATCCAAGTAATGCAACAAATCTAGTCAAACATCTGCTTTTGTATGCCGGGCATTTAGTTTTATTTCATTTTAGCGGTCGCTCGATTAGGCCGCCTTCAGCATATCGAGCATACCCTTGGTCTGGCATGCTTGGTGAGCCATTTCAACCTCGTCGCGCACACGTCGGTGCAACCGGTCAACCATCTTATCGATTTGTGCCGACTGACCAAGGTTCCCAGAGTAGATATCCAGTACGTTCATGCCCACCTCGACACTAAGCTTCACCAGCCGAGGTTCGCTGATATTCTTATACACCCACTGCAGTACAGGCTGCAGGGTCACCTCGTCACGGCCTTGTAACGATGCACGGAGGGCGGAACGGTGACGAAGTGCGGTCAGGAGAGTCAGCTGTGCGGTCTTGTCGCCCGAGGCCAGCACTTGGTCTAGGGCGGCTGAGTAACGGGCCTTGCGGAGGTCGTGCTCCCAAGTTTGTTCCTTCTTGCGCTTGCGATCCTGACCTTCAATCACAATATCCACACCCTCGCCAATGAAGTCGCGACCACGGAGGCGCTTTTCCCAGCCAGAGCCCCGTAGCTTCTTTTGCTTGGCTACTTTGCGATCATGTTCCTCCAGCTTGCCTTCCAGCAAAGCCTGCATTTCCTTCCTGCGCTCCTTCTCCTTGATCTTCTGCTGCCCGGAGAGCCGAGTCTTGATCGACAACAGACCGGACTGCATACCGACCGCAACGTGTTTATCCTCTTGGGCTGGCCCCGAGGTGATGGCGCGGAGAGAAAGAATAGGCGATGGGTACTTGGATCCCGAAACCATGTTCCAACCAGTCGTCTCAAACACCTTCATGTGGCCATCCAAAGCACCACTCAGCAATCGTTCGCCATTCGAAGCCAATGCCAACGCCGTGACGGTCTTCTGGTGGCTCTGAATCATATGCAAAGGCTTTCCAGCCACAATATCCAAGACAGCGATCTTGTTATCTGCCGCCGCAAGCACCGTAGTCCCCGCAGGCATAGGCAGAACGCTTTCAATAGGAGCACCCATCTTAAACGTCATCGCAGACCGACTCTCCACACGTGGATCCCACAACCGCACAGTCCTATCATAACTACCCGACACCAGTAGCCCCGAAGACGCCAGCGACCCCGGCATGAATGCACCGCTGCGCACATAATCCGTGTGTCCAACGAAAGTCTTGACGCTATTCTCGCTCGGAAGATCCCAGAGTCGAACGGTGCGGTCGTCGCTAGCCGAGAAAAGAGAGGTCGGGTCGCTGTGTGAGAACTTGCTCACCCAGACGGGCTGCTTGTGCTCCTTCCATGTCTTCAAGATCGCGCGCGAATTGGCATCGAACACCTGAAGCGTACCGGTATCGTCACCAGCAACAAGCACACGACCATCGGGGCGAACGTCGGTGCCTCGTACGGTGTCATCAAAGCGAGTGATCGTGCGAAGAAGTTTCCGGGTGCGAATAGAGTAGATCTGGACTCGAGCGCCGGTGGTCACGGTGAAGACATCGGGAGGCTGGGTGAGAGAAGGGAAGGCCGAGGCGGACGACGGGGCGGAAGGCTGTGTGATTAGGTTGACGGGACCATTGGCGGGGGAAGGAATTAGCAGGGGATTCTTAAATGTCTTCCAATATTGTTGCTCTGGTGTCAAGCGAGTCGAAGGCAGTGCTGGGAGCTTGACTTGTTGGAGAGGAAGGACGGGGGCAGCCATGGCTGCTGTGGGGGTGAATTATGATTAATTATCGGGTATTGTCGGGATGACAGTTGACTGCCAGAGGAGACAGACGTGGTATTACCAGAGGCAGCTCATCCACCAGCTGCGTTGGCGTTGCAGGTGTCGATGCGGATTTTTGATGGTCTGGAAGTTTTTCTGATAAAATCGTATCGGGGGAAAAAGTTCTACGGGCCCCGATTGGATAATCAATACCGCTAGTGGGGATTGGGTTTCTTGGAATTAATTTGGTCTATAAAGTTAAATTAGTCCATCTCATTCAAGAAATTGGGGATGTGGTTTAGTGGTATAATGTTCGCTTAGCATGTGAAAGGTCCGGGGTTCAATTCCCCGCATCTCCATTCTTTTTTCCTTCTTTCTTTTTCCCATGTATCAATTTCTTCATTTTTGTCACTAAACAATGTGCATAGTTGGTGTCTTTTCTTTTTACTAATTATACTAATAGTATGTCATTCATCTATTGAAGCCAATATGCAGAGCTTCTCTCAAGGTCCAACAACTAGCGGGCCGTATACCAGCCGTTATATCAATCAGCCTGCACAAATACCGACATTCTACCGAATATATAGTCATACACACAAAACAATGACTTTGACCATCAACAAGACGTGTAGAATTTATCACAAGTACAGGAACATGATCCACCATCAAAGTATATCACCCAATGAATGAAATACCTCGTACCCACCTCGAAATCCATCCAACTTTCCAGAACAATCACGTCGACACCAGATGCCAAAGTCCAGCCCACAAAAACATGAGACATAACGTCACCACTTCAATACCCCATTGTTGGCCCTCGTATCTCACTTGGTAAAACTATTTTCTAACAATTAACACTAATATCATAACCCCCTTTAAGTGGTGCGTGAATGCTAACTGATGTTGCTATGATATCATTCATCGCCACATGACCATACTTATAGATATCTAACCATTCGCTCCTCTTCATCCTTGCAAGATGATTGAAGAAATCTATACCTCTCTAATACACCCACTGATTTAAAAACACATACACATATACTTCTTACAACCAACTCCGTTCAAAATGTCCGAGTCCTACTCCAGCTCTTCCTACTACTATAGCTCTTCGAGCAGTGCTGACGACGGCACCACGTCCACCGGCCAGCGCTATGCTACTACCTCTCATACTGAGCCTGACGGAACCACTACTGTTCGCACCGTGCGTCAGGATCTGGGCGAACCGGCTGTCGTTGAGGAAAGACGCTTTGATCAGACGGGTCGGCAATTGACTGCCGATGACACTTCGGCAGGGGGAATGCGGCGTATTACGGATTTAGACGAGGAGGGGGAATCTTATGATTAGGGTGCATGAAATCTTGAGGTCGAGGATGTGAGATGCTTCTTAGTTTCTAATGGATGGGAGCATAATCGAATGGCTTGGGATGAACTGCGCTTGATTTGACGTTATGACATTTTTTATCAAGTATATAATAATCTGCTCATAATAACACTATGAAATATCAATATTCAATGCCGCAAACATCTAGTCATTATTCATCGACTCTGTGATAATAAACCTCGTATGTAACCGTAGACCTCATCAACGTGGGGGAAAACAATGTCCATCTAATCAAGCGGGCGAGGCGATCATTGCAATCTGACCCGACCCTCGCTCCACCGTCTCCGTACTTTCTCCCAAAGCCCTGGCAACTCGTAACCGACGTGGCACAAGATCCCAGCCAGGAATCCAATTGCATCATTCTTAAACCCAACCAGCATCCCCACCGTAACCATCATCACCGTCCACCGTCTCTTGCGATCCGCATCACTGAGCATCGGCGCAATATCCTGCCTGGCATCCCCCAAGATCCCAAAACTAGCTTTCATGATATCCCGAGCCCCCGTGGTATTCAAACTCTCCCCGACACTAACTAGTTCCAGTCCCGCAGCAATCACCATGATCCCCAACAGGGCAGACGGGAACCGCTTCAGCAGCCCCACCAAGCTCTCCCCAAAGAAGATCCCAATCACCAGCTTCAGCACGCCCAGGAAAATCACACTAGACCCGGACCGCGCCCCGAACCGATACTGGGCGGCCAGTCCGCCCGAGCCGTGGCAGACAGGCATGGCGCCGAACCAACAGCCTACCAGGTTCATGGCCGCCACGCTGAGACCCACGGACGTGATCGACGGCGTACGTACGTTGGGGAGCAGGTCGCCCGCAAGATGTACAACGGCTACGATGGAGTTTAGCGTCGTGAGCGGGATCTGTCCGACCCCTGCGTCCAGAGCACCCACGGACCACTGATGTGGGGTGGGGACGACGGTGTAAGGATGCCAGAAGGTAATGGAAGGCAGATCGGCCGCCAAGGCACTTCGGATGATGGCAAAAACGAGGCCCAGGATGAACACCGCCAGCGCATAGGGTACCTTGCGATAGACGTTGGTGATGATGAGGAAGATGAAGGCTGCGATGGCCCAGATGCGGTTATCCGCCCATGATGGGCCGACCCAGCCGAGGGACGAGAGGATGTTTCCACAGGATGCGATAACGAGAGATAAGCCCGCGCCGACCTGGATACCCTTGATGACGGGGATGGGGATCACGTCTGCGAACCAGCGAAGGAGGCCAGTGACGCTGAAGAGAAGGATGCATACGCCGACGAAGATGCCGGCGGCGGCGATGGTGCCGTTGTTGAAGGATCGGGCAATTGCTACGGCAGCAATTGCTTTCATGGGCTGGACGGGAAGTGGGATCCCGAAGAATAGGCCCGTTAAGATATTGAAGATCCCCGAGAAGATGAGAGTGCTGGATAGCGAGACGGTCCCGTTGACAGCCAGGGCTATGGCGATAGGGAGGAAGGTTCCGAGATCGCCGAGGGAACCCGAAATCTCCGACACATAATGGCGGCGAAAAGTCTTGAAATTGTAGGCTGAGATCTGACTGAGGGTCTGGACAGTCATCCTTCCAGTGGTTGACTCTGAGAGCCAAGATTAAGGAAGGGACGCTTGGAGAAGAAGTCGGTCAAGGATGCAGAGATTAAATCCAAGGAGAAAATACGATAAATACTGTACAGTACGTCATGGGACGGAACCCCGCATCATCCCGGGACCATGTGAGCTCAAGTGCCCTCAAGAACCTGAAGCTAATCCAAGATTATCTCCAATTACCAAGAAAACTTTGCACCTAGTTCCTTGATATCGGAAGTTTACTACGATTTAGCCGCTTGGGATGCTTACGCCGTGTCCCATGGATTCTAAACTCACGGATCAGGCCCGTAGACACGGAACCGGCTGCTTATCCGACTGTACATATAACCCTACTTCTCTACCTTCCAAAGCGGAGATAACCTTTTCTTATATAAATCGTCACGTCTAACAATTCAGTCTTCTTCTTTCCACCCGAAAAAGCCCAAGGCCTCACCAACTATTCTGATGCCCGCATTCTCCCCAGAAGCCCTCCGACAAGACGTAGTAACAAGTTGTCCATTGCCAAGGATATATGCGTCTCCGTGTTGGTACATTCTACCGCCAGATTAATATCAAACCAGCAATGTTCAAGAATATACATAAGACGATTCAGGACAGTGTGGGTGATGGAAACCATGAACCTATATCCATTTCCATCTCCTAGGTCTCGTCAGCATATTGCGATTACAGACTGCCTCTATCAACGTGTAGCAAGCAATAAACTTACAAAGTCATCACTGAGAGACCAATCGAACTGGGTGTCAGCTCCAGTCAAAGTTAAACCCCCATTGGTAGCCTCGGTTGAATCTATACCAGGCATCACGAAACTTGATCTTTCAACTCTGTCCTCCAAGATCTTTGAGCACCTCTCAAGTACCGCCAACATCGTTTTACGTAGAGCTTCGTTGACTGGTTGACCCGACTCAATGGCCTCGATCTGTGCCAGAAAGCATGCAGGTACTAGGTATCCCTTTATGTTTGTTTCCCCCATTTCGAGCCGTGCCAGCATACAAGGAATAAATTTCTCGATAATACCCTTGGACTCCCCATAAGCCAAATCGTATGGTGTATACAGTGCCGATACTGAGCTATTTATTGACTGCTCCTGGAGACGGTAGATTATATCATCCGCGACTACAGCGGCTGCTTGGGTAGGCACGTCCCTAAAGGATGGCGAGCCTGTGAGCAGCAACGCAGTGTAATCATCATCTTGAACCTTCGAAGCGCTGACTGGGGCTAGAATACGCAGAGATACCCCAAGTGCAACTTTATGTGAGTAATAGAATGCCGGATTAGTTTTTGCTTTTATAGCAAAAGGGTCATGGAGAGCGAGCAGGAACCGCTGCGTCATTATGTCATAGAGGTTGGTTTGAAAGAGACTAGGAAACCTTCCGCTGCCTTTGAACCCGTCGAATAACGCCGAGCTCTCGCGATACACCTCCGTAAGACTTTTACTGAGTCGCAAAGCTTCGTCGTATGAGGCGCCTCGGCGGAAATCATTTATGAATTGTGCAATTTGAAGTCGGACAGGTAGTGATTGCTGTAAAGCTATTTGCAGAGATGTGCTAGTGAATTCCTCAAGAGGCTTTGCCTGGGGCATGGGTTCTTCCATCTGTGCGTCGTCAACATTTTTGGGAGGTTCGCAATCGTACTCTTCACAATGGATCAACGGAAGACCTCCAGCATCCATACTAGATTGGACAGTAATCTCAAGGATCGTACACCACAACCTCCGTCTCAGCTCTGCATCAAAGAAAGAAATGCCATTCATATGACGCGGATCAATATGGAGGCCCATATGCATAGCTATTCGAAGCAGAGTTCCTGCTGAAATCCAAACAAGATCACTGCTAACAGCATTGGTCTGACGGGCCAACAGTAGGAGGCAATGTGTTTGGATGCTGGCGATGTTGAGACGGGATTTCTCAAAAGGAGAGCCGAGCCAGGATTGTGCCGTATATATCCACTGCAACGAAGTAGATCGCGGAACACAGCCCTGGTTTAGGTCTCCGGTCTGGCAAAATGAGTTTCCGATTGCTAGCACAAGCAGTGTCTTTATGATAAAAGCCGGGCTTGCTGTTTCTGAATTTGCCCAGTACTGATCATATTCGCGTAAAAACGATGGTACATGAACGATGCGGTAGATAGATTCAAAGGTACGGAGGTAAGCCTGGATGAGCCTGTCCGATATCTGTTTCGATGGTATATAATCCCTCAGATCAGGGCAGAGCTTTTGGTGAATTATCTCTTGGGATTTGGCTGTTCTTGCGAGCTGTTTGCATTTTTCATAGAGGGTCTGTATCTTGGGATTCTCAGATGCCATCCCATAGAATACACTAATCATGTCTTGAAGCTTTAATCTTTTAGTCCAATACAAACATACTCAGGGGTAAGGAGTAGTACCCTGAACTCACAAATCGACCGGTGGCTATTCCCGAAGAACCTTGTTTTGAGGAATCTTCCATTTATTGAGCATTGCTCAGCCAAACTTGCTCGCGATTGGCTCAAACAGCTACCAGATGACTTCAAATTGAGAACTTCTTCGAGCCTCTTTTCCAGCCCATGCACCCGGTCTGTTAAACTTTGAACAAGAGATGCAGCTTGCAGGCCCTCAGGTATGTGGGAAATCTCTGAGTATCCAGCAGTTGTTGGGGTTTTCAATAATGAACGATGAGATTGACGTATGTCTTGGTCTACAATCCCAGGAAATCGTGAAGTAGATGAATCCAGCAGTGGACTGTCATCTAAAGATGACGTGGGGGCCAAATCGATGACCTGATCATGTGTGACATTGGTTTTCCTATCAATGTCAACATAAGAGCAGGATTGAGAATCAGACCGCATGCAGTTAGCACATGGGAGACTTCTATCGCAGCTGAAGTAGAATGAGAAAGTGCTATACGAGTCAGGGAATAACTCCAACGAACCGGATTTTCCGACGACGACATTGCTCGCAGGCAAGAGCTGGGCGTCGGCGTTTCCTCTGAGAGTGAGAGGCTATGGCACTAGTCATAGAGACAATATGGGATGTGAAATGATATGGAACTAGTGATTACCGTATTTAGGATCTTTACGTTAACCTATCGAGGCGTGAGTGTTATTCAAGACTGAGGTATAAATACTGACGAGAGTGGAGTTAAAGGAATCCTGTGACCTTTCGGTCTTAACCAATTTCGGGGTTAGAAACCCTAACTCTGCCTAAGTAATCTACAATAGCCTACATAATTATTCTCATTTGCTCTAGGCATCTTTTGATTAATTGTTAGTCTTGAACTACTCTCATCCCTTTCACTTAATACGGAATCAATCCGATCTCAAATACAGCACGGTTCCTTTCCTGTTATCCTTGAACGTAGAAATTCATAGATTCCTTGATATTTCGGGGTCGACGAATCTACCTCGCTTTCGGAGATTCACCCTTCAGCACATTTTCTTACTCTCCTAGTCTATATACCTACCGGCCCAGTCACGAAGAAGTCATTGATTGGTAACTATATGTAGTAGAGAAGGCAATCCGTGGTTATCGCATCTAATACAGGGCCTTCTCTGTCTCTCATTATCTGCGTATCTATGCGAGTCCAAATAAATAACCCCACTGCTTCCCTTGAAGGGAAACCAAATGCATAAATACGCATTCTTTACACAGATACATTAATATAGAATTGAAGCGTTATCATTCCGCTTTGATGATATCTTTGATTTTCCTGTGCTAAAACGAAAATATGATATTGTCTCATCAAAGTCTGTGTGTACCCCTTTAATAAGCGAACTTAAATAACTCAAAGCAAATATACCTGACAAAGAGAGAAGAGCATTCCCTCCTATATATTTGAAGAGTGAGGGAGCAAAAGTAGTGCAAGTCTGAAGCGCCCACTGTATATTCAAAGAGACCATAACATATTAAATTTATAAATAATACCATACCATCTTGGTATGTTAGAGGATCAAGTATAAAGACCTCGATTCTCTAACACGAATAATCCTCTTTTCTCCATTCAATGTTTATTTTTTTATCTATTATTCCTCCAAGGCACACTTTAGTCTACAGGCATCACAGCATAAGGCCACCATTATCTCTGCATTCATCCTTACCTTGTTGCCCAACAGTCTAGCAAAGTCCCCAAGCCCAAGCACGAGGCCTGAACCAGTTATCCGTCCGAAGAGAGAAGGCGTTAGTCAATCAGCCTACAAGCCAATTGAGAATCATACGGCTAATTGTATATAAAGCATTGTTGGGAGAGCCAAGAATTATTGTAAACTTGTCGATGGAAAACCGAATGGATGGTTTTTCGTTCCAGAGGTGTCTCTAGATAGGGAGAGAACTGTTGGGAGCATCTCATTATATTTCTGCTAATTCAAGTAGTGTCAAAAAAATCAGGATCCTTGCTTTGTTCCGATCGTTGACTGAGGAGGCAAAGAAAGTGTACGAGGTATGGCAAACTGTCAGTCTAAAGTTAATTACTTAGAGCAAATGAATTCGTAGGATCCCTTGGCCCACACATATAAGATTCGAACGTAAGTCCTCGACGGCAACCCGTTACGTTTTCGACAAGATAGCATAACCTGCCACTATTTTTTGTCAGGAGAACCAAAATACCACCGAATAAACACACCACGCCATAAAATGTGGATACCTGATCCAAATTCTCGTATTGATCGTAAAGCGCGCCGCTTATGGGGGGTCCGATTAGTGCTGCAACTCTCCCAAATGCAATACCCATCCCCATGAATGTACCGATGTTCTTGGGGTCTTTTGAGCATGAGGCTAAACTAACAGATGACCCTGAAATTATAGCTCCTGAGCAGAAACCATATATAGCGGTGAACATAATGATACCGGAATTGCCTTGTACTCGTTGCCAGCATAGAGTAAGGATCCCGCTGCTAATTCCCGGTGCGCATAGAATATTCAGTCGTCCGAGGCGATCAGAAGTACAGCTGGTATGTCTCGACCGGGAAATTAGGCTGCTTTGGGAATGGCGACGGGGTAGAAGGAAAGTGCAGGGCTAATACCCTGTGTGAGGACGTAGGTAGGGATATAAAACATAGGCGGGAACATGTCCAAGAACATGAAGAACTAACAAGTAACGAGAAGAGAATATTGAGGATCTTTGAATGCAGAAGGTAAGAGGAATTGACTTTTCCTAGGGGGCAGGCGAGCTTTAATGGGAATGCAGGCCGGAATGAGTATGCCTGTGACGATAAAAGCGACGACACGACCGGACCAGCCAAATCCGAGGTTGGTATTGTTGAGCATCCGGTTCAAAGCGATAGGAAGAATAACTCCACCGATAGATGAGCCAGCTATGGCGATTCCCATAGCTGCACCACACTTCTTATTAAAGTACTGAGGCGTCGCAGCCATGGATGGTGCCATGGTGTACCCGTTGGCAAGGCCACCTAAGATGCCCTGGGCCAGCATGAACTGATAAAACTCTCTACAGAGACTAGTCATGAAAAAAATAAATAAAAATACAAACATAGACCAATGCTAAAGGAAGAATGACTTATCAGGATTTGTTAGCTACACCTCTAGGGCTTCAAATGCTTGCGCATGCATACCTTGCCGCCATATCGATGAAAATAAAGGAGCATCAATGAGACCTCCACTGAATATGAAATAAGCTTGTAATGACCCAATCCGAGCAATAGAGGACCGTGAAACATTGTGAAGTTGATGGGTCTCACAATAGGCTTGATAAACTCTACTACACATTAGTGTCAAATGCTTCCTATATCAGATAGACTATATGCGTACCTCCGTGAGTTAACATAACCTAGCGTACAGAACATCACTCAAGTATTTCCTATGGCAACTTTTCAAGCTCTCCAGCCGCCTTCAGGATACTAAACCTCGCTTTTTGATGCTGAATCAGACTTTTCCAGGCTGGCAGGTTGGGTCTCGGGTGTATACATGATTATCATGTTCTCTTGGGAAGGAGTCACCATGGCTTGAGTTTGTCACCTGTAGAAATCGACCTGAAACTTAAGCTCCCATTCTGAACGGCAGATGCAAGGATTAAATATTGTCACGATGCAGATATGTGTCCAAGGTGTGGTGATTTCTACACCGGAGTTAGACGTTGAAATGAAAATACCGACGGGGAGTTCCCAATGCGGAAATCACCGCTAGACCCATCCAGCTACTTTGATCACATTATGTATGGCTTTCTATAGATACTGCCTAGTCCCCCCTCACAACTGTTTATATACATGCAATATGTAGATCCTATATTTACTCTAACCAAGCCTCAACTGCCTCCTTAAGGTGTTCTTGAACCCATTCCTCCTCTAATCGAGTCTCAACCTCGAATCCATGACCACCGTCCCGTAGTGTCAATAAAATTTTGTCAGACCCCAGCTGTCCCTTCATGACCTGACGGGCTTTCTGGACAAATTTCTCATTTCCTTCAGCGGAAACAATGATATCTTGCAATCCTTGAATAATGGCAATTCCACCACGGGGAACTTTAGCATCCGGCTGGTCTAGCTTCTCCAAAGGATATCGTATTTCTCGATGGAGTGAGCTGTCAATCCCCCTCTCATATAGGTCAGTCAGACGCCCGTATTGAATTGCCGCAAGCATCAAATCTAGCCGGTCGGGCAAATGAACCGATGATCGGATAGCTCCAGGCTTGACTTGGGCTAGGGCTTCATCAACCAACGACTCAGTGATAGGTAGATCAGTTAATGGCGTCGGACTCGGGGTGCTGAAGTGTGCTGAGGCCATATCCAGTCCAGGGTAAGTGGCCGTTGCTGCTCGGATTTTATCAGGATGAGCGAGACCTAAGCTAATACTAAGCAGACCACCTGCAGATTCGCCTGCCGTGATGATACGGTCAAGATCCAATGTTACATGGTCGACGCGCGATGACAGGAACTTTGCGACTTCTGAGGAATGAAGCCAAGTCCAGAAGTCTTCGACATCTTCGAAGATGTCGAGACTTGTGGCTTCGGGAAGCAAGCGGTAGTTGGCGGATGCAATCACTGCATTATGCTTTTTGGCCAGATCAAGAAGCCAGTGTGGAAACCATTCCATGCATAGTGAGTCGCCGGTTATCTGGTTTCCTTAGTTATATTCAGGTTTCAGGTTACCATCTGATTGGGCTTACTAGACCACCCCCGTGAAACCGAACAATAAGAGGTCGTTTTCCGGAAGCTTCTGAATGTGGTATGACAAAATCTGCCCGGATTTCATGGTCACCAATTTTCTTGTAACTAGTTTGAAGTACGTCAAACCCGACCAACTTTTCGTGCGATGCTATCGAGACAGCCATTGTAAAGACGTAGAAAAAAGCTTACGGGATATATAGAACAAGTAGAAAGATTTAGGACAGTATAAGAGTGACGGTTGTTCTTAAAATGAAATTTTTCTTAGAGAACTATAAGATATTGGGCTGCTAGTAGACACCTTATATGCCTTTTCATCTCTACTTCTATTCATCAGCATTAATGGTTAATCAAATTGATCTGTCAAGCAGCATCCAGGAATGAGTACCATCCACCAATTAGAACAGACGAATACCGGGTTTGCAGCATTTGCTCTGTTTGTGTCCCCCACAAGGCAAATCCATCAAACATCCTTAAAAGGGCAACATCTACAATCCTGTTTGGGGGCGACAAACACCAACAAACAAGCATGAGTGTTACTCATACCTCAAGATTGACTTCAATCCGCCTTGGAATCTTCCAAAAATGAGTCACAATCCTCATAATACCTGCTATATGACCCCAATTTGTCAAAGAAAAGCGGACCCAGTGAAACAAAATTATAAAGACCAGTGCCAAGTTCGGGCGGGGCTACATACGCTAGCAGTAGTCTATAAGACTATGCTACTCATAATTCCATCTCAGATATCTACAAATTGCTTAGTTTCAATACCCTAGAGAGTACATCTAGTGCGCCAGCTATACAATTTCTAAGAATACAGAGTATATAGTTCGTTCAGGAGAAGAACCAAAAATCCATTCGACCCCACGCCTCTCCCACATCCCTGCGGCACCATGGAATTTCGCGGCCAGTGTCTCATCAAAGGCACAGCGTCAGCCGAGCTGCAATGCTGTCCTGTTGGCCTCAGCTTTTGGGGCGGAGTGAACCCCGAAACAGGACAGGTTGTAGACCATCATCATCCCCTCTGCGGCCAGTCCGTCGCCGGCCGGATTCTGGCCATTCCCTGTGGCAGAGGATCATGCTCAGGGAGTACTGTCATGCTTGAGCTCCTGCTAAATGGATGTGCTCCCGCTGCACTGATATTCGAGAAACCCGAGCAGATCCTAACACTCGGAGTGCTAGTAGGAAAAGTACTATTTGAATGCCCAATACCAGTTGTGGTCCTGTCCTCGTCAGACTTCTCAGAGATATGCAATAGACATTACGCTGCTATTAATGGAGAAACTGTGCTTGTCAGTGATGTTCTCTCAGCGATTCCGAAACCATCATCCGATCCCATAAAAGGCAATATCGACCTTTCAGATTTGGACCGGAGCATCCTTGCTGGGGAAAAAGGCCAAGCTGCCAACGTCGCCCTGCAGATCATCATCAGCTTCGCAGTTATTCAAGGGGCACGCTCACTATTAGACGTTTCCCAAGCTCACATAGATGCCTGCATATACACAGGCCCTGCAAGTCTTCGGTTCGCCCAAAAGTTCCAATCGATGGGCGCCAAATTTACCCTCCCAACCACTCTCAACTCCATTTCGATTGACCAACGTCGCTGGAAAGAACTAAATGTGGACCCCACATTAGCCTCGCAGGCGGGTACGCTAGCTAACGTCTACCTATCTATGGGTGCGCAACCTAGTTTCACTTGCGCCCCATACACGCTCGAAGATGCCCCCAAGGCCGGAGAGGACATTGGCTGGTCGGAGTCGAACGCTGTTGTCTTCGCTAATAGTATCCTTGGTGCCCAGACCCAGAAATATCCGGATTTTATCGACGTTTGCATTGCTTTGACTGGAAGGGCACCCTCAGCTGGATGTCACTTGCCCGAGGGTCGACGACCCACCGTATGTATCCGCGTGTGTGATTTGGTCTCAATCGATGACTCGTACTATCCGTTACTGGGATACGTCGTTGGCAAACTCGCCCAGAATAACATACCCTTAGTTTGCGGACTAGTATACCTGCAGCCCCGGGTCATGGATCTCAAAGCGTTCAGTGCCGCTTTTGGCACCACTTCCTCAGCCGCAATGTTCCACATCAAAGGCATTACTCCTGAGGCCGCTAAGTTTGCGGAACTAGAAAGCGAACTACCGATCATAGACCTCAAGCACGAGGAAATAGTTGAGGCGTGGCGTATGCTGAATTCCGCTCAGGACCTTTCTGTCGACCTTGTATCCCTGGGAAATCCCCATTTCTTCCTTGCAGAGTTCCAAGTCCTCGCCAAATTATGCTCGGGTCGCAAGAAGAGTCCGGATGTTAAATTTATCATCACCACCGGTCGAAACACATACGAGCTCGCAGAAAAGGCAGGTTATGTTGACATTATTGACACTTTCGGTGCAACAATCATCACAGATACTTGCTGGTGCATGCTCGGTGAGCCTGTTATCCCCCTCGGATCACGAAATATTATGACGAACTCGGCAAAATACGCCCATTATGCTCCGGGGATGGTGAAGAGGGGCATACATTTTGGGAGCCTTGCGGAGTGCGTGGAGGCGGGCTGTGGGGGGAGATTTGTTGGTGTTCCCCCGGGACATATCAGCGATGGTCTTGAACAGTCTACCTGCCAGTATCGGAATTAGTAAAGACAGCTTACTTTGGGCGTTATAACTGGACATAATAGCCAAGATGAAGCTAGTATAGTATGCAAAAAAAAAGTAGATATGTAACAGCCAGTCATAGTCGAACAAACATGAATAACTACGCCTAAGCTGAACAACCCCCCAAGAGATAATACTAGTGACGAAGAAGAGAAGAAATAGAATCCATTCAAAAACACACACACACACACACACACACACACACACAATATTCATATATTGACACTACCTAACGTCTAGTACAGTAATTCAAACGGTTATCATTCGCAGCTGGGTGAAACACCATACCACAGAACCTAAAGTAGATATTAATCAAACAACAACCAGTCCAGACGGCTTTCAAGAACTCACCTAACTCCTCCATTCGGGTCATTCGCGTAAATCGCTCTGTACAGATCGGCATTATTTCCGAATCCCCCGGCAGTGAAAGCAGGGTATCCATATAGAGTAAGGCCTGCACAGTGTCCTTCCTGAGGTTGGACGTGGTAGACATGTGGATATCCAGCTGCCATAAGGATCCACATTAGTTCCTCAATTTGAACGATGATCGATATGAAAAGACTTTCGAGTCGCACCGTGTGGATTTGTTACGGCCCCATCCAGAGCTGTAGTAATGGCCGCGCGACCAAAGTTCCTATTCCCACGACCGCGGACTAATCACCGTCAGGTTTGATTCGATATTGGCCACGTAACTCTAAGGGTGTGTATCTACCAGCACAGACATATTCATTTCGGGTGCCAAATGTACCCCAGTTGATGTTGACGACTTGGATGCCAAGGAAGATCTCGTAGGGTATCCTCATCGTTGATAAGGGAGGGGGCACTCTGCCTTAAGTCAGAGGAGGGTTTTATGGTGTAGCGAGAATATCAGGGCTCCCCGGGCTTTAAGAGGGGCTCGTGGTCAGTATGCATTCAAGACGGAGGGGACTTCAGGAAGCCGATAGACCGCGAACTCCGGTTGAGCTAAATTGTGGGGTCAGCCATGGGTCTGGATGTGATAGACACCATGGGACATTCCGGGATCATTGGTGCGGAATTGCTTGAAAGAAGTGTTGTGGCGTTCTTAAGGATTTTAGCTGAGTTAATACATGGACATGATGAATATGTGACGGCGGAAACGTAGTCCGCAGTTTACATTACATTCCTGGCCCATGTAGAAATAGCCGATGTCCGCAGTTGTAAGTCGAATCATAAGAGGACATAAGAGGGCGAAAAGGAAACAAGTTGATTGGTATTCTCGGTAGTTAAGCACCAAATATAGGTATATATACCGTTAGTAAAGCACCTTGTATCTTTCTCGATCGTTTTTTCCTTCAAGGCGACTATGCGGATACACCATCCTTCTCGCTCCTTTTGATGTGCAATCCTTCTCTCCATTTATGTCCCCAGAGATAGACTGCCCATAGACACGCACTGAACACAATCCAAACCCCCACAATGAATGTAGCCGTCCAGCCAATGCCAATACGATCGATCAGGGGTGCTGCGAAAGCCGTCGCTCCCGCCGCAAGTAAACACCGAAACAAGTTATTAGCGGCCACAGCGGTTGCCGCACTCTGTCGATGAATGTCAACAATCAACGTGCTTAGAGTCGAAAACGCCCCCGTCGTGAGATGGCCCGAGAAAAACAACAACACCAAGGGGACTGCAAGATAAATTTGGAGTCTCATGACCCATCCGTACGCAAGAAGGAACAAACAAGCAGCGTACACATAAGGCAATGTGATAGTCAGACGGGCCTTTTCAATGTTAAAGTCTCGGATATCTTGCTGGCGATTCTTGACAATAGGTAGGTTTTGGCGCTTGGCTTCCCGTTTGAAATTCCAATCCAGTAGCGGTCCGACAGTCCAGCGGGATGTCAGACTTCCTATTCCTAGCGGTAGGTAGCACAGTCCGACCTGGATAGCGTTGAATCCATACTCGCTCTCGAGCTGTGATGTTAACGTGCTCAGTATGATCATGTACCCGGCATATAGCAGTGCCCCGTAGATGAGAACTAAGCCTCCCTCTCTTTCCAAAGCAATATGCACGGATGTTAGTGGATTCGGGCGTTTTCTGCTCTTTTCGAGGGTTTCGTAGTAGATCTTCTTTTCTGACTTGTTCTTCCGAGGCCACGCTGATTCTCTCAGCACTGCCCACAAAGGTCGGTTCCAACTGGCAGGGGGAATAGAACCATTTCCCACAACTGCACGGCACGTTTCCGGACATGTCACAAGAATAAGAGTGAAATTGAAGGCGCCTAAGATAACAAGGAACCAGAAGATCCACCTCCAGCCGAGAAAGTGATCTAGGAGACCTCCGATGACAGGCCCTAATGCTGGCCCCAGGGTCGTTCCCATGGTCGCATATGTTATGTATTTTCCTCGTTCAGCTCGAGTAGATATATCTGCTACCACGGCGCTCCCAATGGCGATTGTGCCACTGCTACCAGCCGCCTGAATACAACGCAAAACCATTAATGCGGCGTAATCAGACTGTAACGCAAGGCCGATGTTCGCCGCGATGTATGTGGTGAAACAGAAAATGTAGGCGAGTCGTCGTCCATAAACATCAGAGAAGGACCCAGTGAAAGAAGGCGAAATTCCTTGAAATATCTATGGGCATGTTAGAACGTTTGGAACGAATAATGAGAAAGGCTTTTGTACCAAATATGTCATAATGGTCAAGTTGATCAGGGATATGGAGACATGCATGTTTTTCGCAAGGGAGGGAATCGCTGGATAATAGATACTGGCAGATATTGGGGATATAATGCCAGAGAACGATGCAGTAAGCATCACTGAGACCTTCCTGCGCTCGGAGAGGGCACAGTAGGGAGGGTCAACTTTCGTGTTGGGCTCTATCTTAGCCGGCTGCGATCCTCTTTCGTCAGCATTTCTCTCTTCGATCTGACCTCCAGTGCGAGTTTCAAGCTCAGACGGATTCACATCTTCCGTCCCGCTGTTTGACTTGTCATGTTCTGCGGGGTTGGCTTGTTCACTCCTTCCATCTTTCTGCGAGTCACTTGGTTGACGAACAGATCCTGATAATGACATGACTCGCCACTATTGCGTAGAAAGTACAAAGTCAGCGGTAGCCCTATATTCAACTGACATCGTGCTTTTTGATCAACACAATAAGAAAAGGTCGTTTAGGGAATAAAGGCTATGAGCGCTCCACTCCCATCTCCCGTTAACGGGCCGGTCCCGGGAATCCCAGCAGAAAGCTTAGCCTACATTATCAGAATGCATTATCCCCGGCGGCTTTAAGGGATAATCTCCGAGTAAATAGTTCGGCTTTCACTATAAAATAACTTGGCTCTCAACCGCAACATCAAGTTTACAAACTATCTCCAAAAAGACCCAGAAAACATCACAATCATGTCCTGTGACGCCTGCCGCACACTACCACAGGTGATCCCCCAGGGATACACCCCCAAAGGCACCTTTAAAAAAGTCGCCGGTCTAAACACCTGCAAGTCACACACAGGCACATGAAAAAGAACAAATTCTAACTTTCCCAGATGTAACTGGCCCATCAGATGCCTCCACAGGCATTGTGGTTCTCTATGACGTATTCGGCCTGGCCATCCAGACTCTCCAGGGCGCGGACCTTCTGGCCACAAGACTAAACTCCCTGGTCCTAATTCCCGATTTCTTTGAAGGAGAAGTTGCGCAACCCGAATGGTTTCCAGCGGACACGGAAGAGAAGAAGAACTCTCTTACGAGCTTCGTCGCCAACAAAGCATCGATTCCGAGGAATGTGGACACTCTGTTGGAAATAACTAGCCAGTACAACACGCTGTTCCCATCTGTGGCGAAATGGGCCGCTCTGGGTCTCTGCTGGGGTGGGAAGGTGAGTTATCTTTTATCATGGATTTAAATACTCTCTTGGAGGGAGTCAACACAATACCACTGATAACATACCTCCTTCTAGGTCGCTGTTCTAGCCTCTGGTCCTGGTACGCCGTTTGTGGCGACTGCACAAGTACATCCTGGGTAAACTTAACCTCGTTTCTTTTATTTTACCTGGCTTGTATGCGTAGAAGGAGACTTACTGACTTGACTCGCTCACACAGTCGAGCGGACAAAGCAGACGCTGAGAAGCTGACAATTCCCCATATTGTCCTTGCGTCAAAGGACGAGCCGGTCGAGGAGATTCAAGGCTATGCGGAGGTCATCAGTAAGAATGGAATTGGCGGTCATGTCGAGACATATAATACCATGTGGCACGGCTGGATGGGGGCTCGTGCCAATCTAGACGAAGAAGAAAGCAACGCGGAGTACAGACGAGGGTAAGAGCAAGATCCAGAGTTTCTCTCTAAAAGCGATGGCTGACGGTTATGGTGCAGGTATACCCAAGTTGCAGACTTTCTTGAAAAGTATCTCTAATTCCTGCCTTGTTCATAGGGAGCCTTGTGTACAACCTGGAAGAATAATTGAGAGAGGTTAATTCTAACTAAGATATAAGGAGTGCATTGTTTATTAATGTTCTATACCAGCCTATTAAGTAGTACCAATAGTAAATTAGGTAGATTAACCAAGTCCTGCCTAGATATTAGGCTAATTAGTGATAATACGAGCTAAGGCTGGGAAGCTGCGGGGGTGATTTAAAGGCCCCCGCGAATGTCATGAGTCAGTCTAGGATCCTCCGCCAAAGTTCCAGTTCCAAAGTTCCAATTTCACCACTACAAGATAATCCCCATATAAAAAACAATGATACAAAGCTCACCGTCGATCCTCCTATTCGGAGTCGGCAGTGTTGGCGCAGTCCATCTCCTCCAATTGCAAAGAGCAGGCTGCACCGTCACAGCCGTCTGCCGCTCCAACTACGAAGTCGTGAAACAACACGGCTTCACTATAACCAGCGAGCGGCTAGGAAACACCACCTATAAGCCCGACCACGTTATCCGCACCATCGCAGAATGCCCCCCAGACGCAGTCTACGACTATCTCATTGTGTCTAGCAAGGTAGTCCAGGGCAGACAGCCCCCACTGGCGGATCAGCTCCGACCCGCTCTAGAAGGCCGACCAAACACCACCATTGTTCTAGCGCAAAATGGCATTGAGATCGAAAATGAAATCGCTGAGGCATACCCTCTCAATCCGCTCCTAAGTGGCGTTGTCTACATCTCTGCCGCCCAAACCAGCCCTGGAGTCATCGACAATGCGGAGATGTTGAATCTCGTCGAACTGGGCACATTTCCGGCTGATGCGCCAGAAGCGCATAAGGTTTCTGCCAGACGGCTGGCGAGCCTGCTGGTTCAAGGAGGTGGGGACGCTACTGTACTTGATGATATTCAGGTTGCGAGGTGGTCGAAGTTGTTGTTAAATGCGGCCTGGGGTCCGGTCACTGCGTTGTCGCTGTGTACAGATGGGGACTTTTTGCGGAGTTCGGAGTTTGCAAATGAGTTGGTGTGGGGCATCATGATGGAGATTGTGACGCTGGCACGGAAGATTGGTATTCCTGGGGTTGATGAGGCGGCTGCTGAGAAGCGGTTTGCTATTGCTAAGGCTCGCGCGGATGCTGGGACGGGACGGGAACCTAGTATGCTGCAGGATGTCAAGCAGGGGAGATTGTTTGAGGTAGAGGCTATTGTCGGGAATACAGTTCGTGTGGGTCGCAAATGGGGGGTTCCTATGCCTCGGTTGGAGACTATTTATGCTTTGGCTAAGGGGAGATATGAAGTTATGTTGAAGGGTGGAGCATGATTTGTGTGTACAGGACTATATATAGAGTTGATAGAACGATGGTTGTTAGCTATATTTTTGGCGCGGCTACTATATTAAACAATCTTTTATATTCAGGTTTAGCGGACAATTCTTTTGTAAGATGGGCCGTTATTTTAACGATCCCCCAATAAAATCTTGATTGGGTGATTGATAGATTGCGGCGCTGCGGCGATAGGTTGCGGATTACACTGCAATTGTAGTCCCCGCGAGGGATAGCCAGCTTGGCAAGACAACATCGACATCGCGCGTATCCCTTCGTAGCTAATAATTCGTCCAATATGATAGGTTACTACCAGTATTAATGCGCAAGTCCGCCACCGCACTGCATTTCTAGTCCCTTCGACACAGTGTCAGCTTCTAGTGGTGTACCAACCTGAGCCACAGTCCACTTGCTCGCGGTTGTGTATGTTTATATACAAAATACATCGGCAACAGTTCTAAGTCTAAGCACTTTATACCGAGTAATTTAATGCTATGGGCAAGTATTTAAATTAAGTCCACACGAATGGGATGCTTTCCAGTAAAAATTTCCTATAATATATAATGCAAGTTTAATGGTAGACTCCAGGGTGTGTGTCAATGCAGCCAAGACGTTATCAATCTTATCACTACTCAATTAACCTCCACCCTTCCAACTCTCCGCAACTCAACTTCAACCAACCTGTCAATTACAATCAAACACAACAACACACCGAACAAGAATGGACCCCGACGCCAGTATCACCCCCGACCAGCCACCCGTATTCAATTACATTCTCTCTTTCCTCCTAGTCGGCGTAGCATGGGGCTTCACAACCCCCTTTATCCGCCGCGCCGCAGCTGACTTCAACGCGCGCCAGGAGCAACACTCGCAGCCCCAACAAGCACAAGAACCAGAAACCGAAGAACAAGAACTCCAACAAACAGGCCTTAAATCCACGAAACAAAAACCCGAGCCCGAAATTTCGAGTGAAGATGAAGACCATCCTCCCCCAGCACCCCCTACCACAACCACTACACAACCGGCTTGGCTGCGCCCATCTAATTCGAGCTCGGGCTGGTTGAAGACGAAGATCACAACGTTGTTCTGGACGGTGATTAACCTTCTCCGCACCCCGGCATACTCGATCCCCCTGGTTATCAACTTGACGGGGAGTGTTTGGTTCTTCCTGTTGGTTGGGAAACATGGTACTGTGCTCTCCCCCCCTACCTCTTTCTTTTTTACAATTACTGTATATTGACGATTATAGAACTATCCTTAACGGTACCGCTGGCGAATTCGAGTGCTTTTCTCTTCACGGTTCTGGGGGAGTGGTATGTGGAGCGGAAGGTCATTGAAAAGGAGACTTGGTTGGGGATGGTCCTTGTACTAGGAGGGATTGCTATCTGTGTAAAGTCCAAAAGTTCATAATTATTAAATGTATAATACCAGGAATATATATAGAATTAATTGGCTTGGTGAGCCAAAAGGAAAAAAAGTAAATAAAAGCAGAAACAAAAAGTTATGCATCATCCGTGAATCGAACACGGGCCTCATCGATGGCAACGATGAATTCTACCACTAGACCAATGATGCTACTGAGCTATTGGCTCTTAATGGGAAAAGGTTAACTAGATTGGCCCTATATTCCAAATGACTTTACAGAGTATACTGTCTCCAAATTTTGGAGTCCTGGACTTACGTTTACTTTTCAACCCGAGAATAATAAAATGTGTAGAAGGAAAATAAATTCCATTCGCAGTCCTCCGTACAGCGCTTATCATGATCCAATCTCGCCTTCTTTTTTTACACGGCCCTTATCTTATACTCGCCAAAAGCGATATAACGGAGTTCTTCACCTGCCCACGCTCACCAGATAAATCCGTAAAGTTATCATATCATAGTCGGCTAAGTATTGTGGCATCTGTATGTCACTTAAAATTTAGTCGAGTCATTTGACACATTTCCCAGTCTGAGGCACTTTCCAGGTTTCATAGGCTACTCTATACTTCTTCACATTATTAGTCCCTTCATAGTATAGCCATTAAGCCTTAACACAATTAAGAAAGCCCGGAATCGGAAGGTAGACACAGTCTAAAACTGATACTGATTTATCAAGATAAATATATCGACAAATAGTGCAGAATTGTATTTTGGATCTGGCTAGCATGCAGATGCGTTCCATGCTGAGTAGGGTATCGTAATCAATGGAAAACGCAATGCAAGTTAAATGTATATCCCAGGCCCGTCCCAACCCTCCAACCAGAGGGCCTGAATCTCGATGCGATGTCGAGATGAGTAGTGATTAGTTCAGCGAGGTGATCTTATGGTGATCCAACCTCTTGAATATAACAAGCGTGTGACAAAATCCAAGTGACAAAGAGGTATACACATGGATTGCACCCATCAGGTATACAACAAGGAGACTCAGTACAAATAAATGAAAAGAATGCAAAAGAAAAAGGGGCATCATCCAACAAGGCAAATATGCTTAGACCATAGTAAACCAATATACTACCAATATACCAATTTTCTATATAGACCCCACATAGATCCCACTATGCTACACTGCGGCAGCCCTAACTTAGGTTCGGCAACCTATTTGTCCTTCCCGGTACGACGATCATGTCTTGGAAGTGGCGAGATCATCAGTTTTGATAGGCGACCGATCGATAAGAGGATGATAGATTGGGCTCTTCAGCAGTCGATAGCCTGAACCCAAGGGTCCTCCAACGCCTCGAAAATTGTGATTCGGTCCTCGCGGAATGGGTGCAGCATCCGAAGAAGAAGTCGCCCTATTTCTGGATCAGGCAAGGCGCCGACAAAATCTGCAAATAGTGGAAGAAAATCCGCGACCGGTCTGCCAGGACATTCGACAATGTGAGCCCAAATTTGATAAATGAGCGAATACATCTCGTCGTCGGGGCTGGCCTCCTCCCACGGACAGTCTCGTCCCGCGAATAGGCAGTAGGCAGTTACTGCACAGCTCCATACGTCGACTGCTCTGGCGTCGTAGTCCTCATAGTCGCCTATAGACAATCAGAACTAATTAGTGCACACAAGATCTCTCAGTGTATAGAAACATAACAGCGGGTACATACCGTGTGAATTTATTTCTGGGGTTATTATTTCTGGCGGAAGAAAAGCTCTCGTGCCCCTGGGGAGAGGTGAGAACATCTTGACCTCACCAAGCTTCCTCTCGCCATTGTTATTAGGAGGGAGCTGCTCAGCAAAAACCCTGGACAGCCCAAAGTCAAGAAGCTTGGCATCCCCGTTCTCAGTGATGCCCAGGTTTTCTGGTTTAATATCGTGGTGTGCGATACCGCGGCTATGCATGTATGCAACACCCCTGAGTATCTGCTTAAAGATCCTCTTTTTTTGGATCAGGGTAAGCTGCTTCTTATCCATGACGTGGCACAGGTCTCCCTTGTCGCAACACTCCATAACAAGGCATATACTAGAGTCATCTTGGCAGAGGCGCTTAGTCTTGATGATATTTGGGTGCTTCAGTGCCCTGGCGATGTTGAACTCCTTCAAAGCCCGGTCCGTATATGTATCGTCGGTCTCATCTTGGTACCTCTCCAAGGACTTGGCCACGTATTTTGTCGGGCTGCCCTTCTTGTAGACGACCTTGATGCTGCCGAAGCCACCTTCTGCGATGACGTCTTTCGTCACCTCATACTTCCTTTGTAGCTTGCGGATCCTGTATGCTGGTGTCTTGTAAAGTGGTCGTGGCCGAACTAAGAGCCTTAGGCGAGGGACAAGCCGGTTTTGGCGGCTTTGCTTCCTTGTGGCGGTTCGGATTGGTGCCATTTTGATAAGCACTCGGGGTGATGTTTCGAGGTTTTGTTGGTAGTATCTAGCGTTCGTTGCTTGATACTCGAGGGAAAGGATGATATACCCCGGTCACTAAGAGGAAGAGAATATAACGAACGAGCTGGGTATAGAAGCTGGTTTATAGTATATAATAGAGAAGAATGGATTCTAGCTTGTAGCTGGCAAGAAGCAGCGGTCCACAAGGTCAGTGTATGTATCGTCTCATCGTTGCACCTACACGCATAGATAGAATTCCATGGTTTGACTAGAGCACCTGCCCCGAGTAATTTTCTTCGACTCCAGAAAAAGAAATGCCCACAGTAAATATATAGTATAATTAAACCCATGGTTCACCTGGAGCAACGGGGTAAACTTACGGAATCAGACAGCATATGTTGATCCTGCACTGGCCAATTGGGAGCTTGAAGTATCGTCACGGCCTTTTCTGGGAGGGGAGTAGAGCAAGCCAAGAGGAATTAGGGCATTTTGAGGGGGATTCCCAGAGCCAGTGTTAAGGCTCACATTAGATTCCCCTCGGGCGGACGGACCTATATACTCCAGTATACTCCAGTGTAAATCATGTTGGCCTGGCCCTGTCCTGACCCAGATACGCAGTTCGGAGTTCCTCATCATGATATTGACTACGACTATTAGCTTGATAGATATAGAGCTTTAGGATAGAGGAACGAGTCTGCGTGAAGTATACGTTCTATTTACCTGAAAAAAAGAGAGGAAAAGATACAGTGAATACCGCAACGGTTTCTGTCATTCGTATTCTACATAGAGTCACGATGACCATCAATTGGCGTGTTTATTACTTGAAAGAAATCTTTGCCTGCGTGTTTTATATACGCCATTCAACAGTGCCAAACCTCCCTATAGTAGGAAACCAGGTCCTGTAGAGGGAAACCGCCTTTATCCCACAGCTGTAAAACAGTCCTTGACAATACAAGGGTTACCTCTGTTTTCTAAAAAAGAGAAAAGCAAAAGAAAAAAAAGTAAAAAAACTGAAAATTTAATAATTTAATATATATATATATATATATAAAGAAATTTTAAGAATTTTAAGAAAACTAAAAAGTACCAGATATCGGATATTGGCACCGTGAAAAGTATGAGAACCGTAGTTTCCTGACAGGTCATGCGCGAATGCTCACCATGGCACGAGTTTCGTCGAGTTTTGTTGCCATCTTGGTAGCTACACATACTAGTATGGCAAGTAGCATGTGGCAGACCGGGGAAAGGTGTTAAGGTTACCCCCCGAGGCATATATTCTTTTAAACAGCCCCAGAATCCCTTTCGGCATGTCTGCGTGCTGGCCTAAGAGTCATTGGGGCTCACAATGACCTCAATTCTTAGGGCGATGCGGCCAAGGACTTGCATCAGTGTGATCCAATTGCAGTACCACAGTTCCCTAGACACTGGGTGGTATTTCAAAAGTCTTGTATACCGGTCTCCCCTTGTAACTGCGATCGAATATTACCACCATTTGTACCCTCCACGATCCACTCAGGTTCTTCATTGTCAAAGTACCGCTCTTGCTCTTCGTTCCAGTCATCATAATCGTCGTTCTCATCAACAGTGGTATAGTCAAAGTCACGATCTTCGCCCCGCAAAAACCGCAATGTCATCTCCCATCGCCAGATCTTTTCGCCTTCTTCCCTGCTCGTCGGTATCTCATCTTTGTCTTCCGCGAGAATCTCCCCGTTTGGACCACGGGTATAACTAAACATTGCGTGGGGATCCGGATGAGCTAGAGCATCCAATTTGGCCTCAGAGCGATCAAGATCCGCTTGAAGGATACCGGAGAATCCTTTAGCTCGTCCTTCAGCCTCTCGTTCGGCCGGTGTCTGAAAACGACGGATCAAGCGATCGTACAGCAACGGGTCTACAACGCTAGAGTGTCAGCTTTGGTCAATTTCCCCCGATCGAGACAGCAAATGCGATCAATCGCGAGAAAGAAAGGATAGAGCGAGCAGACCAGCTAGCTCGAGGTCTGCAGAGAAATACTCCGGATGCATATCCAGATAGCATTTGCGACGGTTCTTCACCTGCGTCGCCGTCACACCGGGAGAGGTGTTTGCATCGCCTAGGGATTTATCCGCATGAACTCCAGTGCCCATTGGGAATAGAGGCATGGTGGTTTGACCGGGTTATAAATAGTATTGGGATTGGGAAAGTGGACAACTTTTGAGGTGGCGGCGGATTCAATTCTTAGCCTAAACTGTTTTGGGCCGGAAGAAGGCGGCAAATTTCCTTCGAGAAACAGCGTGGAATAAAGATAATCTCCGGCTTCCATTCAGCGAATAATATGGGCTTTGAGCTTTCTACCTGAAAACGACAGGTAAGAACCACCTCCTGATTGTTTCATATCGCGCGTGGAACTTGCGCTTGGCTCGTTCATCCCCTACTATCTACCCACCCACACCTTTCCCCTACCCCAATGACTCTCAAGGTATCAATTAACCAACAACTATCCAGCAAAGCCTCCCCAGACCAAGTACCTAACGTTTCTGTGCAACTTATAGGCCAGGAACAACAGTCTGTGGAGGTCCGACGCCATGTCGTCTTTTGAAGAAATCCTCCAACAGGTCAACTCGAGAAGGCTGTGGAGAGGCGCGGCCTTGTTGGCCCTTGCTGCATTCTCATCGCCTGTCTTCGTGCTGACTTTGGCTCCAGTGTACGGTTCTGCGCCGTCGCACCTCTTCCATGGCTATGGAGTGGCTATTGCTGCTGGTGCTGGATGGTTCCTTAAGGATTTTATCCAGCGGCTTACGAACCGCCGGGCTGTGTATCTACTTCCAGTGCTTGCATTCTGGTACCCCACCATCCAGTACTTTTTGCATCAGCAGAGTTCCTCGTTTGGAAACCCTACAGGGGCTGTGATCACCGAGGTGGTCGCTTTCTACCCTTTTGTTCTACTCTCTGTGGCCTGTGCCGGGATATTGGTGCAATCTGGCCTGAACCTGGACCGTTATGGTGATCTGGCCAAAGAGCATGTGCCTCTCATCGGCTCGTATATCGTCTACTCTGTCGGAGAAACATTCGCAAAGTCATTCATCTCGAGGTTTATCGGTTCGTTCTGGCTCTTCTCAAGCACTGGCCTCCAGTTCTTGGTTGCAATTTTGTGTTCTGCCGTCATCCCCTCTAAGTGGCTCCTCTTGGCTATTCCGTCTATTTTGTTCACTCTCACCTCTAACGTGCACCTGCCTTTGGGAGGCACGACTTCGGCATTGAAATCTGCTCTCAATGAGGAGGGGTTTGCGCTCGTGGATCGGCAGGAGTCTTCAACCGGTTATATATCGGTTCTGGACAATCTGGAGGACGGTTTCCGGGTCATGCGGTGTGACCACAGCCTTCTCGGAGGCCAGTGGACCAAGACCTACCGCAACTACAAACCCAGAGTTCAGGACCCGATCTATGCAGTTTTCTCTCTGCTCGAGGCCGTCCGGCTGGCGGAAACGGGGCACGGGGCACCACGAGTAGATGCAGACAGCAAGGCGCTTGTCATGTAAGTCCAAGTCAACCTCCCACTTCACCAAGCTAACTGTGTCACAGTGGACTTGGAGTCGGCACTTTGCCCGCTGCACTCATCACCCACGGGATCGAAACTACAATTGTCGAGATTGATCCGGTCGTCCACAAATTCGCCAGCAAATATTTCCACCTGCCACCCAACCACATCGCAGCGCTCGAGGATGCTACATTGTTCGTGGACCGCGCTTTGAAATCCCCACAGCCGGCCCAATACGACTACATCGTCCACGACGTGTTCACCGGCGGCGCTGAGCCAATCGAGCTCTTCTCCATTGAGTTCCTTGAGGGCCTCAACTCCCTTCTCAAGCAGGAGGGTGTCATCGCAATCGTAAGTCAAACCCTATTCAATTCCACTCCCGCGCTAACCCCAGACAGAACTATGCGGGCGACCTCTCCCTCTACCCCGCCGCTCTCACAGTCCGCACCATCCAGGCAGTCTTCCCCTCTTGCCGCTTTTTCCGTGAGGATGCAGGAGAAGAAGGCAACAGTGACTTCACGAACATGGTCATCTTCTGCAAGAAGGACTCTACTACCCCTCTTCGCTTCAGGGATCCAGTCCCGGCCGACTTCCTGGACAGCAAGTTCCGTGAGACGTACCTGGTGCCGAAGCATGAGATTAATCCGGCCATCTTTGCCACCGTTACGGGTGGAAAAGACGTCCTGAGAGCTAAGGACACGGGTAAGCTCTATAGGTGGCAGGATCAGGGTGCCTTGGAGCACTGGGCTATTATGAGGAAGGTTCTGCCGGCTGCTGTGTGGGAGAATTGGTAGAGATTCTCGCTTATATGAGTATACCTGTATAGTAGCGATTGCCTGGTGCAGACCGTGTTTTTTCTATCCGTTACCGCTTAGCTAAGGCAGAGTGACCAGATTATTTGTCAGTTAGAGATGAGTTTAATAATTCGTGCCTTCGTGGGGTATATATGCTACACGCTTTGCTCGTTCTCAACCCACAGTACAGGATGTACTTGCTGTAATGACATTGCGTACCCTCTAGTTCTCTAGACACCCGATGAGAGTAAGAAACAATTGTAACAAGAAATAGGATATAAGAGGGCAAAAAGATGGAGATGCGGGGAATTGAACCCCGGACCTTTCACATGCTAAGCGAACATTATACCACTAAACCACATCCCCAATTTCTTGAACGAAGACTTAGATTCTTGCATAATGAGCCTATGTTCTAAATCAATGTCCATTTATCGAACCCTTACATTCGTAGAACGTCAGGTATGGCATCGTCTCCTTGGTCATTTGCTGTATCTCTCTATTCGTATATGTAGCGTATCTCATTCTTTCTCATGAAACCATCAATATACTGAGTATACTGCTGCTTACTTCACACTGCAGGGACCTTTATTATGCGCTGGATTCTCGCTATAACTTTAAGGTTAGCTCTGGCGATGGGCCGAATATACTCAATGACAATGAAACCCACAGTCAACAAGTGTGGGAGGATTTCTGAAGTAATAAAACTATTGGTTTCAACCGTGTTGAATATGTCGGTAATTTACAAGCCTCTCACTAATTAATAATGGGGAAAAAAGAAGCTGCTGAGGCTTGTAAATCACCGAGATACACAAAACACCCCCCACACCTGAAAGCCACAGAAAGGCCAAAAGGAAAAGAAGTTAGAGAAAGTCAACAAATGAAGCAGAACTGTTTTCCAGATTAGGGAACTTGTATACATGGGGAGGCGTATCAGCACAAGGCCGGGGCATCCCCAAGCAAGTCGGTCTCCAAGAATAAATTATAGGCATCCTATAGACCATGATGTATTGATTCTCCACACCGGCGGTCGACTCATAGGGCGCCGCACCCCATTCTACGCACAATTTAGGCATCCTATAGATAACCGTATAGTGTTCCTGAATGAAAAAGAAGTGCTGCGGGAGCCTGTGGCATTCATAAGCAACCCGCAGTCGAATAGGCAGCTAGGACGCCGCTCCCCAGCATACAGGCGCAGTAGAAAAGCGAGCTCTTAGCAGTAATCCGGTTGCCGATATATATAAATCCCAGGCTTCTTGTCAGAATAGAGCCAGATAGGAGAGGCAGAACGATCAGTAGGGGTAGGGCGATCAGGCTCTATTTGAGTAGTGGGATATTAGCCCCAGGAATACTCGATTGGATAAGGGAAGAAGGTAGTACGCTAGCTTCGTATAGAGACTCCAGGCTCATAACCTGGAGAAAACTCCCTGCAAGGAAGAAAAGATAATTCAGCTACTTAGTGATTAACTAGGACTATCTGAGGGGTCTATAGTACCCCGCCCAACTAATTAATAACGAAAAAAGCCCAAAGGCTTGTAAAATACTGAGATACTCAACAACAAGGGAGATAATGCCACACCCTCCATCTCCCATCTCCTTTGCCAATCACTAAGGACCTACCACCAGGTACAATATACACACCGCGAGAGATCAAGCCCACCCACACCTAGTTATCGCTGCATAGTAGCTCTACAGCACCCCTGTCCATGCTGATACTCCCGTCACAGAACAACAACACCCACCAGACCATTTATCCCACACCCAAAGACTCGGGAAGTAAGCTTACAGAAAATGTGCCACGGAATCCATACCATGACTCAAGGGATTAACCTCAGACACCGAGTACGACCCGCATGAAACTGTCTAGGAAGTAACCCATACCAACGGTTCACAATCTAGCCGGTAAGTCAATTGCTATACCTAGTATAGATTCAGGGCTAGTCCATCAGTTTCATACCAGAAGTCAATTGCTATGCTTAGTATAGATTTTGATTGAACCATAAGTTTCATCCAGGACGTCCGCGTTTGGCCCGTGCTCCAACAAGACGACCAGAATCAGGGGCATGATATTGATGACTGAACCCTAGGCTGATAAAGCACTAAACAGAAACTTTTCTCAAGCAATTGGGGATGTGGTTTAGTGGTATAATGTTCGCTTAGCATGTGAAAGGTCCGGGGTTCAATTCCCCGCATCTCCATTCTTTTTGGCTCAAGCAAATTTTTTTTGGGTCTTTTCAGACTCGCTTTTTACTGGTTCTTTTTGCAGTGTCTAGTGTTATTAACCAGAATCTTGCGTGGGCACCGGTTGTCTCAATTTCTGAAAGTGCCAATACATAGACCCCGAAGACAGTGAGTGATCTACTCGCTCTAACCTATAACCATCGATGCTCAGCTACTGGTATTGGATTTTTGGACGGCATGGGGTAGGTTTATCTATGGTATGGTAGAGATGGGCGGAGGGTATGGTGAGGCAAAGATGAGGCCTGCTCGGCGTGTGTTGGTTAATGAGCCTGTTGTGGGGACTGGTGATTACTTTCTCTACTCAATACTGACATTGGTCTGTCTCGCCTGGTATACGGCTCTACTGGGAACCTGCCATCTAGTTGATCTATGTACGGGCTCGAAGGCCTTGGTTCTATCGAAAGGGCTGTTGTGTGAGGTATAGATCGATTAAATCTACCACTATAATATGGCCAGTATGTGTGCATAGTGAGATGTAGACATAGAAAGGCTGGGGTCTATTTGTTTGGTCTTAGTAATTCAGATACGGTGTTATTCGGAGAGTATCGAGAATCTACTCGTAAATAATATATATGGTGTATCGTCTGTATATAGACATAAAAGCGTATATAATATACATAAGTCACCCCAAGGTAAGAGTTTTGTACAGTAGGCCTACTCAAGTGACCCCTCTCCTCATACCCAGCCAACTAGTCAACAGAGCGAAGGTGGACTTCCTCATCTGGAACGTCTTCTGCGGGGACCTGGCGGTAAGACTGGGTCGTCCAACGGACAATCAGGAGGTAAATGCTGAAGGCAATGCCACCTACTATGCCCACAAGGACGACGAGGACGAAGACGCCACTGACGTTACGGACGAGATCGTATGTATCGTGCACCAGATGGGCGATCTCGTTCGTCTCTGGATCAACCGGGTGCGGAGATGGTGTGGACGTAACATTTCTATGAGCCTCTTCTTCAGCAACAGGGTGCGTACTGCTTTTTGGCCTGGGGGCCGCTGGATCATCAGGTGTAAGTGTTTCAAGGTCTCCTCTGAACCCAGCTGCACCCCATTTGTCCGGGATCTTGCTCCTTTGGACCCGAGAAGTGCCCATAACACGACCCTGGTGGTCAACCGCTTCGGCGGTCACCCAGTCCAGGTACCCACGGGCGATGAACATCGTCTCGAAATCGGTCTTGGTGGCGTTGCCAACAAGTACCGGGTGGCCATTCCTCGCGGCCCGCGCGTAGAAGTTCCACCCAGCTACATCGGTTGCTCCGTTCCAGCTGACATAGAAGATCGTTGTGAGATCCGTCTGGTCAGTGCCCCATACAGATGAGACCAGATCTGGGGGAGCACTAGGGCGGCCCGTGAATGCAAACTTGTATGCTCGATAGGTCGAGTAGCGCGAGGAAACAAAGTTTGCGTTCAACAAAACGTCGCCTTCGGGTGAAAATTCGGAGATATAGCCCCGTTCACTCCATCCAACGAACGCATTGTTGTTTGGAAGTAGTTGAGCATTGCCACGGAGCCGAGTGAGACCGCCGTCGGGGCGGTTATGGCGTCGGATAACCCTAGCAGTCTTAGGGGATGTGGTGGTATCTAGCTCCACGAAAAGTGCCGAGGACACATCCTCGTCATTACTCTGCTCATCAGAGGCGTTGTTCAGGAGCGAAATGATATGGTGCGTCCCATTGGACTCGATAAACTTCGCGTCGTGCTGCTTGGAAAATGTAAAGTCCTGCTCAAAATCACTGAACTGCCCGCCCAGCCGCCACATAATAGCCCCGTCCTGGCCGGATACCATGTAGATAGTATTGGTAAACCGATACGAGATGATATAGTCGCCATGGTCATTCTTGTCGATTGAATTAATATGAACATAGTCCCACCCCGGTGGTCCCACGGCCGGGTACTCCTTATTGATGGCGACCGATTCACTCAGGGCAATCTTGTCGATGCCATCCCAGAGATAGGTAATCTGCTCCGTTCTCAAATCCAGCTGAGCAAACCCGCCCGACAAGACATGAGTGTGCTCACCCGGACGGTCGAGTGTATCCAGGGCGATCTCGTGTTCTCGGTAATTTATAGCCATAGCTGTTCTGCCGTCATCGAGGACATTGAATTCGTGGATATCAAAGGCACCATACTCATTCGGCATGGGAATTTTCTTTCTGATATTATAACCGTTGTCTAAGATCACCCCATGTCCATTGTCCGACTTATCGTAGGCAAATTGCCAAACCAACGATAGGTGTGGCTTGTTTCCAATACTGTGGACCGCCTTGAAATCGAAGACGTTGCGGTTATCAAACATGGGTGAACCGGCCCAGATGAGCATCTAGTATTGAAATGTATCCGTTAGTCACACTTTGATTACGGGGGTGGGACGGTTGGAACTCAGGAAGTGAGACATGCCCCATCGCCATCGTAAATATAGGGTCCGATTTGGTATGGTTTGTACTGTTGCGACGGAGGCTCCGGGTCGATATTGCCATAGGGTGCGACGAACCAGTAGCCTGGGCTGACACGATCACGATCCTTATAGTACACTTCATACTTTAGAGCTCTGACCCCCGGAAGCTAAAACCCTGATCTTAGCATCATTGTCGTTGGTTGAGTTTAAGCTAAGCTTACCGTGACAAAGGACATTAAATCGCCATCGGAGCTAAGTTGTGCAACCACGCTAAGCGCCAATTGGAGCCATGCCACGATGTAAATGTAAAGGATCATTCTCACTTATGGACTTTTAAAGGAGAAGATCTGGCCGGTAGGTAAAGGAAAGAAAAAAAAAAATGAAAAGGGTTAGAAAAAACAGGATCACCGCATGAAAAAGAGATCACTCAAACAAGAAAGAAAAAGAGTCAAATTAAATGAAGGTAAAAGTTGATTCCCATGGGTTTCCGGAGACAAGCATGGAGTCCAGCATCCAAGCTCTCTCGTCAACTATGTACAAGAGGAGGAGGGGGGGTGGAAACATGAAAATAAAATGGGAAAGGAGTTTGGTCCAAGAAATATAAGTATCTAGTGTCTACGCACCGCGTGATGAAACGGCCCAAGTTAGTGAGTCCCACGATTGGCCGTGGTCGATCCTATCCTCATCCAGAGGTGAGGACTTAAGCGTCGCAGCCCTGTGAGTTGAAGGTGCAACGCTTGGGGTGGGTCTGTAGTTCTTGGCAGGTCTACGTAAACTTGTGAAGGTTATGAATAGATTGCCGGAAAATTACATATGCGGATCTGCAATGGGTTTCCAGCCAAAATTTATGCATCGACTCTAGGGAGCAGGTACGGAGTACTCTAACCATCCTATATCTAGACTCATATTGTGCCAGTATCTTTGTGACTTGGTGCAGAAGAGGTGGAAAAATAGATCCAAAAAAAAAAATTCCATTGGCTAGTTATATACATACCACTGCTTCAATCACCCACCCATGTCTTTATAACCATTGCGAGAGTGACTTTGATTATATAAGGTTTATATAGTCCATCCAACCAATGATCTTCCAAGAAATTGGGGATGTGGTTTAGTGGTATAATGTTCGCTTAGCATGTGAAAGGTCCGGGGTTCAATTCCCCGCATCTCCATCTTTTTTGCTCTTCGATAATATAATCCTTATCTATATATGATATGGTTCTTCTGCTTTCCTTCTTTTACTGATGTAGTTATTCTCCCAGCTTTCCTTACTACCGCGATAGACAACCGTGAAGCGCATCGTGGTGATCAATCCAGTAACTGTAGAGGATATATTATTCAATTGGAATACAGATAGTTCGCAAGGGGACCAAGAAAATCTTCATGGAAATCCGCCGCCGTCTCTTCGACTCCTAACCCAGCCTAAAGCCATTCCGGTATCAAAAAACAATGACAATGAGCGTCGCTAAGCCGATGTCCTCGATGCCTAGAGTATGTACGGTGTGCGAGGGTGAATAAAATTACAAAACCAAAAAAACACCAGTCAAAAAGCAGGGGACTATCCCGACGGACTTGGACTCCCGCGAGGACTTCCTCCAGGCTTTTTGACCAAGCCCGCAAAGAAATTGGCCAACGCTTGATTGTGCGATTTCTCGCCACTGGGTACCGAAAGGGTATCCTTTCTCTGGGACCGATTGGCCTCTCTCTCCTAGATAATTGGTACGAGAGTTAGCGGCCAGGGCTTCGAAGAGGGCAAGCGCCGGTGAAGTAGTTACTCACCTTGAGTTTCCGTAGCATATCATCGGCATCTACCTGAATTCCGCCCATATTAAACTGCACAGGCCCAATGTGCTCATTCACACGGCCATTGTCATCTAGCGGCGACATTTCGAGCTGGGGCACTTGCTTAGCTGCACGATCCTTCTCATCATCAAGTTTCAACTGTTCGAGAACCTCCAACTGCTTCGTAAGGAAGTTTTGCATGTCAGATGTGTCGACCTCAACCTTATTCTTGCTATGTTGACTGCCAGGATGCGTCATGGATGTGTCCCGCTTGGGATCTTTTATCGTCTGCTCGAAGATAGCTACGGCGCTTGTTCCATCATCCGGAACCACTGCACCTTCGCCTTCCGGCTTATCATCATCGATCGATAAGTTAGAGAGTGGTTCTGGCGGGTCCTGAATTTCAATTGACCAAGCTGTTGAGACTCCTTCCATATCAAACCCTTCTCGAATTATTCGAATTTTACCCCATGAGTCCCAGTTTGAAGGCACCAGAATCTTATCCCGATCAATCACGTTGTGCTTTAGTGATTGCCTCTTCAAGAGAGAGTGAATCCCAAGAGATGAATGTATTAAGCTCTGGAGCGAGTTGGCCAGAAAAGGTGTGGTATAGATAAGTGATGCGCCATCTACTAGTAATCAGAGAGCCGCTCTAGGCAATATGAAGAGAGAAATGGTGCAGGGGCCTCTTACGTTTAAGAAGAATTGACCTCATGAACTGGAGGATGAAGTCAAACTCCTCCTCATGCCAGCCGTGATCCTTCTCTAATTTCTCGATCTTATCAGCCTAAGAGAATTTGTCAGCGTAAACATATCATTCCCTTGATTGCGCCGTTCGCACATATTCCGCTTTGGGTACTACATACTCCTTGACAGACCACACACATGGGAACGCCTAGCCCCTCATCCCATTCGCCAGGCCCTAAAGGTATTGTTACCGGCCCACCTGAGCTGGTCAATCCTTGTGCTCCTGCTGAACTAGGATCCATGCCCCTCTTTCGATCCTTCCACTCTGTCATAGTTTCTTCCATCACAATCTTTGTCTCGTCATCCAGAGAAATGAGAACGTGTCGCAGGAGACGAACCCATTCCCGTAGGCGCCTGACCCATGTCCAAGGGTCCGACCAGTCTAGCAGGATCACGACCAACGTCTCCGGGACGGATTGGGCGGTCAAAAGCGGTTTCAGGAGGGGCGCAAAAGATAGAGAGGGCTCGGAAAGTAGGTATGCAGAAACACGCGCCAAAGTATCTTTCAAATGTACACATTAGCCGCCACTCAAAAGAGTAAATATCCTCGAAGGTGTGAAAATATGGCCGTAGTTACCTTCTTGGTCAGCGTCTAACACATCTTGGTATGTATATCCTAAAGCGAACTGATTGGCGACTGGGGGTACTCTTCCTTTCCGCCTGTCGTTTGACAAGCTGGGATCAGACGTGTCCGCAGATAATGTGTCGAGAAAGTCTCTTTGGCTCTCTGGAGTGCCTCCTGGGAAAAACGTGTCCTCATTAGCAACATGAACACGAAGGGGAAAGCGAAGCCATTGTAGGAGTCGGGGAGGAAAAGGCGTCAAACCTAGGATGAGAAGGTTCTTTTCTGGCAAGCGCTTTCCATTGGCGACGCTATCTAACATAGATGACCAGATATTCTTCTTTGGGCCATCCTTGCTCGAGGGCCGACTGTTGTTTCCCGACCCGAGCTTGGAGGCGGGAATTTGGCTTGAAGTGAACATTGTCTGTCCCAGTTCGACCGTATTCAGCTTGCGCAGACCATCCCAAGCGGCCGTCAGACAATCCTGTCAGTATTCCGACGGATATGACGCGTGCGTTCCGATCTCTCGATGTTTGTGAATAATGGAACAGCGGTAGGAACGGTGTCAGGGGAGATGGATGTGTCGCCGATATACTTTGTTAGCCGATCAAATAGGACGACAGAAGGAACCCTCTCCGAGGAGAAAAGTCTCCAATAGAGCAAATACTTCGCCTGGAAAGATGGCGAAAATTTCAAGTGTGTTGCAAGGGTGAGCGTTCCACAGAGGGGGAAATTACAAGTTATTTTGTTGTAAACAATAGTTGAAAGTGTCGCCGTCCTTGCGGGTGGGACCTCCCGCGGAGGCCGCCCGTGATTGATCTCTTTGTAGCTTAGCCCCATTCTCTTCGACATAGTAGCTATCTCTTGCGCCGAAAAAGATCTACCCCAGTTGGTCAATCATCCTTCCGAAGCGAGATATATGATTAGATATATGATTGGCTCCTCGTGACAATGAACGCTATTCGACAGATCCAGTCGCTCAATAAACGCGAACTTGAAAATGCAGTGTGCGTGATACGCTTTCTCGACTTTTCTCCAGTCCAGGATATCCTGCTAACTCATGTGAACTACTGTAGCCCACCCGAAGCATCCTGGCATGCCGATTACAGAGATACAGCCTACATAAATATTGGCGGCTTACCATACGATCTCTCCGAGGGTGACATTGTGACAATCTTCTCGCAATACGGCGAACCAGTTCATGTGAACCTTGTGCGCGATAAAGAAACCGGAAAGAGTCGAGGATTTGCATTCTTGAAATACGAGGACCAGCGCAGTACAGACCTCGCCGTTGATAACCTAGGTGGAGCAACGGTATTGGGAAGGGTGTTACGCGTGGATCATGCGAGATATAAGAGGCGGGACGACGAAGAGGAAGGGGATAACGTCGCAAAACTGTTGGGCGACACGGCTGCTAAGGGTACAGGCGACAGAGATACAGATGATGAGCGACGCAGACGGAGTAAGAGGAGAATTAGCGAAGACGATCCCCGAAGACGACCTCTACTGAAGGAAGAGAAGGAGCTCGAGGAGTTGATGGTGAATCATGATGAGGAGGACCCAATGAAGGAGTATCTCATACAGGAGAAGAAGGAAGAAATTGCACGAGCACTGGAAAAACTTGACCGTGGGAAATCATCTCGCAGGCGAGAATCTAGTAGGGAAAGATCTAGTCGCCATCATCGTCAACGCCACCACCGTCGCCGGCGGGATGAGGACCGCTCCCGTTCCCGGGAGAGGAGTCATCAGAATCAGCGGTCACGTTCGAGAGAAGGAAGATCCCATCGAGACAGATCACTCTCAAGGAAAGAGAGAATTTACAGAGATAGGACACCGGTGTGGTCGCGATCACCCGAACCACGGAGAAATCGCGATAGGGATGATCGACACCGATAAACGTCTAGCATGTGACAACACAAATTCTACATCACGGTAACAAATTTGGTCAAATTTTCTATATGGTAATCGGAGCGCGATTGATGGGCCACTGGCTCAATTTCAGATACCCATGGAGGAGTGCGTGGATCAGCCAAAGTGTGGGATGGCGGTCAACAACAAAAGTGGATGCTAGATGCTCGACATCTGCCATATGCAGAATGAAACCCAGCAGGTTCTTTCTGCATATGGCAGATGGTTTCATTCTGCAACTTTCGACACAGCGCTTGTCAAACAAGCGGTCAATTGCTTGTAATGAAAAGAACATGAGTATCCTAACAAAACGCGCATAGGTAGTACTGTTAATGCTAGACCTCATCTCCGCACAATGTGGCGGAGACCCCTCACTCACTTCAACCGCCTCCTAGGTATCTTTTCCAACCTTCCCTCATACAGTAGCGCTTTCCATCGCCGCCTTCACGGAGGACGAACTTCTCCCAACGCCCATCCCTGCCTGATCCAAGAACAAGGATCGTTTGGTCGTCAGGCCATCCAATTATACCTTTAAGAGGCCTTCCAAACGAGCTTCCAAGGGGTGGTGCAAGCTGAGAGCCTGGGGCTGATTCGTCACCCACCTCAAACGGAGCACTTGCAAATGAATAAACATCTGAGAACACTCTTGGTAGCAACGGGATTTTCCCTAGAATGCCCCATTTCTGGTTTGTTTCTTCTTCTAATGGAGATGCTACCGGGTTGCGATGGGGTGGGTTTCGTGGGTGAGGGAGGTCAAATATATGTAGAGTAGACTTGTCAGATGTTACGGCTAATAGATTGTTCGAAGGCGAGATGGCGAGAGAGAAGATCACTGCCTGATCGACCCCCCGCCGTAGTTCAGCCATCTTCGCGCAGTTGCTGGTGGAGAACACCCGCACCAAAGTCCCCTGAAGGAGTTAGTCACGAGTTATTTCACTGTAGAGCACTTGCGGACGATACCATTTCACTCGCTGTTGCCAGAACCTCTCCATCTGGACTTAGTGCCATAGCGCGTAATGGCGAGCTATGTGCAGGTATGATGCTGACATTCCCTGTCTCTAGCTCAACTAATTGAACTTGCCCGGGAGATCGGCCTGGGAAAGCCAGCAGCTTTTGTCCCAAGCATGCCAGTCCCATGGGGTTATCTGTTGTCTCGAAGACAGAAAGTTTCTGTGGGGGGTTCGAGAATGCAAAGGTGTGGATACTGTTCAACAAGGCGACGACAATTCGTGACTTTGATAAGCGGACACCCAGTACAGAGGTGCGGAACTCGAGAGTAATAACAGCTTTCTGTTTTGCATCATCCCAGATAACCAGCTATACAGATACACTATGAGTACAGAAATGCCGAGTGTGGAAAAGTCACGCACATGATAATTTACTCACCTTGTTCTGCGGGAATTTGGGTTGTCTTCCTCCACCGACGAGGGCTAGGTAGTTTGACTGACCGAGCATTACCACGACACCGATGCCCGCATTAAAGTCTACAGGGCATCATAGAGTTAGCGGGTTGAAAGGGAGTCTACACGCACTGGGTATAGAGACCAACAGAGCTTGCATACCTCTCGACACCTTTAGCTCACAAGGGTCAGCAGTAAAGACTACACCAGGTCATTCTGTTCTCAGCTTGGTTATTCCCTTAAGGCAATATAGACATATACGGCACAAATTAACACGGCATACCACAGAATCCGGTATCCAGTCCAACGGAAAAGCAGCAGTTGTCATTATTGAAAGCTGCAGAGAGGGAGAAAGGTCCCACAGATTCATCAATAACCTGTCGGGTATTCATGATGCCAACCATGAAAGAAAGGCCGTTAAACTGAGAGGCTGAATCTGTGCTATAGCGAGGAGAACCCCTAGAAGATCTTGAGGGCCTTCAAGGCGCCTTATGTCTTTAAGATAGCACAAAGACACAGCCTAGATTACCCACGTGAACGTTAATGCTAAGTTATCACCTCAGTTGTTGCTCGGGGCCGGATGAGTTGTATGATGAAACAACTAGCCAATGAATTGATCATGGAGAGGCCAGGCCTACTACTGTTTAGGTTAGTGGCCTTTCGTCAATCCCGGGTTCAAATCCCGGCATTGTCATGATTTTCTTTTTGGTTTTTTTGGTGGAAATAACTTCCCTATCACCACTTTTCCTTTTTCCTTTTTTACCTGAGCCTTACACTGACCATTATGACCGTGCACAGTGCAGTCAGAGTTGTTGATGGGGCGTTGCCACTTTAGGCTAAGACTTGTGCTTAAATTATGTTACATCCTAGCGTCACTAACTACATCTTATCTGTCTATATTTAAACGTCATCTAGATACACCAACACATCCCCTTGGAGACTGATACTTCTCAATGGACGGGTGCTCTTCCTATCTACAATATGGGTGGAATGCGTCCTTCCTGATCCCCAGTTTTCCCTCTCAACTGATACGCAATTCCCCACAATGCCCTCCTGGATGCCTGTAGCATGGCCTGGCCCAGAAGCCTCCAAACTTCGGTGCGGTTAAGATCACCTAACATACATTGAGATAGTCTAGAGTCTCTGTGAATGATGTGTAAGGTTACTAGTAGTGATTTCTCCAAGAGCTAGAAATGCTAGAGATGCACCTTTAGAAAATCCGAATATCTTATAGATTCGTGTCCTCGCACTCTTACAACACAATATCTACTATTTTATAGATCCAAAAAGAAGATATATTTGTCTTTTGGGGATATTTGGACAGCCTCAATGGAAGGATTCACGTATCCACATACAATGCACATAGAGGCTTTCTGCCTAAGGCGACGACTAATGGTCATCTCATGCGCTGTGTATCGTACCCGGCACGTATTCAGTACCTTCTGAACGGCCCGCAACGACCCACGGCTTCCATTGGATGTGCTACCCCTGAAAGGGACATGAACTGGGGGAGATCAAGAAAGAAATGAAGTATGAATCCAACCATGTATAAGGTTATTATGAAATAAATAATATTAAGGAAAAAAATTTGAGACTGGTTCTGACTCAATGCTAAGTTTAGCAGAACATTAGATATCTTCATCAGTCACAAATGAGATTCTAATTAGAGAGCAATAATTGATGATCCCCCATTTCCATATCGGACAGGTAAACTATTGAGTGACCTTCTCGGATGGAAACCAGGTACCTGACGCTGTGACAATACTGGACCGCTTCATTTCATGGATGAAGACCAATCTGGAGAAGCAATCCATAGGTGTGATTGGCCTGTAAGGGCCTCTAAAGGGGTAATGTCCAGCAATTCATGTATTGGTGATACACCGCCTGTATGGTACGATACCGAGACCCGAAGTGCCTTACTGTACGGGGAGCTAAACTAAACAAACTAAGACCACTTTCCCCCTAATGGACGAAGTAAGGTAACGTCTCTCTTCCTCTCACTCCAACTTGTCTGCTCCTACTCGACCTCAGGAGAGCAGCGATTCATCCCCCATTCACCTCCTTCTCCCGGTCCCTTCCTTAGCCAAAACCACTTGTGCTTAGCCGCTCGCTTTTCTTCCTTCAACTTCCTCTTCTTCATCTTCCCTGTCAGCCCCTTTTCTCCCCACGTTCTCTCCTTATTTAGCCCACCATGTCGTCGGCTCTCAACGCGGTATGTTGCTTGTTCCCCTTTCCATCCTCGCTACTTAAACAGATCATCCTTCTACCCCCTCCTAACCTCCACTCTACCCCCAATTGTCCCTGGATGGGTCTCTCTCACTCAGACTTCCACCCAATCTACTTCACATGAGTTACTGACCATGAGCCCACTATCTAAACAGATCAAGCTCCGTCGCAAGAAGAATGTCAAGAAGGGTATCCAGTTTTGTTTGATGGTCTGTGGTGCCAGCGGAACTGGTGCGTGTTGAAAACGGCCCCGTACTCTACTCTCAGCGGGAATTGACGAATCGCTCTTGTGACAGGCCGTACTACCTTCGTTAATACCCTCTGCGGAAAGTCAGTTCTTGAGGGCAAGGACTCCGACGATCCTACCAATGCTCATCTTGAGGAAGGTGTCCGCATCAAGCCCGTTACGGTCGGTAAGTCGACATTTGAATCGACACTAGGGGGATGTATACTGATTGATCGGCCCGAAGAGCTCGAGTTGGATGACGAAGGCACCCGCATCTCTCTCACTATCGTCGACACCCCCGGCTTCGGTGATCAGATTGATAATGAAGCAAGGCATGTGATCGCTGCCAGTGCTGGAATCGCCGCTCGCAAGACTGACCGTTTATAGCTTTGGTGAGATCGTTGGATACCTTGAGCGTCAGTACGATGATATTCTAGCCGAAGAATCACGAATCAAACGAAACCCCCGCTTCAGGGACAATCGTGTCCACGTCCTTCTGTACTTCATCACACCGACTGGTCACGGCCTGCGTGAGCTGGATATCGAATTGATGAAACGCCTTTCACCTCGTGTCAACGTTATCCCCGTCATTGGGAAAGCTGACTCCCTCACTCCTGCCGAATTGGCCGAGTCGAAGAAGTTGATCATGGAGGATATCGAGCACTACCGCATCCCTGTCTACAACTTCCCTTACGATATCGAGGAGGATGATGAGGATACCGTAGAGGAGAATGCTGAACTGCGTGGGCTTATGCCTTTTGCCATCGTTGGCTCTGACGACTTCGTGGAAATCGAGGGCCGCCAAGTGCGAGCCAGGCAATATCCTTGGGGTGTTGTCGAGGTTGAGAACCCTCGCCACTCTGATTTCTTGGCCATCCGAAGTGCCCTTCTTCACAGTCACCTTGCAGATCTGAAGGAGATCACCCATGACTTCCTTTACGAGAATTACCGTACCGAGAAGCTCAGTAAGAGTGTCGACGGTGCTACACCGTAAGTCATGCTTCACTACTTTTCTGCATATGTTGTAGGATACTGACCCCTCTAGTAGTACCCAAGATTCGTCGATGAACCCAGAAGACCTAGCATCCCAGTCTGTGCGGCTGAAGGAGGAGCAACTCCGTCGCGAGGAGGAGAAACTCCGCGAGATCGAACTGAGGGTGCAGCGTGAGATTGCTGAGAAGCGCCAGGAATTATTGGCTCGTGAGAGCCAGTTGAGAGAGATTGAGGCTCGTATGGCACGCGAATCAAGCAGCCAGGATGTCGCCAATGGTGAAGCTTAATCCAAACCTGTCAAAGACTAGTCTTACGTTGCGCGTCTGGCACTGACCGTGTCGACGTAATGGAACCTATGGCGCGGCGGCTGTAACAGTCTGGGGGTTAATATTGATTTGCTTATTCACGTTAATAACTTCGTTTGAGAGGGAGGGAAGGGAAAATGCAACGCTCCGTTAATTTGCGATGACTGGCGCCATTCCTCCCTTTCTGCAAAGAGGGATTTGGACAAGAGGCGATGAAAATTTTGCTGCAGTTCCCCACTTACTTTTCCAGCTTTTGATATCTTCTATTCCTTCCATGCGGTTGGAGTTTTCTTCTCCATTCGCAGCCCGTGTTTATGATGCTCGGGGGGTCAAAGATAGCATCGTTTAATCGTTGACAGTTGTCACTGGAACACCTGCATAAATTCCTTTCCTTTTGCCGTCTTATATATTTCTTTTTATCTCTTCCGCCCTTTGTTTCTTTTTGACTCTTATCATCAATGACACCTGTCCCAATCTCAACAGCGCAGCAAGATTCCCTCTTTTGTCATTTTATCTTTTGTGTGTTGTGGTTTATGCCTTGTCGCTTATTATTCTATGTCTTCTAGTTGAATAGTAGTACATGAAGGAAAAGTACCTCACAGTTTGTATGCCTTCGGTGTATGTCGCATACACTGATGGTTGGTAAGCAATATGCCAAGAGCCGGTGGTGGTCTGGACCCATAGTTCTTTGCTCTACAGGGTTTGGAGCTAGTCATATTCCTAAGGTGTATCGATACCGTTGACTTGCGATAAGGAGCAAAATATACAAGGGAAAAACAAGTCTCCGTGATGAATGGGTCAGCACCAGCTTTCCCTTCAATTGTAGCTTGGTTATGGGTAGCCTGAACGGTTCGAAGAGGACATACAGAAGGCTGACACGACAACCCGAGGAAAGAGATTATACGTTGAATGCAGACTGGCGGAAAAGCAGAACGAAGAGGGAAGAAAAAGAAAAAGGAGGAAACGAGACAGAATGTCAACAACAATAAACATGTGGTATTTGCGCTTCATTGTACACAGCGGAAAATAGGCAAATGATGATAGATAAAGGCTGACTTGATATAGATCAAATCACTAACATGGAGGGATTAGAGGAAGAAAACAAGAGACGCGAAATGCATAACAAAGCGAGATCGAAATGCCTTTTGGGATAACAAAAGACCGGTCTAAGAGCGATCAAAACTAACTTGAAAGAACAAAAAGTTATCTCTTATTCCCTCCATTTCTGCTCAACTAATGCTGCGGCTTGTTCCAGAAATCCAAACTGGCTACTACGTCTTCACCGGACTCGTCTTCGTAGGCGTACAGGATCTAAAGAGCGTTAGTCAACAAGGCATCGATATAAGTTAGGCTTCTTTTACGTACCTCTCTTGTCGAGGAATGCAGCATGCGAATGTTCTTCCCAGTCATGATATGAATCAGCTCGCTCGTCTCGATGTGTCTGATTTCTATGAAGTTCGGTTCAAAAGCGAGGATATAAGGGTAAGAGAGTGCGAAGGCATTGGGATTGCCCTCCCATGAAATCTTCCAGTCTGAACGAGCGCGCCAGCCATTACGATTGACAAAGAACGAGAAATCACTGTAGTTGAGAAGGAACTCGCCATTCATTCGTTCAATATGAATTGGCTTGACGTTTTCTTTGCGTGCCACAAAGTCAAGGGAGGTGTCGGCTTGATCTAGGAGGGACTGCGTCTCGGTCGTTTCAAGACTGACAACTTCAAAACCACGAGCACAGCCAACGCAAAGAGTTGAACGGAGGAAATGAATTGAGGAGGATTCAGCAGGGATATAGTATTCCTAAAAGCGTTATTAGATGGGGATCTGCAGGTGTATTACGCTGACTAGGAGAGATATACGAACCTTGAAGGGCTTTAGGGTGTCTTGACCACCCTGGAACATCTTACTGACAGCAGACTTCTTCTTCCCCTTTGCCAGGTTGTCCATTGGCTCGTATACTTTGATAGTACTTGACAGAGCAGAAGTCTTGACAGAGCAGACCAGATGGCGACCAAGACCAATACCGGCTTTGAAGAAATTTGCGTGGCCTTGAATCTTCTTGGGTCTCTTTGCTACTGTGTTCTGGCCTTCCCCTATCTCAAGCGCTTCCATGGGATAAGAGGATAACGTTTTGTTCGACAAGACCAAGAGTAGTTGATACTCTTCCAGTGTGTCTATTTGGGTAACCTGGCTGGCGTCTAAAACGCGTCTTGGCTTCGCAGATTTGTCCTTGGGCCAACGCTCCGAGATGTAGATACCACTGTCTGTACCGTACACCAACTTTCTGCCACCATCGATAGGGACAAGGCAATTTACCCGATTGATTGCTGTAAAGAAATTCTCGCAGAGCACAGTTTTATCATAGAAGTTGCTATTCCGCTCCCTCAATTTTCTTTGCTGTTCTTCCACAAGTTCAATGAATTTTCGTCTTTGCGTGGGGGACGTGGCATAGAGAGTTTGCTCATAACCACCCTTGCCAAGATGCCTGAAAGTAATGGGGAGTCCATCTTTCGTGGTCGGCGGATTCGCGGCAGCCTTATTTGGGAGTAGGCTAGACGAGGGTCTTTTGGCAATTCCGGCCCTGGGGATTACCTCGTCCATCTGCGCAATGACCAAGAGTTCTAGAGGGATTGGTTTCCGGTAGACTCGATACTCCTCGCGCTTGTTCACAACCTTGATTCTCACCAGTAAAACAGCATGGTCAAAAAGATATGCTGTGACCTCGGAGCTATCAGTAGGTGTCTTTCGGAACGCCATTTTCGTTAGCATTTGGCGGTTCTCTTCGGTAAGTTTCAAGTCGACATAATCACCAGGGCCGAATTTTAGTGCTGCATTAAGCTGAACGAGATTGAAATGATTTTCGGCTCTTCCACTCTCGGTATTAACGCGGGACAGGAAATCCTTGATAAGCTTGACAGCTTTAGGAATATCTTCTTTGTCGGGGTTATCATCGGCCGTGTTTTTCAGGACCTGCTCAAGGAGCAGAGGATATCTTGCAAGACGGGTGGTAGGTTTAGTTAAGTAACCATTCAGTTCAAGCTTTCGTGACTCCTTAAGACGCTCCGTCTCTTCCACAAACCTTGCAAAGGCTGGATTCGACGCTTTTTCTTTCTCGAACTCATACTTCCCGTAAAGCTGGTTCGCACCGTACTTGATAAACGGATCGAATCGTGGGACGTGCTGAAGGAATATATCACCAACAGTTTTCACTACTTGACTCTCCTTCTGTCTGGTATTGAGAGCCTCGGCCAAGCCGCCATTTACTTTCAGGACCTCCAAACAATTTCCAAATACTGTACGGATGAACTTTTCTCGTCGGTGCTCTGGAATGGGTGAAATATTGTTGTTACCAGCGGAACGTAAAGGCCTCATCCAGAAATCTCGCAAATATTCCAAATCCTTGACGAAATCACGCTCTGTGTACATAATCTCGAAAATAATTTCCTGTCGTTTCTTTTCGCGATCATCGAGGCCATCAGAGACTTCCTTAGGAACCATGTTGATCCATAATTTCTGGTTGTCATTATCATCATCATCGCCATGCAGACTCCCTTTGGAGGCAGACGACCGCAAACCCGGCTGTGGCTTGAGATTCAGTTTTGCTTGTTGCTCCAATCTCCTGGGACATGCGATTGAGTAGCATAAGCTGTCACGAGTACAAGTCGGGGAGTAACACTCGGTGAGAAGCGTGAAAACTCCATTGACTTCAAAACTGGGCGCTTCTTCTCCCATCGTTTCTTTGAATTGGTAGAGCTCAGCAGGAGAATCTCGAAGACGATGGTCGTATGTCACATCGTGGAAAAACTTCTGCGCATCCAGAGCACGCCCTAGAAGAAGAGCTAGATTCCGATCGTTCGTTTTAATAATATAGCCGATCAAATCTACTGCATCCGCACCAGAGAAAGCGTTTTGATATGACAGCCCGTTCTTCTGCCGCTCGGCCAGCACAATCTTCTCTCGAAAGGCATCAGCAACTCGCGAAAGTAAAGCTGGATAAACCAATGGGACTTTGCTTCTGCGGGAGTTGCTTGCCACAAGAGTTGTCTGGCCAGGAGGCTTCTGAGGTGTCTGGCTTTGCATACTCATTGTTCGATCTGGCACCACCGTTGATGCCATCGACATGGATCGCGAGGCCGTCGAACTATCACTCGGTGGCCGTGGCCTGCCGTTGACATTCTGGACACTCGCTGGGTCCACCTCTTGGCGAGGAAGTGGGGGTTGGCTAGGGCCTGATGGCTGTCTTCGAGCAGGGATGACCCTCCCCGTGCTTGTAGTATGGTTGTAGTCGCGGTCAGTGGAATATGAAGTCAATGACATAGTGCGCTCGTTCCCATGTCTCTCCGGCACAACTCTTCCTTGTGCGGTCATTGGGGCTGCGGCGTTATACGGCTGCTGGCGAAAAGCGCTTGCAGAGGTATGATTGAAACTACTAGGTGGTGGTTGATACATCGGTGGTCCGCCCATTCTCGCCATTGACCTTGACCTATAAGCATCTGAGTTCAGCGCAGGGGGCGGCATAGGTCGACTATATCCCTTTGCATCCGGATACTGTGGTCCTGGGCTCGGCCTCGAGTCTAACCGTTGGGGCTGAGGATATGCGAAGCGTCCAGGATACGGCCGTGGTGCATTCTGGGGAGGGTGAGAAGTCATAGTTGCTGCGGACCCGGGGTACGCTTGATAGTATCCGTTTGGAGTGCTGGGTGGATGCCCATTCTGCCCCTGGCGTTGCGGTGGCGGCGGACCTCTCTGCATCTGGGGATGCGGCACGTGTGATGACATAGTGTGAGCCCTATCCTGAGAAAATTGAGGTGTTTGCGAGGTCATCGTCTGAGAGCGCCCGGGTGGTGGTGCCCCACCGAATATCTCGGAAAATGCAGCATCACGTTGGAAGGATGAGGGATGTCCGTAGGGCCGGTAGTTCCGGCCTTGGTGGCCTCCAAGATCGGCCATATTTGTGATCTTCCCTCTTTTCCTCTCCGACCCTAATTTCGGAATTTATTCGGATAGAGAAATGTGACGGTTAGCGAGAATGTCGGGAGATTGTGAGTGTCCTAGCCCTGATGCAACGAAAGGGTATCGGAACCGGTCGTAGAGAGCGTCGCGAGATGATCGTTGGGAATCGTGGAGAAAGGAGGAGGGACAAGGGGAGACGGAAAAAGAAACGTAGGGGAAGAGAAAATGATACTCCACAGGCGATAATTTATAATCAAGTAAAAGACAAGAATCAAATTGAATAAGAAAGAAAATTTCTAGACACAGAATAATTCTGAGCGTATCATGCCTCAATGGGGAGGCTTCTGTCCTGAGGCGATTTCAAAGCCTGGAAGAAGGCGTTGACAAGACCGCGTGGTGTGCTAACGATGGAAGTGCGCTACTAAGGAGCCTTGAGCGCAACGGCAAGCCAGGGCCCCCTGTAAGTTCATAGCCTTAGCATCCTCCCTCGGACTAGTCGATCGGTCGAGGTAAAAGCGAGTCCGGCAAGAGGGTGACAGAGAGAAGGGCCAGACAAGGTGAAAAGTTGGGGGTGGGAGGAGCGGGGGGGTTGTATTTTGAAGGGGAGTATGTATGGGAAATGGTGAAGAATGGTCCGTCCGTGATGGAAAAGCACGGGGGTTGTTGGGTTGAACAGGCACATGTCAGTCTTAACCCGGATAGGCCAAGAGTGTGGCTCTGCGGCTGTACGGTGGCCCGGGCGAGCAACTTGGGACGGACAACATTCGTCGACCTAATCTCCAAGTTAATGATCCCCGAGCTTCAACGAAAGCATTATTCTAGTCGCGTTTCTTTTCCTTTCCCTCTCCCTCCCTTTTCTAGGGCTTCATTTCAACTTTAGTCTATTCTCTATCTTTAACACTTCCCTCGTTCTCTCTTCCTCTCCTCTTATCTCCTTCCCATTCCCCATCGAAATCTGGTCATAATGGCCGACAGCGAGTTCTCGCCAAAGTTTGCCCCATTCTTCTCCTTTGTAAGACAAATAACTGGGCGCGGGGCTCATACTCCATACAGTAGAAATTTGCTGACTTTGTGTGTTAAGGCAGGAATAGCTGCAGCTGTGAGTACTCCGTGAGTGTGACTCGACGATTCTACGCTAACGCCCTCTCGAAAGATGATCTTCGGATGTATGTCTACACTCGATCCTTGAATGATAGCGACAGTATCGAATACTTATCCAACTTTTAGCAATGGGAGCAGCATATGGAACGGCTAAGTCCGGCATTGGTATCTCGGGTGTGGGAACCTTTAGATCGGATCTGATTATGAAGGCATGAACGGCATTTCCTTCCATCAACATATCCAGCAATTGATTTGCTGACCAAAATAGTCGCTGGTTCCGGTCGTTATGTCTGGTATCATCGCGGTATACGGCCTTGTCATCGCGGTTCTCATCGCACAGGATTTGCAACCACCTCCGGTACAGAACACGAGTCTATATACGTACGTACAATTTGCAAATTACGCTTCACGAAATGGAAAACATTCTGACGGTGCAAAAAGTGGATTTATGCACCTTGCATCTGGATTGTCGGTTGGTCTCGCAGGCATGGCTGCCGGATACACTATTGGGATTGTTGGAGATGCGGTAAGCGGTCTTCCCGCGGCTATGCGTATACCTGCACACTTCTAACAGCTACCCTAGGGTGTACGTGCATACATGCAACAGTCCCGAGTCTATGTCGGAATGATCCTCATCCTCATCTTCGGTGAAGTTCTTGGCCTCTACGGGTATGTGATTCTTGTCATGCGCGGATAAAAATCTTTGACGCTAATTGGGACAGTTTGATTGTCGGTCTGATATTGAATTCGAAGAGTCACGGTTAAACTGGATTAGGCGTTACATTTTGATATTCCCGATATATTGGCGACTTGCACTTTTATCAACTCCTTGAGCTTCTTCTATACCAAGGGCCCATCACTCAGGACTACGAGTTCCTCTAGACCGCTGCTTCCTTCACAGCGGTCTTCTCCCCTTTCTGTGGCCACACTTTGAATGTTTCCTCGCAGGTGTTTCCATTGGGACTTCATCCCCTTTAGCCTTCGGGAGACTTTCTGTACTAGTATATCATATGCCCACACGCTTTGGATAACAATAACAATATTGAACCTTTTCCCTTTTCAAGCTAATGCATTCTACCTTCTCTCTTCCCCTTCGCATCATAATCAAAGAAACCTATGGGGCAAAATCAAATGTTCGAGAGATCGGGTGGTGGGTAGCAGTGGATGCGACCGACTCCTTCTCATCCCGCGGTTTTTGCCCCGCCAGTCGGTAACGTCAGAGTGTACCCCCGTAGCGCCGCCGACGGACAAGGACGACCTCACCACAGCTCTTTCATCCCGCAATTACCTTAATCTTCACTATCTCCCCCGCGCCACTTCCGCACATCCAATCCGCACCCAATGGAATATCACGTTTACTTCGCATTTTAGTCGTGATTCTAGGGAGCCTATCAGTCGCCCAATTGTTATTTAAAGCGCCCCTCTCTTCCCCCCTCGTCGGGGCGTTCGGATTCCTGCGGTTCCCCGAGACATGATCCTTCCCCATCCCCATGGCTACAGGAACGATCGACCCTTCGGCCCCTAAGGACGTCCAGGGGTCCTCGTCCCCACCCAGAGATATCGATACGGGGCCAAATAATGTTCATGAGAAGGAAAAACAGATGGTGGCTGCTATCCGACCGCCGCACCAGCGACATCTAAGTCCTTTCGTCATCACCGAGCGGCCGGAGGAAAAACAGCTCGGCGTGTCTACCCGCACCTTGACGGTTGATGACTTTGCGCTTTTGAAAACCCTTGGCACCGGTAGGTCTAACTGCTTGGTTTGGGTGGGCATAGTTGGTGGCTAACAGTACGACTGTTGTTAATATTAGGCACGTTCGCCCGGGTATGGCTAGTGAGATTGAAGGACGAGATTCGACAGAGGGATAAAGTCTATGCACTCAAAATACTACGAAAGGCAGATGGTGAGACTACTTGGACGTTCACTTTTACATATTGCAGGCTGACCTTTGGCTTAGTGATCAAGTTGAAGCAGGTCGAACATGTGCGCAATGAGCGGAAGACCCTCTCAGCGGTGGCAGGCCACCCTTTTATAACGACACTAATAGCCTCTTTCTCCGATAGCCAAAGTTTATACATGCTGGTACGGGCCCTTAATTCTTCCATTAGTGTCTCCTCCCTACGCTCCCCCTGTTATCGACCCACCAACGTTTACTGTAAAACTTATGGTGGCCATCTAACATTTATTTAGCTGGACTATTGCCCTGGTGGTGAGATATTTAGCTATCTACGGCGCGCGCGACGGTTCAACGAAAACACGGCCAAATTCTATGCGGCCGAAATAACTCTCACTATCGAATATCTCCACGACGTGGAGGGTATCGTGTATCGTGACTTGAAACCCGAAAATATTCTTCTGGATGCCGAAGGCCACATTAGGCTTGTCGACTTTGGATTCGCGAAGAAAGTGGGTGATCGGGAGACGTACACCCTATGTGGCACCCCAGAGTACCTTGCCCCGGAAGTCATTCATAACAGTGGCCATGGGCTTGCAGTCGACTGGTGGGCCCTAGGTATTTTGATATACGAGTTCCTGGTTGGACAGCCGCCTTTCTGGGATCAGAATCCTATGCGTATATACGAACAGATTGTTGAAGGCCGCATACGCTTCCCCCAAAATATGTCGCCGGCGGCCCAGAACATCATATCTTTACTTTGCAAGACCAGCCCGACAGAGCGTCTAGGGCACATTTCTGGGGGCTCTGCCAGAGTCAAGTCACATCCATTTTTTGAGGATATTCAATGGGATGATTTGTTTTACCGCCGTATTAAAGGACCCATTATTCCGAGAGTCGACCATCCTGCAGACACCGGAAATTTCGAAGAGTATCCTGATCCGGATGTGAGAAGTCAAAATGTTTACACCGATGATTTGAGGAAAAAATACGAGGCTTTGTTTAGCGACTTTTAGGAGCGGTGTTCTGAAAACCTCCCAACCATACAATTGAGCAAACATCCTTTTATGAACATACTGACGCTACGCGATAAGCTCAGCACGCCGGAGGACGATTCAGGCATTCGGATGGCAACTAAGACTCAGCGCCCTTGCTTAAAACCAACGAATTACCATACATGCCTATTCACGAGCGACATCTAGTTTGCCATGCAATACTCGCGCATCATGCTTAATGACCTTTCCTCTTCGCAAGAGAGTGTCCCAATACGTCCGCGTTCGCCTGACGACTTTATACGGCTTACATAGTATTCTCGGGACTTTTACCACTCAGTCCCTCTTGTTTCCCTTTTTCTTGGCATGCTTCTCCCTGTCAGCCGCCTCATGCGGCCTTCCAGGGGATACGAATCAGTACCCTATTTATGCCTTGCAAAGGTCATTGTCAACTAAAAAGGTCCACGAAACTCCGTCATGAAGTTACGGTTATCTTTTGCTCTGTATTTTTTTCTCTCTCTTTTCTTGTTCCCGTGTATTTTTGTTATTCACCTAAGCATATGATGTACTATCTTCCATTCACAGCTTCGCTATTATACATTAGCTGATTTTATTATGCTACACGATTACCTTTGTATTCTCTCGGTTCAATCCGGGATCTTCTATACTTTTGTTATATGCCTGCCCATCTTTACAATCTTAATCGGTGCTATATGAAATTACGACAATATAAAACGATATGAGGTTTTGTACGGTTTGCTTCCCTACCTTGTTCACGAAAAAGATATACAGTACAGTTTGATGAGTTCTATACTACTAAATACCTAATACCAACGTTTCTCTGCGCATACTTATTCTTGCCTGAAGCATCCTAAATCGTGGACTACTTAGCCTTATCAAAGCAAAATTCACAAGGAGCAACATTAAATTTCGTTAAGTTCTCTATATCTATACAAAAATTCTAGATCACGTATCAAGAGAAAAGAAACAGACAAGGAGGCTTTCATATGAACACACGGGAGGAATTAAGTAAGGGTAGATAGACTAGATCAGATCGGATCAGATCGAAAAGTCTTAGCCAGAGGACGATTTTTGTTAGGCTCAGGGCTGGTGATCTTCGATTCCTCGAGAATAGTACCTAAGTGCACTTCCCGTCCATCATTTGATAAAAAAAACCCCTGGATTCATTTTCTGAATGGTCAGCTGCGTAGGGTTGGCAGCTGGTTGTGATCACAGGGGCATGACTCGTGTATACGTCATTCATGCCGTCATTAACGTGATTCACTATAGGACTGCGATGTTCCAGTAACACACCAGTCGAGTCGGTTTTCATAGTATATAAAGTAGTGGTAGAAGAGCCGACAGGTGAGCGTTTTCTCACTGTCTATGTTTGTTGGAGATTGGGAAATTCCCGGAGGGAGTTGTGATGCGGGTGGTGTCATCGATCAACTTCGTCTTTTTTTTTTTTTTTTTTTTTTTTTTTTTTTTTTTTTTTTTTTTTTTTTTTTTTTTTTTTTTTTATTTTTTTTTTTTTTTTTTTTTATAAAGATGGGTCTGTTTTCCATGTGCCTGGTCGTGGCCGTTAGTATTGATTTGAATCAGAGATACGGAGGGGTATGTAGGTACCGTCAAAGTCGTGTTTAACGAAGGCCATCGGATCATCATAGTCCCCTGCGCCCATTTGCTGTACGCCGGGGCTGAAGCTCGTAATGGGCAGAACCACCACGTCGCCGACTTTCTTCCATTCTTTTTGATTTGTGAAATCTTCGTAGGTGACATTTTTCGTAGAATCCGGTTCGATGTTGAAGTAATCTGGGTCGTTGAAGTATCTGAAGATGGCATCCGTCCAGGCTCCCGGTCCCGTGAACTCCACGATGGTCTTGTCCATCTTGCCGACTTTGAGAATTCCCGCTTTCTTCATCCGGAGCGATTCCTCTGTGATGTAGGCCACAATGTCGCGGAGGATAGGGTGTCCCGGCTTAGATTGAATGGTCCATTGACAGAACTGGAGTCTGCGCGAATACCAGTCATGCCAGTCCGGACGGTCAGGGTCCGCCTCGATGCCGACCACAAATCCGATAGTCGACAGATCGTAGCTCGCGGGTAGCCAATCAGCAGCGGGCTGCAAAGCGCTGGTGTCGATGTCGCTGTAGATTCCGCCGCGGGCTAGCAGGATCAGGTATCTGAAGAAGTCGGCCTTCAAGACTGGCAATGGCAACGAATCGTAGGCCTCGAACACATCCGGAAGCGAACTGTAGAGGTACCTGACAAGATACCGCTGCGTATCATCTGGAATCACCTGATGGACGAACCCAGGATGCATCTCAGTCCAGCTTGCCTCCGCAGCTCGCAGCTCTTGACCGAACCACAAAGAATCGGGAGTATATTTCCATGTTTGCCAGATGTATGCGGGGAATTTGTTATCGAGATCGTAGGGGAAGTGATAACGTAACCGTTCGCGCAGGGGAGCGCTTGGGGAGGGTTTGAGCGGCTGCTGCTGCTGTACCGCATCCTTTTTCGGCCCTGGCGAGTGCTCTTCTAAAACTTCGTTGCTATCATAAAGGTCGCCTTCGCGTAGATATACGGGCGCAGCGGACGATGAGGGAGACGATGTCGCATGTGAAGACCTTAGAAGGACGACGAAGGTGATAAGGAGGAGGGCCGCGATTAGCGACCTTCGGAACGTGAGCATAGTTGAAAGGGGCGACGAAGATTCTTGACGCGAAGTCGTAATTCACTGGCACGTAAGCAAGATTTAAGATACGTCACAATCTTCTCCGCAGACTCCGCCGACGATCAGTGAGTGACAACGGTTGTTGAGATGCGGCAACAGCCAGACTGTTTATGCGAATGGATCTCGATTTGCGTCCCACTCAATGGTCGTTGAAGTCGCACATATCTTCCCTTCGCTCCAGCTCGAATGATTTGTAATTACAATAAAGAATTGTATGGGCTAAGACCAATCGTGTTTTGTTTCCAGCGTAGGAGTTGACGGAGTCTCGGCGGTTTCACGGCGTGCGACGAGATCCAGCTGCTGTGTAAACGGAGCAAATTGATCAATTGGCGAAGAGGAATCCCATGTAGAGACTATCGCAATTTCAAGAAGAAAAGAATCAATTAAGAGACAAAAAGATAATAATAATAGAAGATCCGGTGGAGAACAATACGAGAGGCTGAGATGAGGAAATACAGAAAAGAAAAAGGAAAAAAAATATAGGCTAGGTGGAGCCAAATGACGACGGCACTTCTTTGGTGGCGTAAGAATCCACGTAGATGTCTGACAAGCAGAGGGTTTTGGGGGCAGTTTCAACGTGAGGTTGTTCAGACTTCCAGGATGGAATTTCCAGGGGTGTCAGCGTGCCTTATTTAAAAGACCATAAAACCACGGTTAATTTTACGGAGGTTGAAATTGAGGAAGTGTGGAGATCATTTCGTGCAACGCTGGCCATGGACACCTTTTTTCTTTCTCTTTTCCGCAACGGGAGATGATCAGCCTATACCTTCACGATTCGTCATTGACGCGATGGGCTGATTTATGTTTGGTCAGTTGTTTGGATCCTTGGAACGGAAGACTAGGCATCTGTAAATAAGTAGTAGATAGTGGCTTACATGAGGTTCATGTTATGTTATTAACCTGGGTCCCCACAAGCCACCGTCTGCCGCTTGCGGGCAATAAATTACATCTAGACTTCAGTAACGTTACCTGAGATAAAAACCCTGAAGGCGCTCCTTTCCCAACCTTATCTTCATTTGTGTTAAACATAGTAGCACACGGCGATAGCGTATGCACTGCTCTCAGACATGTACTTAATATAATGGAGACCGTCGTCATGCATGTTATTGGCGGGCATCTGTAGGTATAGTAGAATAATCCCGGTCAAGCCGCGTCATTAGCATTTGGCCTCGTTCCGACAGATCTGCAGGCTTGCTACCGTTTGATTGGTCCGGTTGACTGCATCTTAAAGCGGACTTAAGTCAAGTTGGCAAGTACTAATCCAACGTCAGGAGAACCACGTACAGTACAGTACAGTTCTGAATCGCACATATCTGATCCGTATCGCACAGAGATGTCTTTCCTTCCGTTACAACCGTGGTATGTATTTACTATGTGTTTCCAATACCCAGCAAGGTTTAGAGCGCCCGAAAGTGTTGATCATCGGTTTCATTTAGAAGACCGGGACGGCAATATGTCTTAGGAAGAACTTAGGAAGAAAGGAACTTTTCTCTCAATGGGTGCGCAAATCAACTAAATGTGCCCAGCTTCCTTAGTGAAGAGGTGTACGTAGGACGTAGCATTGAACAGACGTTGACCTGGGATGATCTTCAATTTATATACACTTGCGCTTCGGGCCTCCGGCGGAGGAGATCGAGGATTAGCACTATATGAAACATATATGGGGTATATGGTATGTAGATCGTGCTTGTGTCAGGTACTAGCTGCATCGGATGGCTATTATTGTCTCCAAGATTGACTCCGAGATGGTTACTTGCACATACACTCCATACTAGATCAATTCAATTCAGTCCTAAACAGCGTCTGCCCCTGTATACTTAGTAGTTACTCATCAATCCCAGTTAGATGGAATAAGTAAAACACTCTTTGGAACACGAGGAGCGGCCTAGACGTTGTTTGGCCAGAAGTGCGGGAGTCCCACCTTCAACCCCAAACCGGTATCTTCAGTGGAGATTCGTTACACTGCTTCAACCTCCTTCATGAGAAGAACCTTGGATGGGTCTCCAAAATACTCCATTTTGGATGTTACTGTACCTGAGGCGGTTGCATGTGCGAGAAAAACAAGGCACATCAATTTCATATCTTCTAAATATAGCAGTATCACCTTTCACTAGCCTAGAAATCCGGGAAACCGAAGGGGCGCCATGACAGTGTACTGCGTTGCTATCTCCAGGATAGGTTAATTACGACACCGTCGACATCTATAGTATCGAGGATGGTGGAATGACCTGTTACTACCAAGCTGCGAGATATGGAACACAGTGGAGTAATACCGGCCAGAGACCCTTTTCATTTCCTCCACTGTAACTTAGCAAGTGGACGCCTACTAATAAAGCTCAGCTTCCTATTCATGGTCAATATACCTAGTCAGCTAACTACGAGGTCAATTGAATATGCTTCTTCAGCTACAGGCGAAAGAGCACTTCGATAAAACTGAGACTTTTGCTGGATACTGTAGCCTTGTATGTCAAAGCTTTAGGAGCAATGCAAATACTTCTCAGTGTAGCGTTGTATGCGGGTTGCAGTATTAGTACTAATGTTCTATACTAGCAGACGCATATACTTTGAATAAATGATAGGTTTACCTAGGCATCTAGAATGTCAACCTCGAAGTCACGATCTTAGTCATTACCTTACCCCTCAATGCCACTGTAGAACCCGAACTAGATGCTTATAATGGATCTAAGTCTTGACGCATTCTATTATATACCAAGTCTTCTAAATTTCCTTGTACAACTCAACATCTTAAAGTTGTTGATATAGTAAGCCGCCGGCCAATCACACCACGAGGAGATGACGCCATGAGCATTCCCGCAGCTGTTGACGCCTCAGGCACGACTCCCGCCTGCGTAATCGGCGATCAAATAGTTATAAACACGGTCTTCTCAACCGCAGATCTCCTAGCCAACAGCTAGTACTGCAAGTATAGATCGCTTTTGTACTGCGATTTTACTACCTGCTCAGTTAGCCATGGGATCTATGCGTGGCGTGGCGCGCTCAGCGCCGCGGAGTCTCACGTCTTTGTTCAGACATAGTGAGAGCTTCTCGACTCTCGCCGGAAGGAATCGACTAGCAGCAGTATGCTTGTCGACGCAATGCCTAACTAGTCGTAGGCCACTGCATAACGGCCGCCCACGGAAATCACAGTCTGCTACGGCGAATAATAACTCATCCAACCCAGCGTTGTCTTTCCCTTGCCTTGACGCCCAAGATGCGAAGTCTGCACTCCTCTCCGCACGTTCTCTCGAGTCCGGCCCCGAACCATCATACACTACTGGTCACCATGAGCGGTACCGCTGTGAAGATCCATTGCTGCTAGACTGGGGTGGTGTCTTGCCCGAATTTGACATCGCATACGAAACATGGGGACAATTGAACGCGGACAAGAGCAACGCTATCCTACTACATACCGGCCTCTCCGCCTCGAGCCATGCCCACAGCACGGAGGCTAACCCAAAGCCCGGATGGTGGGAGAAATTCATAGGCTCCGGCAAACCATTGAACACAGACAAATATTTCGTTATCTGTACGAATGTCATCGGGGGCTGCTACGGCAGCACCGGGCCATCGACCATCGACCCCTCTGATGGCCAGAGATACGCCACCCGATTCCCCATTTTGACCATAGATGACATGGTGCGGGCACAATTCCGTCTCTTGGACGCTCTGGGGATTCGGAAGCTGTATGCCTCTGTGGGCTCCAGTATGGGCGGCATGCAGAGTCTGGCTGCCGGCGTCCTGTTCCCAGAGCGCATCGAAAAGATTGTCAGTATCAGTGGATGTGCACGAAGCCATCCATACAGTATCGCCATGCGGCACACCCAGCGTCAGGTGCTTATGATGGACCCGAAGTGGGCCCGTGGATTCTACTACGACTCTATTCCGCCTCATTCGGGCATGAAGCTCGCGCGGGAAATTGCGACAGTAACTTACAGGAGTGGACCGGAGTGGGAGAAGCGGTTTGGTCGGAAGCGCGCAGATCCTAGCAAGCAGCCTGCGTTGTGTCCCGATTTCCTTATCGAGACATACCTTGATCACGCGGGCGAGAAGTTCTGTTTGGAATATGACCCGAACAGTCTGCTGTATGTGTCCAAGGCCATGGACTTGTTTGACCTCGGCCATGCACACCAACTGGAGACGAAGACACGACGGGCCGAATATGAAGCCAACATCGCGGACGGAGGCAAGACTCTTGACTCGAGCGACATTGCTTGCAGCCTTACTCTTCCCGAGAAACCGTACGAAGAGCAACCGGTTGTTACTGCGTCTACGCCCTCGATGGATGAGTCTGTATCTGGAGGCGAAGCAGAAGTAGATGCGCCGCCACAGGATCTCGTCGCCGGACTGGCCCCCTTAAAAAACCATCCGGTTCTGGTAATGGGTGTTGCCAGTGACATTCTCTTCCCTGCTTGGCAGCAGCGTGAGATTGCAGAGACACTCAAAGCCGGTGGAAACGAAAAGGTCCAACATATCGAACTGGGCGAGGACGTATCAATGTTCGGACATGATACATTCCTGCTTGATCTGAAGAACATTGGCGGTGCGGTAGAGAAGTTCTTGCGCTGAGGAAATGTCGAAGGCTATCCTTTCTATCTGTTTTACGAGCGGGCAAGCGATGGCCTATTGCGTCCCGAGCGTCTTTATTTCTCCTGTATATTCTACCCTGTATACCTTTATGAGCCTGGCTGTGAAACGTTCAGATGACCAGGCCACTCTACTCCCTGCTTAATACCAAAAAGCAGTAACGAGCAGATTACAATGATCAACGTTTACCTACATAGCAAATATCCCAAAATAACTTCCATGTAGATAGAATAATAGTATACCTGCAAATGCTAAACCCAAAAACATCATCTCAATAATAGAACAAAGTTTGAAAACGAGTTATTGAATGGCCCTCAGATTAGCTCTCAGGTTCTCATCGGTTTCCAGGCTATTGTAGAGCGTGTTTGCACACGAAATTGCCGGATACCATACAACTTTGGCTTTTGGTTTCACCTCGTCACCGGGCACGCAATGAACGATAAAATGAACACTCTGAAAGAAGAACAATGAACAAGATCAAAGAAACATGGGAGAGACAGCTGCAGCAGTTTGATCATATATCCATTAGCAAACAAGCAAACTATACGGGCATATCCACTAGAAATATTCCTTTCCGGCTAGTCCGCTATAATATTTGTTGCGACTTGCTATATAACTATAGCACAGATGTTTTTGTGGATAACCTACTTGTTTCCCCTTGGGTCACCGGTATAAATTGTCGTTAGCCGTTGAAACGGGTGGGGTAGTTGGTTAGCAACTTCAGGGTGATCGACTGCCATGCGACGTAGGGAGTTAAATGGTGGGCCTCTGATATCCTTGATGAGATAATAGAAGCTAGAAAAGTGAGTAATTCCTTCGAGTTGTCAGAGAGATGGATAGCAAATGTTAGTAAAAGACTGAATTGTATTGCAGTGAATGCAGTCGAACACATCGCGGTCGGTGATAAGCAAATTTGAAAATGTATAAGAGTGCCCAACTTTCTACTCCCGAGCATTAGGATGAAAAATATCGGTTGATTGCGTGAACGCGACTCGCCATAGGTAGTACGACGAGAGACTTGCTTTTGCTGATCCCTTAGATCTCTGTTCTGTCTCAATCACCCACTCTGAAGCATGATGTCTTCTTCCATTCGGCGGCGCGAAGGATAAAGTCCATCGCCTGTATCGTGCGATACACAGGTGTCATGAGAAGCTCTAGTGATGGGTTATCGTCATCGGGATTGAATAAAGTAGTCCTTTCTCGAACTGTATGGAATTGAGTTAGCGGATAATCTCGCCATCAGGATAAGGGTCCATACTAACGCACCTGGTAGTCTACCTGGTTCGAGATGAACGACTTGTCTAAAGTTGGAAGGGAGAGAAACGTCCCAGCTTTGTTTGAAGCTACGGAATATTTGGGGAGCAGCACGTGACCGTATAGTGGCCGGCGAGTCTCCGAGAAATTCTATGGCATTACGTATTAGTCCATAGGCGTTCTATATCTTGGAAATCGCAATGGTAAGCATTTTGTATTTATTTGAATCTCTACTCCCAAAATCTGTGTTCCAGTCGCCCAATGCGCTTTGATCTGATGGATTCCTAGATCGTTTGAACGATTGGTTGACGTCTACGAGTTAGAAATCGGAAATCGCCTGGGGGAGACAGCACAAGAGATAAAATAGCGGAACAATGTCTTCTTGGTTACAGCGACAGGCTGGCTCCCACCAGTCACAGCTTGCTGCAACGGCTGTGCTCTCGGGAGCCGCTGTTGCAGGCGCCATTTTTGGCTACCAAGCGCTCAAAAGGAAAGAAGCTGTCAGGGAGCTAAAGGCGTCTATTCCGGGCATCGGTGACAACCATACTGTCGGGAAGGTATTCTGTTCCGCACGGTGTATTTCACGATTGCCTTAACTAACCTTTTATGTAGCTTACCAAGTTCGGTAGCGCAGACCCTGTGCAGCAATTGAGTAATGAAGATGAGCGCAGTGCGGCGCTTGCGCGCAGGGCGCAGATGGGCGACTATGACGGCGGTATGTACGGTTTTCTCATGAAAAGCTCATTCCAGCCTGTTGGCTAACTCCTGTCTCATTTAGAGCTTATCCTCGAGCAACTTGCCCGTAACCGCGTTTTCCTCACCGACGAAGGCCTCGAGAAGCTTCGTTCATCATTCATAATAGTTGTGGGCTGTGGGGGCGTCGGATCGCATGCGGCAGCCTCCCTTACAAGATCGGGTGTATCTAAGATACGGCTGATTGATTTCGATCAAGTCACTCTATCGTCTCTGAACCGACATGCTCTTGCCACTCTCGCTGACGTGGGCACACCGAAGGTGCATTGCATTCGCAAAAGGATGGAACAAATCACACCATGGGTCAAATTCGACTGCCGAAACGAACTCTTCGGAGGATCCGTTGCCGACGGTCTTCTTGCCCCGTGGTCGATGAATGATAGTGACAAAGGACGGAAGCCGGATTATGTGCTGGACTGCATTGATAACATCACCTCCAAAGTCGAGTTACTACACTACTGTCATCAACACTCCATTCCAGTGATCTCATCTATGGGTGCGGGGTGCAAATCCGACCCTACATGCGTCACCGTAGGTGACATCTCGACCAGCACAGATGATCCTCTCTCGCGCAGCACTCGACGACGTCTTAAGATCCTCGGAGTAAGCACCGGTATTCCGGTGGTGTTTTCGACCGAGAAGCCCGGTCCCGGCAAGGCTAGTCTTTTGCCGCTCGCGGAGGACGAGTTCAGCAAAGGTCAGGTTGGTGAGCTCAGCGTTCTACCGGACTTCCGCGCGCGGATTCTGCCTGTCCTTGGAACCATGCCTGCAGTATTTGGATACGCTGTTGCCAACCATGTCATTTGTGATATTGCGGGCTATCCGAGAGACTACAGTATTGCCAGGAAAGGCAAGGATAAAATATACGACTCGGTCATGACGTCTACCCAGGGTTTCATGGAGCGCTTGGCTAGAGTTGAAGTCGGACAACATGTCATTGGCCTTCGTCTTCCAATCACCAAGGATGATGTTGTCTTCCTTGTGGACGAAATCTGGCGAGGAAAGAGTGCTATCAGTGGCCTTCCTGGCAGACTCATTCTCGTTCCATGGGAGCGACCGGCACGCGGCTTTGCGCCTGACACTAAGTGGGAGCAGCATGGACAGAAGTTCATCCCATTTGAGCTGAAAGACCTCGTGTGTATGACTAAGGAGGAAAGCGCAGAGCATGAGAAGGAAGTTCTACTGGGTGAGAAGAAACCAGAAGACTTATACGATGAGAAGACGATCCAAAAGATTAAGGAGCGAATTGGGGAGGTGGAATTCTACGAGAAATTCCGGTAGAAGACTTTAAACTTCTGTAAATTAAATATGATGAAGCATGGTTGATATTCACTACGTTCAAAACTATATCCATGGGCCAAAGTAAGCCCATTGTCCCGAGTCTGCTAGGTTTACTGTCTGGAGGTCATTTTTATTTTGATGGACCAAGAGTCCAGTTAGAGAGTGAAACAAATATAACAACATATAATCTAGGCCAAACAGGCAAGCAACGCTAGAACCAAAAGCGCCACAATCAGAGCTCCTCGTTTTACTATTAAGCCAAATTTTCCCGTGATACATCCACGTCTCGATCACCTGGATCTCCGAGGCCCCCCCCCTTGTCGCGACCCGGCAAAGCTCAATTTTGCACTTAAGTTTGACTCTTTAGGACAGAGATATTGGAACCTTCCACTGAAATCTAGAAATATCCACGATGAGGCATTCATCATGGAAATAAAAGAGATATCTGCTTTTGTGCCTCCTCTGTAGGACCCGTTGGTAAAATATCCGCATGCACCGCAGGAGGAGTTTTGAGAGCACGATGCAAAAGTCTTCCGTTTGTTCAAGAATCCGTACTGCGGATTCGGATATTTACCATCCCCAATTAACGTAGCAAGCAGTGTGACGATTTGTGATGGAAGGTCTTCTGGCTATCAAGGATGTTGGAAGCCAAACGAGGCGCTTGGCCCAGACTTAAAGATTCAGTCAAAGCGAAAAGAACCCCAGAGGCAGGTCCGATGGTTGAATCAATGATCTTTCAGCCATATCTCGAACAAATCTATCAGCTTCCTCCTTCACTATTGCCTTTTGCAAGTCGAGGAGTACCCTAATCGGCAAAGGGCGTTGGAAACTTAGGGCTTAGATGACATGCGCTCTTACATTTAGATCAGGGTCCTTTAACACTCCAACTAAATGAGGAATAACATTTACTGGCAAACCTTGCTGGAAAGCTCCCACAGTAGGGACCCTCACTCTTTCTTCTGGATGAGATAAAAGATGGCATACGCTATCAGAGCACTGCGCACATCAATTCAGGGTTTTCAACAGGGGTTGTCATCGCTACTTCCTGTACACTAGCTTCCTCATTTAAACAGTGCACAAGGATATCATGGTACTCTTCGCATACAAAGGACGGTTGTTCCGCTAAGGCCTCCAAGGCTAGTGCTCGGACATCGGGGTCCTTATCTTTAAGGTGCTCCTTCAAAAGAGAAGTGGGGATATTTCGTAGTCCTGATCTGAGATACCAAACACTCAACCATTGACTCTTTCCGTGCGTGATTCCGTTACGTCCAAGTATATCCATCTCTTGTTCGGCGGTGCTTCACGAACTAAATCATAAAGCACCTTATTAGGGAATTCCACCGCGTGTGCTAAGTAAAAGTGCATATCCCCCTCGTCCCTTACCATAGCCCACTGGGAGAGCTCCTGGAGGAGTTTATTTCGGTAAGGCTCAAACCGCGATCGGCCGCCATGTCGGGTAGAAACACCGCTCAAACAGTACATCACAAGGTACCAATTGGTTCGTCCTAAAAGATCCTGCGGTTCTGCTTCTATGGCCTTGAAATAGTCCAGACGCAGAATCCCTGTTTGGTAAAATATGGACCTAGCCTGTGACCTATTGAGACAAGGAAAACACAACAAAGAAAGGAATAGTAGCGGTCATAATAGCAGCGAATTTTCCAAATTTGGGCGGAGGATAGTAAATAGAGATCACAAAGTTGATTGACATCATCATGGTGTAAATAAATAGATTTAGAATATGTTCTTACCGAGAGATTAGAGTATCGGGCTTTCAGATTAAGATTTTTTATATGGATGCCTTCCATCTTCCCATCCAATGTGCGTCACAGAAAGACATGGATTATTCTATGTTACATTTGGTATCCCACCCCTCAACAAAGGAGTATGCATGTGTATCTTACTGGTCTTTGCTACCTAACAAACGCTAACACATCATATGACTTCTCCTTGTCTCTTCTGCACTAGATACAAAATGTTTGCCATCCCAGCCATCACCCACGGGTAGCTATGATCTAGACATTGCTGGTTGGATGCAAGACATACTCCACGGTGAGCTTATACCATACATATAGTTAACATCAGAAGAAAATTAGGTCTTCCTCCCCTGCGATATTACTATCAGCTCGTATAGGTAAGTCCGTATCTGATTATACTGATTACAATCTTTTCCTTCGTTGAGGCAAGGGCGAGCTTTTGCTTTTCCTTCCAGTTCTAACTTACAGCCTCTACGCCGACTTCAATGTGAAAATGACTGACACTCACAGAAACCACAGTCACGCGTCTTATCATTATGTAGTCATCTGATTTCTCAGGAGATTCACAAAATGCCTCCACATCAGACAAATCTATGCCTGACGCTCGGGACTTTAGCCTGTGTATCCATCCCTCCAAGAGCCACAATTCTATATAACCAAGATGGGAAAGTGTTGCACAGGAGGTTCTGAAGCAGTTGCCCTTATCTGGAGTTTTGTCTCTCGGGTGTTACCGAATCGGTTCTGACCAATCAGTCGACAATTGCCAGCCTACAGTACTACTGAGTGTCGACAAGGACTATGGCCGATAGTGTAATGTGGTTGAAGTAGAAATCAAGAGAAACTTGGGTAGCTTTGAGTTCTTAAACATAGCAGTCATCATCCACGAGGACAACAATACCTTCTACTATGGTGGATCTAAGAAGTTCACTTTTTTTTTGAAGTGGAAGCTCACCCTCAAGCTATATGGGCTCAGTGTGAGCGGTCGTACAGCTAAAGAATACGTGAATTTTGGCGTCTGATTGGAATTACGGAGTCCCGACACAGGGGAGTGGGAGCCGTCCGACCTTACCTGCTGTCACTGTATCTTGTCCTACAGCGATGAAGGGCTGTCAGAAGAGGAACTATTAGGTATATTGTCGATCTACTGTAAGCCTAATTCTGACATCTTGTATAGAAATACGCGATTGGAAACTTCAAGGCCTGACTCCAAAGGATTGTTCGGTTCAGAAGATGCTATAAGCCGACTGTCCTAGCCTTCTTGACGTGAACGAAAGGATTAAGTCTATGGAGAAACGACGATCGAATGTAGTGAACATGTCTCCTAGAGACAAGAAATCAGAAGAGCACTATGCCCTTGGGACGGTTTATGCCGCATCAGGGTTCCGCGTTAAAAAATTCACTACATTCAAGAGAAAATTGCCAACCATCACGGACTGGACCCTTATTCGGCCTTTTAGGGGTCGGGCCCTGAAATCTAACAATGTGAGGATTGAATACAACCCCCTAAGACCAACAGCTAGCTATAAAGAGTCAAGTTCAAGGGACAGATGATGATCATGAATCTAGATCGCCCAGTTATACCACCACCCGGGGATCATTTAGATGAAGACACGGATGTGTACAAGTGTGATCAACTGACAGATATCACAACGGGTAAGTTCAACAGTCTCAGAACCGTTTAGATAAGACATAGGGGAATAGAAGAACCACAAATTACGTGGGAACAAACCGCCACCTGGCCATATCTAAGCGGTGCCTTTATGCAACCCGGCGATTCTGGTTCGCTTGTTTTCACACAAGAAGGCAAGATGGTCGGAATGCATTTCTCTGTTGTACTAGACGGGCGCATCGGGTACTTCACCCACGTTGACGACTTAGTAGCTGACATCAAGAAGACTACAGGTGCCAGGGGACATTCGTTTAAAGCAAGACAATGGCGAGAAATGATGTACATAAATATCAGTAATCTAATCTCGATCTATTAATGGATTATATAATCTATAATTAGAGCCCCCTAACCCAACCAAGCCTAGGCCAGAGCTTATTGCCGATCCCGTTTTTGTGGCTGCGAATTATGTACATAACAAGGAACCTTACCCTGTATGGGTACCCTGTCATGCTTAACTGTTTTACTACGTAGTAGACCCGAAGAACTCTCCGCTTCTTTTCCAACCGTATACTCAGTCACCCCAGGGTACAGGGCATGATCACCGTGCATTGAAAACGCTAACAGCCCCCGCCCCGGAAACCCCATAAATCCACAATTCCCGGAACAAACGCGGGTGTCTTAACACCAAAATCCCCCCCCCAAAAAAAACAAAAATCATGCCGACTTATGCCAACCTCAACGACGTCGATTACCCCGACAACACCTCAGACGATACCACTCCACTCTCCTTCACCCACAATAACGACATACCCTCCTACCGCCTAACCAGATACGTCCGCCCGTTAATCGACTACGCCCGAAACGAGTGGCAAGCCAACCCCAAATATGCCTCCCTTCCCACCACGAACACCGACGACCCCTCCAACTCCCCGCGCTGGGTCCAGATGCTCGGCTCGATCGTCACGGCGCCGCGGTTTCGCCGGTACGTCGTCGTTTATATGTCGGTGCTGGTCTCGTGCTTCGTGGCTTGGAAGTTCATGATCTCGCCAAGGCTGGAGGAACACACGGCTATTCTTCGTGGGCTGGATCCTCAGACGAAGGAGGAAGTAGGGTGGTTTGGGGCGAACGCACTGCCGAGATTCGATGATATTGTTCAGCTCAGGACGCTGGAGCCATCGCTGGTACCGGCGGATACTGTCTCGGGGTCGGGGAGCGGTGAGAAGCGGTTGATTTTCATCGGTGATGTGCATGGGTGCAAGGTTGAGTGTGCGTCTATTACTATACCTATATACCTTTTGTTTTCTTGTTAACTAGTGCTAACATCTGGGGCTGGGCTATAGTGGGCCGATTACTCGAAGAGACATCCTTCAACCCGGACGCCGACCATCTTATTTTCACTGGCGACATGATCAACAAGGGGCCCGATAGTTTGGGCGTGGTGGAACTAGCCCGGCAGTACTCTGCTTCTTGTGTGCGTGGCAACCACGAAGACCGGGTGCTCAGTCTGCGGCACAACATGATTGCCGCGAATACAATGGGCGATGAGTTCCTGGACGACGCGAACCTGCACCGCGGGCAGTATACGAGGGAGCGCAAGTTGGCGCGGGAGATGAGCGATGAGCAGGCTGAGTGGCTTGATACATGTCCGGTTGTTTTGAACGTGGGTCAGGTTAAGGGTATGGGACAGGTGGTTGTTGTGCACGCGGGGTTGGTTCCGGGGGTGGAGCTTGATAAGCAGGATCCATACAGTGTTATGAATATGTTGACGGTTGATACGGATACGCATGTGCCGAGTGCGTCGAGGAAGGGCACGAAGTGGACGAAGGTGAGCTTATCTGTTTGTTTGTTTTGGTTGTGTAAGTTGTCAATTGGTTGTGAAGCGCTAATGGGAGGTTTTTTTTCCCCTAGTTGTTTAACAAGCATCAGACTCTCCTTTCTGAGAGTCTGCTTGAGACTTTTGAAAACCCTGAGTCGATGCTTACGACTGTTATCTACGGGCACGACTCTAAGACGTCGCTTGCTCTCAAGACATACACCAAAGGCATCGACACCGCTTGCGTCAGGGGTGGGAAGTTGACGGCGCTGGTCGTCGGGACCGGTGGAAAGCAGAACCTCGTGCAGGTCAAGTGTAACGACCATACTAAAGAGTAAGAGGTTGTTGGGTTGTTGGTCGGGTATTGGGTTTGGTTTCCCAGTTTGCTTCTTGTTCTCCACTGGGATGGGTAAGGCGTGTGATTTTCAAACACATAAGCATACTTGGTGTTATGGCGCTTCATTGTGAAATCGGGTCATTTCTTGGGCTTTTTCATGTTTTGATGGATCAAACAATGCTTGTATAATCTAGAATAAATATATACTAATCTGCTACAAGAAGACCATAGAGCTCCATCTAGAGTGATGGTCCGTACGTGGACCTGACAGTAATATATACACTTTATATATGGATACGGAATGATAAAAAAAGCCCTTTAAGGACAACACACACCTTCTCAACCCTTGCCGGAGCTATTCCACTGCCCATCCGCCTCCCAAACAGCAGGCTTCGTAAAATCCTCATACCAGATCCCACCGAGTGCGTTCATCTTAACATACCCGAACCGAAAATACTCCGGTACATCGGACCTAATACGGGTCCAGTTGAACGAGTCAACGGAGCCATTGTCTGACTTGAAGGCCTGGAAGCGTTCAACATCATTCACCAGTACGCTGATCCCATCCGCATCCTCGGTGATATCCGGGAAATTGAAGATGATGTTCTGAGCCGAGGGTATCAAGGGTGCCCCGATTACGGGAAGCATACTTCCCAGCTCAGCGCCGTCGAGCAGGGCAGCTGCTGTCTGGAGAATGCTGTCGAAGCCCCACCTTGCGATACCGTTGACGAACAAGCCGACCAAGAGACCTTGATAGAGCAAACTAGGTCTGGTTTGGAGGGTTGTCCCTGGGAGGAAAAGGAGGCTTAAGATGTAGTGGTGGATTCGTAGATTCATGTTTGGCACAATCAGTAGGGCCATGATGCAACCGACCATGATGCCGTATATAGATAGCATTTGAAGAAACCGGCCCTCGTTTCGGAATGCGTAAGCTTGACCGAGCACTATGAGGACGATAAGAGCGACGATGATGATCAGCGCGGGAATGGCGCCCGGTTGTTGTTGGATGTCGTGGGGTGTGAGACGGGAGATTGGGATCTTGTCGAATGTGTCGGTGTTGAGAGCTCCCACCCAGCACGGACCTAGCCAGAGAACTGTCTTGTCCCAATGGGCATCTAGATCCTTTAGCGTGTGGCGAACACAGAAATAGTACATTGCGAATCCAACGAAGGCACAAGGAAGAAACCGACCCAGTGCGGTGGATACCACTTCGTAGTAATCTGGGGAATAGGGGTGGTCAGAGGAAAGAGCTACTTGGAAGTAGACGATGAAGTATATAGAAGCGTAAAATGCTGCAGGCGACGTAATGAATAGTGATAGCAAGGTAGTCACTATCAATGAGAAGGTGAACAACGGCCACCGGAGATCCTGACAGCTAACACTGCCCGCGTCTGAAGACTCTCCGCTACCAAAGGTAAAAGAAAGTGGGAAACTAGACGGGAAGCCTATGCTTGATATCCCATTCTTTTCAATGGATACAAATCCGGAGTATTCGCCTGTCCGGCGCAAAATGCCGCAACCACCCTTCTGGTCGCTAATGATTCCAGCGTGCAGTGCCGCAGAGCAAATCGCGGAGTCACCACGGTATATGCCGAAGTTGTTACCTCCAGAGCTCTCCCCACCACCTCCGATGACAAGGCTCCTGTAATTGATCTCCTCCAGGCCTACGTAGTATGGTTCAAGAACCATCAGGGAGGCGCAACCCGCAGGACAGCGGAATGCAAACCCTCCTTTGTCAAAGGGACGGCAAGCATCGCCATCAATCCCGCAATTAGTAGCGTTCGACCTGCCATGATAAGTCGATAAGTACACGGAATAAGGCGCTAACTAGGAAGAAAACAGTCGACGTTACCATACCACAGTCCGCCATAACATGGAAGTTCTACAGGTTTTCCATAGCCCGGGATCTCCTGGGCAGTGATAGAATAATGCAAAGTCTCTATGAACACAGCGCCCCAAATACCCAGAGAGAGGAGAAGAAACCACACTTTGGCGCTCGTGCTGGGAAAGTACCGTTCCACGAGCCGACCAGGTGCAGTTTGCCATCGGCGCAGCCAAGGGTTGATCTGATACTTGCGCGGCGGTGATGGCCCTTTAATCCACGCACGGATCTTAGAGAGTGAGCACGAGAATCGATCCGAATCTTTAACAGGGCGCGAATATGAGCTTGCTGTTGGCAGAAGCGGCTCATCGGTGCCCTGCATATGGTCGTTGTCGGCGTGCATGGAGTCCGTACTCGGCCTGGTGACGATCACGAATGGGTGATTTCCTGCTGGATCCTCATGGGCCAGGACATGCATCGGATACTCCTCAGGGCCCGAGAAACCCTTTTCAGGCGACGAGGACCTGGACCGGGATCTTCCTCTCGGTGCCTGATCCAAATGCATTCTGGGCAACTTAAGCCATGGATGGGTGAAAAGTGAACCGCGGGAAAGAGACACTCCTGAAGGTGAAATTTCAAGTTCAGCCCCTTTACTTGAAACTTAGTCATCGGGATCACTCAACGTGGCTTCAACTGCACGAAGTCTACTCTAGTATAGAATTTTTTTCTCCGGGAACTTTTGGTGAATGTCTCAAGTGCCAAGGGGAAGGTGGCAGCTTATTGGCTTTTTGGAATTAGATTTAGCCCGAGATCCATACTTCGTCTCTTTTCATTTGTAACAGGTTCGGACACCTGAAAAAAGAGGCATTCAACAACACAATCAATATCAATTCCGATAACATCGTACTTCAAAAGGTAGATTATGAACTAAGGATTAAAGATATCATGTTCTAAACGTAACGAGCGATAAAATCTGCCACCAACATGCCACATGAGCTCATCCACACGCCGACGGGGTATCTGCATTAGTATTAAAACTTAATAGAAAAAGAAAAATCATTAGATCATTTCCCGTGTTAATGGTCATGTATCTCGCTCGTGGCGAGCTATGAACCTCAAGCGGAAATCAACGTGACTATCAAAAGCGGTGACGCGGTCTTGCGAAGCAAGGTAAAGGGTGATACGAAGTATCGTGTCAGAGCGGGGTATAAAGAGTGTCGAGTAGTGTTATAGAAGTCTCTCTTCGGATCTCCGGTTCGATCTTGGGAACACACGACAACGCCCGGGGGCTGATCGGGCAGTTCGAAAGACCGAACGATATCGTAGGTTGTAGCTTTTAACCTTTAAACAGCAGATCGTTTGAATAAGCCACGGCGGTTGCTACTGTGTACAGATAAGTATCACGTGTGGAATCAGAGATCATGGCGAACTTACACTCTGTCACTTGCAGTGCCACGGACACGGAAGGTAAACCAAAGGCCCTAAATACCAGCCCTGTCAGTATGCGAGACATCGTCATGGAAGCCAAGGCGTGCACGAACCACAAGACCAGAAACAAGCCAGACGCAGGCAGAGATGAAGCTGAATGCCTCCGCCGCTTTCCACCGACCACATGAGTCGTTATGAGTGATATTACCCCATCCCCAGATGCTTCCACAGTTAAATTTGTGGATAGCGTCAACAAGAATACCAAACGCAGCAAACCAGGCGAGAGAGATGACGATATCGACTATTAACATTTGTTAGCTGTTGACCTTAATTTCGCTGCGATAGAATCCCGTGGTGACGTACAGGGCCATGAAAAGAAACTAAATGAGAAGGGTATCAGCCATATCAGGCCGAGTAAAATGGATACACCCGCGATCACTTCCGTATAGATCCATCGTGCTTGAGGCCATGCTTCAAGATCATTCAAGGACCCCAGATAGTAACCGATGATACCGGCAACGATCTGGATATGACGATGTCAGTTTCTCAGTTTTCTTCGTTTTCCACCTATAATCGTTTCTTATGTGCATTTATATGGAGCACGTACCGCACCGCAGATGATTTCCACCACACGGAGGACAATCGAGACTAAACGCGAGACGACAGGCATGATGACGGCAAGCTTTTTGAATCGGGTAGCGGTGTGGAGAGTAAAATTTATTAGAGGCGCAGGTACAGAATAACGGTGCCTAGTATGGGCAGTTATGCGGAGTAATTACAGTGAGCTGCGAGATACTGTAGACGAGTATGAATATGAGCGATCGGCTGCGAGAAGGAGGAGGTAACCTGTTTAAATACCCACCAGGCCACAAGATCTGCAGCGGCTTTTCCTTACTATTCTTTTTTTTGGCTTTTCACTTTTTTTATGGTTAAGCCCTTGCTCAAATGGGTTAATGAAGTTAAGTTTCTCTTGATCGTCAGTTCAGCGACATGACATCGTCGTCTCCCAAACGATTGGCTAATGGGAACCCCTCGTGTCCTGCCCAACGTCTAGGCACCATATAGCTCATCATTGACCGATCCACTTGTTCGTTCGTTCGGTGACGAGGATCGGTTAAGATTGTACAGTACATAAAGGTCAACACTCTTTAATTTTATAGGTATAAAAGTGCCAAGTACCGCGTACTATTTCGCCTACTGTACTGTACCATGAAGTATTTGTTGGGGCGATACCGTCATGTTCTTTCAAATTTTCAAGTTTCCGTGTCACCAACAGCAAAGGCACCACTTCAGAAATCATAGAAAATCGTTACCTGCAATATATTAGTAGTGAACCAACAGGAGCTAATTTGTGGACTAAGGCTGAAAATAGACTCCACCACGCCCATCACTCGATAGTCTATACCCGGAAGGGTTCAATAGCTCCATACCTTTACCACGGATGGATGTTCTGGATAAAAGGGCAACACGATATATTCGGGGTCAGATTTCTGTTTTTGTAAATTTATTTCTATATCTGTTTTATACTTTTCAATTTCTTTTTTTCTTATTTGGATTCTTCTCATTTGACTCTTCAAACTTGGGTGACGAAATACCAGTGAGGGTGACGTCATTCGCAACATTGTAGCCTGAAGATCATCTGACCGCCACATCGTCATTAATCAGTTCAATTATTTCCCATTTGTTTCCCTACTACTACTACTACTACTCAGTAATACTAGGTGATGATACTATCCATGATTTCCGATTTTCTTAGCCGCTGACCGATCTTCTATCGACCCTCGTTCCAGAACTCGCGATAAACGATAAACGCGTGGTGGTGATTTGATGTGCATTGATTATTCCCATATCTTTTATGTAGTCCCGAGTACAGTACAGAGTACGTAGGAATAGAAGAAATATAAAATCATCGCAGTGCGGTCTAACGCCCGCATCAACAAATTAAATGTAGAGAGCACAACAACAGAAAGCAAATGTTAGCCCTGAAAAGGGATCGGATATTCTTCCTCTCTTCTAAGTGTCATTCTATCACCTTCCGGAAATCCCCTTTTGGTTTTGTTCGTTCGCTGATGAGGATCATTCAAGATTGTATAGCATATAGTAACTACCACTCTTCATAGGTATAAGGTGCTAAGTACTGTAAATTTTGTCTATATTAAAATTTCTTAAAGTCTATTAATTAGAGTAATACTGTTATATTCTTCTAATTTATCAGTTTCTAAAGTAAGGGCACTACTTTTCAAAAGCCCGGGAAAGTACTATCTTTAAAATATTAGTAGTGAGTAACTAAGAGAGCCAACAGTAGTCTAAGGCTAAAAGTAAACTCCCCTAAGCTAATCCCTGAGTATAAAACAGCTAGTATACATGCTATCAAGTACATTATTGGTCCATTTTACGGTTTTACCAATTTTCTAACGATTCGACAGTTTATACCGAGTACTTGGAAGGACTCAAAAACTCCACTTGGTGTACCTTTCGTGATATAGTAAGGGCAACCTGAAAAATGATTTCAGAAATCCACGATCTTTTTTATACCTTCCTCGCCGCAACCAATGTCCCTTAAAAAAACACACGTGCACGCACATGTCAAGCAACATTCGGAACCCTCCAGATGAAAAGTGCAAGAGAATCTGGTATTGCACGAAATAGTAAAGGAGTATTCGATAGAAAGGGAGATATAGGTATGGCTACTATAAAAGCCTGTGGTTAGACGAGCGGCCTTAACAAAGAAGATCCTCTAGAGGTCTCAAAAGTTAAGTTGCGCAATCGAGCCAGATAAGGTATGCGTCTCAATTCCTTTCGACCACTGGGAGGGTCAATCCAACCGTCGCTCGGATAGTTTGATATCTCATCTTGATGAGTTGTTTCGGAGAGGGTGAAATTTCGCCGTACGACTAAGTGATCTAGCTCAAATCGAGGTCTTGAAGTACGCCCCTGCTATTATCATAGCTCCCACCTTCGAAAATGCTTATGAAAATGTTTTCTGGACCCAATGTCTTTGCCCAGTTGGATCACCGCATTGTTCCAATGGCTCCGGAGGATAGCTTCGTTATTCCAGTGCGTACTGGAAATAAATATCCGCTCAAACCGGCATGATGAAGAAGATGGAATGTTATCCACTGTGTAGACTCGTTGCTGAATCAAAAGCACCTCCAGAACAGTCCATATAATCGACCATATCAACAAACCCAGAAGAAAGCGGCGAGGGCGTCCACGGTGGTGAACATGTTTACAGCAGGCGAGAAGAATGGACATAACTAAACGTTCTAAGCATAAGAAGAAAGTAAAGACATGTACATCAATGGATTACAGGGCATCAGCTTATAAGGAATCCTAGCAAACTTTCCAAAACAGCCGTAGCTCCTGAACTAGCTTGTGGCAGTGAAATGAAGTGATATTGCAAGATTTGCGTACTTTATGGTGGGCTTTGGGCACAAGTGCATTTGAAGCTAAAATAAACATTCTGTATCAAATAGCCAACCTTTTCAGATCTTCTGCCTCGATAGCTCTAGCAATATTCTGTACACGTATATGGACAGGTCAACATCGCAGAAGGCTTTGGAAAACCGGTCACGACCCTGCTTCGCTATTTCTTGAGCCCTTTTCTTCCCCGTTTCAGTAGATGTAAGATATAAAATTATCTCAGGAAGCTCTTCCATACCTGGACTAACTGGAATATAATGAACCCGTTCCCTGATACGTTCAACATGCCACTCTCGCAATAGAGTCTGTTTTAATGGAACTGATTTTGAAGCAGGAAGTTTATTATAACAGCCGCTTATACCATTTCCATCTATATCAAATACAAGCCGTTACTAAAGGGCCTGATCTTTGTCTGCCCACGACATTATATTAAAGTGGGCATATTGATCCCTGCAGTATCCTCGCTTGCATTGAAATATTCGGGTGAAAGTCACATTGAATAACTGGCTGTCAAGGAATGATGATTTCGCTTGGCTAATAACACCATCATATCCCTGGAGATAGGAACACTGACAGTGTTCTAAATTCTGCGCCAACTGAACAAATCTTTATCGATGGAAGCATTGCCACTTTTCATCCACAGCAAAACCACCAGTAGTAGAGCCTGCCCAGTAAAGATTGTTCTGCTTTTTCTCCCTTTCAATAACGGCATCTAAGTATCTAAATTCAGTCTCATTATAGGCTGGGCTAGGATATAAGAAACCGCCCATTGTGGAAAGAGAACCCGTTGACAAAATTGGCACGGTAACCTCAAAGAGATGAAAGATGTAGGGCTAATAGTAAGGCCATGCATAGCGCTATACTCAGAATGTTGGCAAAGATCCATAGCGCTAAGGAGAGGATAAATCTATCCGCTGGAATCTGGGCACTGTTCCTTTTCCGGGAGGAGCAAAATTTCGTAAGCGTATCCCAGACCGGCTACCTCGACATTTTTTAAGTTGAAGTACTTAGTGCGAAGGCCATCTTTTTCCAGCAATCGTGGGGGAATGAGGACGCTTGGTTCATCAAGATGATTAACAAGTAATCTAATGTCTGGAAGACCGCTGCCTAAATTCTCCAGAAGCTGATTCAACAAGCGCTGTATATGTCTGTCAAAAGTGCGATCGGCATGACTACAGTGAGTCTTAGCCTGCTGACCAGAAAATATACAGAACCACTGCTCGCTGTTCGACATGACTTGAATACCGTTCATAATATCATGAATGTCTTGACCATTCAATTGCAAGAATGGTGCGACAACCTCATATATCATATCAAATTCATCAACAATAGGCGGTTGACGTAATTTAGCAAACTTATACCAGGCTTCAGAACCAGGTGGCGGCTATATGCCGTATCGATGTCGATATTCATTATACGCAGCGGTATAATTTTGCGATTGCTTTCGAAGTAGACCGTCGAAGCCCATCTTAGCATTGTGGATCAAAGATTCAACAGGATGCAGTCCAGAACGGATCACTGAAGTTTGTGCATTGTGAATCTATTGGCAAGGAATGGGATAAGAGACACAGAAGAAAAGATCCAGAGAACTGACCGGGACCTTGTTGGAAGCATATAGATGAATTGACTAAATGCGAGAAGTGATGCTATGATATGTAATAAGGTCGAGAATCCGAGGACAGCATCATGGTATTTCGTGTGGACGTAACGCTGAATATCCTTATAGTAGTGGCAGTACGCCAAGAACCATGTTGAGTCTACTAAGCTAGAAAGTGTTGCTCGAATCTCTTGATGAAGGACGGAACATACTATTCCAGTTGAGAAATACCAATTTAACGCTTTCACTAAGCCCAATATAAGAGTGGCTTTAGTTTGGCTTCTAAGGGAACCAAATGCGACAGTCTCCACACCAAATACCATGGCCAACTGACTGACAACACGCAGCGTAAGGGGACAAATGGCGGCTTCAATATCAAAGAAAGGAATAACCCGAGTGCTTCGACCAGTCCTGGGTGTAAGAATGATATAGATACCTAATAGAGCAGGGACCGGAATAGTCGAAAGGAAATATCCCTGAAAATGCCAACCTGCTAAAGTAACGATAAAAAATGAAGCAAGCAGGGTTGTACCCCAAACTGTGTGCATAAAAGGAGTAAAGCGCATGAAATCAAATATTGTAGTATCACAGAACTCGCAACCAAGATACTTCTCTGATATTAGAAGTGGGGTAAATAGCGGCTGTTAGTGATTAGCGTTAGGGATAACTCCTTTCAAATAGTAAGATACTTACAAGAAGTCCAAGTGTTTCGTTTTCCGCTTGGAAGACAGAAAACGTAGCAATACCTAGCGCAACGATCCATAATGATGTTGCGGACAGAGGCTGAGGTACTGGATCGCTAAAAGAGGCTCCCCTTCGGATCTTGTTAACCTCTAGTCATCTTGCTATCTTAAACATGGTCGGCAGTATTATCCAGACCAGTATTTCTGAGTACAGTTCAGATTTCCTGGAATATAGGCGTCCTGTCCATATGCCGCTCAGGAGAGCTGCCCCGGCTGACACAGTGATATGAAAGGTCGTGGGTTTGCCTCCATCCAAGATGAAATTAGGAAATACCCCAACGGCGCTGTATAGGGCCTCTTGGCCTCCAGCAGATTTAGAAATTTTGTGCCGGTTCGTAAAGAGGAGTTGAGGAACAGGCGGCGAAGTCAAGCACTGATGCGGATGTAATATAAGGGTAAAATGATTATTCTGAACAGATTAGAGCGCTGAGCGTATAATGTAAAACCACTATTAACCATGATGTCCTGGCGTAATCGTAGAGGCTCGATGAACCTTACCATTCTCTCGCTATACGTCAAGAATTTCCTGTTTCTTTTCGATTTATTTGTTCTTGGAACACTTTGGGAGGGGTGTTAGACTCAAACTTCCCTCCCCCTTAGAGAAGGTGAAAAAAAAGAATGGGGGGAGAGGGGAGGAAGGGGAAAGCTGGGATGGTACAATATCAGGTGGGAGTACGGGGTGCATAGGAACGATGTTCTCCCAGGCCCCAGGCTTGGTTAATGGCCCTTTGGTCCTGATCATGTTATCAGAGAAACCCCTGTACAGACGAAACTATTTGATTGCGCATTGGTATACTAGATCCGACCTTAGCTGTTCTTTTCTATTAAGCAGAGTATGTATATATAATTTTTTTCTCTGGAATCTTTGCTGTTACCTTAGTAATCTGCATACTCCATAGTCAGTTAGTGGGCTAGATTTTAAACCCGAGGATGTAATGAGGGAGGGGCCGTCATGTACTGTGTAATTCCGGTCAACATATTTAGAGTTGAGGCAGGTGATATCAGATCCCTTACCCAGTTAGTTCCCTACATTTCGACCTGGTGCTACAATCCATAGAAATGTAAGACGAGTGGACAGATCAATTGCTGATTGGCATAGCTCACTTCCACATCTTTCAGATATTGATAGGAGGCAGTCCTCATTAGGCATGCAGCCTAGGGCATAGGCACCTTAGTACGTTAGGTGAGTTTCAAAAGAAGGGCGTGGACCCAAGGAGATAGCAGGATGATAGATAGACCATGATGTAGCTTCACCACGTCATCTGTCAGCCGTTTCTCCCAAAAGCTTTTCAAGATCCTCAATAAATCTGACTATACTTTATCATCGGGGAGTGCCAGGCTTTATTGACTTTGTTTGATTCGTATAATCTGGGATGCTCCCTCACTTCACAGGATAGGTGCTTTGCAAATTGAAATATCTTATATTCTATCTGCTCTTGGACAACTTGGGGTCAGATCGCGAGAAGCATTTTTATGAGTTGATAGAGGAAGATGGAGGTGACATCGTTAATTTATGGTGCTTTTTTTAAAAAAAAAAAGAGTATGGTGGTAATGAATGAGCTCTAGACTTGATAAAAAAAATCATTTTTAAATAGTATATTCTTATCCTGATGCTGGATTCTTGCACCCATCTAGAAATTGCTCTGGATAGTATTCTTTCTACTTGTTCTCGATGATCTCGTTTGAGTTGTTGAAAACAACTCTACCTATAAAGACTTACTCTATGAACACAATTACTACCATTTGCCCGTCAGCTAATAGTTATATAGAGTCATCTCGAACAAAAACAAAACAGTAGATTGCTGGTTCTATCATTCTCCAACTTTGATATGATTACCTCCGAATATTGAAGATATTACTAAACTATATAGGCACTAAAGTTATATATATGAAACTTAATATAGATTACTTGCTAAAACGATTTGAGAAAGCTCATATGTCAATCCTGAATTCTACATATTTTAGACAATAATACTCGATAGGTATACCTTTAAAATATTATTAAAATCTTTTATTCCCTACAGATAATAGTAGTAGTAGTAAACTGCGGGAAACACCCCAGCAACAGGAAACAAATTATGTCAAACCATAAAAGAAAAATAATCAGATATTCTTCTTCTCCTCCAAGTGCCATTCCATCACTGTCCGGAAAACTCCCTTAGCACCACTTTCAACCACATCCCCATGGCACGGGATCAACCGATTAAAATCCCACTTATCAATCCGTCTTACCGACTCATTAAACGCCCGTCGATCACCACTCGACAGTATATACCACACGAACCTCTTCTGCCATGTCGCAGGCGGGTGAGTCGATAACAATGGGCTAATAATCTTGGTAAGAGCCCCTGAAGTGGCACTTTCACCGGTCTTCGAATACTGCTCCCTTGCGGGTAGATTAAACAAAAGATCGGCCTCAATGAGCGTGCCGGATCGCTTATGCAGAAAGACAAGCTCCCGCGACGGATGCCCGTACACGTATTCAGTCTCAAACTCCGAGTCAAACTCTTCGGAGATTTTCTGCTGCCCTTTGTTCTCTTTGCGGAACACGTGGTGGAACGGTGTATCTTTGTGTTCGGGATTGGACTGTCGCTTTTCGTAGAGACCTTCGGGCGCGATGATTTTAGCGTCGGGGTATGCCTCCTTCCACGGCGTTATGTTGATGTGGTGCTCTAGGTCCAGCGCGGCGATGTATTTGAGGTTGCCGCCCAGACTCGAAATGGTTTCGCGGACTTCTGGTGTAAGAGAGACGGGAGAGAACACTGCGAGAGCACCGGACGCTAACTTAACTACGGGGGCCGTTAGTTAATTTGTTGTGCAAGCTTGCCAATGGGGAGTGGGATGTAGTCATGAAAGGAATATATAGTCACATACCTAGAGTCCCTCGTCCACCGAACTTTAAACGTCCAAATCTCGCGAATGGCAGGCTCATTGTTATCACATCCGACGTCACATTGCGGATCACCATCACCTCAGAGGGGTTCTTTGGGAAAAGTTGAGGAGCCATGGCTGAATCTCCTCGAGTGTGGCTTGCGTGTCTCTTGCGTGCGACTCGTATCAAATGGTAATTATGATGATGAGGGGAATGGGATATTTATCAAGTACAGGCGAGGTCCAAGGAAGGATCGTGGCCTTTTAGCTGCTGAGTTGTCCATAGGATCTCATATCCTCTGGCATGATCATATAATCCGTCAATTAATTAAGCATCGGGATCTGGACCTGTGGCTACGCGTGACGTCAACATAGAGCGGGGCTCCATATAATTCTCTCCGCACTGTGGCCACACTCGGCCTAATCCTGTGAACCTCATCTCTCCAATGATCTTCTGGTGCCTGGGACATGTTACAGCACTGCTCCGTACTATTATAGGGTAGTACTAGTACCTCAGCTACTAACTGTTCGAAGCTGAGCGGCTTACTAATACGAATTTGCCCTTTCCATAGTTATACTTATATGCGTAAGTACTCCCGGTCTAGAACGCTGAATATCTCTAAGCCGACAATTTGAAGACTGTTGCTTCCTAAGCTATCTTGCTGCCATATTACCAAGTATTATGCATTGGTATGTGAACAAAATGTATGGATAGTATATGTTTGATTGAGCAGATGTGAGACACTAAATGAAGTCGCTATACAAACAATTTACAAGTCACCACAGATATGCTCCAAAAATGATGTTATATGGAATCTTCACAGTAATATGGGTATCATAAGTATGTGCAATTTAAGCAAAAGGCGGAAAGGGAGAACAAGAGTTTGAGGCCGAGCTCCACAGGTTGCAGTTGGAAGACATGCCTAGGCGAACACCTTAGCCATACCAGCCCCGCCCATTGTTCTCTTGTTGCTCTTCGGCACGATGAGGAATGATGGATTCCTTGATGCCGTATACCTCGATTAAGTCCCTCCAGGTTTCAAAGTCAAGGCTGAATATAGCCTGGTGTTTTTGAACCCCTTTCTTCAAGGCTTCGCTCGGGGCATACGGTTTCGCGGCATCTGTAATGGCCGGTGTTAGTTAACGAAGCAGGACTTGGAATAGAGGGAAACTTACGCAAGGTTGGCAATTCCCGACTATCCACTTGGATACCAACAGTGCCATCTCTGACAAGGAAGCTGACGTAAAACAGATTTTCCACGCTCTGTCCGAAAGATCTCGGATTTATGCAGAACTGAAACAGAGGGACACCGCCATCATCAGCAACATGATATTTAGCCATCACTTCTTGTACCATCTCTTCTGTTGGTTCCTCATCCAGCTGCAATAGGACCCTATCTACATTGTCCTGGCCAGCATTCTGTATTCTCGCCAGCAGTTTGTTTATACTAGTGCACATGGCGGTAAGATTGGACGTTTCTTGTCGGTCCAGGTCTTCTTCTTGAAGTTCCTGCGGTCGCACTGCTTGTGACGGATCGCGACGCTCTGTAGCCCTTCGCTGTGTAATCTGTCGTGTGCGCTTTTGTACCGATAACGGCCCTAGCAAGAAACCAGAGATGGACGGTCGCGAATTATGGCGAAAGCAAGCAGATCGCCCAAGCCAGTCCCAGTTCAGTGCATCTCCCTGGTCGTCATCACTATCGTTGGGGTCCGCTTGGCTTCTACCCGGGGCTTGCGTACGACGACGCTGCGTGCTAGGCATTATATTTTGTGAATCTCCTGGAGCACTGCGCATGAAGGATATACACTTAGAGACAAATTCGTCAACGTCTATACCTGCAGAGCCATCTCCTAAGACTAAATGTGCTGTTTTCTTGTATGACAGGTCGGCCGCAGTGACCAAGAGACGGGAATCAATCGTAGCGTCGGAAGTTTGCTTAACATCCTGAAAGTATTCATTGGCTTTTTTGATGGTATCCCGAATGCCATGGTTCCCAGCCTGCATAAACTCACTCCTAGAATCTACACGATCGTTAGGAAGTCGTAAATGGAGCTTTGTCCGGTGACACCTTACCATGTAGCTCGCGCGTCAAGTCCCTGAGCCCTTTTCTTACTCGTCTTCTTTCATTTTCATCCTGATCTGGATCGTAGTATCTCTTATCGATATTTTGTTGCAACGGTGGTAGTTGAGGTTGACTGTCACTTTGAATAGTATCGGACGTTCTATTTGACAGTCGCTGGCGCTTCGCAGTAGCGCCAGAGGCCATGGTCTTGGTCTGACTTCTCTTTGCAACACGAGAAGGAGCTTGATGGTTCTCCTTATCGGATGAAGGCTCTGACGATGAAGATTGACTTGGTGGACTTTGGGCATGTGAAATGCGTGCCATGCTTAGCGGCGGGACTTCGACGAAAGTACGTCGAACACAAAACGCGACCACGATTGGACAAAGACAGTGACAGGGTGGTGAAACACGGATATAATCTACGAGCGATGATTGGAGAGGCCAAGGTCACTCGGACAAGTAAGACATAAGGAAAATAGGCCGCTCACAATTACCTCAAAAAATAATCACATCAGTCAACCCCATAACTTCTTTGATTTCGCGCATCAAAACGCGTTGCGAACGGCATCACGTGGACTCAGCTGACCCCGCGTCATCCGATAAGTGCTCTTGGCCCCCAGCCAATCAATCGCCATCTCCCCGGACGGAGCTCTCTTGTCCTCCTTTTACTTAAACATACACAATGAAGGGCTCCAGGAGTCAATGAGGGCGGATTCGGAATCTCCGAATCAGAATGGAGGCCTTTACTTTCGCCGTTTCCACTCAGGTGGACTTTCCGATTTATATCAAAATGTAAGCGACCGGACTCCAATGGACCTGTGAGCTGCATTGCAATGGCAGGATGCTCTTAGACGCAAAATTAACAAATTGACTGACTACTTGGCAGTGGCTCCTTGGAAGGGAAGCAAAAAGAGATACCCTTTTCTGTACTCTTAAAGCGATCGGAATTACGACACCTCGGTTCGACGCAGAATCCAACGTCTGATCTGTTCGTTACAGTGCAACTATGGTCGGATTCAAAGCCGCTGGGAGTGCCTTTACAGACCTCATATAGGACGTTCAAATCGACCCGTACTTGGAACGAATGGCTGCAAATGCCCATGTCCCTTAAAGATGCCCCATTTGGATGTCAGCTTGCTATAACAGTTTGGGACCTGTCCCCATTTGGCGGCGAAGGTGCGCAAGGTCATTATATTCCATTTGGCGGAACAACGTTATCTCTATTTGATGAAGAGGGTAAATTGAAAACAGGAAGGCAGAAGTGCAAAGTATATCGCCATAAAGCTGCGGATGGATTTTCTTCGACAAGTACCCCTTCCAGTCCACCGATGAGACGACGGAAGGCCAATATCCCCGACCCGCTAGGCCCTTCTCCCGAGGAGATGGAGTTGGAAAGAGTGGAGGTCTTGATCAAAAAACATGAGATGGGAGAAATACCACGCATTGATTGGATGGACCAGATGGTCTTCCGTCAGCTGGAGAAGCTGAAGCTTAATGCCGAAGAAGCCGCTAGAAAGCGGACCATCCTCTTGAAATCGACGAAGCAAAAATCCACAGGCGAAAATGGCGCAGATGGAGAGGATTCAGATGGGGAGGATTTTGATGACGAAAATTTTACTCTCTATGTCGAATTTCCACGTTTTGACCACCCCATCGTCTGGTCCGACCACGAGTATCCGCCGCCTCCTATCTCGCCCTATCCCCTGACCGCACCTACGAATCCTAACTCTGCCTTGAAACCTGCTCCGGAGGTACGCTTTGGTCCCGGAATCGAAGGCGCTGACGGGGAGGGCGTAATCAGAATCTACGACCCTGAAGTTGGTCAGACAGGTAATCCCTGTGAGGATAAGCATAGGAGACTCATTCGTAGTCATCGTACTGGCATAATGGACAGAGACCTGAAACCGAATCCAAAGATCCGGGATGAACTAAATGCCATACTATCATACGAGCCGACGCAAGACCTCACTGCTGAGGAGAAAGACCTTGTTTGGCGTTTCAGGTACTATTTAACTCGTGAGAAGAGAGCATTGACTAAATTCGTGAAGTCCGTGAATTGGCGGGATGCCGGTGAATCGCATCAAGCAGTGGAAATCCTTCCGAAATGGACTGAAATCGATGTTGACGATGCTTTGGAGCTCCTAGGACCCACTTTCGATAATTCTGCAGTTCGTTCTTATGCAGTTGAAAGACTTCGGAAGGCTGATGACGAAGAGCTTCTCCTTTACCTTCTCCAGTTGGTACAAGCGCTAAAGTACGAGGACAATTCCAACAATGAAACCGAGGACAGTGCTCATGACTCGTCTCTGGCTAATTTCTTAATCACTCGTGCTGCAAACAATTTCAAGCTTGGCAACTATTTCCACTGGTATCTAATGGTTGAATGTGATGACACCAGCCCAGGAACCCTATCAGCCCAGCGCAGACTCTTTGCTCGGGTAGAATATTACTTCATGACTGACTTAGAACAAGTTCATCCCGGGCATCGAAAGACACTGTTGCGTCAGGGCGAACTGGTTGCCATACTGTCAAAAATCGCCAAGGATCTTCGATTTTCACGCGACACCCGACCACTAAAAATCGAGAAGCTCAAAAAGTACCTAAAAGACCCTAAGAATGATATAGTGCACATTGAGCCTCCATTGCCGCTACCCTTAGACCCGGAAATTCTAGTCACGGGCTGTTTTCCGGATGAGTCCAATGTCTTCAAATCTACATTGTCTCCTTTACTCATCACTTTCAAAACATCAGGAGGGCAGAAATATCCGATCTTGTTCAAAGTCGGCGATGATCTTCGCCAAGATCAACTCGTTATACAGATTATCATTCTGATGGACCGTCTCCTACAGAAGGAAAACCTAGATCTCAAACTGACACCATATCGAATTCTTGCGACTAATGCTACGGCGGGCGCCGTTCAGTTCATTCCGTCAGCCTCTCTGTCTGCGATCTCGGCCAAGCATAGATCAGTTCTTGCATACCTCCAAGAACACAACCCCGATGAAAGTGAACCCCTCGGCGTCCGAAAGGAGACCATGGATACCTATATAAAATCATGTGCCGGCTATTGCGTGATCACATACCTCCTCGGCGTCGGCGACAGGCACCTTGAGAATCTCCTACTAGCTCCAGATGGTCATTTCTTCCACGCCGACTTCGGATTCATTCTAGGCCGAGACCCCAAACCATTTGCCCCGATGATGAAGCTCTGCAAAGAAATGGTCGAAGGAATGGGCGGTACCACCTCTCCTCATTACCTCCAATTCAAGCAATACTGTTTCACAGCATATACCACGCTGCGCAAGTCAGCAAACCTTATCCTTAACCTTTTCAGTTTAATGGTCGACGCCAATATCCCCGATATCCGTGTCGAACCGGATAAGGCGGTCCTCAAGGTCAAAGAGAGATTCCACCTCGAGATGACAGAAGAGGAGGCTATTCGTCATTTCGAACAGCTTATCGGTGACAGCGTCAACGCTATATTTGGTGTGGTTATTGACCGTCTCCATGAGTTCGTCCAAGGTTGGAGAGCATGATGTAACATCACAGCTAGCGCTCGCCGGAATTCTTATTTGCCGCTTCGATTTTGGGATACTAATACTGGCTTTGGCGCTATTCTTAATGTATTGGTATAATAAGGAGTCATGGGATGGGGTCGGCGCACGTCTTGTCTGCGGAAGATACCCTAGTCGACTTGGGATAGTATTCTTTGTCAATAAATAGATCTATAGATAGGAATTCCATATGACCGGGATAAATATATACTCCTAACCCTCCATAGTTGACAATCCACATCGGCAAATCAACACGATCAACAACCCTTGATCGGCCGACCCAGTTCCTCGTCTTGCCGTGTTCGGAACTCAAGCTCCACCCATTCCTGTCCAGTTTCACTCCTGTCCAAGATATCCACCTCACCTGGATGAGACATTGGCCTAGGTATCACGGCCGGCGTCCCAGAATGCATCCCAGTCTCATCTAACCGCGAGGAAAATATACCACCTACTTCGGTACTCTGACTAGCGCCGCTGATGGTCCCATCCTTCTTTGCCTCTGCATCCTCATCATCCTCAGGCGTCCCTTCTCTGCAAGCCCAGGCATCGACGAAGCGGAGGACCTCGCGCGGCCACCAGCGTTTCATCACTAGCAGGCGGAAGGGGACAAGAGCAACGATGAGAACGGGAAAGGCAGGAGCGCCTCGCGTCAGAGTGACGATGAAAATGACCACCGAGATGACGATCTGAAGGATAGTGTATAGGTGGATGGGGACGTAAGAGGGGCGTGGTGGCGGGCTGGTATCATTCATATCTGAACCATCCGCCTGCTTCGCCAAGGACGAGGGCAGAGGCGGGAGTTCTGAAGGCGGGGTGAGGAGGTAGAAGGTTCGATATAGTATGGGGCTGCGGCTGCATGAGCTACGTTTCCCGTGCCATCGAGCTACGCAGAGTACTTACTTGACTGATAGACTTTGTTCGCCCATAAACATGAACAATCCAGCAAGAACGCTTGTCGGCGTTAAGCCAAGGACTTTCATGAATGGCGGGCTGACGAAGAGAAGGATAGCCCCTGCGTGCAGAAAGGATGACCAGCGCTGTTCGTGAACGCGTTTAACATCGTGCGATTCGACTTTCTCTTCGCTGTCTATGGTAATGGTGCGCTGTTCTCGTTCGGAATGCATTAGTGATTCAGAGTGCAGGGGTGCTTGGGGTAGGAGGCCGTTGGCGGGTGGGATGCCCAGGATTCCACAAAGAGCGGTTGTTGTGCCTAATAGGATGATGTCCCATGCGAAGCCTCCGGGCTTACGGGTTCCGTATCTATCGATCGTGCATATTATGGAGCTGACCTCGTGGTCGAAGAAGAAAAGAATGGTGATGATGATTCCTGGGATTATGGCGGCGAAGACCCATTCGATGGGTAGGGTCCAGAATTCAACGAAGAACTTGTCACGCTCTGGTGATGTGGGTTTGAAGGAGCTGCTGACGGGCAGAGTCATCTTGTCGAGATATGCTAATTCACCAATGTGGGGCATGGCAATGAAGACGATAATGGAAATTGCAGCAGCATACTCTGTCAGCCCCATTCGGATGTATCGATGGAATAAAGGCTTCCAGCTCTCGGCTGTGGAGAGAAAAATGGCCAGTAGCATGGTGCCGACGGCACCGATCACCGCGTACAGGAAAGCAGCGAACGAGAGAGTATCGTGTGCTCTTTCAAGCTCTTGGATTGCTTTGTGAAAATAGATGATACTGTTCAGGAGAGAGAAAATCTCCGTGGCAAATGTTGTCACATAGCGCATAGTCCAGTCGTGAGCATTAATTATGGCCAAGATATAATGTAGCCATGCTGCGTGAATCAGGGACCATGCCATAAAAGGGAGGAAGGGTACCTATATCTGTTGTTAACGCGCTGTCAAAAAGCAGACAGATGTTGTCATTGCTTTGATAAGGAGAATACCTTGAACACTTCGTCGCATAATGCATAGATGTTCTCAGCTAGTACAGAGAAAGGACCAGTGACACCAAGAATTGTCAGCGGTTGAATGGAGAATCTGGAAATCGTCAGCTTCAAAGATTTAACGGAGCTACGCGAGCGACGACAAATATGTACACCGTGGATTGGGGGTAACATACAAAGAGAAGATAACCCCGCATAGTCCTGTACTAAACACGACCTCAATAGTGCCCCAAGTCTTGCCAGTCAGGACATATAAATCACTGGCAAAAGTGATTCCCGGAAGAAGGTTAGTGAAAAAGAGATAGACCGCGCTGGCAAAAATTAACTGGTTGAATAACGTCCAGTCTGAGACATATCGGCGACGAAGGTTGACGATATCCTGCTTCACCAACCGGAAGGGACGTAGAGGCCCGCCAGCCGATACGGAGCCCCGTAAGACGCGAAACGCTTTAGGGGTGTGCTTTGAGGGTGTTATAATTGAATGTGCATCATCTCTTTCGTCAACCTCAATCTCGTGGACACCACTTTGTTCTCGCCCATTCGGTCGCCTCGGGGGCCTGTGGCGTAGGGCAGAGGCTCGAGTAGAGCGGGGTCGAAAAGCCGAGATCAGGGACATGTATTGGATAATTGAGACAATGTAGCATTTGTGATCGCATTCCCAGTCTCTCTAAGTAGAGAAATAAATTATCAACCTATTCGTAGACTCTGGGGGAAGCAAAGGCAGAGTCGTTGGTGGAGACGGTGACGTTGTTGGTTTTATAGTCGTTGTTCATGGATTTAGTTAAATACGTGCGCCAATGAGGGGTGGTCTCTTGACTACTAAGATTGACTTCACGCCAAGCCAAAACTGAACATACATAATAAAGTTAAGGAACCGAAAAGAAAAAAGCTAGCAGATGCATTAACTCTTTAAATTACGGAAAATATCTTTAGAGCTAATAACCCACAGTTCTACAGCTTAGACGACTCAACAAGTCCCTGCTGCTGCAACCACTCCGTCACAAAAGCATTCACCTCCGCTGGCTTCTGCCACAGAGCCCAATGTCCTGCCTCGACTTCTTTCACGGTGAGATTGGGCACGAAGGGCACCATGGCCTTTGGCATCTCGGAGTTGACCACAAGGTCGGCTAGCGCATGAACGTAGAGCACGGGGCACTTGATTGAGATTGCCTCTTTGCCCTGAGCTAGGAGAGGCTGTTCATCCGTGAAGCTCTGCTGGCGAATACGGTAGTAGTTGCCTACAAGTATATTAGCTTTTGCTTTCTGACGCTGGCAGAATGAGGACGAGGTGTACTCACATGGTCCTTGGAGCCCGTTTCTTGAGTACTCCTCTACGTAATATTGCAGTTCATCCTCGCTGAGCAACCTCGTATGGCCCAGCTTGGTGGCCAAATCAAAGTCAAACCCGCGGGTTGAATCCATGGCAAACTTGCCTTCAGGAGTGGCTCCACCGTACAGACCATTGAGGAAGGCGCGGATACCTTCCTTATCTTGGGTATGGGACTCTACCACGCCGTCTGCGCTGCCAAATTGCAGTTGGTAGGCAACTGTGGGGACGAGCTTGGCGAGGTCCGCCGTATCAATGTATTTTGACGAGGGAGGAAGGTAGGGGACAACAAAGAGAATGAGATGGGTGATGAAAGATGGGTGGTAAAGAGTAAACCGAGAGGCAATCACCGAACCCCTTTATGAAAATATTAAACATGCTCTCATGATATGTCAGTAAGTGGCTACATACCAGTCATGACCAGCAAGAACAATATTTTCACAGCCAAGCTGCTTCCCAAGTTCGAATAAGTCATCAGCGTGCGACTGGTAGGAATATGGGTCGAGAGACCCAGTTGGTGCATCCTGAACAACCTAGATTAGCAAAAACCCCGGGACAAACCCTTCCCGTGTATTTAGTCACTTAGAACTTACTGAACGTCCGTATCCAATACAGTCGACGGCGACAACGCGGAAGCCAAGTTTGAGAAAAACAGGGATCTGGTATCTCCAACCCATAGACAAGTCTGGGAAGCCATGAATCTAGAAGTTATTGCACGGGTTAGCGACCAGTGATCCCATTGGTCAAACTAGATGTTATACCAAGAAGACCGTGCGGGTAAAGCCTCCCTCAGGCTGGGCAAGAAGATACCCTATCAAACTAACGTTAGCTAGGCTTTCTCCCTCTAATCGAGGAAGCAAGAAACCCTACCGTATGTCTTGCCATTAATGGTGGCAGAGCAGCGACGGATCCGAGGATCGTTGACAACGTTGATCTTGTCGAGGGTAGTAGAGGAAGACATGTTGATGTGGTTTCTGAGAATAGAGAATTGTGTAACAATGTATGGCGGCTCACGAGGGGTATAGTTGTGTTAAGTAGTAAAACCTACCTCCGCCAGTCCCAGAAGAAAGATCCCTAGTCTGTACCACAGCCATTGTTTTGAGAGGGGATCTACAACCATTTAGATCTTCTGACCCTGTGGTGAATTATGTTTATGTGATCTTATGTGCTCTGCTAAAGTGGGGCATACATTCCGGCGAAGTGGGTCATTCATCACAGCGGATATTAAATCATGATTAGTGATGTGTGATGACCCCCAATCTCTGCTCTGAGCGGAGAGAGACTTTCAAAAGGTTGTAGACACCAAAGTACGAGTTACGTAAAATGTAGGAGATCCTAGTATTGTAAATCGTTGAAGGATGAACCCGCCCTATGCATCCTACCTAGTACAGTACCCTATGAAATTACGGGGTAACAACAGCACGAATCAACGAGGATGGTTCATTGAAGAGCCGAGGTACTTCTAGAAAACCGTTAGGAAAGCCTTCCCGAGTTGGTACTAGTATGAATTCCTATCAATTTAGTGACTTAAGAGTCTAGGCAACGGGCTTGTCCCGATCCCCAGTACTACCAATTGTGATCCTCTTGCATAAGTTTTTACCCTGCAGTTAGAGTCACGATAACCCCCGAAGCTCTTCGCAGTTGGAACTACAGCAGACCTTCACTCTGATTTGACCTTGCTTGCCCTGAAAACCCAGAAATAGACGAATGGATAAATCGTCTCCGGAATCAGAGTCAACACAATGGTCCAAATACTCCATGCTGACCCCACATATGCCCAGTTCTGAGGGATGTTCAGATAGCGCCAGAAAAAGACGCCATATGCTGTGAAGCATCCCAGGTATCGAGTAACCCTGATCCATTTAGCAAAGCCGGTGCTTGTGCCACAATGGGCAGGAAGGACACGTACCACATCTCGAGAGAATGGCCGCTCGTGTCATGCTTCTTCCACAGGCTATACAAGCATATCCAACCAATAGGAAATTGCAGAAGGATGCCAGTCCAGTACGCGGTGATTTGTTCTCGCTCATCTGGGTACATACTGGCCAACCACCGGAGGAACAATATCCCAGCTAAGACGCCGCAGATCATATTCCGAGTAAGACGGATCCTCTGATCCGGGCGGTGGGCTTGCTGAATTGCTGTTATTGAGAAACCGAGGTCGAATTCAAACCAGACTAAGAAAGCGAGCTTTTCGAACCATGTAGATGTGGTGGTGAACGCGTAATATATCTCATATGCCATGGTCAAGCTGCTATGGGTGACGTTGTAAGATGCAATCGCACACCTCAACGATGATTTTGAGACTTACAGGTATTGAATGCCCCCGAAACTGGCTCCTGGGTATGTCTTGTCTCTGTAAGTTCGCAGTATACAAAAAAAATAGCACATAGCGTATAACACTCCACATGATACGATAAGCCCATCTTGGACGAAGAGGTAACTTTCCGGAGGGTTATGCTGCAAATCAACTGGTTGAACAATGAGATGGCCAACTCGATGAGCCCACTTGAAATTAGACATTATGCGGAGAGGATATGGGTCTAGACTCCGGTGCTGTTAAACTTGGGTTGCAAGGGTAGAAAAAGGATCTATGTTAAGGTTTGACAACGTGGAGTGACATCAACATCTAACTATATGACTTTGGTTTGAGTGGCAGTGAGCTGCCGCAGTGGAAGGTGCAAACGTGGACTGACGTCAACCTCTCATCCTTTTTGAGCCGATTGGACATAGTACCTTCTGATAAGCTTACTGAATCCATAGTATCTATCTATCCTAACATGGTAGAGTGGATTCAATCTCATATTTGTCATACATTGTGGAGTACTTAACCTACCCTGTGGTTTCAGGTGAGCTGGGCTCGTTTTAGGTGGTGTGACCCGAAATTGCTTATTAAGCAAGCTTAGATCATGTGATCACCGAACGAGGTGTTTCCCCATAAGACCAAAATTTCAATTCGCATGACCCCTTTCAATATCCTTACACGCCACCATCCTCTCCACTACTATCCTCGCCACCAATTATGGCGTCTTTGGCAAAGAATGTATGTTGAACTGCTTATCAAGTGCTAAATTATTACTTGTTAAATTCTATATTTAAATTTTAATGATTTAGATGTGGTACATATGGTAACTTCGTGAGGTGACTGCAGGACAGCTACAGCTTCCGGAGTATGAGCAGGTAAATATAATTCCCTTACAGAAATAAAAAGGTATCAGAATTCACTCAGGGGCTTGTAATTTATGATCTGATGCGACTTCTTCCTGCTTGTTAATGGTCTTGGCAATCACGTGAAAAAGGTAAGTGTCATGCGACCCTTGAGGAGAGGTGCCGTGACCTGTGTACACACCCTTCGACTGCTGGAACACCTGAAGCATGATTAGTATATCCATTCTTTCCGCTAGCCAATCACCTCTTAGGTAACGATTGTGGAAACCAATATCACCGCTTTCCTCACCGCCTGTTGGTTCTTGACATATTGCCGACAGTGATATCAAACTATCTGTTTCTCTTCATAGTCTTTACTATTGCGCAGTAGACTCTCAATAATGTTCGGAGGAAGAGTTCGTTCTCGATTCTGTTTATTGCCCGCTAATATCTATCAAATCATTGTATGATGGCAGCCAACTTCCTTCCACGGCAGACGTTCCCCAGCTATGCGTCCATCCCAAGGTCGTATTTCTTAGGCCATCACAGGGCTGGCCTGAAAAGGATGCAGAATATGCTGTCGTCCATTGACTATGTTGTTGAATGTCGCGACTACAGAGTGCCAGTTACATCTATCAATCCCATGTTTGAGGAGGCCTTGGGAAAGACGAGACGGTTAATTGTCTATACCAAAAGGGATCTAGGTGCAGAATCAGGGTCACCAGCGCAAAAATTGGTAAGTTCAGTCCGATTATATATTATCCTAACCTGGCATAATATATAATTAACAATATCTTACTGTTCGTTTGTATAGGCAGAGAAAACAATTCAAAGATTTGACCAAAATAGCGCCGTGTTCTTTGTTAGCTCTGCGTCCCGCCCGGATGTGAGTTCAATATTAAAACATTTACGAAACGACGCCGAAGGGCCCGACAAGCTCGTTGGATGTCGAGTTATGGTTGTCGGCATGCCAAACGTTGGCAAGTCGACACTAATCAATAACCTACGGAACCAGGGTGTGCGCAAGGCCAAGGCTGTACAGACAGGCGGCCAACCGGGTATTACAAGGAAAATTGGGACCCCCGTCAAGATTATCGAGAGAGAGAATGGCTCTCACGTCTACGTGCTAGACACGCCCGGTGTCTTCATGCCTTATGTCCCCGATGCAGAGAAAATGCTAAAACTGGCGCTCTGTGGTTGCGTCAAGGACTCTGTTATCTCACCCGTCACTTTAGCAGACTACCTGTTATATCATATAAATTTGCATAATACCCAAGTATACGAGCGTTGGTCTACCCCAACAAATGAAATTATGCCTCTCCTGAACGACTTCGCCCGCCATACCGGTCTTCTTGCTAAAGGTGGTGTCCCGAATACCGAACTTGCGGCCCTACATTTCATCCAAAAATGGCGCGCTGGTGGCTTAGGAAAGTTCTTCCTCGATGATCTGCAAGCCGAGGAGCGTCATATCCAAGAAGGTACGAAGGATGAAGTGGGAATGAGTATGTCCCAGGCGCGGAAGGCTGAGAGAATAGCGAGAAAACAACACCCCCAGAAACTGTAAATAAAAATCATATGTCCATTGTACAATAGAACGAGACTTGTTGGTATCATAAGTTGAGCTTTTTCTGCTTCTCCTTGAATGCGTAAAAAGAAAAGGTCATATATCAAAAACGAGAGCTAAGCGCATATGATAGCACATTATGAAACGACACCCATAACGCCTTTAGAAGAAACTCTTGAGCAACGGAATGTTGGAAAGACACCCTGTACACCAGGCCATGCACGCCATCTTAAGTGATCTTCTCCAGCAACCTTCTCCTCCGGCGATCAACAAGTTCCTCCTGTACCTCCTCCAGCGTCGGCAGCCTCCATTCAACGCCATCACCAGCATCACCAGGCAGTGGCTCCCACCCATCTTCCACGTCCTTTTCCTTCTTCCCCCGCAGACTCTCAACAGCCTCCTTCTCCTTCTGTTTCTCATAGGCTAGCAGCGTGCCATCCTCTTCATCCAGCCCATAACCGAAATAATTCGCATCCACCTTCTTCGTCGCGATATCTCCACCTCGACCGCGACTTTCCTCCTCCTCTTCCTCCGCAGGCCGTCGACCCCGTCGAGATGCAGCCTCAAACATCTCCTTGACACCAGGCAACTCCCTAGCGCGCCCAAAATACCGATACCCCTTCCCACCACCGGGGATCTCCCTCCCCTCATCATCATACACTCGCCCAGAACCACGCATATAATTCGGGCCGCCCAAATTCCGAATCTGCATCTCCCAAATCCACTTCTCGCGCATCAACTTATTAATCTCATCATTCAGGTCCCGAATCTGATAATCGCTCAAACTAGCCTCCTGAATGCGAGATACCTTGCGCGAGATTTCCTTAAGGACCTGCCCGCGCCATTTCTCGCACATGGGGATCGAGTCCACCGACGTAATCGCCTTAGGCCGCCGAGTGCGGCCGATATCGATGATTCCGAGATCCGCGGCCTGCTGCGCCCGGAAGCGGAAGAGCATCGACTGGGCTTTTTCGCTGTTTCGCGCCTGTTATCGGTCATAGCTTGGTTAGCGGGCGAGGGTAACTGTTTTTTGGGTATGGGAGCGCATATGGAGGGGTGGGGAAGGTTTCTTTGCTGGTCGTGGTAGGATTGTGGGTTACTTGCCATGGTGGATAGCTGCGCGGGTCGATCTCAGTGCAGTGTCTGGGAGGGATAGGAGATGGGCGGGTTGAAGAAATATACCTTCATGTCATGGCAGTAACTTGATCCGAGCTTTGGGTGGGCTCGGGAAACGTTCGGCTCAAGCGAGCGCTAAACTTGTTTGGATTTAGGCGCGCGGCTAATGTATCTCGGTGTCGACCAACCAAAAACGGTTTTCGAAGGGATCACTACTACCCATGGAATCGGAACTGGTTCGAGGTCTATGCTAGGTCTTGGGACGTATTTAGAGCTTTGGAGGACTGGGTGCTCTGATTTTATATTATTAGGCTCTTACAGGGTATTATATGAACTATCGATAAGGCATAGTGGGCAACTCCTCAAGCACGCAGCAAAGCGGGTTACCAGCAAGGACAACATGTTTTGTGTTCCCACTATACTAATCTGAGTCGATGCCCATCACATATCTTTTAACATCGGATTTCTGGTGAAGAAGATGATAGCATGCAGAGGGTATGCACAAGTTATCAACTTATCATGTTTATTTTACCTCTTTTGAGTTGGAAATATATAGTATGTTTATCCGTCCCCATCTTTCACGGAATACAGGCACCTCTCTACACATAAAAACAACTCAAAAAAAATTAAATAAAAAAATAAATTAGAGGACCTTGTTGAGTGGCCATAGTAGTCTAGGAGCTTGAATAGCTATTGCATGAATGTCCTTAAACAATGCTGTTCTACCTGCGCGACTCAGATCTTACCATTGATTTGTATATCTATATTAAGGTGAGGAAACATTGCATTACACTTTGTAGACAATACTTTGTAAAATTACATGATATACTAATAATAGCAACCAATTCGAATGCAGATCATTGTATCACTTAACGGTCATATACACATATGCCACCAAAAGACAAGCAAGAAAAAAGATAGAAAGAAGGTAAAGAGGAAAGTAATCTACGAGTCCTTCACATTAACACCCCATAGCCATGCAGCATAGACATAACGTCATTGTCATTATCCATAGCTCAGGTCCTTTCTTGAAGAACCTGATTCCTTAGATGCGGCGGTGCTCAGCAGGATCAACCTGCTTGGTCATTATTTTGTTTATAAGAAGCCTTTGGTGTTGCTAGGCATTCTTTGTGGTATGGCCCCGGAGGAAACCCCACTGCTACCCTTTCTGCTTCCAACGTCATTGAAAGTGACATGACCGCGTCCTCGTTCAACTCGAAGAGATTTCCACCCTTGTAATTCGCGCTCTAGCCGCAATGATTTTTCTTTCTCTTCTCGAAGCTCACGTTCCACCCGACGCACTTGGAATTGCGTATCTGTATCGTTGTGCTGGAGCTGCTCAATGTTTCTGAGTAAACGCTCAATCTTATCGCGCGACTTGTTGACATCGTCAGTAAGTTGCGCGTTCATTCTATCCCGTCGCTCTATTTGAGACTGGAGATCTTTGACAGTACGATCAACGTTCCGAAGGGAACGCTGCTCTGAGCTATGTTTAGACTCCTGCTCCTCGAGGTGGGCCTCCAGCTGAACAATCGGTTCGTTAATGTGTGGACATGATTAAGCAATGAGGGGGGATGTACATACATCTTTGATTCTCTTGTGCAGGAATTTGACGTCTTGGCTACCTGACGAATAGCTCTTCGTTTCCAGATCTACACAGCGCAGCTGTGATTCTTTCAGTTGCTTCTCCAAAGCAGCTTTATCCTTGAAGAGCTGGGCGTTTGCCTCTCTTTCCGCGGTGATTTCCTTCTGGATTTCTGTCACAAGAGCGTCTGCCCGTCTCATTTTCCCAACGGCAGCAGCAGAAACATCCTCTTGCTGGGCAAGCTTAGATTTGAGTTCAAGAAGTTCACGGCCCATGCTTGCGGCGTTGCGCATAGATGGACTTTCTCCCTTGGCGAGTTCCTCTAATCTCTCCCCAGCTTCAGTCAGGCGTACTTCCAGCATCTTCTTCTCCTTAAGCAACATATCTCGTTCTGCAGTGACGTCATCAACTGAGGTTCGCAAGTCTCTCACCTGCGATAGAAGAGTTACGACCCGACTTTGGGCTTCATTGTGGGCGTTGACGGCGTCATCCCGAGATGTCGTCACGTCCTGGAGCATGACCTCCATTCGAGATTTCTCCTTGGCCCATGTCGAGCTATTCAATACCTCATTGTCCCATTTACTGCGGAGATCTTCAAGCTCTTCTCGAAGGCGGGAGTTCTCACTGCGGACCTTCAAGATCTTTTCCCGCTCCATCTCGAGTTCATTAGTGAGGGTAGAGAATTCCCTTTGGTACTTTTGACGGGTTTGCTCCATAGAAGTCTCCTTATCCTCAATATCTATGGCGCGTTGATTCCTATAGTCATCAAGCTCATTTTGAAGACGTTGCTTCGATTGTAGTGCACCTTGTAGTTCCGCTGCTTGATCCTCCATTCTCGCCTCTAGGGACTGCGTTTGTCGCTGCAGATCTTCTACAAGGCTGTCCATCTCTTTGCGCTCGGACATTATCCGTGCGCAGGTGTCTTCCGCCTCCTGAGCTTGCACTTTAGCAAATTGTTCTGCTCGAGTAGCTTTGAGTACAGTAACCTCTGCTTGCTCAAGTTTGCTAAAATACTCATCGGCACGAGTTTTGTAAAGGCTTTGGCTTGAAGCAAGGTCAGCAGATCTCGACGTTTCCGCATCTAATCGAATTTGCAGATCAGCGAACTCTTGAAGAAGCTGGTTTCTGCTTACAGCGTCTTGATCCCTAGTCAGCTGTAGCTCTTGTGCTTCAGAACGTAAATCACGAAGCTCAACCTCGAGGGTAGCTTTCGATCGCTTGTGCTTTTCCAATTGGGCTTTGAGGTCGCTGAATTCGGCAATAACTTCATTGTGGACCTTGAGTAATGACCGTCTGGATTGCTCTTGGGAATTGATCAAGTCATAAAGCTCCTCGTGTGACTTGGCTTGCACATCCCGCAAGGAGAGGTCGCCCAAATGAATACTTCGCTCAAGTGCAGAAACCTTCTTGGCAGAGTCATCAAGCTGGTCATGCAGACGTCCATTTTCACGTTCTAAGAGTTGCATTCGTCTGACTGAAGGGCTCTCATCTTGCCAAATGTCCCTGAGAGGGGTTGTTTGCTGGAGTTGGCTCTGGAGGTGTTTGTTCTGCATTTCACTCATCTGAAGTTTGTTCTGAAGCTCCTCGAGCTCAGCTGCCATGTCCATGCGCCTTTGATAACCTACAGTGTCGACTGTACGATCGGACCGGGCAGAGTCATTGGCAGCTTCGTTCAGATTAAACCTTCGATTCGGTGTCGTTGGCGTAGTATACTTCTTCACGAGTCCGCTTTCAGGGTCCTTCCTCAGGTGCGTTGGCGTACGGTTGACGGCCTGATTTTGGTCGATCTCTTCCAGCAATGCCCGCTTGGATGAAGAATAACGAGAATCTAGCTCTCGCATCTCGTCTCCGTGGCGACGGCGCATTTCGGCAAGCTGGCTTTCGGCTCTGTTATACTTTTCCTCCGTTACTTGCAGCTGGGTCCGTGTAGTATCAAGTAATTGAGCTAGGTCTACCTTCTTCGATAAGTCAGGCTGCACATTTTCCCAGGACTCAGGAGACTGGTCGGAGGCAGGGTCAACGGCCTTGTGAAGCAGCATCAGTTGACGGTGGAGGTCCTCAATCTCTTTATTTGCAGTGTCAAGTGAGGTTTGAAGTGTCCGTGTGTTTGTTTGAGCTTGAGTCCGCAATTGCCTCTCCGTCTCTAAGTTCCTATTGGCTTCAGCAAGCTGAAGGCTGGCAGTGGATGCGGCCTTTTCAGCATTCCTACAGGCTTTGCGCTCCCTGTTTGCCTCGTGGTTCAAGTCCTCTAAGCTTAACGAAAGTTTCTCTTTCTGTTTTTCTAGAGATGTAATTGAAAGTTGAAGATCCCCTAGCTGGCGGGCGAGCTTCTTACTGTCATCTTCCAGCTTGGCTTTCTCCCTCTGCAGTGTTGTGACACGGAGCCGTTGATTTTCGCTGGCCTTTGAGTTTGACCTAGCAATATCGAGGTTCTTTTGTTGAATCTTGGTCAACAATGCCCGATTGTCATTTTCTGATGCAGTGAGTCGGCCCTTCAGAGTTACTAATTCCCGTTCCAGTCGTTCTTTATGTTGGTCATGGCGAATACGGAAGTTGTCCGATTCCGCGATTGCGTTCGTTAGCTCTTGAACCCTAGCCGATAAACGCGCTCTTTCAGCCTCTATTTCTTCCAGCTGGCATGTTTTTTCGTTGAGGTCCTTTCGGACGCTATCCACCCGGTCATTGGCTTGATTCATGATGTTTCGTTCAATTTCGGCCTCCGCATTAAGACGAGCGTTTTCCACGCTAGTGAAGCGATCCCGTAGCTTGATCAACTCTGTCTGGAGCTCTTTGCGTGATTGCTCAGCTGCTAGGCGGGCCTCGGTGGCACGGCGGAGTGTGTCCTGCTGGATATACATTTCCTTTTCAATGATTATTTTTGATTCATTTAAGGAAGTGTACTTGTCGCGCAACTCTGCGAGATTATGCTCCGCAAGCATTTGGACATCATCTCTCGATTGACGCTCTCGACTGAGTTCTGCCTGTGCCTGAAACAACTGTTCCTTAAGATCGTGGATCTGCTGTTCCAAGAGCTTCCGGCTCTCTACAGCTTCTGCATCCTCTGAGATCTTCTCTTCGAGAAGCTTCTTAACATCAGTTAGCTCTCGCTCCAGTTGGGCCTTTTCTGATTTCATAGCATCTGTCTCTGCTTGCAGTTCGCGCAGACGTTTTTGCATGTTGTCATGGCGGGCTGAAAGGGAATTCCTTTCGGTTTCTAATTGCTGCTTGTCCTCTTCGTGTCTTCTAGCATCGTTCCGCAGCACGGCCATCTCACTTTCCTTACGTCTGAGCATCTCCTCGTAACCTGTAGATGTTGCAGAGAGATCAGAGATCTGCTGGCGAATCGAGCGGTTTTCATCAACCAACTCTTTAACCTGTATCTTTGATTGATCCAGCTCTTTGGATGTCTTGGCTAACTTAAGGTCGAGGTCCTGATCTACTTTCAGAAGTTTGGCTTCCAAGTCTTGAACCTTACGGTCTTTCAAGGTGAGGTGGCTCTGCAGCATTTTCAGCTCTTGCTCTAACTCTTTGAGATTGTCATCTTTCCGGGCAGAGGCTTGCTCGGCCTCCAACAATTTGCGGTCAATTTCTTCCAGATGTGCCTGCATCTCATGCTTTTCAGTTTCGAAGCGTTGTATAATCTCTCCAGCCTGCTCGAGCTGTGTTATCCGCTGCTGGAGCTCCTCATCACATCGCTTCTTTGCTGCGATCAGCTCATCTAATTGATCCTCTAGACTTTCTTGGTCCGCAATTGCACCTGCCAACTTTTCGCTTAGCTCAACTTCGCGCATTTGGAGTCTTTTAAATATTTCCTCCTTGTCTAGAGCTAGAGCCCTTTCACTCTCCAAGGTTTGCTGGATTTTTTGCATCTCTATCTCTGTCCGACGTCTTTCTTCGTCTAGTTTTTGCCTGTCGGCAAGGTCCTGCTTCACCTTCACTTCCAGTTGCTGGATTTTCTCGTCTCTCTTCTTGACTTCGTCGGCTGTTCGCGTCTCTCCAAGTAGGGGTTTCATGCGAGAAAATAACCGCCACCATGGATTTGATTTTAATTTCAGATAGACTCCGAAGTTCTGCTGAAGTATCCTGGTCGCTTCGGCTCGATATAAGAGTTTGTTGGAGATACGCCGCTGCACAAAACCTCTCGCTACCGACTGGAAGCGTGTCATGATGGATCGAATGAGCTCATCTCGCTTTTCTTCCAGCTCGGCCAGCACACCAGCCCGAAAGAATACCTTCGTTCGACCGACACGGTACCAGGTTGGGTCCATGCCTAGCTTGTCCAACATCATCTGGGCAACGGTTTGTCCGTCTATATAATTTTTCGACACATTACGACAGAGCACCTCATATCGCTGACGGAACTCGGCAAATGACAGTCGGTTAGGGAATCCCGTACGGGCAATCCTTATCCCTTCCAACACACCGTTGCATCGTAATTGGTCGAGAACCAGAGGCGCATTGAACATCTTCGGCCTTTTCTTGTGATTGGGAATAATACACCGAACGAAATGGGGATGTGTTGAGTTCAATGAAGACATTAAACTTGACAAATGCTCCTTGTGCCTCTGCGCGACTGTACGGAATAGTCCTTTCTTTACTCGGCTTTTAGGGTAATCCGCCTCATCATCCGGGTCTCCACAATCCGAAAACAAGTCTGCAACGTGTTGATCTTTCGAGGCCGCAAGTAAGCGAGTCACATTGTCATTCAGGGGGTCCTTGTTCTTTTCAAGCCAGCCATTAGTATCGTACTCTACCTCGGCGGCGTAGTGAGTCAGGACGAACCCCTGGCTCAACCGGGAGGCACGATACTTGGGAGATTTTCGGTCCCAGAGCGAATGAAGTTTGTCCGTGAATGATTTGTCCGTGGCCTTGGGCATGACGCAATCCTCATCCAAGCACGAGAAAATACCAATAGGGTTGGTTAACTCAATTAGATCGATTGTCGGCTGCAGGTCTTTGCCGAAATCAATGAACTGCCATTCGATCTGTTCCTTTGCGTACTCCTCTTGTTCCAGCACAAACATGTGGTGGTTGAAAAACTGCTGCAACTTCTCGTTCGTATAGTTGATGCATAGTTGCTCAAAACTGTTGTTTTGGAAGATTTCGAATCCAGCTATATCAAGGACTCCAATAAAATAATTATCGTCGCCAGTGACGGTGCCGCGATCCAGCCGCTGGTTGATACGAGTGACAAGATTTCCGAAAGAACGTTCGTAGATACCCTTTGCAAGAGCGTCGAGGGCAAGTCGGACCTGTTCAGGTGTTTGGACCTTCTCCACCCACTCGCGCCCTGCTTTCACCCTAGGATGTAGTAAGCCTTTTACGAAAGGCCCTGTGGCTATCCCTAGCAGCTGACAAGCCCTTTCTATGCTACTGAGTGAATCAGGGCCCAAGGCTGCCTGATCAGCACGCAGGCTCTCCTTGACAACAGTAACATTTCCTAAATGAAGCACAGCCGAGATCGTTCGAAGGATATGCATCTGTTCGGCTTCCGAAAAATCCATAACATGGAATGCTTCGAGTAATGAGTTCCATTCTTCTTCATCTGATACCCCAACGATGCTGTCATTCCCGTCTCGTGTATACGCAAAATCCTCAATTCCCAGATTCGATAAGAGTAGAGTTTCCCTCAAGGTCTGGTCCGCACCCCGCAGTAATTGGTAGAAAATGTGATAATTTCGTTCCTGGGTGTTAGGTTTCACGACTCGAGACTTTTCCAACAGGTACCAATCAATCCAGGCACCAGAGATCTGACCAGAGCGGGTGAACTCGATTCGAATAAACTTGCCGAAACGGGAAGAATTATTGTTTCTCACTGTCTGGGCATTACCGAACGATTCAAGTATTGGATTTGCTCTCAATATTTGCTGAGACAGAATGGATAAATGCTTGGTCCCTGAGCGGGCATGTGGCGTATCAGACGTTGCGACTGCTGCAAGATATTGAATAACCTTCTTGGTATTCTCTGTCTTGCCTGCTCCAGATTCTCCTCTTCATCTTCATGTCAACGCATGGTCTGACAATGACTGATTGACAGAGAAACTTACGTCACAAGAATGCTTTGGTTCTCGCCCTCTTCAACCAGGTTCCGAAATGCCTCATCCGCCATCGCAAAGATATGGGGTCGAGTTTCCTCTCTGCTTCGTCCCTTGTACATTTTCACATACTCGTTGGAGTAGATTGATAATGGGCAGTAAGGATTGACCGTAACAAGGAATAATCCTGAGTAAGTCTGGGTTCAACTAGTCAGCATGTTGGGCCAACGAACACCGAAGAAGAGAAAAGAAGTACTGACATATATCATATCTGCTTGGTATCGACTATGCAGGTTATGTACCACCGAAGCTTCATTCAGATGAGTAAGTTCGGCCATGTCATCCGCTTTATCGAACTTCGCTGGGTTGACCTTGTCAACTTGATCGGAATCAACTTCGCATTGCTGCTGATATGTGAGTAAAGACGATGCGATAGTAATCCATAGCTCATACCTCGCCATCATCACTCTGTACGAGAAGCTTCCCGTTATCTCTTTCCTCTAGCACAAGCCCTCGTATAAACGCCTTTTCAGGATCACGTAACCAGACGTACTTATTCCCGGAAAAGTCATTGTCACCTTCAAGGCCCCGAATCTGGTCTGCTCCACGTTTGAGTTCCTCTGTCTTTATGAATTCCGGAGCAAATGTCCCGGAGGCGGCATCGTTTCGTAAAGAATTCGACCTTTGACGACTAGCGATCCGAGCAAATGGAGCTTGTGTGGCTGGTGTGAGAGAAGAGGAGTTTCGAAAGTGGCCTCTTGCCTCTTCGAATTTACTTGACGACGTCACTAGCGCCGACTTTGGCCGTGCAGCTCTGGGCGCAGGAGATGGCGAGGGTGACGGAGACGGAGATGCGCGGCTGAAGGGGTTTGCACGCTTTGGCGAGCCATTCAACTGGGATGGAAGCATATCGTCGTCAATTCAATAGGTCATCATTCGAAAGTTCGGTTATTATCATATAACAATGGATGTAAGTCGTGAGGAGCTCAGTAATTGAGCTGTAGGACACCACAAATCAAAGCATTAATCTCAGTGAGAGAGGAAGTCGGCAGACCGGCCGGTTGACAGAACCTTAGGTAGAGAGTAATTGGTAAAACTGCAGCAAGGTGCAGGTCCCTGTATCCTAGGTCACTGACCACTTGCTCCATGCGCTATTGGGCCCGCATGTTTGTTTACATCCTGCGTTCCTTGGGCTCCCGATGCCGATCGCGCACTAGTCCCGATCTGTATACATTTGTCACGTGGCGTGTACGGCACGAAACTTGACCCTTTCGGATTTGGAGCTGCACATCGATTGCCTCCCTTTAACAATTCGCTTCCTGCGGTCTTGTGTCGCTTCGGCTGCGAAATATTCTTTGCTACCCCTCTAACTCTGTATTCTCCCAGGAAAGCATATTTCATGTCGCGCGCACAGTCGTTTCTATGTAAAGAATAGTTTGACTACTGTCCGATCGCGCCCTCACTCCCATCTTCCAGAGTTTGGTGTTTTGCGGATTTCTGCTCGTCGAGCTTGATGATGTGCGAAGCCTTTCACCGCGGTAGCTAATCTGTTACTCACAATGCGCAGTACACCACACATTTGATCTTGAATGTAATAATTCAGTTGGTCACTGGACAATGTCTTACCAAGCCCCAACTTCCTCTTTCGGGCGACCTTCCAATTATACGCGACAGTGGGCTTACTCAAATTCTTCTCCGTCAGCCTCTATGCCGCCCTCACTACCGCATAGTTTTCCCTTCAACCAAAATCAAATGCCTCCGTATCAGCAGTCACACGATGGCGCTCAGTATCCGCTTAACTTCAATGAAGTTAATTTCACTGCAAATGCCCGTCTCCCGGGCCTAGGAGCTCCCGGGCCCGTTGGGTCGTTACCGCCACCTCCTTTCCCTTTCATGGGAAACTTTGCACCGTCGCAATTTCCTCCTCCCCCTTTCCCTCCTATGCAAATGCCACCGTTAAGATACCCACCGATACCAGCTGCGAGCGTGCCCATAGATACGCCTCCCGGTTGCCCTTTGACGAGTGATTTTCCATCGCAAAACAGTTCGGGCTCCGTGACTAATACTCATCAACAGCCTGTAATCCCGTCAACCTTAAACCAGGATTTGGACCGAGAGGAAGGTGAACTTACTGATGGGGAAGAGGCTTTGCAACAAGAAGCAGAGTCTCGTCATAATTTGAGTCCTCCAACTATAGGACGGGGACCCCAGCAGCGTACTGATCTCAGAATGTTGAATGGGAGGGAAGACCGAGCTGGAAATATCCACCAGACAAAGTCCAATGGCTACGTGCCAAAAGACACCCGGTGTGCTTCATCAGATGTTGAGGAAGGGGAGGCTTCCTCACCTAGCTGTCGTTCATCGAGCCGAGATAGTGGATCCCGTAACCGAGCCCCCTCTTCTCAATTTTACCCTGTTATGAGCTAATAATTCGCAGCATATAACCCCCCAATCTCAGTGAATGCCGAACCATTTATCTCCGCAGATATGATCGTTGAGGAACCACCACCGAAACGGCACAGTCAAGGCTCATCTACTAAGTCCACATTTCTCCCATCTACAACAGACTCGCAGGCAATGCCTAATGGTGGAAAGTCGCCTGCACAACTTCGAGTACAAGCGCAGGGTGCTCTCCTTAGTTTAGCTCCTCACAATATCCGATACACCGAGCTAGTTGGGGAAGGTATCAATCCAGTGATACTCAAGCAACTTTACGAAGAAGTTGGCATCAAGGTTCCCACACCACAACCAGATACTGCATCAACTCAGGTATCTGCTATGCCCTCCGCAACACCAGATCATTCAGTCACAGAACCTACCATCCCGACGGCGAGTTCTCGTGCGCAAGAGTCAGGGAGAAAGCACGCAGTTGACGCAATAAGGGTAGACAATATGACGCAAATGAGTGGGCTACCAGAACACGCCCCAACAACTACTCCTTCATCCCAGCAAGGCACACCAAAGCCTATGGAACGAAAAGAAGTCATCGCGCGTATGCTTGCTGCGAAGGCTGCCAAGTCATCGGGAGCACCTGCATCACCCCAAAGGAATGCGACAAAGGAAGCACCAACATCCAGCAGCTCAGCGGCAACCGATATAGAAAAGCCAGGCGATGCCATTAATTCTGCAGGAACAACCTCGCAAGAAAAGGAGATGCGTGTTAGGGAAAAGAACAAGGCACAGACAGAGCTGGCTAGGCAGCGAATCGAGCAACTCAAGAAGCAGGGCTTGATGAGGCTGCAGCAAAAACCGACCCAAGATGATTTGTCTCTGGAAAACACACAGTCAAATACGAAACCAGTCTACGATTCCGCTTCAAATCCGAAGTCCCCATCTATACAGCATCCACTGCCCGATCGTCCCCCTGATCCTGAGACCGGTGCTCTTGCACGTATCCCTGGCCTATTCATGACGGAGGTAGAAGAAAAATCACCTAACGAGTCATATGTGACGCCTTCTCAGGAACTTGTGGTCGATTCGACGCCGCAGCCTCGCGTCAACCAACGCAAGCGTCCAAGAGCATCTGATTTCGACGAGCCTGTTCCCATGCCGAGGAAAGCCTTCAACAACGGAGTGGATCATGGTGTCTCTGCGGATAGACTCATTATCGACATCAGCGATGACGATTTATATGCGGATGATGAAGATGATGCTATGGAGATTGAGACTTCTGAAGAAAATGCAGGCTCTTCAATCATGGAGGGTCCAGCACGAACTTATCTTTCTACGGAGTCCCTCCCCCCGAGACCCGTGACATCATCAAGTCTAGGGTTTTCCCTGTCTGCAACTCCGCAAAATCCGAGAAACCATGATCAAGACGATCTCCGGAGGAAAGATCTCGAGATACAAGCAATGCACAGGCGGATCGCTGAGCTTGAGCAACGCAAGAAGGCAAAGTTAGCTGCCAGCCGTACCCAGTCTCCTCGTACAGTGGACTCCTCAGAGTCATCGCCTCCTGAAACCTCCCCACAATCGGATGCTGAAGTTCGTGAATCCATTATACACCTTGCAGAATCTTCCAGTGGGCGCGATTCTTCGCAGGACAACATCGTGAATGCTCTACCAGAAACTACAGCCTCAACTCCTGGTTTCTATATTACTCCGAATGATCTACCATGTTCTTTAGACTCCATGGACACAGCGCAATTGGAAAACATGAAGACCAAAGTTTTGCGGAAACATGAGATCGAATCTGGAGTTCCTGCCTTGGAGGCAGAAATACAAAAGTCGGAAACAAGGCTAGCGGAGTTCAATATCGAACAGGAGAAGCTACTGCTGGAGATCACAAGGGGAAAAGAGGGCCGACAGCAACTCCTAGAGGAACTCAGCAATCTTAACACAGAGCTCAATGGAGTCTCCTTGGAAGAGGTGGAATCAGCACTGGACAGGCTAAAGGGTAAGGAGCAAGAATCGGCAAATAAAGGTATGTATTGTTCGTGTATATTGCACACTTTTTTTCGACAAGGCTATTCTTTATAGCTTCCGCACTGAAGCAGTGTCTACGGATCCTGGACTTACGTTATCTTAAATACTTCTGTATAGCCCAACCCCCCAAGCCAAACGTTCCGGATAGAAAAGAAAGCGAAGTGTCAGTCAGCTCCGAACCTGAAAATTTGCTTCTGGAACATGCTGGCACCAAAGAAGCCACTCTCGAAACCCCGGCTGACCCAGGCCATGGCTTTACCGCGAGCCAACCTATCGTATCCGAAGCTAGTAGGGAATCAACGCCTACTTCTTCATCCGACTCCACGGGATCGTCCATGGATGAGTCCAGTGATAGTGACAGTGACAGTGACAGTGACAGTGAGGATGACAGTGTTGATGACTCTGTATCTTCTGATCAAAGAGACTCTCAGGCCCAGACTCCCGTGCCAAACATCCGTATGTCAGAAGTGGCAGATGAAGTACAAGACGCTAGCCAGGTGGAAGTGAGCATGTCGAACGAGGCACATGATCACTCCCTACCGAAAAGGTCTCAATCCGCGAACGGGGAAATACGATCCGATAGGTCCTCGAGTTCTGATAAACAAGACGTTGAAATGACTGAAGACCAGGCTTCTGCTAAATCCTCTGTTTCAGAAGCCTATGAGCCCCCAGAACCTGAAGGCAATGCAAGCCCAGCTGACTTGGTCTACACACCCCCCTTTAGTCCTGCTTCTCCTGGACCCATAGAGCCCATAGTCTCTACATCTCCCGCAACAAAACCTCAGATCACCGGTGAGCTACCGATGGGAAATGCCCAAGGCCCAGGCGTCTCACAGCTGGGAGAGGATAATCAGGTTGGCCTTCTGGATGTGCGATAATCTCTGGTTCAAGCAAGGGATCGAAGGCTGACGCAAGTTATAGAATGCTCGGCAGCCAGGAGATTCAGATCATAAGTTCTCGCCTTATATTAGTCCATTGAAATCTTTCAAGGCTTACCGGTATCATCCAAACTACACTAATGATGTTACGGGCGGCTATCGTTCCCTAACTTACAGCCATAACATTGACCCTATGGTGTATCTCTGTCCTTTTGAGGGGGCAGGCGGTGTCTGCAATGACCGGTCCTGCGAATTTCAACACTTTCGCGATATGAATCTTAGCGGTGCGTCGACAGACTTGAGCAAACAATTACAACACCTTCCCATGTACCATAACTTGAAGTCACTTCTCTACTTCACGTATTTCTGTTCATTTATTCATCATGACATCCTTTCCGCACTCTACCCCTTCCCTCTATACCCTTCAGTCACCTCCTACCTTTACCTTTGCCTGCTATGGTCGCCTTTACACTGTGCGGATGCTGACAAACAGGGCTATTAACGTCAACAGATGACAAGATCCTTGTCCAGATGGGATCTCTTCGTGAGGGCAAAACACCCGAAGAAAAAGACAGCTACATTGCTGGGTTGAAAAACATTATCAACGACATGCGGCGCGACAAGGTGAAAGATTTTAACACTGTGGCCAACGAGATAGCCGCATACCGTAGACGCTTCCTTCAGGATCCTTCACGAGTCTTGCCCTTGTAACAAGCCTTTGCCTACAATACTCAATCATTCACACTCGAGGGAGCTCTTCTTCTCTTCCTAAGGTGAGCTACCGATATCTTCTGAGTATTGCCGACTCAAACCAGGTGAAGCACATATATGTGCGAAACCGTCAAGCCATCTAGACATGCAAGTCCATTCCTTCATGCTGGATACTCCAGTAACAGCTTTCTTTGCATCACTACCCTGATACCCGCGTCTCGCTTCCTTTCTGTTTGACCAGAAAGTTTTCTTTCCCAGCCTTGTTATATTAGCAGGTCAAGCTTTCCGCCTTTGTTTTCTAACAGATTCGGGATCTAATGTGTCCATTGGACTCATTTAAGTGAGCACCATTATCTTGCCTCTTTGATCTATCACTAGTTGGGCTAGAAACGGAGCATGAAGTTGGTGAGGATATATTTCTTTTCTTCTTTTTCCTCTTAAGGAGGTGGACGTAGGCGGTTCCACCTATGCCCTGACAGCAGAACAGGCCATACGACGGCCTGGAGAGAATGAGAACAGCTTATTCTTAATCCAACCTCGCCAGGTCTGGTCGGGCGTTACTTCCTCCGGGAGGAGTGGAAGAATGCGATTGTACAGCCGGGCATTCGGATCATAGGAGTACATAGCAATGAACAAACGACCAATACTGCATTAACTGATTTAATCTATCTTGTTAATTTTTGTTTTTGACTCCCTTGATAATCTTTTTTATTCGTAGGCGGAGTGGAGCGGGGCGTCTAGCGCCTATGACCGAAGACCTAACCCCAAGGCGCAAACGGGCGTCTACTCAAGGGCTTCCATTGGTCGGCCCCCAATGATCAGCCCGAAGGGCCCGACTCCGTAATTTACCCGTGACCTGCCAGGCTCCCCGCACAGAAAGTCCTAGTTCGGATACTTTAGGACGAGGTCGCAACGACAACCCCCGAAGGAACAGTGTCACCTGCTCTTCCATCAACTTCTGACCCATCCAGCAAGGAATACAAAGACCAACTGAGTCACTGAAGCTTCCTGCTCAAAAGAACTGACTCATCAGGAATCCTATGACCTTCTGACTCAGGCATGCATGGAAGGTTAAGTTACATCAGGGCGACCACTAACACTATGAACTAGCACGATACTAATCTCCCCTTAGCATTCCCCAGTCTTCAGCATTTGGGGCTGTGCTGTTCCTGGATCCTGACATCGCTGACGAGACAGCCAGTTAAAAAGTAATGAATCCATATCTTGGAATGAAGAAAGAAGGAAAAGAGTTAAACTAAAACTGAAAACTAAAACTAAGAGTGCTATCTATAGTTACTGATCCGTGCCGCGAGACATTCTGATAGAGTAAATGCATTTAGGGTAACACCAACAACCAACAAACGGGGGACGGATTGGATTTCGATACGGTAGGAGCTGAGCAAGTGACCGTATTACCTTTTCTGATCCAGAAAAGTGGATGGAACTAAAATCAAACGGCTTAATGGGTGTCCGTTAACGCAGGTGAGAAATAAGACCACAGATAAATTTTGAAAAATAAATTATTAAAAATAAAAATTCAAAAATAATCATACATGAACCAAGTACCCGGGTAGCTGGTAGCGTGTGCTAGTACTTTTGTTTAAGGCTGAAAGCTGCTTATTAATTTTGCTTACAATTACTGGTCTGTGTGATATCATGTCTGGAATCTTGATTTCTAAAATCTCGGCGGAGATTATCAAGCGGTCGGGTGTTTTTGGTATATGTGGTGGCTATTATGGGGGAAATATGACTGTATCCCATAGATGTTGAATCACTATCTGGAGAAAGTCTTACAAATCGAAGCCTGGAGAAATGATCTGGTCGACTTCGACATATTAATGTAGTGCTACGAGGAATGTACTAAAGGAGTTATCACAAATCAACACAACATGCGCCCTGATGTTTATTTTCAGAGACACATAAAAACCAGAACAAGGGGATATGTATAGATCCATGCATGTCTTAATCAGTCCCTGAATGCTCCAACACGCAGCAATAGATCAGATTTGTACTGCATGTTCCGGTCTGAATTACAATAGTAACCGCCCCCCGGATTTATTTTTTACAGCACAAAGGCACTGCAAGTTTCAGGTGGGAAATCTGACAAGTCTAGAAATAGCAGATTGTCATACAGAAGATCGACACAAAAAGAATCTACATACGAAGTAACGTTGAATATATACGGTAGTGAACTAGGATGAACCCCTAGCAATGGAATGATATAGACATAATTATAGCCGTAATATCATGCCAAGATTACACCATGTGGCTTTTTCTTTTCTCTGACGGGTTTCGGAATGTTGTCCCACGCTCTTCGACAGCAAGTGGGGTTGGGAGAACGGGTGCCGTCTTACACCCTCCATAGTTATAGAGACCCGTTTTGACGGGCACTTGATTTGGCCGAGCCCGAATGATGGCTTAGTAGATGTCTAATTTAATTGAATACTATATTTCCCCGTTTTATTATTATTACTAGATTTTTTTTTCTCCCTTTTCTATTTCCCAGAGTCTTTTGCACTCACGATCGAACGCCAGGCTCTCCAGAGTGTTGGGTTCTAGATGGCTACTTTGTACGACCTTTTCGTTGCGACAAGAAAGAGATCACGAACACAGCCTCTCGGCCAGGTTGAGACTCAATCCGTATGGTGGAAAGACAGGAAGTACAGAGAAAAGAAGATCTACGAGATAAGAGTCATCAGACCTGAACATGCAGAACCCGAAAGAGCGGAGAAATAATCGTCAAAAGATAGTAACCAAGGCCGAAAAACGCCGCAAGACCGCCATTTTCTCACCAGCATAGGGCTAAACGCATACTGTTACCGGCAGAAAGGGCGGTGGGATCAACTTGGGATGGGAAAGTAAGAAAGAAAAGAGCCAGAAAGTGGCTTGCATGATCTGCAGGTCTTTGCCAGTCTGAGTCCTGACTGGTAGACCAAGACTTGAGGCTCGGGAAACTAGCCTACCAGAAGTCAGCCTCGAGCTTGTCCATGGGCTCAGCTGCGGAAATTGGAATACGGGGGTCTGTGGTTCGTTTGAACTTGGGGCGGATCGACCACACGTGTTATGTATGGTATGCACCCTGTCAATTTTTAGAGAGTCCGGTACGGATGACAGGTGGCAAATGTTTTGTATCTATTTATTGATCTCTAAAAATGTGTACAATTCATTGATTGGCTATCGTTTTTATCTAATGCTCTGACTTTTTCTTTTTCTTTTTCTGTCGTTAGAAACCAGCGAGGGTTTCGGGTTACGGGGTGACCAGGCCAGGCAGAAAGGCGGGAAGCACTACTTAATAAATTAAATCGAGCCCTACTATAGTAATGAAAAGATGCCAAAAATAAACAAAACTTGGTTTCATTAGAATACAAACATCAGAGCTCTAATAGCAACATCTAAGCAACGAAAATAAAGTAGCCATAATAATAACAATGGATATGCCCCACGACCCATGGTTCCGGCTGCAAGCAAGGCACCCTTCGGCTAAGTATAGTCCAGCTATACTCAGTCGTGCAGCGGCCCCATGGGCCCATCACGAAACTCAAAACATCAACAATAATCCGAACGCTGGAACCGGTAAAGTCTATGCACCTCATGCATGATTAAACACTCCAAGATAAAAAGAAAGAAAAAGCTAGAGAAACCATTCCAAGACTCCCTTGCCCATGATTGTTTCATGTTCCGTGCCATGCTCATAATGAAATCGCTCAGATAACCATCAGAAACGCGTTGACGTCGTAAGATCCCGTCTCGACATTAAAAGAAATAGTAATTTAACACTAAACAACCATGTCAGCTTCAGGTTACCACACTAGTATCCAATCCGGAAGCTCTTACCTCAGGCGCTCGGAAGGCTCTGGAGCACTACTTCACATACTGGCAGTCGGAGCAGACAGTGTGGGAGCACATAACACACTTGGGTTGGTAGGTGTATAGTTTCGGTCCATCATGACACTTGCAGCAGATGTAAAGGTATGAATTGCTCTTAACATGGCCGGAGAGGCCTCGGAGAGAGCTTCCAGGCACATCCACATGGGAGATGGATGGCCGATGAACCAAGGAGTCGTCCTCCATAATGGACGATACCGAGCTCAGGGAGCTGACCGAGTCCCTGCGCTCGACATGAGAGGGGACTTGAGAGAAGGGCGACAACTCGTGGTAGCAAGGCATTATGTTGGTTACAATTGTTCTCTGCCTAGATAGAGGGTGGAGAGTGCAAGGTGCAGTATCAATCAATGAGGATGCTGCAGAGGATGAAGTAGTGGTAGCTAGAGGCAGTGGAAGACAATGTTCAATAGGGATGAGCGACGATGATCGAAGAGTGTATGAGAGAGTCAGTAAGAGTCAAATTGTTTGCTGTTAATGAGATTCAAGATGGGAGAGGAAGCTAGAGAGGTTTAAATAGAGATGGAAGACGAGAAAGGTGAATCACTCTGACAATGACAAGGCAGTCTTCGCCTGAATAGTGTGGCTTCGACATATCAGGCAAGCCCCAGGCCACTACTCTGCCCCAATCGGGGCTAAAATCATATTACCTCAGGCATCGGGTAAGTGTAATCTTCTGCAATAAGGGGCCGTTTAGGAAGTAGATCAAAAAAGTGGCTTGGCAGGATATTATTTTCGCCCCGGCTGTTATGTGTCTAGATCACCTTGAACAACATTCAGCAGCACTATGAATCATACACTGGCGGCCTTAGAAGAAGGATTAAAAGAATCCTGCAGCAAGTTGACTCAATTCATTGTCGGCGTGGGCGGAATGTCTTCCAAAAGGCGGAAGACTGACAAGGCTTGGGGCACTCAGTTTTGCCCGTTCATCCCCGCGCATTTTGCCTGTATTTTTCTGGCTTGAAACTGATTAATCTTTTTTGCTGTTTCTCTCCATACCTTTCCTTTTCCCTGTTAATTAAGTGGATGCAGACGAAGCATAGCCTGGATAAGATGCTGGATCGGGCAAAGTGTTCTCCACTTTTACTAGTATGGGTACTAGGCAAGGTACCCTACCATTCAGGCAACGACCCTAGAGCCTCAGTCCTCCAGCTCAGCACCTCTCTCTCTATCGCAATCTTAAGCCTTCTGGCCCTTACCGTCATTTTTTGCCCATTATGGGAGCCCACAAGTGCAGTTACTAGTGCTTCTGTCGGTCAAAAACGCCCACCCCAGCTTCCGACTCAGCAGGCATCCCTGTTTGCTGCCTGCTATAGTCCCAAGGCCATCCACAACCCTGCACACTGCGGGTTTGTATGACGCCCGACACGAAGAATGACCATTACTTTCATGGGAAAATGACACACTCGCTGTTCTTCTTTTGATCATGCTATTTCCCCGAAATCTTCTTGTTTTCGCTTTTTCTCTTCTCCCGCCTTCTCTCCTTTGTTTTTGCCATCTCAAATTTCTTTTCTTCTCTCTGATCCTCTCCCTTCACAACGGTGAGGTGATGTCGTAACTCAACTCATAACTCGCTCATAGTCTAGACGTGGTCATGGCATCCAATATGTGCCTACGTCAAAATCAGCACAAAGCATCAAACAAAAGCTCCTAGGAGCTAATCGACTGATCACCAATCCTAGGAGTACAATATGTTGATACCTGGAGCAAAAAAAGGGAATGCTAAATCCTGCGTCATGCGTAAAGCTTGTACTTGCTTGCATCCACTTTGAATCAACTCAGAGATGTCGCATATTCTCCCCTCTTGGCACGATCCTTCTACAAGGCTACCGTCCTGCTATACCGATACCACGTTCAACAAGTGACACCTATTGGACCCAGACTAAATGATATGTTTCAGGTCTCCATGTTATTCCCGTCCCGATGACGTTCGCATCTCAAATGGGGACTCTTTACGTTGATACAAACTCATAGGCAGAAATTTTAAAACCTTTCAAAAGCGTATTTCATCAAAAAGCGCGCTTTAATGGAATGTACGAGAGAAGAAGAAAAAAAAGGCGAGAGACAATGCTTGGGTGGATCTCAATCGCATTCTGTAAGGCCAGATCTTGAGGGAGTTAATCTAAACCTGACATTACCGCCTAGCAAGATCCTTGTTGTTGATCACATTGATGATGAGATCAAAGACATGAAGGGGATGGGATGTCCATGCCAAGGCCCTTTACCCATCAATCGTTGTGTTGGTTGTGCACGGAACATCATGTAAATTTGGCAGCACGGGTATCTATGAAATAGTTGGGAGATCGTGATTAGATAGAGAGGGTGAAACTAAAAAGTCGCTTGTCATCATGTGACAGCACATGACGTCGTCCTGTTTGAGGTTTGACGGGTTTGCACCAGGCTATCACGTTCCTCAGGACAGAGGCAACAACTCTCCTCTTCTCCCTGCCGGCCATATTTTCCCAGTTAGCCCAAGGCTTTCATTTCCCCGGCTGGTAGTGCCTCGTGTGGTAGCTGTACATATTCGTTTCTTCTTTTTTGTATAGATACAGGTTCCGATTCAATTCTATACCTATCCGCCTTAGTACGCCTCAATGCGAAGGCAATTTCATCCCTTTCACCTTTAATTTCCGATGGCGCGTCCAGACAGGCGCGTCAGTATAGCGGTAGCTAGGATTATACCTCTGGTGTTGCTTTGTACTGTCATTTACGCCTCATACGCCATTACAAAACCTCTGTGTAGTAAGTTTTCCCCCATTCTCGGATCGAAGGTGATGCTAATTCGCTCTTCAAATATAGTCGACTACCTTATCCATCCTCTACCGAAGTATGATCGCAGCCCTAGAATTGGTACTGGAGCAGCGATAGTTACTGTATATTACGTTTTCCTCATTCCGGTGATTGTAACGTACCTTCGGCTATTGTATAATGTCATCTGGAATCCCGGCTTCCTCCCACGAGGATCTCCATCACTTCTTGATCAACAGAACGCCGAGGTGCCGACTCCACATCGCCGGGAGAGCAAGCGGAGGAAGAGAAGCCATCGAATGCCGAAAACAACAGAGAAATCGGACATATCGGATGAGGTAGATATTGAAAGGGGCGTCGATCACAACGCTGGAGGAAACGCATTTCCCCTAGATACGAAAGGATTGGAAAGCTTTTATACGAAGGATGTGTTTGTGTGTCAGCCAGATGGAAGGCCTACATACTGTTCTACTTGTTGTCAGTACAAGACAGACAGAGCGCACCATTGTCGGGAAGTAGACCGGTGTGTTCGTAAAATGGATCACTTCTGTCCTTGGTGGGTCATGCTTCTCTTTTCGGAAATCACGGCCTTACTAACCATTACAAGGGTAGGAGGTGTGGTCTCGGAAACATCATTTAAATTCTTCATTCAGTTTGTGTCCTATACCACCGTCTTTTGCACGTTTGCTCTTATTGTTTGTGCGATATTTACTGCTGAGCTCCGACGAGAAGTAAGTGCATATCTCTTTAGCGTAGTAAAGCCTGCCATGACTCGACTAACCTTTCAAGACTGGCGAGGTGAACCCTCATTGGGCTGTTGGCATTGGACTGTAAGTACGCGCAGCTGCAATCGCTGTCGTCTCATTGAATAGTCTTCTAATTAATCATAGGAGTTGTCTTTTTGGGGTTTTCGCCTTTGGAATGACTCTCAGCTCTGTACAGCTGGCTATGTATAATTTGACGACAATTGAGAACTTGAATCGTCGGTCTGCGGTTTGGACATTGGCTATACGTGTGCCCGGGCATATGCTTTCCAAGCTCAATCCCAACTCCCGGTGGGCACCGACATTCCGTACTATAACTTACCCTTTACCCCCGAGGCCTCCAAATGCGGAGGATATAGCAGAGCACCAGCAATATCAGCCAGCAGGAGAACAGCATGTATTTGCTGTTCTCCAGACCCTCCCAGGCGAAAATCCTTTCGACCTGGGTACTTCTTTCAAAAACCTCCAACAAGTCTTGGGTTACTCTCTTTTTGATTGGTTACTTCCTCTCAAGCATAGCCCATGTGCAGATCATAGTAGTCTGGAAAGCGCTTTTGCGCTTGGGCCGGTGGTAAAGAGGCTAAAGGCCGAGGCCGGACTCGAGCATCCCATGGCGGAAGATAGCGAGCCTAGAGATAGGGCATCGAAGCGTAAACGGAGACGAAGCAAACATAAACAGCACAGTTGAGATACAATTTCGGTTAATAGATACTGGGAACATTGCGGCGGTATATACCCATCACCATCATGCGGGAGTTTTGCTAATTCTGGAAGATGCTCGATCCTTATTCAAGCATTGCACCTGGGAATTTCTTTTTGTTCAACACCTTTACAGGCTTTTGGGCACAGTATCACTGGCTAACTTGGACCACACGAAGCAATCAATAACATACATTAATAAGAGTAGAGATATATAGCCTCAGTGCCGTGAGAAATACTCCAGCCTATTGGTACATAAGACTAAACATAACTAATGATAAGCCATTAAATAGCCGAGAATAAATACATATGTATGCATGACGTGCAGATAACCCCGTAGAGCAGCAACAAAAAACAATATTCTATCACTACTCCTGCCTATGTCATTATCTACATGAGATAGTCCGCGACCTATAATCTCTCTACATATAGAAAGTAGTACAAAGAAAGTTAACATCCCTGACGATATCTGCTCACGTGGTTCTTCACCTACAACAGCATTCCAAGTACTTCAATGACGTACAACTAACTCTAATCCCTTAATAAAGATAAAAATAAAAACAAACCAAATAAAGTAAAAGCCAAGAATAATAGTACATTGTAAAGCGGATCACCCTAATAAACCCGAAAAAAGACCACTATGCTATATATTATATAGAAGATAAAGCCGAAATATTCCCATCAGAAGATAACCAAAAAGGGGTATAGAAAAAAGACGAAAACAAAGCAGAAGCAGAAGTAGTACAGAATTTAGCATCGGAAGTTATCCGTCATTGTTGTCAAGCCTGGGGGCAGTAAGGGCATTTACTGTGTCCGCAAACAGCGCACTGATCGGGACTCAAAGCAGGGTTGTTCTCGCAACCACATGAACAGCATATCCACCATCCGACCATGCTGGGCCGGGAGGCGTTCTGAATGTGTTGAGGGGCTAGCGGAGTGTTATGTGCCATTTTAAGGTAGGAGATATGTAGATGTTTTCCGGTGATAGATGGACAACCAAGGTATGTCGTTTGGCTAAGAGGAGAGTGTTCTAATGTGTATCAGGAATAGATAGAAGGAGATTATGGAAGGGGCAAAGTATGTACCGGTTGAGAGGAGATCTAATCTATCTTGCGGAATTAAATCGGCTGCGATATTATACTTCTCGATGACTAGGGGTGTAATGCCATGGAATGACTTAGGATGGCAGAGAAAAAGATAAGGATAAAGTTTCCGGTCGTTTCGAACCGACTTTATATACCACTCTCAAGCACCAGGTGAAGCGTCGTGTTTTGCCCTTCTGAACGTTTACCACGGGCATTGCAGGGCACGAACCCGAATCCTTCTGCCAGTGTGCCCTACCAAAACACTTTCGTTGAATTCACCGAAGTCCATTTGAGATAGGTTGGGATGTCAACACCCAGTATCTTGGGCTCGTGCTGTGAGCAAGATTGTGCCTGACGCGCAATGCAATGAGATCGAGAATTTGAATGAGGCTCAGGTCTCGAAGGTCTAATGTCATATGTGACTTCCCACTATCAAGCATCTGTAAAACCAGGGACAAAGAATGTAGGCACCCCCGGAGGCCTATGCCACATGATCAGTACGTCATCCGAAGCCCTAAATATGGGTCATTGAGTCGTAGATTTGGAAATCTAAGCTCTGGGCTGGGCTAACTCTAGGGCACAGCTGTGGCTGAGTAGGTTAGTAGCTGGTTTTGCGATGTCCGCAATGATTGTTATCATTGGATACCTGAGCTTGTGGCCAGAAGCTTCCTCAGGTTTAATTGTGAAAGCTTCGCGTAGACATTCATCCTTTGTCATTATAAGATGGGCGGTACATGAATGAGAGAGGTTTTATGTAGATAGACACATATAAAAAACTGCTCAGCACCGATGGGTCGTAGATGGGGTCGTTATTCTTCAGTGGAAAGGGATCCCAAGGTACCAGGGTGATATTCATGCATATACACAAACCCGGAATACCCTTTGGTGACATGTGACGAACAGATTCTCTAACAACGGTTTCAATTGCCTACATAAGTAGGGCGTTTCAACATGCTGATATCCCGTGTCAAAATTGTGCTATGGATGCACTCAAGGATGTGACCTGATCGTAATTAGGACCCGGTTAACCCTGACGGGTTGCACCTCGGTTACAGAAGAAGAAATTTACCACAGCGACAGGTGAAGTTAAAAGAAATCCCGCAACCTCTTTGCTCGGCCGGTAAAGAGCAAGGAAGCTAGAGGCGAGAAAAGTGAAGCAAATGTGTGGGTAAGGGAGAGTGAAAGTTGTTTCAAGGCGCTCAATACCCAACGCTATCGCCGAAAACCCTCACGATCAAGCAAGGGAGAATCGGGGATTCCCCACTACTATTGGGCCTCCTGATGACGAGACGGGAGGTGCCCGGTTGCCCGTGCTGAGCTGAGCCTTGGGGAGTTTTCGATCACCTGCGAGTCGACATCACAAACGCATGCGTAGACATTCATCATGACCATAAGATACTAAGCGGGGTTTTTAGCAATGCCTGTAGATTGATTCTATGAAAGATTGTCCGCATTCAAGGGTGCATAGTTCGTACATACACCCCTTGGGAGTATTTTTCTAGAAATTCGGCGACCCCACTTTTAAGTTCCTTAATTTTATTCCGTAGTACAGATACTTGGGCTAGGCGAGCCCACATCGAGATCCCGAGTGGCAGTACCACCCATTAGATGATGTCATTGATGCGGTGCTTCTTCCTGCGCTTAGACTAGTAGACAGCAATGTGCACCCGATGCATCGCTTGGCGACGGTAGGTGGAAATGGTGGATACGGGAGAGCGGGTGATTCGCCCGCCAATACTTAGACAACGGGGACGCTCTCACCCCGAATCAAAAGTGAACATTGACGGCCTTGACGGATGATGTGAAGCGTGCTCGATAGACTGCAACTACACATTATAGGTCAGGAACTACTAGTGCCATAGTAGTTGTATCACTATCACCACGGTTAAAACCGGAGCAGTGGAGACAAAGACCTAATGAAGGTTGAAGAGCGGTTGAACCGGCATCGTCATCCCGATTTTGAGACCGATATGGGAAATGCTGAGAGGCAGTGAGGCCTTGTGATACCTCTTATCCGAGTCATACCCTGAGGCTCTTCTTTGGCATTGATCCGAATGGTTGGTGGAAGCAAAGCGATTGAGTTGCGGAAAAGGAAACAGAGATGATCCGAAGGGGGCGTGACCATGGGAGGGGGTGCAAACATGAAAACATACAACAAGCACCCAATGGCACGGGAGCGGCCCCAAGCCATTGGCATCCATGGTTACTTTTTCCTTCTTTTACCGGTATCCCCCAGACACTATTCACTCTATTCCTACCGACAATGTAAGAAATAATAAAATAACCTACCTCTTGAGACTGCATATCTCTTCACTTCAAACCTTGAACGAATCACAACTATCTATTAAGGGAGCCCTGCTGGGGCGAGTACTCGATTCTTACGGGAGGCAATCTAACCTTACTAATTATATAATCTGGTTGGTGTTCCACTTTCTGTGGTGATCTATGCCATCATTAGTCTCTGACCGTTGTTAGTGCGCGTCGTCGAGGACCCTCTTTCGTCACAGCCCACTGAAGACTCCTAAAGAAGATTATTTGGATTCTTTATGGTCAATCTCCATTCTGACGGTTTGTCCACCATCCGTTATTGTTCAGTATTCTTTTTATTTTTATTGTCCGGCTGCCGACATCTCGTTGTGAAAGCTCCTGTGATCCACTATCAATCATAAATATCGTCGTCTCTCCGCTCGTGCTATCTCGCTTCCTCTCTCGTGGCCTGCGGGTTCAGGCATCCAGTACTAGCTCCTTTTCTTTTTTTGCCCCTCAGCCTTAACTTTCTTTAGTTCATTGACTACTTTCCTGGCCTGGTGCCCAAAGGGTTCTATTTTTTCCAGACAGCAAATTTCTACCCTATTCTGTGGATTTCATGTAAATTCTTTGTGTCTTCTACGTCTGATTTGTCTATCTCCTTTAAATTCCTGACGTCGCCCTGACAGAGCTTATTTCAGCGCTTTGTTTTCTTCGAATCAAACGTTGCCCGCCTCCGCATTTCTACGATCGGTCTTGGTATATACCTCGCACCATTGTCAGCAAGGCATTGGAATGAGCCCTACTGCACACTACCGGTCCATGTCTCCGAGCGGCTCACGTATGATTGATCCCATGCGAGCCTCCACCGGAACGGTGCAGCTCAGCTCTTCCTACGACCCCTCCGCCAGTCGATCCACATACTCGGGCCACTCATCCAGTCCTTATGTGGTGACGGCGTACGACCCCCGATATTTTCGAGAAGGAGGTTTAGAAGCCCAGCAGGTCTCCTCTAAAACCTATCGAGACGCTGGCCATTCTACGAAGTTGCGGACGGAATATGCGATCCGTCCAAGGCAACGGAGCAGCACCACGTCCGCTGCAGACACCCATCTGGCCCCTGGCCGTCTTCATGGGCCCAGAGCACCCCCCGTGGTAACAACAAGCCATCGCCGTTCTCCTAGCCCTCTTACAAACCAAGATCACCATCTGATGCCATCCTCTTCGTCTCGACACCACCGGCGTCATCCTCTCTCCATCTCCCATATCGATTATGCCAGCGATACAGGACGGTTGGACCCGAATGATCGACCGATGAGGTCGCCAATTTTCCACAGCGCCTACAGGGAGCATGGTCACAATAGGCGCTCGCGATATCCGCCGCCGGGTGGCCTTCGCAAAGGAGAGGACATTGACGATTACGATGCTTACTCCTACACCAACCCTCGTGAGCAATTTGAGAAAGACTCTGCCGCGCGGTTGCGTCACGACCGAGGCTCATATTGGGGAGAGAGACCCCAGAGCTTGACCGGAATCGACGACCCCCAATTGCTACCAAGGGTAGAGTCTCGTTCGCCAAGGCCTCCCCCATCTACAAGAGGTTTTGACAGACTTGAGTGGGATCCGCGAGTGCGGCGTTCGACCCATGGCACTGCGGATAGCGATATCGACATCGCTAGTGCATACCGGCGGTCCAGGCGACGGAATCCAGTTTCGCTACACCAGGAGGCGGATGAAGGATATTCCTCTTACAGGAGTGATTACGACGATGTTCATCGACGTCGGCATCAGCGCCGGCGGCATGATGGCGATCGAAATAGTCGACAATTACACGACGACGGCGGGTTGAGGAATTCCGTAGCTAATGATCACGCTATCCCAGGGTCTACTACTGGCCTAGGGACGGCTGTCCTAGGCAGTGTATACGACGACTACAATCAGTCTCAAAGAGCTGAGCGCCATCGCTTGCACGATCACGATCATGGAGCACGTCATAGTCGAGCACAAAGGTCGTCCAGGCGCCGAGTCGACGGCGATTCGGATGCATACACGTCAGACGAGGACACGAGGAAGTATAGACGTGAGGTGTTGCCCCACCAGAGACGTAGTGGATCTCATGGTTCTACAAGCAGTAGCGACCGCCCATCTCAACACCTCACAGTTGAGCAACCTCGACGACACCGATTTCACTCGCGACATCGTACACGAGATAGTCCTAACACGAAGGAAGCGGACCATCCCGAACCAGCTAGTCGTGGGGATGACAAAAAGGCAGAATCTACAGCTTCTGATACTCCACCCAGAGGGATTTTAAAGACCCCTACAGACAAATTCCCAGAGGAACCTAACCCTGTACGAGAAGGAGTGGCACCTCTGAAGGACGCGCACAAGAAAGGAATCCCTCCTGGAGCGAGATGGACTAAAATTGACCGCCGACTGGTCAACCCTGCGGCTCTGGAAGCTGGCCGTGAGCGCTTTGAGGAACGGTCGGACTACGTGATAGTTCTGCGGGTACTATCTAAAGAGGAAATTCAAGCGTATGCAGTCAAAACTCAAGAGATACGAGGTATGGTTGGCCCGAACGTTCCTAGCGTTTTGAGTTTCCGATACTGACTGTTTGTAGATGCTCGTCACCACGAATATATCCAGGAGCGACGTCGGCGGCGAGAGGAAGACCGCAGACGTGGCCGTGCGGTAGAGGACTTCTCGAGCGACGATGAGGAGGACGATGATGATCATCCTCTGACGATCGAAGACAAGCCAGCAGCAGACTTGCACCGAACGGCAGAGCCTGTAAATTCAGCAGCATGACAAACAATCTGTTATGATTTGGCACATTGTTCCTTGCTTTTCTCCCTCCTTCCCTGTTTAACATTTCCGATTGTTCTGATTTCCACTGAACTGTACACATGAAGTCACGGGTAAGAAATGAAGTTTTGAAACGGATAATGGGTTGTGGACAATTACAACATAAGACATAAGACGTGCGGATGAATAGTTGATGATGTTTATTGTCCATGTGAAGAGTGAAGCGATCAATCAAGCTGGACTTTGTTGTATTGGCTATTCGCTGAGGGTTATTTATTGCATCATTGTATACATCATTTTGGCCAAGTCATTTTCTAAGCAAACATAGAGCGGTCCAATTAGCAGTGAAGAAAGACAATCTTGCAAGTCTCCTGACTACTCGTATGAGTTATGTTGTACTACGCGGGAACCTCCGGTGACTGGCTTATGATACGAGATCAGGAAGATACGGAGAGCAGTGTGTACTACACTGACCCAGAGTTGCGTGCTTCTGCAGAGTGTTGTCACTTGTTGTTTGTTTCCCCCTCCCTCCCAGTCTCTCTTTTCTGTCTGCTCCTTCTTTTACTGTTTCCGGTACGGAGAAGTCAAGCCATTCGTTCTCATAAGCCAATTCTCCACGTCCGGTTGTCGATAGATGTAAGCCCTATATTTCGATCAGCGTCGGACGTCGCATCGCCCGCGTTTAGCTTCCTTTTTAGTTTGACTTTAGAGATCCTATAGGCGCATCCTAACGCAACTCTCCCGCAGCGGATGAACATGTTTTATCGCACGCACGTCTACAAGGAATCGACGGGAAGACAAGGGTCCCCTGATCCTTTTATCTGTCAACCGTTGAATTTTGTTCTTTTGTTTTTTTCTTTTCTTTTTTCCGAGGCCTGGTTTTTTGAATTTGTTATATTGTCACTAAAATCTCTTGTCATCTGTCAAAAATAGAAAAGGAGAGAGAGAGAGAAAAGGACAATCCGGTATAGCGATAGCACCGGCGTTGTCATTCGCCGCTGGAATTCTCTCCCTTCTCCAAAAAGATTATCGGATGTGTATGTATGTATGTATGTGTGGGTGGGTGGGTGGATGGTCAAAAATTAAATTAAAAAAAAAAACCAATGCTGTGGCGCGTAGGAAGCTACTTCGTTCATCTCGTCTCGAGGAGGGGAAAAAAACAAACAAACATGCCCCTAAGTTAAATCCCGAGTTGTCCGAGGATCGTTGCATTTCCAAGACCGCTAGTATCCGGATGACGGAAGACAGTAAAAGCGAGCCTTCCAATCACATCTGGGGATACGAGGCAATTGTTGGATGTGTTGCCTGGTGGTCGACAATCCTTTCGGATTATCGGCAAACTAGGTCAGACTGGGCGGCGAAAAATATGATTACTTCTGATTAATTCAGACCGTGTGGCCGTCTGTCATGTATGTTTGCTCCAGGATAAGTAGTGATGCGCGATAATACTATGTAGTATTACAATATTTTTGGGGTTCGACCATGACACATTGGAGGGATTTATTACTATTTAATTATTATAGTTTTTGGGTTTGGGTCTCCCTCGTATGGGAGGGCGTAGGTAGGTAGGAACTCTACCTAGTACATACTTCAGGCTATCCCAGTATCTAACTCCGTACTGGAGAGCATAGTATGCCTGGGAAGGAAAGGGATCGTCGTTAGATCATTACTTCCTCACAACGCTTCTGCATTGAATTAAACGGGGGGGGCAGGAATAAAAAAGATAAATTAAATAACTTTTGACACTGCTCACATTGTTGAGCCTGTCGGTGAATATTTACTAAACTCTATGATGGTTTTGCCTTAACTTACTTTTTGGAGTCGTTGAATTTTTTTTTAATTTAATTTTTGCTTCTTTTTTCGTTTTCATTTTCTATTGTCCCTCCTTCAAATCACTCCCCCATGAATTACTTACTACTTACTACCTACTAGTACTAAGTAGTAACCTCAGTTCAACCTCGGAATATACTTCCCCCCTTCCATTCTCCTACACCAACCCGCATGTGCTAACTAACAATAACATAACACCCAAAATCTTGCTTCCCCCCAATCCCAATGGTCCATCTCAAGATACCCATACAAAAAAAAAAAAAAAAAAAAAAAAAAAAAAAAAAAAAGACCATAAACAAAACCAACGGTGAAAATTTCACCGGGAAGTCAAAGTCCAAGGAGACGCCCGCTAATCACCCGCCGTTAGTCCGCGTTGGCGTCAGTGCAAAAACCACACCAAGGATGAAACATGAACATGGTCTTTAATTGGACGTAAGCGAGTCTAATTTACTGATTCGCGTATTGGTCACTTTTTCCGTTAGTAAGGTCTGCTAGGTACAGTTACCTTCTCGGATGTGCCAACTACCGCATCATTATAGATAGGGGGCTGCAGGTAGGTAGATATTGTTCTGGTACTGAGGTGATTGCATGTCTTGGACGCATTAAGTGGGTGTTAATGGCAGGCATGACGGGTGTGTACGAGTCAGTTATATTAGGACGTGCGGAGTACCCGCATAGAGAAGATGAGACAGGCAACTTTTGGTTGGATTATTGCTATGATAAGTTAATGGAGGGAGAAATTAGGATGATGGGTTTTTTTTGGTTCTTTTTTTTTTTGGTCCACTTGTCCTGTCTGTGTCGCTTGTCCTAAAAATAATTTAATATGTTGGTGTGGTCTGGCTAGCTGGTTAGTAGGTAAGAGGTAGGTGGTAGTGGCAGCAGTAGTAGCAGCTATTTCTTTTTCCCCTTCCCGTTGAGGTCCAGAAACCCCTCCGTCGGTTGTCTTTCGCCGGATGGTGGGGCCGGAGAATACCGGTTGCCTTTAGGTATTTTAGGTACAAGTACATAGATTGGAAGGTTGCGCCCTGTCCTGGGGGGGCTCGGATCACATGTTCTTCCGGGGTGATCAATCTGACTGGTTATTCGTTGACATCGATGATTTTTTTTTGTTTTAGGTTAGCGTTTGTATCACCTTAACGGATTACGAGGTAGTATCTTACTATCTATCCTCATTATCATTCGATTGTTTGGTCGAGTCCCGTAGCTCTCTTTCGACGGAAAGCCCCGGAGTAGACGGATACTACACGAGTACGTACTCCTACTAACTTCTTGGATCTGGTAATCGATCACAAATAAGTTTAATGAGGGGCGCCGAAACTCATGGATTGTCCGGTAGACGTTCGGTTATTTCCGTCCACGGACGCCAAACAATGGACCATAATGGCAACCATAGATCGTCCTACTAATAGTTAGTGAACTAGTTTCCTAGCTAGAAGACGGATGGATTAGTAACCACACGAAGCGGAGAGTTTAGTAAGGGCCCGTAGGAAGTGAACCTTAGCTAGTAGAGGAAAAGTAGGTACCCATCCACTAAAATTGCTTCTACCACTGGACGGCTACTTTGTTTGACTGGACTTCCCGAGCTTCGGCCACCACTACCTAGTAGAGTGGTTCAAGTTTACCTGCCACTAACCTTAATCGGGTAAGCGGCTCTTTGGCCCGTGTTCCGGTTGCATACCTGGACTTGAAATGGATCTGCTCAGTGCGGAGAAAAAGAAATAGATATGTACCTAGAAAATCATAATAATAGCAATAATACTACGGAGCACACCGTACCCCACCGTTGACTGGTTGGGTGAATCAACACTAGCCTGACTTGGGCTCAATTCATTTATTTTGCCTTTCCTGTCATGTAGCATTGTGAGTCTCCCGTTGTATGCATGGGATGTATTAGTCTCAAGGAGGACGAAAAAGGGATTCTGGAATGGCCTCATTGGGTAGCCCAGCCGACTGAAGCATGGATCAACAACAAGGTTGTATGACCCCTCAAGTAATATGCGCAAGATTGCTCCATATCTGCTTGCCAGAAAGTACAGAGCACGAGTGTTCCAAAGAACGATCGATGCAACACAGGAACGTGAGAAAGAAAATAAAAGAGGAAAAAAAGGAAGCTGAAGTGGAGACTCATGCCCTCCCTAGTTGCTCGAAATGCTTGCTTCCCACACTCCAGCTCCCCTTACTAGCGTGGATGATCACATCACTCTTCAAAAGAAAAGAAAAAAGGATTACTCCGGATGAAAAATCTGATGGTCGGTAACAATCGGCCTGTCGAGACCGACCCTTCATCAAACTCCTACAGAACGATATGGGGATTGGACAGACTAGTGCTATCATAGTAAGTGAAATGAAGGTCTCGGATATCTACCACGGAGACCTCCCTCGGATGTCATAAACGATGAATATCCGATCTGGGGCCCATCGTGGTGCCATGGGTTGGGCAAGATTTGAAATTCGGGTCCCATGGTTTAAGAATGACAAATTTCGATATAGTTCCTGAAGGTTGCTGTTAGTGATTAGGTTCGAAGCCTTCCTTCTCTTTGTCATGGATCTGAACGTTAGGGGAACTTGGATCACCTGTTGAGCCAAGGCTACAGGCGAAAAGCTAGTGGATTAGGGCAACCATCAGGCACTGAGGTTGCCAAGGAAATGCCAAGAAGGTCAAGATTTTTCCTTTTTAGACACTGTGGTGAGTCTTTTTTGGGCCCGATAGGATCTCCGGGGCTGCGCTGGATCTACCCAGAGTACACTATCTATAGAGGGAAGTGAACGAGTAGCGGATATCATCGCGTAAGGTAGTAGTGTTGGTGATTCGGGCCCACATCGTAGGTATTACTGAACGGTAGGAAAAAAGAAATTGATTCTCACTTGCTGTAGGGAGATTCCAGTGGCTGTTTGAACTAGGCGATCATGGAACAGTCTCGCCTTTGCTGTGAATGGAAGCGCCAGAGATTGGCTAAGAATCACAGTGTGTGTCCGAGGAGAAAGTGGGTTATAATGTTAGGGTTCCGGCGGGAGTATAATACCAGTGGAGACGGACTGCGGGGCTACATCGAGGGATAGAGAGGAGGGTTGCAGCGCTGATTTAGTTTTCTTGCTAAAGGGGGCCTAATAGGGACAGGACTGGGCTTAGTTGGAGATCTTTGGAGTTTCATATTACTGAACCTATTAATATTGGTGTTGTTATCCCAGATGATCCATAAAGGAGAATAGCTGTGATTGCATGACGTCTTATGAAGAGCATCAGGGCTGAAACCGCGATGGGAATAAGGGTGTGGCCTTCCCCTTAGTATAGCCACTATTATATTGTCTAGTAGACCATTTCAGATTAACAGACAAGGTATGAAACGTGGTACCTATCTGGTCACTTTGCCTTATTCCAATATAGTTGATCGTTTTTTGATCAGGGATTCTTATTAATATTATCCGTATGGATAGAGCAGACTCTGATGTGCATGACACCCCCGGTTGCTGATCATCTCCTAAAGTAAGATAGCACCTTAAGTGAAAAGTCAAAAAAGAAAAAGTTTTTTGGAGAAATATTCATGATCATACTACTACTAATAATAATAATAATGTTCCACTGGAGGAAATGAAGTTAACCTTCTCTAGGCTTACCTAAGTAAATCTAGTTAGTGTGTTTGAGAGTTTCTAACAGTTAGCCGTTTTCGCTCTCTCTCTTTGTAATTCTTTTTCCCCACTATCTTTTTAACTTTCAGAGTTACATTTTTGGCAGGACGTCCGTTGCACATGTTTTGCATAGTAAAGGAGAAGGGGAACAACAATGATTACAATAATCATAATATAGTAATAATAATGGTAATAATAATCAATACTGCCTACATTGCTAGTTGACAACGGCAAATTTAGATCAACCTTATACGGAGGGACACTCCGTGCCCTCTCTGTTATAAGGATATGCTCCACGACCTACCGGATATCACCGCGGATCAACTCACAGCCCCAGTCGATCCAACGATATCGAGCCACTGTGGGATTTGTTTGATCCGCCCAGGGGTCGGAGTCGGAAAGACAGCCCCCCGTGGTTCGTTTTCCTTAGCTTTTTTAGTGATATTGCTCCGCTTTTCACTGTCATCCGGGGCTCATTATCTATTGTTATTATTATGATGGTCCTCGTTTTTCGGTTCCAGCTGTCGACAAGTCTCCTCCACTCGTCAGACAATAGGCATACTACTATGTATGTGGCGACTCTCTACCACAGTAAAACAAGCAAACAGGGCGGGGGAACTTGTGAACTAGTCACATTGTTGATTCAGTATCAAGATCTCGATTGGCACAGGTATAGTCTACATTGAGAGGTAAAGGATGTATCACCCACTCCCAGTGGCTCCACTATACACTTGTTGATCTAACATACTGGCCAGGACTGGTTAAGCGTGTTTTCCGTAAGTCTGTTAGCAATTCCCACAACCCTAATCGACACGCATGGTTGTTTCCGAGCACGGCCTCCCGAAACAATCCCTGCACGGAGGAACGAACTTGAAGCCAGGGTCAACCAGAAAACCGATAGAGGTTGATCGGTACCCATAGGATCACTCACTACCGGTACTGATCAAAGCGGTTATCTCCGTATGTACTGGTAATTATTCGCTCCAGTCGTCCGTATATAGGTCGGCTCCGCGTCTCTATCGTTTGTCAAAGCTTTGCCCACACGCCCCTAGAGGATTTCTTTTCCGTCTCAAAAAAAAAAAAAAAAAGAAAAGAAAAAATCTCTCAAGATCCGCGGCTTCCTTTCTGTGTGATAAAACCCACACAGGCGTGCAGTATAACTTTCAAGCCAGATGGGGGGGATTGTTCTGGAACTGCCCTCAATATGTGGGTTTCGGATTTCCGGTCCAACAAAGGGGGATTATCAAATCATACGAAGCAAATGAAAAGATAATACAGGACAATATTAATAAAAAGGAAAAGAAAGAAAAACGTAGATAGCGGGATTTGAAGATTCTCGCACAGAGAAAGGGGAAAAAAAAGAAGAAAAAGAAAAAAGGACAATAAAAAGAGGCCGGTGAACGGCAAGCGACCGGGGGGAATACAGGACTATGGAGGCGGAAGATGAGCGGTCTTTAGCACCCTGCATCGATCATAAAGGCCTGTGCCAATCGTAGGCCGAGGAAGCCTGACACCGTTGCTTGCGTCCAGCCCAAAAGCTCCACCGACCCGACGCTAAAAGGCAGCTAAGGTGGTGAGCATGCCATACAGAGTACACATAGCCTCCTAAAGAGTGGTCGGTTGATTTTTCAAGCGATTGAGCGGCGCAGCAGTTGTGAACTGAAAAGGAAGAGCTTGGATGACAACGACCTGTGCGCTAGCCCTGTTCTGGAAGGATTTAGTCCACCAAACAATGGTACGCGCTATGGTAAGTAGTGTAGTATCGACAGCTGAATCTACCCGTGACTGCCTACCTGGACCTCTTCAGCATCCACAGCTACAACAGCAGCACCATAAGGTAACACTATGACTAGCTAAGTGGCACCTGTTCAGGGCCTAGCTTGCGTGGCAGATTAACTGTACTCTACTGCACATATCGGTAGACAGATCCAACCCCTTGATTAAGGCACTATCTGCTTTGACATACGGGGAATAAGCGGTAGCATGCACGCCTCTCTGGAGATGTATGGACCGTGATGGGGTCCCAGCAATTTCAAGATGACGGAGATCTTACCTGCACACGCTGCTAGATTCAGTTTCAATTTTCACATGGGTAAGATGCACGAGAGCAATCCCATGCTTGTTTTGTTTCGGGAAAAGGATGGGGAGCTTATCTTAGAAAAAAAAATACCCCAATGTCTCTGTCGCAATGTGACCGAAATTATCTTACCACTCTTATTGTCTTTGCCAGTTCTTCTGGAGAGACGAAAAAAAAAAAAAAAAAAAAAAAAAAAAAAAAAAAAAAAAAAAAAAAAAAAAAAAAAAAAGTGAGAGGAAAAAAAAAAAGAAATAATAATGATGATGATATTGATAATATAAAATAGTAAATATAATAATAATAAATAAGCGAAAATGAAAAAGAAAAGAAATCAAGGCCTCGAAGAGTCGCTCTCAATCAAGTCCCAGAGCCAAGACTCACTAAACTCGGTGGGCCCACAGTCTGATTGCACAGAAGTACATGTGGGGGCGCAGACATGGAATCCTGACGCCTGAGAGGCTGTTTGTTCGAGGGAATCTGGAGATTCAAGCGAGTCCCCGACTCCCGAGGAGCAGTGACGGACAGTCTAATTAAGTCACGATTGTGGCTACGGCTCCGATACTAGTAGAGGGCAGCAGATTTCCCCCCAGCCAACCATTTACAGGGTGACCCGATCACTCATTGCACGGGTAAGTCTATCGAATAAGGATGGTGATGATGATTATTACCATCATTATTAGATCAGTATTTTCTTTTGATATCATGGCTCCCAGTTCCAAAGCACAATGCAGAGATTGGTTGGCGATACGCACCAGAAACAGAGGAGGGTAATGATCGATCAGCCGCTTGCCTTCTTACAGATTAGGGTTACACAGGTCAACAACATCCTCTTTCGTGAGAGTAATGAGGGAGAATCATCCGGCCGAACGCCGTTAGACTGTTTCGAGTTTATTTGGACGGGGCCGGAGGGGGCTCGTAATAAATTAGTTATTGGATTATTTGACATTGTCTAGGTTTTTCTATTTCTTCTCCTCCTTAGATTTTCTGCATCATCATTAGGTCTTTACCTGGCACGATGGAGCTGTTCACCTTTTGCCCCTCACGAGAGGATTCTATTTGATGGAGAGCTCGGGAGGGGTGGATAGGTATGGCGTGTGGCGCCTGGAAAAGTGGGAGCAAGGCTGACGGGAGCAAGTTAGATCGGTTGTTTCCATACCGGAGTGTAACCCGATCGAGTCGCGGGTGTATTATTGCGTTGAGTTTGCTACCTCTACTCGGGGTAAGGGAAAAGAGGAACGTGAAGGGAAATGCCAACAACATCAACAACACACACTAAAAAGAAAGAAGAAAAGTAATGGCACAGAATGGGTCAAAAAATAAAATAAAATACTGTGACTCTGACTATACATGCTGCTCAGCAGCCAAGACTATTACTTTTACCAGTGCTTTTCTACGTCACTCTGGTCTCGTGGTCATATTAGATGATTGGGAATATTTGATATACTACCTACCTCAAAACTCGGACGGTCCCACTGATACTAAAATACTACAGGTCCATGCACACCAAGTGGATGTCATAGGCTGTCAGGGCCCAGCACCGAGCTATCAATATTAGATTGGTTTGTCAATGGAAGGGAGATCACTGGACGCATGACTGATGCTACTCATCCGCCCAAAGTCACGGTGCCGATGATCCTTGTTCTCGGTGGTCTTGCTCGTGTGAGTGAAAGAAGCTGAAGCGTGTGTGTGTGTGTGGTACCTGAATTCGGGCTCTGCCAGATCCATAACCTGGAACACAACGTTAGCTCTCTTAACTCCGACTAACTTTTGCCTGTTTTGAAGGACACTATGACTGAAAGGCTTCAGGGAATAACCCACCCATAGTCGCCGTCTTCCCCCCGATGAACTAAACACTAAACTAAACTAAATTGACTACTGTATTGTGCCTATTCCTCCCGGCGCCAATCTTCATTATTCCAGACCATCCAAGCCAGAAACCCCCAAACCTAAAGAGGATATTGTGGGTTATGGGATTTCGTCGATGCCAATGGGGAATTTTAATTTTAGCTCTTTTTTTTTCTTTTTCTTCTTTCCCTCTTTCTCTCTTTTTTTTAATTTTTTTTGTTGGTTGCAGTGATAGCTTTTCTGTCCGGTTTTTTCTTCTTTACTTCTCTACCTTTTTACTTTTTTTCCCGCAGATAACAATGACACTAATCACTCACTAAATAAATCTCCCTCACGGTGTCTCAAGGGGAAAGGAAGTAGTATTGATTACGACAGGTTTTAATACAAAAATAGAAAGCAAGCAATCAATGATTCTTCTGCCCAACACGATCTGTCACAGCCATACAGACACACACTCATTTCCCCTGGGGGCACACACTTACACTCACACCCACATCACACTATTCCTTCTCTGGTTTGAAGCTGCATGTGTCTCTGCCAGAGCCATTTTTCATTTTTCATTTTTCATTTTTCAATTTTTACTTTTATTTTTATTTTTATTTTTTTTTTTTAACTTCTTGTCTCTGTTCATTCATTTGCTTATTTGTGAATTCTATCTCTATACAATCGTAATAATAATAATAACAATCATGGTTATGGTTACTAGTGTCATTATTATAATTATTACCCTCATTATTATTGGGAGTACTTGTGATGAAAATTATACATGGCTATCAGCAGCACCCATACTGCCTCTGCAGCAGCTCCTACTGTACATACATACATACAAGTACTAACTAATTCTACTGTTACCTTATTAGAGAGAATCATCAATGGATAGGCTAGACAGGTAGTATTACTTCCCTCTTCTCCCTCTTTTTTTACATCCTCTTCCCCTCCACATCTCTCATCCCCTCTTTTTTTTTGAGATACATTTTGTCCCTTGGAGTACTAGACGTGAAGATCCAACTAGAGACGAGGTGTCTCCCATTATCATAAATTGTCGTCACGTCACTTGGCGGGTCTCTCCGATTCCTTGTCTTTGTCTTTATTCCTTATTTAGGATTTATTTTCATTGTTTTCTAATTCACTGACTCGGTTTTTTCTTTCTTTTCTTTCTTTTTTTGGTTTTCTTTTTTTACGAACTCAAATAAGGAGAGACAAACAAGTACTCCGTACTCTTCCTTACCCTTTTTTATTCTATTTTACGATCTGTTCCCCTCCACTTTTTTATATTTTACATTATTATTCCCAACCAGCCTGGAGGCAAATCACAAAAAACACCGAAACCTGGACTCGACGTGAACGGACATCATCTGCACATTATTCTTTTTTTTGCGTTTGAAGGAAACTCCCTGTTCTGTCTGTACAAGGTTCGTCTGGGTCCTTTCATTCATCGTTTCCACGCACCGTCGCTGCATGCTGCAAATCATCCTTCCCAAGCATCTAATCTATATCTTCTCTCGGCTCTAGTTACAAGCTCTAGGCTTAATCTAGGACCCCTTTCACTGTCACATTCACTTTTACCTGTGTCCTGCATCGACCCCCGGCCAATATTACACCACCTTCCCGCTAGTTACAAGCTCCTTCTGATATCCCCACCATTCACTTCTTCCTCTCTTGTTTTTCTTTTTTCCCAAATCTCCTCTCCTCTCACATTCAGCCCTCTAAGTCCATATCCGGGATGGTTCCATTTTTCCTTTCCTGACGTCTGTCTGCCTGAAGGATGGGTCTCCAGTGCAGCTAAATAACAACCCTGGACCCTCCACATTACACTGGCTCTTGCAGCACACCCTTAGTCTTTCATCAAAGATCCCTTAACCGCCCCCCAGTCTAGAGCCACAGACCAACAAGCCACTACCCTTGCCACTGAGCCTCTCAATTTGGTCATAACCGTCGTTCGTCACCTCGAAGACCTTGCCATCCCCCCAAGCAATATCTTGTCCCCTTATCCTTTCCTTCTAAAAGAATTTTAATCGGATTTTGTCTAAACTGCCCTCCGTTACAGTGTACGGGTCGGGTTCATCAAACAAAAAATCAAAACAAAGATAATTCGATTCCAGGCCACTTGAAGGTCAGTCATGACCGGCATGGTTCAGACTGACCTAGCCCATCCATCGACGTCTAAATACAAAGACGAGCCTGCTGACGACCATGTAAGTGCGGTTTGCTTTTGTGCTTTGTTTTGTTTTGTTTTCTTTTCTTTTCATTCATCGCGATTGGAACCCATACTTCGATGGCTCTATTTCCATCCAAGGGCAACCCAGCTATTGTATGAGAGTTACGAGAGACCTTCGGCAATAAGCGAGATCCCGGACTCCTAGACCAAGATCCAGGCATTGTCAGTTACTGTGCCCATTCTCCCATTCATGATCCTTCAGAGCGCCCGATCCATGGGTATGCTTGTCTAAGGCTTGATAGAGAACCCATGCAGGTCTCACGTTCTGCTGTTCTGTCTCAATTGGTATCTTGACTACGCGCAAAATTGAGTTCATCCCTGAAGCCGAGTGCTTTCGCAAATCATAGTCAAACATGATACATTCTCAAGATCGTTGGACTCCGAAAGATCCTGAATGTGTTCCGCTGTTTTACCTGACCCTGGCTCCAGCCCTTAAAACACTACTTCGCGCAGTCCTCATAATACCATTGTTGGTGGCCCTCCTGTCAATGTGGTTCACACGTTTCTTCGGCATGTGTTGCATCAAGTTTGGTCTGAGCTTCTCAGAGGTCTTCTGAATCTCCAACTATGGAGAGAAAAGAAAACAAAAGTTGAAATTGGTGTCACATTCTCCATGAGATCTATTGGCACTGTCGCATGAAATGGTTTATCAGATCCAGTCCTATACTAGGGCAATAGATCAAATATTGGCGTTAAAGTTGCCTGCACCATTTTACAGCACCATAGACTGCTGCTCTCTATGAGGCTTGGCTACAATCAGGACTACAACAGCCACTGCCAGCACAAAATGATCCAGCTTTCTCAGAGCGTGCCCATTTCTCACTATCTTTGTTGTTCTTATCTATGTCACAAATCTCCGTGGATAATTTCATTAGCAGACTTCCTATGGAGTCCCAGGTGATGAACAAGAGCTAACTGAGTTGGATTCTAGCTACGACATTCTGGGCATCAAGGTCCGCCCCACCTTCACCTTCAACATCCAAGACCAGCAAGTCTTGTGCAACAGCAAAAGCAGCCCAACTCTCCTCACCAACCCAGCACTACTTTACCTTCTGGATCATACGCCTCTCACACTCTGGGAAACGGAGTTCTACACCATCCACATCCGTACGGACAATCAGCACAGGAACCGGGGTATTACGCGTCCCATCCTCCATATACAACAGCGAGTGCACCAGCTCAATATCCCTCAAGTGGTGAGTGAAACTTTCGTAGATCGCCCATCAATCGCACACACCTACTCGGTCATATCTTCACCAGAATTGGAGAAAGGCCGGGTGACCAAACCGGGCTTCCGTTACTGATTCGCTGCTAGGGCCGCCTGAAATGATGGCAACAACCACACAGATGCAGAGGCCTTATCCTCCAATGTATCAAACACCACAGTCCGGCTCTCCTGCATCGGTAACTTCCCAGTCCCACGAGCAGCATAGTCGGAATCTTTATAGTCAATCACCACAAATGGCATCGCAGATCTATGGTTATCAACCGTATTCTATAAATCCTGTGCAGCCTTCAGCGTACGGACACGCCTCGTCCCAGCACCCTCTCACGTCACAATCGATGATATTGCCCCATCAGACAAGTTCCGCGCCCATACCCCATACACAGGCACCGACAGTCACTATGGCTACTAGCCCCAGTACCGTGACGGCGCAGCAACAACCGACACCTCCGCAGCGAACAGTCTTGAACCCGCCACTCCCTGCAGCAAGCGGTGGCTCAATCCCTGCAAGCAGTGTGCACCATCAAAATTCAGCTATCGGAGCAAGTACAAGCGCTGCGCCGGGCCCCATTCCAGCCACCACCCCACTGGTGGTACGCCAGGACAGCAACGGGGTCCAATGGATCGCTTTTGAATACTCTCGAGATCGCGTTAAGATGGAATATACCATCCGTTGTGATGTCGAATCTGTTAACGTGGATAACCTAAGCCAAGAGTTCAAGACGGAAAATTGCGTTTACCCCCGAGCCTGTTGCAGCAAGGATCAATACAGAGGTAACAGACTAGTATACGAGACAGAGTGTAATGCTGTTGGATGGGCTTTAGCAGAGCTTAATCCTGCATTAAGGGGGAAACGTGGGTTGATTCAACGCGCTGTTGACAGCTGGAGAAACAGCAATCAGGATCCTCGACTTCGAAGCAGGCGTGTGAGAAGAATGGCCAAGATGAACAGACGGCAAGGCCTGCCTGCACAACCACCTGCTCATATGGCCACTGCTTCACCCGTTGCCCCCGTTGTTCCCGGTGCCAGTTTGGCAGCGCCTGGTCCACGTCCTTCATTGGGCCCTTTAGCTATGGGGCCTCCGCAACTGCATCACCATCATGCTCAACCCGAGGGAAATGCAAGTAACGAGGAAGTAAGCGGTATGTTCCACCACGTATAATTTGTTTACGTTTACCGCCGTTTTCATTGAATATGGTGGACTTGTCTAAATACCATGTATCATCCATTCATGTTGTCATAACACCGTGCGGAAGGATACCATATTTGAACAGAGGAAGCTTTGTGGGCTGGTGGATATTGTACCCTATGTATTTCTATTATGCCTGGAGAGGTCTTCGTGTTTTGTTGTTTTACCCATCATACCCTTTCGTGTTTGTTATCTTACCATTCATTCTGTACCCTTTTGCACCCTGAATCACGATCCGCAATATGCATTTCAGTGTAGGCTAATTTATATACTGCTATACGTTCATAATACAGGTACTGCTGGTTTTGCGAATGGTACCAATCGTCCACCTGCTCCAGACGGTCACTCGACCCCTGGGCATTCGCCCACGGAGCTCCGCACTGGGCAGGTATTCCACGGCTATCCTGCATTTCCGCCTCCTCCGAGTACTCCAGGAGGTGTCAGGGGCCCTTCGATACCCCCTCTCATTCGTGATAGTGGGATAACTACCCTTGGACGGCACCCAACTGTTGCAACGTCCTCGAGCAAGATCGAGGAAATTGAAGATGACGATGAGGATGAGCGTAACCCAAGCAATGACGCGCTATTCGGTGTGTTTCCTGAAGGCAAACGGCGCAAATTTATACTGGTCGAGGACAGTCAACGGGGGTGTCGTGTTCGTGTCAAGGTTATGCTGGACCAGGTGGATATGAATGAGATCCCCGACTCATACCGGATGTCGAACTCTGTTTACCCTCGAACATATTTCCCCGTTCAGATGAAAAACCCACCTGGTCGGGTCGTTCCTGGCAGAAGATACATCAAGGATGACACTGAGGAAGATGACGAGGAAACCCCCATCGCTGGACGAATCCTAGTCCCGGCACCCAGTATTGATGGAGATAGCGAAGTTACTGTTCCTAAACTGTCGAGAGCACGTCGAAAGAAGGAAGTGCTACTGAACGACCTGGGCTACCGGATGAGTTGGAGCCAGAGCCGTGTCTTTGCAGGGCGCATGCTGTTCCTACAGCGATCTCGTACGTGAATCCCCATACCTATTTCGTACGCCTTGTGGCATCGACGGATCGGGTAACTGTCCGTCCGATGTCATCGACAGGGCTCACTCCCGTACCACAGAGTAATAAAACATCGCAATGAATTCGGAGGCTAATCATTTTCCCGGGGAACAGTTGACGCGTACCGGAACAAAATGCGCAGCACCATGTTAGCTGCAGGTCAGGAACCGACTTCCATCCCCCGACACTTCGAGACCCGAGCGGGAAAACGAAGATTCCAGGAGCGCAGAAGACGAACAACTGCTCCTCCGGGTCGGGCCAGTGGGGCAAATACATACTCTGCATCCCGACGCAGTGCAGAGGAAGTTGAAGCCTAGGGGTTCTAGGTCAAAAGTCACTGTCGCCGCCTTTTTTTATAACTCTATTCTTCACGATTTCTTACGGTTTTCATGCTTTCGTCTGGCAGTGAATCTGGGGTATGAGACTTGGCCGCTGTGTGTAGAGTATATAGAGATCGTGGGTGTCTCGAGAACCGGTAACATGGCGGTTTTAGGCGGTTCTACAGGGTATACGGTGTTTTAAGGGTGGAAACACCATGCTTTTCTTCTCTTTCTTTCTTTTCCTTTGGCTTTCCTTTAACGACTCGTTTTTATGACCGTGATGACTATGCTGGAAGGAATGATTATGACGGGATCTAGGACAGAAAAATGATTTCCTCTGGTGATATGGATAGTATGGATGTCGTCGATGAATCATTTTATGTATCATGAATGGATGGCATGTACGCTTTTGTGTTTCTACTTTGTCTTTGACTTTCTCTTTCAAGAGGACCATAACTACTGTAAGGCTTACAGGCCTGTCATGTTTCCTCGGTGCAGATATTTATAGACTCGTTTAAGGTTCAGGCAGAAGACGGGACGGAATTCGGCGAAGCGTAATCCGAGACATTAGAATGTTTCTAGGAATTGTATCACTTCGAGGGGAGTTGTACAAGTATAATATTAGAATAGAACAAGCTAAAATCTGATAACGAAGAATTGCGAATACGAGAGTAGTTATGCAGACAGAATTCGGAGACTACGGGTAACGAATTGTATGGGGGAGTAAGGTAGCTTTGACCACTTGGGGTGCAGGTCAGTAAGTGATCATGACTTGAGACAAACCTGAGGCATGTGCGCATGCCGGGGAAAAGCTTACGTATGTATTTCCGAGAGCGGCCAATTTGTCGTTGACAGATTTAACAGGGTGAGGATTGGAAGAGAATGATAGGGGTAGGATAATTATGTACGCTGACGGACTCCATGCAGGGTTACTCCGTAAATAAAGAAAAGGATGCCCGCATTCAGGGTGTTTCGATTGAATTAGAACCTTTACCTACGGAATACTTCCAGACTAGGAGTGGAGCGACACCCGAACGGGATTGGACCCTGGACCATGTAAAGGTACGGTAACAATCAGATTCAATGGTTGTCGGGGTCACCAGCCGCCACAACTCTCAACTTCTAGGTTCCGAATGCAGTTGTCTCCTCTCTCCTTTGAAATTGCTCTCTCAAATCAAGTCAAGTCATTCATCTTTGTGATTTGCCCTTGTCTTCTTTCTGATCGATCTTCCACGACCCGGATTTCTGTCTCCTCTATTCTTCGTCCATTATTCCCGCGATTTACATACAAAGTACATACATACTTCCCGCTTATGAGCTGTGGCCCCTCACCTCACATCCCGTCGCATCTATTTCGGTGACATTGTCTGATTTCTACAGTATGATCTTTCCTGGTGTTCTATCGTGTCACCGACTCTGAAAGTTGTCACCATACGCAATCCCACACGCTTTCCGTTTCGGTTCGAATGATCTGATTGATCCGGACACTTCGTCTGGGTCGTTCGGGAACCGTGGTTCCAGACTCTGTTCCTGCCCGCTGATCCGGTACACTTTCAGGGCCTTTTATCTCCCATTAATTAACCCAACTGCTTCTGCGCTGTCCCCATTTGATTCGGCTCCTTGCTCGCTCGCTCAACTCTCCATTTCACCACATCTACCTGTCGACAACCTACTATTGGGACTTCTTTATTAGTTGCATAGATTTATTCTCGCGGAATTTTATCCAAACTCTCATCACGACATCTAATAAGAGTTAAAAAAAAAAAAAAGCATCGCCGCTTCTTGTCCATGAACATGTCCGGTCCCCACCGGACATTCAGCTTCAACCAAGGTGATGACGGTGCAGGGGAAGTTTCGCCAGTTCGTTCTCAAGACGGGAATTTCGCAAACAGTCCTCCACAATACAGCGACATTTCCCCCGTTTCCGCCAGAAGCCCCCCCTCTAGTGGGTTTCTCTCAGTCCAGGAAGAAGGCGACCGAGGTTGGGGTCAAACCCTGGGAAACGCGCAACCGATGCGCATGAATTCAACGACACCAGGGATGGATAATCTTGGCCCTGCCGCCGTTGGCGGTGGAATCAGTGGTATCGCCCTTGGCGTTGCCAACTCCCATAACCGCCAGAGTGGAATTGACGCTTTTAGGGATACAGACGGACGCAACATGCCTGCTGAACGAGGTTATAACACCACCGGATCGGACAACCCTTATATTCCGACACCACCCGCCGGCGGATCGCACGAAAGCTCTGAGAACTTGCGCCCTCGAGACTCTTACGGCTCTAATGTTGCACTAGGAGCCGCTGCTGCTCCCGCGGGCCAATTAACTCCAGGTGGCTCAAATCCGTCTCAACGCAGTTTTTTTGACAGTCCGTATCAGGGTATACCGGCTATGGATGCGGGCCCGTATCAACGACAGTCCGCCTACAGCTCCGCTGGGGATTATCCCCTCGTCATAAATCCTGACGAGATAGCCGATGATGGGGACGATGGCTTCATGCCCGCCCCAAATAGCAACTCCGCCAGTCAAACTGCGAGGGCAGTTCCGGCGGCTGCGACTGGGGGGGGCGCTGCAGGTGGGCTATTTGGCTTGTTCAGATCGAAGAAAGTCGACAATCCTTCCTATGGACCGGTGCCAGGGGCACGCTTGGAGGCTGGAGAAAAGAGCCGATGGACCAAACCTATGCCTGGAGGGGGCAGTCGCAAACGCGGGTGGATCGTAGGCATAGTCTTGGCCTTCATTATTGTCGGGGCGATCGTCGGCGGCGCTGTCGGCGGTACTTTGGGCAACCGAGAAAATGAAGATCCGGACCCCACCACGGAATCGGCGTCCAGCGATACGCAATCGAACGGTGACCTCGACAAGGACTCCTCGGAAATCAAATCTTTGATGAACAATCCGGACCTCCACAAAGTATTTCCAGGTATGGATTATACTCCCTGGGGAGTCCAGTATCCGTTGTGCCTCAAATACCCACCTTCTCAGAATAACGTCACTCGCGACTTGGCAGTGCTTTCGCAGTTGACCAACACTATCCGGCTATATGGCACGGATTGCAATCAGACAGAGATGGTCTTACATGCCATTGACAGGTTGGAATTGAAGGACATGAAGCTCTGGCTGGGTGTGTGGATTGACTCAAATGACACGACGAACGATAGGCAGATCAAGCAATTGTACAAGGTCTTGGACGATGCAAAAGACATTTCCATCTTTAAGGGCGCTATAGTCGGCAATGAAGCACTCTATCGAGCGGGGAATGACGACACTAGCGCGCAAAAGAAGCTGATTTCTTATATGGACGATGTAAGGAATCACTTCAAAGAGAAGAGCTTTGACCTCCCAATAGCGACATCGGACCTCGGTGACAACTGGAAGCCAGAACTTGTTAAAGCCTCGGATCTGGTCATGTCCAACGTGCACCCCTTCTTCGCAGGTGTTAAGGTTGAAGATGCTGCTAGCTGGACCTGGACTTTTTGGAATGCCCACGATGTCCCGCTAACGAAGGGTACAAATAAGAAGCAAGTCATATCCGAGGTGGGGTGGCCAAGTGGTGGAGGTAATGATTGCGGGTCGAACAATAAATGTGCAGACGATAAAGCCGGCTCCGTAGCCGGCGTTGATGAGATGAACCAATTCATGTCAGACTGGGTTTGCCAGGCAATGGAAAATGGCACAGATTACTTCTGGTATGTCCACCCGCTTCAACTTCAGTCGGATCTCATTCTAACAGATACTCTAGGTTCGAGGCGTTTGATGAGCCTTGGAAGATCCAGTTCAACACCAAGGACCAGAATTGGGAAGATAAATGGGGCCTTATGGATGCTGGGCGCAAGTTGAAGCCGGGCCTCAAAATCCCTGATTGTGGGGGTAAAACGGCTACATAATTCAAGGTGCCTTTTGTTTTGTCATGAGCTCTTCTATGATTTTGACGAACTCCCGTTCTCCCTCCCTCTTTCCCACTTTCATTGACGATAATAATGACCACGTTCCCTTTATGATGCGATATAGGCTTTGCGAGAGCTTGCTTCGGTGTTTAATATTTGTCTGATTTGTAATTTAGTGGATGGTGGAAATGTTTGATTGATGTATTTTCATGTCCCTTCTGTGCGAAATGTTTACTATTGTTCTATACTGCACATTCATTGCTGGATGTTTTTTTGATGGAAGAGTGTCCCTGTATATATCTGCTGAGCATTTGACGTTGATGGGCAGGTTTCAGGATATTGCAAATACTACATTTGTTTAGCGTTAGGGAGTCGGTTTACAGTGGATCCGTAGTAGCAGTTTATTTCCACCTGGTTAGTCTAGTCGGTCAGGTCATTAATCGTATCATACAGATATATTTACAGTGGTTTCCAGACACAACGTCGCCCCCTCATCTATTCCCCAGCGTTGTCGGCCTCTGAGGGTAGATACACCCTCATATTCCAGAATGCATGTTCCATGTCCTCAAACCGCGGAATCCTTACCGACCTCCTTGATTCCGCGAACTGCCTCACTGCCTCCGACTCGATATCTTCCAAGGGGCCACCAAAGACGAGGACAGGCGCATGAGAAAGCAGTTGCTCAAGATGCGTCCGTTCCGCACCGGGGCAGTAGAGGACGGTGTCCGGGGAGACTTGTTCGAAGGCGTGAGGATGGTCGAGAACGGTGATATCAAGAGACGCGAGCAGGGACTTGTCGTGAGTATTAAACACAGGGTCTTGGGCGTAAACTTGAAGGTTGGGGTTAAACTTTCCTAACCAGACATTGTCAGTATACAAGTAATCACCCACATGTAGAAAAGAGGACAGAACGATAAAAGAAAGCAATACTCACTCAACAAATCCAAGACGCTCACCAACCCGGCGAGCTGATACATCGATACACTCCTCCGGTCCACCCAACCACCTTTCAAAAACCCGCTGGGACTTCCCAGACCAATACAGACCATGCGATCCACTTTTGCCGTCGCCGACGATAATGTCCCCTCAACTACCCTCCAACTCTCCGACCCCTCCCATCGTTGTCGATAACCCTGGAACTGTGTTTGTAGATCTTCCAATTTCAAATTCGTCGGCGCTTCGGCGGGGACAAGGATCTGGGACTGCTCGCCTTGTTCTGTATTGCCATGATGTTTTTGGGAGGTGTGCAAAACTCGACGGGCGCTTTTTCCGCCTGCCGTGACGTGCGTCCAGCCGCTGGAGTCTGTGACTTCGAGACGCTTGTGGTAGTTGAGATTTCTCTTGCGGTTGCTGTGGGGCATTTTTGCAGGGATTTTTAACTGGGATTGAAAGTTAGTGTTGGAATTGTGATTGATTGAATGAATGAATAAATTAGATTAACTGATCGTGATAAATGCGGGCGGTCAAGAGTGTTGTTATCTTATCGGGTTTGCATCTCCAACAAAATAGTAGTCTGATAGTATAGGCGATGTCTCTGATACTCATATTCATTCCTTCAATCATCCACCAAATGATGGCAAGAAGGTAAGTAGCAGAGGGTAGCATAACATGTCGAGATGCTGAATGCTTACCCTCAATAGTTTTGTTCCATTCACCACCCCCCCTCCCATCAACGCTCTTGCTCTCCCTCAGATGATCTCTCTAAGCGCCCAGCCTTCAGTAGCGGCTGTGATGTGCCTTTCTTAGCGTCCGATTAGGGGCGCTTGCAATCCCCAACTTCCACGAATGAGACGGCCGATCACCCTGCCGAAAGTGATGCCACCTGCAGTGGGCGTCTTGGATCTCCTTCTTGGTCCAATCCCAGGCGTTGATCTGCCTCTTACTCCCCTCACGTACATCCAATGCCTTGCTGCAGCTGTCACTTTTGTTCACAGAGTTCTTGTGTAGCACACCTCATCTGCGGGTGTGGTCACATCGCGCTTCTGCATCCTCACTCGTCCGGCATGTTCTTCTCCTCCCCGCTGTGTCTGGAGGTGGGCGCTATGGCAGGATTTAGCTCATGCCTTGGGTCCCTCAAAAAGTCTTGTCCACCCGCTCCTCCTCCTAACCATGCTGGAAGCTTGTTTCGAGGATGATCGTTTGGGACAATTGAACTGTTCGCATATTGGTTGACGTCGAGTTGACTTGATTCTCTGGATGTGTTTCTAGTCGAGAGAGCACAGGAGACTTCCACATCTCTGCGCTCTTGCGCCGTCTTTTGTCAGCTTTACTTCTTGGTCTCCCCCTTTCTTTATCTTGGTCAACGAGGCTCATTCTAAGCACCATGACCTTCCAATCATCAATATCCAAATGGATGGCCATTCTCCTTATATGCCTGGGCTTGGCAAACGCCCACACGGTCATCACGTATCCCGGGTATAGAGGGAATAACTTGCACACAAACGGCACCGTCGAGGAAGCCAATGGTCTCGGCGCAGCCATCAGGCTTAACTCTTCAGCCAATGCAACTGACAGTTACTCCTTGATATATCCCTATGGGCAAGAATGGATTTACCCTTGTATGATGACCCGAGAACAGCTCATCTAAGCTATCAACTTTCTAACGATGGGTTATCCCACAGGCGGAGGCATGCCCACATCAACCAACAGAACTAAATGGCCCGTCCGCGGCGGTGCGGTCGCTTTCCAACCTGGCTGGTTCCAGGGTCATGCGACAGCGTTCATCTACATCAACCTGGGTTTGGGAACGGTGCCCCCGAATATGAGCCACCCCATGATCCCACCCTTCCAGATCAACGGTCCTTCCAATGACCCGTATCCGGGCACGGTCTGCTTGCCACAAGTCCCGTTGCCGGCCAGCATCAGCGTGAGCCCTGGCGATCATGCTACGATCCAAGTCATTGAGACGGCCAAGCATGGCGCCGCTTTGTACAATGTATGTTCTATGTGTCTTGAGTCTTGGCCAACGGATATAGGCTGACATGTTATAGTGTGTGGATATCGAATTCGCCGAACCAGAAGACGTCGCCGAGGTCACCCGCGATAATTGCTTCAACTCGAGTCATATCACCTTCTCACAGGTCTTCGCTTCAACATCGCTAACTTCGGGTGCAACGAGAGGGACGTTTACAACACTATTACCTGTGGTTCTGGCGACTGTGATGGGTTTTATGATGATGTAAATGTTCATTTTGTTTGTCACGATACTCGTAATTGAGCCCGCTTGCTAGGCCGACTTAACACCCATATATACATACCATACCCAATATAGTTTCCGACTTCTCACTCTACATGTGGTTAAATGTGTGCATTAACCTGCTTAATATGAAACTTTCTCACAATATACAACCATGCATACAATGCCCTTTCCTCCTGTCGTCATCTACAAACCCCGAACCAATTCCAAAACAACCTCCACAACAACATCAGGACACTCCTGCGGCGCCCAATGCCCAACCCCATCAACCAACCTCAAGATCCTAAAATCCCCACAAACCCTCCCGTCCACCATCTTCTCCAAAGCCCCAGGCTCCTGATAAATCCCCCAATCCAACTTCCCCGACACAAAAGCCGTCGGCACCTCAATCTTTCTCCCGGCAAACACATCGAAATCCCCCGTATACCGTCCCCCCGCCGCCGTCCGCACCCGATACCAATTCAACCCTCCCTGAAACCCCGTCCGCCCAAACTCACCCACATAAACCCCAAGCGCCTCATCCGACAACCACTCCCGCGAAGCCTGCACCGCAGCCTCCGACTCCTCCGCCATATGCCTCGCCACAGCCTCCGGCATACTTGCCTCCACCGGCATAACATAGTAATACGGCAACTGCACCAACTCCCCTGCGCTCCACCCACTCAACGGAACCGGCCGATTTCCACCCCAAGACCCACTCTTGAGATGAAAATACCCCCGCAGGAAATCCGCCAGCCCGTTCGGTGGCTTCGTCATCTCCCCATCCGCCACTTCAGTCGAATAATACCACTTATAATGCTTCCTTCCCAGCGCAGCAAGCTCAGCATGCACGTGGCCCCCAGCCGCGGACTCCGTCCCTCCGCTCTCCTTTTCTCCGCCCCCTGTCCCTTCTCCGGGGGCGGAATAAGCTGTGTTAAAGGGTAACACCGGACTCCCATTGAAGGGGTGGCTGAGCAGGACAAGGCTGGTGAAGATATCGGGCCGGATGAGCGCGCACATTGCGGCCGTTACGGCGCCGGCGTCGTGCCCCACGATGCATTTCACCGATGTGTAGCCTAGGGCGTGTACAAGCGTCACCATGTCCCGGACGAAAGAGGTTAGCGTGAAGGTGTTTAGGTCGACCTTATCGAAGGGGCGGGTGTCCCAGCCTGTTGTGCGGCCGAAGCCGCGTTGGTCTGGGGCTACAACGTGGTAGCCGGCTGCTGCGAGCGGGGGGATGACTTTACGCCAGGAGAAGGCGAGTTCGGGGAAGCCGTGGCAGAGGAGGAGGAGGGGGCGTGGGGTGTTTGGGTCTCGGCCGGATTCGAGGATATGGAAGGTGAGGGTTTTGGTGGGGATGAGGCGGGTGGTTATGGTCGGGGGGAGGGGGAGGGGAGGGAGTTCGGTGGTGGTAGTGGTCATTTTTGGGATTTTTTGGATGAAGGTATGGTAGTATGGGGATATGGGTGTGTATATGATTGCGGGGGTTCGTTTGAGGGTTCTAGGTTGGTGTAGGGTGTGTTGTGGTTCTGTTCTGTTCTTATATACAGAGTTGAATGTGTAGTTGATTAATATACATAGATCAGCCTTATTGATTACCCGAGGTGGAGAGGGTGGTGCATATCACATGCTGTGGAGCTGTTGTTTGTAGTTAACTATATCTTGAGGGTGAGTAAGCCATTGATTGGCTGGTCGTTGGTTGTAGATCATGTTTCGTTTCTGGTAGAGTTATAGAAGACTACTGAAACTTTGGGACTTCAATATCTATGCATTCCCCACCCATGACATCATATTTGTTGTATAAATCGGTGAACCACTATCTGGTTGAGTCGAAAATCTCTTTAAAGGATCTCTGTATATCCATTCTTTAAACCAGCGATGCATGCGTTAATGTCGTCTTGTAGTTATCACATTATATTATATGAAGAATACTAATTCATCAAAGAGACACCCGATGTATACAGGATCAGACCTTTTCATATAATTATGAAGTTTCTAGTCGATTTGAAATGATTGGCGAATTGTTTGGCCCAATCGCTGGACAGCGCTATCCATCACTTCTTCGCTGGCGCTTGCGAACGTTGTACGGAAAAACAACCCGCTCGCAGGCGTGCTAGATTCGGTGCGGAACCAGGAACCGCGAGCGCAAAGAACTCCATTACCAATAGCTTGGTTGAAAATTTCTTCCTCGATCTCTTCAGTAGAGCGGCGAGGGTAATCTGGATGTTTAGAATGATCGACTTTGAGCCAGAGCTGCGGTATGTTGTCAGCAATAGTGCAAGACAACCAAGGAGTAAAGGAGAGAATATACTCACAAACATGCCCGATGCGGGGGGTGTCCAACTAACAATGGACGTGGGTAAGTATTGTTCGCAAGCAGCAAGCAGCGTGTTCCTTCTTCTGGTATAGTTATCTTTCAGATCAATCAGCCATTTTAAGTATCCTTCATGCCCCCAGGTTTCATCAAGCAGTTTCCACAGCATGATTTGTGAGATTCCGCTTGGACCGTGATCGGCAACCTCGGAGTGATAGATATATTGTTGGACTACCTGCGCGCTGGCTGTGATCCATCCCAATCTCGATCCCGGTGCGAGTACTTTGGAGAAAGAATCCATGCGCAACACTCGGCCGTCGACATCAATGGTTAAATAGGAGGGGACAAGTCCAGCGAGAAAAGATTCAATATCCTCCGGGGATTTGTATCCTGAGCCATTTCTGCCCCGATAGGGGGGCATTTGAATAAAATAATATGGTTCATCTTCGATCATAAAGATATCATGCTTCTGGCAGATTGCATAAATGTCACGACGTCGTTTGAGACTTTGGGTCGCGCCTGTTGGATTCTGTCCCGAAGGAACTGTATACAGAATGTGTGGCTTTCTGGCGCCACGGGGCCGCTCATCCCAAGAGCTAAGGAGGTCATCCATGCTCTCTGGAAGAAGGCCTTCGTCGTCCATTTTGACGCCAAAGGCTTTAATGCCCAGGGGAGCAAGGGTTTCAAGTGCAGTGGCGTAGCTGTATTCCTCGGTGAGAATGGAGTCACCCCGTTCACGATCGCAAAACATGCGAATGGTGAGCTCAAGAGCACCGGTGCTCCCGATTGTCTGACAGACTTGCCAGTCAGCGTAGGCTGGATTATGGACCAGCTCGGTGTGCTCTGTGAGGAAGCGCAGCATCTGGGCCGAGCCCATTGATTGTCCATAATTCAATGCGATGGAGAGGTCATACTCTGAGAGCCCAGCATTAACGTCGTACTTTCCAATGCTGACAGTCTGGGTTGTAGGACTATCGGGCGAAATCGCATTCTTTTCGGAGAAATGTGGCGGCGTGGGCACACGAAGGCTGCATTTATAAACCGGAAAGTGTTCGCTAGATGGGAGACCACCCCCCAGAGAGACGAGGCCCGGGGTTTTGAGGTACCCAGCGGCTTGTTTGAGCATACCAGGCAATCGTGACTTGCTTTCCCGGCTGAAATGAGCTACATAAAAGTGTCAGGAACTCAAGTCGATTTCTTTGTCAACATTTGTTTCTAGGAATAGGCTCTCTCACAGTCCCAACTCTTAGCTTTCGGTTTGCCGCCTCCCTTATATCCTCATGTTAGGGCATAGTAATGGAAGATTGGGTGGATAATCTCACAGTGGCCTTGAACATGTCGCTGTTAGATTTAGCACCCACGCCAGCGACAAGCTTGCCAGCTTTGGCTCTTCTCTCATAAATATCATTTAGGTGTCTCCGTTTGTCAGAGACACCTGTGCTGCTCAGCCGAGTTGCCATTGTAGTATCGATCGAAGACTAGCCCGAAGAGAAGCGCTTATACTGGTTGAATGAGACGGCTCAAAGAACGTCTCAAATGCAGAAATCGATCCCTTTTCTGAGGCCCAGGGGATATGTAAATGACGCATATTGCAGTGCTTCCTCATAGTTTAAGACGAAGAAGTTTCTTGGACATCAGAAGTCTGGTACGAATTGGGCCTTAAGGCGCGACAAGCGGGGAGTTTATGCGCCCTAGGGCTTATGAGTATCCACTTAGCCCCGCGTTGGTTTTCGGGTTGCCACCAAAAGCGCAGCTTGGTGTGTTGCTCTAAGATTGGGCGTATAGGGCGGCATGGTACTTAAAATGTGCGCCCAGACCGTGTGCAGAAAGTAAGTTGATTATTTAATAGATCGGAAAGCCGAGTGAGAAAGGTGCCATTTCTTATTCAACTCGAAAGGTGCTGTCTCCGAAAGGAGGACAGCCATTCGTCGTTATCGGCTATAGTTTGCTCCCATGCATCTTTATCCCCATACACCAGCCGCCGGGATTCATCTTGGAACATCTTATCGGTAGGGAAAACGCCATTTGCGATGCTTTGTTGTGCAAAACGCCCTAAGCGAAAAGTCATCCACCTTAAATAAGAGGTAGGAGTGAGATCAAACACCGGTCTAATGTTAGAGTCGAATACATCGAGTTGCCGGTCTGAATATACCTCTCCATTTCGTTGATAAATTTGGGACAGATGATCGAGCGTTCTTGGGTCGGTCGCAGAGAACGGTACCATGCTTTTGGCTTCAGAGCCCAGGAGGTAAGGGGGGAAGGCGTTTTGGATCTGAGCTGCGATAGATGATTCAAAGCAGTGGTCTCCTTTCCAATCGTTCATGGTCAAGCCTTGCCGGAAATGTGCCGCTAGATGATCGGCACGTGCTTGCCATGAGGGTAGCTGTTCATCACAAAAGCCGCAGCGAGAGATGATCGAAGGAGGTTCGACCTTCCAGTCTTCGATAATTGGTAGAGTTTTAAGACTATGAAATCCGCGAAGGTGCTGAACAAGGTGGTCCTTGCGTCTGAAACAACGCGTCACTTGGGCGCTATGACAAGCACTATGGTTATGGCTCTCCAGATGATCGTCAGTCGGATCAAGTATGTTGCAATAGGCACAGTGGATTCTTCCCGTCGAGGGTGACAGAACTGAGCCACCATATGGAGCACAAGCCCATTGATCGACATTCAGGTGGAGAGATTTTTCATGGCGGGTCCAGTCGTGCTTTCTCGTAAAGGTATCGCAACAGAATGTGCAATGGAATATTCGAGCGTTGCTACTTCGTACTGCATCATTCTTCCGGGACTTTCTAACTTGGCCTCGGAACGCAGGTATTGGGCTTCGGCGGCCGACCGATCTCGACGATCTGGCTGATGCAACCGAGCTTGACGAACGGCTTGTGCCGCTTTGAAAGCTAGCAATAGATTCCGCTCTTCTGCCTGAGCTTGAACCAACCACTCCTCGGGTGGACATTTTGCGTAAGGCATCTGCTATAGCTGACAAAGATGCTGGCTCGGTTTCTGGAGGGCTCTCGCGCCATCTCTGCATTGGATCCATGCCGCTATCCGATGATATAGACGTGGGTGTTGATAAAGAACGCCCGGTTAGTCCGCGATGGCTGAGGCTGTTGCTTCCGCTGCAAGGCAGGCTTGCGCTTGCATTTGAGCTATCAAAGTCTGGTAAAGCCACGTCAGGTTCGCAAACCCCCAAATTTGGCATAGATAACATGCTCGGTGACTGTTGTAGCTGTAACTGTCCATTATAATTGCCAATATATTGCTGTTTCTGTAACTCTGCCATATTCCAGGTCTCGATGTTTTCAGTGTCGTAAAAGCTGTAGGACGAAGCATCATAGAGAGAGTTGTCCACCTCGGGGAGTATCATCTCTTCGTTGAGCGGATACATATTGAGGGGCACATGCTGACTACTTTCAGAAAGGAATGCTGTGGGATCATCACGAGGCCCATAATTCTGATAGGATGTATCCCCCTGCAGTAAAGCTGAGAGCATACCTTCAGAGGGTTGAGCTACAAGAATAGTTTAGAGATACTACCTTCTCACAAGGGGCGTATGTATACTAACTATTAGGAGATATACTATTGAAGTTAGTTGGGTAAGAGTCGACATGCTCGCGCTGAGAATCCATGAGTGCTCAAGTTGAGTGATAGTAGTAGTAGTAGTAGTAGAGGTTAATAGATGGTTGAAGGAACGCACGGAGATTTTAATTAAACCTTATCAAGCTAGTGAGGCCGATTGCGGACTGAATGGAGCTCTGGATATTTTACCGAAATCTTGGTATTTTACGGCCAAAAGTTGGCAGTTATTGCTATAATCTCTGTAATCAGTTCGAATGGGACTTTGGATGTTCGCAGATCCATAGGACTCCATGATACATTTGAGTTCTTGAACGTTGACTCGGCGATGACCGTTCAAACTACTTAATCACACACAGCTGGTTGTATATGAAGGACGAGCAAGAAAAAATTATATTTGTTAAAAAATGATGAAAAAGCAATGGCGAAGCCCCCGGCGAGGCTCGAACTCGCAACCTTAAGATCGCTTGTAAAGCTAGAAGTCTTACGCGCTACCATTGCGCTACGGGGGCTGTCGTTGCGTTGGTTTCAACTTTTAGGATTTATTAAAGAAAATTTAAAGCATCCAACTAATTTTTTAATATCCCCGTGAAGTTATCAGCAGATATATATGTCCATGAATATATTGGCAGAGGGGAATTATGTTTGCATTATTCTCATAATATACTACCTTGATCTAGTCGGAACTGTAGGTCAGACATGAAATGCCAGGCGACAAGCAGGATCGTCCTCTCTTGTATAAACACAAATCTCACTTGGTTACCACCCCTCAATATCTATATCTGGCGGGAACTTGATAGAACAGTAAGTAAGAGAAATCAATATCTCTTAAGTTATACCAGAGGTATAGTATACTAGTATACTTTGCCCTGCAAAACTCCTTTTCCTTTTCGCCAAATCTTTCGGCTACACCCAGCGACGTTCTTTTCAGTTTTGTAGCCTTCCCTTCTCGAGGACTTAAGGCAAAAGACTCTCGCCCCAGTGTTTGTAGGGGTCAGTAGCCGGATTAAGGAATCTATCCGCAGTCGCTTGGTTTATTAAAGGTGTCAAATCCTCGACTCGGGCTTGAACATGACGTGTGGTGTCTAGATTATCTCTATTAATAGTCTCAGAAAGACTGGCTAATTCTTTATGACCCTGTCGTCTCGTTTTGGCGTTCAGACAATCAAGTCTGTGAATGGACTACCGCCATATTCTCTACCAGAAGAGTGTCCCATTGGTTGTCGTGATTTGGGTTTCAGCAGTATTTGTAACTTCCTTTAGCACCACAGAGGTGCTCCATGAATAACATGTCCTGTATTTCCACTCAGTTATAGACTAGTTCATTTGATTTGTTTTTATAGCTTTCGCTGTCAAAGCTTTTCATAGACACGAATGCTTTCCCTCTGATACTCTCAGGACAAGGAGGCCTCTCGGAGGCGGGTCCAGCTTTCCCCTTCTAAGTGCGTGCAATGCCCTCAAAAGACCACGAGAATTATAGCATTTCTCATCGGTCCCTTCAGTTAGGTCATCAGGTGTGAGACTGGAGAATCGCTTGAGGTTATAGATGCATACAGGAACGTTGATTTCGTGGAAGGCACAGCTTTGCGTAGGCCTGTCATTGACTACCGATACTTCTGCATAAGACAATAGCTCAGTGTATCGAGACTGCATGCGAAGGGGTTTGGTTGTAAAGCTGTAGGTTCGGACGAATTTCTAGGCCAATTCGAAGTGAAAAACAAAAAAAGAAAAGAAAAGAAAAAGAAAGGAAAGGAAAATAAATGCTGGATTGAGAACACATTGATAATAATAATGGTTATTAAAAATTGGTTTAAAAAATTGACTAGAAGGTATAAAGCCCCCGGCGAGGCTCGAACTCGCAACCTTAAGATCGCTTGTAAAGCTAGAAGTCTTACGCGCTACCATTGCGCTACGGGGGCCTTGGTTGTGTTTTGCCGGAGCTTATTGTGTCTAAGTCCCCAAATACGAAAATCTCCTAAGGTTAAAGCTTCGCGGCCCCACCGACACAAAAATATATAGTCTTATTTAACCCCTACTACAAACATAAATTTTCTGGATGACACAAATATTATACTTCCTTTCATCTCCCCTCTTCCTCCCCAAAACACTATTGGGGTCATCCATCTAGAGTACCTGATTCTGGTTCATGTAGACTAGAACAAATCAATTCCATTGGCTAAGCCCAACGAATGTTAGCCCTACAGTGTGACGACCTGTCTGTCACGTGGTTAGGCAGGCCTACTTCCCATAACACAATCCTTGTATGATAGTGTTTCTTCTCCCATAGTTGAATTCAGTCGGAAATGCTACAATATCTAACTTTCTGTCGTGGGATTGCTATTTATGAATGAGCAATCATCACATACAGCAGCAGAAAAATAAGAATCCCATATTACTATAGATATACCCCCGTAGAACAAGTATCACACTACAAAATAACCTTCTGAGACCACGGTACTTGAAGCTTTTTACATGCTGGTGAGTTGCGCCTATCTCATTCTATAAGCTTGGTCTAGAAATGGGATGTTATGCCTCGAGAATGCAGCGGTGCTATGCCTGCTGACAGCATATTTGCCTTGATTCGTATTTACAGTTTGCACACATATGCCCAAAAACTAATGTCTTTTTGTTTTTTAGTCCTAGGAGAGTCTAGGAGCAGTAGGCGAAGCTGTAAAATTACTCCTGTGGTGAATATAAGCCCCCAAGTCTAAGATCGATTGCCTCGTCTGTGGGGTCATGTTCTAAACCATTATTAAGATACATAAAAATATATATATAGCATGCCCTATGCTCAATCTATCAGCAACAAAACCTCTAGAAATGCTATATAAACGTATTGGAATGCTGTAAGTGCTCTTTCGAAGCGGTATTCTAGTGTGTTCGATGGATTTGAGCCACGGTCACGACTAGCCATACTTTGCTGCTGGGAATTTGCACGATCCTTCGGTGCAATATCGTCTCGCTGTCGGGTACATGTCGACAATCTCACTAACCCAGAATATTAGAAAGCCCCGAGGCGTGCATGGCTGATTTGTAATTTGCTGCTGAGCCATGTTTCAAGCCCGTCATACCGGACCTTCGGGTTGACCTCAACTCGGAACTCCGGTTAATCGAGTTTAACAGCCTATACGGAATATGTGGCTCTCTACACTATTGGAACCACCATTCCATCATAAGATAGTCGAAGAAACAACTTCGTCTCCGAAGGTCACGTCACGGCCGTGGTGCAGAATAATGCATGATATTGCTCTCTTCGGTGCTCCTGGCTTCACCGGAAGGTTATGCGCACAATTTATTACGCAAAATTACCCCACAAGTCTACAATGGTGCATTTTAGGTAGATATATGTCTCGCTTGGAGAATCTGGTAGGGGGATTGAAGCCATCAATCCCAATCGAGCACAGCCTGGTACGTCTATCTTGTTATCAGCGAAAATATTCCACGATCTAACCCTTTTACATGCGGTCGGCTTCATAGGTTTTGGTCCTGAAGGCCTGTATCGAATTCTTCGGAAGTGAAAGTGGTCATCAATGGGGTCGGACCATTTCACCAGTTCTAAATACTCATTGTAGTAGCATGTGCTACTCTTGGGGTTCATGATGTGGACTTGTAAATAACCAGTTTCCGCTGAAGGCTTCATTTAGTGACGATTTCCAGCACAACAGAGACACCGTGAATTGAAGACATGATGGTGCGTTATGGTGAAACAGCTAGAAAGAGTGGATCTCTAGTAAGAGTGACAGTGGCCTAGAATTGGAAGCTTGAAGCAAAGAATGATGCAGCTTCTACATGGACTCTTCACTTACACGCCGTCGGATATCACTACATTCCTGATTGCGAAGGAGATGCGTGAGCGCGATATTCCTAGCCAATTGAAATTATGGAAAACTTGAGTAAGAAAGGCTTCTGTACCCTTTACCCTAAGGTACTTGACCAGTTACCTACAGCTCGTTCCAGTATTAGAGCAATGAGCGCTGGCTCACTCATGACTGTTCCGATCTATTCGCAACTTATGGCTCGACATGGTATCTTTTGGGGCCATTCATGGAACTTGTCTCCGTCACGCCCAAGCGTTATCCCAAAGCCACCATTGATGACTTGTTTATTTGGATACCGCTGCATTCATAGACTAGGAGCATTGCAACATCTTTTGTAGGTCCAGGTAATGAGCCTATAGAGCACTGTAGTACTTCCTAGAATCTTGACCTCTACGGCCACGGCTTCCATTATGAGGAACACCTTCCAGTCGGCGGCGTCCTCTCTGCTCTTCTTGTGCACTTGCTTACGAAGGCCAATCTCATTCTGCTGTCCATCCCCTTCATACGTGCTCGGACCCGAAGAAGAACATGGTCAGGGTCGTGCCCATCTCATTCGACAGGTTGTGACTTGCAAAGCCCCCGCTCCTGACGTAAACAAACTTCGTCATTTAGAAAGTGCAGAGTTCCGCGCTATTGGAAAGATGAGGGGAAGTGTCTCCCCGCGAATGTGGGCATCCTTTACACACCATGGATCGTTACATGAGTTGAAGTTGAACGCACTTGTGACATGCGTGGGTGCACATTGCTTGCTGGATCGATTGGATGACAGAGCATGAGAATAATGGGGAAAAGAACTTTCAAATATAGTGAATTTGTCACGTTTATACTTGTGGATGAGTTATGTTGATCGTTTGAAGGATGCCGGGGTAAAACTTGAGGTCCAAAAAAATAGAGATACGAAAGCCTAGCTAGTATTAATAGCTAATCACACCTTAAGCTGCTTGTTTTCAGTATTCTTGTCATCGTAGTCTTTTGTGTATTGAGGATTCGGCGTTCCGAATTGGGCCTCAACACTTCACTGTCTAACATTGCTAAAATCTATCAGCAATAAGAGTCGCCCTGGAGAGCACCTTCTCTTTTTTTTTTTTTAAAAAAGACCCGAGATTTCACATTTTTCCCCTCGGTTTAGTCATTGTAGATCTTTTGCGCCATTGCTGAGGCGCCCTGAATTATTACCTTGGGTCTAACCCCTACCAACGCTACCTGCGTCCCTAATCACACCGAAGCGGTTCATTCCCCATAATTCTCCTTGAGCAGCTCTTTTCATCTCGTCTAATTCCTAGGACCTAATGAATGTTCTCAATTATTTGGCAACTAGGCCTACTTTAGTGAATTATACCAGAAGGGTCCTGACTTAATTGCTATGATGTAAATACATTGACGTGTGCATCAGTTTATATCGATATTAAGAACCATCTCTGGGTTAGGCTCTCAACTCTCGCAGTTTCTGTTGTCAATCACTATACTGACACTTTCTCACTGGAAATTCCACTATGCACCTCAACAAAAGCTAAAACACTCTATCCTCCGAGACCATTATATTCCAGAAGATCATCTGATCATCTCTAGGATAAGCGATATAGGCCAATCAGAAAGTTCTCTTCTAGAGCTTACCGCACTGTCCGAGGCTATTAGCCTTGTTAGAATTTCTAATATGGTGTGCGTGTCTTCTGAGTTGGCCTTCATCCCCAAAAATCTTGAATTCCTTATATGTTGACAATGTCCCTACGTTCTAGTAGAAACTACCTACGAAAGCTCGGAGTGTATCTTCCGCGCAGGGAAAACCGGGCTGGTTTAAGCAGCTACTCGGTCCTTTGGATGAGCTCATCCGCATCTGACTGATCTCTGCCAATGATATCGAGATCATTTCGGGCCACAATATCCTGTCGATCAGGAAAGACACGGTGTACCACTGTCGTAAATCATTCCACGTGGCGTGACCATAGTAGCCGAAACTTCGTTCTTTATTAACCATAGACAGAGTAGTGGCAGCCACCAAAAGGCGTGCGCTATCCTCAACGTTGGCGAAATATGCTGTCGGAACCTATTGGTGCTTGGATACTACTGGCCCCACAAGGTTGAGATGAAAGCCTAATATGCAGGTCTGAAGGCCAGACACTATCAAGATAGAGAAACACGCCGTCCCAGTTACCAGCGAGGGCATTCTTTAGAATTCCTGTCGAAGAACTAGGACCGGTATTAATATTCTCCACATCCAAAACACGTCCAAATTTTCTATCGAACACAACACAGTTAGCCTCAAAGGGGGGTTGTTATCCTTCACCCAGGCCTAGAATGTGAGCTCTACAGCAGCTCTACTAGCGCTATACACGCTCCATGAGCTGTCAAGTGACTCCACAGTATGCCCTTCACCTGCGTTCCGCAGACCCTCGTAGTTGAATGTGTCGACCGTTATCTTGTGCGGTTGGTCATAGACGGTCGCCTCGACAGCCTTAGAGCTAGAGCTCAATACATGACGCTGCACCCCAGCTCGAGATGCAGCTTCAAGTGTGTTGATAGTTCCTCGCTCCACGGGGTCCACTGCCTTTTCCGGTTCTGGGCAGAAGATTATAGCAGTTGAAACGTAAATCAACCCCGCCGCTCCTACATACCGTATGTTAGCGCTGGTGTTACTGAATGGAGCAGGGCCATATACCTTCGAAGGGCTATATCGAACGCTCCTTCAGCTGCGAAGTCTCTGACCCAGACAAGTTCGAATCTTCCGGGCTATTTCTTGCCGAAATCTTTGGGTATCTAACCTTGACACTTTTCGACGTCTCGAACCGTGCCCCGCACCCGGTACCCTGCCTAGAGGAGCTTTTCACATGTTTCAGAGCCGATGTAGCCATTGGATCCTAAAACCACGGTTGTCGAGCCGAATGGAATTGCTGGACTATAAATTTTCATTGTAACAAGTAGTTTTGGAGAGAAACGGGTTCAGATTTCCTTGCGTCTAGTAACACCAACCCGACGGGGTTTCTGTCATCTTTATACCCAGGTATACGAAGGACTAAGACAGTGACTCTGTCTAGCAAATAATTTTATGTTATCTAAGATAGAAAATGAGAGAACGGGAGTTCAGCATTAGATATTAAGACACGTGGAACATGGAACTCCGAGTGCAATAGATACACCAAGCTTCTGCTAATTCGGGAACCTAGTCTAGATTAGTTCAGCCCTATGCTGCCTTGATAGTCTCAACGTTGAAATTCGATATTCATCTATCACCCAATAGACTATATTCATTGTAGAGTCAAGATCCATCAATTGTTGGGGTTGCAATGGGTATAATGACGCAAGAAATACCATGGCGAATATGATATTCGGAAACATAGAAACATACGCCAGAGACCACGCAATGCTACAACTTTCCTTTAGGATATCTCTAGAGATCTTCAACGAATACCCTCAGGTAATCACTTACCCACATACTGAGATTCACCTTATCTTTATATTGAAGAGGCAGTGCGAAGATAGTCTTTCTTATGCCCTGGCAAGGTGGCCGAGTGGTTATGGCGCTAGTTGTTTGTCCCCCTCATTCACCAGTAGCATTAGATGTCAACTAACAACCTCAAAGTTAGGTTCTTTCCAATCACTAGTTTCGATTGATTCGCGGGTTCGAATCCCGTCCTTGTCATCAAAGTTTTTGATTCCTGAATCTTCAGTTTCTCTTTTGAGGGAAACATCCAGCTTCTTCGAACAGTATATGGAGTCACATCAGAGTGAAGGAGTATCAGGTTAACGTGGCTATTAAATGTCTGCCTATATAATTCTGGCTGCGGTATATCTTGGAATAATTGTTTTCATTCCCAATGACAATTCCTATTCATATCTTTTTCTTTGGTTTTCATTACTTGACCGGTGGCCTGGATAAGACATTTTCGCTTCGCTTTACTTATGTAGGTAAGATCTTGTCTGAGTAATATAGTAAGAATCTGGCAAGTTCATCGAGCGCTCTAAGGCGCACGGTTCGTGTATGCCTGGCCACACAAGCTTCATAGCTTCCATGTCATTAAACTGCCGTGAATCTCGAAGTTCAAGGATCCGTGTGAAGCTCATTGCGGGTTTATTGTTCTGGGTTTAATTGCAGTCATTTGAATTGTTTGTGGCAAATAGAGACGAATATCCTAATTCTTTTGGCACTGGATGTATGTACAGACCCTATTTTCTCACACACTGTAGGCTCATCAGAGTCAGTCTGTAGACAATGAGACTCATCATGTAGCCCCAAGCTAAACGGTTAGCAATTTTGCGTAAATCACTAACACTAATTCATAAAGCTGCCACTGAAGACCATATCAAATCAGCCAGCACAGTGTTCATGGGAAGGAAACAAGGGATAGTTGTGAATTCGAGAACGGTCTGACTTCAGCCCGGGCAATATACTTTGCTTGGAGTTTAATGTCGTTTCCCCGGGGCACGGTTCATTAACCCAACGTTGGGAACTTAGTCGATCCACTAATTGCTTTTTTATTATAGGTCAGGCTGACTTGAAAATGGTAGTAATGGCCGTGGTGGAAGCTATTGCTGTTCTTTTCATCAGACATTCGACCGTGTCTTTAGAGCTTCGGATGTTAACTACAGCCAAATTTAGAGCTAACTCTATATTCGAAGGCCACACAATCTTCAAGACTGAATATTTTTGTTGGTGAGTTATACGAATGTGAATCCTTGGTTTATGTAGGATTTTGGCATGTTACCATTAAGGTATAGCGAGAAACTCAGAGTCTAGTGTCTAGTTGAGCGTTGAACAGAACATATGCCGATCGTTCTTTGATAGGTCTCTGATATAGGCTTAGAGGTCTCTAGCTAGACTTACATGCACCATGAAGTACTAATATAGCCTAAAACAGCAATGTAACACATTTAAGAGAAATAAACTGTGAATATAAAGCTACAATCTTTAAAGAACTGGTAATTTTCGAACTGTAATCCTATTCACTAAGTATATCGTTTAACCGAAGAACTGATTTTTGGCTCATTGAATATATAAGGACTCCCATCTTCCAGCATGAGTATACTACCTTAAACTGTATCTTTTCTTTATGAATCAGGTTTATTATCCATTCAAATAAAGTACTAACACCTCCTACCACTTCAAGTATCGCACCATGAAGATTACTTTTATCTCTATCTTTATCTTTGCTTTCTCTCTGCGAGCACTGGAGGTGCTGATACTGCAGATAAGACCGAGGAGGCGTCAACCCCAAAAGGGGATAATCACATCAAGCCCCTCTACTTGGTGTAAGCCATCTCATGAAAAAGGACCATTGAATATACGGCTGAATATGAAAGAATTGTGCCGGACGCACTGAAGAAAACCCAGGCGTATGTCGTACACCTTCAATTATCCATGGAAGCAGGCTTGATTGGGAAGTTCCCTGTGCGGAAGGATCTCCGGTAAGCCCTGGAAATACTAAAGTAGCAAATTAGATTATCATAGTTTTACTAACCCAAGTAGTGTGGAGGAATAAGGTCCTGCTACTTTGATATGTATGCCAAAGGCAAGAATCTTTTTGCAATATGTTGAAGGGGCATTAGAGAAGAAGCTCAGCTGCTGGGGGGAAGATACGATGATTTACAGTGGTTGACTGGAGGTTGGAAGAGATTCATGCTTCTTTTCGAAGGAAGAAAGGCTGTTAACAGTAATTCGATCAGGGGCGTTATAGTTAAGGCACTGTACATATGGGAGTTTAGGTAACTCGGTTGTCACGATGAGATGTTCTCGGGAATTCTAAACTGGAAGGTTCATGTTCCTGCGGTTGGGAAAATAAAAAAAACCGAACTTAACCTTAAAAAAACGTTTCGTTTTGATTGAATTGGCGTCATGACGCAAGTTCCAGACCTCTCTCTCCGCCTTAGAAAACAACTTCGCTATGTAATGAAATGATCCCTGACTTGAAACTTGAACTTTTCTCCCCCCAAAAACCACCGTCTTCATGGATTAACGAAGTCAATACCCAAAATTCCGTTGACTCCTTTTTTTAACCTTGCTTTAGCTCTGGCTTGACGAACCCCTCGTGCTCCCCTCGTCACCTTTTCTCTACCATTTCCGTGTCCCCCCCATCCCTCGATCAACACAAACCCCCGTCAAAACAGTCGCATTCTATTCAACGGTCCGAACTGTTGTTTTTCTCGGGTGAGAGGGATTACTATCTATAACCTCACGTGTCTGCCTGGTGGCAACACGCCGTAGGAGTTTTGGCTTGGGTAACCAACATGTTCCGGAGACGAAGGAGCTCGTCGCATCATCAAGTCAGTCTGCTATATGATCTCGCTGCATCAAACATTAACACCAATGTCTACTTCTAGCAACCACTCTCTACATCTAATGCGCAATCGGCTCAGTCGGCCGCCTCCCATGCTTTCCTCAAATCTCAACCCTCCTCATCGAGTCTTTCATCCGCCGCCGCCGCCGCTGCCTTGCGGAGTCTCACGCCCACACCGACTCCCGTGGAAAATGTTCAGACAAAGCGGATGATCCAGCGGCGCGCTTCCGTCGCCTCTCAGTCCAGCCTCTCCGGCGGTTTGCACCCGTCCAGTCAGAATGCTCTTCGTCGGGCCAATAGCTCAAGCTCTATGAGCAGCCGGACTTTCCGAGATCAGTCACCTCATCGTCCCACTTCTAGTTCTGGCCCAGTCCTCATCGCCCCTCCCATCCCTTCAATTCCCCGGGAATATGCGACACGAACCCCCCCCAATCGGCGCTCAGTAAGTGTCGGGCCGTCCATGCGACCGACGTCCCCCGTGAAGCGGCAGCCGTTTGGTCGAGGTGCCAGCGTTGATCCGGATGTCAGAGGGTCGGACCAGGTACCGGAAATCCAGAGGGCCGGAAGTAGGAATTCGATCAACTTCTCCTACCCGATGATCTCTCGGCCTAACTCTCCAACTCTGGCTTCGGAGCCTCTTGACAGACGGGACACCTCCGCCTGCGCATCCATAGCTAGCCATTTATCATCTGCCGATTCCCCGAAAGCGCAAAAATCTCCTCCCCAGACTGCCAATGTTTCCGCACGGAGGAAGACAAGAGAGGTAGTTTCTGGTAGTCCCGGAAGAGGTGCTCAGCCGGTAGACACTGCGGTTTTAGCGGCGCAAGCGGCAATAGTACCCCGAAATGATGAAGCTACATACCAATCATCCCCTCCTCGCTTGGCTGCGCACCGAGATCAGAATGCCAGAGACCAAGCATCTAGGGGGCCTATAGCTTACCAAGCTCGCGACCAGCCAGTACGTGATCAGCCAGTACACGACCAGCATCAGCCTCGTGACCCTGCCCGTAGTGGACATCTTCTAGAGCCAGATCATCAACAGCCACCGTCACGTCCAGTGCTTACAAAACGACCTTCGACTGTTCCTGAAGATTACCAGGGGGAGGAACGTGCGGAAGCAGGCGTGCCGATGGAGGGAATTGAGCCGGTGCCGGTCGAGCCATCGTTGTCGGAGACCCTGCCTATTGCCCGGACACCAACGCCTGAAAAGTTAAAGGACCAATTACCGAGCTCCATCGTCAGCTCACCGGAGTCTACCAGTTCGTTCGGCCCTGACCGGGAATCCCAACTGCCGCGAGCCTGCCAGCCGAGCAGCCCTGGGAGATCGGCTCGCTTCTCCAACCAGCTCTCGGTTATGAGCATTGTTGGAGAGCACTTGCATCAACCTCCTCCCCGGTCAGTGTCTCCTGCCAAATCAGCAATGAAGAACCCGAGAAAGTGCTCGCTATCCCCTGACGGTAGGACTGGAGTAGTGCTGCGGCCCGGCCCCGCTCTCAGCGAACTCTCAGATGGGACTTCTGTGGGATCTGATGAGGGTTCTAGGCTCGGGTTCCGAAGAAAGCCCGTCAAGGTCAGTTTCGATGATGAAGCGGAAGTGGTTGGGGTAGCAGCAAGTCCACCAACCTCCCCAGAAGCTACTAGTTTTGAGTCGCCTCCAGTGAAGTCGAAGGGAAGGACAAGTTGGTTTGGAATGAGTAAAAAGAAATCCGCAGCTGCCGGATCAGATGGATTTGATGAAGTGTTCAAGCCTCGACCTGAGCTCCCTTCGTTTGGTAGTGTACGACGGAGCAAGGATGGCGAGCATCAAGAACCAGTTCGGCAGGAATCAAGTGATAACGAGTCGACAGCTTCCTCAGAGCCTCACGTGTCTTCGAGTTCTTTTTCGAATGACCATGCTATCGGAGCCATACTATCCAACACTCAGTCAGAGGACGCCCATGCACAACTCAAAGAAACAACATCGCCTACCCCTGCAGTGGTGGCTAAGAGGGGAGCACTCACAGAGACTCTGGGTGAAAAAGGTCCCGTTCTCCAAGGAGACTTACAAAATACACAGGGTGTCCGGCCAGTGCCATTAAATTCGCTTCAAGATGAAGGAAAGCAGGAGCCCAATCAAAACCTACCAATGCCTGGGATCGCGGTCCAACCAGCGACCCCTGAAGGTGAAAAAGGGCGCTCGAGCCTTGACTGGTATACCGTGCCAGGAGGATTTCCGCGATCATCTTTAGAGTTCGATTCCACAAGCCACGACTCTACTAGGCGGAAAGACAAGAAGCAGCCCACAGGCGATACTGCCGTCGATATAACTCGGAGCAATATAAGCGATGACGAGTCCGGCGAGAGTATATACAGTGATGCTGAAGAAGGGCTTGAGAGCGATGTTTTTGGTTCTATTAATGCTGTCGTTGATGAACCCCTGTCTGAGCAGCACAAAGATGTAGTGGAAGTGCATGTGACTACAGATGATAACATGCGCAGGATTGAGGAAGGACCATCTAACTTGCCTGACATTCCGCAAACCTGTCAGATTGCTCGCGTGGTAAACCCTGTACACACTTTATCTCTCTCACCAGTTCCAGAATCGCCGGCCTCTTCACACGAGCGACTTCCGTACTCGTCTCCGTACCCTCCATTCCCTGTACGGGCCAACAGTAACACGAATGTACGAGAAATCCCACGTTCCTCTATAGCTACAAGCAAGGAAAACCGATCTATACTGGTGAATGGTCAGGGGGATTGTCCTGTGCGTGAAACAACCAGCTCAATTATCCAAGGCGGCCCACTTCAACCACAATCCGGAAACGCTACATATCAGCCACGGCATAAAGCTGGCTACGAACAGATCAAAAAGCGACCCGCTTCATGGGCCCCAAATCTACTTAATGGTGTGGTTGCAGGTCTAGATGACGAACTGCATGCCAATGCGAAAAGCTCTGAGCCTCAAAGGCCGTTGTCGAACGGCAGTGATTCATCTAGCAGCTTCAAAAGATCGAATCGTCCCCGGAAAAATTCGCCACACACCATACGACAGACTTTACGAGGTCACTCAAGCAGTCCATTACGGACTTCTTCCCCTCATAGAACGAGATCACCGCCTACTAATAGCCGGCCTCTTTCGTCGGGCTCAGGCACTGGTACTCTACGTGTCACTCTGCGGTCGAGTGACCCTCGGCGTGAAAAACATGCTTTTTTCTCTACTGGAAAAGTGCAGAGGGCCAGGAATGCAAGGGTGTCTGGGGCACTGTTTTCATCACGTTTCGCGGAGTCAGACGATGAACAGGACACCAGTCAACACAGATGGCAAAGTCGATTCGGAGATTCAAGCGACGATGAGGACTGCGTAATGAGCAAACTCCCTCCTGTTCGCGGCATCCCTCGGCGAGAAGGAGCCCATGATGGTGACTCGACAGAGTTAGAAGATAGCTCTGATAACGAACAGTCAGCCCCAGTCGCCAAGGATCAAGCAACTAACCTCAAAACTGCCCGGAACCCTGCGCTTGCAGCTGTGGCCAAATCTCGTGGGATGTCTGAGGAAGAAATGGAGGAGTTTCTCCGACAACCCAATGGACGCAGAAATAGTCTGCTTCATCGTTTCAGCATCAGAAAGCCTAGAGCACTGTCGGAGCATAGAATCCCCCGGGGCCACCCGGAAAGCAGAAACAGCTCCCTAAACCCAGATCAAGTACATGAAGATCTTGGACTCAATGGTGGTCGGGGGAATACTATCACGACGATAACCGCAAACAACATTAGGCCAGCCTCTTCCCCCAGACGCCTTAGGAGGGGAATCTCCAGGTCATCCAATGGCGACAGCTGGCCCCTCCGCTCCGATCGCAAAGAGGTGGACACTGACGCTCCTTCCTCGTCCCTGTATCCCGCTGGGCGGCCTAGGACAGCAGACGGAGCCTTTCGAAATGGCAGTACAGCATCAAATGCCGTGGATCCTAACACCGGGAAAGCCGACTTGGCTGGCACCAATGCCACGGATGCCATGGAAGTAGGTTTCGCCTCCGGTCGAAAGAAGCGTTTCCCTCGGCTGCGGAAGGCATTTGGCCTGCGAATCTAGGCCTGTTCTTCTTTATAGTATGGGCCGCACTATTCTTCCCATGTTTATGACACGTCTGCTTTAATATTCGATTTATTCTTCATATGTTATTTTTAATACGTTCGCCTGCTGTCTGTGACTAGGAGGCTCTACCTATACAAGGAGTTGGTGGCACCAGGAAACAAAAGACTAATGAGATACGGCTCACCTATACACGCTTTCAGCGGCCGAGATTGTCTCAGCACCGCAGGTAGAGTGTACACTACTATGTTGATTTAATACTGACATTTGATACCCTCGTTGGAGATGTCATTCTTATCTGTGGCGGTCCGAGGCCAGCAATATTTATTTATTTATGATCCTTTATATATTATGTATCATCTATACAGAGTATAATCATTGACTTCTGTTTAATTTATAATCATACCTCGTCAATTATTTTTTATTTTTTTTCTTTTTACTCGTCTTGGCTCGGTTAACATGTGGGGAATCGGGGCATCGAGAGAAACAATGCGCATGAATATTCCAAAAGTTCTACGATTTACATTGCATTGCATTATATTACAATAATCATTACCTTTGCTTTTCAATGAGGATCAATGTCATGCCGAATATCTTACCATCAGTTGATCACCACTGCACGGCCCTGGGGATCGATTCTGGTCAGAATCTCGGGTGCTCTCCACTCCGACCGATGGAACGATGAACTCCCCACACGGGCACCCAGAGGTACAGTACCAAACATACAGCCACCCAATTCGAGTCTATGCTGACGAGCCTAGACCTGTGGCTGGGGATCCCATCGGGTATTTGTGGCAAATTTTCTTGAAAGAAAAGTCAATGCACAAAGCTCGTTGGGGAGGACTTGGGTAAGAAAATCGCGAGGTTGGCGCCGGACTAGCAACCGTGAATCCAGAGCAATCACGATCGAGCTTGGACGCACTCTGGTGGAGTCAAAAGCCGAGGGGCGGAGGAGCAGTGCAACTCCAATGACGAGGTTCCACGAAGGCAGGTATTTGGGGGAGCTGCAGATGCCGATGGTGGAACCAGATTTGATAGGTTCTAGCCCATATAATAATTGTTACTCTCGTACTTTCATCCGTACAGGATCGAGGCGAGTGAGAATAGTCGGCCACATCTATTAGCCTGTGAAGGAGGGAAAAGACTCGAGCCGATACACCCGTGGGCTCCCACTGTCGATCGCCTGGAGCTCAGTGCCAAGGGATCCAGACGCCCGATTCGCCCCGGGGGAAGCGAAGGTTGCCATGGTGATAGAAGTGGATGCTGCTGACTTCCCGTAAGATTGGTGATTCTGGTGCTTAGGTCCTCAAGTTCAGCCAGCAAAAATTAGATAAATGAAGAACAACACTAAGAATAATCACAGGGTTTCAGACTCCAAACTAAAGTTGGCGATATGCATGTGAAGAGTCTTAGCTTGCAGGCAAACCAGAGAGCTCGTGGATTGCGGTGAGCACCGATTGGACTAACTGAAGTTGGAAAAGAGAGTGGATGAGGTTTGATATATATAGGAGGGACCTTACTGCTCGGGACGGGTTCTGCGGGTTTCTTTGATGTTGCTGAGAACGAAACATCTCATTAGACGATCCCCGGAAAGTACGTATAGTAGTTCCAAGAGAAGCATTAGAAGAGCCTCGGGAAAAAGAGCGAGGGAGAGAGAAAGAGCGCAAAATGATAAGATCAACCGAACTTTTGAGTAGAGGAGGTTGGTCCACCCCGAAAGAGGGAAAGCGCCGTAAACAAACGCGTGTTGTCAACAACGACGACGGTAATGAGAATACTGAGGGAAAAAATAAAAATAAAGTAAAAGGTGTTATTATTTCAAGCTGTGCACCCTCCTCTCTGCTTTTCCTCTTCTTTTCTATCTCCATCTCCCCTCAACATTCCTCAATCCTTCTTTACCCCCCTTAAGCTTATCTCACATTCCTCTCATCAGGAATTCGTCTCCGCTTTTATAGATCTATCTATCGGATCTGTAATCGCTTCTTTCACCTCCACTTCACTTTCCCCGCGAGAAAGACTTCCCCCTCGTAAAGAGTCTTTTCTTGTCTAGTCTTTCGAGTTGTTTCGCAACAGTTCGAAAGGCATTCGAGGAAAGACCGCCAAAGGACAGCCAATCTGGACTTTGACGCCCGCGTCCCCATCCCTTTCAGTGTCTTCCCGTCGTCGTACCGGAGTGACGCTGTTTCTCAGACTACTCCTGCCGCTGAAAGAGTAGAGGGAGAAGTCAATTTCGATCGTCCTTCGCACGTCGAACGGGAAGATACTCGAACAGAGGCTCCTCTCCCGGATCCCCGTATCTACGGAAAGGAAGAGATAGATCTACACGTCCAGCGCGACTCTCGTCCATCCCGCCGGTCTGACGATTACTCGGTTTACACCGAAGAGCGCATTCAGCAGCAGCAGAAGAATTACCCCGAGATTGATCTCGCCCGTGAACGGTATGTCTATTGGTACCTCTTGCATCTGATCTCAATTTCAGAGCTCCGATCTCTCCATTGTCTGCGTTGGACTGTATTTTCTCCGCGGAATTTTGTTTTCTGATATCAATCAATTCTCCCGCAATTGGGGGAAGACCCGCCACCCTTGGTTTTGAGGTGTATTGCACAATTCGTGTTTTGTTTTGTTTTTTCCTTTTCTTTTCTTTCTCCCTTACGGGGGGCGCTTATTGGGGAGGGGACCGGGGATTACCCACCAAGTGGAGATGGTCACAACAAGCGGTGTCACCACAGGTCTAGTGGCTTCAGCTGCATCGGGGGCTAAAAGCCATTAGTCCCTAAACTAATTACGTGGCACCAAAACAAAACAAAACAAATCATGGCACATATCATATCATCTCAAAAACATTCCCACTTCCCCCCAACGCTCTCGTCCCCAATATAATCACCCAATCACCTCGCTCCCCCCCAACCTCCTCCTTTGTGTTTTAGTCTAACTTGACTTGCCCTTAGCTATCGTGAACCTACCTCGTCGGTCCGCTTCCAAGAGCCCCCGAAGGTTTACGATCAAGAGCTTTCCAACCAGCTCGACATCACTGAGCGTGAATATCGTCGTCGTGTCACTCCGACCTACGACGTTTATAACACCAACACTACCCAACGGCCTAGTGTAGAATCCTACGAGCAACGCCAGCACACTACTGACGTCTCGTACGACCGTACTCCTTCCCGTTCCCAGGTCAACGTCTCGTACGACAAAGCTTATCAAGCTCCCGTCCGCGACACGTACCCCGGCTCCTCTGTTGGCCAGTCTCAACTCGCTGTCGAACCAGTCAACCCTCCTTCGTCGAAGGTCAAGGTTCTTAGCACTACTACTGTAGTTGATCATCCCCCAGCTCGCAAGATGGGATACTACGACGACGACGGTAACTACCACTCCTTCCGTCGTGGTGTGGAACGCGCTGCCGACCGCATCATGCACCCTTTCCACCACCATGATCACCATCATGATCATGGCCATCATCACCATGACCGTCAAGATACCGTCGTTGCTGACGATCGCGGTCCAGTTCGTATCCGTGAGGGTGTCCGTGAGGATGTTCGCATCGTTGAACCACGCAGCGGTGGCGGTCGCAACAACGCTGACACTGTGCCCATTCCCTGCCACTTCATCCGCATTGGCGACATCCTGATCCTCCAGGGCCGCCCCTGCCAGGTCATCCGTATCTCCGTGTCGCCCCAGACCGGCCAGCACCGCTACCTTGGTGTCGACCTCTTCACCCGTCAACTGCAAGAAGAGTCCAGCTTCATCTCCAACCCCTCCCCCTCGGTTGTCGTCCAGACCATGCTGGGTCCTGTCTACAAGACCTACCGCATCCTGGATCTCCGTGACGGTGAGATTGTCGCCATGACCGAGACTGGTGACGTCAAGCAGGGTATCCCCGTTGTGCCCCAGGGCCACCTCTTCCGCCGCATCAAGGATGCCTTCGAGGAGGGCCGTGGTAGCGTGCGTGCTCTGGTCATCAACGACGGTGGCCGCGAGCTTGTTGTGGACTACAAGGTGATCCACGCTTCCCGCCTGTAAATCATTTGCCCGCTTTTGTTTAGCCGGGACCTGGTTAAGGTTAGTGTACCCGCACCTCTTCCACTGGACCCGGATCAGGGGTATTGACGTCACAGTCCTCTCTCCTTGCACGATGAATAGCGAACGATCAAATCACGACCTGAGTTTTTGTATCTCTCATGGATGACGGAGGATGAAAATGGCCCTTTGCAACGTTTTTCAATGTGCTTCAATTTGTATGATGGCCTTGTACCTAGCAACGTAATTGACTGGATTTTGATTCATGTAAATCTTCCCTTACTCATTCTCTGTACCCGTGATTCACTCCTTTCTTCGATCCTTCGTAGTAGAGTCATGCCCAGCACCATCCATAATTATCACACATTCTCTTCGCCTCGACTCATCCATCCAGGTCATACGCTTCGTCGACAGTAGTATTGTTCTCATTGCTACATTCCCTGCCCACATATTCACCTCGGGCATGAGTAAGTACTAGATAGTATAGTAGTTAGCCTAAGGTTACCTATACCAAATAACAAAACACTACGGTTATCCCTATGTTGGCCCCTTTGTTTCCCGTACGTGTATGCAGTTGAATCAGATCATCGTTGCCATACTTATCCTGGATAGATGGATATTTGCCATTAGCATTGTAAAAGTACCGATTAGTAATTTGCGTACCCCGGTCCAATAAAAGTCTCAACAAATATCAGGCTGATAAAATTTATAAATATAGTACGTAGATTTTACTTGATAATCTAATCCGCTCTAATATCAATTGTCGTGAACATTATATATTTATGATGGACAAACCCCTCGATAGATAGAAAGGATATTGTATTTATATTCACTCAAAGAATAGAGCTACAACTGTATCTCAATATCGAAACGTCGATGAAGAAATTAAAAAGAAAAGCAAAATGAAGGAGAATTGTCCAACATGGATCCAATGCAGCCCATCCGGTAAGAGCCAAGGACGGTAGTCAAGTGATGAAATGAAAGCAGCCGACCAACACCAATAACCCCGTGCTGTAGTGAACCGAGGAATGACTCCGAGCCAGATATGAATCCAAAATAAACATCACACAAAGCTATTGTCAACATGAATGGAAAGGAAGGATTGGGAAGTGTAGAGATGTAGAATGTCGTAGACACAAGGCAACACGACGCCTTCAAGGAAGAATCCAAGATCAGTATACCGTATGCCGATAATCAGTATGAAGAAAGAGTATCCAAAGTCACCGTGACTGTAACGCCGGTTCTCATCAAGAGGGTCAAAGCAAAATCATATTAAGCAGAGAAGTGTACTAATGCCGTAAGTTTCGCGCAACGCCGCAACCGATCCAGTTTAAAATGTTGCACCAGTATCCGTAATATACAAATCCACATGTTGAGAAGAGACGAACAGGGTATCGTACGCATCAAAAGCATCCCTGGTGGAAATACCTGCCCAGAAAGAAATGGTTCACATGAGAAATAAGGAGAGAGGAATCCAGAGTAAGGTTGACGTGGTCACCTCTCCCCAAATTTCCCGTATTCCTGCTGCCACTTGAGAAGATGCCGTGTGAGTACATCCATCATCTCAACACTACTCAAGTCCTTAAAATCTTTTTCTGTCGGTGCGCTTCCAGATTCACCATCCGTGGTAGCTGTGCCCGAATCTGCTTCACTGACCGCTGACGTCATGGCATTCTCAAGCTGCTCACTCACAGCCTTCATGAGGATACCGTTGATCTGGTCACTATGTCCGGGAGGTGTAGTGTTCTCCCCAGCGGAGGCCATTTCCACTTGCATTCGGGAGATGAACTCCAAAATGGCGGCAACACGCCTCTTCATCTCATTCATAGTAGTTCGGTGGGTCATATATCGTGGTCGGCTCGGCTTCCCCGATTCGCTGCCATTTAGATATGCCCCATTGGGTCCACCCACCCTGGGTGAATCACCACCGTTATCGTGGGATTGCCCGCGCCGCGGAGAATTCATCATGAAACCTGGGTCCCCATTGCCGTTCGCATCACGATCTCTAGTATATTGATTGCGCCCAACTCGGCCACCACGACGTGCGGGCGGCCGACCAGACTTTCGTGTAGATGGACGGGAGGGTGCAGGCTCTGTAGCAGGGGCTGTGGTATCAGGGCTCGGCAGTGGTGGTTCTGGGTTGGTCGCAACAGTTCTTGTTGGAGAAACCGCCTCATGATCAGAGTCCGCTCCTATAAGGTAATTAGCCTCACAAATACAACTGACCACAGAAAAGTAATAGAATTACTAACCGTCGCCTTTCCGTCGATCTGGCCTTCCTTTTCTACGGTTGGTCGCCTCTGCCTGTTCAGGCTCAGGCTCTTCAACGTCCTTTATCTCTTTGTCACGCTGACTCCGGGACGCAGCTCTCTGTCTTCGAGTCCCATTTGTAGCGGCCTTGGCCTTGTCATCATCTGAAGCGGGCTGGGATGGTGGGTTACTTTGTTTATTCGAAGTAGCACCGGGGGATGGTGAGCTCGTGCGCTGTCGCTTCGTCGCCTGCTTGTGACTAGAGTATGCCTCAGTTAGCAATTCGTTCTCGGCCGCCATCGACCCGAAGGGAATGCAACCCCACTCCGTCCCATGATGTACTTACGCTTCACTGTCACTGCGACTTCTTTTTCCTCTCCGAGCTGCAGCCTCATCCGAAGCTGGTTTGGTTTCTTCCTTGCTTTCCTCAATCGCACGACGAATTAGCTCTTCTTCATCGTAGGCGGCATCACGACTATTCATAGTCGACCGACGCTTGGGATTGGCAGCTGAATCATTTGATCGCGATTTGGAGTCTTTCGCCCGCTTAGAATTGTCTCGGGATGAATCTCGGGAGGAAGCCGCTGAGGAAGAGGGGGCAACAGGAAGGTACTGAGACGAGTATTGTCTGCCAAATGGTAAGTGCCAAGTTCGTAAGTTTTTTGAGGGGTCTCAACGGCATCTGCAAATAACGATATGTAACTAAAAAGTAAAAAAGAGAAAGAAAGGAAGAAAGAAAGACGCTGAAAGAACGAGGGCAAGGATAACATTTCAATGGTAATTGCACGTAATAGAAGGTTCGGATTTTGAGGAAGAGAGAGAGAGAGATCTTGAATAACGGTGGTGAACATACCCATTTGACTCATTCTTGATTCTGTGGAGATCCTTGCGGCACTCTTCACAGAAATATTCATCGGGACTCATTGCCTCATCCATGATTCCAACACAGCCACCGTGCTGCCAAACTTTGCATTGATCACATTGGATGAACATACTTCCAATATCGTCGGACAATAAATCCGACGAGTCCGCCGAGAAGTTCAAGATGGGATCATCTTTAACTCTGGCATGCACACCATTGCGACCGAGGAGGTCCCGACGAGAAGGGGGCAGGCCTGGGTACTCTTGTTGACCACAGAGACATCTGGTTATTTCTTCCTCTTCATCCTCTTCTCCCTCCTCTTCCTCCACTTCCGCAATTTTGTCTATTTCCTCGTCTCCTCGGGCACGCTGGCGCTGCCGCGTTTGCGGGAAGTCATGCTTTGAGCCGTCGTTCTCATCGATGGACTGGGAGCGGTGCCCCGACGACCCCTGGGGAGACGGAACCTTAGCATTAGAACGAGTACTTCGCTCACGAGTGAGTGAGACAGAAGAACTCGAGGAATTCGTGTGTTGGAGAATGACGGGAGAGGGTTGGGAGGTACGGGCACGAGAGGAGCGACGAGGAGTCATGGTGCAAGGCGGCGGTTATATAAGGTGGGATAAGGATAAGGATTTCTAATCTGACAATATAATATCCGTAAGAACGTAAAGAGGAAAGATGATATAGCTATAGGGCTTCGGTAGAGGGCGAAGTCGAGCAGACGCTGCCCGTGTGCAAGCTGTCGCACGCAAGTGGAGAGCTGGGAGTTGAAAGCGACTTGTACAAGAATGAAAAAATGATGCAGAGAAGGGAAAAGCAAAAGTGCGTGAGAGAAGGAACAAAAGCTGGCAATTGAGACAAAAGGATGAGAAGATCCAAAAGCAGCGTCAGCGAGCTCGCACCAAACCCGAGGACTACATAGTCTGAGGGGTGGGGGAGCTTTTTGTGAGAAAAGCGAGCGAGCGAGAGAAATGGAGTGAGGAGAGCGAGAAGAGCGGAAAGAGACAGTGACGGGAACGGTTACGGATTACGGACTACGGACTACTTACTATCATCGCGCATTTCTCTGCTTCTCCCCTCCTCGCCATTGGCTACTGCCCGGTCCGCCTTCTTCCCCGCTTTCACTTTTCCTTCGCGATGCGAACTTTCGACGCGACACCGCACGATGGCTTTTTTATTTTATTTCTCCTTCTTGGAACCTGGAGAGGATCTGTGTGATTTTTTTTTTTATTTTATTTTTTTATTCTGTCGCTTCTGATGTGGAGTTATCTACTCTCTAGAGCTACTAACCCTATCAACATCAATATTTCCTACAATCTGCTGTGGGTGGTGAATGCGTTCCCGCGTGTATGGAATTATCTCCGTCCAATTCCAAAACCCCGCGCTGATAACATCGTCATCCTGCGACCGACTCTCTACATTCCTGCCCTCCCGTCCGCTTTTTTCCTCTTACAATTTCATGAAATGAATCTCTTTCATATCCGATGCGGCTAACAATTGATTGAAAAGCACGGATCGCAGTATTCCGTCATCTTACCCTACAAAAATCTCCGGTATCTGCAATGAAAAAAAGCGGGCAGAACCAAACCGAAACCAATGCACCAAGGGTCGCAATGACCCCTATTTGCCATGTCAAGTTGCAGTGTGTAAAATACCGACTAATTACTTTCTAGTTCGGATCAGAATTTACTACGAACCAGTGTTGTCGGGCTTCCCTAGTTTGCGCTTGAGAGACAGCGATCGCACTGCGAATGACTACGGTTGTACCTTGGATCGATAGGATGCCCGCCGAGTCACCATGATCCACGATAGACTCTTGGGTGAGTCATGCCTAGACTAGTTTCATACCAGTTCCTCAGGGATATTTGCGTCGGGACAAACATGGTGAACTGTTGCACCCCTCCCTCAAACCTGGTACACGCATAGGATTATGGGTGACACGTGTGTACCTTGCAACAACTCTATTCTCGTGGGGATCACTGAGTTGATCCACGCAATTAACCTCCGAACCATAGTGAGGTTAGAATACTTGGAAAGGTCGCGGTTGTTGATGGGAAAGAGAAATACCAGTTCCTTGCAGCGATGGAGACCAACTGCAGTTAATTTAACAAGGGGGCAGTAGATTAGACTTTGGGAAGTGTCAGTCCGGGCGATTAACGAATGATAGACTCCATCTCCAATCACGGTAGTGAGTAGGTTATAGGGTTGACGGTTTGGTCCGTGTTAGGGTCCCCATAGTAGTAATTCTGAGAAGACAAGAATGAATATCGAAGGATGGTGAATCGAAGGGGTCTCTTGCCATTGATTTCACTGCGGCCGAGATGCCGAAATGATATTCCCCACCCAAACGGGATTAGCGGCTGATGCTTGCCTGAGGCACAGACCTTCCTTAGTCCGCAGCTCCAGATGAACATTAGTTATTATTATTAACGACAAGACTATTCCACACCCCTCCGCCTTTCTCCCCTATACTTCCCCCTCGTTCCCCGTTTTCATTCTCCCCTTCTCCGATTGTTTGGATTTGCCCGTAATTTGTTCTTCTTTCCCTTGTCATTCCCTTTTCCTTTCGTTCTGAGGTGACGGTCGGGGTTTGTGCCAGGTCCTTGCCGACAACTTGGGTACCAAAAAGTCTGCAACGGCGGTGTCGGTATTTGGTTAAGTTGGTGAGTTCTTTTGCTTTCCGAGATTGCCCTTTGTACCTTCCTTGGCGTTGAGGCCGGTTGGAACCTGGAGACAAAAATGAGGCACCCAGTCTCCGAACTCGGTCTTGGGTTGTGGTTCCGGTTGCCAGCATTTGTGAACATGACAACTGACAGTGGGTATTGAGGTTTAGGACCATCTCCGTATTCGTCCTTACTTTGCACCCTCACCATATTATACCAAAACCACGGATATCACTCTAGATAATTCAAAAGGATTTTGGGAATTCCTAAATACATAAAGAAAAAAGAAAGAAAAAGAAAAGGAAAAGAAAGGGCCATAGGGAGAAGGAAGCGGGGGAGACTTAAGTCGTGTTCATCATCGGCAAATTGGAACGTCAAGAGACAAAAGCCCGTGTGGCTGTGGTTGTGGAAGTTCAAAGAGACGAAGACACTGGCATAATGACTGCTACGCTGAGTATGTCCTTCCACCAAGGATGCCTACTCTAGGGGACATCATCTAGTCTGGATATGTGTCATCCAGGGGATTGTCCCATGGCTGGATGACAAGCTCCCGAGAGAGGATCTGCTGGTTGTTCAGTTGCTGATACTGTCGCCCGCAGATGGGATGTATAACACGGCCCCAGATACACCGTCGCCTGTCTATCCGGATAGGCTGATTCGTCCCCTTCCCAAACGTACTCTTCGCTCTCGGCTGTCCTCCGAGACGGCCGAGTCCATCCTCTACCCCCCGGCTCCCCCAGCCACCCAACTGTTCTACGGATCTTGTACGGATAACGGAGAGGCTGTGAATGAATCTAAAGTGTATGTGCAGCAGAGTGACGACCATGACCAGACACCGGAGCCCGACCACCACCATCCTTATGAGAACGGTTTCGACGCAGAGAGCGGTGACGAAGATGGCCCCGTGGTTGTGCGCCGCAGTGCCGGTTTTCGTGAATCATCCTCGTCCCCAACAATGCCACCAGGGCACTCGAGCAACGGATCACGCACTCAAATCAAGTCATCCTCGGCAGGTCCCGATGGGTACGATGCCTTTGAGAACACTAACAATAAGAAGAAACGCAAGATCCCCACACCGGGGAATTTGGCTGGCCATCTCTCCGCGCTCTCTCCCGAGTTCTCCAGTATGGGTCTAGCGAGCTCTGCACCTTCCACTGTGCCGGTGGACGGAAGTCATGTAAGTACTTTCTATGGCACTGGAAGCCCTGCATCGCCGGTTTCCAATGGTCTCTCTGGTGCGGGAAGAGGGCGTCTTTCGCGTCATGGCACTCGTAGCAGCACAGGGAGGGCTTCGTTGTCTCTCCATACTCAAGTCAGTTGGCCACAAGGGCGATCATCAGGTCGCCGGGACGGGGTTTTGTCCTTACCAGGTACGTAGGATCTCTATTCCATACCTCCTATTCCTCTCTTAGGGCCTCCCTCACATCCCATGGCAGGTGAACCCCCTGCAACATCCGATCAAGGCATCATCTCCGCTGCCATAGCCAATGCTGCAGCGTCATTCTCATCACCCCCACGAGGATCGAGCAATGTTAGCATGTTGGAGCAGCAGACCACCACCCCAACCAAGACCCAATTCACCTTCACATGCGAGTCCGACTCGTCAAAGGGTATGGCACTACAGCCGCAGAGCCCGTACCGCACACATCGTTCACCAAATTCCCTACCCCGCCCTGCACAGAATCAGAGGGGGTCTTCTACACAAGGAACACAAACAAGCCCCAACATCACCTCCCAGATGGACCAGCAAGGGAAATCCCAGCAACGAGCTCCAGGGACAGAACCTGCAACTGCGGGTAAAAAGAAGAAGCGGTCACCTGGAAGTATCTATGCCTTGGCTGCACGCCAACGTAAGATCCAGCAGCAGTACTCTAATCTTCATCATCCACCGAGCATGGAAGACCTTTGGATATGTGAGTTCTGCGAATATGAGAGTATCTTTGGCCGTCCCCCGGAGGCTCTTATTCGGCAGTATGAGATCAAAGATCGTAAGGAGCGGAAGCGATTGGCAGAGAAGAAGAGACTATTGGAGAAAGCGAAGATGAAAGGTCGAAAGGGCAAGAAGGCGACGAAGAACGCAATGAAGAATGCGGCGACTCAGCAGGTACATTTTGATCAAGGATGCGACCGAGCGTCTGCCGATCATTCTTCCATGGGTGGGCCAGGGCTGCATGATGATGATGACTATTTAGCGAATGAATATGACGATGAGCCGGGTTCTGCACCACCCCCAGTGCCACCTGCACCTCCGGCGTGCTTCAAGACTCCGCTGCCGCCAGGGAATCAGGCCACTGCCGCAGCCGGCGCTAAAGCTGCGATAGACGACGGGACGAGTCGACCGCCCTGACAAATAGATGCACGGTCCAGGCGATCCACTCTCGTGGAGTGATGTTTCACCTTAGAGGCCGTGCCTCTCATTTCCTTTTGTCATGCTCTCTTTGTTGTTAGTCTTTCTTGGTTTTACATGATCGCCTATTAGCCTTTCATTTCTTCAGCAAACGGTTGTATTAATGAATCCCCACTCTGAGTATTGATGAACTTGATGTTGGCAGCATAATGCATGGATTTCCTGGCTACTTGTTGTAGACCAGGCTGGTATTTGGTATCTATTGATATTTATTATGTATGACTGTTGGATGGATTGGCGAGGGGCGAATGGATCGTTGGGATGTTGAACAGGAACACTGACAGTCGTTGATCAGGGATATGGATGTATGCATGCATGGTTAATCGTAGGGATAAGTAGCACTATCCTCCAATCAACCATGGTTAGTCTCAATGATCTTCTGCAACCAAACATAGACCCATGATCCACCATAGCGCTTCCCTGATCACCAATCCAAACGGCCACTACTGCGCTACCCAGCACATCTAAAGACCACCTTTAAGCGCGCGCAACCTCAATCCATCCTAATACAGCAACCCCATGTTTCAACTCAAGTAGCAAACCCCCAAATGAATGGACAAGAACTCCGCAACACAGTCCGAGAAACAAAATCCCAGCAGGTACTTAATATAGTAACACTCAAATTACAGGCAGGCGCGCAGGCAAAGCTGACGAAGACAAAGCTCCGAATGATAAACCATGTACCTCGAGACCCCTTCATTGTCAACATATATAAGAGGAACAGAACCTCCATAGATCCTACCAAGAGAAGACAACCACTCCCCTCATTGAATCAATCAATAATTCCAACCCTTCCATTGTCCGGGTGGCCTCCGTTGAGCCACTTCTTTCATAACACCCCCACCATCCCTCTCGCGGCATACCAACTTCTCTCTATTTCTTTGAATCATACCGAATAGACCCATTGCCAGGACATACATAATTCCATATTTCCGCGCTGGACCGCATTCACCTCACACTTCCTCAATCTAATCCTCTTCCTTAATCAAGACCTCATCTTCATCCAAAGACAAAGCCTCACTCACATCCGGTCCCTCCATCTTCTCTTCTGCCTTAGTGTCCACAGCGGCTCCCACAAACCAAGACCAACCCTCAACATACCCATATATACATACATACATACATACTACCCAACTCCAAAAGAATAATGTGGTGGGTCCTCGCCGGCAAAGCCGCCAAAATCGGCGCCAACGCCTACAAAACGCACCAAGCCAAGAAAAACGGCACCCCCCTCGACACCAACACAACCACCCGCTCAGCGCCCCTCGCCCCTCGCCCCGTCCGCTACAAAGCCTACGTCGAACTCACCCTCTTCTTCCTGCAACTCGTCTTCGGACTCACGGTCATCGGTCTCTACGGGCGGGACGTACACTCCGCGCGGGAGCACGGCGACCCCCAGAACGCGAAGTGGGTGTATGCGCTCGTGACGGGGTTCCTGGGGGCCGGGACGGGGCTGGTGTATTTTGGGTACGGGGTGGTGATGATGAAGCTGGGGCGGTTGGAGAGGGAGAGGAGGGTTGTGGGGTCGATGGGGAGGGTTGGGTGGGGGGTTGTGTTGGTCGTGTTGTGGTTGGTGGTGTTTGGGGTGTTTGGGGGGATGTATATTGGGGTTTATGGGAGTGGGAGCGAGAAGGAGGTAGAGAGGACGAAGAGGATGAGGAGAGCTGTTTGGGTGGATTTGGTGAATTTGGTGTTTTGGGTTGGGACGACTGTTATTGAGGGGTTGAGGTGGTGGAGGTTGCGGAGTGCTGGGGGAGTTGGGGATATTGAGATGCTGAAGGGGGAGCCTAAGGGTGAGGGTGAGGCGCCGAAGGAGGCTGCTTCGGTGTGATTGTGGGGTCATGAATGTTTTTTTTCCTTTGTGTTTTAAATCAATCGGGATGGAAAGGGGGGGGGGAGTGAGCCAGTCTCATGGGGTTTTCTGGTTTTAATAGAGCAGCTCAAGTGAAAAATGGGCCTTTGTATTCTACCCTGATCTTGGTCTTCGTTAATACATATCATAGTTCCTGAATCTCTTATTAGCCCCAAGTAAGGTCTTGATCCTCAAAAACCTCTTGTAACCAGGATTCTCGTCCAATGTGACAACTACTAGGTATCCAGGCGCCCACACTATGTCAAGGCTAGGACGCCACCGCTCACTTGCTTACCCTCGGCTGCTTGTTTCTTTCGGTTCTCTTCAATGAGCAGACTAAGCTGGCCGCGTCCGCGAGTTAGGGAGAAAGGTGTTAGAAGAGTTGGAAAGCCTCCAGATGTCGCGCGGTCACTGTTAGTAGAGAATGTTGTAGAACTATCAGTGTTTGGTGTTAGGATCGGGATACCAGAGCTCGTGGTGGGCGTATCTACATTCAGGCCCGACTGTGCGTGAGAGGCATCGTCGCTGGTCTTGACTTCGGATGATCTAGATTGAAGAAATTGCAATAGTCCCTCTTTTGTGCTCGCCCCCACGGACGTGGCCAAATACTCCTTCTCCAGGTCAACTTGCTCTGTAAAGCGCGAACGGAAGCCTCTATCAACGAGTGACTCTGATGATGGCTGTTCATAGTTCTCTGGCTCTAGGTACCTTACATCGTAGTGGGTCCAGTCATCGGTTGTAACAAAGCCCCATTTGGGGGGAGCCGATTTGGTACTCTGCGGCGGTGATCCTTTATCGGCGAGGATACCTTTCAGATTTGATAGAAACTCCGGTGGCAGCTCGGGGGGTTTGTCGGTCGCATCGCTAATTTTCTCACGAGGCACGACATCTGTGGATGGGTCAGAAGTTGGAGGGAGGTCTCAAGAGAAGGTATGATCCTAGCACCCTGAGACGACTACTTACGTTCTATGTGCATTGCATCTGCCTCGGAATCACTGGAGTCTTCCTGTTTCGATGGTGTTTCTCGAGTTCTCAGGGTCAATAATTTGGAGGCCCGCTGCGGGCTCTGAGTACGGGTACTTGCACCAGAAGATGTTTGCGATGACTTGCGTCGCATGATCACCGGCCGGCGCTTGGTACTCTTGCCTTTTCCCGCCACAAAAACGGTCTTATTCTTCTGCGCTGGTCGGTTGAAATCTTCCAGTGTAGGTTGAGATGGCGGAACTGGGGTCGGAGGGTTGGATGGCTTGCGCTCAATGCTCTGGCCTTCGACACTGGTAAGAAGTAGCCGAGTTGTTTTGTGTGTTTCCCCTGAGGGCGTACTTGATTTTTTCAAGATGGGCTGTAGGGGGGCTCGTCTGGCTCTAGTGTTACTAGTCGGCGTCTCTTGCGGTTTGTCGTCGCTTCCCCTTGCAGAACGAGACGAATTCTCCTGGGTGAACGGAATCAGCCTCCTGCCTAGAGAAACAGAAAGGAAGTTTCCTGTTGCAAGTCTAAGTCCACTCACCCTTTTTAACTGCTGGAGTATAGAAATCGACATTGGATTAGAGTCGCATATTTGTAGGAACAATTTGGCCAGCGTCGAACCGTCCATTGAGCTGCGAAGCCGGTCGCTACCCCAGATCCTCCAGAAGAAATTCTCCAGCCTGTATCCGATGTCGCCTTCATGGACTGAAGGATGAGTATTGTATACTTCAACATCTGAGTCAGCTTATCACTACCTCGAAAGGGGGCGGGCTTACCTTTCCATAGCCGTGTAATATCTCTTGTGTCCACAACATTCATGTCGTCCAGCTCCGATGGCACTTTCCTCGTTATCGACACCAAGCCTTTCGGGAGACAGTCCATCTTGAAGGTGGGGTGGTGTTGAGCTTGGTGAGAGGTAAGTATGGAGCGAGTCACGTTGGCTGTAGAAACTACATGATCAAGGGGAAAGTGTGCAACTGCATTTCTAGAAGAACGGGAAAAGGTTGACAGAGACAAAGACAGTGGTAACAGAGATGAGGATGTGGCATTCACAAGAAGCCTGGCGGTGAATAAAGCCAACGCAGGGGGAAGCGATACAAACAATGATAGGTAGGATTGATAAATGACCACGAGAGAGATAGTAGGGATTGAGAGGTGGAATACCCTCTCGTATTTGGAAAAAGCCGTTGGCCAGTCCGGAGCCACTGCAAGGGCCAAGTTGTCAGAGGCCCGAGTAAATCCTCACAACGTTGGGACGAAGCAATCAAGCACCCCTTGCCAAGCCATCCACTCAGAATATTCACACCGTTCTTCAGCTGCAAAAGTCGGGGAACAGCCTGCAGATGCAGCAACTTCGGGGAAGGCGAGATGAAACTAAAGCAGGCAGAAGAAGCGACGATCTCGCTCTTTGTTGCCTTACCCGCTGGGTTTTACCGATAGCTGTACTTAAATGTAAGAGCCTGCCCATGTGCATAATATAATCAAAAAAGAAAAAGGAAAAGAGAAAAAACAAATAGGGGGTCAAAAGAAGAAAAGCAAAGAAAGAGAGAGAAACCATTTTATCGCTGGTGTTTCTCACGGACTCCTACTGGTTCCGAGGATGCTTACAAGCAAACGTAAAACAAAAGTATAGCATAACATACTTAGCATACGTACCGAATTCGATGAGTGGTCAGTGAAAATCATCGTGCCATAATAAGTGAATAAGGGTATGAGTGTACATCATCCAAGGTAGTATAAGCAGTAATTTGTAAGTAGGATTAGCATTAGCAGTAGCGGGAAGAAGTAATGGTCATAGAAAAGTGGTGGATCAACTACTTCGGGTTTAGTAGATTAGGTCATGATGGTAAGATTTAATGTCCACGAAGAATGCAACAATTGGTCTATTCTTCGCCACCGTATTCTTGGATTCTCCTCATTCCTCTTCATTGGGTCCCTCCTGGGATCCAGAGGAATCTATATTCAGGCCCTTCCCTTCTAGACTACTCCACTACTCCTTCAACTCCTACTCCTACATGGGGGCGAATTAAGGAGTGAAAAGGACCGCGCAATCCATCAGGGCTAGGGTGGGGAGGGCTTCCCGTCAAATGACCAGCTCACTGTTTGGTTCCTGAGTATCATTGGTGATCCATTTCCTTCTCTCAAAGGACCATGAAAGACTTCATACTACATCTGTCCGAGGGTCTTGTAAGACCTAAATTGGTACTAGTGACTTGTATTGCTCATCCCCGAGTGAATTGGTTGGCCAGCCGGGGTACAAACGAAAAACCGCATCGTGTCTGGTCTCGGGGAATATTGTTTGTCCTCGCATTGTCGTAAGAAAGCATATGTCCCCTGGTCTTAATCAGAACATGAACGGGAAAATTAAACCCAACCCAGGAAGAATGGACGATAGTAGGGACTAGCACCCTGAAAATCATACCGCAAACCGAACGCGATAGGCCATTGTTGGTCACGGGGCCCTTATCACCTGATGGGTCACTTGCCCTGCCGCGCATTTTAAACCCCAGCCTTACCTTTTTACCCCATAATTACTCCATAATTGTATGAGCTCCTTACTACACAAAATTGTGGAATCAAGAACCCCCCAAATACTTCCCGCTTTTCTCGTCATTCTGATAGGCCAATACCAGCCCCGGTCAGGCAAGTGTTACATCCAGAGTCACGATGTCGGGGAAATTCCGCAACTATAATAAGCACTATATTAAGACCAATAGCTCCTAGCTACCCACAAGCATACAGGCGGAAAGCTAATCTAACCCACTGGGACGTCGTCCCACCCATAATCTACAATTGTTGAGAGAGGGGGGAAACAATAATCAACGAGCATGCCTAGATTCCGGTATGGGATATTTGTTTGTTTCGAGCATACGTAGGTGAGTATCGCCGCTTCACGCCCGGGAGTTCTCAAAGAATGGTGATCATGGATCCATTAATTCCCTAACGACTGGGGTAGGGTTACTTTCCCGCCAACATCTATTAGAACTAACCTGCACTATTGCATCCATCTTTTACAAGTAGGAGATTCTTTTGATAGAATTCTAAGCTTGTTCTGCTGCAGTTACCTGCATACACATCATACTGTTACTCAAGTTGAATAATTATCTGCAGATGATCATCATGTTTATAGTCAGTACAGTATCAACGAAATTCTAATTGTGATAGGAGAGCCACCAATATATACTTAAATCGTTATCTTAAGAAATCTTTTCGCTTCTGACATGATCTGTCAGTTGTCTTTTCATTTAGTATACAACATACAATGACTACGAAACTAGAACAACAAAGCCGATCCTATCTGGTAGCTTCCATCTAACATTCCACACTTGCTGATATGTTAGACGGCTCACACGGCACAGAGAGCCCCATGATACTAGTATCTTAAGTATGCTAGATCCGATCTGTAATTAGACTCTTGACCTGCCAGAGTTTATGCCTCGCAATGCAATATTCATGTCTGTAGTAGTGTTAACCTGAATGCCTGGCGATATAAATTGTTCTTCCATGCATGCACACTCCCGTTTCAGGGATAGCAGATAAAATATTGTTGTACAGTTCGTCTACCCTATATCTTAGCGTCATGTTGGATCTGTGTGATGTGTAAGGTCTATCACTTCTGCTTCGTGCTACCTCTTATAACTTAATTCAACACCGCTACGGGCAGCTACCAGGTGTCTCCTCATTCATTCAACACAGTTACACAACCATCGCGGTCAAGATAGCCTAGCCGGCGGCTTGTACAGAAAACCATGGTGTGTATCACTCTCAGAGGAATGAGTGTCTACCATCCGACCAATGAAACACGAATCGCATTAAAACTTGTGGCTAGTTGAATTATCCATTTGAAGGACAAGTACATTATATCCTGCATACTCAAGCCATACCCTGTCAAGCACCTCACCGCTACTAATATAATCTCTTACCCATAATTGCTATCTACGGCTACGTATGGATGTTAGTTTCTCTTAGTCTTTTTATAGATCCCGTAGAGTTTTAGACTTATACAGAGGAAAAAGAAAGAATCTCTTGTTTGAGTACCTCGACGTCGATCATGGCCGAAGCTACTTTGCACAAGGGTGATAGTTTCTCTGGATACCCCGATGATTCTACTTTTCTCCCCTGAATGAAGGTCCTCTACGCCCACTGGTCCACTCAAGGTCATCGATTGGGAGGCAGCCTTTGCAGGTCCATGTGAGATATCAGGTGAATTCTCTTGACTCTTTCGGTAGTTCCGTCACCTATGGACGCACCGTGGAATTAGGACGAGATGAGTCATCCAAAGAGCGCGGATGACAAGAAGGAATTCGCTAGCCAGGGTAACTATATCGTAATTGTGAGACAAAAAGGAAGGGAGCGGGGCTTAACCGAGGGGTATAATCCATCATCAGCATTGCAGGACACTGAATGGCAATATTTAGCATCTGCAATGAGGCTATATCAAAGGGAAGGCATGGGTCATTCTCAGAAATAATAGAAGGGCTCACTGATAGTATCTTGCATGTAGGTGCTTATCTTCGCGGTTCTGTTCAGTTAATGCTGACATTTTATATAGTATGAAGTAGTCTCGACAGTCTCAATCTCATAGCTCTATAGGCAGGCTAGAAGCTTCATGGGTTACCATCGGAAGGTGTCCATGCTATCTGCAGATGCTATTTTGTGGCATTGCATGGAAATTGTTGACGTTCCTGCAACCAAGTCTGCTGCATTTGGTACAGGTACCGGTGAAGTCGAAGAGCGCATACTATGAGGACGTATACCGGATTAAACTCGGTATGTGTAGCAAAATTAGCGAAGTCTTCAGCCTGATGCATGCATAACAAATGAAGTAAGGTGGGGTGGATAGATACCCTAAAAGAAGGATTGAGGCTGCGGGGATCTCCCTATGCGCGGCAGGTGTTCCATCATATATAATCCTAGGTAGCATCACTGGGTCTAGCGGATATAAACCATGTTTAATCACCCGACGCTAGGTATGTACCAAACCCAGTTTCTATCAGTTTTCTTTTATCGATTCAATTTATGCAATGAAAGATAAGGATAGAAGAGAGCAGCGGCGAATTGTCCCTATGTTTCGGTCAGCGGATAAGTATAACTGTATTTTCTATCATAATGCCAAATAAGATTTTTCTCCTATATCAATAGGCGAGATGGCCGAGCGGTCCAAGGCGCTGGAGTAAGGTTCCAGTCTCGAAAGGGGCGTGGGTTCAAATCCCACTCTCGTCAACATATTTTTTAGCTCTAAAAATTAGAATTTTTCTAATTCCCGAGCCGAATATTGATTAAATTAACCCCACGATTGATGTTCATTTCCTGCTGCTCTTGTTTTTTTTTTTTTTTTTTTTTTTCTAGTTCCTCTCCCTCTCTTTTGTTTTGTAATACTCATCCTACCGATCCTAGTCACTGAAGAATAATAAATTCACATTGATTGACTAACCGCGATCAACTAATTAAAAACGATGGAAGTTGACTAGTGGAACAATGAATTACCTCAGGAAACGGATTGATTAATGATTTGTTGGAAAGTGATCTTCTGCCACATCATCTAAATCTAGAGCTATCCTTCGGGGGCTCACATCATGTACCAGTATCCGGAGGCCGTCTAACGATGTAACATCATGTCAAGTGATAAATGCCATCCCCAAGTGCGTTGTGGCTTCCATTATTCCGGAAATATTAAGCTTCAACCGCAGGTGCTTTCCCAAGGTTGAACCGAAGTAGATAGTCAATATCCCCGTGGCTTTAGGCACACCAGCCGCCAGCAAAGGTTTGCCATGTAAACTATCGTCTTTCTAACATACTGTAATCGCCTACAAGAACAACTCGTCATCGACGGGCACAGATATCCCCCGGCTGACTCTTGCAGTACACATATCTCAGAGTCGGGCCCGTCATTCCTCGTCATTGTCCCGACAGGCAGTACACCATTAGTCGCCGGTGCGTTGTACCGTCGTTGTTTCCATGATACGGCCGATGTGGCCTATATCACGGCCCTTTTCTCTCATGTGTCGGTCATCGACCTTGCCATTCCTAGTATACGCCGTGAATTCGGAAACCAGGTCACATGAGGAGTCATGGCTGCCATATCCTCCCTGGCCGAATTCCCTCGCTGCTAGTGTAAGACGACCTGTATTCCAATGTTTCCCCATACGCGGTCCAAAGACCATGGTATGGAAGACTAAATAGCTATCCCACTCACCTTGCTGTAACATTGACTTTTACACAATGTGAGTTGGGGGTGTGAACAGTTTCATGCTCCGGTCACGTTATCCCAAAAAGCCCTTCAACAGAGCATAGAGCGTATACTGACGTCCAATCCACATGAAGAATGCCAAACACACGCTTACTATGGTCAGTAAATCTCAAGATAATATATCTAGCATCAGTATCTGGTTTCCATAGATGACGAACGCTGCCCGCATGCTCTAATCCCAGCAGAATTCAGCACTTATTCCGATGCGCGTCAAATTACACATAAGTACCCGAAGTATGTCCCTTGACCAATGCCATTAAACAATAAGATAGCTAGCTGCTGGGTGATAACTAGTTGTGTGCAGGTAAACTACGCTGTGCCAAGGGAGCATGATACCCCAACCATCAACTGATTAAGGGTGTTACATATGCTACCAGTCCTTGCATCGGTATCGGCGATAGCCGCTGATCATCATCCCAAAGGTCATTGTATGTGTCATTTCCACTCATGACTCGCGTTCGCTAAGTTTTAGCTTCAGCATGGCGCTCATTTTCAATTGGCTCCAGGTGAATTTCTCCCGAACAGATGGTTACAAGTACCATGGGGCGTGTAAACATAAGATAGACGCGAGATATGGCGCTCTCAAAGTCGATAGACAGGTTTCTGCTTGTTATATGCGGAGTTTTGACTCTTTGGGACTATTTTAGAGGGCTGGAATGGTTCAACAGCAGCCAAAGGAATTTCAATAGGAACCCGTCGGGATATTCAGTCTCTGAGCAAGACGATGAGGGCATCCAACGCAGAGGCAGATGAAGATGGCTCGAATGTGTTGTCCATGGAAGGCTGGGATTTGTCTGATTTACCTAATAGTTCATGACCATTCGTAAAGTCAACATATTTTAGACCGGCTCGCATGATTCTGGACCCTGAGCCTGGGAAGGGGAGATTGTTGGGATGTGGCAGCTTTATACTGAATAAAATTGCCGATTTGTGGAATCTTCTGACCCCAAGTCCTCGGATCGATCTTAGACATATAGTTCTTGCCAACGAACTCTACTCTGCCCATATGTGTGATGGAGGTCTTCATACACCAGCATGTATTAAAATGTAGGCTACTTAATATAAAATACTTATTCATACCATTGCTAATCACCTTATTCGACAAGCGTCAGAACACGAATAAGATACTATCAACACTCATCACACCCTCCAGAATATGATTCAGAAGCATATGAATTCTTATCTGGGGCATTATTACGAGAATTAAGATCCCTCAATTCCGCAATCGTGCTTGACCCGACTTTACTAAGCATTGATGAAATTCCAAAGATTGACGTCTAACGAGATTCAGTCATACGTACCCTGAGAATCTGATGACCTAGTCTGCTTTGTAGCCTCTAAGCTTCAAAGTACGCTCCCGTGGACGCAGCCGGGTCAGTAGAGGATGTAAGTGTCCCGGGAAAGCCGGGTTCTCCATCCTCTATATTCTTTGCCGCAGAGCAAATTGCATGCACCATAGCAGATATTGAAAGTTGCGATGAGACAGGAGATGCCGCTACCGTGACAAGCCATACCTGACCCTACACAGGTACAACCGCAATCTTCTCCACGTACCCTTGAAGAGACGGGAGACCCGCAGATCACAATACCACAGCTGCCAGGTATAGAGAATGACAAAGCATAAAGCATAACGCTAGGGACAATAAGTGACATATTGATGCTTTGGGTAGAAGCGAGGTTTGAATGCCGTGCAAGTGTTGCGAGGCCTGTTTGATGACCGGTGGGAAGAGATTTCGAAAAGCGAGCTTGGGCTTATGAGAAGATATCTTGAGAGATACAAGGCAGGGAGTGACCTTAAATATCTGGAAACCGTTTCACTTCATGGATACAATGGACTCTAAAGGTCTTGTCTGCTTCCCCAAGAGGTGTTTCCCTTCAAGAGCTATGGGAAGGATGCTTTATGGCTTAAATGGAACCTTTACTTGGATTAGTCCTCTTGAAGCTAAAGTATGACATGGCATGATAACTGGCCTTTACCACTAATCTACGTTCTCAGTGCATGCAGGGCAATAGATATCTTACTCAATGTCCGGTCAGTATATAATGGTATCGACGAGCGTCGATGAAACTTTATAACCAAAGATATTATGGTATGAGAGTATTATGGATTAGTGTAGTACTTCCGTTTTCTTTTTCCCGTAGCATAGGTTACGTGGTGCTAATATTCGAGGATATTATCGATGGATGCTGAATTGAGTAAACAAGAGCCACCTGCGCTAATGAATCTTTATTGGGAACTATTTTAGGAATAGGTAACGTAGCATACAGCAATCTAGATCTGTCCTTGTCATATTTAGGGATTCGGCTGATCATCCCGAAAGGCTATGGGCTATTCCTCGCTCAGTGTGGGGTTAATTATGTGGGGATATACAAGTCTCTCCAGAGCCTGGATGCATATATCTCCGCAAAATCTTGCTCAAATCTTATATTCGAAGACGAACAGGCAGCTGTAGGAAGCATCTTATTTAGCCAGCTTTAGGCTATAGCAGTCTAAAACACGTACTAGGTTTATTAATGTCGACCTTTTACATTTTTGGTGATGATGGTCAGGATATATTAACTAGCGCACCCCGCGTCGTTCCCCAGATGACTTGAATTTTTCCAATACTCTCTTCTGTAATAGGACTAAAATCCATCCCGGGTTCTCGTTATAATCCAAGTACTTCTTCACCTGGCGGCCACGACAGAAGTGCAGATAGCATTGAGCCATGTATCAACACTAAACAGCACTAATAGTCCCAGGATAAGTGAACAAGAGACCACACTGAACGTACATACGTCCCATCCCGCCTAAAGTTGGCAAGGAAGAAACTTGCATTAGGGCCTAGTTCGACGACCTTCCGACCCCAAACGGCCTGGGGAGCATCTCCACTTATTCCAACCTGAATTTCAATTCCTTCACAGTCCTTGATACTCTAAGTGCCACCGCAAATGGCTATATCGACAAAGAAGACGTGGATCGTGCCTTTTCATTCTCAAACACGCTTTTAGCCTCTCGATCAAACCGCCGTTCTTTGCCCCGATTCGCTTCTAACTCGGCGGCTGACAACGACGTTTCCCAGTACTTCAACCTCAAGGGTCTGGCGTTCAAGCCCTTGGGCGAAGTACCATACCGTTCGGTTGTAGAAGTGAGGGCCTAAGAGCTGGTTCTAGATGGGTCGGATTCTCGGGCGCGGAACGTGTACCCTGCCTGGGTTATATACTTAGAGGCCTGGAGGTAGCCAATGTAGTATTATGAGTTTGATAGGTGGGATTCGACGTTGGGTCGGAGGGTTAATGTGGTGGAATTGTTTGCTTATGCGCCTGATGGACGGGATTGGGGGTTCTGTCTTGACGATGTGAAGGTTGAGTTTGTTGATGAGCATTATCAAGTATATAATCTATGCTGTTATCTCCAATGCTTTCTTTTATTTATATGAACCTATCTATCATTTTGATAGAAGTTACTAAATTCCAGAAACTATTCGTTTTATCTCTTTGCTCCATTTCCCTTCTAAAGATACTTCTGAGATATTATTATATTCTCCAATCCGGGCATACAGCTCATTGTAGGTAGAAAATTACAATTTCCACTTATATGTTTCTATTATTCACCGACTGTACCAGCGCTCACCGTTGTAGTATGACTGAAAACTTGGCAAGCCGCACGGTGTTATGTAATGTACATGGCTATATACTTGATATAAGGATGTATGACGAGAAATGTTTGTATGCGCTCCTGGAAAAGGCTAACCGGAAGGCGAGCCCCGCCTAAATAGGTTATGAAGCATTCCGATAGCTTTCAACGATGGAGAGCATTTCTTCCGCTGAGCTGGATCGAGGTTCATGACAATGTGCGTCTTCTCTATATCCTGGACAAAAACCTCAGTGTTTGATGCGTTGTATTCACCGACTGCCGATGGTTTATAATGGTGCACAAAGCTGCGCTCTTGATGGGACGGGAGCCTTCAACTACCCGGATGCAAGGGTGGAATCGTCTCGGTCCTTCATTTGACCACGATATGGCCTGAGTATCGAACAAGGGAGGCACGGCCGAGTAGGCTGACTTGGTCTATACGCAGCAGACCCTGAGAAGGAACTGATGGACCTATGATGGAAACAAAGTAAACGGTAGCGCATAGTTGTTTCTGTCATATTTGAACCAGCTGCATGGTATTGTATTCTGATATAAGCGGCGGCTTATACCATGGAAATCACGGCGTATACGGATCTTTAGCCTTGCTGAATCAGGGCCAAATACTTCTCTAAACTATCTCCGAGGACATTGATGAATGGCCACTGGGTGTTCTTTCGGAACAGGCGAGACCAAAGTTTAATGACTGCAAGCCCAAGGCCGATAGGGTCCAGGGTAGGGACACTTTCCCCTTCTTCCAAGTCCATTGAAGAATATGCTTCCTCGACAATACAACGGGTCCAGTTTAATATTCGACTTTCATTATCTAGGCAAGATAGAGTCAGTAAAACTGTACTTTTCAGGGTAAAAATTGATCCACACATGTTCATACCACTCAGACTCTGATCACCTCCAGCTTGAGCTAAAAAAATAAGCCATTTGCTAAGGAGAACAGCACATTCCAGGCTGGCAATCGAATGGCGGACACTCCAAAAGAACGCTTGACTGCGTGCAACGTGGTCAATGCCCAGCCGCACAGGAATACTCAGCGCATGTGCTGAGTAGATGAGAGCGGGCGTCAACCGATAGCTTCTACCGGGTCGCGGTGATCTGTGCAATGCAGAGGCTATACGGTACGGGTCCCTTGTGTCGAGCTGACGGTAAGGTCCTAGGTTTAGGGAGAGACGAACGTAAGCCAATCCCAGAAGTGAGCTCGAAGTAAAAGGAATGGGTCCGTTCTCATTATGAGGATCAAGGCTCGATTCTGGGGCCTGCTGCCAAACGGAAGTCCAGGACCGGAGAGCTCTCCTAGCGTGTCATGTCAGCGGTAATATCGAAAGGCAAGCAATGATAGCAACTTACTCCAGTTTATTCAGTTCCTCTGTCGGTAGCGAAAATGTTTGATCTCCGGTTGGCAGGGAAAGTTCACTCACAAGGTGGATGCGTTGAAGAAGACCATGAAGGAGAATATAGTTTCCCAGTGGCGCCGGGATCGGATCTAGTAAGACTGTCGCCCGCGACGGTTGTAGAAGAAGGGCTAGGGCATCCTGGAAGAACAGCTGTTGGCGACCAGCCTCTTTCTGAGCGAGCTCCCATTCCTGGGCGGTTGTTGCTTTCCACTCCTTCGTGGAACAGGGTAAGCGCAAATAAACCTCACTGCTGCGAAGGACCGGATAGATGTTGTATGCTATACTATGGATATGAACGAAACAGAAAGAGATAAATCTGGTACGCCGGATCGACTCTTCTTCTGCCCACTCATGCCACTGCATGGGTGATTGTCGTGGGGTAACCGTAATGTTTTCTGTCATGCCGAACTCGCGCAAGCATCGCACAAGGAGGCCTTGTAAACCATAAGCTTCTTGAACCAGTTCTTGCTTCTCCCACGTGGAGTATCCCATTAAAGTAAGCAGGGTGCGTATGGTTTCAATTTGCCTCCATGCACTCATTCCTAAAGCATCTTCCGAAGAAGGTAATGCTGTAGCCTGGCCTGACTGTTGCGATAGTTCACGAATGTCGTTTAGCGGTATTTGGATGATACCATTGTATGCGGCCAGTGGTGTGTGCGTTTCCTTTGAAAGCTTATGTAGCACAATCGCTTTGGAAGCATAGAAAAGCCGTTCTGCATTTCGATGCTCAAATCGATATTGAGCGCCTATTGTCATCAACGCTAAAACAAGCTCTGGGGCGCGCTCATTGATTCGCAGCGTTGGGAGATGTAGATATGGTAGATGGGGATGGAATCCATCAAAGAAAGACGTTAAATACCTTGTCAACGTGTGCCGCGAAGGGAGGACGAAGTCCGGAATCAGGTGGCGATACTCTTCCAAAGAAGCTGCAAGACGTAATCGTTGGTCTTCAGTGACCCTCGACGGGTTGACCTTCATGGAATTTTGAGGAGGTTCTGGGTCAAGTTAGGCACGTTGAGTTGCTAGATATTAGATGCGCCCTGCAAAGGACCTTTGCTTACCATAGTCTGAGACCGTCCCCAAGCTCTGGTCCCCAGGGGGCACAGAGGGCAACCAAGATCGGAAGGGAGAATCAGCGCGTGTGCGCTCCGCCTGACCCCGACGAGAAGTACCTGGTTGCTGCTCTCTGGTATTCCTGACAGTGTCCGGAATGTCGGCAGGGACTGTACTCTGAACCTGAGGAACTTCTCTCAGGGTGGGAACCCATTCGGATGGCAATCCGATGGAGTCTAGGAAGTGCGTAAACTCTTGGAAGTGATTGAGCTCCTCCGGGAGATATTGTATCGGTTGGGCTAGAAAGGAGTTAGCTGTATGTACTATCTGAGCATCATGGACCGATAGGGAATAATCACGAGGAGGCTGAGTGTCCCGAAAGCTGCCGGGAAGTAGAAGTTGGGCAGCCTGTAGAATGTCCGCGTCATGGGTCACAGCAGGATGCGGGCTTAAGCCTGCACTACTACCACCTGCATTAAGTAGGCTCTGATTATGTTCTAGGTACGGTCCATGCTGTGGGCCAGTCCATTGTTCCATAGGAGGTGGGACCAGGGGAATGTCCGGCCGCGGTGCGGGTGGTACATTGTATTGCTGAGCTACTGGAGGATCTGACGTACGCCGCGCAAGCGACTGGCCAGAGGATTCTGGCTGAGGCTGTGAGGTCGGTGATATTAAACCATTGCTCTCATGGGTGATGCGCGTGTGGCGCTTCAGAAGATCTCGTCGGGTAAAGGCAGCCCCGCAGAAACAAACATATGGCTTTTCTTTTGTATCTGTACAGAAATACTCAATGATTGATCTCCGAAGCGAATAGCGTCCGACCGAAGAATTACTAAATTTTTTTTTTTAATTTGGACGAGGCCAGGATTTTTTTAACTTACGAGTGCGCACGTGCCGTTCCAGATGTTCAGTTCTTCTGAAAGTGCGTCCGCAATGGTCGCAAACTCGGGCTTTTGCTCCAACGCTCGAGCGACGAGTGCCCCGAGGTTGAGGTGAGGATGACTGGGACAACATCAAGACATTTGGGGAAAAACACGCTGACAGATTAAAGATAGTATAGGTCTCTCCACTTGGAGACAATGAGAATGCAAGGGGGTGGGTGGATTCATTGACTTGGAGGAGGTTTAACTTGAAAAGAGTTGAGGAAGAGAAGAACTGACTCCAACACTAGCGCCACCCTTTCGGCAGTTGGAAAACCCCCACCTCTGACACCGATTTGTTGATTTAATCGCTTCAACTCCAAATATAGAACCAGTTTGCGTTAACACATATATCTAGTGCTAGTAGATATTATCTCAGGATTAAACATCGAAGCTTTTAACGATTACCTTCCCTTTCACAGCCCTTCAACAAGCTAACGGAACAAACCAAACCATAAACCACAGATCAAATCAATGACGAACATACACAGTTCCCGGAGTCGCCGTCATTACGTGAGCTGGTAACGGGGGTGCGACGAGAATACTACCTACAAAGCTCCTGTGGGTGGTTTGCTAACATGCTAACTAGGTATCGGGGCAGCGGTTGCGAAAAGTTTGCTTCAGCAGGATGTGAACGGATCGCAATCACAAATCTCAACCCGACCTCGTTGGATCAAACCAAACAAGCGATCTTTAATCTCTCCCCCTCAGCCACCCTCGTTGTTCGAGCTGGAGATATCGTAGATGGACCATTTGTGGAGTCCTTTATCGCTGAGGTTGTCGACGTCTTTGGGCGACTGGACTACGCAGTAAAATGTGCCGGCATTCTCGGAGACGCTCTGCGATCGACAGAATTGTTCAACGGATGCCTTTGACCACATTAACAGTGTTAACTATCGAGGTTGTTAGCTATTTTCAAGGGCGGAGCTAAGGCAAATGATCAAGCAGGGACCACTACTCAGCCACTATCCTGGTCGCCCTTCTCAGAGGGAGGGTGGGGGGCTATAGTCAATATCACTAGTCAGTTGGGGATTGTCGGCGCTCCTAGTACTCGTAAGCCACTTTCTTCTTACTTTCTCTCCGCCACAGTCTTCTTTTTGATGTCTACTGCTGCATGCTGGAGTTCTAAAACAGCAGTTATAGCAATGACACGCTCCGATGCGATAGACTACTCGAAAGATGGCTCTGGGATCCGAGTGAATTGTGTCTGTCCAGTTATTATTGAGACCCCTATGACAACTCACAGCGAAGAGGACCGGGAAAGAATGAAGCCCGGTGTGGATATTACCCCGATAAAGAGGATGGGGAATCCGGAAGAAGTTGCTGATACTGTGATATTCCTATGTTCTACTTTCGCATCTTTTATACAGGGCCATGCCCTCGCTGTAGATTGAGGATATCTACTCAAGTAGCGAAGGTTGGCCAAGTAATGTAAGGAGGCGTGGAAGAGGTAAATACAAAAGTCTATAGCAGTAGACTGGCTGTTTTGATTATCGCTTTATTGGTAGTCCGTATTGATCGTTTGAATATCTAAATGCTGAGCAGATGATCATATGTACAGGTTACACACGCGCCATATACTGTTGCTATAATAATTCAAACAACTAATATGAGTATCTAAAACGAGAGTGAAAAAGAAAGCTGTGTGATATTTTTCATGGTAGTATCGCGATGTGATCTCGTATCTCCAACTGCCAAGGCCCATGTGCGTTGGAGTAGGCATGCATCGACTCCAACACGATCAACTCACTAGAACAATATGAATGCATATTCAATGAGCTTCTTATTGCATAGTGAGACCCACTCCACTCACTTCCTGGCTCTCCCATCTGACATGCAGACATGCAATAATGCAATATTTCCAAGCTCTGAAAGAGAACAGGTGTTCAACTCCACAGACAATTCACTCCATCGGTTTTAGTATTTTCTCATACCAACTACTGGATATTAATAAAATGCTCGAAAGCCAATGAATGCCACCCAAAAGTCTAGTTTCTATATCACAAGAAATTTTGATTAGGCTATCATATAGCCATTCCAATAGGAATTTCTTCCAAGACCCTGGGTCGAATCTGAGGAATGGCTGTAAAACTATGTTTGATTGTTTGTATTGAAAGCACAATAGCTTTACTTGAAGCCGAGTCGCTTGCGAGCTCTAAGTCTCTCCTTTCCTATTAGCATGTCAGTGAGGAGATCAGTGACCGCCATCTCTTTATTAGTCCTGATTTAGAAATTCCGTTGGGCTCCTTGCTAATACGACAGGTTCAAGCTTTGGACCTTCTAAGGCTTTCTATTTAAGTGAGAACATGTTGAATCGAGGGAAGCGTACCGCAAGGCTGTGTACATATGGATATGGGGCAATATGGATATGGGGCATGCTCTTCTCTCCACCTTTATCTGGAATGCTTTGTATCAGATAAGCTAACCAACCGTCTTGGAGTAGAAGGACCCTTTATCAGATTAATTGAACAATGCATGTACCCATCTGTGCCCACAGCTCCAACATGATATCGGTTGGAGTCCATTGGAGTCTTGCTTTATCATTCTACTACCATTAGCTCTCCCTTATCAATGGCGATCTATCCTGTGAGGGCTGGGCTGCTATCAAGTACGGACCTTGTCTTCGACGGTCGCTGGTTGGCATTATGATGGTGGGACGGTTGATAAAATGTTAATATGCGCGGATTATAGAGGTCCATTTAGGTCTGGGGGAATTTGTTCTGGTATACATACATATATATATATATATATTTGGGACCAGTACTGATCAAAATGTCTGGATTGTTTGTGTTGAGTGTTATTTACGATTCGATGTTCAAGGAAGCGGGATACATCTGAGTACCGTAGAATCAGCCAATACGGATAAGAGAATTTTTCTCATACATATTCATTCATCTTTCGATCTGGGGCATCATGGTGAAAAAGAAGAAAAATTAGTATAGAAAGGTGAAAAGCGAGGCAAAAAAAAGAAATTGCTTCCAACGAGAATCGAACTCGTGCTTGCGGATCGCAGCTCCTTTAGCATAGGATCTGTCATATTTCTATGAGACCGCCGTCCTAACCACTAGACTATGGAAACTTGTTGAAAGAAGATCTCTTTATTGACCTTATATTCTAAGGTTGTTTATTAGCGACACACCCACAATTGCAAAGTTCAACTATACATCTTGAACCCAGGTAATCTAATCCTAGTTACTAACTCTCAGGTTTGCGCCTTGCTCATCCACCTATGGTTTTTCGTGTCCATAACCTATCCCTAGAGCTAGACCCTTGCTTCTGCACAGTTCCCTTACAGAATAGGAGGCGTTGGTTTGCCATTTCGGCATGAAGGCTTCTTATGTCTAGGTAATCAAGTAACCTCCATCGTAAATTTCATTAAGTAGTCTCAAATCATGGATGATCGTATGCTGCGACGCATGATAAATAATCGTATATGTAGAATCCAACCACGTTACTGACCTGCCATAATAACTAACTCGTAAAAGATCATTATCCGCATAGCAGGAAAAACAACATCTGGAAGAAACCCAAACAAAGCTCAACACTTTACATAGAAACTCCTGATCTGGGTCTCCCTTCCTCCCCACGTTGACACTCGGCAGGTCGGTCTAATAGCCTTCCTAAAGACACCAACCGTCCGGTTACCAGAGCAGTGGCCATCGTTGAAGAGATGTACCTTGCAGTGGGAACTTGTGATCTTGTCTGGGACGTAGGACAATGCCCCGCCATTGAGAATCGCATTGCGACATGGTGTGCCTCTGATTCCTGAGAAGAGTGTTATCTCTCCCGTGCAATGATTATTTTGGTATAGAGAAAAACCCCAGGTTGCGTTGGGGATGGCTTGGTGTAGGCTGTGAATGGAGGGGAGGGCGTAGGCTGTGCCGAGGAGGGTGGTACCGAAGATGATTCGCATTGTGTATAATTTTGTTGCTTGAGAAGTATTTGCACTCTTAGTGGTCAACTGTCTCTAGTCGGTCGTGGTATGAGGTGGGGTTCGTTTACCTAAAGGTCCTGATAATGGGTAAGCGCCGCAGCCTGCAGTAGTGGGTACGAGATATGAACAATAAAAGAGAATCTTTGATCAGTTCAGAAAGTTTACTTTAGATTCACTATTTAATATTTGTTGGGAAGACCTCGCCCAGCAAGGGGCATGGCACAACCTCCAAATATAGCCAACTTACCAAGAACACTGATTACCCTAACTGCAGATCCTAGGATTCCAGTAGTGGAGTCTATGTACTAAAAATTCTTTCAGTGGGTGATGCGCGGGAAAAGATACATCTGTAATATCCCTTTGTCTTTTCCCTCTGTATTGAGTGGCGAGCTTAGATCATTGCGTGTATTCTCGATTCGCGGCGAGCCTCATATGTCGGTACGAAGAAAGTCGAAAGCAGGGTCGAAAGATGTTTCTTCCATTGTCGACCCTACATCTAGTGCTCCAGCTGAGCCGATGCTGTGATAATCGAGGACTTCGGAATATCTGTAGGGACTTGGTTAGTTGCACACCATATAAAGCCGATTGCAACGAACATCATAAGTTTCCATGTCTCTGGAGGAAGGTCCACATCATTGAACGACCAGTCGAATCTCTCTGTAGCCACAGGCTCGTCATCGGGATCATGGTAAGCAGCAAGATAGGAGTGCTTCAAAGCGTTCTCGGCGGTTAGTCTCTTGTCTGAATCGAACAAAAGCAGCTGTTCGAGGAGGCTGATGGCTGTCATAACAAGTGAGTATACTTCCTTATGACTGTATTCGAGTTAACGGGTTATTACCATCACTATCATATCCTTCGAACACTTCCTTCAGTGGACGTGGCTCCCGTCTCGGTAGTGAATTGACAACTCGCTGAGTCTAAATAGGCCCTTCATGTGAGTGAAAACAAGATCATTCTGCAAGATAAGAGCGCAAATACTCACATTGCCACTTGTTACCTTCTGAACTACCTCTGGGGGTGGGTGACCAAGAATTTCAGTGATCAAGTAGAACTGGTTAATATGGTCTTTCCCTGGAAACAGCGGCTTCCCTCGAAGCATCTCGGCGAGGATACAGCCTGCACTCCAGATATCCACCATATTATCGTACCTCTGCCATGTCAGCATAATCTCGGGTGCTCGGTAGTATCTCGTTGAGACGTAGCCCGTCATATGAGGTTCCTGTACTCGGGCAAGACCAAAATCGCAGATCTTCAGATCACAGTTCTCATTGACAAGGAGATTGCTTGGTTTCAGATCACGGTGTATGACGCCGGCAGAGTGGATGTATTTCAGTCCGCGCTGTAGACGGTTAGAGGTTCTATGTCACATCACCTATACGAAGAATAATACCATAATCTGGTACATGAAGTACTGAGCAAATTTATTGTCGAGAGGCCTTGCTCCTAGGAGCCGGCTGAGATCAGCCCCCAGAAGTTCCGTCACTAGGTATCTAGCAAGACCTGGGCATCAGTACGCTGAGAGGAATGATCAAAAAAGAAAAAAAAAAAAGGAAAAAAAACAGCCATGTGTAAGTTCAATTCTGCCATACGTACATGTCTTCCAGTGGAGAGATAAAGATATCGCACAAGCCAATAAGCTGTCTTGAGTTAGCGATGCAGGCGTCTGCCGGGTGAGCATGGCTGAGGGGTCCAAACATTTTCATGGCGCAACTGTTTCAGAAGTTTGACCTCTCTATACGTACGCTTCGCAATGGCCGAGTTGGCGAAGGGGTTCATCATCTTTTTGACGGCGACATGTTGCTGCGTGATCTGATCATATGCGGAACTGAGAATCCCTTTTGTTAGCTTGTTGAATCCAGGGGCCATGGTCTCCCTGGACCCAGGTCTAGGGTAGTTGTAGAGTTATACCACACAAGCCCGAACGCACCCAAACCGACGGGTTGCACATTTGCATATCTGATTGAATGTTACCTACGGCATCATTACGAAGTATCTCACACCATGAGGATCAGTACCTGCTCGTGGTTTCGAACGTAGTACCCAGAATTTCTGCACGAATAAACTCCATGCTGTAGTCTAGGATTGGCGCGATAATAGCGGCAGGTTGCTAAGAAAGGAAAAAAAAGATAAGAAATAAATAAAAAAAAAAGAAAAACAGGGAAAATCAAAAAAGCGAAAAGAGCAGATTGAGAACGTCAAGCCCTGCTTTTCCCACAATGAAGCAAACGGGAAGATCTAGTCGAGACTACCGGGCTCGTGCGAAGGCGTGAATGGAGACAACCGTAAGGCTACCTACCCAAAGGGAAATTGTAAAACCCAGTGACTACTGCCAGCCACTGTCTCTTGTGGGTTTGAGGGGGAAATCAGAAGCGCGAAAGGGAGAACTGGCGTTATCCATTCGTAGACCTTTCGAGTCTATGGACAAGAGGAACCCTGATTGGCGGGATGAGATGCCACCAGCGGGATGCCCCCGAATCAAGGCAGCGAGCGGATTTTCGGTGCAACATTTCTTGAGTATCCACTCGCCCTTATATCCACAGAAGAATGGAGCCCCTATATTGAGTAACCCATGGCCCTCTCCAACCGTTGTGGTTCCAGAGTCCGTCCTGTGTGACACATCCTTCACCAGTCAGCTTTCTACGGTACTACGTGGCCAGGGGTATCATCTACTATCAACTCGGATCATCCCGAGTTGTTTAGGATTACTGGGCAATAAGAACAAAGAAAAGGCATCATTCTGGTCTAATTGAAGCGAGGTTCTCCTGCTCAACCAGCCACCTCTCAACCCTTATTGCCACTGGATGCATGGCGTACCCTACTCCCCAATCACGTTCTGTTGCTAATCTAGAACCCCCACGACGACTGTCGCCAACAGGAGACACACTACCAATGGCCTCACACACCATGGTCCCCGTATGAACAGGCTGTCAATTCCATTGATAACTCGAACTTGACTATAATTGGTTTCTAGGCTCGGAAGTATGTTCCGACTTTTGCCTCTCAGCCTTAAGCTAAGTGTTCCAGGACGCTTCATTCGGTTGTCAGATGTGGTTCCCGCTTGGCAGCTGTGAGATTTACCATGTCTTTTCGCCTGATAGGAGTCTCTCCAAGTTCTTCCCAACACCTGGATGCCTCGCTTCCCTGTCACACGCATCCCCATATGAATGCAGGGACCATCAATCAACTGACACAGAGATCGACCTTATTTCTCTGTCACAGTTGTTGACCTCCACAGATTGTCACCATGGCCTTATGCTTCATAAGAATCTCGCCACATTCATCCTAGCGGTCAGACACACACGCTTCCCAACCCAACGAACAGCCGCATGGAACGACAGAGTATTTAAACCCTGTGGACGGAACGGTCCTCCAATAGAACGAGAGAAGTGCCGTCTCCTCTCAGCCACATCAGACTTGTTACTCACTGACTTAGTTCCCCCTGCTTGATACCTTCCCCAGGCTCCTTTCATTCGCCATAACCCCTATACCCCGAAACGCCATTTGACCCGACTCCAAACCAACAGCAGTGAAAAGATAGCCCCCAACAAAGTTCAAGACGTCACAAGAGCCGACAGAAGCCGCTCCCAATCGTCAGCATCATATGCGGAGATATACCGGTTGCCACCAACCTCGCTTCCCGCAGGCTACGATGAGGTTCTGCGAGCCCTAGATAACTAATAGTGAATCGGAAATATCGCGGGAGATACTCGGAAACCTCTGACGATTCGTCCCTCGGAACCATAGTTCCAATCATTCTTCTCGGAGTCTAGACCCTGTCATTATCCATGAAGCTTAACCTTGAACACCGTCTTAATGGCCTGAGCAAAATCCTCAAAACCTCGGTATACAGTACTCTGCATACCCAATGGCGTCGCAGGCCGCCACAGAGCCCAAAATTGCGTCATTATCGGTGGAGCCGTGCGGAAAATGCTCGACGCCTCTCGACGCCTCTCGACGCTACCTTGCAAAGAGCGTGCGCAAACGGCCCTTTCTTTCCCAGATTCGGAAGCTACAGCGACAGTGGGACGTAAAATGCTCAAAAATTTGGTGAGTGGGACCTACGTACGGTGAGGCCCATTGGGGCAAGCATTCTACCTATCACGCATTTTGTATGCTACCTGTGTAGTTGGGAAAAATATATCCTCAAGAGGAAAGTGATAAGACTAATGCCGTACCAGCTGTCCCCATGAGCAACCCTAATTGAATGAGATAAGTATGTATCTTTGTACTGAGGTAGGGTTGCGAGAGGTTCAGGTACGCTGTGGCGAATGGTGTCATCACCGCCTCTATTGTCGCCAATCATATGCTCTATGCGAGGTGGCAGAATGACTAAGGTGGTGGGTGGATGAGTAACAGATGTCGATCAGCATATATGAAGATGTAGAGACTGACGAAGATGGTAGCTATTATTTTCACCTGATATTCTAGGAGTGGTAATGTATACCTTCGATCCATATCAATTGGACCTGACAGCGACATGTGTTAGCCCTATTATAGAGGGAAACAACTAAGAGCTAAAGTATTACCCAGGCGTCTTCTGCGCCTGACCAGCTAGCGAAGAGAGCAACTTGGGCTCTCCTATTGCTGGTTGTCCGGACATGAGCCTACAAGGATGACCTGGAAATTATATTCCGATCTTGGCCGGAGAGAAAGTTGAGAAAGAACGCAACGGCCATGTGAACGAACAAAATCTGTTGCATCTCAGTTCTCTACAGCGTGTAGAAATATGAGAAATATATACAGTCTTAAAAAGGAAAAAGCTCATGTAACGACAATTCATTCAAGTGATCATCGATGATACAATACATTCATTATTCACTGCGTTTTCTTAGTCGTAGAAGCAGTAGATCTGGGCGCAGAGTAAAGCCAAATTATCACGAACGCCAGGAAACCAGCGATGACAGACCAGAGGCCAGCGATCCAGACCCACCCCCCGCTAATCTTCCAGCTGCGAGGATACTCGTTGTGAGCGAGGTGGCGGACAGTCACCTCGTGCTTCTCTTCGATGTTGTTGAAGAAGGGACGCTTGTAGTTGACACGGAAGGAGAAGATTCCGTGTTGATCGGGAACGGTGAACTTGGTGCTGTATATGGTGCTGTTTTCTGTCTTGCGGGAAGGCTGGAGGTCAAGGCGATGGAAGGGGGAGAGCATGGTGAACTCGAGCTGGAGGGCGTCGTTCTCGGGGACTTCAAATGGAACGTACTTGTCATAGTCGTACTCGGAGACCTCAATGCTGAAAACCTGTAAAGTCATGTTAGTTCAAGCCTAGTGTCAGTTTACAAATGCCATAGCTACATACTGTCTCGTTCTTGATACGGTAGATCTTAGGGTTCAATTCCACCGGAGCAATTTCGCCATTCTGGACCAAATGATGCTCAATCTTGCCAACCTTGAGGACTCCAGTCTCCTTGAAGGTCCAGGCGGTCAGCTGTTTGGCAAACTCACGGTTAGCCGTCTCAGTCTCCTTTTCGTTGCCAGGGGCCTTGACGGTGGCGGAGAACCAAGCGTCCTGGAGACTTTCAACAGAGCCCAGAAGGGTAAAGCGGGCAGAATTTCTGGCTTGCATGGCCGAAACAAGAGCCAGCTGAGATCCAGAAGCCAAAACATCGTCAACCGAACCCAAATCCTCCTTGGGGTTGTAGCTGTAAGCAGTTGCCGGCGCACGCAGGATAGGCGCGAGTAGTGGGTTGGAGTCTCCTAGAGTGTGAGGGGCAGCCCTTGGGAAGGCTAGAACGCCCTCGCCGCCAAAGAAAGACTTGGTGTCGGGTCTCAACTGGCCCGGCCGCTGGAGAAGCAGGACATCGTGCTTCTCAACCGCAGAAAGAGTGTCATAGTTGAAATGGTCGACGACAACGGAGGAACGGTCGGTAGACAAATGGAGATCGAGTTCCAGGAGGAGCGAGCTGATTGCACTGGGCGTGGTAGACTTGCCGGAAAGGGCGAGCAGGATGTTGCCGTCCTTGTTCAGGAATTCGATGATGTTCTTGGGGCTCAAAGCAGGTCCAAAGCCTGCGCCATTTAGTCAATTGACTTGTAACATGTACCAAATTGCGTTACCAATGGGGTAATATGCGAACCTTTCGACCGAGGGGGAAGAAGAAGGACATGGTCGTAAGCTCTCTCTCCGAGTGCGAGCAAAGAGAGCTGGTCGTTCTTGGGCGATTCGAAGACAAGGTTGTATCCTCGAGCTGTGAGAAGATCAGCGTAAATTGCTTCCAGATTGCAGAGCATGCCTTACCTTCTAGGTCTCCCCAGAATGTCGAATATGCCTCCTTCTCAGCTGCATCCTCCAGAACAACAAGTAGACGGCTCCCCGAACTACTCAACGCATGTACAACAGCCAAGAAGCCGAATAGCAGTAAAGAAAGACACCACCGCATCTTATAGGGATCCGCGCAGCGGAGCGGAAAGAATGACGGGAGAGAAACAAATACGGAGCCAGATCCGAGTTGTTGAAGATATTTGGAGTTGACAGTATGTAAACGGGCGACGTGTTTGGACCGAATGCCAAGACTTGCTCGCCGCTTTGGAACTGACGGGTGCAATGCATTGCCGGCCTTTCGTCACTTTCAACCTCCCCTCTACCCCGTCGCAACGTCAAACCACACCACCCACCCCAATTGCCTTTCCTTAGACACCCGGGAATCGCTCAATCCCACGGTTTACCCATTACTTCGATTGAAAGCCTTGTCTTTCTTCCGCCGGGACCGCCCGTTTAGTCGTCTCGCGACGGCCGTTCCTGCGAAAAGTTTCTTTTGACGTCCGACTACTTCCTAACCCTTTCATTTCACAATGTCTACCCCTCAATTCTGGTCGACACCTCTCCGGTACCTCCGCTGGGCCTCTCATGAAAAGCCTGCTATCTTCTACTCGCTTGTCATCGGTGCCATGGGTCCCATCTCGTTGGTGGCTCTGCCTCCGATCAGACGGGCCTTCGGCGACGTTGACCCGGAACCCATTCCCCTAACATATCCCAGTAAGTGTGATACTTTCACTGCTTTCCCGGACGTTCCTGGGCCACGCTTTGCTGATTTGACGCAGTTCCTCAAGGACCCCGGCAGATCCCGCAAGGGTTCGATGACGAGTAAATTCGCCAGGGATAGCGAACGGAATCAAGTGTCGATTTTCAGATTTGGTTTTGCTTGGTGTATTTAGCTGGGAATTTCAGTCAATTTAAAGACTACCTACTCTTTGTCGGACGTCTCCGATTACGCCGCCCATCCCCTGAGGCTGGGCAGGAGATTTGTGCCGGGTTGATTGATATCTGGACAAAATGGATGGCTCCTGGATTGCTCAATCTCTCCTTTGCCATTGCCCCTAAATGTCTCTATACCCTTACGGCTTACTAGCTTGGTGATCAGCGTCACATTGTATTGTACAGGGAAAACGATCATAGAGGGGTGAATAATGCCATTTGTTTCCTATCTGCCTATCTGTGGTAGTAGTCGCGGCATTTATTCACAGGTAACTGTAATACTAACTGCATAATGACCGGTGTGAGTCACTTCAATAAGTCTTAATACATATTGCTAGCTTCCTCCTGTGTTATTTCGCCGTCGAGCATTCTCGTGGCCACGGTTGGTTGTCAAATCCAAAATGCTACGTTGAGCTGTGCTCCGAATTCGCTATTAAGTGACGCGAGATCAGATACTAATGAATCGACTCCTCCGCCGACATATTGCTGTACAGAAGGCCCAGATACCGAGCTAAGTCTTGATAGATCCCGTCAAGCCAGCAGTAATGGTCTTATGCAGGTATCATCGCCATCTCGTCTTCTTCGACTGTAAGAGTGGCAGTCTCGTCTTCTTTCTCTTCCTCGGTTTCAGAGCCCTCAGTATTAGTAGCCTCAGCGTCTTCAATGTCAGCATCGTTTTCATTTTCAGAGTCAGCAGCCCCGGTCTCAGTAAACCCCGTCCCGCTGACCACGTCATCCATATCACTTTCTGCAATACGTTCATAATCAGATAAGAAAAGCTCCTCGTCGCTATCAACGTGCCAATCACCATCGGGCCAAGTGATCCACGGGAGTTCATCGTCCTCAATCTTGCAGCAGGTCAGGTAAGGCAGTTCTCCCATAAGGTCAGCATCATAGCGGCTTTCATTCACCAGGAGAACTGCAACAAATCTGCTCATATCAGCTTTGAGGATGCCCAGCCTATTTTCGAGTATTCTGGCCCTGCGTGCATTCATGTGGATGACGTTGTAAGTCTCCTGCTCTTCAACACCTAGGTAAGCATCGCCTCCAGCATAGATGCTACGGTAAAACGCGGCACCACCATCACGAGCAAAGTAGGTGCGGTTCTCGCAGATCGCGACACAAAACCACTGACTGTAGAAGGTCATTGCCATCCACATGCTCAAGTCCTTCGCATAGGGAGCGACCATGAATTCGCTGTGCGGACCGCCACGCAGTGTTTGATAAGGACAATGTTGAAGCATTCGGGCTTCAAGTTCTTGCTTGAATATGACGAGCTCACGGTATCTACTCTCACACAATTCATGGACAACACTGGGCAAATAGTCAAGATCATCCCCCAGAGCATTCCAGTTCCCGATGATGTGGATTGCTGCCTCCTTGAAGATAAGCGCCGATCGCATGTACGTGCCTAGCTTCATCCAGTTGATCGGATCGTCAGCGATAAGCGCATAAAAGTGTGAGCCTAGATCCTGAAGAGAGGTTTCGATCATGGGGAATACCGCACGTGTCGCTCTAAGGCAGTCGGCCAGATCGATCAAATCCCAGCAGCGGCTTAGGACATTCTCCAGACCCCCTTGGTCTAGCAGTGGGGAAAGGTCGTAAAAGATCTTGAACATGTTAGCCCAAACAAGACGGACTGCTGGAGGCCACATAATTATCGGTTTCTGGAGTTGCATATACATGGAACCGTTCTGGTATTGGTCATTCGGATCCTAAGCAATGGAGCTATTAGCGCCGGGGGTCTTGATCGCCCAGTTATCGACTTGCCTGAACCTCTAGCACTCCATATCCATGCGACACTGATTCTACCAGCTCAAGCTGCAGGTAACCGTAGTGACCAAATCCAAAGGGGCTGAGTGACGAAAGTAGGTCTCTCAACTCGCGCGAACAGGCTTTGAGGGTGGAGGAATGTAGGCGATAAACGTCCTTATATACGACTATGTTCACGTCACCGTCTCTGAAGTGTGGAAAACTTGACTCCATGTTGGCTGCAGAGAAGGGTATCGAAGAGGGCACGACTGGGAAACGGCTATACAAGTTACAAGGTCAAGGGAACAAATCGAAAGGTAAAGGGTAGAGGATGAGGACATTAGCTGACTGAGAAGATAGAGATGGGAGAGAGAGAAAGAGAACGAAACAAATCTCATGGCTGTGAGGTGTTCTGTTACTGCGTTTCATGATACTCTCACCTATCGCCATGGCGTTGATGAGTTCTCCAGAAGTAAACAAAAGACGACTCATGCGCAGAGGCACTATTGCAAACAATGGACATGACAGCTACTTCCTTTAAGCCGGGCCCACGGTACGGGAACATGTGCACAACTGTTGCTGGTAAAAATGCACAAAAGCATAGATTGTCCAGGATACATCACAGGTCGGGGTAGAGACCAAATGGCTATAGCCATCAAGGGCATCCATGGGCGGTGATTAGGAATCCACAAGGGCAGTTGGGTAACAACGCGGAAGAAGATAATCATAGTCTGAGCCGACTAGCAAACATCAGTTATTGAATGGTTCTGGAACACCTCCAGGGTCAAAGCCATTGAATGGACAAAGAACAACGCCATATATGCTCATATCTACATATAGCTCATGAACAGCATCACTGTATATCATCAAAGCTCCTAGGCTGATGGAATCCAGAATCAGTCGAATGCTCCCTGCACTCCTCACGTTGGAAGAAACAATCGAAAAAAGAAAACCTCTCGAGATGGAATAAAGAAAGAAGCAGCACACAAGAAACAACAAAGACCACATCCAGTACACCGCAAAATCGCAAAAAATGGGAATAGTTTTCCAATGGTGGAGATTGGAGGCAAAGTAACAATAACACGAAGACCAGCACCGGGCATTACAACATAGCCAAAAATCCACCTTTTCGTTCCCCCATCACGCGAGAGCCCCCAAAGCCAGTCAAGGTTCACATTATTAATGCTTTCTGACCTCTTTAACGGTAGCAATAGCCAGGTCAAGCAGAAAAGAGAAAAGATAAAATAAAAAAAAAAAAAAAAAGAGAATAGCTAGCCAACGTCGGAGACGTTTTTTGAGCAATAAAGAATCAAGCAAGGACATCTTGATCGGCATCCAGGTCAAACGAGATCCGGGTTTCCTAAGGTATGGCTCCCAATAGACTGCAATTTGGTTCTCCACATATTGAACATCATCTTCTCTCCGGCCTGAGTCTTTTTTTCACAGGCTAAGTAAAAAGCAAAAAGGAAAGCATCCAAACCGTATAGATGCTGGAGGTGTGGGCGAAACTTTGGTGTTGCGCAGGTTTTTAATACTCCTAAGGCGATGTTTTCCCGAGACAAAAGGTGGAATTGCAGCTACACCCTTGGAATTCACAGAAAAATAAAAGAGAAAAGCATTCTTCTTCTACCGCCGGCGGGCTGGATCTCTCTCCCTTGTTGGCTGTGGCCTACTGCGGTCCGAGTATGCCGACTCCGGGGTATATCTTGGGTCCATTCCTCCTATCCGGGGGTCTGGGGCAGTAGTAGCTGGGTAAGCTATCCCGGAAGTAACGGGGGAATAGTCAGATTCTGTCTCATAACCAGGCCCAGGGTATCTAGGGTTGTTCCTTCCATTTTCGTAGCCATAGCCAGCGGTGGTTGTGTACGTATATGTTTGATGCATATCGGCAGACACCGGGGGCTGGCTTGGTGCAGAGTAAGGAACCTGGGGAGGTGGATAGGTTTGTCCAGATCCAAAGGGTGAGTGGTTTGCAGGATATGAAGAGGAAACTGGATACTGGGGACTTTGGGTCTGCCCGTATGGGGGCTGAGTGTAAGGGTCCACATATGGTTGAGGAGGTGGTGCACTGTATGTAGGTGGAGGAGATGGACCCTGCTGCTGACGCCCTTCATGAATTGATGAAGAAGCATAGGTTGCTGGAACCATGTTAGGTGGCGGTTGAGACACACTGTAGTCTTGAATGTAACTACCTCTGGGATAGCCTTGGTCAGCGCGACGGAGCACATCTGCCTCCCACCGAGCAGAGTCAGCTTTGAGATCAGCAATCATTTCCTAAAACACCGTGCCCCGGTCAGTTTCGAAATACAAAGATCAAACGTCAACATCACCTCAACCGCGTCCAACTTACTGAAGTGAGATTTCTATAAGCACGGATAAAGAAGCCCTGTCGACCCTGTTTCACATCCAGTCAGTAACGGGGTTACAACGAATGAAAGACTCATTGCCATTGCTGGACCGATTCGTTTCTCGGCAGTTATAAGGAAATTTCGGGAGACACACTTGGTGGTTTCCAGGTCTTACGAGCGCATCATTTCCAAGGTAACGGCATATGTCTGCCTGGATCACTTCCCGGCTGATTCCATCACCGGGGATAAAGTATTCGTTCTGACGCTCCGGGCGTCCTTCATATCCAAGGCGTCCAGTCATTTTGTCCAGGGAATAGGTCCAGTATTAAGGTACAATAAGCCAAGGGATCCAAATGGGCACCAGGAAATCCAGGGAGTCCGGAAAAAAGTTATAAAGTTGAAATGGTCCAGTGATGGGGAGATGATGTCCTCTTATGGTTGCTTTGGAAGAAGAAACAGCAGAAGTACAACTCAAATGAGAGTGTGTCCAGGTAACTCCAAGGCTGATGGCTAACCGGAAACTTTTTGATTGACAAAATCACCCACGACGCAGAACAAGGGATGTCTTTAAAGAGCAAGCGAGTCCACAGACTGGTCTCTCTGGGAGAAATTTCACCAGTGAGAGGAAAGTAAAGAAACCCGGGTGCAAGTTATTGTCCACACAATGGTTGTGAGAGACGGTCTCCTTTGGCTAGGTATCCGGACGGCAACGACAGGACCGAAGAGTCGAGATGGTGACTGTAGGAGAGGATAGAAGAAATAAAATGAAAGCGCACTCGGGTCAAGCGAAGAGAAGAAGGGTTTCAGGTGAGGGGGTAAAGGGGCCGATCCTAAGTGGGGGCACTCCGTTGATGACTCTCTTTCCTTGTTTCTCTTTTCCAAGCACTCCTTGTACACTTTTGATTCCTTCGAACTGGCGAGAGATGCCAGGGGTTAGGTTTGCGGGAAAAGGAAAAAAGGGAAAAAAGGGAAAGGAAGAGAAGAAAGAGGAAAGCAAGGTAGAAAAAAGAGGACGGAGAGGCGCACGGGGAGATAAGAAGGCGAAAGTGGAGGGTGGGGAGGGAAGAGGTTTGTTTGCCTGGGATTGGACTGAAGGGAACGACGCGCGGTTGGCCATTTGGGCTGTTGGGCCGGTTTTTTGGGCTGCTGGCCTTCTGTCTGGTGCCACGACTGGACTCCACTCTCACTGAAGGAACTGCATGGACGAATAAGGCGGACGAACTAGAATGATTTTCCTGTCCCTAGCCGTCTGCTTATTTGTTTATTGGGGAGAAGAAGGCGAAAATTTTTGTATGGAGTCAAAGTTTTACTTTTTTCTTCTCTATTTTTCTTTTTCCTTCTGACTCTATAGTTTGTTGAACCATTTTTATTCAGAAAAATGTACAATTCTAGCGTTGTTTACTTCTCTCCCTTTTCATCGGGGGGGTTTTTTTGGGACCCATCAAAGGAACCATGGGAGACTCCCTTCAATGAGCAGCCAGTCCTTGGCCAGCCTCACTCACTTTGTCTCTCTCTTTTTGTCTCTCTCTTTTTGTCTCTCTCTTTTTGTCTCGCTCCACCATGCAATAACTAATTGCTTCATTTTTTTTTTAGGTGAGGCACAGGAGATCAATAACATCCTATATCCCAAAAAAGAAACATAAAATCAATAGAAAGTTATTTTTCAAGGAAAATAAAAAGTCAAAATCCAATCAACAGACAAGGGGCGGTGTCTCTCGCCCATTGACTTCAATTCGGTTGTAAGATTCTTCGAAGTCACACAGAAACTGTCGCAGAATACGTACGTCCAGCGCAAGGATGGCGGTACTTCTCGAGCTGAGGTGGACTCAACAACTTCCAGAAGTAAATCAACGATGGAAGAACGAGGTATATCCTCATCTTATGATTCAGTTACACAAAGCGTGTTACCCGGTTTTTCTTTCAACTCTTTTTTGCATCTGCAACATCGCCTTCAGAAAAAAAATTACTTTGTAGGTCCTCATCCCCAGAGGCCAAGTGGTGTGTTCCGGTGACTTGCCACTCAAAGCGCATTGTCACTGACACACCACGAAGAGTAACATCCTCCTCCTACCTACGGATTACCACTCACATCATCCCAGTACCTGAACAACCAGTCAAGGGTAACTTTCGTTGCCGAAATATTGTCCAGCCAGTCAGAAAGAGGATAGTCAATGATGTTGGGTAGGAATGCGTGGCGGGTTTTTGGGCAGTCATTCGTTCATTACCCGCTGACACTAAGACATCCTACACTATGAACTAGTCTCTCCATACGGGCCCTGTCAAACGCTCCGCCGTAAAATCATTTCTCGATCCAAGGCTCGAGCCCGCCCGACCCGCTACCCGGAGTGGAGGATGCCTACCCATTCTTCTGGCTCCAGTTCAACATAGGGTGACTAATGGATTTCTTTCTCGAAATTAACAATTAACTATGAGCCAGCTTTCCATCACTAACCGAAGATTATACACACACACACACCTGCGGTTACGGGTACCATGACCAGTACAGTAGCCATTTCCGGCCAGCTGCATGATCGCTCTCCTCCCTTTCTATCCTAGTCAATTCCGCCACCGACCACTTCTGCAGGTTAGAGTATCCATCTGATCGGAAGCCCAGCCTTCCATCCCCCCAAGTTCCCCCTCTCCTCCCCTCCTCCCTTCACTAGACTGTGGAGACTGGCTTGAAGCCTCACCTATTAGCCAGTTAGCCGCCGGTATCTATCTCATTGAATTTACTTTATTATTGCTATTTTATTCTATTTTATTGTTATTTTAGTCGAAGGTCTTCTGGGCGAGTTAAATAAGGCCCTTCCGGTGATTACGCTCTTCCCTACATCTGCTGATGCCCTGATACGAATCGACGTTATATGCAGCGGTGAGTCCCAGAGGGTGGATCCTTTCCGTTGATGCCCGAATGATATCCGTCCAGGTGTCCTTCCGCTGCTGCATGGGGGCGGCGCTCGGTACGGTAGCTGCATCTAACCTAGTTGTCTCGCTGGGGAGCAGGCAGACCCAGGCGATGCGGATGCAGACTGTATCCCGTTATTGAATGTCTTCCATCTTGCCTCACCGGGCGATCACCAAGCTGAGGGTGCCTAGATGGAGATGCTAGAGAGGCTACGGTGTCACCTCAGTTCTACTTGATATCTAGCCCGCAGAACGCAAAATTTAGACTTGGGCCATTGGGAAGCCTCAAATCGACTCAATCATGCATGAGAGCGACCGTCTGACGCCCCGAAAGACTTTTCTCGTTTCGAAACATACGATTGACCTGCTTTTGACTGGCCGTCCTGGGACCTGGCGGATACACCCTTTGCCTAAAGGAAAGGGCATGATGCTCATGGGCTAAAAGCTGTTGGGGTCCATGCGTCATGATATCATGACGCCTCTATCCGATCAAATCCAAGACGAACTCGTGATGACTGACAAGAGTAGAACGCCATTAGTCTGTCGACTGGTTGTCGGCTCTCAACCGTTATCATCGTTTGTAGTCCCATCAAGTGTTTGCGGTGTCAACTGATTCATCGCATTGTGTTCGATATGCCCGAGAATCTCTCCTTTTGCCTTCGGCCGCGTTGCAAACATCGAGTCAGATGGCCAGGACTGCTGGAACTTTGTGCGAACATAAACAAATGACATCCTGTTACTCCCTGTTTTTTGGCCATGGCGAACGCAGGTGGCTTTTGTAGTAGGGATTGCAACACTTACAGCCATTTCCAACCCCGATGCCATGCCCTCAACACCTTCCGATTGCTTCAAAGCCGGAATACTGAAACATGGTTGCACTGTATAAGAAGAATTGGAGAAGAGTGTCACATTTTCACATATTGGACCACATAACTCTGCAACGATCCAGGATTGTCCGATACCAATGATACCTCGGACCGCTCCCGCGATAAGAAGGCTGGTGTCTAACCAATGGGGGACTTTAACAAATTGGCCGAGAGTCGGCTTCGAGAGCCACTGACCAAGTTATTCATAGCGATACTCGATTGATTTGCACAGTCGAAATGCGGGTTGTTATATTGCCACACCAACCTTGCAACCCCTCCGAGTCAAATCACGGGTGGGAGTAAACAGAGAAAGTAAACACCCTCAACACCATGGCTACCTGGATTATGATACTTTAGTGAAAACTGCACGCTTTAGCTCTTATCTAAACCATTCGTCTTTTCCCACTCTTGCAGCAATGGAAAGCCTAGCGATGTAGTATACGTGCGCTTATACTTGTTTTGCGAATAAGACAAAGGAATTTCCCTAGTATTGTTGGAGACCCTTGACAGTAATTCTTTTTTAAGCCATCTGGGCTAGTCATTTAGCTAGCTATTATGTTTATTCACCACTGGACCATATATACGTAAATCCGTTGTTTTCCCCCGGCTTCGAAGGCTAAGAATCTCAGGCTGCTTTGCGCGCAGTTGACTATTTGTATGTGATTATCGAGACTCTGTCACTTTGTCATTTATTTAGGCTTCAAATTTTGTAAGTGACAAGCAAGTTGTGAAAATATCAAGTTCATGCAACATCCCTTCGTCCTTGCGGTTGGTAGGAGGTTATATCCTGAGTCTAAACCGTCTCCAATACTCGTAAGTTTGGTGGTTCAGTCCTGACCACAAAGCGACCAGTTCAGCCTAAAGGTAAACCATAGGAACCACCCATCGCCGGAGACCGTGTTTCTGTCGGCCAAAATGATACATTTGAACAAATGGATTTGTGATGAACATACTGTAAGAATTCGGAATCATAAGTAACTACTTAAAATCTTGTGGGTCTGAACCCAGTGTCTGTCAGATATGAATTTAACACTAAACTATATTCGTACTAGCTCACGGCATCCAATTGGCTGCTAGGGCGACAGTCCGGTTTTATACGATGGATCAGCGATCTTCAATCTCTCGACACTGTTTTCCGATGGTACAGCAGAGACTGCACGCGTTCGCGGCGCCCCGATTTCCTATAACCCGTCCATAAAGCCAGCATGACACCGGAACAGTCATTATCGATATGCCGCGTTCTTCCCCAGACCCTTTCGTTGCGTCCCCTTCCTCCCCGAGCAACCCCGTGAAGAAACATTCCTGCTACACCTACCGCCAACTGCAGCTCCTTCGGCAAAGTTCGACAGCCTCTCCGCTCCGGGTAATCGCCCATGTTGATCTGGATGCTTTCTACGCTCAATGCGAGATGGTGCGGCTGCAAACGCCGCGAGAAATACCCCTCGCAGTCCGGCAGTGGGACTCGCTTATCGCGATCAACTATCCAGCGCGAGCTTTTGGGATAACCCGGATGATTTCCGCGAAGGAAGCGCGAAATCTTTGTCCGGAAGTTGTTTTGCAGCATGTTGCTACGTTCCGAGAAGGCGAAGGTGGGAAATGGGCGTACAGGGATGATGCTTATAAGAGGATGAATACGGATAAAGTGTGTTTGGATCCGTATCGGGCGGAATCTCGCAAGATCTTGAAAGTTATGAGGGAGGATCTGGCGAGGTGGTATGCAGATCTGGTAGAGGGAGAACAGGGACTGGGTCCCCAGGTTCAGATACAGCAAGCGAACGTTGAAAAAGCCAGCGTCGATGAAGTTTTCATCGATTTGTCCCCGCTGGTTTATGGAGTCCTTCTTCAGCGGTATCCAGAATTACGGAACGGACCTGATTGTGATGACCGTATCGCTTTGCTGCCCCGCCCTCCTACAACGGCGCTGGAATGGAACCAGGGTGATTGCCTAGTAGATTTAGATGATAACGAAACGGAGGTGGATGATCCCGATTGGGATGATATTGCAATGCTTATAGGGTCCGAAATTGTTCGATCGGTTCGCACAGCTGTCTGGGATAAACTGAGATATACGTGCTCTGCAGGTATTGCAAAGAACAAGATGATGGCAAAACTGGGGAGCTCCAGTAACAAACCGGACAAACAGACCATTGTGCGCAATCGTGCCATCCAGAAGTTTTTGGCGGGCTTTAAGTTTACCAAAATACGAATGCTTGGGGGCAAACTGGGGGATCAGGTTACGGCTCTATTTGGGACCGAGCAAGTCAGCGACCTTTTACAGGTTACGGTAGAACAGTTCCGGGCCAAACTGGATGATGATACTGCTAATTGGCTATATGGAATCATCCGCGGCGAGGATCGGAGCGAAGTCAACCCCAGGACACAAATTAAATCTATGCTATCCGCAAAGTCTTTCAGACCGAGTATCAACTCCATCGAGCAGGCGGAAAGGTGGCTGCGGATCTTTGCAGCCGATATCTATGGACGTCTTGTGGAGGATGGTGTGCTTGAGCACCGACGCCGTCCGAAGACTATCGCTCTGCATCATAGGCAAGGTGCACAGGTTCGCTCTCGCCAAAGCCCCATTCCTGGCTCAACGCCGATCGACGAAACATTACTTTTCGAACTCGGTAGGACATTGCTCCGGCAAGTTATCGGTGATGGACGTGCCTGGCCTTGCGCAAATTTGTCTCTGAGCGTCGGTGGGTTTGAAGATGGGGTTGGCAATAACAAAGCAATAGATTCATTCCTTCTCAAGGGAGACCAGGCTAAGTACATCGGTCATTCTGCAAAGGACCGTGCTACAGAAAGCCTACCAGAGATGCTAGAACCAAGTGAGAAACGGAGAAAAGTTGAGGAAGATGGCATAAAACGCTTCTTCAACCAAGCTCCCGGAATCAGCACAAAGCAACAGCTGAGCGAAGGTGAATCGGTGATACTCGCGACGGGTCCCGAAGAAAACAGAGAAAGCATGCTTCCATCCGTGGATCCATGTAATACTGAGCTGGCAGGACTGGCGACGGGATTCTATATTTGTGATCGTTGCGGCAATTCGGTACCGGACGTTGAGAGGAACGAACACGATGACTGGCATTTTGCTAAGGAGTTAGAAAGAGAAGAAAGGCAAGCAGCCATGAGATCCCAGCAAACAGCACGCCCGCCAAATAATACGAGATCCTCTAGCGCTCGCGGCAGACCTGGCCGTAATAATCGGGGTAAACCTGAGAAAGGGCAAAGGCGTCTCGCCTTCGGATAATGCCATTGAATTCGACTCGCTTATCCCTCCTAACATCTAGATCGGCTGGGCGAACAAAAAGAATTTTTGCTCATTCAGGCGAGCCTGATTTCCCCGAGGTTTGTCTGCGCCTGTTCCAGTCGTTGGGCCGGGGGGGGGGGGGAGATAACATGCTATTGTCTCTTTTCCCCCTCTGGCTGATACTAGCGGATCTCATCGTTCAACAAGATCGCATCGTAGAGCTATGTGAAAGGTTCTTAGAAACACGTGCTGCACCATTAACATATCCGTTGGGATCATGCTTCGTAAATTTCGCTGAGGATCTCACACACAACAAGGGAAAGCACTAACACCAGCAAACTCCAATCGATAAAAATAACTATCGGAGTTCTTAGCTGAAAGCCGTAGGCCCATGTCAACCATGGTTCCAGTGCAGCCTTAGTTTACTGGAGAATCGAACTTACTGACAAGCTAAGGAGATCCCAACTGTTTGGAATTGAAAAGCATTGCAATCAACATGGGTTGTCCAATTGGTGGTGGTTTTGCACTTTTAGGTCCCGTCTCTGCAGCGGTGACATCAGCAAAACCAGCCGCGGGGTTGAATTTCAATCCAAACCAACAGTCATTGTGATTTGATGTTTCAGTTCTTTCTCTCACCTACCATATTTGTGCACGTGTCTCACTTTTATCTCCCTACACCTGGACTTCAGAACATTCCCTATACCTTGGAATCACCAGAAGCTTCCGAGTTCTTATCTACTGTACAATCGGTCTCTCTGCACACCAAGCCCCTCACAGGACGGGTGTAGCAGAAATGTCCAATGAAGGCACCCAGTAACGGTCTCTAGCTCCACTTCTTATTTTTCTTTTCGGCCAACCTGGATAATTTGTCTTATTTGCTATCCAATTCCTTGGTTACACCATGCCTCGGCGACACCATGTCCGTGATTACGACGAGGACATGTACGAAGTGGAACGGGACCATTATCGTCATAAGCACCAACACCGACCTCGAGGTGGGCGTCGTTACAAAGAGGAAGTACTTTATGAACAACCTCGAGCGCCAAGCCCTCCACCAGTCGATGAATTTGACCGTCTTCGCATTCGAGATAATCCAGGACCTGAATTGATCCGCGAACCCCCTCGTGAGACATCGAGGGAGTTCCGGAAGGTTAGAGATGACACGTTCAAAAGTCGGCGGCCACGTCGAAGAGAAATTATCGAGGAGGAAGACTATGTCTCTCAAGATGAAGAGTTAACTAGGAAGATGACGGAAAGTGACTCCGAAGGAGAGATTCCTATCATTCCAAGCAGACGTTCTGCGCCGCACCGCGGTGATGTCCGCGACGAGTTCTCGAAACATGGAACTCGTCGCTCAGAATATGAACGGGACTTACCACCCAGCATCGATGATTTAAAACACGAATATAGAAGAACCCTCGGTGACCCTCGTTACCATGCACTGCCGCGGTTACGCCCTGGATCGGGTCCTGTCACGGACCTTGATGAGGACGAATATGAACAGGAAGATGAGCTTTTATTCCGAAAAGAGAGGCGAAGAAGGCATCCAAACAAACTTGACCTCCAACAGAACGATCAAGACATGTCATCCCTTGAATCAGAAGATTCTGCGGATGTTTCTCTAGATCAGGTGCCCATACATCACAACTTAGCGAAGCGGCATATGCATAGCCCGGAAGGTGGGCTAGTGAAATGGCTGAGACTGTTATCGCATTTATTGACCTATTGATAGGTTATCACATACCCCGTCCTCCACGTCCGCCCCGTGCACCTAGTCCAGAAGTTAGTTTTGAGAAGCCTAGGAAGGAAACGTCAAGAAGCACATCCCTTGAAGAGATACTCGTTGAGGAACGTGGTGGGCCGGAGCCCCCAATCCTGGCACGGGGGCCACCCGCAGAACCTTTATTCCGGCAAAGGCAGGAAGGCTTTCCAATCCATCGATCCCGACCAAGGTCTATCGAACGTGAGAAAGAAATATCCATTCACGAAGTTACGCCAAATGGCGGGCGCATGCTCGACGAACGCGAAGTAGCGGAAGAGGTCTATAGTAGACCTCGTGAGCTTGAGCGGCCTATACGGGAAAGTACCCCCAAAATGGCCGGAGAGGACTGGGCAATTGTCACCGCTGCCCCTAAGGCAGATCGAGAAGCCATTCTAGATGATATTCCTCAGGGGGGTAAAGAACCCCTCACCAAAGACAGAAAGCCTAAATTCACTGTAAGTGAAGAAAGACATTCGGAAAGTGATCCGGATTTTGCACGGGGCAAAGTAGGGCGACGATATATAGGGATGAAAGACCAACGAGATGGGCTCTGGACGGAGATCACCAAAGATCTCGTGGTGAGGGAAGCAATTGAAAAGTCAGGATATGAATACGAGGAAACAGTGTCTTCTTATTACGTATTTTCATACCTTCAATTCGTTAGTGAACCTTCCTCTCGCTACGAATCCCTCAACTAACAGATTCGCACAGGAAGATGTTTCTGCTCTGGTTGACTTATCAGAAGAAATTCGTCGCGCACGCCGACGACGGATCCAGGAGATCCATCGTGGGAGGACCTCTTTACCTCCTCCCCCACCCCCTCCAGTACCACCAGCAGCAATGCCAGGGGATCGGCCATTGATGCTAGACAGGCCGGCTTCTCCTCCCTTCCGTCATCGCGAAGAGCGACGGATAAAAGAACGCAATCTAGTTGACGACCGGCGTGGGAGGCCTCATTCGGGCAGATGGTGAAATACTTATCTGCCCACACAGGTAGCTTATTTGGAAGGCCGGTCTTTCATTGCATTTCCTTTGATCTTTAGCTATCATGATTAGATGACACGACGGATACTACTCTAGGTTTCCCGAAACAGCTGTTTAGATACTGCTATCATACTTTTGAGAGACCACCTGAATGACTTATAGATAAATATCATCTCTCCTTCAGTAATTTAGTTCATATGTGCAATTTTCACATAAGCTGTAGATGATGACATGGATTGTAGGAATGGTTATTAATAGCTGGCACGTGCACTCTGGATGATGACTTATCGATAGTCTAGACCGCCAAGCCCTCGATCGCCTTTTAAGGCGAAAGTTTCAACCTGCAGGAACATCAACTGAACAACGAACCAACCAGAATTGCCCATTAAGAACGGAGATAAACTTCCAAGACACTATCAATATCAATGTCTAGCTCTCCTCAAGAGCCATCTCGAAATAGAGGCCGGCCTCGCAAGGCTTCAACCGCGACACCAGACACGGTGAGCTGTGTAGTACTCGCTCCTTGGCCCCTTTCTCATGGTTGGCATAGGTACGACGAACCCAGCTTCGAGAAGCCCAAAGGGCCTATCGATCCCGGCAACAGTCGCTGCTTGCCACGTTGAAATCTCGAGTTGCTATACTAGAAGATGCATTCGGACAGCTTGGTCAGATCATGGATTCGTTTGACTCTCGAGTCGTCAAACCAGGCGCTCAATTGTCCCAAGCTCAACTATTACAGGCTGTGAAGCTTCTGCAGAATGAGATTTCCTTCCAATTAAGGAGGGCTGGTTGTCATGCCTCGCCCAATGAAGACAGCTGCAGTCCAACTTCCCATAATCAGAACCACCAACAGACTAGGAACAGGCCGTCTTCCAAGCCTTGTCAGGGCGACAAAGCAACTACAGGTGGCCCAGCATGGACCAAAGAAAAGGCACAATCGTCTGATTTCTGGCGTCGCTTCTTGGGCTCATCTAATGGTTTTTTGCCACCGGTTAAGCCTATTGATCATGAATCCAGCCCTTGCATTAGTCTTCCTTTGTCTATAGATCGTGATAATCACACTATAGTATACGCGACCACGACATTCACACAAAGGCTCTATCGCACCTCCGCAGAAAACGGATACCGGTACCTGAACAACGCCACCGTGGTAGATGAGGACATGTTGCCGCAATTTGGGCTTGTTTCGCAATCCGTTTCGCGAGAGCAACTCCGAGTTTACTTTGGGCGAGTACTGCGAACGAGACCATGTAATCCAGTCTATGACCGTCGATTTCCATTCATAAGTCTTGGCGGCGCCGGAACGCACTTCCCACAGGCAACACAGGGCTCTCGTTCTCAGAACCTGCTTCCGTTTCGTACGACAAATGGCGTGCTGGAGCTCCCCAGTGATGAAGAGTGGTTCGATGTCAATGATATCGAAGGGTTCTTGATCGAGAAGGGTATCGTACTTAAGGAGAATTACCTAGCCTCGGTATTATCAATATCTCGTATGGACGGCGATTCAAGCATGACGCACAATTTGCCACTTCAAAGTGGTAACATTGTTGATTCTTCTGGCCTGTTTATACCTGATCAATCTACCCCTAGTAACATGGTTATGGTTCTTGACGAGGATCCTGTCATCGATGGTATGTTACCTACGGTGTATACAGCCCATGGCCTCGTACCGGCTTTTACTGAATTATATTCTAGGACTAAGTCGACTCTGTATCTGTCTTGGTTGCGTTGCAGGATTTCGTCGATCCGATGTCGAGACTCTGGTATGGCAGAATGTGACATGGAAACCCGTCTGATTAGCGGGCCGTACGAATGTTTCTGAACAAGCGCTCCACGTCCAGAACCAATGACGTACAGCTCAGTATTCCTATACAATGTCCCCATTCCTATGACAATTCATGGATAGTGAAGAGGAAAAGCAAGACTATTGACAGATATAGAACCAACTTGTTTATCTTGACCATGCCCGTTGCGGTATAACAGCGATGTTTCCATTTCGTCTTTTTCCATAGTCGATACGTCGATACTCAGCCACTGGAACGACACGACGGGGAATGACCGACTGTTCAACTATGCTGACGGAATTCCTTCGGCTCGTTATCTGTTTACGCTAGTTCTAGGTCGCTGCTGCGGTTGCACCTGGTTCAACTCCGAAGTACCCTATAGCAATTGCGGCCAACGCTGGCAACGAAAAGACATTCGAAATTCGGACTCGGTGTATACCCCAACACTAATCCAGCCCAACAGAAATGTTGAAGCAGTTACCAGAAGGAGATCATTTTGAAGAAAACCCAATCTGCCAAGGTCGCGGCAGGTGCAAAAACGTCCACTGGGAAGAATAGGTGGGTGAGGGAGGGCTTGTCCAAAAGCAAGCAGCTGAGGATTGAGGTCAGGTCAGATGAGAACAGGCCGATATGCCCCCCATCGTTGTGTAAAGAACACACAGGTGGGTAGATCAAGATCAGCTCTCTCATCAGCTGATAGCGTCTTGGTTTTGCTCTGTCTTCGATCTATCCATTTGATTGCCCGGGACAGTATCTCGGTTCCGATAACAGCAAAGACCGGCGCTGGATGCCACCCAGTGACTATAGCCTGACGCGCCTGTGCTTCTCCAATGGGAAAAAACAAAAGCATTGTAGGAAGGATATATACTGCCGCCACTGCGGGGAGGATGGCTTTAGCTGTCGACTCTGCCAGAGTTCTAGTGACCAGTGAAAAGTAGGATATCCTAGCTGTAACGAACATGTCTATCATGGAAGAGAATGAGGCGATCAATCCAATTCCACGAAGCTGGTACAGAACGGCCCATAAACTGGGCTTGTAGGAAAAGATCAGAAACAATTGAAACACGAAATTTCGATGCAATCCATACCTTGCTAGAAGGGTCCATTTATTCCTTGGTCGATAGCCCTCCACCGTGAAAATGGAGGTTAGAGCTAACATTGACACCAAGAAGTACAACAGGTGTAAAGCTTGTTCTGGTCTGGATGGACCTGCAACCACGGACAGAAAGATGGTTACCAGGGACTGGAGGATCTTGTTGAGAGGCCGAAATTGGGTATATTTCGGTGAATAGGAACCTCCATCACTCCCGACTTTACCGACTGGTTACGGACTGCTTGACAGACCAATGCTCGTGACCCATTGGTTGTGGCGGCAGCGAAGTAATCGGAAAGCGACAAAAGCAATGAGGAGATATCCTGCGTATGGCAGAAGTCCAATGGTCGTCCCTCAGGCTGTCGGAGCCCTGAGCAGCTCAATGTGAAAGGAATACCTCTTGACCTCTTTGGTATAGGGAGCATGTCTAATGAAACTGCTGAAATATGTCGCGGTCGAGTTATCCATTATCGTTTGTAAAGGGTAGTAGGGGGTGATATATTTTGTTATCAACTTCAACAGCGGAGTTTCCTTGCACTCCAAATGCTTCCGAGCATGGGAGGCTTTAACTAAGCTCCACATATGTTCTTCGCGTTGGCATTAGACCCTTTCAAAAGCGGATGAAATGTCTGCCGTTGATAAAGATCGAGGCGGCAGTTTCAATCGCCGAGTTTCCTCCTTGTCCTGTCAGGGGCTCGAACTGTTTACGGCATCTCAATATGGAAATCACCTCCAAGTCTCTAGATAGCCGAGGTCCTCAACTTATGACAAGAATCGCCAATGATAATAGTTCTTTGGAAATACCATCTTTTATAGATATACTCGGGTAGACTGGTATGCACCGAATTGGTCTTGAGCTTGTACAGATCTGAAAACCTCAACGTTGGAGTAATTTGATCGTTCTCGCGTTCCTTCGCCAAAGCCTCCTCTTCTTTGAGAATCGAGGATATCTGGTCCACACGCCGTTTTCCCTATGTTTCTCCCCAGGAACTGGCATATCCTTTCCCCAGGTCCACTAGGGACGAGGTACGAGAAATGTTCGTTGCACACAGAACAGAGTGTTCCTTTCTCGATACCGGGGACCCCTTCCGAGATTCCAAATATGCATGCATATGCCGTCGGGAGTCCTGTCCACATAGATGTCAGCGCCTTGTATAAACTAGTGCAAATCGAAGAGGCCCGCACCATTTTCTTCCAATGGTACTATCCATGAAGGCTCCTTTTCCCTGGCTTCTTCCCACATTTGCTTATGTACTGTCGAATGGAATCCATCTGCTCCATCGACAATATCACCCATGTAGGATTGACCTGTTTTGGTAGTGACAGTGACACAGGATGGATCAGTTCGGATAGTCTGAACTCTGAGAAGTGAGCACCTTCATCTTTAACTTGGAACTTGTAGAGAATCTCGATCATCAGATGGTCGAAAAAGATGACTAGATAACCATAGCGGGGGATTCGTTGTCAGATTGATAGGCATGATAACAAATCTATAGGAGTACGGCTCTACAAACCGTCCAGACGTATACTGGTTATAGTTCTCAATGGACAGGAGTGGTCTTCCACAAGAATCACGAATGAAGACCTTATCCGGTGGGTAATCAGCCATCTCCATAACCGTCTCATGTAGCATCCCAGTTGGTCAAGGTTGCGTAGACCGTTCGGCAAGAGGCCAATACTTGCACCGACTTGGGGCGCAATGCTGAGATAAGCCTCCAGAACCAGAAGTCCATACCATTCTTCTCTAGCATCAGGGCTAGGGACAGACCTGCGATGCTACAGCCAGCAATGATAACCTTGAAGGATTTAAAAGCCATGGAGAAGGCCCTTATATTGACAATGAACAACGATTGCAGTGCTCTACTCCATGTAGTGAAGACCTCATATTTATATTTTCAGCCAGATGGCCACTGAATTCGCATAAACTAGGCTCATTTCCTCTCCCCTCCCGCTTCTATTCTTTCATGCCCATGCTTTTCACTGTATCGCGTAACTGTAATAGAATCATCGACCATAGAGAGCCGGAATAATTCTCTGAATAATCAACAATCAGCCCAATCAGAGCGATAGATTTCCACCGGGCCGGACGAACCAATCGACCCGCAAGACAGAGCCCTAATTATCATCACCTTATCGATCTTCAAATGTCTAACTCACTGCTATATTTAGTTTGCCTAGTAATTGATTTGACTCAGTACCTAAGCTTCCCAGCCGGTGTTTCAAACTGGCGTTTCGCGTAGCTCTTAAGTCCAACAGTCGAGTTCATGCAACCTTATCCCCCAACCCGTTGTATCAGCTGACATCCAATAACCCAGGCTACGCTCGTCCGAAAGGCCTACACCAACTACCTGCCCCCAACCATTTCCTCTTCTAATTCCACTTCGGAAATCTTTAGGCTTCTCAAGGAAGAGCTAGAGGACATACCCCAGGGGTGCAATCTGGCAACCCGGCTGCCTCAGTCAGTATGTATACCTTCACTTCAGACCTGAACATCAACCCCGTCGAAACATCACAGCTTTGAGCTACACATGAAAGCGATCTGTCCGAACAGGTCCAGCATTACCGTGAATTGGACGCTAGGTTTAAAGTCGAAGTTCAAGAGAAAGCTGGTTATTATTGAGTTTGGAGCCTGGAAGAATGCAATGAAGACGTTGTCGAGCTTATTAATGAAAGGAATAGGTGTACGGGCGTGCAAAGTGTTATTGTTGCCGTGAAAGTAAGCAAACAACTAGAGAGTTTTCTCTTTCCCGCTAGTCTAGCTTTTTTGGCCCCAACCATTTGGGCGGGTTTACTATTTATTGGGGGCTGAAGGTATAGACGGCTGAAGAGTCGCTGGCTGTTCGAGGATTGTGGCATTCTGGTGAGGTTCGAGTAAACGCTGCCCTAATTTGCGGTGCTGTTGTTGCAGTGATTGGACTTCAAGCGTTTTATGATACTGTCTAGGTGAAACGGAGTGAACGATATCTGATCAGGGAAGACAATGTTCTCGACTTGAAGCTTGTCTAGGACCATGGGATATTTAGGAACCAAGGTGACAATGGGGCCACACGAGGCGTTGGCTTTCAGGGTGTGGAGACTTTGGGACATTGGAGAAAGGTAAGTCCCAAGTTCGCGTCAATTAGGAGACTCTTGTTTTGGTTGGTAGATCTCTTCTCTGCACCGGCACTAATAGTATATTATAGTATGCACTATTTGATTTAGGGGGTGGAGGGCTTTGGGAAAGCCACCGTATGACTGGGTGAACATGGATCTTCACCCACTTTAGAGACGAATATGTTGCAGAGCACCAATATGATCATCTTTGTAAGCTTCAATACTGTCTACTGTCCTGATTTATAATAAAGCTGGTTTCTGTGTTGTTCTCCGGGTATAAGCACGCTAAGTCCGATGCTTAGAAATTCAGGAGCACGACCAAACGAGATACTTAAGATGATACGAATACCTTTAGGGAGTGAAACAAGACAAAGGCTCCAGGGAAACGAAAAGCACGCAAGATTCATCAAAATGACCTCTACCAAACTCATCGTCGTTCTCGGTGCCACCGGCAACCAAGGCGGATCTGTCATCAAGACCTTCCTCAAGGATCCTACCTGGCGTATACGGGGTCTAACCCGGAATGTCTCCAGTGAGAAGGCTCAACGCCTTCAAGCACAGGGTGTTGACATCATGAAGGCGGATTTGGATGATCCCGCTTCTCTCACAGCAGCGTTCCAGGGAGCGACGGTCATCTTCAGCGTGACCGATTTCTGGAATGCGTTTGCGAGCATTGCCCAGAGCGGCGAGGACAAAGGCCAGTCGATGATAAAGCGGACATATCAGTATGAGCTTCAACAAGGAAAGAATGTTTTTGACGCTGCGGCAAAGATAGCGACGTTGGAGAGGCTCGTTTTCTCTAGTCTGTCTAATGCCTCGAAGTGGTCGAAGGGCAAGTATACGCACGTGCTGCATTTCGAGGCGAAGGCACATGCAGCTGATTATGGCAAGGAGACGTATCCGGAGCTCTGGAAGAGGACTAGCGTTGTCCAGGTCGGGTGGTACCTGTCGAACTTCCTTGGTTCATTTTTGAAGCCCAAAAAGGTCTGTTGAGATCTTGGAACGACAATCATCCGAGAGGCTTGTTTTGCTAATGGAATATTGCAGACTGATAATGGAGTTTACCAATTTGTTGGCGGTCTGAAGGGAGATGTTAAGCTTCCAATTATTGCAGCCGAAGATGATACTGGTCCAGCTGTAAAAGCTCTCGTGTTGAGTCCGCCAGGAAAGAATCTCATTGCCTACCGGGAGTGGATGACGCTGGATGAATTCGTCCGTACCTGGAGTCGTACACTCGGGGTTCCTGCTGAGAGTGTTACCCTGCCTGAAGGTCAGTCTATCGAGGGTGCACCGGAGATGTTGAAACAGGAGTTCCTAGACAATTGGGGATACTGGAATGAGTTTGGCTATGAAGGGCGCGATGACCCGACTGTTGTCCACCCGAAACAGGTATGTTCTACTGAGAATCAGTTATTGAGTAGTGCTGACATGACATAGCTTGAGGTTGGCTTTGAGCTTCCCACTGTAGAGGAGTGGATTAAAAAGCAGGATTGGTCGGAGATATTGTAGGGTGCTCGTGAAACTACCTGCATTTTAAACATCCTGGTTAGGGGAGCTAAGAGTTGTTTGTAGTCATCCTGGAGCTGTGTCTGGCTGAAGATACTCTGTTGATTTATGGACAGATAATACTTCTCATGTGAATGATATATCATAATATGAATGACTATTGTTCTAATGTCACCTACAAGATTAACTGCTTCTTTCTACCTCACATTTCACCTTGAACCAGCTCTATCTATTCTTGAATATCGTATCAAACCTTCACAGTTGCTGAATATACATAATCTGCTATGCTCCTCAGAAGTTTTGACAATAGTGTTCATGTCCTCATAGACTTTTCACCTGTTTTCTCACACGGGTTGGACCAGATCATTTACCCCCGATCTTGACTTACTCCCAATAGCGAGTTTACCCAGAGCGCGGCAACTAAATGGACAAAAACAACGCACCTAAGTAATGATAGAGCCACGTGTTAACCACTAAACAGAGCTAGAAGTTGTACTAGAGAGCTTGAATGAAGATACCATGCCCTGTGATAGATAAGACAAGTACACAAATAGTAGAAGGGAAAGTTTAGCGCGCAGAGTAGTATATTTGAGATTAGAAATCAAGAAGAATTTGAGTTCTAATGACAATTCTTTGGTTATTAATTTGACTAGTTAACAAAGCAGAGAAATAATTTAATATAGTATGCTAATATTGAATAACTATTGGTCCATTACTTCAAACCACAGACGTATATATACCTCTTCGGCAGCCAATACCTTTGCCTCTTCACAAATGCATATACATACAATCACCACACATTACTTTCTCCTCCACTAGCATGAAAATACCCCTTCTGCACAACATAGCTTAGGGATATATTTCTAGTCGAATCTATCAAACTAACGCATGAAGCAAGCGAGTCCCTGCAAGAAAACACCCGCTCTACCCGCACATCAAGCACCTACCCTACCCTACAGACGCAGACCTAAAAATATATTCCACAACTTCCTCCATATGCCAGACAATGGCAAACAAAGACACCTCTGACCACCAAATCAACCCTCGAGAACCCCCGTAGATACAGACACACGCGCAACTTCCAAATCCCACCTGCACGACGCATCCAGCCCCCGGTAGCCCATGCCGTGATCCGTGCTACAACATCCAGCTGGACACGTAGAAGCTTGCGGCTGAGAGACGTCGATGTTTGACAGCAGAAGCATCGACTACAGAGATCGAGTACCCACATACCTGTCCGCATATCCCCCGTTGATTCCTCAGGCGACAAAAATAAAAAGAAGGGGGAAAAAAAGCTAACACCCACTAGTAGCACCACGAAACCATAAGGCTGACCTGACCTGGTCATCTCGCCACCGGCCGATCAGGTACACCCCGAAAGTTGAAACAGGAGTACCCGACACAGCCCAGGGCACGTCAAGTACGGAGAGCGGAAGCGCATCTTCGAGCACAAACCGATCCTGGGTTTGTAAGCGATGGGATACTCCGTACACCCCGGAGTTGGTATGACTCGTCTTGCATTGTTATATTAAGTGGAGATTTGCCAAGGCAGATCGGATCCGTGAATGATATTGTTATGATTGTTGTTGTTATTATTATTAGACCGGGGGATGCTTGGGTTGTATTCTCCATTTCTATGGTGGGTGTAACTATGTATTGTTGATTATATAATGTATGTATTGTAAGTAACTAGCTGTTTGCTTGATTGTCTCATTGAGTGGTGTAAGGAGGGTTACCAAATATAGGCTGAGAAATTTGGTGCTTTGTATTTGGGATTTGTTACTGGTAAGGAAACGCCACAGGGAAATAGATAACCAGGTTAAATTAAGTTCCCACCCGAATGGATCACGGACACGGGATGATCCTAAATATAAGTAATTATTTGTTTTTGTTGCTGCTATTTTTGTTGATGGGGACTGGGTAGAGAAAGGGAATATTCCTTTGTTCTTTCTTCTATTTATGCATTGTTAGAGATATGGTGTCTCTTTCTAGAGAATACTAGTAAAGCTACACTAGACTAGATAAATATGTATATATATATAGGTTTATATGGTCATATATTTTTCTTGTTGATCTAGTGATATTTTGTTGTGTGTATTGTTTCATGTTCTTTGATTGGAGGGGTGCTTTGTTTACTTGTTCCTTTTGCGACCGGTCGTGCGGGTTTGATGCAGTCAATTAGGTTCTGTCTGATGCAAAGCAAGGAGATCGGCATTTGACTAATCGAATTCTCACTTTTATTTACATTGCATCAGCCACACCATTATTGGTATTTTTCCGTCACCTAAATACGGGGTACTTACTCTTCAGGGGTTAGTGAGAAACCGCATGTTATTTTCCTTTTTTTTTTTTAACGGGAAGAATGGCCAGAATCTTCGATACAGACCCCTACTATACTCATCCGATCGTTCCATGTCGAGTATCATCAGTCTCTGCATTCTCCGGAGACTCGACATGGTATCGCCCGTGCTAAAGAGGGAGATAGACAAGCTGTGATAATGACAGCCACTAGGTACATACAACTCCTCCATTCCATGTGAACAATGACTCGTATTCCAGAAGGTTGGCCTATGCTGCGGAGACTGGGCGACTACCGATCGTCAACTGTAAACCAGAACTAGAATGGTAGACGAAATTCTCTAATTTAATTGCGAATATCGCGCTTGCATTTCCTGTGAGGACTGTATGGTCCGAGGTGCACAGGTCTGCCTTGTCGGGAAGATGGTTCGCAGGTGACGAACTCTCACCTGCCAGGGCGGAGATCTGAAAGGCGGGGTTTCACCTCTTTATCATTTCGACAGGTTGGTCTTCGTCCGAAGAAATGACACAGATGGTGGGCGTCGTCATCCCCTTAGTTGGATTGCCTTTGGCCAATTCTATTGGCCGTGGCCTGCGACAGATGCCTATCTTAGTCGCACTGTAGTATCTATGATGGTTAGGGCAAGTCCAACCAGATGGACATATCTCAAACCCGCCCCTATGTTAATGTAGGGTGAATATGCAGCCACGGCAGGAGTCATCGCATCATTCCACTGGCCATGTCTAGTCTATTGACTAAAGCGGGGATGAGGTCCAATGCGACCGAGAGGGTACAGACATGTCGGAAAGTTTCGATCTTTTTTTCTTGCTTGTGAAAGGGCAAATGCCACCGCGCATTCTCCGGGAAATATCTATATGGGGGACGACTGGCACATACCCGGTAAAGCTATCTATCTGCTCGATGAAAGGAAGGAGGATCTATGGTTGATAACAAAGGGTTGTTCTTTTGAGATAAGCAATCGGCAATCACATTGATCGGAACAGGCGTCAGATCCCAAGGAGAAAGGATTGACAATGTGTGGATAGCGATCAATGATTGAGAGATCGCGGACCAGCGCCTTCGAACCTTGCAAAGCGGAAGTTGAGTTTAGTCCAGTGTGGGTGTCACATGGCTTGCTTGCCTGTCTGCCCGGATTTCCAGGCCATGATCGGCCCCTTCACGTAACTATGATGTACCCTATTTAAGTGTATCTCGCAACGCGTACCAAAGATGAGAATACCCATGGATGTCCGAAGCCGAAAGGACTGTGTGATTTGCACTTTGCGATTTTACATACCTCGTTGTCCGTGGATCTCGCCGTTGGTGACCTTGGGTTACGGACGGGATAGCCGACCTGAAACCGCACAAGGCCCACCATTATGTATGTTATCTGCGCAATTATAAGCCGCAGCTCCCTTCCATGGATCATAGTCTCCAGGTCCAGCCCGTCCAGGCACGGCCAGAACGGAAGGGAAACAGGAAAGGACAAGAAAAAAAATCCGAGTAAGCATAAGTATAAGGTCAATGACACATTAATCAACATCATACACAGCAATGGATGATTCCGCGCGGCCGTCCTTCTAGACCATCGCCTCCGAGTTGCAACCTCCACTTGACCGAATCCAGTTGAAGACCACAAGTTGTCCTGTGCGGTGGCGGAAGAGAGAGACAAAAAGAGAGGATCCATTGCTGTTGTATTGCTAATGGTAAGTAATACGAAGTTTGGAATGAAGTACCACTTGGTCAATGTTAAGTCGGACGCATGGCTGTCTTGGCTCCGCGGAAGCCAATGAGACCAGCAGGATCTGCGTCCGTGACCGCGTCTCAAACGCTGAATCGTTCGAATATCGAGGTGGCTGAATCGGTAGATCTTAATGATCCAAGGAAAAAGAGAGAAAGAGAAGCAGAGACCAAAGAAAAGAAGATGAGGGAAAAGATGCAATTAGTTAGACAGCTATCTAAGCTGAAGGAAAATGTCCATCAATGGTGGTAAAGTAGGTACTGTGGAATGTTGTGGTATTGTGGTGGTATGTGACGTGACATACAATTGTTTCCCGTCGTGTCAGACAAATGACGCGGCCAAGGTGAAAAGTCTCCCATTCAATGTTGAAAAAATTAAGGTCAACGATAAGGATATCTTTGTGCTTGGATCTTAATGAGTGCAACCAGATCCTTTAGGGTTTCCATACTACTTTAAATGTACGGTAGTACAGGGTACCTTCAACCCCGGATAATTGGTTTGTTTCCCTCCATTCTTTCCTGTGTATAAGGTCCGTCCGTCACTTGGGAATATTTTCCAGCTTCAGGATTATTTCAGTGGTGGCGCCACCTCTCGTACAACGATACGGAGTACTACTAGTAGTATGCACTCCTAACAGCCCGGGGATTTGTATGTACAGTATGTGTGTGTACTGTACCTACAGTCCCCACATATGTAGACCGATATTTACGGGAATAAATTACATTCAAACATTGAAGTTCCTGCTTTCTGCCTAGGAACGTCTTTCAATAAAACCACTCACTTCCTTTTCAGGTTGGCCCTGAAACTACCGCCCTGGAGCAATACAATGAATAGCAGTTACAAAGAATGTCGATAAAGAAAGGATACTTTCTCTTTTTTCCCTTCTCAACTCATTTCAAGGAGTCGTTTCATCATCGATTGCAGGACACCCCAAAGGGATCGGGTAGTGATTACTCGAAGTCATGGCAAAGTCTGTAAATCGAATTACTCCATGGGTAAGTTGCAGCGTGCATACAACTAAGATAGGTAAGGTGCTCTGGGTCTCCACTTCCAAGCGGGTATGCCGGTAATTTACTGTTGTTTATTTCAAATTTATTTTTACTTTTTTTTTTCGGCCCTCTCCCCTTCATACTTTATGACCGATTCACATATTAGGTTAGGGTGGGAGCTGGAGCCTAGATGTATACTGGACATACGTATGCCGTACTATACGACGGAGTCTTACCCTGATAATCAAAAAATTTCTTGGTGTGGTTTTTCTAGAACGGTTACTGGCTGCATCGGTGGAACACCGGGAAGGGAACCCGCAATTGTTCCATGTTTCTTACTGTTTAACTGACCTTCCATTACTTTACCTTACCCAACTAAACTCACTCAACTCGGCTTCTTCCTCGACCCAAAGAGGAGAACCGTTATTCTCCATTTTCTCCTTTCCTTCTCTCTTCCTTTCCTTTGCTCCCTTTCACTTCTCCTTTCTGTCGTTACCTTAGACATTCTGTCGGATTCTTTTCTACCTTATCCTATCAACTGTGAGCCGATCGGCCGTCATTCACTCTTGTCTGTACGGTGACGATGATCATGATGCGATAGTCTTCTGATCCGCCCGCCATCGTCCTCTTGGCCCCCTCACAACGTCTGTCTACGCATATACACTTATAAAGACGAAACATAAAACAATACAAGAATCATTCTGTCCCATTCGTTGACAGGTATGTTGTGGATTCGCATGATACTTGAATTTGGTGGCTGATCGACATCAGCAATTAACGGTCATTGATCCAAGCAAAGAGGGATTCTACGGGGCGCGGGCCCAACAAACAATCCTTCCAGCTTTGGGCTTGAATTCCGATTTGACATCTGTTGATGAACCTTCAGCCTATACCGACCTAACATTCACTATTTGTTTATCCTGCCAGCCGACCGACCGATTGAGAATTGAGGTGGTGGTTTCTAATTGGCCGCGGGGACCCGTTCTGGTTTAAGAGGGAGGATACCTGGTGGTCGATTTCTTCGCACGTTCTGCTTGAGGCCAGGAGTTATTTTAGGGTTCGCGGCGCTAGAAGAGGAACACACGCACAGCTGTCACGACTGGACAACTATCCGGCAATTTTCAACATGCCTTTCAACATGGCCTTGCTGTTGCTCGCCCTGTTCGCCTGGCAGGTCTCTGCCTCTTCAGATATCATATATTGCTCAAGTGTGAATACCGGATCTTCAAACGCTGCAAGTATGTCGCTGGTTTCCTTGTGCTCTTGAATCTTTCTAACCTCCTGCCCACAGATATCAGTGTGTATCAGTCAAATGGTCTATGTACAGACCACTGTAATGCCGATTATGCCTTTGGAATCCTTCAAGGAAAGAGTTGCTGGTGTTCAAACATTGCTCCCAATAAAGCGACTAATGTTGGCACGGCAAAATGTGATACTGGGTGCCCCGGCTATCCCGACGATAGCTGCGGAGACGCCTCCAAGGGCGTCTTTGCTTATGTCCAGATGAACCTGCATGCACCCTCGGGAACAGCTACAGTCTCGTCGAGCGAGTCAACATCCACAGAATCATCGGTCAGTAGATCTTTCCTCTGCTTAAGTCGTATAATATTCCTCTTTCGCCAATCGACTCTGCATCCTGGCATGAGAGTGATTTAAAGTTGCTTTATTACAGTATTGAAGCCGCTTGATCCTTTTACAAGAAAGGAATGGACACATCAAGCAGGCCGCTATACTGCATGACGAAGACCTTGACATTGCAACGACTGTTGCCACCTGAGCACGCTAACTTATTACAGACAAAATCGTTGGATTCTTCTAAAACCACTGAAACATCGCCTAGCACGACCGCAAGCCAAGTGGTCGAAACTGTTGCCGGGGAAGTGAAAACAGTGACGGTCGCCAACCCAAAGTCAACGTCAACTTCAAGTGCTGAGTTGTCCCAGAAGAATAGTGATGGGTCGAGTTTGAGTGGAGGTGCAATCGCTGGCATCGTCATCGGCGCGATCGGCGGCTTAGCTGCTCTCATAGCTATAATCTTCTTGCTTTTCTTTAAAAAGCGCCAGTCGCGTTCAAATAGCCCGGATCCGAGCGTCTCGAATGTCTTGCTGGATGGGAGAAACAGTAAAGGCTCTCAAATGAGCTTCATGAAGGGAGCGTACTCGGACAATCACAGCCACACATTATCTGCCGGATCTTCCAGATTGCCAACATTCACTGATAACCGCTTGAAGACGGATACGGTACTGTACCCTAGTGGCCGTCGCGACAGCGAAGTGTCACTTCAGGATAATGAAGACTACTCTCGACCAGTCCTTCGGGTTCGTGCAGCCTTTCTTTGACAAATATCTATTGAGCGAGGCTAACATTGATCATAGCTTACGAACCCCGACTGATAACCTTCGCCAAATGGCTTCCTCCGTAATCGATTTCTTACTTATCATCTTCATTTGCGCGTTCGGCGAATATAGCGGTCTTATGATACCCATTTGTCACATCCTTCTCATCTACCGAATTTCGGGATCCGACAGCTCAGGTCTTTCCATGTTTGCATGGGCCCATGGTATGCCGGCAAATGCATGATTCTAACAATGATTTGCCATTGGGTCTGGGAGCCAAAAGAGCCTAGACAGCCATTATTGTCTGCACCCTTCCTGGAAGCTGTTTCCCAACGTCCCAATTTGTTACACGATAAATATCTAAGCGGTCATCCGCTTGTTTGTCGACTCGATTCGGTCCAATCAACCTCATCTCTCGACCGACCTTGACATGTACATCAATACACATACAAATGTGTTGTACTCGAAGTACATATAACTAATTCATTGAAGTGACTTCTCTCCTTTCTTATTTGTTTTATATTGTTCCGTTTGATTTTGTTGTATAATTGTCAGGGTCATCTGGAGCATTCGTAAAGCGTGCGGGCTGGGTGTTTGCAATTCAATTAAATATGTCATTATCACCAATGGAGAACAGTGCAGTATGTAGTCGTATAATAATGGGAATTACCATGATATAATATACGTGTTTATAGTAAAACCTTTAGATTCACAACAGTTGTCTAAATTAACGTCTACTCATAAGGTCACGAGCAACCTACAACGTTCCAGACCAATATCTTAGCCAAATTGTTTATTCCTTGACTACCATTAACACCACGCTTGATGAATTGTCTCCTTTCACTGATGGGTACTGCACTAGGACGATTCCAACATGAAACAAGCAGCGGGTGAGCGACAGCCCACTGTAGAGATCATACAAACGCCCCCCTTCCCCCACACCCAAAACATGGAAATGAGACATTAAGGGTGACTAGTGAAAGGACCACACACGGTGAGGTCGGGAACCCGCGGTATAAGACGTCCATTGCTGTATGCTTAATCATCGGTCTTATAGGGAAAGGCTGCAACCCAGAACTCCGGGGGCTGACGAACCCTGACTCACAAGCAAGTACCATTGCCTCGAATAGTGTGCCACGTCAGCTATATTACAAGATACTAGGGCATTCTTTCAAGAAACTGACGCGGGACAGAGATGAGTATGTTGTGTTGTATGATGCCGAGGTGGCGCATTGAGCGAAAACAGCACATGAGGTGCGCAAACATAGTGAAAGGCGGTCTCGTTAGATTATTCTTAGCGTTGAGATCAGTTCCAGCCTAATCAATATGCGCATAGGCAGCTCGCGCTAGAACCGTCTGGCCCCAGCCGTTATTATTTACCTTGGAGAGCAGATGTGTGTATTTTCTTGATAGGAAGTCCAGTACACGAGGGTCCTCATTTTTTGCCACGTGGTACAGTATAGTTTTTCCCTCATTTACATACGGATTTAGATCGATCTTGTCCACAATAAGCTCGAGGGTTTCCAGAGTACAGGAGCGCACAACGCGGAACATTTTGTATTCAGGCCTGGATGAGGGGCTGATGTAGGCGCTCCGCACTGGAACCGAGCATCGAAATTATACTCGATATCCTCTATACTAAGAACAGAGTAATAGTCTCCGAAAGCATACTTACTAGCGGTCTCGCGCAGCGTTGGGCGAGCAATCTCATAGACTTTCTCACAGTTACTAGTGAATGAAGAGAGTGATAGAGCGTCCATGTGAGTGACATCAATTCAATAAGCTCTGTTGGAAAGTGGTGTAGTCCAAAAGATTGTTTCTCATTGTTAGGTGCCATAATGGAGAATGCGTATGTGGATCGAATTGGCTGCTTGATACTGTATCTGTCACAGTCAATACTGGTTGATCTCAAACATGTATACAGTGCAGGATTTTGTGAGAAGACTGTAGTATATCCTCAGCATCTGAACCGTGGAGATGGGTTAAGATATAACTTGGTCTCACAATTCTCATTGTATATCTTTGTGGAGTATATTGCTTTTGTGTTGTATTGCACCAGTTAGACGAAGACTTGAATACACCAACACGGGAACAATCGGGATGCCTATACAACTAAAAGGGGTATTGCTGTCATAGTATTGCTATATATGTGGGCATTGTAGAAAGTTGAAGCTAGAGCTGTTATGTTGCCAGGCAATTCGCACTGGAACAATGGCCTACGATCCGTAGACCTCATCAGCGCTGGAGGCCAAGCGAATAGATGCCTGGGGGGCTAACCTTGGTCAATAAAAGCTTGCAGCTCCGGAGAGTGTGAAATACCAGAAAACTGCTTTGATATTGTCTAACTATTGGGTTACTCTATGGAGGATATACAGGGTTGTGACTAAGCTATGCCCTGATCATGGGATACTTTTCCCCTTTCAGGAAATGCGGAGGCGCGCACTCTCTTGCCTCCTTCAGTCATCTATCCATCCCTCACATATTGTATCAGTCTCCTTTTACTGGAGGAACCATACCATAGCCGATCATTGTTTATCGCCACTTATCTCACCATAAGTGAGGTCCCCGCATTGATCGCTTCGGCATAGTCTCTTTGACAAAGAAATTGGGTAACGATGAAATTGACAGCGTCGAATCCATGTCTAGGAGGATTGTACAGCTTTATATGGTCTTTCCATATGAAGGAAGATGTTTCTCCTATCTTGCAATCTGAGGCATGTGCCTCTATTCCAGGCCACTTCGTCGATACGTCACAGGTAGATCTAGTCATGGCAGATGTCGGCCTAACGGACCTCTAATGTTACACCCCTGCCGGTCCATGGCGCCGAAGATAGGCTCTTCATCCCCTTTCAGAAGTATTTATCGAACCTGTCGCATCTGAATACTCGATACGAGAAGTCGTCCTTATCTTTTCTTCTCTATCCCGCACCGAACGGAATGAAAGTATTTTAGTTACACTGCTTCTGAGCTCCGCATTGTACTCTTACTTCGGCTGCAGATCCAGCTTAGTTTTAATTCCTTTAATGACCGCATACTTATTTTCAGGTATTTATGTGAGGTCAGTTCTCGGTAGCCTCCTCGAGCAGATCTGTGAAGTCCATGCCTTGATCTGAATTCAATACATGACAAATGTGTCTCCGCACTATTTGAGCTCGCAATAGTGCCAAGTCTTCATACTACCTTTCTTCGCGTGTCTTCTTGCATCACAAGGGATCATTATGGGAACCTTCGATATTCTTGATAACCTGTGGTTACTTTCCTTCACTGCAGTCGGACTTACAGCTCTATGTCTTGTTTTGAGCGGACTACATGATAAACCAGTTTGGCTTCGCTCGAAACTTCATCGCTCCGGTACATCGACAAGTGAGACCCTAACCCAATCGACATTGTTAGAAAAGAAATCAATGCAATATGCGGATGTTCTACCACCTCAGGGCCGCCAAGTCCTCGCTGCGCTGCCAGGCTTTATGACAGGATCAAATGAAGTTGACGAGAAGGAGGTTCTCAAACACATCCTTCCCATGACTGTGGATTATAGGATCGGCCAGGATGGTAAATACACTTCGACAGGATTCTCACTAGCTGAAGTCAAAGCTTTGGGGGACTTTCCAGACTACTCAAAGCTGAGCGGAGTTCCATTGCCTCAAGCGTACCTCGAATTTGATATTGATAAAGGGCTAGCTAGGCCTTATCGGCCATTTAGATGGGGCTATCATCAGACCATGTGTACGTACACTCATTCCGGGCTACGAGTGTAACTTAAGCAGTACAACTGACATGTTGAACAGCATTGACAAAACTGGAGACGGACTGGTGGATAGAGCTTGAGAACACCTACAAACAACGGATCGCGCAACGAAAGGACCTGTATGTGAAGCATGGAAATGCGGTCCTTGACTGGCTTCCGGGATCTGAGCTGGCCTGCAAAGAACTTATGGAGATGGTCCTGCAATTTCTCTGTGCCCGATATCCGCAGTACTTTTCTTTGATAGACAATCGTATCCTACAAAATAGGATATTGGGGGCAGAACAGGACATAAGATCTAGGCATCCTCTTGAAATCTTGCTCGACAACGTGCCCGAAGATTTTGGTGTGATGCTGCGTGATGACAAGACCGGGAACTACTTCATGCGTGCCGGAGTTATCTGTTCTGCTTTGGGATGGAATGTTGGTACCAAGATCGGCCTCCAGCTTCATCAGATCCATGGCCCAGTGCCAGATTACAAGGAGAAGATGCAATTCTCCATGGATCGGTGCGTACCATGCCCAAGCATCTTGGTATCTGTATTCTCACAGATACCTACATAGGTTTTTCACCAAAATGCCAACCGACAAACCAATACAAAGAGGGTCCTGGGGCCTTGAAGTAGGACAACCCCTGTATATGCCCAAAGGGGATCCTCACGAGAAGCTCCGATTGTCACAGGATCCCAAGCTCCAGCTAGATGACTGCCATCTCAGGGTGGATTGGCAGACACTCCGCCGTCTTCCTCTCTCGGGGGCCATTGTATTCAACTTCAAGGCACTCTTCACACCTGTGACCGAATTCAGGGATGAACCCGGCGTGCCTGCATTAGTGGCGAAGGTTTTGAAAGAGGGCAAGAAGAATCTCATGGAGTATAAGAGTACATGGCACGTAGAACATGTCATACTTCCTAAACTTGAAGAATGGGCAAAAGAACAAGAAGAGAATGAGCTCGTTTCCAGGAATTGGAAAGTAGCTACATTGGATGACAGTCCATGGTATCGGAATTGGGAGGAAAAGTGGCATCGCCAACAGGGCTTTTAGCACGATATGCTTGCTCTGTCTTTCTACTCTCGGTTTCTTTTTGATTGTTTCTGATGTTGATATATTTGATGTCGATAGGGGAAGTTCTGTCACAAGTTTCATTTATTTGGGCTTCATGATTTACGAACATAGACATATACCCAATAAAAAAAATGAACAAATGCTTTACATGCGATATGGTATCTCCAAGTACTGCAAATGTTAACCAAATGTAGATATTATTGCTCAAACCAGCAATGCCAATTTTTCTTTTTCCATGCCCCGAGACGTAAGGTCCCGTATCTTCGAAGCCTTGTCTTCATATAGACTACTTTGAAGAGATTGGCAACCATATGGCGGTTTCTTATGTCAAAACGCTTGAGCTATATTCTCTCGTTGCGCTTGCGGGCCGTAGCTGGCCGGGGGTCGAGCGAGAACCACACCTGTTGAAAAGGTGAGGGAATCTCGATGGTCACGGCTGCTTATGAAAGACCGTCGTGAATTTGCACAGGGAGTCGTAGTTTTCGAGACCGAGTCGGTAATGGAAGCTCAGCACAAAGGTATAATTTGGTTTGAGCGAAGAAGACGTTCAAAGCAAGCCGGCTGCAGTCTCAATCATCATTGGCATCACTAGCAGACAGTGCATCACTAGCTTGCCCTTCCTCGTGTTCCTCATCTTCGTTAGCCATGTCTTCTAGCTCAGCAGCCAGCGGGCTGACTCTTTCCTCCAAAAGATCCAAATCCTCCAACTGTTGCCGAGGAGGCAACTTCCACAAACTCGTACCACACACACGATCCTTGGTGAGAAGATCATCGACAAATTGATCCATATAAGTAAGGACAACCGAGTCGCGCACTCGCCGCTTCAATTTCCGGTAGTCGAGAAGCAGCGGTTCCAATGTTTTGTACACATCGACCGCATCGAATGTCAACCGAACGTAAAATGCCGCCAAAGCCCGCAGGTACTTGAAGTCACCTTTTTGCTTGACCACGCCATTTTCGGCCTGCTCCGTCGCCGTCTGCTCCCCTTCTTCGTCGTTGACTGGATCGGTGAAATTCAGGTATTCCAGTACGGTATCCCGGTCCGGGTTCAGTTGCAACATCTTAAACGCGAGACAGAGGAACGGCGTGGGCTTCTCGGCAACACCATATGTTCCTCCGATGGAGGTCATTTCAACTGCACGATCGCATAGTGTCGCTGAGTTCAACCCGAAGCATTGTTCTTTCCAGTAGTAGGAGTCCGTGATGCGGTCGCGCACGGCCTTTTCGAACAGAGTAGCCGGATTGACGCCGCGGACAAGTGGGCCGGTGTAGCCGCGGTTGTCAAGAAGCTTACTGGCATCGGCGCGGTGGGATGCCATGGTTCCGGTGTGAATTGACTGCAAGATGAAGCGTTGGAAGGGTTTGTGGAGAACTCATGAGAAAGATGTCGGAGTTCCGGCGATGTTCTTGGCGGTCGGTTTCTGCCAAGACGTGGGCTTATCGATAGTCGTACCGACAACCGGCCGGCTGTAAACACCATGAAGCGCCGATTGATCTTCCTCTCTTCTTGACTCTGACGTATGAATTGCACGATGAACGAATTCACGAGCTGTTACCTGACCCTTTAAAACAAGAACATATACTCAGTTGTGTTACACTACTCCATCCACACCCTCAAACGCCAAAAGCATCCATCCGCTCCCATCTATACAACCATCACGTTCACATACCAATGCGGAAACCCTAACCAACAATGGTACTCCTAACGTCCTCTACGGTCTCAGTCATTCTCTCTTCGGGCGTGATCTGCATATTCACCCTTCTCCTATTCCTCTCCGGCTACGTCCTCCAGCAACAATCCGTCCGCAGCATTCAACACGCCATCAAACCCCTTCACCCCCCAGACCCCATCGCCAACCTCCCACCACACCAAGATAGCACGAAACGAAACCACATTCTCCCCGACCAGCACGGCCCAAGAGGCAACTACGCTTACCTCCAGCTCCTTTCCACACCCGACCCCTCCAACATCTGCTCCGCAATCCTCTTCTTCAAAACTCTCTCCACAAACCACACAGCAATCCAAGACCGCCTCTTCATGTACCCCCAAGAATGGGACCAAATCGCCCACGACCATACCAACCCCATCTCAAAAGCCCTCTCGCTCCTCCGCACCGCAAGCCTAAAATATGGCATCTGGCTTCTCCCCATCGACATGACGGCCGCCACATCCGCCGGCTATGCACCCACAGACACGAAACTGCTCCGCTTAGGCCAGATCCAGTTCATGCAGTATGACTCCGTGCTCTACGTCCAGACGCCCGGGCTCCTACTCGACACGGAGAAATTAGACGCCATGCTCCTCTCCCGGCCGTTACCAGGCAGACATGATAAGACTAGACCCGAGTCGTATAATAACGAGGCTTGGATTCCGATGCCTCTCAGGCCGGATCGAGATCTGGCGCTCCCGCCTGTGTACCTCGTTACTGTTAACAATGTGGGGAGCGGGCAAGTTGAGGCCCGTGGACATGTGCCGAATGTTGCGTTGCCTGGGTTCGGGTCCTTGGTTACTGGGCCGTGGGGAGCACAGTCCGCTGGAGGGGATGGGGAGCAGCCGGGGTATGTTTTCTTTGAGCATGATGATGATGGGCATGTTCGGTGGGCGGGGAATTCTTTTTTTGGGCCTTGGAGGGCTGGGCAGTATGATGTTTGTGAAGGGATGGATTTTGATGATGTGAGACATGATGATGGGTTATGATTATGATTGTCTTCTTCTTCTTTTTAATGGTTGCTTGATTTCTGGGTTGGCTCTTCTTATTTAGGTTTTGTTTTTATTTTGGCTCTTGGATAAGACTTTGGACTTCTGGACATTCAAGCTGGTGTTGGTGGTCTTGTATGAATCGTGTAGCATATTGTATTCTTTGTTTTATTTTAGTTGGGAGTACATATACGGAACTCTATGGCAATGGACGAATATAGATGATTGATGAATTTTATTCAGTATTTACAAGAATAAAAGCCTGGGAGAATACCATAGTACCACCCGCTAGTCGTGCCTTAACCTGACCTAACACCGTGCTACCCTCAATATATCGCCGATACATGCATCAGAACTACATCAAATAGCCAAGTACCTCAACAATAAGCAACATGCTAGAGATACAGATAGTATACAAATCCAAAGCTGACTAGCGAGGTACGCCGATCTCGTACCCTAGTAATACTTCGGTGGTGCTGCCTTCCCAGCCTCTGTTGCCACTTGTGGAGATCATGAACCGACAGGCCTGATCGATGTATAGTTGTGAGACAGTTCCTGTTCGATGCCCAGGGATGATAAGGAAGGGAACGGTCGAGTGACGGGCGACTTGTTCGTGTTTCAAGTCATATAAACGAAGGATATCATGGGAGGCGCTGAAAGTACAGATTAGCTCAATTTCTTTTCCTTAAGTATGCTTTTAAGACCACTAGGGACCTACCAAACAATATGTCGCCCGTTAGGCATCGCCCTGAGGGCTGTAACGGGTCCACTTCCCTGGGGAAATTTGAAAATCCGCTCTGGGTCTCGCAGACCCTTATGAAGACTGAATTCTTCTACAGTTCCGTTCCGGCGGCCAGCATAGATATAATTGCCGTCTGGAGACCAACATGCATTCATGCACCAAGGCGGGGAATTGCGAGGCGTGATGCGAGCGACAGGGTCCGGTTGCCGTCTGTCCCAGACTCGGATAGTGCCATCGATGGATGCGGCAAGGAATGTGTTATCGGAGAGGTTCTTGTCAGTCTGTGTTTGTTGACCGAGATCTTGGTTCTGTGATGCAGCTTCTAGTTCCTCTGCATGAGGTAGTCCGTTTACTACGGGCTGTGATGAGCTATTATCGGCTTCTGGCTGTTGACTCTCTGATTGCTGATATGCCGAGTCATCCTCTTTGATTTGAGCGCTTGTATCAGCTGGGGCAGGTGCTTCTGGGGCACCATTCTGCTGGGCCGGCTGTTCAGGCTCACCGGGCGCATCAGCATCGGGAAGAGTGCCACTGGCAAGGGCTTTGCCAAACTCGTCATCCTCATCTATGCCGAAGGCATCCCCTGATGCACCTGCACCTTCGCCTCCAGCACCATCAGCATCACCGAACAAAGAGTCCGCTCCACCGAAAAGGGAATCTGTCGGTGAACCAGCCTGCGGGTTTGATGAGTCGCCAACACCGCCTTGGTCGTTTGACGTATCCATGAAGTCAAAGCCATTACCACCACTCACCTGATAGTTAGACGAATAAGTCCCATTAGGTTGTGGGGTCTCAGTTGTATCTTGAGGGATTGCAAGACTAGATTCTGGTCGTAAATCAACGGCTGATATTTGCCTTGCACTAGATCCAAATGAGCGTCTGGTCTGGCCAGTGTTCAGATCCCAGTCGAAGACCCGCTTGTCCCAGCTACCAGACAATAATGACTTCTCGTCTGATGTCAGATTCAGGACTGACACCGCCGAAGTATGCTGTTGTAGTAGAGCAATCTCCTTCCCTTCATCATGACGGACGGATTGTAGGCGAATGGCACCCGACTCCAAGCCTGATAATAGCCACAACCCCTCACTGTGACTAGCTAAAGAATATACTGGCGATATATTATTTCCGTCCATATTCTCCCAATACGTCATTAAGACGCCCGCCTTGATCACACTGTCCACGAAGGGGTGCCTTTGTGCCACAGTTAACATCAACTTGCTGTTGATCGAATCCACCCAATTGAACTTCCGAACATATCCATCCGACCCACCGCTAAATACCCATCTCATATCTGCAGTTGCGGTCACGGCATTGATTGATGTACTGTGAGGCGCAGCCGTCGTAGGGACTATATCGTAGGTAGAGGCAGTCAAACACACGGACCGGACGGGAGGATGGAACACTGATACTGAATCGTGCACAATGTTCGCCGGACCAGACGTGGTCATTTCAACATTATTATTCGGTTGAGGCGCCACACCACCGCTGTCGGATACGGGACTAGCATTAGACTGACTTTCGGCGTCTTGATCTGCGTCCGCGTCCGCGTCCGCGTCGGCCTCGTTGTCGTTGCCGCCATCGTCAGCGTCCCGGAGGGTGTCGTCGATCTCGTTATCCGAGCTTCCATCTTGCGAGCCTATGCATCGCCGATCGTTAGGTTGTGCGACAGTTGTGGGTTGGGTTACAGGGTAGCTCACCTGCAAGATCTCGGTCATCATCATCTTCAAACGAAGCCATTGTCGTGAGTGGTAAGATTGTAAGACTTTGAACCTCTAGAGAATGCGATTCAAGAGCCGAAAATCATACAATATGGAGCGTATATATAAGTAGAGAACGAAAGGCTTTATCTCGATAGCCCAGCTCTCAGTGGGAACTGCCACAACTCAAGGGCTCATGACTTGGTAGCTCGCACAGACATTAGATGATGGGAAGTGAGCTGAGGAATCTGTCGCACATGAATTACGCCCGGGGCTATCCAGGCAAGAACTATGCTATTGCAGCGCGCTGGAGTATATTGTAGTTTTGCAAGTACCTTGATCTCCAAATGCGTTTATCATTCCCCGGCATCAGTCACGTTGCCTGCCCGCTTTCTGCCTGAGGCGTATATTCAATTACCATATATGGTTAGCTTCATGTCGACCAGCTATATAGTAAGGATGGGATCGATATCTAGTAGATTGGATACATAAGGTAGGGTGTACGCCATCTGTATAATACTACTATGCTCTGAAGCTGTTATGTATGAGTAAAAAGAGTCTTCTATACATTGTTCTGCACCACATGCTCTTTCTGTCGGGCTATCAGCTTGCATACATTAGTATTGTCAATTCTCATAGTTCCCACATGAGCAAAGCAAGCTGCTACCGTAGTAGTAGTTGTTGTTGTTAATGGAACTGGAAATATGGCGTATGAGTTCAGACAAATACTGAATCTTAGCCATGAAGGTTTTGAGTCTGTATCATTTCTTTACTTCACTTGCGATAGGTCCTCTATCTCTAGTCACGTCTGGACACATTAAAGAAAGTGATTGGTCGTTAGTGACAACTCCATTTCCAACTATTCTGAGAGAAAAAGCCACATTGGAGGGCTTTACCTCTTTTTCAAGCTCTTTCATTCACTGTCTGGTTGAGAGTTGACTGGAAAGTCCTCTGTCAAGCTCCATATAGTTGGTGAATAGTACAATCCCAAACAAATCTTTCAAGTGATTGATTGGGTTATATAAATATAGAATAACCACACTCTCAAGCATCTTTAACTTCAGGTGTAAAGGCTTCCCTTTCTCTTCCATGCTTGGCTTTGTTGTTTGACTGTCTGCCTAGCTGGGCGACTGCAAACAAAGCAACCTCACTTGCTGCTTTCTTTTCCCAACAACGTACCCTACATCATAAATTATCTTGAAACTCTTACCACAACCTTTAGTCTGATCTCTTCAATCAATCTCTGAGTTTCAAGTTCATCTAATATGGAACCACCGAATGACTCTAGTTTTTCCGTCAACAGGTCGCTGCATAAGCAATTTATGAGACAGGGATTCAGCCCCATTGTCCCTGTCAACCAGGGGATGAGAGCTTACTTCGATGAAGCTGACCTTGAAGACCCTGAGCCTTGGCTCCTCAAACCCGAAGTTCCATCGTCTAGCGAGGTAATGGGAACTGAATCCGACACTGAATTCATTGATTTGTTGCCGAACCGGATCATAGGTCCCTGGAAATCAAAGACTGAGTACCTAAAAGCCCATTATGAGTTGCTTAGAGAAGACTCAGTCGCTCCACTACGTGATGCCGTAGCATACGTCCGAGAAGATCCTCAGATGCAAGATTCTCGTACCGTATTTGTCTACGACAAGGTTTGTACACGTATCTCTCTCTTTATAGTCTTCGTTGAAGAACTATCTAACTCTAGTGACTTAGGTTCACATTGTGGGCATTACCTTCTCACCACAAGGTCTAGCTTTTCGGATTAGATTCTCTAGCAATAGATCGGGGAAGAACATTGTCTGGGAATACTCTAAGAGACTAGTCACTGGTACCATTGTGGCACTTTCGCCTGTAAATGATGTGTTCAAAAGAGAGTGTGTCGTTGCCGTCGTTGCAGCTCGACCATTAGACCAGTTAAAACAGCAGCCCTCAGAGATTGACATCTACTTTGCGCAGCCTGAAGATGCAGACTTCGATCCTCATCAAGAATGGATTATGGTTGAGGCCAGAACTGGTTACTACGAGTCCATGAGACACACAATGACAGCTTTGCAGAAAATGAACCGAGAAAGGTGGGCTCACAACCTTTTCATTGGCAATATTCAAACAATGCTTAGATGTTTGACAGATTTCCCCTGGCCGAACACATCTGCTTTCTCAATCCAAAGATCAATGCCCCAGAGTACATCAAAGCAAACGCTGTCATGGACATACAATCAGCTATTGATCCATTAGGAGAAGGAAGTCCAATCAATGTTCTAGAGAGATGGCCTAAGTGTCCTATAGGCGATTTGGATACCACGCAATGGAGAGCCTTGCATCGAATGCTTACGAAGAGCTTTGCCATTGTTCAAGGGCCCCCAGGCACCGGAAAGACGTTCGTCTCGGTTATTGCGTTGAGAATCATGCTTTCCAACATAAGAACAGGCGACCCTCCCATTATAATTGCATCTCAGACAAACCATGCGCTAGATCAGCTCCTGGCGCATGTTTCTCATTTTGAAAGGGACTACATTCGCTTGGGAGGCAGAAGTGATGATCCAGAGATAAAGAGGCGCACCCTTTATGCCATCAGGCAACAGGAACCAGTTGTCACAGTCCATGGTAGCGTACTTGGGCAAGCCCAAAGGCGATATAGGGGGTTCCATCAGACAATCGCCGAGCTCTTGCGGGACTTCAATGCCGAGAACGCCGACACACCCCTTCCATCTGATCTTTTTGCAAAATATGGCCTACTAACAGCTACACAGTGTAAGTCTCTTGTGAAGGGCGCAAAGGGCTGGGTACGACCTGGCGATAAAAACGGGGCTGATCCCTTATCGGCGTGGCTTGGAGAGCAAGTGGTACAGTTCGAGGTGCATTACACAGCAGATAACTTTGGCTTTGAGGACGACGAGATCGATTTGGAGTATGAGCAGCTTAAAGAGTTAGAAGCTGAGCAGGGGATAGAAGATGATGACTACGAGAGTCTCAAAGGACCGTTCATTTGTCTTCAAGAAGGGTTCTGTGGACAAGATGCGTCGGTCTCGGAAAACACTAGTCGGAGGTACCTTAAGGAGCCCGACATGTGGAAAATACCAGTCAAAGCACGCGGAGCAGTCTATGATCTCCTTCGGAAGCTAGCTAAGTTTCAGATCAGACAGAAATTCCGAAGCTTGGCTACCCTTTACACACGCAATTGCAAAGACCTCCGCATCGGGAAGTGGGAACGAGACAATTACATCCTCCAGAACACTAAGGTGATTGGGGTGACAACAACCGGCCTTAGCAAGTATCGGGCTCTTATATCGAGTCTGAAGCCGAAGGTTGTTTTAATAGAAGAAGCAGCGGAAGCTATTGAAGCACCGATAGCAGCTGCTTGTCTCGATTCTCTTCAGCATATGATCCTTGTGGGCGATCATAAACAACTAAGGGGAAGCTGCTCAGTGAAGGACCTTGAGAGTGAACCATTCTTTCTAGACATTTCAATGTTCGAGAGACTAGTGCATAACGGGATTAAATACGAAATTTTGAGGAAACAGAGACGGATGGCTCCAGAGATACGTCGATTGTTGGAGCCAATTTACGGCGAACTTCAAGACCACCCATCCGTACTTGAACGCCCTAAAGTGCCTGGAATGGGGAATGTTCGATCATACTTCTTTTCTCATAACTGGCCAGAGAGTCATGACAGCTTAGCTTCGAAGTTCAATGAGAAGGAGGCGGAAATGATTCTAGGGTTCTTTATCCACCTAGTGCTCAATGGCGTTGCGGTTAAGGACATTACTGTCCTAACATTCTATAATGGCCAGAGAAAGAAACTGCTCAAGTTGTTCAAGGATAGCTCCTACCTCCAGGGCCATTATGTGAATGTTTCAACTGTCGACTCATTTCAGGGTGAAGAGAACGAGGTTGTCATCCTATCCCTGGTCAGGAGCGGCAAGCCCAGCATTGGGTTTCTGTCCGTAGAAAACAGGGTCTGCGTTGCGCTTTCGCGTGCTAAAAGCGGCTTCTACCTCTTTGGAAATTCCACAACGCTCGCTGACGTAGATCCTCTCTGGTGGCAATTGGTCACTATCATGGGGAGCAAGAACCCAACACGGCGACTTGGGTTTAACCTACCTTTGACGTGTATGAAGCATGACAATGTGATATATAGGAAAGATCCCTCCGAGTGGGAGACCGCCTACGGGGGCTGTGATCTTCCATGCAACGAACGTCTCGGATGTGGCCACCGGTGTCCTCTCCCATGTCATAGCTTTTCTCATGATCGAGTCAAATGCAATGAGGTATGTGACCGACGGATGCGGTGCGGCCACAGATGTGACAAACGCTGCTACGGACCCCATGTATGTTCCTGTGGGTGTCGACTGAGCTTCGCGATCGACCATGACTCGGAGAATTTGGAAGGCTTGCCTTCTAGAACCAATAGTGGCATATGTGAGGAAGAGAGTCTACGTCAAGCTGCGGTTCGAAAGTACCAAGCTTTTGCGAACGGAGGTGCCAAGGAGCAGGACGCACACTTTTCCAGAATGGCCGAGTTAGAGAAGTAGTGCAGAAGTTAGGTACGATGCAAGGTGATATTACTGTGTATCAGCTAGGTGAGAATGTCTCTTTATATTCTCCATTCGCTGTGGTCCCCGGATAATATATTTCAGGAATCGAGGAAATAAATTGATGCATAAGCCTAACACCATAGAGCGAGTAGATAGGACTCTAAGAATCAGTCAGACATAGTCTTGAACGACCAAATCTAAGTGCAAAAACGACGCAGGAAAATCAGTAGTCTGCCTACATTTCCAAGCATACCTTGACCTACCAACCAAATCAATCTGTGTGGAGAACACTTGTTGGGTCAGGACTCTATTGTTGAAATCACCTCTTGAATGCTTCCATTCTCCTGGACTAAAGCCGCAGGGGAGCAGTACTTTAGGCGGATATGGAGAAGCAAAGCTTATTTCGATCGTCACCTCTTCAAGTCGGCAGCCATTTATGTCGTTACAATCAATTTGGACTATATTTAACCCTATCTTACTAGCTTTGTCAGCACTGCTCCCCGACTGTCCATCCAGCCCGACCTGAAGAACTTCCAGCTACGGAACTCATATCCAAAAGGTGGTTGTTGGTAGCGGCGAATATTAATTTACCCAGTATGTACAGTGCATCGTACACCAGAATCATGAGGTCTATAATCGTACAAGTCCCTCCACAAACTCCAGCCCATGCCAAGAGAACGCAAACACAAAAGTCCCGTTGTATGTCGCCGATCCTTCGATCACGGAGAGGTTTCCCCTCGTCAATCAATATAGCATCGAAGTACCCCCTTACAGTCCCCTTGTCTTCTCGGGATCCATCTGAACCTCATCTCCACTAATCTCCTTAACGGTCTCGAACGCCGGCTTCCCAGCATATAATTGTTCGGACTTGGTCCGCTTCCCGCCTTCCATTTCACTGGCTCCCGCGAGGGGTTGGTTTCCGCGAAATCGCTTGCGCATATCGATCAATCCCCGCCTGTGAAACGAGTATAGGTTAGGACGAGTGTCGAGATTTTGGGTTCCTCCGCTGGGGATATGTGTGACTCACTTGCACTCGCCGAACCCTTTGCGCAGCTGTTGGCATCTCATGGGTAGTGTGTCAACGAGGGGTTCGCTTAGGCATTCGCGGGGTGTGTGGCGCTGGACCATTATACAGTCAGATTCTTGGAGGCATTGGGCCAATGCATCCCCTGAAAGTTAACTCAGACCATTGTTAGAATGTAGCTTCACTTCAAGTGCGGAGGGTTTTTTGGTCCATGAGATTCGGTCTCGGAAGCGACTGCGGCAGAGATGGATGCCCCAAGTCAATTTGGAATCAAGATTGTCAGATAGTACTCACGGATGTCTTTGCAAGAGTTCGGCATCTTGCTGGGATTAAGCAGACAATGCCGCGAAAAGTCGTCCTGTCAAATAAGATTGGCTTGCGGACAAAATTAGAAGGTCAGGAAAGGATGGAGCCATCCCCGGATTAGATAAGCTGACCTTGAATTAGTTAGTTAACTATCACATGAAGATCGATGCATGACGTCTGAGCGTTACTTTTCTTTCTGTTTGGCGAGACTGGAAGATCCTCGTCTTCTTTCTTCCTTCTCTATATTAGTACGTACATTATGGCTCTCAGGTCGCCCTAGACTTGGTCCATTCCCCCCTACTAGCGTTAGACATTCATATAATTCCTTCATTATGGCGCGCATGCCAGTGATTGGACGGCTATTTTGGTTCGAGTATCTAGCTCTGTTTGCTTCCCTGATTCTGGTGCTGCTAGAATGGATTATCCACGTTATTACATTTTGTCTTCGTACGTTTACATGAGTCTCCACCTTTTTCCTTGAAGCTAATTGTTAACCCTGAACAGCTGAAACGGTGATTGCGTTCTTCTACGACCGGTCAAAAACGATTTTCAATCTCTTCATTACCCCCGAGGATGAAGGCAAGCGCAGTAAAGAAGAACAGATTGCGATAGCAGTCGCCCAAGCGTCCGACTTTGTAGACATATGCGCTCTGTTCGGTTACCAGACTGAAGAGCATATCGTCCAGACTGGCGATGGCTACCTTCTTGGTCTTCATCGCTTAGCCTACCGGAGAGGCGAGGAGAACATGCACGTGAATCAAGGAAAAGGGGGCATCCGAAAGAAGGTCGTCTTCCTCCACCACGGACTTATGATGTGCAGTGAGGTTTGGGTGTGTTTGTCGGAAGAACAACGGTGTCTCCCCTTTCAATTGGTGGAAAGGGGCTATGACGTGTGGTTTGGGAACAATCGCGGCAATAAGTACTCGAAAAAGTCCGTTCGATTTTCGCCGGGGTCCAACGAGTTCTGGGATTTCTCTATCGATCAGTTTGCCTTCCATGATATTCCCGACAGTATCAACTATATCTTGGACGTGACGGGTCAGCCTTCACTGTCCTACGTTGGGTTCTCGCAGGGCACGGCTCAGGCGTTTGCGACGCTGTCCATACACCCCCTGCTGAACCAGAAGGTCGATGTCTTTGTGGCTCTTGCACCCGCCATGGCGCCTACGGGCTTGCCGAACCATTTTGTTGACTCGCTGATGAAGGCCTCGCCCAATTTCTTATTCCTTCTATTCGGCCGACGTAGCATCCTCAGTTCGACGACGATGTGGCAGACGATTCTCTATCCGCCCATCTTCGTCCGGATCATCGACAAGTGTCTCGACGGTCTCTTCAACTGGAAATGCCGGAACATCAGTCGCTGGCAAAAGCTTGCCGGGTACCTACACCTGTTTTCCTTCTCCAGCACCAAGTCTGTTGTCCATTGGTTTCAGATCATCCGACACAAGAACTTCCAGTTCTACGACGACGAGGTCCAAGCTCCGTTCAGCATTGTCGCCAGCGAGCGATTCTACAAACCTGTCAAGTACCCTACCAAGAACATCAAGACGCCCATTGTGCTTCTGTACGGGGGCAATGACAGCTTAGTTGACATTAATGTTATGTTGCAGGAGCTGCCCCGCGGGACCACGGCCAAGATTATCCCCAAGTACGAGCATCTGGATTTCCTGTGGGCGGTGGATGTAGAGGAGCAGGTGTTCAGCCATGTCTTCGAGGCACTCGAGCGGTATAGCGGCATCAACCAGGTTGAAGGGCCGGCGCGAAGTCTGATCAATCACCTCAATGGGGATGCGGGGCGTGCGATCGCGATTTAGAGGATTAGATAGCCTAGGCTATGATTCGTGCGATTTTATATACCGGGAGTTTTGGCTTAGCGGGCGTCGATAATGGCGTCGTGTGAATAGAATCGATTAATAGATTACTAGCATGTAACCTGGGAGGAGGCTATAGTAACTCATATTATGATATTATCCACGTATGACTCCTGAGCGAGATATATATGTGGGCGGTCGAATGTGATACATTGATTTAAGGTCTAACTGACATTCATTTAGACTACTGGTCGGCGCCCCCTCCCCTACTCGTCTGATTGATTTAGCGCCCCGGTCTCGAGTTACAGATGGAACTGTTGGACCTATCCATCGCATGAACGCTGCGTCCAGTTATTGGTTTGTTTAGTGCCTGATAGCCCAGTCGATTCGACAGGAAGAACGGAAAGGCGGGGGGGGGAGGGGGAAGAAATGGAAAAAGAAGGGCTTCGGCAGTCCACCCTGATAGTTGGGCAAAAAAAAGGTGATAGGTAAAAAAAGCACGTCTTTGGAATTTAGGCGACTGGGAAAGAATGTTTCAGGATATCACTAGTAGTACCACATACTACCAGATATGAGGGAATTGAAGAGGGGGATAAGAGGGAAGGATAATGGGATGAGCGTTATGTTTCCTTCGTTCCCCTTTCGATTCTGTTCTATATTTCTAGGAACTATTTTGCCTCCGTCAAGGGATCCCCGAGATATCTATCTATAGTTCTTTTCCTGTCTTTTTTTGATGTTTTTTCCTGTTTCTATTTATTACTTGAGTCTGGTGGGATTGATGATTAGTACGTACATACATCCCCTGCTCCTTTTTCCTCTTCTTATTTTGTTTTCTTTTCCCCTTCAATTATCCGAATTTTCAAGCGGTCCAGTTGGAAATGGTTGGATTGATGCAGATCATCACGACCATCCCTCTGCCATGATTGGCAAGGCGAGTCATGGCCAAGTCGGACAATTCACTGATTTCCCTTCTACTCCTGCAGAAATGGAGGAATTATTGGGATTCTGCATGGATGACCTGGATTTTAGGGCCATATACTATTGTTTGATCCAACCACTTGGACTATGTATATACATACAAGGTATAATTATAAGTATATTCTATACAAGGGGGAGGGGGGGTCAGTGAAGAAGAGAAAGGAGGGAAGAAGAAGATATACATATATGATTCTATTGATTTTATTTATAAAATAAGACAATGATAATGGTAATTATAATAATAAATTCTTCTCTCGTCTTTGAACTGATTGAGGAAAGTCCCACGTGAAGTTAATCCTTTCCCGGTTTAATAAGGTTTGGTGCCAATTTTCCCAGCGCACAATTTTTTTTAAATTCCTTTTTCTTTTTCTTTTTCTTTCGTAAAAGGCGATTGATTCGATTTCTTTCACCGCTTCTAAAGTCAGAAAAGTGAATTCGGGTTTTAAATATCAAGGGCAAAAGAAAGAAGAAAAGAAAGGAGGGGAGAGGTTTCAATAATGCCTTCCCCAAAAATAAAATAATAATAAAAAAAAGGGAACTAAAAGAAAAGAAGAAAATCAACAGGTAAAAATAAGACTCATAAACAGAATAAACAGGAGACCAAATAATAAAAGTAATTAGAATAATAATAATAATAATATATCTCCTTTGACACGAACCCTCCCGGATCCTTTCCTTTCCACCCTTTAGCAATTTATTCCTCCAAAAAAAAAAAAAAAAAAAAAAAAAAAGAATCTCCCCACAACCGCTGACTTCGCCTTAGTTTCAGTCTTTAGTCTCCGGAAATCCACCCGATTTTCTGTTGACATCAACCGTTTTTCCTGCGCTCGTCTCCCTCCACTCTCCCCCCTTTGCCCTTCAATTGATTTCCCTGCGACTGCTTCAGGTTCGGTGGCGCGGTCAAGTCGACAACCTGCATATTGCCCCCCTCAACTGCCCCCCTCTCTCCGCGAATTGGTTGGAATTGGCATTGAGACCGATGTAACGCATCGCGTTGTCGCTGCCTTTGCTCCTCCAGCCCACCCCCGCCCCCAAACGGACCCAGTGTCAGACCATCCCATTGCTGGAGATCGCGATTGACCACCATCTTCTTCGACGGTCGACGAGAAACGAAACTAACGAGGTGAACTGGACCCTTGATCTGATCACCCGACCTGGACCGGTGTTGGGTATATCTCGTCGCCGAACTACGCCCTGCGCTGGACATTCAGGAGGTACCATAGTGGTTGTGCTAGAATTCTGTCTATTAAACCCAAAGCATCGCATCCTTTCGACGCGCCAAATCTTATCGAACAATTGCAGTTGATTGAGTGGGAACCACAATTGTAGTTTCAATGCGGCCGCAGTACGTCTCCCCGGTCCCCTGGTTCCTACGCGCGGCCCGATGCTAATCGTTTCGCTCCATACAGACGGGAATATCACATTGTCGTGCTCGGCGCTGGTAGGCATCACCTCCCGTCAGATATTTCCTTGAGGACTACCGCTGATATCTGCCGTCTCATGCGCAATAGGTGGAGTGGGAAAGAGTTGTCTGACTGGTATATACCCTCTTATCTATCGGCCCGGATCACAGGTCATGATCACCTAAGAGAATGATTTCCACTCACGCTTTGCAGCTCAATTCGTCCAAAATGTATGGATTGAGAGCTATGACCCGACCATCGAGGATTCATACCGCAAACAGATTGAGGTAGACGTATGTGGATCGTGTTCCTAGACAGGTGTCTCAGTCACTCATGGTGTTATAGGGGCGACAATGCATTTTAGAAATTCTCGACACTGCAGGAACTGAACAGTTCAGTAAGTTTCTTTTTCTTTCCCCCCCCTCCCCTTGAACGATCCAGTCCCGTCCACCCACTAACGCCTCTCTAGCTGCCATGAGGTACATCAGCAATCCGTCCCACTCCTTCAGTCCACTGGGATCCACTACTGCGGCTCCAGGACTGACACATCACCACTCGCTTCTTCGCAGACCCGCATGCTAACCCTTATGGACCAGGGAGTTATACATGAAACAGGGCCAAGGGTTTCTCCTTGTATTTTCCATTACGAGCATGTCCTCGTTGAACGAGCTGTCTGAACTACGAGAACAGATTATCCGCATCAAAGATGACGAAAAAGTCCCCATTGTCATCGTGGGCAACAAATCCGACCTGGAGGAAGACCGCGCGGTGCCCCGTGCTCGCGCTTTCGCCCTTTCCCAGAGCTGGGGCAACGCCCCTTATTATGAGACCTCGGCTCGCCGACGAGCTAATGTCAACGAGGTCTTTATTGACCTTTGCCGGCAGATTATCCGAAAGGACTTGCAAGGGAGCTCCAAGGGTCGCGATGAACCCGAACGCAAGCGGGAGAATACGAATCGATCCGAGCGCAAGCGCGAACGACGACCGAAGACGAAACGAAAAGGCCCTTGTGTGATTCTATAAGTTAACGAATGCTATACGTGAAGGAGATGCAGGATAACAACCACTCGTCTCACCATATTTTAAAGCGTAACCCACCAACACCTTATCGACGCTGATGTCGAGCCATCAGCTCAACTATACCGCTGCACATACATACTACAATATCGTCATCCACCCTAATGTTTTCAATCCATCATACGCCTATTCAATGATAGATATATGTCGGTTCATAACCACTTAACCCTTTCCTTCTCCCCTGTTGATACGTCTTTACCTGTTATTTTATGTCGAGGAATGAAGAAAATGTGTATTTTCTTGTTCCCCTCCACACCATTGGAGTCCCATGGTCCCCCCCCCATCTATTATATAGATTGACACGTTTTGTCAACTCCAATGATGATTACGCTGCTGTTCGTCCTTCATGCCAAAACAAAAAAGCAATCCTCTTGCAGAGCAAGGAAAAAAAGCGGATGTTTCATTTCTTCCTTTTCCTTTTTCTTTCCATTAACTAGTCCTTCTCGATATTTTCTCCTTGTGCCTTCTCTGACCCTGTTATTTTGATTCCTTCCCAATTTCTTTCCCCCTCTTTTTTTTAGTCTCCTTTATCACTTGTCTGTATCCATTCAAGACTGGTTAGCGGTACCCTGTTCGCAGAGTAGAATTATTAGAATGCTATTCCCTTTTTTTTCTCGTCTATTTTCCCCCTTCCACCGTGCGATAGGGATCGTCATGAATTGACAGCATCTTCAGCTCTAGGATAACGCACGCCAAGATTACATATATTTTACATATATTGTGAAAGTAAAACAACAATCTGGCGAACATTCGCCAGATGACATAACATAAACTATGACCTCCATTTCTAACATCAACTTACAGAATATATATAACCTATCTTTAAACTATGCCTAATTTAAACACGTTGACAGCTCTTTTCCCACACAGCCCAGTAACAAAAACAAAGGAACAAGAAAAGGAATGACAGAACTGCGCTACATCCGGAAAACTCCAAACCGTGTCTGCACGTCCTTATCAACCTTTCCACCTAACGCAGCCGCCAAACTCAATCCGAGCACCCGTCTCGTTTGCGCAGGCGGGATCACCCCGTCGTCCCAGAGTCGCGCGGACGAGAAAGTCGCCTCGGATTCCCGGTCGATACGGGATTTAAGGGCTGGGTCGGCGGTTCGGCCGACTGCTTCCATGACAGAGGAGAGTTGCTCCGACCCCATGACGCCGATTTTGGCGTTGGGCCACATGAACATTAGGCGAGGGGAATAGGCACGGCCGCTTTTTGTTGATGTGTTAGCGTTTAAGCTTTGTTTTTTGTGTGTTTGTTCTGGGGTTGTGACTGGAACTTACCACATGCCATAATTGCCTGCGCCGGCGCTGGAGCCGAAGACGACGGTGAATTTAGGGACATCGGCGCAGGCGACTGCTGTTACGAGCTTTGCGCCGTTTTTGGCGATGCCGCCCTTTTCGGCGTCGGCGCCGACCATGAAGCCGGAGATGTTTTGGAGGAAGAGGAGGGGGATTTTGCGCTGGGCGCAGAGCTCGATGAAGTGGGCACCCTTTAGCGAGGACTCGGAGAAGAGGATGCCGTTGTTGGCAACGATGCCGACCTGGTGGCCGTAGATGCGCGCGAAGCCCGTGACGAGGGTGGAGCCGTAGTCGCGTTTGAATTCGGCGAATTCGCTGCCATCGACGATGCGGGCAATGACTTCGTGGACGGGGATCTGGCGGCGGAGGTTGGTGCCCACGATGCCGTTTAGTTCCTCTGGGTTGTAGAGGGGTTCTTTGATGGTGGAGTCGTCGAGTTGGAGGGGGACGCTGGTTTTGGGGTAGTTGAGGTTAGCGATAGACCGGCGGGCGAGAATGAGGGCGTGGGCATCGTCCACGGCGAGGTAGTCTGTTACGCCGGAGATTGTGCTGTGGAGGTGACCGCCGCCCAGGTCTTCGGCTGAGACTTCTTCGCCCGTGGCGGCTTTTACGAGAGGGGGGCCGGCGAGGAAGATGGTGCCTTGCTTCTCGACGATGATGGTCTCGTCGCTCATGGCGGGAACGTAGGCGCCCCCGGCTGTGCAGGGGCCCATGACCACCGAGATCTGGGGGATGCCCATGGAGCTCATTCTAGCTTGGTTGAAGAAGATGCGGCCGAAGTGCTCCTTGTCCGGGAACACGTCCGCTTGATGTGGGAGGTTGGCACCACCGGAATCCACGAGATAAAGGCAGGGGAGGTTGTTCTCTTGGGCAATTGCCTGCGCCCGAAGATGCTTCTTCACGGTGATGGGATAGTACGTGCCTCCCTTGACGGTGCTATCATTGGCCACGATCATACATGTTACACCTTCGACTGTTCCAATTCCTGTGATAATGCCACCAGCGGGAACGTCTTCGCCCGGATACACCTCGTGGCCGGCCAGCGGGGAAAGCTCTAGGAACGATGTGCCGGGATCGATGAGGGCTGTCACTCGATCTCGAGGGAGCATTTTGCCTCTGGCAATGTGCTTGTCTTTCGCTTTTTGTGGCCCGCCTTGCGAAATAGTGTTATGTAGCTTGGCCATCCGATCTACAAGCTCCTTCATCTGTTCCTCATTCTCCTTGAAGTCAGGCGAGGACGTGTCCACGGCAGTGGGCAGCACCGATATAGCGGAGGCATGATGCGGGTGCGTATAGCTCGCAACTGATCTTAGAGATGTCTTGGAGGAGACTGTAATAGGGAAACGCGATGTGAGAAGCCGTCGCGAGTAAGGTAAAGATAATGATGTTTTGGAGCTCAAGCTCCGCAGAAGCGGGGACGGTGCACGCATTGCGGGGACAATCTAGGGAGAGCAGAGGATGAAGTGACACCGTGATACACCAGCACTGTGCTATCTCATGGTCTTGTCCGAGCCTTTATGAAAGGAATTAGACGAGAGTAATCGGGTGATTGAAGGAGAAAAAGCGACGGATACAATAGGCGTGGGGAATCGTGAAGAGCAAATGGACCCCGGATTCAAGTTGCGGAGAAACAGGAGCGACGATTGCCGCGTTTAGCCGCGGCTGGCATCGGCCTCCGCATTTCTCGATGTACTCCGTAATGCGACTCCAGTTCCTACTTCGTTTTCCTCGGATTTATTCTCACCTCTGCTTCAGCTTCATACTCCTTGTTTTTTTTTTTTTTTTTTTTGAGATCCAACTCTCCAAAGATACCCTTTTCACAATGTCTGCCGCATTACGTCTTCCATTCCTCTTGCGCAGCTCGTCCCGATCACTGGGATCAATCAGGAAACCCCTCATACAGATCCCCGCATCGCGAACATTCGCAACAAAACACCCTAAGGGCTTCGTTCCGCCCACTGAAGATGAACTGCTAGAGCTACGGGAACGTGTACAGGAATTTACCAGTCAGTAGTCTACCCGGAGTAATCCTGTGTTCTGTACTCTGACAATAAGTTCAATCAAGGGCGCGAGATTACCGAGGAAGTAGCCGCACGGACAGATGCCCAGAATGAGTTCCCGGCGGAAATGTGGAAGAAACTGGGTGATGCTGGGTAAATGCCGAAATCATGCAGTTGCATCATTGTACAACGCAGGCATCTCTAATCCAATCATTAGGTTCCTTGGTATCACCGCCAATGAAGAATATGGCGGACTCTCAATGGGTTACCAGGCACATTGTATAGTTATGGAAGAGCTTAGCCGTGCATCAGGTATTTCATTCTTCCTATTAACAACACCTTAAATATGAAGGTTCGTTAGTGTCCTAATTCTGTTTACCCTTGGGACTACTATAGGAAGTATCGCCTTATCCTATGCTGCGCATTCTCAACTTTGTGTCAACCAGCTCTCCTTGAACGGTTCACCTGAGCAAAAGGAGCGGTTTTTGCCTGGTCTTCTGTCTGGTGACAAAATTGGTGCTTTGGCTATGTCGGAGCATTCTGCCGGGTCTGACGTTGTTAGTATGAAAACGACGGCCAAGGCGGTTGATGGTGGCTACCTGTTGAACGGGACAAAGATGTGGATTACCAACGTGAGTTGCTTGAGCTCTGTATAAAGGGTGCCATGAGAAGGAGGCTAAATAATATTCTATCTCAGGGCCCCGACGCAGATTTTATCGTCGTCTACGCCAAAACGGAGCCCGAGAAGGCCTCCAAGGGAATTACGGCCTTCGTCGTCGAAAAGACATTCGAGGGATTCTCCTGCGCACGGAAACTTGACAAGCTTGGAATGCGCGGCTCAAACACCGGCGAGCTTATCTTCGACAATGTATTCGTTCCCAAGGAGAATATCCTCGGCGAGGTGAACCGCGGTGTCAAGGTTTTAATGGAAGGCCTTGATCTGGAACGTCTGGTTCTCAGTGCTGGCCCCTTGGGGTAAGTTTCGACCATCTCTTGCGTATCTACAAACCTAGAAAGGTCATGTGAACTTACGGTAATTAACAATCTCTAGTATCATGCAAGCTGCCCTCGACCTCGTCCTTCCTTATACTCATGTCCGCAAGCAATTCGGGACGCCCATTGCCCACAATCAATTGATCCAGGGTAAGCTGGCAGATATGTATACGAAGCTTCAGGCATCGCGCGCCTACACGTATGCCACAGCACGACACGTCGATAATTCTGCATCCTTGGGTGAGGTGAACATCCGGACACAAGACTGTGCGGGTGCGATCCTGTATGCGGCGGAGCGGGCGACGGAGTGTGCGCTTGATGCTATTCAGCTGATGGGTGGCAATGGCTATATCAACGAGATTCCCGCGGGACGGCTACTTCGTGATGCGAAGTTGTATGAGATTGGGGCTGGAACCAGTGAGATCAGACGAATGGTCATTGGACGGGCGTTCAACAAAGAATATGCATAGATTTTGGGACGAAAATTATATACAGGTCTGTTTTTAGTTCGTTATATCTATCATATCATATCTAGCTGGCAATTGTTATATTTACTTGTAAGAGGATACAGCGTTGGCATAAATACACAAGGAATAGGTCAACAATTTTGATGTCCAAACCCGCCTATTTCGTGGCTCTGTTTCTGGCAGATCGTCGTACAGGACCTGATGCCTCCGGAGGAGGGTCTGCGGTGTCACCCACTTTCTTTGATGCAACCCTCTTCGATCTTGTAGTTTGACCTTTGTGTGATTCCGCTTGGTCGAGGGCATCGGATGCCTTCCGTTTTCTTGTCCTGGTGGGCGGCACGGCTGAGGAATTAGGTTTCTTCGAGCTGGTATCCTGCTCTTCCGTTGTTGCATCCAGAATATCAGACTCCGCTGCCATTCCCATTGGGTCGTCATACGCTTCATCATCTTCAATTGGGTATTCATGCTCCAGCATCTTAGAATTAACCGGCATATCAGACGACGACTTGATCACCCTGTGCGAATGCACCGTCAACGGCGGAGACAGCCACGATTCAAGCGGAGTAGTAGACTTCGAACAAGCATCCGACCCAATATCCGTTTCCCGAAGGTTCTCCAACGACGATGCAGCAGATGTGTCATCAGAACTATCCGTCTTTCTAGCCACCATTCGCGTCAGAGGCGGTGCCATATCAGAAGGGTCGAGTTTGCGCATCCGCATTCGACCAATGGCAGGGTGAGACGACCGGAACACCTCGCGCCAATTCTTCAGTAGGGCAACCTTTTCGCCATCGCCGGGTTCATACAGTTTGCAGAGTGGTGTGTCGTTTGGGGTTCGCCATACTGTGCCCTGGAATGAGGCAGTGTCGGTCTTTTGGAGGGGCAGTTTGGGACCTTCTTGGGTTGGTAATTTGTGTTTTGGTGAGAGGAGACCGTTGAGTTCTTTTATGCTTTGTTTGTTGGGCCAGAGGCCCATTGCGCGTTGGCGGCGGACGGCGGTTGGGTCTTCATCGTAGTAATCATCGGAGTGGTCGTCCCAGTCGCTGAAGTATTCTTCTACTTCAAGAGATGGATCCTCGAAGAAGATGGCGTCGTAGTTGGCCGTTGCGGCGAGGTCATCCTGTATCGGCAACGGGTCAGTAATATATTTCGCAGTGGTAGAGTGCGTCTGATGTAGTGGTAAGGGACTAACAGCGATCTCGGGTTCCGGTTCCTCAATCCAGAAAATATCTTCCTCGTACTCATCATAGTAGTCTTCGTCATCCGACATTTTGGGTATATTAATAGTATAGCGAAAAGTAGTCAAGTACCAGGGTTCAAGACATGAAAAGGTCAGACAAGAATTGATAAAAAATCGCCAAGTCCAATACGTATTACTCGAAAAGGGAAAGACAGACGACAAAGACAAGAGAGACTCGAAAGAGATGAATCAGGACTTGTCGAATTTGAGACCAAATAAGACGGATTCTAGAACGAGCGTAGGATCCGACCAAATTCGAACCATATGTTGTAAGCCAATGGACTGGTGACGTCGGAGGAGGCTCGCTGATCGCGTCTTTTCCGGCGAAGAAAAAAAGAGATTAACTGCGCTGCTGAAGAAGTGGATCTCGGATGGCATCACGTGCCGGGTGTTTCCCCGCAGCGTCGCTTTGCGTCGGCTCAAGGGCCTGGGGGAATCCTAGTACTAGCATTCATGAACTTAAGCTGGCCTCGCATCTTTTATGAGAGCTCTCCCTGCTTGTCCCTTGAAAAATTTGCGATTTTTCTCGGAATATGCTACCTCCCTTCGATACTCTCTGTGGTGTTGAGTCAATCCTGTGACCCTATTCTATACAATGCCACTCTCGTCCCTTCTCCGCACTGCTTCCCGTCTGAGGCCGACGGCCGCTCACAAAGCGAGAAGAGCTGCATCTACGGTGTCTTCCAGTACACCACAAAAACAAAACACACTCGATTCAATACTCATCGCAAACCGAGGAGAAATTGCTTTGTATGTTTCTAAATCGTGTGGGATGTTGTTCCTGCTACTAACGATACCCTCACCATAGACGAGTCGGACGTACTGCCGCTCAACATGGTATCCGCGTAACTACATTATACACAGACCCCGATAGCCAATCTCAGCATGCATTGAGTTCCCCGTTTGCGTTCAATTTGGGATCCGTCTCAGCTTATCTCGATGGAGACCGTATCATTGATATTGCAAAGCGGGAGGGCTGCCAAGGGATACATCCAGGTTATGGTTTTGTATGCGTTCCTCACAGACGATGCTTATTGCCCTACTAACCTGCTTCTAGCTGAGTGAGAACTCGGAGTTTGCACGTAAATGCACGGAAGCTGGGCTGGTCTTCATTGGCCCTCCGTGGAAGGCTATTGAAGACATGGGGGATAAGAGGTAGGCTAGTTACTCGGTTTACTTTTTCACATAGACCACGCTGACAACTTTCCAAGTCAGTCAAAAAAGATCATGACGGCGGCGGGAGTTCCTTGCGTCCCTGGTTATCACGGTCAGAATCAAGATCCTAGCTTCCTCGAGGCCGAAGCGGATAAGATCAAATATCCTGTACTTATTAAAGCAATCAAAGGAGGCGGCGGAAAGGGAATGCGTATAGCTCACTCAAAGTCTGAATTCCAGGCCCAGCTACAATCCGCCAAATCGGAAGCTATGAACTCATTTGGAGATGATCATGTGTTGGTGGAGAAGTACATCACCACTCCACGGCACATTGAAGTCCAGGTGTTTGCGGACAAGCATGGAAATTCCGTCGCTCTGGGAGAAAGAGACTGCAGTATACAAAGACGGCACCAGAAAATTCTTGAGGAGTCTCCGGCTCCTCACCTGCCTGACGCGACGAGGAAAGATCTCTGGGCAAAGGCACGAGCTGCTGCTGAGGCCGTGGGCTATGAAGGTGCCGGCACCGTTGAATTTATCTTTGACAACGATACCGGGGAGTTCTTCTTCATGGAGATGAACACCAGACTTCAAGTTGAGCACCCAGTGACTGAGATGGTCACTGGCCAGGACCTGGTTTACTGGCAGCTCAAGGTGGCCGAAGGCGCTAAACTTCCGTTGACCCAGGAGGAGGTGGAAGCCTATATGGCGAGCCGTGGGCATGCCATTGAAGCTAGAATCTATGCGGAAAACCCCGATCAGGGATTTATCCCTGATTCTGGAACCCTGCTGCACGTACGCACTCCGAACCCCACAGAGGATATCCGAATTGATGCAGGCTTTGTCGCCGGCGATGAAGTCTCGGCTCACTACGATCCGATGATCGCCAAACTGATCGTGAGAGGCAACACACGACAGGAGGCTCTCCGCAAACTCGCATCTGCATTAGAAGAATACGAGGTCGCAGGGCCAATTACAAACATCGAGTTCCTGAAGACTATCTGCAAGAGTCCAGATTTTATCGCCGGAGAAGTGGAAACAGGATATATAGAGAAACATCGCGAAGAACTGTTCACCAAAGAGGCTATTGAACCGGAAGTTCTCGCACAAGCGGCGTTAGCTTGTCTACACTCTGACTCTGTACCAGTGGCTCGAAAGCAGGCAAATTTCGAGGGCTCTACTGTAGGATTCAGTCCAAGCTATCAGCTGCGGCAGATAACTTTTGCGGATCTGACGCCCGGAGCCAAGGACGGTGCCAAGTTTGAAGTTCGTGTCCAACAAACGGGCGACAACACTTTCAATGTAGACGTCGGCGGGCAATCCTTCGAGCAGGTGGTCAGCCACAACAAGCCCGGTTCGCCCGTCGTTACCTCTTTCTTTCCCCACACGCGCCTGGACACCACCGTAATCCGCGATGGAGACTCAGTGATCGCGTTCCAGAAAGGGACACAGTATCGCTTGTCGATACCCCGGGCCAAGTGGATGGACAAAGCACTGGGTACGAAGGACGTCACCAACAGCGTCCTGGCGCCAATGCCGTGCAAAGTGTTGCGCGTGGAAGTTCAGGCGGGCGATGTGGTGGAAAAGGATCAACCCTTGGTGGTCATTGAGAGTATGAAAATGGAAACGGTCATCCGCAGCCCACAAAAGGGAACCATTTCCAAAGTGGTACATCAAAAAGGAGTAAGTCACGCGGACCCTCTCCCCCCCCACCCCCCTGCCCCTGCACGCGAAGATTCCCATTGCCCGGCTATTTATCAAGTTTGGAGCTATTGGCGTGATTATTTGTATTGTGACCATGGATTCGGCCCGGTGTGGGATATTTATTCCCTTCCCGTTTTCCATCCTCCTTTTTTTTTTCCTCACCTTTCCATTGTTGTTGTATTTTTGGCCGATTCGGCGACCGGGGTCGTGCCTGAAACGGCTGGGCGCTTCCTTTTCTTCCATTTGGGAAGGCCGGGGTTTCATGCACGGACCGGCTGTCAAGCTTCCACGACCTTTCTGCCGGGTTTCGAAAATCTCCACTCACCCAATCAACGCGGACGGGGCTGACTAACGTGTACCTTGCAGGACCAATGTAAGAGTGGCACACCTCTGGTCGAATTTGCTGAGGAGGGCGGTGAGAATTAGAGAGAGGAAAAATACGAAAGGTAAGGACATTAGAGACAGTATGTATGTATGCACGTATTTATTTATGTATGTTCTCAAGAAGGAGGAGAGAGTTAAAGCGGTCGGTATTCCGGGTTATGGTACAATTTTGTTTAGGTAGATGGATACAGGTGGATATCACGCCAAATGTTAAAAACAGTTTATGGACTCCGAGGCGAGACAGCTCCAATCCCTCCTTAAAAGCCCAGTCCCAAACTTTTTCTCAACGAGCGAGATTATCTGTCATGTTGACAAGGGCACATGACCCCCTTCGGTAGTCTAATTGATCTGTAGCATGCCAAAGTCATGTACAGAGAGAGTTGTACAACCGAGTGGGTTAAATAAGTATAATCTTTGTGGGAACGGGAAAACAATGGGCAGAGCCAGGCCCGCCAGACAAAGGCGAGGCGCCAATAGAAAAAAATAAAATAAATAAATAAATAAAAAGTGGACAAAGATAGGAATACCGGAGAAAACAACCTGTAGGATGGGTACTTTGGGCCCCATCGCGGCATACGCCCCACTCAACCCAGCGATTTACTTTAAATAGGGCACGGGATGTCCGGCTCGAACTTGGGTCGTGTTGTGAACTCGTCCTTCGAGAAAGTATCTTAAATTTCACATAATGGAAATGGGACAGAGCTTAGGCTACAATGTGGCTAGCTAACATTGCCCCGGGGGCGGCATACGGGGGGCCAGAATCCTTTCTTTTCTTTTCTTTTCTTTGCTTTTTGCTTCGGGTTCAGGTAGGCCTGTGGTGAGGTCACTTTGTTTATGTAAATTAATTAATCATTCACCTACTATATTTACGGTGTGGCGAATATGATCGCGGGGAAAAGATGAAGTGGCTTTTGTTCCAGAGATCCGATGCTATTAGTAAAAAAATTGGGATAAAATCTTATTATATTAAAGGGCAAAGTATACATGCTTGTACATTTGCATGCATGATGTGTAGGGTGTTACGGTTCTTAACATGACGGCAACTTTAAAATGATGGCGCTGGCGTGTGATGGGAAGAGATTTTTTTCTTTACCTTCTTTTCTTCTTGTATTTGAGCTGGCTGAAATTGAGGTGACCAATGGATATGCGAGGACGGAGCAAAGCTGAATGAAATGGGGAAATATTTGTTAATTAACTACTTAAAGTTGTCTTTTCGTGTTGATAGACTATAGTTGATATGATATAGATCAGATGGAATGGAATTGAATTTTCTGAGCTCGGGAGTTATTGCTGGTGGTGCAGGTATTATTGCATTGGAGTACATATAGTAAGGGTCCAGTGGGGTAGAGTCTGTTTATATTGGGTGTTAAAAAATTACTCTGTAGAGGATACGGAGTAGAGTGGTGAGGATTGTCCGGATCGGGATGAGATAATAAGGAAGATAGTCATAATATAATTATGGGTCAATCGGAACAAGAAAAAGGAAAACAAGAGCTTTCTGGGGAAATTAACCAGAATGTTTTGACTCCAGAAAATCCTTGGAAGGCGACTAGTGGGAAACCGGTGAAACTGGAGTCACGCGGAAGTGGAAGATCCACCGGACTAAGCAGATCGCTGCATGGCGGTTGAGGCCTGGCCGCATCACCGCCTTTGACATCAACTTGTTGATCTGGTCTTGAAGAGTGTGTGAAAAAGAAAAAAATGAATAGAAAAGAAAAGAAAGAAAGAAAGAAAGAAATATTGTGTTCAAAAAGTTGCCCCCAAAAAAAGGTACATGGAATTTTCTTCCCCAGTCGAATCAGGAGGTGGATCTCTCCCAGCCACAGGTCCATCATTCTCTGGCCACGCTTGCGGTCGGTCACCGCAATTGCTCTGTTCCCTTGATCTCTTCCTCACATTCTCCAGCTCCGTTGTCCACTCAAGGTGTCTTAATTTTTTTTTTTATTCTTATTATTATTAATTTTTTTTTCACTTTTTTTCCTTTTCGTAAGTAAAAAACAAAACAAATAAATCTGTATTTCTATTCGGATCTATTTTATTTTTCATTGCGTCGCCGCATGTGGACACCTCGAATCCTTGATCGCTCCAGTTTTAATACTTCCCCTTTACTTACAGTACAAGAGGCGAACAACCCATCCGACCTTTTTTTCTTTAGCTTCCCATTGTTTATTTCCTGCTTTTAAGGAAGAATACATATACGCCGCCTGCCCATCAACCTTCCAATCCCTTCTTCGTCTCCTCTATCCATCCATCCCTTCATTCGTATACTCCCATTGATCGAATACCTCACCCCCCAAATTCCTCAGACCCCGAGTACATAGCTATTCTTAGCTACTTCCCGTTATTCACAATGTTCAAGTCCTCAGTCACTCGTCAAGCTGCCAAGGTTCTCCGAATTTCCACACGCCCGGCTGCGGTGACAGCAGTATCGCGGCCAGCGGCGGCCAACACGTTCGCCCGGGGTCTCTCGTCGACCGTTCCCCGGCTCAATGACGAGAAGGAGAAGGCTGCCAAGGACCCTCTCTTGGCCGCAACCACCAAAGCTCCCGAGGGTGTCTTGGGTGAAGCTGAGGGTCGGTTCGCTCGTGTCGACGAGAGCTTACAGATTGAATACCCCGATGATGAGAACATGCCTCGCAGTCCTATCGTTCAGGGCCGTGGCGGTATGCATTTCAAGCGGACCTTAGCTCAATTTTCTCTGGAAAACAAGGTTACCCTTGTAACTGGAGGTGCCCGCGGTCTGGGATTGGTCATGGCTCAGGCGATCGTTGCCTCGGGCTCTGACCTTGCCATTGTCGATCTTAACAGTAAGTTTTGAGCCTTGGCGAGCCAATTGATTTCCCACAGTTCTCACTGACATTTTGCCACAGAGACCGAAGCCGAAGAACAAGCACAGAAGCTGGTAGAGCAGTTCAGGAAGGAGAACCCGGGCTTGGAACAGTAAGTTAACTACATGGCCATATATATTGGAGGGATCAATCGCTAATTCGTTGAATCTCCAGAATGCCGAACGTTACCGCCCACTACGCTGATGTTTCCGACCCTAACTCGGTGAACGACGCCCTCTCAGAGATCATCTCGAAGCACGGTAAGATCGACAACCTGGTCACCTCGGCTGGTTTCACTGAGAACTTTGACGCCATTTCCTACCCTCACGATCGTCTGCAGAAGCTCTGGGGTGTCAACGTTGACGGAACTTACCTCTTTGCGACCGGGGTTGCCAAGCACCTCATGGAACGTAAGGTTCCCGGCAGCATTGTGATGATTGGCAGCATGTCTGGTGCCATTGTCAACGTGCCGCAACCCCAGGCACCGTACAACGCCGCCAAGGCTGCCGTTCGTCAACTTGCCGCGTCCTTTGCTGTTGAATGGGCCGGTTACGACATTCGTGTCAACTGCATCAGTCCTGGATACATGCTGACTGCTCTGTATGTGAACTTCTTCGATAAAAAAAAAAAAAAGAAAAAAAAGAGGGTTACCCGAACAGCAACTAACCGTGATCTTTTCTTTGCAGGACCCGCAAGATCTTGGATGAGAACCCCGAACTGCGGGACAAGTGGATTTCCCTGATCCCCACCGGCAAGATGGGTACTCCCGAGGACCTGATGGGTCCCGTTACCTTCCTTCTGAGTGACGCCTCTAAGTACATGACCGGCGCCGATATCCGCGTTGACGGTGGCTACACTCTGACTTAAATACCCCAAGGAGTATCTGTATTACTTATTTTGTTTCTATCTTTTCTTTTCTTTCCTACGGGCATGATGTACGGGTTCGGATTCGGTATAGACCGGTTTGATTGGTTTCTGGGTGGTATCTCGACCTTTGCTTCACAAGTTCCATCCTCTCTTGGTGTGGTTTGGAACCCATCAAGCTGCATTTTACGACGATAATATTTTTTTTTCTTTTTGTTTTGAAGAAGCGTGTTTTCCTGGGGAATGTGTTTTTCCAAAAGCGGGACAAGGTTATAGCTTTTTTGTTGTGGAGTACCCCAAAATGTTTTTGCATGATAGACTCGGTTTTTCTACAGAGTACTTTGATTTAGCATGATATCACTTGTGTTGATCTTCTTCTCCAACTGTGGAGATGTTTTGTCGTGACATCACTTCAGTCTCCATTTAATTTTGCATCCATCCATGACGACATCCCGGTGGATCCCTACTCGCGTCGCAACATAGATTATCAACCCTAGACAGTATTGCTTATTCCAGCTTATCAACCATTACATAAATACATGTTAGGCCCGCGGAGGAATGTCTGTAGCGTATCCGCATTAACCGCCTTAACCCAACCACTGAATTTGAATTTTGTACGTGTACATTCCTTCCCAGGTAAGATCCATCTACCGAGAAGGATCGAATCGTCGGAAGATTAGATACGACCAAACAAGGCCATGATAAGTGTGCTCTTATGTTATTGTTTTAGCTATCTATCTTGTGGTAGTAATCGCCGAAAGTCAGTATGTCTAAATTAGCAAGGATACTTGCGATGGGTGATCATTCAGCCGAGATAGCAATATACGTAGGAACTTTCCTTATAGCAGACATATCCTAATCTCACTTATCTTTACCTTCAATTATAACCTTTTTTTTTCGTCCCTTTCTTTCCCCACCATCTCCGAGTACACTCGAGTCGATAGCCTGGGTTGCTTGTATAGGGGTAATAATTTCATTTGAGGCGACATCAATACATTCAAGCATTTAATACGCAGTAGTTGGTACCCGTAGAACGATAGGAATTAGAGAATGGTAAAACAATGGTCTCCCGGCCGCTGGATTGTATATAACTACATTCCCGATACTCATATGTGCAAGGTACTCCGTATACCACCCCCAACGTGATGCGCTCGGGCTTTGTGACAGCTTAACTAATATCGCGTCCCTATATTACTAGGAATAGGTTGTCCTAGGTAGTTTGTTAGTGTACTTACTGTTCTCTATGACGATGAAGAACTCCTGTGTGGAGAAAGTCGATGAACATTGGGTGATTGATTTATTCCGGCTGAGTAGAGTATGTTAAGGCATTCTAAGGGCAGTGGTTTTAACTTTCATCTGTGCTGGGGGGAAGTGGATTATCTTTGTCGTTTACAGTCGATATTGAGGGGACTTCTTATAGTATTGGGCGATTCTTGGTGTCTTTTCAACTTACAGGAGATTGGAAGTAGACGGTATCATTATCAATTGATAGTGTAGAATAAGCAAACGCCTTACAGATTATAACACAACACCTATTGGTAGACTATTATTTTTTCATCTTCATTTGACTTACAAATCAGAAAAGCTGTAGGTAATTATGTAAATCACTTATAGCACAAAACCCTTCCAAACTTTGTCGCATTACATTAGCCCGCATCGGGGGATACACTAGATGATTACAAAACATGGTTGATACATGAATCGTTGCCGTGTGTTTCATTCAATCTTTTTTTACCGAGTCTAGATGACCTTCAAACTGCGGAGCGCATCGTTACCGGAAGGTTCGGCTCTTCTTGGCTTGATGATGTGCTTGATTCGAGCCCGAACGCTTAGTAGTACTTTCTCTTCCTTGAGGACGAGGTACTGGTCGAGGAGGCAGTAGATGAGGCACCCGAGCTAGAGGGAGATGCGGAGCTGGAAGCTCCACCACCGCCACCTCCGGCTCCGGTGGAGTTCAGAGTGGCGACTAGGGGTCCGATGTTGACCTTCTGGCCGCAGGGGCCGGAGGGTGCGGACACGCAGTTCTTGAAGTAGGTACCCAGCTGTCCAGTCTGGTTTCCAGACTTGAGGATCTCGTCGGGGGTGTAGGCGGGGAACAAAGAGGTGCTGTTCGAAGGGAAGTAGGTGGAGTTCGTCTCGGAGCCGATGTAGGCGGCTTGGGAGCTGTGCTGAGCAGCCAGACGAGCCAGAAGGAAGGACACCTCAGGAGCCTGGGTGTAGGCGGACAGGCCGATGAGGCCCCCGGCAACAGTCTGCTCGATCTTCAGAGCGTTCTTGATAAAGCTGTCGGCGTCCTTGGATGACGGGAAAGTGAAGTTGCACTTGGGAGCGCTGAACCCGGAGACGTCATTGCCAACCTGCTGCACGGCACGAATGCCTAGACGATTTTCTCTTGTGATGCCCTTGAAATTGGCTTCGTAGTTGGCGCGGGAAGCGTTGGTAGCATCCTTCAGGAACGTCTGGTTGAGAGGTTGAGATGACCAGAACCTCTCGGACAGATACTGGAGGGCATAGGCGAACTGGACAGTCTGGGCATCGGAGGACTTGGGCTTGCAGTCAGAGCTCTGAGCCAAGGCAGCTCCGGCCAGGAGGAGGCTGCTTAAAGCAGAGAGAATGCGCATGACTATGCTATTAGTATTCCGATCGAGCTTTCTTGTTGAAGTTTTGTGGCAGTGGAAATACAGTGGGCGTGCGAGCTCTTGAAGTCTGGCGGAAAGCACAATTTGATTAAATTTTCAGGGCAGAGGAGATGTGAACAAAACACAATAGGCCACTCTTATAGCTTCATACAACGGATGGCGATCTAGAATTTTGAGCTGTCGATGTAACCGTATGATGAAGTGCCTATTTTGGAGGTGGATACCAAACCCAAGTTCCCACATCCAAGAGGCGCAGAAGTCTATCGCCATCCTTTGCATCACGACATTCTGTTAATACTTGTTGGAAGGCCTGTTCCACCGTTCATAGCCAATGCACATGATAAATTGACTTTGCACTGCGAAGTTTGTTTTTTAGACGAGATGGAGGCCGTTCATGGTTCGGCGTTCGGGACTTACGCGGCGTCCCCGGCATCCGGCTCTGAAGACTTATGTCAGGATGGTCTCAGTGGCTACCGGTGATATCATTGATCATTGAATGAAGCTTTCCCTCTTTCTTTAGCGGGATGGTGATATCCGCATATCTCCGGGGAGAGTGAAAAAAAGTGGTGTCCGTGATCGACAGTTTGGAGATTTAAACTATGGGGAGCTAGACGCGATTGGGTTAGTCCACCGGACCCTATCTGTTAAATTTGGAACTTCAACATCAATGATTCACTACTCGTCTATATTTTCTCAACAGCTCATCCGAATACCGTTCTATGTACTTCCTGTCAAAGCAAGGAAATAGTATGGCAGGTAAAAGGTTTCACATCACAGACATGAAAATCCAAACTTGGTATGGTCCGATCCATACTTTCCAACAGCATCACATCCGGGACTTCCGCCTTCCACTCCCCAGGTGGAGATGCTTGATTGGGGTAGGACCGTGGATTACTAAGAAGACGAAGGACGAGTCAAGACAGAACGTCTTTCAAATCAAACCGATGTTCTGTCGCTGGCATGAAACGACTCCTTACCATGGTCATGCTTATGCTATGCAATACACTCAATGACCGTGTTTTCTTGCTAGTATCCAGAGGGAATCACGAATCGTCATGGAATTGTCCATTGCAACACATCCTTCGTCTACGAACATCCCCGTAGCGGACATAAGTGGTAAATGTCCATGAAGCAACTGAAATAACAATATATTAACTCGCGAAGAGTAAAAGGCCTTTATACGCCTAAAATTGATACCTATACATAAGAATTCCTTGCGCCCAAAAAATTTTTATCTTCGCTGCATGGAGGATGGACAAAGGGAGAGGGGGAAGGTTTAAAATATGCAGAGCACAGCTATATGTCAGTCTATGAATCATCCACAAGCCGTTTATGCTCCCAGGCCTTCTTGGCTCCTTCTAGGAGAGTCTCCATATTGCCACTGTTGTCGCACATGCTACAGAAAATACCATCTTTCTGGTTGATTAAGGTCCACGGATGATCGTACTCAACCACCCGGCCGTGATCCAGCACCAAAACTTTGTCGTAGTCGATGATGGTCTGCAAACGGTGCGCAATCGTGATGATGGTGCTGTCCCGGAGCTCGCGTAGCGTTTCTTGGATCTTGGCGTCGGTGTTGTAGTCAATGGAAGCCGTGGCCTCGTCCATCATGAGAACCTTGGGTTCCTTGAGCAGAGCACGGGCAAGACACATAAGCTGCCTCTGCCCTTGGGACAGATTGGACCCAGATTCAGAGATCGGTGTATCAAGATTAAGGAAGATGTTTCTATTGTCAAGAACAATGGTGCCATTCGGTGTCGGATTCGGTTCCGTGCCGCTTGTCACAGGGGTCGCGGTGCCAGACGTCCCAGAGCCGATTAAATGAACCCGACGGAGTGCCGTGAAAATCTGCTCGTCCGTGAAGAGATCGAACGGATCGAGGTTGCTCCGGATGGTCCCTGTGAAAAGAGTAGGATCTTGGGGCACAATAGTGATAGACTCTCGCAAGTCTCTAAGTCCAATGGTGCCGATGTCTACTTCGTCGATGACTATACGTCCCTTTTCTGCTTCAAGTCCGCGGAAGAGGGCAAGGGCCAGAGAGCTCTTGCCAGCGCCAGTGCGGCCCACGATGCCGACCTTTTCACCAGGTTGTACGGTGAAGGAGACATTGCGAAGAACGGGATCAAGGTCCGGTCTGTACCGAGTGGTGTAGTTGGTAAACTCAACTGCTCCGCCGCTAGGCCAGTTAGATGGCGGTCTCGAGTCGGGAATAACCGCTGCAGCCTCCTGCTCCACCTCGAGATACTCTTTCACTCGTTCGACCGAGTTCATGTTCTGCTGAACCTCCGAATAGAGTCGGACCAGCCAGAGAACATTCTCCGTAAATGTGACTGCGTATGTCAGAGCAAGACCAGCAGCACCAGCATCGATCTTTCCGATGCTGAGCAGGACAAAGACAGCAGTAAAGAAGGAGACCAAAGCGCCGGCAATATCTACACGAAGGGCAAGCCAGCGGTTACTGGCCCAGAGGTAAATGTGCGGCCGGTTGTAGTCATTGATGCGCCGATGATTGTCCACAAGAAACCTAGGCCCATCGCCGTAAGCACGAATAGTGACAATACCATTCAGTGTCTCGCCGAACTGTTGATACAGAGGGCTCCGCTGCACAGACTCCAATCGCTTCAGATCACGAGAGGAATTCAAGTACACTGCGCCCAAGGCAAAGTAAATCAATGTAATAAAGACTGCCGCAATTAGGAACCCTGGCATGATTACTGAAATCAAAGCCACAATCATGATGACAGTCGCTAGACAGTGGAGCATGCCAATTGCCACCGGGGCAACCTCTTGGTCGACAGCTTCAACATCCTTGGAAAACCTGTTCATTAACTGGCCAAGAGGCGTCGAGTCGAAAAACTTGAACTTAGCATGCATCACAGCCTTCAAGAGACGCTTATGTATCTTGTTGGATGCTTGCAGGGAGCCCCAGAATAGGACACCCTCTCTGATCAATGAAATTATAATGTAGAGAAATCCAAGAAGTGCGTATACGCCCAAGTAGTAGCCAACATTGACGTCGTTGTACGTCGCCGTAGCTGTCTGTACGCCAAACTGGGGGGCACTTTGAGACGAGGTTCGCGGGACGCCGCCAACATTGAACGACGGGATCTTGAAATTTGCTATCGCCGCGTAGTCCCCGGCATCATTCGTTCCAATCTCCTCGGTATGATAGGAGTTCGCCCACTGTCTGATCCAAATATTCGTTGACACGGACCCTAGTTGTTGTAAGGAGAACACAAGTACAGCGCTCATCCAGTACCATGAAGAGCCCATAGACAGGAGATACATTTTGATGATTGGCCATTTGATACTGCCGGTAGCCTTTGACTCCACCAATTTGGGCCGTGCCTCTTCCTTTTGATCCTTTCCAGCCGAGCCGTTGGTTAGCCCACCGTTGGTAACATGCGAATCGTCCTCATGACGGTCACCCAGATCGGTTGGCATGCGAGAGGGGCGCTGAGAGCTGGATCTGGAGGCGGGTCGAGATTTGAGGAGGTCGTCACCCAGTGCTCCCGATGCTGCTACTTTATCCGGATGTCCTTGGATGGTCACCTTGCCGTTGTCCAAAACGACAACATGCTCTGCTTGAGGGACAGTCAGGGCAACATTGTGGGTAACAAGCACGCAAGTTCGGTCCAGCATAAGGGGTCCCAGGAGAGCCTCTCGGAAAATGTGTTTGGCTGTGTGGGAATCAACAGCACTCAGACAGTCATCCAACAAGAGATGGCGAGCCCTGCTGTAGATGGCACGAGCGAGGGATATTCTCTGCTTCTGCCCTCCCGACAAACTGATACCTTTCTCTCCGACGATAGTTTGATCACCTGCGTCGAGGATGGAGAAGTCTCGTTCCAGAGCGCACGCCTTGACCACAGCGTTGTAGCGGCGTTGGTCGAAAGGAGAAGCAAAAACAATGTTTCCCTTGATAGTATCATTGACCAGCCAGGCTTCCTGCGCACAATACGCAACGCTTTCCATAAGACCCGACTGAGGGTGGATTGGTAGTTCTGTCCTGCTCACGGTTCCACCGGGTAAATGAATGCTCCCTTCCAGGAGTTTCATTTCTCCCAAGAGCGCCATCAGAAGAGAGGTTTTACCAGAGCCCGTCGGTCCTGTAATGATATTCAGCTTGCCAGTCCGGAATGACACATCAATATTGATCAGGCGGAATGCGTCCGTGGTATCACTCCGTGGGTCATCCTTATACTGTTCCTTTGAGTTTCCCCAAGAGAGAGTAGCCTTGTCCAGTGCAATTCGAGGCGGCTGTGCAGTTGTGTTACTCTCTTCTAACTGGCTGTACTTCTGAGTTTCCTCCTCGTTGAGGAACTTATCCACACGTTCCAAGGAGACTTTAGATTCTTGGACGTGCGCTACCATGTCGGCCAGTTGATCCAACGGAATTCGTAGCAACGAGAACATCGATAGGGCCGGGAAGGCAATGGATGGTGTCAATTTCTTTTGTTCTACCACTGTGTATAGGAAAAATGAAGCGAAAGTGATAATGAGCGGCGTTCCATACCAGACGGTTGCTGCCGTAGACCAGATAATATAACGGTAACGCAATGCTTTGAGCTCCGTCTGGCGTTTCTCGTTCACAATATCTTCGAAGCGCTGCTCCCATGCAAAGTACTTAATAATCCTGATATTCTGCAGGATCTCATTTGTAGCGTGTATGCGAGCGTCGGTTGAGGCAAGAATCTGGTTTTGGATCTTTGAAAATTGCTTGGCAATGAAAAGGTTCACCGGTAACATGAAGACCATTATAACGATGCCAGCGAAGGAGCTAAATCCAAGCAGACGATACAGAAGCGAGACAGCAATTATGATCTGCACCGGTACGCTGGCCCACAGAAAATGGAGGTAGGCACCCACCTCACTGACCTTGAACGAATCAATAGCCATTAAGTTGATGATGTTACCTGTGTTAGCCGCGTGGGGATCGTCGTTTTCTTCCGAATCCTTCACGCTCTGGTCATCTGCCTCAGGGTCTGTTGTTGTGGCCTTCTTCTTCTTTCGGCCGAAGGTAAAAGCCCTCTTCTTCTTACTAGCTGGGGCTGGTTCTTCGGATTTCTTTTTGCCAGCATCGACAGAAGCCCCCGCCTTTCGCCTCAGAGCTTTGGCGTAAATCTCGCCAATGATTATAGCGCGGAGTTTCACCCCTAGCCTACGCCCCATCCAGAGCGCTTGTCCATCCGCAACACCTTGAATTGCTCCCGAGCAGAACAATAAAATGGCATATAGCCAGGCGGCATTCGCGGTGGTTGACCTCGGGTCTTCCACATACTCCAAGATTGCTTTGAGGAGGATAGTGGGTAGGTACGTGAAAAGGCACGAAAATATCGTCCATGCACCTTGCCACAAGAGTATAGGCCAGAAGTAGCGGCCAAGCTTCCACACCAAGGAGCCCTTGTACTGCCTCCGGCGAAAGTCTTCCAACACGGTTGCAGCCTTTTGAGATGAGGTTAAATTCCAGACATCACTGAGTTCCAGGGATTGTCTATAGCCCCGTAAGATAAGGGGATCTAGCCAGGAAAAGGTTGCTAAGGAGAGTAAGCTGGCAGTAGGATGTCTCGCCGGCTGGATACCATCCTCGTGTGGAACTAGTACTGCTTTATTTCCTCTGCGCGTCGTTACTGCGATCAGAAGGAGAAGAGTGGATAAGGAAAACTCTATCGCGCTAAAAATTGTGGCACGCCTTGAGACGGGGTGGATGACTGCAGACCGAAACACGAGGACATTGAACAGCCACTGCAGCCCATATAGAAAAGCAGTATGATTCCATAACCTGGGAAGCAATTGCAAGTCCAGCGTCGAGAGAAGCAAGCGAACTAAAGTCAAGAAGAGTATATAGCTCCAAGAAACCAGCTTCGCCACCGCAGAGAGTTTACCACGATCGCCCCAGGTGTTTGTCCACAAAATGGCGATAAAAACAGCCACTTCACCCAGGACCGTAACTACCTCAAGCGAGATCAGTGCGATTTCACCTCGAGGACGGTCGACTTCAAATTGTAACAATTCCTCTTCAGCTGCCTTAGACAACATGTGATCCGTTTCCTCTCCCTGCTCCTCACCCACTGGGGCGCCGTTTTCGGCGGCATCATCCACCAGAATCTTGTACGAAACACCTTTGCGAGACACGAGATAACGGTAGGTAACACGAATTACGATAAATAAAAGCGAAAGCCCACATGCGGTCAGTGGTAGAATTAGTTGGAGATAACTGCGATTTAAAATGGTTAGTACGCTTGAAGGGAGAGCTTGGAAGGGTGTCGATCATACTTGCGCTGGAAACAACGGGAAACGTCATCGATGGCCCAAATCGGACCATGACATTCCGGGGTCATTTCTAACACAGACCAATCGGTAATAACAGTAACGATGAGAGCTCCAATAGATCATCGGCCTCGCTTCCAGGTCCTGGTGGCAGACCTACGTGGAGGACGACGGGGATGATAGTTAAACAGCACCCACTCGTATTAGAGACAGTCTCCGAAAATTATGCTTGGCATGGCAATCGGAGAGAGGGGGAAATTTTAAGAAAGAAACAAGGAAATGAAGGATTAAAAGATGACGATTTGGTGTCCCTAATGTCCCTAACAATTTTGTAGGTAAGAATGGGGTGAAAAGAAGGATGAACAGGGTGAGAGCAGGTTCATCTGGAAAAGAAAAGATGGGAAGGAAAAGGAAAACGACGGATGACGGAAGGCCAAGAGAGCAGTTGGAAGAAGTGGAATGGGGGGAGGAGTGGATGTCCCTTAACAATAGTTCTCCACCGCCTGGTGCGAGGATCCAGAACCTAGGCCGACGGTTATTAATGATACCTTTTGAGTCAACTCTTGAACAAAAAAGAATTGGAAGGGGGGAGGCCTGTTCAGCTCATTGGTGGCCAAGTCTGCACAAGATACGATTGACTAGAATTATCTGATGGCTGCAGCTCTTATGACAGGCCACCAAACCATGCGATAATTGGTGCACATCTTAACCGCAGCTTTTCAATTCTTTCGCGAATACAAACAAATATATACTACTAGTCGCGATATCTATACGGTATATGACTCAGGGTATTTATGATTGAAGGTATCTAGTACTCCCCATTTCTCTCTCTCTCTTTTTTCTTCCCCCCTCTCTCTATTACTTTTACTCAAAGGTTTTTTACTAGATGTCTGTTCATCTTTCAGTCACACCGATCTTGAGTGACCTCTTTGAACCATAAATAAGCCAAGCTACTTTCGCCTCGAATCTATATGGAGTACAGGAAGTCCGCCCTACCTGTAAGAATTCGTCATTCCGTTCCCAGTGTCATCAGCAACGATCCTAGCGCCGGCAGGGATAAATCACTTTAATGAGTCACTGGGTCGCGATGTAACCTCTGAAAAGAAAGCCCTGACTCAAGGACTTTGTTCCCGATCGCCAGATTGGGTAATTCGTATCTTGATAAGCGGGATAACTGCGAAACTTACAAACTTACTAAATCGCCTGCAGATACCTAGATATCAACACCAGACTAAAATATGTCTGCCTCGTACTAACCGCACGTAGATGTACAAAAACCCCACTTGGAAGGATTTTGTCTCCACCTTTCTCCTCGTGATAATATATTTCAATGGAATACTGAGAAACCAAAGCACCTGTCCAGGAACGTAGACTAGTAGCACTCACGTCTACACTAGATACCAGACTACATATGGACCCCGAGTGGGAAAATAAAATGATACATGAAGGAGTGGGGAATAACGCCATTGTCATGGAAAAGAAAAGTGGTTCAGAATTCACCGGTGACAAGTTACAACACAGGCCTTTGTAATGAGACAATCAAAACGCCATGAAAGAAATTTTTTTTTGTTTCTTTTTTGACTTTTTCCCTTTCCTCTCTTTCTCCCCTGAGCGGGTACAGGAACCCACAGAATTGTTCCATAGCGCCACTCCGGAACTTTCCGTGGGGATTGCCACGGCCAGGCTTAGTTGGAAAAACGGTAGAATCTTATCGCCTCAAGAGGACGATATTGCCGCCCGTTGGCAGAACATGCTTCTGAAGAGCGACCAGCTTACATCTTCTCTCCAACGTCAATCATCCTTGGACCGACATTCTTTGGGCGACGCAACCTTTCCTTTCCTTCCCCCCATATCGGTGGTCAACGCCATGACAGAGCGTATCTTGATGAACGAATACAAAACCCTTGCTAAAGAGCCTTGGGTCAATATCGAGGTAAGTCCCTCCGGTGTCGATGGGACCTACACTTTGTGTCACAGGATTCGACTAACGGTCTTCCCCTGCCAAGCTCGAGAACGAGGATATCTTCAGATGGACCGTCGGGTTAATCGTCCTTAACCCCGATTCTTTGTACTACGGCGGCTATTTCAAGGCGTCTATGAAGTTTCCCCCGAACTATCCCTTTTCACCCCCAGGTCAGCATCATCGGCGGCGCTCTAGAACTCCAACAATGCAATTGTGACTGACCCGACAATCTGCACCATAGAATTCTCTTTCCAGCGTCCTCTATACCACCCGAATATCTACCCAGATGGCAAACTCTGCATCTCGATCCTTCACGCACCAGGCGAGGACGAAATGTCCGGTGAGCTGGCCTCAGAACGGTGGTCTCCTGCCCAGCGTGTTGAATCTGTCTTGATCTCCATACTTTCGCTCCTGGATGACGCCGAGGTGTCGTCACCCGCCAATGTCGATGCTGGTGTGATGCTACGGAACAATCCCGAGAAATACAAGTCGCTCGTCCGGAACAACGTTGAAGCTTCGAAACAAGATATCCCAGAAGGGTTCGTCATGCCGACCCACCAACAGACAGCAGTGAAGCCCGTGGAAAAGGATGATTCGGACTTCTGGGTGGAGAGCGATGTGGACGATGATGTGTTCGGTGGAAGCGACTCAGATGAAGACTTGTACGTTGATGATCAAGATACCGGCAGTGACGATGAGGAGAACGAAGGGGAGGAGTAGAAGAAGAAGGAGCGGGATTGATCGTGGCGCTCCTCTTTGTGAAAGGTGAATACCATGAGTATAACTTCTATGTGTATTTTTGTCTGGTTTTTTATTCTTTCGAATTTTGGAGTGGGCGTTTGTACATGGCATAGCGCGGGCGCAAAGGAAATTTGATTCACATAGCTCTGGCATTTTTGGAATCAGCAAACATATATATAGCATTCAATCAACCTGTTCATATGAAAAGCTTGTCGAAAAATTTCCATGTGATCTGACTCTATGAACCGAGTTGGAGTGAACCAAGGGTAAGGATAGGAGTGCACCGAAGTCGTTATCTGGATCTCTAAAAGAGGAAGAGAATGCCCAGGACATCGAATTAATGCGCGGGGTTTCAAATGGATTGACTGCAACTGGCCTACCTGATCCAGATACATGTGACTATCAGGCGAACCATACCGTATTCACCTCGATATTGGATGATGAATCAGGGTAACCTCAATTCTACAGACATACGGATATGAGCCGAGAGGAAATGTGATACTGTGATATTCATCAATCATCACGACTCTTTCGGGTTGTTCCAAACACTGGTAAACCCGCCTCTTCCCTACTGGGCGTTCGGAATGGTATAGAAGACATGATACTCTAACCTATCTATTACAACTAGACCGCAAAGGAAGCTGTGAATATGAATAAAACAATGTCGACTTAACCTTCATTCTAGATAGCTACTTCACTTTATTAGCCTGTTTAGGTGCGCATTCCGCATGGCAGGCATACATGCATTTCCCTACTGCATAATAGACTGAGGGAAGAACCGAGAAAAGCAGTTACCCACGTTCTTTAAGCCAAAATACCACAGTGGACACGTTTAAGCCCATCAATCTAGTCTAAACGAATGTGAAGGCTCTATGATTGACCAATAGAATACTCTTGTCGACAGTCAATCGGAGACGCAATCGTTGGAGAGTACGCTTATTCTCGTTGTTGACGAGCGTTCCTTTCATTCTAGCTTCTCACATAGCAGCAAATGGTCACATTAGGGGATGAATACCTTTCACTGATGAAGAACAATGAATATGTATAATATGATACTAAGTCACTGTCACATTAGAGAGTCACATGTGTATTACACGTGATTCATGTATTCTACTCAAAGAGCGCGGCTATAAAGAATATGGTCTCAAGGCGGGCACTAAAACCCCTCCCTTACTGTTGGCCCAACCTTCAGGTTAAGCCACGATTATCTGGTGTGACCAATCGCATGTTCAAATTGACAATCTGTTAGAAGCACACGAATATATCTCTAGATAGGATGTCAAACGTTATTGTGGACATGTATACTACGATAATAATGAAAGAGGTAAACCATGTCAGGATAATGTACCCAATGCAGTCAATGCATCAGCTTCCCCATAATGTCAAAAAAGTAGCAAATAATACTAGCGCCAGTGTTCGGTTAACCAATTCCCATACCCTGCCATAAAACGAAACTGGTTACGTTTCTAAAAGACTCTTGTCTTGTCTTGGATCTATGCAACCACAGCATCTTGAATCTCACTGTAGATAGCGCCAAGCTCCTCAGCAAGCATCTTCTCAGCCTTGTTGACAAGACCATCGAAGCGGTCCTTGATGGTACTGCCAGCCTTGTAACCACCATGGGCAACGATCTCGGTGTAGTTGGAGGTGCCGCCACCGTTCCAGGCAAGGAGCTAGAATTGATCAATTAGCTTTCTCTTCATGATGCCAAAATAGACAGTATGACTTACGTTGGGGGTGTCAGACGGGATATCAGTAAGAGCACCCTTGGTGGCGATCGAGATGATGTCCTTCTTGAGCTTGGCAGGGGTAAGCTCATCGACAGCGAAGGCAGACTCCTGAGAGGGTTGCAGAGAGACGAAGTAGGCCAGCAGACCAGCAATGTGAGGAGAAGCCATAGAAGTTCCGGAGATAGTGTTGACAGCGTGTTTGCTGCCAATCCAGGTGGAGAGAATGTTGAGACCCGGAGCGAAGATGTCAGTGCACTTTCCGTAGTTGGAGAAGTAAGCACGCTCATCCTGGAGGGTGGAAGCACCGACAGTGATGGCGAGCTCAGCGGCAGCAGGGGAGTAGTTGCAGGCATCGGCATTGTCGTTACCAGCGGCAACGGCAAAGTGAACACCGGCCTCGACACCGGCATTGACAGCATCCTCAAGGGTCTTGGACTTGCCACCGCCAAGACTCATGTTGGCAACGCTACCCTTGAAACCCTTGACCTTGCCATCTTTGGCATCCTTAGCCTTCTTGATATGGGACTGGACAGCCCACTCGACGCCCAGAACGACGTCGGACATGGTGCCAGAGCCGCTGGACCTCAAGACCTTGACAGCATAGAGGTTGGCCTTCTTGGCAACACCGTACTTCTTACCTGCGATAGTTCCGGAGCAGTGAGTACCGTGTCCATTGCCATCCGCATCTTCATCGTTGTCAGGGACGGTCTTTCCCCAGTGTGCACGCTCCTCGAAATCGGCGTGTTCGATGTTGATACCAGTATCAATAGTGTAAGCATCAACACCCTCACCGCCTTCCGACGCATAGAGGTATTTGTTGAAGGTGCCAAAGGAGAGGCTGTCACGGTGGGAGATACGAGCCAAACCCCAAGGAGCGTTCTTCTCGACGGCCTCCTCCATGGTGTAGACCTCTGAATCTCTCTCGATGTACTCAACCTACAAATCTGAGTCAGAACCAGAGATCTTTATGAGAAGTGTGTAGGGAGTGAAACTCACATCAGGATGTCTCCGGACCCGCTCGATCACATCCTCGTGGAAATGTCCAGAATAGCCCGCCAGGGACCCACCAATATCAAAAGTGTTCTTGAGACCAAGGAAAAGATCATCATCAAAGCCAAAGAGAGACCGCTTCTTCAAGTCAGTCCGTCCAGTCATCGAGTCGTGGATGTCCTGCACCCAGCTGTGATGAGCAGCCGCCGCTGCGGAGTTGACATGCTTCTTAAAGACAACGATGTAGGAATCTGGGACCTCTTTGGCATTCGTGGCCGAAAGAATGGGAGCGGCTCCGTTGTGGATGGAGTCAACGGCGACGGGGGAGGCTGCCGCCAGCAGTGGCAATAGGGAAAGGCCGAGGATGCCTTTCATGACGGGCAACAGGGGTGACGTCTTAAAACAACAAAGGAAGGGTTTCTAAGGAAGAATACGATAGTTGAGAGATGGAGAAGGGGAAGGATGATAGATGGAGAAGATGAACTAAGACTTGAGTTGGGAAGAGAAAGAGACACAGGGAGAGGAGGATGGGGAAGAGTTGAAGAAGGAAGAAGAGGATGGGAGCAGGTGTAGGTAAGATAGACGGATTAATAGGTCGATCCCCCAAGCAGGCAAGGGCAGCGGAGGATGATGCAACCGGGATACGGTAATTTACAGCGAGGCCGGATGACACAGCTTTACTCTTACTGAGGAGGTGCGCGTCGATCCATCCCGATTAGCGCGGGTCGCAAGACCTGGGGTATGGCGGTAAGAGGGTAAGGAACCCCCAAAAAGGGACTTATCGGAGTGATTCGTCCCCCCATCCATGGTCGGTAAATAACTCCCAGGGTTCCATGGGTGGACGCCATATCGGAGCACGAAAGGACAATGGTGTTCTATCTCCCAGAAAATGAGGCGAATGAGTGGAGACTTCTGCAAGTATGTTTGGAACCTCTTCCAAGGATAGCTCAAGTGGTGAGTCAACGATGAACAAGGTACCCATTTGATATTGACTTCCTTCATTATGTTTGGTCTCCAGAGGACGGATGTATGTATATAGGTATCAGGTTGAGATATCCCCTTAAAGACGGTGCCTACTGTGATAGGTAGGCATCATTATACTGAGAATTTTTCAAAATCCTAAAATCCTGATTCCTGTAGCGGTACTGCAGGTACTGTACCTGACCGACTTCTCAGAGTAGTACTGCTTACTAGGTGCCTGAGACAAAATAGTTGGCATGTTAAGTCAATGGCGTTGCGACTGGTCGCCACCACCAACCAACCTACCCGGGCAACCCGAGTCGCGTGCCATGGGTGCACGCCCATTCACTGTTCGGCTGACTTTTGATAAGAGGACGATCGTACGGTGACCGCGGAGGACTAGAAGCGCATTACCGTGCTTTACAATACAGGCGGTCGGGCTTTGTTGAGATAAGACAGGTTCTGCTTATCGATACCCTCATTCGACCAATAATGACCGCCGACTCTCGGAGGTTATGGTAGCTTCTTGTCACCTGATAAGTCACTAGGTCTGGGAGCTGGAAATCGCACCCATGCTCCGATGTGCCCCCCCCGCGTAACGGCACCGCCTCTAGTGACGTTGGCATAAGACCGTCTATCCACATTCAGGAACATCTTTAGGGTAATACACACTAACACAACTCCGAGCTATCCTACAATCACCTTCATTCCTCAAGTTGGACCTGATACAATCGACCTTTTCCCGATTCCTAAAGTAGCAATTGTTGATCTTCTGACTCGTCAGCTATCCCTGCCGTTCCCCTCCCTCCCACCACATCAAGTGCCATGTTGGGAAAGTGTGTGGATTGCATTCACTACTAGCCACCATAACGCATACCAATGCAGACCGCCTTCAACCTTACGCTCAGTGCTGGTTCATGGTGTCTGATGGTCTTTGGCCATCGAATAGGTAGTCGGGGATAAGCTTTAGCGGCGCAATGAACCGGTCCACCTCTGTCCTCTCGCGGTCCCCTTCCTCGTCAACCCAACGGCCGGCTGCCCCCGAGTTAACTCCCGTCTTGGATGAGCTGAGAACCATCTGCAATGATAATGATGCAATAACGTCTCAGGTCGCCCTCGCTGCGACCGAATGTCTGCTTCGTCTCCGTCACACATTTATCGATAGCAAGCGCCCAAGTGAAGCGAAGGAGACCTTCCGACATCTACAGGGTTTCCAAACTCTACTGGCTCTGCTCCGAAAGGTCTCACTATGTTATGATTCGCATGTGTCATCTAAGGATGAGAGGAAAGACCTACTGTCGCTTTACAGAGATGCATTGGCAGTACTGGCTGAGGGTTTGAAGGAGCATTTTGGGAACAAGCGGTATTTCGCAAATCGGATTGGCAGAGGAGAAGGGGCATTGGAAGAAGTTTTCACCATCCTGGCCAAAAAAGTTAACTCAATTCAAGGCGATACGGAGCAATTCTACGGCGCGATCTTAGCAGCGGCCCTTTGCCAGGAGACAGTTGCTAGTGTATTCACAACCCTGAGTACTAAATTCCAAACCGCTGAGGAGCTATCTTCGGATAGTGTTAGAGAAGAAGTGGACCGATGCGTAGGAAAATCAGAAACAATTGAAGTGCCAGAGCTCCTTGGCCCATTTGTTCGGGTATGGTTAACGCAGTCGTCTGCCTCTATATCTGAATACGGAGTCCAGAGACTAGCCGTGCCGGCATGTCTAGTCCAACTCGCCTCACAGTCTCAAAGGAATAGCACGACATTACATTCCACTGGCATCATCTCACTGATTCTGCCACTTTTGTTCAATGAAGAGCGCCCGGAACCCGAGAGATTATTCTACCAAGAATTGGCAAAAATACTTTGTACTCTGGGAATAAGTAACTTGAATGACGTGACCGCTCTGTATCGACAAGCTCATGACTGTCCGAAGGTTCTTCGTTTTCTCGTTGACGTTTTGAAATGTTCTAAAGAACCACCCTTGATACAGTTTGACTTATCGTTGCATGGCTATTGCTCCTTAGAACTATCAACCATGGGTCGCTCATTCCCACCGGCAACTTCTTCTGGTTATACCTTAGCAGTCTGGGCACGGTTTGACCAGTTTGATCCGAGCACTCATACGACGATTTTTGGAGCTTTTGACGCAAGTCAAACTTGCTTCTTGCTCGCGTACCTTGAAAAGGATACACGAAACTTCATATTGCAGACTTCAATTAGAGGGCCTCGTCCTAGCGTTCGGTTCAAGTCTATATCCTTTGAACCTAATCGATGGTACCATATCTGCGTGGTCCACAAGAAGCCCAGGCCGCCGTCATACTCCCGGGCATCTTTATTTATAGATGGCGAATTCGTTGAGCAATTGAGGATCGAGTACCCGTGTATGCCGGTTTCCAACTCTCCAAATAGGCCGCCAAGGGTTCAAGCGTTCTTTGGGACCCCTCAAGATCTGGCGATGAGGCTGGGGAAGGGTATCTCAACCTCTCGATGGTCCCTAGCTAATGCAATTCTGTTTGAAGAAGCATATAGCGACGATATGATTGCCGTCTTTTACAATCTCGGCCCACGTTATTACGGCAACTTTCAAGACTGTCTAGGTTCCTTTCAGACGTATAAGGCCTCTGCAGCGTTGAACTTGCGGAACGAGCATCTGCATCCTGGTAAAGAGGAGTCATCGGACATTGTTACTGCTATCCGGCGAAAAGCAAGCACTCTTGTTCGTGAAGGGTGCATAGCAGTTAATGTTTCTCCCCTATCAGTTCTAGACGATGAGGATAGTAATAATATTGATGAAAATAGGCTTGTTAAGTATCTTTCGAAACAAGCAGCCAAAAACTTGCATCAGCTGACAAAGTCTGGAGGAAACGCAGTAGCTGTCAACGGCGCCACTCCCGCTATTAATGATGCTTTAACCCAGGCCCATGGCGTCGGTATCCTGACGGGGGATCCTGTAGTTGCAGTACCACAGTCGTTGGATGACGCGAGCTGGCGTATCGGAGGCTGTGCGGCGGTGCATCTGAGCTTGGTTCACGCGGCCAGTACCGCTGAATCTACACTTTTGGCGGTAGAAGCATTGTACGAGGCTGTACAAGACAACTGGCGAAACAGCGAAGCAATGGAGAAAGAAAATGGGTATGGAATTCTTGCAGCATCGTTACGCGAGAAGCTGGCATCTCCGTCTCCAGCAACAGGCACTGCCACAGGCCCGAAGACTTCCAATGTCTGCTCCACATACGAGGAACGATCTACTTTGGCTTTCGAGCTACTTCGTTTGACCCTCAAATTTGTCGGTTATGATTTCGAACAACCAAATCGCTCGATCATCACGAATCCTCTAGCATACAGAATCTTGCTCGTGGACCTAGATGTGTGGAGATATGGCGAGATGCCTCTCATTGAATTGTATTACTCCCAATACTGTATATTTGCCAGCGAAAGCAAGTTCCGTCGGTTTAATGCAAAGCGTCTCGCCCGCATGCGTAAGCCTTCCCTAGTAACTCAGTGTCCCGCGTTTTCTACACTTATATACTAATAGAAAGCAGGCGTTAACAAAAAGTTGCTCGAGGCTCTTAAGGGAGAAGAGTTTACGCTGGAGGGTCTGCGCCTTTTTACTTCCGCCTTCGGGTCGCTGATGGAGGGTTGCTTGTCTGCAGACTTGTTCCGTTCTCTGGCCCTTTTCATCACCTATGGTATCCATAAGCCAAAGGAGCCGAGCAGGTTACAGAAGAAGAAGAGCCTACGGTTTAATACGGTTACAAGGCAGCCCACACCTAGCCCCGGCCAGAAGTACGTTGCAAGCACTACGGTAGCGATAGAGATGCTTAGGATGTATTGCTCTCTTCTGTGCAATGCACATGATCTTGGGCCGATAAAGAGGTTTGCCAGAGCTGTTACAAACAAGGTTTGCAAACTAAATGGTACCTTTTGTGTAGCTAAGGTTGACTTTGGTGCAGTGGCTTTTGTACCTTATGTGTGAGGACGAACCCGAGATTGTCATTTTGGCAACGAAGATCATGGCTCGTTTGATAGTGATCCATGGAGGAAGTTATAGCAAGAAATTCAGCGACAAAACTGGGGGCTATATCATAATGCGACACTGTCTAAAGAAATGGTGGAACGTCCCAAGCCTGTGGCCCATCTGCTTTGCGATACTTTTTGGCGTCGATATTGGTAAGGTCAACATTGATAAATCGCTCGATCAGTCTTCTCTTTCCGAGCTCTTTTGCCCTAAAGGCGAAGCTCAGGTTATATATCCTGAAATGCTTCCAGTCATCTCCGATATGTTGCAATCTGGTTTGAAGCCGACAGTATTCGCTGAGTTCTCAGTGGTAAATAAGCCGAGCCCCGATGCTCCTTCGGATCACCTTGTGCAGTTCACCAAGCCGTCTATGTCATTCTCCGCACCCATCAGTACGACAAGTGAGGGGCTGTCACTTTTAACCGCCGTTGTTGAATTTTTCGCTGTAGCGCAAATAAAGTCACAGAGCTTCCGTGAGTTCGCAGCACGGCCTGATTACGTCCAAAGCCTAGTTTCTATTCTTTTCCCTGTTGTTATCGGCTCCGATGCTGTAAGTCCGGACGTTGAGTTAAGCTCTCAACCTCGTATGGGTGATCTAGCATTTGATGAACACCATCTAGTTTCTCGCCCACGCTCGCGAAGAACATCTGAACTACGAACAACTACTGTTGAACAGCCTGGAAGCCATGATCATAGTGGCGGGCCTTTAAGACGCGGTTCATCCTTCATATTAGTTTCCTCTGATCGAGGGAAATACATGCCGTCCTCTCACCGGATACGTCGTGCTTTCTCACACATGAAAATTGACAGCAAAGGGACAACTGACCACCCTCTCATAACGGGCATTCTTAATCTAGCTCTTTCTGTATTCTCAGAGCAGCTTCTAGAGAGGAAGGACTTCTCTGGTCTGGGGCTCTATCTCAAGACGCCACCTGGATTCCCCGAACATCAGGCGTACTTCAACTCCTGGGTGTTACGCAACCTTCTTTCTACGCTTAAGGATGCCATATTCTCAAGGGTCGAGTTACTGGCCGAACCCCGCGTGCTCACTAACTTGGGACGCTTCACAACACACCTAGGAGAAGCAGTGTATGAAGGTTGGTTCTTCGACGGTGCCATTGCCACTCTTGAATTTGCAGGAACAATCTTAGAATATCTCCAACGGCCTGAGGTCTCGCGCCTGAAGAGTATAAGGCTCTGCAGCCAAGCGATAGCAACAATCCGCTCGACACTGTTTCGTGTCGTTTTATTCGGACTATCAGAGGTCGACGGAACGGAGGCACTTTCTTTTCTAAATCGCCTCTCATATTGGCAAGTAGTACTTCTTTCCGGGGAAACCCAGCCCGACCACCTGCAGTTGCTATGCTATCTTCTCTATACGAAATTGATCGATAGAAATGAAAATGTACGCTTGGCTGCAGCTAGTCTTTTTAGGATCATGCTAGTGCAAAAGCCGATAGAGATGTCTACCATCCTAAGCCAAGCAACAGCACCTCTACAGCAGCGGCTTTCCGGTGGCTTTGAGGCTCTTGTTGGAATGGATGATATTGCCTTTTTGCAGTGGGTTGATGACCAGGAGAATGACTTGAACACCATGTTTTTCGGAATATTATCAAAAGCATGGGAAAGCTTTGTCCAAGAAGAAAACGCGAGCTTAGAGTCATCAGCACGCGCTCGAATTTCTAGGCGTCATGAAAAACTGAAGCAGTGGGATCAGGTGGAAAAGCTCGATGAAGAAGTGATACGCAAGCATGAGGCTACCTTCCCTCACTGGATATCGAACATATCAGCCTCGGAGTTCTTGAAATATCAAAGAGCACTACAGGATCAACAAGACAGTTCCACGTTTATGTGGGCGGCACTCGCACACTTGAACATGGACTTGCGACGCTACGGAGGTGTTTTTGCTGAACAAAAGGAGAGAAGATGGCGGCTTGACCAAACAGAAGGGCGAAGCCGTATGCGGATACGTACTGTACCGGATGACTCAGAAGAGCATCAAGTTTATCAGCCGAAACGAAAGGCGTCAGAGCCTCCGGCGATGAGATTAGACACGCATGTTACCTCTTCAAACGGGGAGTCATTTGGCCTGACTCCCACTGCCATGGCTGCCGACCACTCCGAGGCTAATTCTCAGGGTATTGGTCCTGACAGTAGGAGCGTACTTGAAGAAAGCTTCGAGATGATTGACGACCCGAAGGCAGATCTTGAAGACTATGAAGACAAGAATAGAAAAGTCATGAGAAGCCTACACCGTGGCGACCAAGTCGATAGTGTTTGCAACATGTCGCGTATTGTTGGGTTGGAGGCATGTGAAGGTCTTTTGATTCTTGGAAAGGATCACATCTACATTCTGGATAACTTCTTCCAGAGGTCAGATGGCGAGATTGTCAATGTCTGGCAAGCCCCTGCCGAGGAACGAGACCCTTACGTTCGCATGATCACTGGCAGAGAGTCGAATGAACGTAAATCACAGGAGCATGAAACTAGAAGCTGGAAATGGTCGGATCTAATTAGTGTCTCCAAGAGGCGATTCCTATTTCGCGATGTGGCCCTCGAAATATTCTTTACCGATGGAACTAGCTATTTGCTGACCCTCATATCATCGCCCGCCCGAGATAGCCTTTGTAGCCAACTTGCGACCAGGGCTCCTCAAGTAACAGGAAGTGTTGGCCACTCAAGGCCGGAGGATATCTGGAGATTTGAGACCCTTCGAAGCCCGGAAGATGCGCCTCAGTCCCTTGGTTCGAGATTCGCCAGCGTATTTGGTCATTCACCGGCACACCCTGCAACGCGCAAATGGGTAAAGGGTGAAATCTCCAATTTTCACTATCTCATGCTCATCAATACCCTCGCTGGAAGGACGTTCAACGATCTGACGCAGTACCCTGTTTTCCCATGGGTGCTTGCTGATTATACAAGCGAGGAGCTGGATCTGACCAACCCACAAACTTTCCGTGACTTATCAAAACCCATGGGTTGCCAAACCCCTGAGCGCGAGGCTGAGTTTAGGGAACGATACAAGGCTTTCGCAGAGATGGGAGCAGACGACTCTCCCCCGTTTCATTACGGAACTCACTACTCTTCAGCTATGATTGTTAGCTCATACCTGATTCGTCTCCAGCCATTCGTGAAATCATACCTTCTACTTCAGGGTGGCACATTTGACCACGCTGACCGTCTTTTTTACTCTATCGCTAAGGCTTGGGAATCCGCTTCGCGCGGGAACATGTCGGATGTGAGAGAGCTAATACCTGAGTTCTTCTACCTCCCAGAATTTCTTGTCAACTCCAATAAATACGACTTTGGAGTTCTACAGAACATGACTACAGCGATTGATTCTGTGGAACTGCCGCCATGGGCGAAGGGCGACCCTAGAATATTCATTGCAAAACACCGTGAGGCTTTAGAGAGTCCTTATGTAACCCAGAACCTGCACCACTGGATTGACTTGGTGTTTGGCTGCAAACAGAAAGGAGAATCTGCAATTGAAGCGGTCAATGTTTTCCATCACCTATCATATCAGGGAGCCAAAGATGTCGATGCCATCGATGACCCTGTTGAACGACTTGCTACAATTGGCATCATCCACAACTTTGGGCAGACACCACACCAGATCTTCAATCGTCCTCACTCACAGCGAGAAGATGTGCGCTACAAGGTCCCGCGCTTAGACCGCCTCGCTGAGTCACTTACACAGCAGCCACTTTCACTTCTGGGTATGGGTTTGAGCTACCAAGAATTTTTTCGCTTGCTAATACTAGAGTCACAGATATTGGCGAGAGAGTGTCATCACTTTCAATGAAACAAGACCGCCTGTTATGTGCTGCTGCTCTCAGGCTAAACATCCCACCCGCCTATGACAAGTATATGGAATGGGGCTTTTTCGATGGTAGCGTGAGGTTCTACTCAGCGGATAATCGAAAGGTATGTGCCGAAACAGCAACCCTACCCCCTCCTTTTGTAGACCACATACTGAAATCTACAGCTTCTGGGACATTTCGAACACCTTCATATTGGCCAGCTGTCTGCTGCAGTATTTGCGGATTCCCGTACGTTGGTCACCTCAGGCGTGGATTGTACCGTTTCGACATGGACATTCACCTCCACGGCAAAGTCTGTAGATCTACAACCTGCAGGGTCTCTATTCGGACACCGCTCGCCTGTAACGGTATTGGCAGTCTCGCGTTCATTTAGTGTTCTCCTCTCTGCATCTACTGATGGTCAGATTATGCTTTGGGATCTCAACCGACAAACCTTCGTTCGAGAGCTTCCGGCCAAGGGATACGTAGATGTAAGCTATAAAATGGTTGTCGGAGTTGTCTCATCCTACGTTGCTGACTTTTGTTATAGTGTGCAAGAATCAACGATGTAACTGGAGAAATAGCGGTTTGTCGGGGAAGTCGACTCAGTCTCTACACACTCAACGGGACGCTGTTGCTGGACCAGGCTGTGTGCGAGTCAGACGAGGACCAGGTGATGACCTGTGTCTTCTATGAGGGCGTGAACAATGAGTGGCAGGAGCGAGAGCTTCTCTTCACCGGCCACAAACGAGGTGTTGTCAATGTAGGTGTTCTTGTCTAGAAGACTGCTCTTCCTTTTCTTCTAGATGGAGGTTAACCAAGTTCTAGATTTGGAGTAAAATCGTTCACAATGGGCGCTTTGAGTTTGAATTGATTCGACAGCTTCATCATACTGACAACAGTCGTGACAATGGAGCCAATATCTCTGCCGGAATCAGCTATATCCTTACGCTCCCGCATGTGGTCTACACGGGTGATGAAGTGGGGAAAGTGGTACGTATAAGCAGCCCCCATATATTATTTATTGAAGCTCATACAACCTATAGTATGAGTGGAGCTGCGTCCAGCGTCGCTAAGAGGTCTTAATCATCTTGCCGCTTAAACGACAAGCATACAATGCAGTCGAGTATACAACGTGTCTACATTACAATCGCCCTCCCGTTCCGTATTGTCTGTTTTTCTTTCCTTGGTTTTGCTCATTTAGCCTGTTTCTTTTGACAAAAATTATATAAATGTGGCGTGGGGGCATGATGAATGGTTATATAAGTGGTTTATAAAAAGCAATAGACGTGGCGGCGGTTAAATTGTCTAAAAAACGGAAAGCAAAAGCTTCGGTGGGAGATCTATACTTTCTAGGCAATGGAAGATCAAAAGAGGGCCTTGTTGCCCATCGTCCCCACCATGTAGACTTCCTGCGGTAAAGCCGAGTTGAACCTGTTCCTAATTTGATTTAAATTTATGGTGAGATTTGAGCTACTAGCCACAACTTTTGAAGAGACACCGTTGTTGTATACTATAGTATTGCCGTATATAGGTCTATCTATGTAATACTCATAGCTTTCTTCTCTCTTCTCTCTCTCTTTCATTAAGCAGCAACACATAGCACTCCGGCCAAACGGACTCCACTTTGATAGCAGATATTGCCACAATGGGGCCACACCTACCCTACTATTACCCCAGATTGTCCTGAACTAGACTCGGCCAGGCTATACATAAATATACTAGGTAGTGATGTGCTGGCTCCTTTCGTAATACAGTCCGGTTATATATAAATATATAACTCACCTAGTTACCTGATGATTTACGAGGATGGGACAATGTCCCTACTTGTCTTTATAAGTTTGAATATGAATAACTAACATCCCCGATACACGGAAAAACCTTGGTAGCTATAGTGGATGCTTCATGGTCGTGCTCTACAGGTATTGCAGTTTGGCTGTAGTCATTCTCAATGGCGCATAGCCATGAGCAAATCTTGAAGTGAAAGAGGGTGTAAATTTAGTATTTCTGTCATGCTCTGGGGAAGGGTTAGTTCATGTTAAGATCGCCGATTAAATAAATCTGCAGTACCTTGGCTTGCCCTTGCTCAGTATTACCCGCAATATCAGTTCCGCTCGGACCTGAACAGTACTTGATAAACCCCAATTTCTTTATAATCATAATCATGAAATTAGGAGTTTACTCTTTACTATTATCGAGATATTATATAACACGTAGAGTGTGTTAACTATATACAGTTCTAGATTTGTATAGATTCCACCGCGACGCCTTTGTGACAACGAAAACCCGATCCTTTTTGTCAGCTGCTCACCAAATTCTTACTGTTGTGTTATGGAGACGGAACTACTCCTCCGTAGTGTCTTCGGTGAAAGGTACGGACCTCTGGGCAGGCGTACCATTGAGCACTGAGCGGGGTTTCATTTGGTGGGATACAAGGTGGACCGCCATAGCCATGCGTTGTCGGAGCACACTGCGCCGATTGAACGGGCCTTTGTCAAGGGGTTTGTTGAGGGGGGGAAACGAGGTTTTGCAAATAGCCGCGCTGATGTTGGAAAGATTTTGATGGGGGAAGGAGGGGACAAATTGACCTTTCTTTTTGTTTTGAGGGGGTCATATTATCATATTATCAAGTACATGTATCACATACAATATGTATGTATCAATTGGTATAGAGGGTCGTACAGCAATGCCTGGGGTGGGAACTTTCTGGGACCATGACTAAGCCCGCTATTTTACTAAGTTAACAAGAGGAGAAAAAAGAGGCATAGCGTCATAGCCCCACCATCCCACCTCGCGGGTGCCATAGGAAACCACTGGTTTGCTCCCCTCCTCTGGCCTTCTCTGTCTTTCTGCGCGATCGCCACGTCCACCCGTTCTATTTCTACTCCGGGATTTCTTCCTTGATCGTCAAGTCTTTCTTCTTCATACTCTTCTTTTCCGTATTTCCATTCCATCAATCTACGTTCTTCTAATTATACCCCGTTCGTGATACCACATCAATCCTCGCAATGTCTTCTTCTCTCGAGCAGCTCAAGGCCTCTGGCACTGTAAGTACTACCATTGCCCCTATTGCCCCTGGTGGCCTCTGGGTCGCCTCTTAAACTCTGCTGCTGACTCTTCCGCTTAGGTCGTCGTTTGCGACTCTGGTAAGTTTCTTTTTTCAATCACGAGGAATTGACAATATTCGACTGGAGGTGATAATGTTGACAATTGATATTTCTAGGTGACTTTGCTAGTATGTCTCCCTCCCCTGTCATCATCGTTGATCACCAAAATCTGACTTAATAATAGCTATTGGCAAGTACAAGCCTCAGGATGCCACCACCAACCCTTCTTTGATCTTGGCTGCTTCCAAGAAGCCTGAGTACGCCAGCCTTATCGACGCCGCCGTTGAGTACGGCAAGAAGCATGTACGTCATCACCGAACCACCGAGCATATCGTATGTGTTGGAAATAATCACCTAACAGTATAAACAGGGTAGCAATATCGACGAGCAAGTTGACGCCACCCTTGACCAACTCCTGGTTCAGTTCGGCAAGAAGATCCTCGAGATCATCCCCGGCAAGGTCTCCACCGAGGTGGATGCTCGTTTCTCTTTCGACACCCAGGCCTCTATTGACAAGGCCCTTCACATCATCAAGGTACGGTATACCCGGACTGATCATTTGGAATGACGAGTGCGCGGCTGACTGGTATATAGCTCTACAAAGAAATCGGTATCCCCAAGGAACGTGTCCTGATCAAGATCGCCTCCACCTGGGAAGGTATCAAGGCCGCTCAGGTCCTCCAGCGTGACCACGGCATTAACTGCAACCTGACCCTTATGTTCTCGAGCGTCCAGGCCATCGCTGCTGCCGAGGCCGGTGCTTATCTAATCTCTCCCTTCGTTGGCCGTATCCTTGACTGGTACAAGGCCGCCCACAAGCGCGACTACTCTGCCGAGGAGGACCCCGGTGTCAAGTCGGTTCAGAACATCTTCAACTACTACAAGAAGCACGGCTACAACACCATTGTCATGGGTGCTTCCTTCCGCAACACCGGTGAAATCACCGAGCTTGCTGGCTGTGACTACCTGACCATCTCCGTAAGTTCCCAACATTACCTGCGTCATATTGATTGGTGTAACTAATAAGACATGTGTAGCCCAACCTGCTCGAGGATCTCTACAACTCTACCGCCGCCGTCCCTAAGAAGCTCGACGCCACCAGCGCCGCCAGCCTTGACATCCCCAAGAAGACCTACATCAACGATGAGGCTTTATTCCGCTTCGAATTCAACGAGGAGGCTATGGCCGTCGAGAAGCTGCGTGAGGGTATCTCCAAGTTCGCCGCGGATGCCGTGACCCTGAAGAATATCCTCAGGGAGAAGGTCCAGGCATAAAGGGAGACTGCCATACGCGTTAATAAAGTCATGTCCATGCAATGTTCTCATGTAAAAATTGGCGACCTCCAAAATTGATTTAGTAGATACGATTCATGAATGTGTTCTTTCTTCAATTCACCTCTCAACCTACTATAATTGATTGGTTCAATTACGTATTTTGTTTGGGTTGAAAAGTAATGATGGTTGTAGGAAGTCATCGGAAACGGGAATTGATGTCGATCTATAAATACCGGCCCTGGAGCTCAATTGCGTGCTCGAAGGAGGAAGTTGATACCAGAGACTAGCTTGAGGCAGAAGGGACTTCTAAGGATTTGTCATTGTGTTTTGCTACTACCATGAACATCGACGCTTAAAAAACAATTAGATAATTTGGTGGTGCATCGAACACTATTACTAGTAGCGTATCCGTCTGCATGGTGGGGTCATGGATGTATTTATATAGGTGACTTCGGAAAATGGTACATGGAACTAGTAGTAACTTTCTATATCTGGACACAAAGGTTACTAAATGGAAGGTCACCTTCCCCATTTAAAGAAGAGATCTGGACCCTCAATGCTTAGGAATTCGCCGGAAAAAGGAGTGGCTAGAGGCCAATACAATACACAAGTTGAACGTCATTCCCGGAAGACCCCGCCAAGTGGGGGGTTTCTTCATGGTAAATTTCCAATTTTCCTTACTGTATACTGTAACCACAATACCAATCGTCGCACTTCACACTGGAAGCTCATCGAATCCACCTGGTTTTACTTTACTGGGCCTCAGTACTTTACTTACTAGTAGAGCCCATGAGAGAATCCCGTCATATTAGTTACCCCTCATCCCTCATCCCTCATTTCCTCCTCTTCTCTCTCTTCCTTTTCTCTTTCTCTTTCCCATCTTCACTTCTCCCCTTTTACTCTACTTCTTAAAACGAATCTTAATTAATCTCAACCGTCAAAATGGTCAAGGCTGGTAGGTACCTTTATCTTTATTTCCCCTCCTGGCTTTGTTATTGGCTTTGGGGTTCGAAGGATCCACGATCGACCGTGGCCGGGGGACCTTGGAGTGAGCAGATTTGAGCACCTTGTGAAGCAACCCCCTCGTCTTGCTTGAGCCCCCCAGCCTATCACTGGGCCGCATCTCAGCCTACCATTATTCCTAGATCTAAATACCGGGGTGCTCATTCGTTACGCTCCCTTTCCATGTTATGGTTTTACCGGTTCAAGCTTGGGGATGTGCAAGCTTTCATGCGGTGCTCAGGAGACCCTAAACTCGTGGTCGATCTTCTTCCTCAGATGTTCTAGAATCTCTTCAGATTCAAATGCACAATCTACACTTTCAACCTTTGAAGAACAAGAAAAAGAAAAGGAACCCATGACTGACTGTTGTAGTTGCTGTTCTCCGCGGAGACTCCAAGATCTCCGGCACCGTCACCTTTGAGCAGGCTGACGAGAACTCCCTTACCACCGTCTCCTGGAACATTACCGGCCACGACGCCAACGCTGAGCGTGCCTTCCACGTCCACCAGTTCGGTGACAACACCAACGGATGCACCTCCGCTGGCCCTCACTGTATGTTTCTATGTTCCCTGTTGGCCTTTTACGAGGACAGGCATCAGAGGCTGACTATTCCTATCCAGTCAACCCCTTCGGTAAGGGCCACGGTGCCCCCGAGGATGAGGACCGCCATGTCGGTGACTTGGGTAACTTCAAGACCGATGCTGAGGGCAACGCCGTCGGCTCCAAGCAGGACAAGCTTGTCAAGCTGATCGGTGCCGAGAGCGTCCTGGGCGTAAGTTCATCTCGAATGTCGATGGGGTAGACGCAGAAGACTAACCATCATAGCGTACCCTGGTCGTTCACGCCGGTACTGACGACCTCGGCCGTGGTGGCAACGAGGAGTCCAAGAAGACTGGCAATGCTGGTCTCCGCCCCGCTTGCGGTAAGTGGCTAGCCAATTCGATAAGTTATGATAATTTACTTACGTTAATGGTTTACAGGTGTCATTGGCATTTCCGCTTAACTGCATGGTTCTATGATCAAATCTAGGATGTGAAGTGCTAAGTCAGGAATGGAACAGTCTGAACGTCATACTGAAGGCACCTTGGAGATGCTCAAAAAGTTGATCTGGACGAATCTCTTTTGCGGTTCCTGGAGGACTGAGAGGAGGGTCTGATCTTGGCAAATGTCATTCTAGAAATTGTAGGTATAGGAATGATGACACGAGTAATTTTTTTCTTCTTCGCCAATTCCTAAACTCCAGTTCATTATATCTTCACTTAACCTATAAAATCAAGCTCCCCAGGTAGTAGTATTGGACACTACTAGTATTATTAAAAGTACCAGTAGTGAAGTGAAGTCCATTGAAATAGGACTAGTGTTGACATAAAATGAATAAATTTAATCTCCCCTTGGCCAGACTTTTTTTTTCCCCCACAAAAACCACCGAAGGTCAGGTGTCCGCCCGTTAGTTAGTCTGGAAGCTCTCCCCTTCCAACCACATTTCATCTCTCTGGCCTACCCCAAACTTTCCCCCTTATCAACAAACGCTCTGGTGCTTTCCATTACTGCATTTTCTTTCCCCCTTAATTATTCCTTCTTTGAATTTGAAGAGGAGTGATCTTCCACACCGATATCCTTCAGTGTTGTCAATCTTTAGCCCTGCCCTATCATTGGTTGCTTCCCAGTATGCCTCTGGAAGCCCGTGTGAAATCTGTCCTGTCAGGCGACACGGTCGTGCTGTCGCATATCACCAATCCAGGACAGGAACGCACTCTTAGTTTGGCATATGTTTCAGCGCCCAGGTTGCGCAGAGAAGGCGATGAGGTGAGCTAAATTTCATTTGTTCTGCTCCCCAATTGCTACTCCCCCGGTTTGTTTGGGGTCAGGATAGGTGGCCTCTATCTCCGAGCGTCTAGCTCTCGGTTTGACAACTATGCCACTTCAAAAAAGCACTTACATTCAACCTTTGCTTTCTGGCACTAACCCCCTTCATTCTTGCGACTCAATTGAAGTGACGGAAAATTAACGTTCTTGCTAACACTCCCTCCCTTTCCAGTCCTACGCTTTTCAATCCCGCGAATTCCTTCGCGAGTTGCTCGTAGGAAAGGTCGTCCAATTCAATGTCTTATATACCATTCCGACCGGTGCCAGGCGGGACTACGGCACAATCAAACTTCCCACCTTCGAAGTTTTGCTGCCCGATATTAGCGTTCAAGAAGGATGGGTTCGTGTCCGTGAAGAGGCCGGTAAACGCGCTGATGAGTCCGAAGAAACCGTCGCATTGCTAGAGCGCCTGCGTGCTTTGGAGGATCATGCTCAGTCCGAGGGCAAGGGCGTATGGGCTGGAGCAGAGAAGGGCCGCACCGAAACGACCTACGAACTCTCTGACGGAAAATCCCTGGTTGAGGAATATAAAAACAAGCACCTAGAGGCTATCGTTGAGAGGGTGCTGAATGGGGATCGACTTGTCCTTCGCCTGCTGCTTACTCCCCAGGAACACCTGCAGGTTGTGGTTGCAGTCGCCGGTGTCCGGGCGCCATCTGCCCGACGGGTGAATGCTGAGGGTAAGGAGCAGCCGGCCGACCCTTTTGGGGATGAGGCACATCAGTTTGTTGAATCGCGGTTACAACAGCGTAAGGTCCAAGTGTCTCTGGTGGGTGTCACGCCACAGGGTCAATTGATCGCAACCGTCCTTCACCCCAACGGCAACATTGCTAAGTTCCTTTTGGAAGAGGGTCTGGCCCGTTGCCACGACCTCCACGCTCCTCTCCTTGGTGCCGATATGGCTACTTTCCGTCGTGCGGAGAAGGTCGCCAAGGATGCCAGAAAGGGCCTGTTCACCGGTCTTGTCGCTCCGAAGGGTCCTGCTGGCGGGGCCCTCGACCAAGACTATATCGTTAGTCGGGTGCTCAACGCCGACACCTTGTTCCTCAGGAACAAGGCTGGTCAGGAAAAGAAGATCAGCCTGAGCAGTATCCGCCAGCCTAAACCTTCTGACCCCAAGCAGGCACCCTTCGCCGCTGATGCGAAGGAGTTCGTGCGTAAGAAGGTCATCGGAAAGCACGTCAAGGTTTCTATCAATGGCAAGAAGCCTGCCAACGAGGGATACGAGGAAAGGGATGTTGCCACTGTCATTCATGGAAATACCAACATTGCTTTGGCCCTAGTCGAGGCTGGATACGCCTCGGTGATCCGTCACCGCCAGGATGATGACGACCGGTCCCCCGACTACGATTCTTTACTGATTGCTGAGGCTGATGCCCAGAAGGATGGTAAGGGAATGTGGTCCCCGAAGCCACCTAAGGTGAAGCAGTACCAGGATTACTCGGAGAGTGTCCAGAAGGCCAAGATGGAAGTTTCCATTCTCCAGCGGCAGAAGCGCGTGCCCGCTATCGTAGACTTCGTCAAGTCGGGATCTCGCTTTACTGTGCTTGTGCCTCGGGAGAACGCTAAGCTGACTCTCGTCCTGTCCGGTATTCGCGCGCCTCGGTCAGCCCGTAATCCCGGCGAAGCATCCGAGCCTTTTGGACAGGAGGCACACGACCTAGCCAACAGGCGTTGCATGCAGCGTGATGTTGAGATTGATGTGGAGACCATCGATAAGGTTGGTGGCTTCATTGGCACGCTCTACGTCAATAAGGAGAATTTCACCAAGGTCCTTCTCGAGGAAGGTTTTGCTACCGTTCATGCTTATTCTGCGGAGCAGTCCGGACACGCTACCGAATACTTTGCAGCAGAGCAGAAGGCCAAGGAGGCTCGCAAGGGGCTCTGGCATGACTGGGATCCTAGCAAAGATGTTGTAGAGGAGGAAGTGGAGGCTGCTGATTCTAACGGAGCTGACGAGGCTTCCCAGCGCCGCAAGGACTACCGTGATGTCATGGTCACCTATGTTGACCCCAGCAACGGACGCCTGAAGGTTCAGCAGATTGGCACTGGCACATCTGCGCTCACCGAATTGATGAATGCATTCCGCTCATTCCACTTGAACAAGGCTAATGACACACCGCTGCCTGGGCCCCCTAAGGCCGGTGACTTTGTTGCCGCTAAGTTCACTGAGGATAACGAATGGTACCGCGCCAAGGTGCGTCGTAATGACCGTGAGAAACAGCAGGCCGAGGTTGTCTATATCGATTTCGGTAACGCCGAGGTTCTTCCCTGGTCCCGTCTCAGGCCTTTGAGTCAGCCTCAGTTCTCCGTGCAGAAACTTCGTGCCCAGGCTGCAGACGCTACTCTCTCTCTGGTTCAGCTCCCTGGCTCGGGAGACTACCTGCAAGATGCCGCCAGCTTTTTGGAGGAGCAGCTTTACAACCGTGAGCTTGTCGCCAACGTCGACTATGTTTCTCCAGAGGGGATCCTGCACGTCACTTTGATGGATCCTTCAGAGTCCAAGAACCTTGACCACAGCATCAATGCTGATCTCGTCCGGGAGGGACTTGCCATGGTGCCTAGAAAGCTGAAGGCTTGGGAACGGTCTGCCACTGAGACACTGTCGCATCTGCGTAGCCAGGAAGATGAGGCGAAGCAGGAAAGACGTGGTATGTGGGAGTACGGTGACCTTACCGAGGATTAGAAGCTTTTCAAGTTATGAAGGAAAAGCATTATGTGTATAAATATTTGCAGGTAAATTTACAATGATTCACAAGGATACGGGCTGTGTGTTATGGAATTTTTCTTTTCTTCCGGGCCATTTTACGGAATCCTTTAGCATAGTCTAGGATGTACCGGGTCTTTCGAATGTTGAATACCAAAAGTTGTTACAGGAATGGAGTTGACATCCGTGATGCATAGTTATGCATCCTGACATAAGCGGAATTAAGTAATGCCCGACGCGAACTGCAGTCCAAAACTTACTTTTACTGTACAAATCAACAATTTTCCGCTCCAGCTCGTGTCTGTCGTTCTGCCTCACCATCGGACAGTGTCTTATATTTCCTGGAGCAGCCTTTACATATCCCTTGTCATTGCCGACCGGAACCTAGAAGATATAGATCAGGCTCCGCATCGGAGCGAAAGGACTAGAAAATCAGCCGTACCAGACGACGATCGTCTGCCCCGTGCGTCAATCAATTAATTTAATCTTCCCTTATCCGAACGATCCGAGACACAAAATTATCACTCCAAGACCAGAACAAAATCTTGAAAAAGAGAACAAGATGCCTCTGTGGCGGACGAAATCCAACCATAGCCAGGAGAGCGGCAACGCTGCGCTAGAAAGCGATCCCAAGAACGACCCCGTTGCGTCGGCGTCTCAGGCTGCGGGGACGGAATGGCTCGCCGGACATTTAAACCACCTCACTGAGGACCAGGAAAAGAAGCTACAGGAGTTCAAAAAACTGTGTGAGGAGAACGGATATTATAAGCCCGGGAGCGAAAAGGAGGAGGCAAGCCATGATGATGCGACGATGTTGTATGTTTTGTCTTTGTTGGGGCTTTGGCGGGCAATGTCATACTGACAGGGTGTTCTTAGGCGGTTTCTACGCGCCCGCAGATTCGACGTGAATGGCGCCTGGGGCCAATTCAAGGATACCGAAGATTGGCGCAAAGAGAATGCCATCGAGTCGCTGTATGAGAATATTGACGTGGAGTCGTACGACGCCGCGAGGAGGATGGTTGGTTGAGCTCTGTGTCCTGTGAGATTGTGTCGGATCGCTAACGCGACACAGTATCCTCAGTGGACAGGCCGTCGCGACCGCCGGGGTATCCCCGTTTACGTGTTCGAGATCAAGCACCTGAACAGTAAGAATATGGCCGCTTATAACAATACCATGTCCGATCCTTCCGCGACGGCGGAAACACACAAGTCTTCCAAGGTCCCGCAGCGTCTTTTGCGCCTCTTCGCCCTTTACGAGAACCTCCTCCGTTTCGTCATGCCCTTGTGCTCACAATTGCCTCGCCCGCACCCCGACACCCCCATTGTGAGCTCGAACAATATTGTCGATGTTAGCGGTGTTGGATTGAAGCAGTTCTGGAACTTGAAGGGTCACATGCAAGATGCGAGTGTGCTGGCCACGGCACATTATCCGGAGACATTGGATCGCATATTTGTGAGCTTCCCCAGGCCTGTTTATTCGGCTTCTGGAGTTTTGCTAACGAGTCAAGATCATCGGTGCTCCTTCTTTCTTCCCGACCGTTTGGGGTTGGATTAAACGCTGGTTTGATCCGGTCACAACATCCAAGATCTTTATCCTCTCTTCTGCGGAAGTCCTACCGACCCTTAGTTCATTTATGGATCTATCCACTATCCCCAAGCAGTACGGTGGTCAGCTAGACTGGCAGTGGGGCGACATGCCAAACCTTGACGGAGAAGCTCGGAAACTTGTCGGCGGATTGGAGACTCCTCCCCCCGAGGGGGAGACCAAACCCATTTTCATGAAAGGACCTGTCCTGTTCAAGGGCGACCATGTCGAGATTCTGGGTAAGGTGAACGGCGAGAGCCGTAAGAGCAGTATTCCTGTGCCGGTGTCCCAAGCCGCTGCGCCGACTACCGAAAACCCGGAACAGCAGAAATCAGACGATGCCCTCGCCGCGGAAGTCAGCGAAAAGCTCGGTCTGGAGAGTGGCACCACCGAGAAGACCGCAAATGGAGACGTCGCTGCTTAATCTTGTTCGTTCTACTAGAATACCATTCCACATCCTTTTTAATTCTTCATCAGCGTCTGAAGATTGGCGTCATGGTGGAGTCTAGCTATTGCATGTCTAGACGAGTCATCCTCTTTATTTGTTCTTATTCTTCATATCTCTGTCATCAACCTCTATACTTGGTTTGTTCGGTTCTGTTAGATTATTTTCGGCTTTCTCTTTATACCTGGCTACTACTTACTTTATCAAGATACATATATCGGGGTTCAAGGAAAGTACATAAAAATGGAGCATTACCAGAGCAATCTGTTAAAACTCAGTTCGATTAAACGTTTGAAGGATATAAAAATCTGTCTTTATGGAAATACATGGAAAAGTTGGATATATATATGTACATACACACGGATCCCGCAAAGAGGAATTCTCTGCTTTTCCCACTCGACCAAAAAACCAGCGTCAGCTGAAGGTAAATATATTCTACTCGAAATTGATCACGTGTCATCACATCCTATTGTTGTCATATTCCAGATGACACCAGTATGACTTCCTCAAGACTCTGAATGCTCCATCTTAATCCTTCGCCTTTCCTAGCCCCTGTTCACAGTGACGAACAGAAGCTAATTTGCCGCTGAGTTCCTTGGAAAAAGAGTAGACTTTGAGCACCCAAGTCCTTCATCCTGGATAAGCGGGGAGGAGATCAAGTAGAAAAGCTGGCTCGCAACTGAAGAAGCTTTCTTGGCTTACAGCGCAACTTCCTTTGCCTGGGCATGTTCCACCTGCTACAATGGCGCCAAACAACGCCAAGAAGGCCTTTATGAAGATCTATACAGGTCCCATATAAGGGGACGGAGTTTTGGCGCGCCCCGAATAAAGAGCCACTCAAGCAGTACCGAGAATCTGTCCACCAGCCCGGAATGAGATTGGCGCTTTGCGTCGGTTGGATCAAGCCGACTGTGAGTACGCACTCGGGCTTATCGGCTATCGAGACCATGACAAGCAGGACGAAAAAGGCTTTGTTCCGGGGGAATCTATCGCCTATGCGGTTACGAAGAAAATGCCTGGGATTCGCCTTGGACCGGGTGTGGTGAAGAGTGACGCGTATTGGGATATATTGAAGGTGAGGGAGGCTTTCAAGTGGCTTATATATGAGTGTTGGTTCCTTTTGTTTGCCCTGCCTATTTGTTTGCAGGTCGTTATATGTGCCTGCCCACTTAGGAAATTGAAGGTCTATGCGGAACGCACAGGTCGATTTAGTGTGGGGAGGAGTTAAGCATCTAGCATGGGATGAGAAAGCGGGCAAAGTGTACGTTTTGCGGCCTCATGGTTTGGTCTTCATATTTTTTTGATGGCCATTTACAGGGCTGTATCGATTTCGTGCTAATGCTAAACCAGTTATATTGTTAACTTTGAGGGATCAAGTCTGGCAGAACCATGTCCCTGGGACTATATCATCTGGACAGAACGGGCTCTCGTTCTTCCCCCGCAAGACTTAGCATTGGGGGAAATGAAGTCATTTGGACTGCCTATTGTTGGTAGGAGACATTGATGCCGAAATTTTCTAGCTTGTTCATCGGTCATAAGGAGCAAGCGTGCATTTCGAGACAAAAGCCACAATAACCAATCTATTTGTGTGGGGAAGCTCTGAAATTTTCTAGGAATTTACGTCCTTATGTTCCATTAGTTAGTCTATAGTGGCCGCACGGGTACTACTTCTATAGACAACTCTGTGCTCGGATGGTAGAAAGCTGTTATATAGAAATATTCAATTGCTCTGGACACTGTACACCCGGTTGATATTGAATTATCGCCTTGTAGTACTACGGATAGGAAAGATGATCTCATGACACAGGCGAAGATCCATAAACTGTTGAATTCTTGAAATCCAGATACCCAATAACAATTCAGTGTGGTCAATCCTTCTCTGCTAGCCCTTCATTCCTAAGTTAACGCCATGGAGCTTATAGTGAAAGAGGCTGGCTTTTGGTTAACTCGGGCAAGAATTCGATGACACTGAAGCGCTTGCCACTTAGGCCAAGGATTTCCTTAAGTGGTACAGTGCGGTTAAGACGAAAGCATACTGCTTAGCTATGGAGGCGAAGGACGTTAGTGCCTCTGGGATCTCCAGGCAGTTGAACTGGGTGCTGTGAGGAAGCCAGAGCTCAAGCGCGAGGCTCCCGCGTTGCCAACCCTCCCTGGACTGCCTAAAGTGAAACGCACAAGACCAAATTTCTTACATGACCTTTTAGGGCAAATCGCCGAGTATATGTAATGAAGGATACCAAACGTCAAGTACGGGTTCCTCTTAACCTATGAGGAATCCATGTTTTTTCGGCAAGTAAATTAAGCTCCGGGAAGGTTCATACTGGAGTATAGCCCAGTAATCCAACATGCCACGACAGCTTCCCCCTCCTCCGCCCGGTTAAGGGTAGCTTTAGACACCATGTCTCTCTCAGACAGCGTATGTTTGCGCTTGGGCTCTTTGCAGCCGTAGCTGGCCCTTTTGTGAACCCGCTGCTCAAGCGGAAGTGGATTGAATCTCCTGGGGAATGATTTTGTTCGTTTGGGGGTGAGGGACGGACAGATAATGAGACGTAATGACACAAATGCAAGGGTTATGCGTGATAAGGTTTCCGCGTTAATTAAGGATATATACCAGGAGATAACTGAGACGATCCTCATTTTAATCTACACGGAGGCTGGGTGTAGCATTCTAGCTTCACTGGCCTGCAATTGGCTTTCGATAGGGCTTCGAAACATACATACTTCCTAGTTAGGAAGTCTCATATTCGTGAGTCAAAGTCAAGAACATTGGCGATGGCACGAAGCTCAGCGAGTCGATGGAGATTATATGGAATCTCATCAATGGGTCTCGCACAGAGGTCCCGGATAACGATTATGCGGCGTTCGTTGATGTTAGAGATATTGCACGGGCTCATCTGAGGGCCTATTTGGTGGATGAGGCTGCTAACCAGCGGTTCCTTGCTGCGGCTGGTCAGTTTTTGTATCAGTATGCCTGTGTTATTATTCGTGGTCGATTTCCTCAGTTAGAAGGCATGGTGCCGAAGGGTGTTCCGGGTACTGGGTTGGAGACGTATATTGTGGACGGTAGCAAGGCAGAGAGGGCCTTGGGCTTTGAGTATCGCTCCTTGGACTCTGTGTTGGCTGATACTGTGGAGGATCTTTTAGGAGCGCTTTCGGTGTAGTTAGAGGCCTCACGTTGTGTTCTTTGGTGGTTTGATGCGGTTTGTAGTTGTTAGATGTGTTGTCGCGGTGTGCTGGGGATTTTATGGTTCATGTACTGTATCTGGGATAATTATTTCTTGGCAACACTCACTCTATTTTTACTTTCTCTACTTCGTTTTCAGGTCCCGATCAATTATTGATAAATTTGTGGTTGAATGGCTCCGTCTTTCAACGGTATATTAGTTTCTATTAGATTTATGGGGCCATCGCCGTTATACCAAGATTCACTGGGCAGCTCTGTTCTTTGGGGACAATATAGCCTTATATGAGTATTATCTCAAGCACTTGGAACATGAATAAAGCAATATACTGATAGATCGTCTGTCTATATGCTGTGTAACATGATAGCACTGGAATGCAGCTCAAACACCGCCTGCTGTATAGAAATCTAAGTCAATAGTTCAATAGTGAGGCAACAAAAAGGAAATAAGGAAATCCACCATCTAAAGCAAATCGCAAAAGTTCTCGAAACCATCATACAAGATCTTCAGTATGCTCTATAACATATTGGCCTGCTCTGCCCTAAGAAGCCCTACCAACCAGTCATAAATTTCCCGTGATATGGTAATCATATTTGGACAAACCAAAGTATAGCAGCAGCTAGGAAATTCTCCATACCAAGAACAGAATATAACCACGGTAGCTTGGGATCCACCGTCAGTGGAGAAACTGTCATCGCTATCAAAGCTCCGACAGATGTAGTTGACAGGTATATAGCCATGATCAACGACTTCATCGACTTGGGAGCTTGCGTATAGGCGTACTCGATACCAGCCACGGAGGCAAGTATTTCCGATAGAGCGACCAGTACGTACGCAGGGACTTGAAGAAATATAGAAACCTGATTGGGAACCTTCCCACCCATACACTCCCGTGCTCGTGGATGGTCGTAGCAAGGAGGGGCAGCGTAGATGGCTTTTTGGACGAAGGTGACGTAGAGCATAGACACGCCTATAAGTATGAACCCCACGACGATTCTATCGACATGACGAACGGGAATTCCACGGCTTCGTAGAAAGGGGAATATTACGCGGTCCACGAGAGGTAGAAGAATCAAGACCGTTAGAGAGTCTATATTAGGCATTATGTCATTGGGTATTCCGTGCGTCTCCATTGTCGCGGCTTGGGAAACGAAATTAGTTAAAAACTGCGAATAGGCAGCCCAATAGATTGGGTATAGGAGGAAGACTTTGCAGGAAGAGATGGCTGCCCTTAGATCATCAACGAAGGTGTCGTTCCAAGGAAGTATAGGAGTCGATTCCTCTTCTGCTCGGAAGCTGGGCCTTGCATAGTCGAGATCGCCTTTATGCTTGATGCCAAGCCAGAATACCCGACACGCGTTGAAGACAATGGAGCTGTCTGGGTCCTGGCTGATGTATCGGTCTTTGCTGGTTAGGATAATCATGAATCCAATGAGGAAGACTATAATTGGCAAAGCGAATGCGGCGGAAAAGCCGTACTTCTGCTCAATTGTGGTTGTGAGTAGAGGAGCAAAAGATCCTACATTGATCAATATGAAGAATGTTGTGAATATCCTTCCTACAATGTCAGCATTTAAACGTGGCTTATGCGGCTATAATACGCCAAGTACCTCTGAACAGTCAGATCCCTGTCAACAATGACTTCTTCGCCCGACTTTAAGACGTGTGTGGATTCCTTGGGACCAGTATATTGTTCTGCGAGTAGAGAGCTAACATTTGCCTTGATACCACCGGTACCCATGCCGATTAAAAACAAGGCCATAATTAACCCCAACAGTGCCACTCCTAGGTCGTGTGCAGCTGGCAATGAGGAGAAGAATAGAGCTATCAGTCCGAAAATGTATATTTCCGAAGAATGGAGAATAGTTTTTACTCTCCCAAGGTATTGCTCTGCCACGACAGCACCAACTATTGGCGTAATATAGCACCACAGCAGGTACCCCTGGTTTATCATTGTAGCATACGCTTGACCAAGCCCTAATCACGTCAGGCAGTGTTCTACAGTCGATGAGTTAAGGCTTACCGATTCCACCAGGGCGCAAAGGATCATCCCTGGGGTTTTGGATGTAATTTTGCATAGGCCCAAGAATGCCAAAAAAAGCGAATCTTTCGCATAGCTCAATGACCGCAATTAGCCAGACCGACAGTGGAAGCGAATCGGCGACCCTTCTCAGGCCATCATTAGGCTTCGTGATCGATGAAGTGGTCCCTTCATCCGCTGCCCCATCTAAACTCGTCGAGAGCAGTGGGGTACGTTCGGTTGGCTCCGTCGTGGGCTCTGGGCTCGACATCATCAATTCAAGGCAAGGCTAGAGGGAGTTTGGGAATACACAGGTACTTGTGGATTCTATGAACGTGCAAGAGCATGCCTCAAGAATCAAAGACGGTCAGCACGGTTTGACTAGGGGTCTGGCGCTTATCTAACACTTCTCACTTTAGTTAACTAGTATAATGAAAGGATACCGCTAACAACACTAGTGACCATGCTCTGCCCTATCACGTAATCTGCTATTAATATCTAGATCATAAACTGACAACAGTCTTGTAGGGAAGTATGATTAATATTAGCAGAGATATATCGTCATTAGGTTCTCAAGTGCTTAAGGATTGGATATCATTATATAATACATCATCTCAAATGCAATAGTATTGTTGTTGCCTTAGGTGTACTCCCATGTGCCATACAAAGTGCCGGCTAGATTCGGCTTCAGGAGTCGACTTCAAACTCAAGCGAAGATGGCGATAAAGATGCTGTAATATGGATATCTAATGGTGTGTGACTCAAAACAAACGGCGCTATGGCCGTACTACAAGACAGAATCGGATTGCCCTTTGAGCTTCGTTCCGATCCATGAAGGTATTCCGATATCCATTTATAGTAGCTACACCTCGAGAGATATAGAAGCCACTCCGAAATGCATTGTCTTTACCAACTTGACTTTAACCATGTATGTACTATAGCATATCTCTATTTATTTCCCACAGACTGTCGCATGCTCGAGGCTGGTCCTTGAATCTCGATCGCTACGTGTTAACGAGAATCTACAGTATGGGTGGTAGCTTTCATTGCCGCTTCAGAACGATTCGCATACTGGGGCATCACAACCCCCTGGCGTAAGTAAAATCAGGCAAAGAGCCGCATTAACATTATATAGTACTAACAACGCTTTCCGAAAATTACATGCAAAACCACCCTGAACACAAGAGTCTAGCGGGAGCGCTAGGGCTGGGCGAAAGCATCAACGAGATATAACGTCTTCATGTTTTTCTCATATTCGACTCTTATTTCATTCGCTATTATATCTGATGTCTATCTTGACCGTTACTGGATATTGCGCCTGAGCTTGATGTGGGTTCAGAAATACACGGATTAAAATGCTGTCTAGTACCCTCCCTAGCTTCTACCTGATGGGGTACATCATCTTAATAGCAACATCGACGAGCTCGGCGACGGAGTATCGTGCTGCGTTTGGCGGGTTGATCACAGCAATGGTTCTTATTGGATTGGCTGCCGGGGGGTGGTGTCAGGGCCACTGTGACTCCTCTAATGAGTGAGACCTCATCTCTTGCAGCACTGCATTCTACTAATGATGGCGGATTTTAGTGGACCAATATCCTCCGACCGAAATCAAGGTGACAACACTGCGCAACGGCAAGAAAGTCATCTATGACGGTGGTCTAATAACCCATTACATATACAATGCGCAATACTGATCAGTCGCCCTAAACCTCTTTCATTTCGCTCGGTTGTTGAAGTAGGCAGGCTCATCAACATTTCAAGTCTTTCTGCTATCCCAGCGACCTTCTTAGAAAGAAGGCTTTTTTTTTTCGGGCCGCCTATCTTCTGCCTGCCTAGTTGCATGCCTGCTACTGGATTTGCCTGTTTTATATTATGGCATAAGCGGTTTCGTACGTCGCTGGACCCATTGAGCCAGTGCATACTAAATCCTACGCAGGTAAGCTTTTACTACAAGGCAATATTTACCCAAAGCGGGAAGCGTTCTAGCTTGTGCAGCTCGTAGCCGCTTTAAATTAGATGCTGCAATGCCTGACTATGAGCGCAAGCATTCCAATGCGATTGATCGGGACGACAAATGACAGCACTGTTTATGTCAGTAGTGTCTCTGTCATATGGATGGATCGCAGAACGTACTTCCTGTTACGGGATGGGATACGATATTAGGCTAATCTGTATAACTTCTACAAATGCCCTAATCCAAGGCATGGTATGAACATAAGCAATCATATGAGGAGCGAATCCTGTCTTCTCCGCCGAGTCCCCTCCACTCCACCTTAGTTCACGGTGTCCTAAAGTGAGCGAGATATGGATATCATTGTTTCTAGATAGTGCTATGGCGAATAAGCCAGACATAGATATTACGCTGGATACCGATCAGGCCAAGTGCCTCAAGGACGCTACAAAATTGAAAGAACAACAGTAGAGGGGTTTCTGGTGAGATTAGAGCTCATACCGTGATATTGTACCATTATTAGTAAAGATAGATAAAGCACCCCCAACTTTACTGTTGCAATAATACAAGATTGGAGCCATTGAAATATCAACGGCTGAGCACTTTCAATAGTAGGCCATTATATTAGACTTATGCAGAGCGCCTACGGCCGCAACAAGTCTGTCAGCATACGTACCTTATCCAAAGAAGAAGCAAAATCCCCGGTTCATTCTGCAGAACTCCAGATAGAGACCGCCGTCTGGCGCCCCGAATATGCAGGCTCGGAAGCCTTCCGCCAATCAGAAGAACAAACGCCAGATCTTCTTCCTTTCCACTTATGGTGGCGCTCGATAGTTCACACATATTTGTTTGTTTCTGTGTAAAGTGTCGAGAGTTTATCATGCATCGACCACACAGTACCAGTTAATCAAGGGCACTGCTCGCCTTGCGCAAGAACGAGAGTTTGGAGTATGTGACCTGTTCTATTTTGGGAGGTACGGAGGTATAGTGTGATGGGTCCTGCAAGTGATAGATAAATAGATAGTTAAATTAATCTCCGGGGCGCGACGTACTTTCTAAGTGTTTGGCTTAAGAACCTTGTACAGCACTGCTTATTATAAGCTGTTCTTGTCTTCGTTTACTCCAATGAGCTACGTGATCAAGACTATCGCACTGTCTTCATACAATCCTAGACAGCATCAGAAAACACCTCAACAATGTCTCAAACCTACCGCTCTCTAACCAAATACCTCACCTTCGCCAACCTGGACCAGTACCAATGGTGGCAGCAAGCCGGCCCAACCCTCTCCAAACTCCTGTCCACGGCCAACTATCCCGTCGACCAACAATACCAATACCTCCTCCTACTAGGCCTCCACGTCATCCCCATGCTGGGCCCCTACCCTTCCTCCCAACGACCAGGCCTCTACAAAAGCCCTATAGGAGGTATTGGCACCCTCGAACTAAGCCAGAACTTCACCAAAGATGCCAACACCGTTCGCATGGGTTTCGAACCGGTGCACTACACCGCAACAACAGGCCAAGACGAGTGCAACCAGCTCATCATGAACGAAACATTAATGAAGTTCAAGCGACTAGGCGCAAACGTCAGCCTCTCCCTTTACCATTCGCTAGTGTCCGAACTGACCCTATCCGACGCGGACTTGGGTATTCTCCGCGAGAAAGACGAGCTGAAGAAACAGCCGACGAAGTCCCAGCATGTGCTGGGTGTTGACATGAAGGGCGGCGAGGTGCTGGTCAAGGTGTATATATATCCACAGCTCGCGGCTATTGCTCGTGGGACGCCCGTCTCGGAGATGATATTTGCTGCCCTGGAGAAGGTAGATGGTGGTCAGCTGGGGGAAAGCGGATGTCTTTCTGTCCTGAGAGAGTTCATTGCGGATGAGAGGGTGAATCCGGCAACGACGCCCGTTACTTTTTTATCGTGTGATTTGCTGGAGCCTAGTCATGCTCGGTTCAAGGTCTATCTGGCGGAGTTCCAGTTTGATTTTGAGACGCTTTCTCGGAACTGGACGCTTGGTGGGAGGTTGGCTGATGCTGAGACTATGAAGGGGTTGGATATGCTTCAGGAACTGTGGACGGCGTTTGATCTACCGCTGGGACTGAGAGAGCCTCCTAAACCGGGTAATTCGCCGGTTCGGTTGCCGTTTTTGTATAATCTTGAGATGCAGTCTGGGAGGAAGTCACCGAAGTCGAAGGTTTATTTCCCGTTGGCGGATGTTAATGATCTCGACATCGCGAATGTGCTGACTGGGTTCTTTGAGAAACATGGGTGTGCTGGATTGGCGAGGTCTTATACAGAGAATTTGGTGGAGTATTTGTAAGTGCATTCTTCTGTTCATCTTGATCGTGGTACTGGATATGCTGACGGGTTATATAGCCCTGGCGTAGTTCTCAGAGAGAGCGTTGGGTTGCACGCATGGTTGTCTTTCTCCTACTCGGAAAAAACTGGGCCTTATATGACGGTCTACTACCAGTGGCCAGACAGCTTCAACCAAGGCCATTTGACTGCAGTCAACCCCTAATGTGGTGATCTTTACAAACGAGTGTCCGAGCTGTTTGAAGAGCACTGTCGTTGGCCTTTCTGGCCCTCCAACGGTGGACTGGCTAAAGGCGCTCACTGAAACGGATAGGCCGACTTTTAGGTCTCATGTGGAGGTAGATACACTTCTGTTATAGTATTGAACAAAGTGGTAGTTATGTCATTATTGATATATTTATATTCCGGTTCATCTTCCATACTCTATCATTGGCAACTACGATGCCTTCCAAATCTGGTTAACCTGTTTTCTCCGGACCTGTAGTAAAGCATTAGCAACCCAAACTGGATCAGGGGGAAGATTTCTACATACTATTGGCGCTAGGATCGTCACTCCAACAGTCAGTGCCACGATCGTCATAAGCAATTGCACTTTCGAGAATCCCTTGCCCAGGATATCGAAAGCCTGACTGGGCGTGGCACGGGTGGCAAAGATATCTCCGCCAAACGCGAAAATCAGACTGGTACTCTCCAAAAGTGTTGGTGCAGAGAGAACCTTCTTGATGCCGGCTACATCTCGAGCGTGGGAGAGGTACCATTTGCCATCGAATTCGAGGAAGGGATTGTACTTGAACAGACCTTCTTCGGCCTCGGTAGAGGTCGGGTCACGGTCAACGGGCCGGCGGGCGTCCAGGACTGGGCGAGGGATGCCAACCAGCGAGTTTGATGAGGGCAGGATGCAGAGGAGTTGACGGGTGGTGATGCCCTGACGGGTTTGAGTGACAGCCATATGGGAGATTGGCTCTGAGATGATGAACGACTGAGACACCACGTAAGGAAGAGGGAGTGCATCAAAACTAGAGTAGTTGGATACCGAGCCTAGCGGCCCACGGTCATTGGGGATCGAGGATTCATAAAGCTCGGAAATAACCAACTGGTAGCCTTTGGCGTCCGAGGGACCGGAGGGCTCACCCCAGAATGAGTATGCGAACCAGTTCTCGGACATGGCTGAAGCAATTGGCTGCGTAGTATCAACACCATCCTGGGTGCTAGCATGAAGTATCTGACCAGACACTGCATCTAATAGGTAGAAAGTAGCGGAACTTTCACCCGCGGCGGTAACAAGGACTAAGTTGGGGTTCAGATACTTGTACAAAACCGATCGATCACCTAGAACCTTGCCAATTGAGGCTACTGGATCGTGAGCGGGTCGGGAAGTGGCATGGATGATTTTCTGGCCCTGTGGAGGCAAGAACTCCCAAACGGGGAACTTGTTGTTGCTGGCACTCCAACCCAGGACGCGATCATTGCCGCCGAGAGTGACAAAGAACCCTGGGTGATCTACAGATTCCACTGGCGCGCCGCTCTCACTAATGCCAACGATGAGTGACGAAGGAGAGTCATCGATAATAGCAACAGAACGAAGTTTGGTAGTGGCTGGAGTCCGCTTGATGATTTCTCCAGATGTGATATTGAGTGTAACTGAGCTACCATCATCAGAATAAACAGTGGCAGTACCTGGCTGGGTAACCACAGCTACAGGGTTCCAGCTATCACTTTCCGCGGCCTTGACACTCCAGGAAACAGCTCCATGGTTTGCACTGTCAAGGGCGTAGACACGTCCATTTTCGGTAGCGACTATAACTGGCTTGGAGATCCCGAAGCTATCAAGATTCGAAACTTCATCGGTCAAGAAGCTAGTAAGGATGCGCTTAGGCAGGTCCTTCAGCCATTCAGGGAGATGCTCAAGATCCTTCACGTGGCGCTTGACGCGATGTGCGTATGCTCCGTAAAGGGTCTCATGACCTTCAACCTCGAGCTGATGAACCAACTCTTCCTGATACTCCTCCTCAGCCCAGTTTGCAGCCAGAGCGCCGGCCAATGCTTCATATCTAGTCCATTCAGTTTGGCCATTTCGGATCAATTGCCAGTCACCGGACTCTAAAACGGCAGCCGACCGTACAGCTACGCTATCACCCTTTGAGACAACTTCCGAGACTGCATGCAGCGCGTGGTCCATCGGAGGGGCTTGGAGGGGCCACCTCCCCAAGATAGCATGGGACGCAGAAGACACAACAGTCACCTCCGACTGCGTGACCCGGGTAAAGTAAACGTTTGCATCCTTGGTACTCGTGGAGAAAGCAGACCAGCCTTCCAAACGAGGGAGATCGTAAGCCTTAGATACAGTTGCTGATTGCAAGTTGACATGGTAGACCTCGGCCCAGGATGTAGACTGCGTCTGGTATAGGGCCAGGAAGTGGGGCAACGAGTTGAGGTGCTTTGGGGCGTGAACGGTGATTGAACGGATCTCCTCGCCACTAGTGTTGTCGATGTTCATGGTGCTAACTTGCTTTGTGCCGATGACATTGACCTTGAGTGCTTTTTGAGTTTTATCCGTCCAGACAATTAAGGGGGAGGCGGTGTTTGCGCCGACGAAGAGTACAGACTCTGGGCCAGAAATGTCACCTTCCGAGTTCAAAGTCAATTGCTGTTTCTGCCGACCGGTTAAGAGATCCAACGATGTGACCTTGATCTTATAGCCCTTCAGAAGAGCCGATTGCAGAGAAATGTAGAAAACGTCGGTGGAGGAGGACGAGACTTGGAAAGGGATATCCCCACTAGATGAAAGTTGAAAGTCACCAATCGTTAGAACTGCAGATAATAGCCAAGTCACCCGAGGTCAAACCTTTCATCTCTATGTTCCCACTTGGCCTTTCCCAAATCACCATCCAATCTTCGAACCGCACCCGTCTTACCCCCGAAAAGCGCAATCGTGTCTTTAGCAGCAGAGGGTGTGGCGGCATCCTCCAGCTCCAGCAGTTCAAGATCGGCAATGGACTCATCAAAAAACCAGCTCTCCCAGATCAATTTACCATCCAGAGCACTCCATGACGAAATGTAATCGCCTACAGCGCTAACGATAGCATTTGTCCCATCGGAAGCACGCAAGATGCCGCTTTCGGCGGGTACCGCGGATCGTGAAACATTCTGTCTCCAAACCAGTGAACCATCCCTGGGATTTACGGCGCCAAGAAGCGACTTCTCGGACAGGGTATAGAGTAGGGATGCATTAGAGGAGGACGAAGGTTTCAGGAAGAAGGTCGAATGGGATGAGGGAGCGCCGAGAAGAGCATGGTGGAAATCGATATGGTCAACCTCATCACGATAAATCGCTAGCGTTGAGGGAACGCACGAGGCGAGCAAAAGAAGCGTCGCCTGTAGCCGCATAGTGATTATCTCAACTGAAAATCAGTCATGAGGAGCGGAGGTGGAATAGAAATAGAAACGAAGATGTAATGTTGGTTAAGGTTGCGGGCGGTCACTGCCATCTAAACAGACGCTAGTGGAGCTACGAAGCAAACATGTCAAATTCTTTGCACATTATTGATGACTACATTCTCGCTATACTATCCATTCCTTTCCATCTATATAATACAAAATATTGTCGCCAATTGGTGCAATCTATAAACCCGAAAGATATCTCGAGATAAATACGAAGGAAAGGAAGGAGAAATCTTAGAAATCATGCAAAACTTCATGCCTGGCCAAAGCAGGCCTTGTTGGCCGCTTCAACAACCTGTTTCTCACCTTCAGCCATTTCGGGGGTGATCTCCCATGGCTTATCGCCTAGACCAATAGCACGTAAACCCTCTGGATTGAGTGAGTCCCAATCAAGTGCACCTTTAAAGCCAATCTCACCGGGTCCACCAGCACCTGGGAAATCCCAAGGTGGGGAGTAAGCCTGAGCCGCCTTGCGTTGCTTAAGCAGATAGTCCACATTCATGTCACACATGGGAGTGGCGGGGATATAGAGAACACTAGAGTCTCCTGTGCCCCGGTGTTCCTTGTCAACTGAGTGCAGAGAGTCGCAATGCCACGCGACATAGTCACCAGGTTCGACCTCAGGAACTGACACCATTGTGCTCTCAAGCCCCAGGTGGGGATGGGTGACTGGGTTGTACTCTTGACAAGCGCCTGGGACAGAGCCTGGGAATGTGGCATCTAAGGAGGGCTGCGACGTTTGAGGGTCAAAGAATGGTCTGAGGATGGTATAGGCGGTGCTGTGGACGATCATGGGGCAAACATGCAACGAGCCCTCACCCGGGGCGGTTTTAGACATGGAAAGCCATCCTTGGAAGAACCTCAGCATGGAACATGCTCCAGCACCGTTGTACAAATCCATCTTAGCTGCGATGCGATGCTTCGAGTCCCAGGGGTCGTATTCTTCCCATTTGCCCTCAAGGATCTTGGTGTAAACTCGAGAATACTCAGGGTCTTCCCAACGTTCAAGCGAACCACCATCTACATGGGGGCCCAGGGTGAACTTAGAATCTCCAGGCATTCTGATCCGGAGTCGGTCGGCGTATGTAAGAGGATTTCGAGTGGAGATTTTTGTATTAGGGTCGGATGAATGCCATAAACGCTGCAAAAAGCGCTGTGTACCAAGCATATTAGGGTGTGCCCGGGCTTCTGCCTGTGAGGGAGTCCAGTACAGTTCGTATACTGCAGGGGACTCGGGCGGAAATGCCTTCACGCGCTCTTTGTTGGCAGCAACATAGTCTTCAATGCGCTCCTTGTATTCTCTGGCGACTCCACGAGGTAGCACATTTCTGACCACCACGGTTCCACGGTGACGGATTTCCGCAAGTACCTTGTCAGATACATTGCTAGATATGATATCTGCATAATCCACGGAAGGGATAATCTGGGGTAAAGTCAGTTGATGTTCTTGTCTCCAAACGGGTATCACAGCTAGACCCCTGCAACATACATCGCTTCCTTTTGACTTGATCTTATCAACTTCCTCTTCTAAGCTGGGAAGTAGCCTCTTCCAGCTCTTTGTCAATGCCTCTTCATTTTTCAGGAAATACTGAGACTTTAGATCCTTAAACCGTGGCGGCAGTGGCTCCGGCTTATAGTCCGGTCTTAAACTCGGGAAAACGCTCGATATATCTCCCGCTGCCTTAGTTGTTTGAACGGAACTCGAAGTAGTAACAGCCCGAACGGCCGTTCGTGAAAGAACTCGTGACATAGCCATGGTAAACCAATTTAGGAATGCTGTTAGATCACATATATCTTTTTTCATCGACCTTACTATGGTCCTTGCGACTTTATATGCCTTGCAACCCCTCTCAGGGCTAAGTACAGTCGGAAAGCCTAAAGGGGAAATCGGGCCGATTACTTTAATAGGAAATCAACCGCCAAACTCCCTGACATCAAGGTCACTAATATTTATCGTGACAGTCAATCTTTGGCTCCAAGTTCCATGGTTGATGAATGCCTGGTGTCATCTGTCTCTTTGATAACATAACAATTCATATTCGTTACATCTCATTACCGTGGAAGGCATAGCTGTCCACCGCAGACTCAGTAGTCTAGAGATCGGCAGCTTGAGTTCTACCCCTACCTCGGATCTAACTGCCGACGACATGCATAGGTGTTGGATCTTTTTAAAATATTTAGGCCGCGGACGGCGATTAGACAATCTTATAACCCAAACGAGTTTCATCTTAAACGAATAACAGCGTATATAGGTAGCTATATAGACCGGAGCTTAACGCAGTACTTGATATTTTACAGCACAAGCTGGAGTTTAGTGAGCGCTCAACGGTTTTCACGTGACTGTGCTATATACCTATATACCCTATTCAGGGACGTCAGACGACTCTAGACCATTCCGCCGATACTACCTACGAAGCTCTCTTCATCATCGCCGTTCCCGTCAAGTACGACTATCATGTTACCTGTGAGGAATTTGCCTCTGTGTGCAAGGACCCAGCCTACATCAACCGGTGCATCATACAGGCGAAATTCGAATGCAGACATCCATCTACAGCAAAGGATTGGTTTCCGAACTTGCAGCCCTTTAAAAATTATTCGGGTTCCGAAACAAGACCAAAACTAGAATTGCATCATGAAGCTCGGCTTTAGCACTTGTGCAGTTATTTGAGCGCTTCTTCATGACGCTATAGGCGCGGCGGCCATTCATTCTTCCCCAAACCACTATATCCTGGCAATACATAACTACGAGATAATCCAGAAAACTCTATATTCTTTTCTACATTTAAGACTGTAATTTTTAATTAAGATTAGCATTATGTCAAAGAAGGATTGACGCTACTCCGCAAATCTCGCCCCCAGGCGGGATAATACTCTTTTGGTAAGCTGCCAAGCCAAGTCCAATCATCAATGTTTCCCGAAGAATTCCCATGAAAGGATCTAGTTTATTCAATGTATACGAACTTCAGTGTAACAATATGCACATCGAATAGCATGCCCGTCTATCCGAATCCAGTAATTAAGCTACATGCTACGCCCAATTACCAAGTCAACAGATAACCAGGCTTTTGCAGCTAGCTATCCATATTCCCTACACGAGCTGCAGCATAACAGTTACCTTCGGTTTTCTTTCCGACTCGGTCCACCAACCCTCGGGTCAATAACCACCCCCGACGAATCCCCTCAATGTTTCTTAAGAGGGGAACTGCAAACACCGTCAGCGTAATAATGAATCCCGAGGGTCCTTGACTTGCCTGCGGGCCGTATAAAGTAACCTTAGTATCCAACCCAACAGGACTCACACCTCTCTACAACTATCGTTCACCCATCCAAATATGTCCTTCTCCGTTGAAGGAAGATCTGCTATCGTGACTGGAGCAGGCTCGGGTACATATTCAATAGCTGCGTCTTCTACAATAAGGATATCCTACTAAATGACGAACGTAGGTATCAACCTCGCCTTTGCCAAACTCCTGCTAGAAAACGGGTGTAATGTCCTCATCGCAGACCTAGCACTCCGCCCAGAGGCACAGGAAGTAGTCCACAAGCACTCAGCATCGTCTAGTCGCCCCCGTGCTGTTTTCCAAAAAACCGACGTAACAGACTGGAAACAGCTAGAGGTGATGTTCGAGGTAGCCGAGAAAGAGTTTGGGGAAATCGACATAGTATGTCCGGGGGCTGGGGTTTACGAACCGGTACGTTGTCTTGCAGATCAAGCATTGGCGCAACACACCGCCTATTCCCTACTTAACGCCACTGTCTCTAACGCATTAGGTCACATATATGTTATTATATATAGCACTGGAGCAATTTCTGGCGTCCTCCCGGCACACCCGAGAGTCGGGACCCACAACATGGAGGCCGGTACGCCCTGCTGGACATCAACTTGACGCATCCGATTCGCACGACGCAACTTGCTCTAGCGCATTTCGGTCGCCGTCGGACTGGTGGACGTCGGAAACACATCATTCATATCTCTAGCATTGCTGGCCAGAACCCGGCCCTGGCGGCGCCGATTTATGTCGCTACTAAACACGCTATCAATGGACTTGTGCGGTCGTTGAGCAAGCTTGACCGCAAGCTTGGGATTCGCGTTACGGCCGTTGCGCCTGGTGTGATCAAGACTCCTCTGTGGACTGAACACCCCGAGAAGCTGAAGATCGTTGACAATGCAAACGATGAATGGGTTACTCCTGAGGAGGTGGCGCAGGTCATGCTAGCTCTGATTCAGCAGGACAAGGTTAGTGAAATTATCTGTGACAAGTCTCGTCAAGGGCCACAGTTCCTTGTGAGGGGGGGAACTGTGTTGGAGGTGTCCAAGACTGTGCGCTCTGTCAGTGCGTTTAATGACCCTGGCCCTGGGGAAAGAGCCGGCAACACGGTTTCAGATATGAATGTATTGGAGGACGAAGTCTTTGAGTTGTTATCTCAAGAAGGATGGGGTACCCCGAAATTGTGAAGGATATACGAGACATGACTTGAATAGTAACGAATCTTGAAGCCTCATTTTTTGGGTGGTGTAGACTTGCCTAGGGAATAGAGCCGTATCCTATCAAAAGTATTAGCAAAGAACCGCAACCAGATATAGTACTCAATAACTATTGCTATTGACCGCATGCCTTATTTTATCCCGCATATGAAACTGGACGAGGGGGATATTTGATACAAATATCCAACTATTATATAAGAAAGGTACTGAGCCACATCAAAGTACAGCAGCAGTAGAATAATTTATAGCCGGAACCAGAAACAAAGTCGCGGTTGATTAGAATAGGTATGCATTACACGACTGAGATAAGAGTTCCAAGGAAGCCAAGCAAGATAATCTAAGAATATACATTGAAGTTGAAACCTAAACTTATGATGTGGGTTATGTATGGGGTTGAGTGGGAACAACAAAATGGACTATTCAAGAAGACTCTATATGAACCTAAGGAAACATTAGGGGCATATAAGTCTTTATAATGAAGCGACAAAAAGCGACCATCCTCAAGGCAATTGATTGAGATCTGTCCCGCTCTTCATTATACGATCCTGTATGGTGATACATCATACTATCAGTACCGCTTAACCTCCACTTCCTCGGGACCCATCACTTACTAGCATGAAGATAGGCACGAATTTGGGCATAAACACACCATCGAGGCCATTGCACCGCGCCACACAGGGCCGGTCGCACCGCTCAGGACATCATTCGCCACTGCCTTTGCAAAAGTCGGCCCGGTGAAATCTTCCCTTGTACGTCCTCTCCAACATCACGCTTCTGGATCTGGTGGATCGACTTCTTGTAGAGCGAGTTTGCAGGCAAGTGGATATTGTCGAGAGACATAACATTAATTGCCACAGAACCAGTAACCAGTGATAGTACCTTAACGTTGAACGCTGCAGTTCCAGTCGCAGGGTCTCACTCCAGGACATCAAGGCTGCCTTGGAGGCATTGTATGGACCTATATCGGTGAATATCAAGAACTGACGCACGGATGCATTCCCGTTCACCCTTCCATGGCGCATACAGGAGTCCGGGGATGGAGCAGACGTTGACGATCGTGCCTTTCGCGGCGATTACCAAAGGGGCGAAGGCCTGTGTGGCTCCGAAGAGTGTTTTCGCATCGTCGATGCTCGTGTCCAGTGCTGGGCACACCATTGATTGACCGGCATTATTGACCAGGATGTCAGGCGTTTCGGAGTCCTTTCAGACGAATCCCACCGCAGCTTCGATACTCGACGTGGAGACTACGTCCAGTTCCAGAACTTTTACATTAGTCAAGTTGTCGAGGTGGGCCATCTTCGACTTGGATCGAGCTGTCGCATAGACCCGCAAACCTCAAGCGTGGAACTCTTCCACCAAGGCGGATCCAATCCCACCCTCGCTACAATCTGTGATAAGGACAGATTTGGACATTTTGTGGGGGGGAGGGAATGAAAGAGAGAAAGCAGTACAGATTTTAGGGTTTGGAGAAAGAAACCTCAAACGGTAAATTGAGTGTAAATTGCCATTATAGAGAAAAGCTCTTTATCGTCTTTTATGGTCCTACCGCCATTTTTTTCTTTTTCTTTTACTTTTTCTTTTTCTTTTAATAGAAGAAGAGGGAAAAAAAGGAAGCCCACAGTTTCTTAGTTCTAATGGGGCCAAATCCCAATATCGTGACCAACAGCTGTGTTATAAGTATAGCTCCTTTTCTAATAACTGTATATATAACGGAAAGAATGTTTACCAAAGCTGGATAGTTCCTCGACTTTTTCTAACTCCTTGATATACAAAGCAAAGTGGAAATAAATTCGTCTTTAAGTACTAAATATTGTCACGGATCGGATGGTGATTCAGTCCGGACTGGGAGCTGGACGGAATATGAACATTCTGATTAAATATTAGATCACAAAGATTTATCGCTAGGCACTCTCACTTGGGTAATATTAGAATGACTGGGACTTCCAGCCGTGTGAATCAAGATAGCTCAGTAAAAATAAAGTCTAAGCTGTTGAGGTACCAGACATCGTATATCACACTAGCTATTCAATACAAATGGGCTGCAGCAAAAGAATGACACATTGTTCTGGATTTCGATAATCCATCTCTTGGATGTATGTTAGCTTTTGACAGGAGAGATTGGCATCGTCGCGGGTACGAAACAAGTCTAGGACTAGACAAGCGTAGGCGATGGCAATTAGATGCGCTCTTTCTCAACATAAACTGCTCTGATGATAAAGCCAAATCTGAGTGCCAACCTTCTGAGTCTCTGCCTTTATTCGTGGTGGCAATGGTGACTGGTTAGCTTCAAGCGAACATGTCATCGCATTAGTAGGTCTACTACTCGGGCTATGGCACCAGGTCATGCTCTCTAGCTTTGGTGCACCACAGCACCGCAGCAGAATCTCCATCAGCACAGGCTGAGATATATTATCTCCTTCGATTAAACAAACAGATTATGATTTGCAACGAGGGGACTGCATGCACAGAGTAAACTACATAGTACGCTACCACCATGTCCATAGACCATGATCAAGGTCGACGATGGAAGATTTGGGACCATCGAGGGACAATCGGCAAAGTTTCCAGTCGTGTGAGCTAGATAAAATTAACTTGGGTAGTGGAGAACCGGTATGTACTTTCGTACAACTCACCAGCAGAGAAGGCAAAGCCCGTGCAAACCCGGAATTGGCACGTCTGATTTTTTTTTCCCTTGAAGCAATGCATGGGTCCCAGCCTCACACCCGATGTTTTCATCTCCGTTTCCAGGCCTGAAAGACCCACGATTGTCATCGAGAAGGGCGAAGTCTTCGGTTTGTTGATCGTAGTATCCCGAATGACGAGAATATTCAATTCTTCTTAGCAGATTCAAAAGTGGTCTCACAGTGAAGGTGTCGCGTTGCCAGCATGCCGATGGAGATGTGTAGATAGTCGTTTGTTAACTATTTGGTATGAGCGCGCCCTTCCACGTGACTGGTACCCTTGAAGAGAAAAAGGTGCACCAGATTCCCGTTTCATTTCTCTAGGAGGTTTCTCCGCGTGGAAGAAGACAGAAAGGAGCCGCAAGTAAACAAATCAATCGCATAATAATGGTTTCAGAAATGAAACAGGCTTTCGGCGAGATGATAGGGAGCGGTTGACCAGGACATTTGCAGGGTGATGATTAACGCATAGTGTAACGCTCCAAGTCCACTATTCCAGTGCATCAGGTAAATACTCTGTACACCAGGGAGTTGACCTAACATGCTACAGCCTCAGAGCAAAGAGAAGCCAAGCATAGAGAAGCCATGGAGGCCAATCGGGATAGCGCGATACAGGAGCGGCCATCGGTATTCGAAACCATAGGCGAATAGCACGTCATACCGATTTTACTCATACTACGTAATTTAACCTAGTTAACAGTAACATAATCAGATTAGTAAGTTATACACACTTAGTCATGGACATAACCACTTTTCACCGCCACCATTCATTTGCGCCCCCTTGGAAATTAAGAGGGGGCCAGGGTAGGAAGTTAGAGAGGACACATAACTTGGCAAGGAAGAGATAGATAGGAACGTAAGAGGTAAAAAGATCCGGGATTATATACATAAGGTGATCCAAATCAAGTCATCAAAATGCGGAGAACCATGGATCCGCGCGAAAAAGGTCTAGCGTCCGTTGGTTTATCGCCTTGTCGCAACTCCCGCCGGTGGCTGTCGTCCTTTGTCTTTCCTAATATCTCTTCTTTTCTTTTTTTCGCTCCCTTATCTACTTCCTTCTCCTTCTCGCTCGTTTCCTTCCTAATTTCCTTGCTCATTCCACTCTTTCCTGGCTGCGTCGCTGGTACGAGTGGCTATTATGTCGGTCACACCCGTCGCAACTTGAGTTGGTTGATAACATCTTTTTTTCCGACGTCTTGTGGCCACATCCTTATCTATTCACTCGGTCACCCTACAAATCCCCTCACCCCACGAAATGTTGGACGATGAGGCTACAGTCGGGAATGGTCCCGCTGATGGACTTCGAAATGCATCGCGAAGGTATTTCCCATAAACTTGCAAAGCATTGACGCCCATTTTTGCATAGTCGCGTGGTGGCTAACTAGGGGCGCTTAGGCGTGGTTTAAGAGGGAAACGGGACCCGGGGTTTCATGGCCAAGCCAGTTGGCTCAGCTGTGTGATAAACCTGGTCAATACGAGTGAGTGATGTGATGAGATGCGTAACCTGCCCGGAAACCCTTTTCTAATGCAGAAATGATATGTTAGTCATCGGTGCCGGTGTCCTGGCTATGCCTCTTGCCATGTCTCATATGGGGATCGTTCTCGGTGTCATCGTCATTTTATGGTCTGGAACGACAGCTGGTTTCGGCCTCTACCTTCAGTCACGATGTGCGCAGTACTTGGATAGGGGAACGGCGTCATTCTTCGCTTTGTCCCAACTTACATACCCCAATGCCGCCGTGATTTTCGATGCCGCCATTGCGATCAAATGTTTTGGAGTTGGAGTCAGTTACCTTATCATCATTGGAGACCTAATGCCAGGAGTTGTTCAGGGCTTTGTTGGTGGTACTCCGGACTACGACTTTTTGGTGGATCGGCATTTCTGGGTAACAGCTTTCATGTATGTTGCTACGCCGGCGTGGGATGCAACTCGTACTAACAGTGGGTGGATCCTAGGTTGGTTGTTATTCCGCTCTCGTACCTCCGCCGCTTAGATTCCCTGAAATACACGAGCATCGCAGCCTTGGTTTCCATGGCCTACTTGGTGGTTTTGGTTCTCTATCATTTCGTGATTGGTGATACGATGGCAGATCGAGGTCCGGTTCGCGTGATACATTGGGCCGGTCCCATTCCGATGCTTAGCAGTCTTCCCGTGATCGTATTCGCATTCACGTGCCACCAAAATGTATAGTTATATCGCCCTTACTACCTGTTTGAGAAAACGTATCTAATACATGGACAGATGTTCTCGATATTGAACGAGATTGGAAATAACAGCCACTTTAGAACGACTGGCGTTGTTCTTGCTAGTATTGGAAGTTCTGCAGCAACATATATTCTCGTCGCCATTACGGGGTATCTTTCTTTTGGAGACAAGATTGGAGGAAACATCGTGGGCATGTACACCCCTGGACTCTGGGCAACGATTGGCCGTGCCGCCATCGTTATGCTTGTCATGTTCTCGTACCCTCTTCAATGTCACCCGTGCCGCGCCTCAGTTGATGCGGTTCTGCGGTGGAAACCCAAGGCTTCGACCACCAACGACAATTCACCTCATCGCCACCCTCTGCTAGGACCACGAGGAAACCGAACACCAGAGCCCATGAGTGATCTTCGGTTCTCGGTTATTACGACAACGATCCTAGTACTGAGCTACATTGTCGCCATGACCGTTTCCTCTCTCGAAGCGGTGCTTGCCTATGTGGGAAGCACAGGCAGCACCAGCATCAGTTTCATTCTCCCAGGATTGTTCTATTACAAAATCTCTTCCCCTGACTCACCTGCCCACCAACGGCTGATGAAGGAAGACGACGAGGCGGCTGGAGGCATGTTATCCGACGATGATGACAACGACGACATGGACGACAATCAGACCCGTGCACTTACCGAAAGCGGTATCCTTCGTCGTGGGACTCGTCATTGGCGCAAGGCTATACTGCGGAAGTTAAGCTTAGCGCTCGCAATATACGGAGTCATTGTCATGGTTGTCTGTCTCATCACCAATTCGCTCTTCATCGCCTCACACTAGAACTTCTTCCAGCTTAGATTGATATACCCGCTTCCCAGTACCTCGGGGTATTTCATTTTCTTTCTTCTAGACAAGTGGACTTCTTATTCATGTTACCTAAACAAAACCTTTACCTTCCTTCTCAGGCCCTCATTACTCTCCTATCATGTTTCTTTTCTTTTGGTTTTTCCCCGTTGGTTTAGAGAACAAGCTTAATATGCTAAACTTTTAAATCAATTACTACTATACCATTGACGGGCGTTGGGGGGATATGTCTGGGTTCGTCATCGGAATTTCGGTCTCTTATCTAGGATACGTCACATATTTCTTTCAGCCACTTCTTTTCCTTCTCGTTTTCTATACTGTTTTTGTTGTGTTCATATTATACATATAAGAATTTATTGTTATCAATTTTCAAGTGTTACCTGCCTCTTCTGTACATGATCGACGATATCGTTTCATTAACGAGCAATGCAACTGACTTCATGATACGGCAATATGATCTGTGGTATACAATTTCGTTAACATACTTAGAATGTTATTTCTTATGACTTGTATGTAGCAATTGGTTAACACTCAATTACTTCCATTGAAGCTGCATTGTTATTGGCTCAATGGTTCCTGCCTTAGGCGCCACGATTGATATCAGGTGACCCGTCCTCCGACGTCACGTTCTAGAAGGACCCGTAGGCCCCCATTCCATGACTATTGTCTCAACCAACTTTCCACTTATAGTTTCGCTTTCTCCATCGACCTTGCATGTCACGCTTTTCTGTGGATTAACCCTCTACCAATACATTCATTAGCACCATGGCTGCTAATACTAGATACGAGCCAGCTCCTCAGCGGGACTCTTTTGAGGACCGCGCATTCTCTCAGCCCCCGCCATCTTATCAGGCAACGGCCGAATACTCACAAGCGCCTCGCAACGAGGACGACAATGTTCCCGATGACTTCAAAGTACGCATTGTATTTTTTCTTCTCGAAAGGCCATACGGTTCTCTTTACAGAGAATGCTAACACAATCTAGTTCGGTGGAATGGTCGCAGAGGGAACGCTGCCTATCCGGATGCAATTCGTCCGGAAGGTCTATGCAATCCTGTACGTCCCAGCTTTACATCCAGCCATACCTGTAAACAAGCGCGCGAATGCAATATTAACATAGAACTCAAAAATTTAGAACCGCCCAGCTCCTCCTAACAGTTATCATGAGCTCGATCTCCTTCTTCAGCGACAGCTATCGCACCTGGATCCAGGGCAACTTCTGGCTGATGATCGTCTCAGTTTTCGGTGCTCTGGGCTTCATGCTAGTTACCTACTGGAAGCGCAAGAGCTACCCAGCCAACCTCCTCTTCCTAACCGCCTTCACGGTTCTCGAGGCCTACTCTATCAGCGTGGTGACGTCTTTCTACGAGTCGCGCATCGTAGTGCAAGCTCTCATTCTAACTCTCGGCATGTTCGTCGCGCTCACGCTCTTCGCCTGCCAAACGAAGTACGACTTCACGAACTGGATGCCCTACCTGTTCGGAGCCCTCTGGTTCCTGATCCTGTTCGGCTTCGTCGCCGCCTTTCTCCCCGGCAGTTCCACCGTCGAGCTCATCTACAGCGGATTAGCGGCGCTGATCTTCTCGGCCTATATCCTCGTCGATACGCAGTTGATCATGAGACACTACCACGTCGAGGAGGAGATTGCCGCCAGCATCTCGCTCTACCTGGATATCCTGAACCTGTTCCTGGCTATCCTCCGGATCCTGAACAATCAGCAGAACAACTGAACATCAGCTTCCGAAAGTGGCCTAGGCCAAAAATCAAGCTCTTTTGTCGCAAGTGCAGACTGTCTGGTCAAGAACACTTGCTTGTACCCCATCGTTCCATTTCGGCTCGCCTTTCATCTGCCTAATACTGGTAATCATGCTAGGTCTCTTTTGCGCCTGACTTTAGTGTGTTATTGACGTTATAGTGACATGACCCTTCGTTCATCTTGTTTGATGTGATATACCGTATTCTTATATTGTACTCTGGAAGTTCCGCATTAGTGACAATGTCATTTGAAAGCGCTCGTTGGCATTTTATATAGCTGAGAGTAATATAGTAACTTACTAAACATAACCCTTTAGAAGAAGGCAATACCGAATATCAAGGGAAGGGGAAGAAAGAAAATGGTGTTAATTTCATTTAGACAGCCGAGGGCAACCATACGTAAAGAAAACAGCCACAAGGCCTAAAAACATACCCCCCTATTCCCTAGACAAACCATAAACTAGATATCAATCCAATATTAATTAGGCACATCAATGTCAACCATGGCGATCCCATACATGATATCATCAAGAATACCACCCCACCCCCCTCCCATAACAACAACACACAGGTAAACCATACATCCAATCTACCAAACAAACCATAGCAACTCATATATGTACTCCCCTATCCTAACTATATACCCCTTCAATCGCATCACCTCCCATTCTTCTTATCCCTACGAACCCCAACATCACTAATGGATAAAAACTGCATGAATCGATTACGTACGCGGCTGGTTTAATTCGGCCGGTACCGAACCGAACCTTGTGCGACGATCATTGAAATGATCGACATATAGGGCCCATCAGTTTACCCACATATTTCAGCACCTCCTGGTAGGGGGTATCGAGATCGACATTCCAGGTGAGAAAAGGCATGGGAAATAGGGGGTGTGGATTATGTGTGTTATGCAATGCGTTCTGGATGATTACTAGATACAGGATTGACTGAGAGTTATGGAGTACATAATTAGACCCTGCGTCGTATGTATAGGTGAGGATAAGGCTTGGATAATTGTAGAGGGTCTGAGGCTGGTTGGGTATCATGGTGGCGTCCATGGGAGAGTTTTGTTGCTTAAAATGGGGTATTTAGGTTTACGATGGATGGTTGGGTTGAACTGGAATTGCCATGGTTACAAAAAGTATTTGTTCTATTCTGTCAGGTGTAAGACTTCAGGAAGAAAAAGTGGGTGGCCATCATTCCAACCCTATTAGACTATGTATTTCTATATGTCATCGTAATTATGTTCATGAATATGAGAAATAAGCTAAAGCGTTTTCCAATATTGCGCCCGAAAATGCTATCAAAAGATGAAGATGAAGCCATGGTTAGTGTGAATATCTGTCGTTGTCTCGATAGGAGAAGTCTTCGACAATGTATTCATCATCTTGGTATGGTCTTGTATCACCTGTCTCGTCATCCTCGTCGGTGCTATCATCAGGGCTGTCCCCTGATCTAGGCGTTACGGTAGCGTCACCCAAGTCCTCCGGTCGCTTTCTGCGCTGGAAGTCTTGTGCGTGAGCGGAGGCCAAGATGGTTCCCACGCGGGACAAGCCGCGTGCCCGCAGGGATGCGCCTGGCGTGGATGGGGTTCCGTGTTCAATATCAGCCGTAGGAGGCCGAGGCGTTGGTTGCTGCGGTTCCTGGACTACCATCTCTTCTGTGGGATGGTCGGCATCTGTACGTGGGTGGGACACTTCGTATGGCAAGGGTATATCTCTTGATGCCCGGAAAAGCAGTACATTCGTGCAATGCTCGTTCTCCACTCGGAATATCGTCCACATGCCCCTTCGACAAATCTCGGAAAATCCGACCACAAAGCTGAGCACAGCTGAGTGTTGAATGTCGTGGGCGAATATAGCGTAGAATATCCAATTGAATCGCACAATGACATCGGCAACCATGGCTACATAGTAGACCCATGCCTTCCGGAAAGCTAGAACCTCGCGTAGAAGGGGATGCTTCGCATACGGATTCCCTAAGCTCCAGTCCATGGCGAGGTCCCACACGCTACAATAGACGGCATTCAATAAAGCAAAGGTGATAAACGGCGCTTGGAATCGTGTCACCCTTTCGATGCGATACATACTTAAGGTGCAGTAATACAAGACTCCGAAAATATACTTCCCGAAATTCATAAGGTGTGGGAAAAAGTTTTTCGTGTCAGCAAATCGACGTAAACATTGTAGAGCTCTCCATATAGAGGGAAGGCAGGTGAAGAATCCCAACAATCTGGAATGAGAGGAGTTACACTGCGCGTGCTCGGTCCAGTGCTTGGCATAGAGACAAAAGAATAGCTCGATATTCTGTGATCATCTTTAGCATTGTACCCTTCGAGAAGATGACTCTTATTCAACTTACCCCCATAGCGTACGTCTGAGAGCAGTACATATCCCCAAGAAAGAAGTCGCGGAACTCGACAGGGTACAACCCCGCAAGTAGTAGACGCCACTACTGTTTGTCAGTCATAAAACTCCTCCTAGATGCAGCAGAAGAAGTTCACTCACATTGGAGTATGCCCACCATTTGCGACTTCGATGATAGAGCACCGGCGCAGGGAGAAAGAGAGTAACCACCGTTACCCCTATAAGTACAACAGGCCAGTAAATGTACATGGCATTAACCGATAAGAAGTTAAGCCACATGAAAACACCCAACAAAAACATGAAAAGGCAAGGTAGCTGTCTTGATGTTAGCGGGATATCGAAAGCGGTCGACGGGAAGCCCATACCTCAGTGAGCTGACGCCAGTCTAACGCATTTCTAGTATCGTATTCGAAAATAAAAACATAGTTGATTTTGTTTCTCGTCCAAATGATGCAATCCAAGCAAAATAGCAGGAAGTGAAAAACTATAAGAAAAAATCCACCATATATCTATTCGAGTTAGTACCATCATGACTAAAGTAGCTAGATCTACGAAAGATAATTCGAGTCGATTTGAACGCACCTGAAGGAGATAGCTGGTGTGAATCGGTACCATAGGATTTGGGTGGTCATAATTCTGGGAAGCGTATATCAAGGCCTGGATACCGAACAGTATACCGGCCATCAAGAGAAGGCCTGCACGGAACGTATTCGGTGAATAATCGCCTGGTTTCTTCAGAGTTTTGCGCAACTTCGAAACGGCAATCTTGCGATTTCCGCGCTCAAAATAGCGTGCGTACAAGTCCTCCGCCGCGGCCATCAGGTTCTCGGTGACCTCACTTTGTACGAACCACGCTTTGTTGACCTTGTCCGACATGTACCTCAGAGGCGGGCGGGAATTAACGGCTTTGTCGTACTTTTTATTGATCTTGCGAAAGGCGGTTCGATTCAGGTAGGCGTATGCCTTCAACAGCTCGACACCGCGGTAGAACTCCTGGAGTGCATGTTTAAGCTTTCGCTTGGCAGAACGATAGGGGACTTCGTTGGCTGCCGACTCTTCTGGTCGACGCGAGAAGTCTCTGCGGCGGTTCACAGCCTCCGCTTCTTGTCCTTGATTTACTGCCGGAGTGGCCCATTCAGCCAATGCCTTAGAATTCTTCCCGATTCGACGTCCCACAAAGGCTTCCTTTAACCGGGCGCCATTGAAACCGTTCTGTTTGTGCGAAGTTCCGTGCTGCGGTCGTTTCTTATTGCTCAAGACTTCCTGAATCCGTTGGTCGCGCATAATGTGTAGTTGTTGCTTGAGCACTTTCAAGCGTTCTGTAGCTTCCTCCTCCTTCATTTGATAGAATGACTCAATCTTGCCAAGCTCCTGGTCTAGGAATGCGAAAAACTCATCTTGCCGTCGTTGATATTCCGACGATGGTTGACCATCTTGCTTCTCTGCCGTATCCGTGGACGTAAACACACGCTTCAGAAGCTGCGAAGCTCGCTTGCCGCTCGCACCGGATAAAGTATTTCTCTTCAGATCCTTGTCGGTGTTCGCGGATGGGCTCTGGGACATATCGGGTACGGTTCTAGTGCTGCCTTGGCGGGCCATAACCGGCGAGGGACTCCGGGGCGCATCCTGGCGGGCGATCGTACTACCCGGGTCAAAGTCCTGTACCTTCGGGTCAATAGCTGGGTCCGGCAATTCGAAGGAGGCGACGTCCGATGATCCAGCCTGGAGCGGTGGTGTGGCAATGATGCTTCCATAACTTCCTACCGTCGTTGAAAACCGAGAACCAGGAACTCGTAAAGGCTGGCGCTCGCTTCGTCGACCGGGAGTTGAGCGCGGCGTCCGAGAACCGCTCCTGACTAGCGTTGTGGGGTTATACGCCGGCTCAGTGGCTTCATGCTTTTTATCCAATTGCTGGAGGGAGGAGGGACGGTCGGGACTGCTCGCAGGCGCTGATAATTGATCACCATGGTTGACGTGTCGGAGGGAGGTATGGCTCGGACTTCGATTGGTTTTCTGGAGTGCTCGTGAAATTGCTTTGACTTTCTTCTTGCCCGCCTGTATCCCGAAGAAGGTCTGTCAGATTCTGGGAACCACCGAAAAAGGAAAGAAAAGAATTAACAAACAAAAAACACACAATGGGTTCAAACCTTGTAGTCGAGATATTTGGCACGCCATTCTGGAACTAATTCCTGTTCCAGCTCTCTGTTGAACTAAGTGTTAGCCACCAAATCATGCATCTGTAGTAGTGTAACGAACTTGGCGAATTTCATCCTGCGGAGGGGGCGAGATAAGAGAGCATGATAGTGAGGAAGGCAAGTCGCGAGGTAGCGGTCAGAAGTCCCAATTCAGACAAGAGAGTTGAGTATATGTGAGTGAGAGAAGGCGTTCTTGTATGGCTGATATTCTGGAATCACAAGCTGTGGATTTTCGTCTCTTTATATCATTATGGACAGAAGATGTTGCTTGCAGGAGATCAATCGATCTGTTTTAAGAGCTGTTTAAGTATAGCAACGGAGCGACGAGAGGGAAAAGAGATGAGTGTGAAAAACCATCACCACAAAAAGGAGATAGGTCACAAACCCAGAAAAAAAAAAGAAAAGGGAAAAAAAGGGTTTCAGTCATTCAGTAATAGCTAAGCGATCAGTCCTAATCGACACTTGAAGTATTCTTTTTTTCGTTTTCGCCCACGCCGGCCTGGGCATCCAAAAGTCAATCTGGGCCGAACAATCATTGGCTACGACAGGACTCCTGATAGGTCCGGAGATATGCACGTGCAGCAGACCCAGCGACTTCATAGGCGGTCCAACAATTCTCAGGCGGTGGTTGGCTGAAATGCCGCGTCGCTTATCCTATTGCGGTATGGCGGCCTCAATGCATCATCCTCACTGGTTCTCGAAGAGCAAAATACCCCCTGTTCATGCTGTCATCTTGATTTAATTGATTACAGCATCCACTGCCTTACATTTAAAAAAAGGTACATCATCTGTACATTGTCTCTCTATACTTAATCTGAGGGTAGATAAGTACCACGCTCGTACTGTACATCTTCCTCTACTCGCCTCCTCTGAAAAAAGTGATGTTCTAAAGACTTTCCTGTCTCTGTGGAATCCTCCTACATAACTCGGCGGTGACTAAACCTGACAAGGCGCGTTGGAATTTGCCAAGGGTCACTATTTGTTTTTATTTGAATCTCCCAAGATTCTTTATATCCACTCTGGTCTCCCTCCTCACCGACAATAGCGCTTACTGATAAACACCGATTTCTTCACAGGATTATATTCATTCATTTCTATATACATGCATCGTCACTTCCAGAACTGACTAGGTTCGACACCCGCGATATCCCTACTATTCATTCAGTCCGTGAAATGTTTACCAACGGTCGAAAGCCTCGTGGCGGCGGTGCTCGTTGGGGTTGTACTCGGAGGCACCCTGGCCACGGACGTAGTGCTCGTCGTACATGTGCTCGGCGTTCTTCTTGGCGTGCTCGTGGGCGCGCATCTTGTCAACCTGGTCCAGACCCTTGGTCTCAGCGAGTCTCTCAACCTGAGAACCGACAACAGCGGCAAGGGCTTCCTTGGCGAAGGCGTGGTTGACAGTCTTGCCTATTGAGATTCCGAAGTGTTAGAAGGCGCATATCACATGCAGCGGGGCACGATAAGCAAACACGAAGTTGGTGTGTACATACCTTCCTTGCGCTGGTGGTCCTCCCAGGCCTTCATACCGGCGAAAGAGGCAGCTCCGGCAATGAGCTGGTGAGAGAGGTGACCCTCGTGCTTGCCCTCGTTCACCTGACGGTGGGCCTCCTCGGATTCATCTAAAATGAGACAAGAGTTAGCCATTGAAAGTCATTCGGGAACCAACACCCCGCCAATACGAGAGATCCGAGTTCCAGCAAACAAGGAAGACCCTTCATCGCTCGCATGCAGGATGATTTGGATGCATTTGGCTAAGGTTTTGACAGTAGAATTGACTTACTCCAGCCCCAGGCCATTGTGATCGATGTGTGATGGTTTGAGGAAAAGGGAAGAAAATGAAGATAGGTAAGATGAGGAGGATAGATGCAGACAGTGAATGATGAAGGATAAACTGAGCAGGAGGGGGACACGATACGTCTTAATATACCCCGACACACCCCACCAGACTGGCGTACTCTTCAGCTATCGATGCCCCTCCACATACCTACGCCTTTCTCTGCCCCGCTCATCTCCTGGGAATCAGATTTCGGACATGGGCGAGAAATGGATCTTCCACATGCAACAAGTGGACCAATGAAGTAGATCCCAGCCTGGGATCAGACGCAGAGACTGCCACGTTACCAAAAGCATAACAGACGACGTGGGATAGCAGACGATCACTGATAGGAGTATCCCGATGCGAGACGATGGACTTCAGCCACTGCCAAGACACCGAGAAGAGGAGACACTGTCGGTTAGCTTCGTAGACGTACCGGACTATGAGTCCAACCACGGTATGGGTGATCCAGTTATTGCGGTTCTTGGCACAGTCTCACGAAGAGGGGCGTGGCTTGAAAACGTAAGAAAAGAATTATGAGTGGATCAGGTGCCTCATCTCCCTGCATAGTATTCGTAGAACCTAGAGAGTCGGGCGCTTTCTCCTCATTCAATCGTAGCCTATCGCCGCCATCGAAGGCCTGACGTTTTGCTTCGCGCGAAGCGCGAAGTCATTGTTGAAAGAGACGAAACAATTTAATCTTCGCAGGTACGGGGTCATACGTGTCTCCAGAGATCCATCGGTGAATGCAGTGCCGATCGCGATGGGTCCACAATGGGTTGTTCCCTCTCAGCCTTACTCCTGGGCGCATGAACTAAAAATACGAACCTCAGCCACAGAGCCACAATTTCCGGAGGCTGCAAAGCTGGTCGACCCGAGCCATTCCCTCGCCAAGCTTCTCTTGTCCAAGGCTTGTCGTCGCCCTACGCCTTGTGCCAGGAGAGCCGCGTCGGTAGATAGATAGAATCCAAGTGTATCCCCGAAAAAAGAGTCCCGGAAGTCTGTCCGAGAAAAATTGTAAAGCAATCGAGTCTCCGGTCAAATCCTGGGTTCCGCTCCTGCATTAGCAATGGGACAATCTGTTTCATTTCTCTTAGCCAATGCTAGTGCCGCTCCTTTTTTCGGCTCATCAGGTGGAGCGCTAGAGGGGAATCGATTTGTTTGGGGCGAGTTCAATAATCCCCACTTCAGGACATCAGGAGGGAGATTGGAGGGAGTAAGTCGGAGTAACAGAAATACCTTTGGGCCGAGGGCTTTTTCTTCTACTAGTACTACTTGGTAGTATTGAGGGCCTCCGACGTCGCCGACAGTGGCGGTGAACAACCAATGGAGACCACAGGCAGCCATGTTTTACTGAAAGAGGACGATCTGTGGCTGAGGCGGAAGTGGAGAACCGTAGCCTGAGGTACTAGTTAACTAGTTAACTAGTATTTACTTAGTAGGGACCACTATCTTTACGGAGAGTGGCTACGTACTCCTCCAGCAAGGGGCCTACGGAATGACTTGCCATTATACTCCCACGTGAATGTTTCCCTTTTGGCTTAACTGCATAGACCCTCTTCTCTCTTTCATCACATCAGTCTCCTCATTAGTGACGTTGTCAAGCCTATACTATTCTTAAGTCTGAGTAAGTTATGGATATAGCACCCTCTTGCCTCGAATTGCGACAGATATATTCTGCCAAGCTTCAGCTGGTTTCCTCACAGAACAACCCCCCCCTCTTCTTCCAATAAGTCGTGTCGCAGAGCGATAGACGCTCCATGATGCAACACCGTGTCATTGAAAACCCTTGCTTGATTGACGAAGAGCAACGATGCTCATTGTACTCCATACATGCCTTGAGGAATCCTAACCCGTCAGCAGCCAAGAACAGGAACCAGAGGTTGTGTAGGTATTTCAAATTGTGACTCTACCTACGTTAGCTGCATGATATCATATGCAAATGAACGGCTGCATGCGAACTGCACACTGTGCGAGGACGACCACAATTGAACACGACGTGAGAGGGGATGCTGAATGCTGGTTACAGTACAAAGATTGTTGTTCAGGTAAAAAGCCTTTCAAAGTTGGAAGAAGCATTGATTGCTTTGTGAAAACTGACTATGCTCTGTATGTGAACGCAAAATGCTCTTGGGAGTACCTCATTCTAGCCCTCGGAAACTGTACCCATGATCTCGAACTATGTAAACATCAGGGTTAGCTCTAGCTTGTCTATTGTTCAACAACACATTAGGCGTTTACTCTTAGATAATGCCCTTCCTCTGGATTTGGGAATCCTGTCCAGTCCTTTTCAATAACCCCAGTAAGGCTTCGGCATCGTCCAGGGTATTTACAGAAGGCCAAGAGAACATCGACTCGTCTTGTAGCACCGGCATATATATTTGGGGTGTAGCCTGGTCGAACACAGAGTAACGGCTCGGATACAAGTCCACTTTTATCTCGTGGTCCTGTTCGAATGGCTGCTCGCAAGTTGGTATAGTATTGCCTCCGAAACGGAAATGCCCCAAATGAACAAGTTCGTTTCGAAAACTATCAAAATAGTTTGACCAACGTTTGGGATAGGTATAGGCGTAATATTGCGAATAGACTCCTTCGCCGTCGCTTATTTCTTTCTCACTAAGATAGCACTGGTGTAACTCGTTCTTACAGATACGTACTTCATATAGTATGACGCAACTGTAAAGATACAGCTCGCGTAGAGTGGCCGCGTGTGAGAGAATCCAGTCAAGCTGGGAATCATGCACAAAGCAGTATTTTCCCAGGGTCAGACTTTTCAAGTGAGGGAAGTGCATGGGAAGCATTTTTGGATAAAACCCGAAGACTTCGTTGGTCCATAGGCAGAGGTTTTGAAGGGTCCCCACAGTAGGCTTCAGCCACTTAGTCGTAAGTTCAGGATAAAAGGTACGACTTGTGTCTGAAAGCTACGGCACTCTTTAGCTAATAGACTCTTTTGCATAAACACAACGCCCTGCAGGACTTACTAACAAGTCGTCTTCGTCCGAGTACTCAATGTCTTGGATGATGTTTAGTCGAAGTGACTGAAGCTTACAAAGCACCAGGGCCATTATAGCGATCTCTTTATCATCTTGCTCGCATACATTCTGCATGCTCTGAATAGCTAACCCTCGTAGTGGACGGGACAGCGAAAGCAACGAGGAAAACAGTAAACGAAGGGTTTCTAAACGGAATTCTACTGTTTCAGGGTGCCAAAACGCGCTGACACCCTCAGCAACATCATCATCATCATCATCATCGGGAATAGAAATGTTTGCATCAAAGCGCAATGCCACGTCGCGCAGGTTTGGGAGTTCTTTCAGTCGTTGGATCAATGTAATCACTTGTGTAGGAAGAACAGCCTTCGCAACCGCAGGAGTGTCGTGATCGTGGCACTAAGTAGCTGTTAGTACTTCATATTCTCCTGGTACTCGAGTGGCGACAGAAAGAACAGACATTAGGGTGCAGGGATACTAACGTGACAGCCTGTACATTCATGTGGCTCACATGTGTGTAGGTATATTTTCTGTACCACCGACTTTATCGCGGTGCTCTCCAGGATTCTTTCCATATTCTGGCAGCTTGCATCATTTGGGAATAGTACAATCCTCCGAAAGAGACTGATCGTTGCGGAATATGACAGGTTTCGGCATGTTAGGCGGGATTGTTTCACGGATTCTCGGTCGAGATATGAGATGATATAGTGCAAAAGCTCGGGTGGGAGATTTGCGAGGTTTAATGCTGACGGTGGAAATAGAGGCACAGTCACGTTATGAATACCGGTGTTGGTCCAAGGTTTGATCCGCTGAAGTAAGTTGATTATATGAGAAGCCATGGTGCAGATGGTAGATAAACATGAGAGATTAAGATATGTGGACTGAACGTGGAAGATGTATTCTGACCTCGAGAAGGCATGGTCAGGAGTGAAAGCTAGGCGCCTCAGGTGACAGACGGAATTCCCTAAAATATCTTCACTGGCACTCGAGAACACCTCCTTAGGCCAAAGCTGCAGGACCAAAGGCTTGCAAAATCTGGCATAACTTATGGTATCCTACTATATAAACCCCCTTGACCTTCGGTAGTTGCTTCTCGAACAACCACGAGAGCCTGGAAAGGCAAACCACATTTACTTGCGTTTTCCTCCATATAGTACACTTGAACTTGATTTTCTTCGCTGAGAGTGCAACATTTTGTTCATCGTCTGTTTCTCTTTATCAATATCAAAGTTATGTGCTTGTCAAAGCCGCAAAACGCTCGAAAACTAATGTTCATAAAGTCCATTATAGTTGTGTTTTCCTTGGATCGAAATACAACTTAATGATTCACATTGCGCGTTGCAGCCTCTTTTCAAACATGATTGATTAAACCAACATCGTATGAGCCTATGTACATACACACGTAATTACTTCACACCGTTGATTCTACATATTTATGTAACAAAGGCTTTGGCTCCCTTACACCTTACCTACCCCTAATCAAAATGGTTCTTATAGCAACTCCTGTAGAATTTTATTCCTTTTGATGCAATACTTTACAATTGCTTGTTTTACATATGCTCACGGAGAAAATTACCTCAAGAGTTATCCATAGCTGTGGTCTGCTTGGAGTGACTAAATACTTTAGACTGTGCTCAATACTAATGAAAGTACGTAGACGAGATATTGGACGTCGACCGCACATAAATAAGGGAAGTCTAATATATGTTGTTACCACTCAGGAAGAGCCAAGGTCGGAAAAAACATGTAGTTCTGCCATACATCTCTATTTAATGATTATATATCTATATACCAGTTGTAAGAATTTGATGCTTACATAGATTGTTGATGAGTAGAGGATCCCATGCACATATACCTAGAAAACGGACTTCATAGCCCTGTCTAGCTTAGCGCCTTTATGAATAACAAAGATTTCAAGCAAAGCCCTTCCCCCCCGACCAATCCGTAAGGTATTTCTCCCCTCCAGCTAGCATATCCGTCACCCCTGGTATAGCCCTTTCATAATAAAGTTGCACACAGTTAGGCGTCCCCAATACTTTTCCAACTCCCCCAATCCGCTCATAAGTGACCCCATGCTCGGTCTCCTTTCCGGATCCCTCGATTTGCTCACCAACCAGCCATTCCTCATCAATCGTGCCCAAGGAGACGTGAAGTTCCCGCGAGTGCTCCGTACTCCTGACAAAGAGCGAACTCCCACACTCAGAGCAGAATCCCCTCAGGAATCTCTCCGAGGAGCGGTATTCCTTATACGTTTTGAAAGTCGAGAGGTCGGGAGTGACATGTTCCGACGGTAATGCTAACGCTTGAGGGAACAGGCTAGATGACCATTTCCGGCAGCTTGTGCATTGGCAGGAGGCGGACTGTTGGATACGTTATCACGAGCCTATACAGATAAAACACTACCCTCGGCCTCTCTTGCATCCTTAAGACAATGATGGTGTTTTCATTACCATTGGTGGCCAGGTGGAACCCCTAGGAAAATGTACGGTATAGCGGATTGCGCCGCAGAGACAGCCTCCGGTTATTTCGGGGGGATGTTTAGGGTTGGTTCCCATGTTGGCATAGGCGGATGAGTGGATGCACTGATATATGAATCTGGATGTAGGAATTGATAGAGGAGGAGAAATATTCGATGAGTATCATGGGTTAAGTATTAGAGAATAAAGCTTTGTACCCCGCATATCCTCGTATTCTACCGACTCTTCGACTCGACCAATAAAGGAACGGAATCCAGCACCCGCGTTATTGTATAGATACTTGGTATATTCTTTTTAAGTCCGTAATTAGAGCTATGTAAAGGCTTTTAGATCACTGATTTAAATTTATACTAGATTTTCCATGTTTTTCTTGATTTTCGAACGTTCTTAGAACGCCTACAACAGATATACTGAAGTAGTGTTAAAGGGCCGCAATAAATAAAAGCTAACATTATTAAGTTATTCACTCCAGTTTTGCCGATATAAATAACCAATTATAATATAGGATCGAAAGCCAGAGAATGATGTATATACCTCGAACACCGGCTGGGCGCCTATATCAATACCCAGGGCGGAAATATTTCTCTAAACTTATTAACCAATGATATTCTGAGTCTGTATAGTACAATATAACCTCTAGCTAGTTTATTCGTTGAAAGCTCTTCTGCCACTGTTCTGATCATCCTGGTGCGGTATCAAAAACTAGTAATTTGTGAGTGCCTCGACTTTTACATATAGATAAAATGCTTTAAACTTGTTAAAGGATCTGTGTATAGTCATGTACAGGGTAAATAAAATAAACCCGAAATATTTTGTACGCTGACTGTACAAGTGAAATAAACATACGTCCCTAGAAAGGGTCTCTTGCTCCACACATATACCTATAGTTTAATACAAACACCAGCTAAAATGTAATCAAAAACCCAATTAAAACCAACCATGCTGCTCATACAAGCTAACGCTGCTTTTATTTTCGACTCTTGAGAACTACGATGTAATCCGAGTAAAATGCAGTGGCAAATCGAGCTCATAATAAAAATATGGTTAGATTGAAATACAAGGCCGCATTCACCAAACATCTCAGCACGATAGTACAGTAAGCTCTCCTCAAAGGCTCAGTCCTCCACGGGAGGGTGGTGTGCCTGACTATATGGGTGTCCAAGCGGTCGTAAGTTGGGTAAACCCATCCATTGTTACAAACTAAGGAAGATGAGTTATATGCACATTCATTCATAGAAGTAGCCGCGGTATATACACACCATTATAGGAATTATCTCGCCGATGTCTAGATTAAATGTACTTCCAGAGCACCAGGAACGTAGGTGGGGTTGCCACCACAAGGGCAACGATCGTGATGATTGCCTCTGGGGACTGAGACATCCCGAATACGGATACAAGCCACGAATGGCACTAGAATAGTGACTGTCTGCAGTTACAAGATAATAATGATGATGATGATAATTATTCTTATTATAATAATAAGAAGCAGAATACTAAAACAAATAAGAACAATAGTAACAAGAGAAGAAGGAGAAAAGGGGTGCGACGAAGAGCAAGCAGAACAGTGAGACTCCTCTGGTAAAACTACCTTTCATACTTGGCCTTTACGATTGCTACGGCATAAGTTGGGGAGAAGCATGTTTTGTGCAATTGCGGCGGTGTAACTATGATCATTTTGACGCGATTTGGGTTACAATTGGTTCCGTTGGGTAGGCTACTATCTTAGTGAGAAGTTCTCATAAGTTAACTAGTTAGCCTAGGTTAAAAAGCTAATGCCTTTTACCAACAGTTTCATGATTGCTCATAGCAAGGAAGCATCACTGTTTAAAATGTCCAGGAGCGATTTTTCGGCTCCCTGGCCGAATGATACTTTAGTACTTAAGAGTACTAATGACTAGATAATCGGCCAGTCAATTATAGCCGTCAAATAATGTTTCAGTAGAAGTATCTCGTGGTTCCCTCATTCCAAGGTAGTTGGTGTAGGAAGACGCCAGTGCATTCCTCGCGGACAACGGATCTTGAATAAGAACACTACTAGACTGTCCTAGGAGCTGCTCTCACCTGCCATAGTACGAGTTATCGAGCATGAGGTGCAGTGAGGAGTGGATGGACGTTCAACATACGTAGACATACATACGGTTTGAACCCTCGATTAGATGATTCTAGAGGATTTCATATTAGATATGAACTTCCAGAACCAAAATGAGTTAGCGATGAGCTAGCCCTATATCACGGTCAGCGAGTACTATGTACCCCAGGATTTTTCGCCAATAAATTCTAGGGATAGTTGAATCATATGTAAAGTAGAAGAATCCTATCGACTACAACCCAGCAGCCACAAGAGCTTACTAGGACGGCTTGTCAAATTTAATAACTATGTTTTCATCTCGGTGTCCCTAAGATGTGCCACTAGTCTAACCAACTTGGGTCGCCTACTATAGAAACACAGAAGCCGGGTAAAAAGGCCCCGAAAAGTAAACACTAATTCAAGTTATCGATAGAGGGTATGCAAATGTAGAATGTTATCAAAAAAAGACAGCAGCACGCACACCTTGGACATTGGCTATACCAAGACCAAGACCAAGACGGAAGCACTTGTATTCTTCCACCACTGACGTTCCGAGTCTGCATCCTACCAATCTGCAAAGCGAAGGTAACGTGCTTATTTATACACACATAGTACCCGCATTAAGAACCCACGATGCATTGCATCCACCGTCTAGATAACCACAAAATGTCCGAAAACCAGCTTGTAAACTTGATCCCATCCCTACGCCAAGCAGGGCTTTTCCCTAGCTCGGCACCCCTCATCCCAGAGGACTTTACCCCAACAACGGAACTCCAGGTATCCTTTGGAGAGAAAGCCGTTTCTTTGGGCAATATGTTCAGAGCCAGTGAATGCAAGTCAGCTCCGACCGTATATTTTGCAGCTGAGGTATGCACTATCCGCTATCATGGTTGAGAATCTCACTAACACTCCAAATACAAAAGAGGGATATCGACTCCCCACAGAAATACATCTTAATCCTCACAGACCCAGATGCTCCGACACCAGACGAGCCGAAATTCGCATACTGGCGTCATTGGGTCGTTTCCGGATTACAGCCATTTGGATCTCTGGAATCGGCTCAGACATTGACAGAATATCTTGGCCCTGGGCCTAAAGACGAGTGAGACTTCTCCTTGGTGCCTATTCTCATCTTGTAAATATTAAATATTGACCAAAATTATTGTTATATCAGTTCACGGCCGCATCGGTATCTGTATCTGCTGTTTCGTGAGCCACCCGGCCTGTCACTTTCGAAGGAAGATGTCGGGGGCGAAGAGTTTACTGATCGGAGGTCATTCAAGGCCGCGGAGTGGGCGCAGAAGCATGGATTGAAGCTTGTCGCGGTGAACTGGATGCTGGGTACAGGGGATGGTTGGCACGAATGAGATTGACGTATGACACATCCCTCTAGGATCATAAGCTTGTTATGATCTTCTAAATAGAAGAGGAATGTAATCCTCTTACTCCCTTCAACCCCGACAACTACTAATTCCGCATGTCTTTGAATAAGGGCTTTTGAGGCACTAAATTCAACAAAGTTTAAAAGGGGGTATGATGGAGCCATTCCAATATAATAAAAAACCGAAAGGAAAGGTACAACAACAGACCCAAGAGCCCATAGTCAACTGTCAAGGCCCGGTATAATCTACTACCGGCTGACAGATTCACGCGCATGATTCAATTAGGCTCTTGGTATATCCTTGGTGTATATTTATATACCCCTACTGCTCGATAATAAGCCCACTTACTCTAACGGTAGGGGTCGCTCTGCCCAACATCCACTCAGTACACTTCATCAACGGCCCTCCCGGTTCCCCAGGCTCATAGAACATCGATGGATCTTTTGTCTTGAACGGCTCCGTCGTCATAGTCTTGATATTAGATATTTTTTTTTTCCTGGGGCGGCGTTGGCACACTTTTCAACACCCGCTGCCTTTCGTCGGGATGCTTACATGCGCGACGCCCAACTCCTCACTTATATAAAACCATACTTTCGAGTGTCCCTGATACGCAAACGTTGAACAAGGAGCAAAAGTAAATAGCTCCACACAGTAGTTTAGAGCCAAAATTGAATCACTACTCGCCAATTAGCACAAGGAGTCAGTCACAAAATGCAACATGGAGGTAACGCCCCAGAGCCAACCGAAGCGATCCCTCAGGTTGGCACTGTCCTAGCTTCTGTTTCACTTAATTCCAACGATCAGTGGCTATCCCCGTAGAGGGTGCGACCGTTAGCGCTCTTTGCTGGAGGAGGTCTTCTTGGCTAAAGCCGTCTCAATGTCGGCTGGGCTGATGAGGTTAAGGAATATCTAATTATGTTATGACTAATGTAATGAATTACAGGCCACTGCAGTCTTGTGAAAAAGATAACTGGAGTCTGGCATACCAATAACGAGTATTTAAATTACTTTACTAAAAGATAAAGCTGATCTAAAGTGTCTATTCAGCATGTTACCTAGCATTGCAGGCATAGAATAGGTGTTTTATTAAATCAATCAAAGCATTGTATGACTTTGTCATGAGGCCCCATATAAAAAGGCCCATATTTCCCCCTTAGGTAGATCTTCTTAATAGCTTTAAATTTCATCAACTTGAGCGTTCTCTGATCGCTATATACATTTTCAATACTAAAACTTCTACGTTATCTAAATTTTTATATTGATCGGCATTTGAGAATTTCGCAATGCTGAATGCTTTCCAATCACACGCCGCAATAAGCCACCAACAAATCCAAAAGCTTTTTGTCGGAACCAATGAACTGCCAGGGATGACGAAGTAGAGTACTAAAGCGGAAGAACCCAGCAGAATAACTATAAATTAAATATCAGAAATCCAATACATAGAAATTAGACTAGCATAAGCTACAAAAACTGACGCATTGAAACATCCAAAACCACCAAGAGGATCTGTCCGAATTTGCGCGACACCTCCATATACCACTGCAGCATCCATCCTAGTAGATCAAATCACATTCAACGACGAAACAAACACCCACCTCCAAAAGCCAAACCAAACCAAAAAAATCCCGACATCACCACCGTGCAAACCAACCCTCACCGACACCTCAAAAAATAAAAGAAAAAAGAAAAAATGCCCACGAAACCCCCCACAGCTTCTGACTTCCCCCCACATCTAACCCTAACAATCACGCCCCCTCAAACCCCCTCATCAAACCCAACCCGCCCACCCCCGAACCTCCTCCTCCTCCTCCACGGCATCGGCGACACAAGCGCAACCTTCAGCACCTTCGGCCGCGCCCTCAACCTCCCCGAAACAACCGTCCTAACCCTCCAAGCCCCCGCCCACCTCCCCTTCGACCTTCCGGGCTACCACTGGGGCGACGACATCTCCTTCGACCCTACCACCGGAGCCTTAGACATGGACGCGGGGTTCGCGCGCACAACACGCACGCTCGTCGACGAGGTGATCAGGGACATCCTCGTCAAAAGGTGCGGGTATAAGCTGCGGGAGATTATGATTTTGGGGTTTGGGCAGGGGGGCATGGTGGGGCTTGCTGCGGCGCGGGAATTGGGGATTCGGCCTAAGGTCCAGGATGTCGGTGGGGAGGGGGAGGGGGAGGGAGGTAGCAGTAGTGCGTTTGGGGAGCTTTCCGGGGTGATTTCTATTGGAGCGCCGTATCCGGTTTCTGGCAGTGTGGTGGGGGGGAAGAGTCGGACGCCGGTGTTGCTTGTTGCGGGGAGGGATTCAGGGGTTGTGAGTGACGGGGCGGAGAAGAGGACGAGGGGCGTGTTTGAGTTTGTGGAGGTTGCGAGGTATGCGCGGAAAGGGGATGGGATGCCTAAATCTAGGGAGGAGATGTTGCCTATCATGAGGTTTTTGGCGCGGAGGTTGAGGAGTTGGCAGGGGGTTCCGGAGGGTAGTGTTGAGATTGCTTAGTTTGTGAGGTCAACTTTCATTATGGATGTGTAATGAGTGGATGGAGGGTGTAGATTGGGTTAGAAGGGATTGAGGGTGATCATCTACTAGGATGGGGTTTGGTATGATAGAGATGATACGCATGGTGCTGGAAGTATGGTACATTGCATGCTCTACATGGGTCTATGCGATGAAGCTTATTCCACGTCCCCCAGGGCTTTTCTGGCCCGGTCGATTTTCTTCCTGGCCTCGGACTCTGTGACGTCCTCAATCCGTCGTCCACTTTCTTGCACGATGGTGTGCAGGTGCTCTTCTGTCTTGATCAAGGCTGTCCGGCCCTCTTCTCGGACTTCGTCTTCCCAAAAAGTGCGGGCAGCTTCCCATTTCTTTTGTTGCCGGTTCAAGGAGTAGATCAACCCAACGGCGGCGATTATGCCAGTTTCGTATACAGACGCTGCCGGGACGGAGACGTATGTCAGAGCCGACAGAGCTGACGTCAAGGTGGTAGTTGACATGCTGAAAAGAACGAGCCTCTGCGCCAATGCCTGTAGAGAGGGCACCGTCGTCTCGAGTAGCCGGGTGCGGCTTGTGGTGATCTGGGTCGGCCAAAGCTCATATGATTTGGGCCTGTTACTTGTGGCATCACTTGTTTCTTGTTGTGCTGGCTGCAAATCAAGACCGGCTTGGTTGAATCTACCCGCTGTCCAAATCACCTCTTTTTCGGCACGGCGCAGGTATTTTTTTTCCAATATTTCCGACGTGATCATACCTACGTCGTCAACATGCCAAAATAACTTCCACCAGGCGAGGCCCCTCCAACTCTTTGTCGCGAATCCTTCTTCGAGGGAACTGCGCAGTTCTGTATGTGCTCTCTCCGCCCATTCGGTCACAGAACGATCCAGGTTCCCCCGCGCCTCATCTGAGAGTATCACTGCCTTCTGACCCTGCGTTATTTGCTTCTCATCCGCAACAACTCCAGCCTCTGCGGCGTCAACCAAAGATGTGATCAAAGATTTGAGTGAGGGGTCGAGAGTCCCGTCTTCTGCTCGCAACGACGACAACCAATCCTGGACAGCCTGTACACCACTTCCGTTCCAACCACGTTCATAGAGAGAGGCGTTTTGCACAGATTCACGGAATTTATCTAAGGCTTCGTCCGCTCGGTCAATGTCTACAAACGCTATCCGGTCATTGCTTTTCCGTGAGGCAGTGACTGCTAAATCAATAGCACCATAGACCGAGCTCGTCTCTTTCTTCAAGTCCGCCCGAGAGACCAAGCCGTTGTATGCAACCAATCCATCTACACCGCGGCCGCATACAATAGTTCTGTGGACAGGGTACCGCACGGCATTGTGTCGTCGACCGGAGTGCGAAGTTGGAATCGTCACCGTAGGTACGAGGAATGTGTCTGCTGTAAAATGCGCATCTGATAATTCTGCCTGGGCACCTAGGGTAGAGACTAGGATCTCAAGGTTGCCTTTCTTGAGGATTGGAGAGGGGACAGAGATAGTAGGGAGAAGATTATTTGGAATGGCCTCGGATACTTCGCCATATCTGTCGTATGTCAGCACAGTTTCTAGTTACCTATACTGTGGAAGATATACGCATACCGAATGAGCAAGCCCTGGGTGGGATCAGAGTCGTAAGCGTCTAAAGCATCCTCCCAGCTCTCTTTTGTACTTAACGGATCGGCGAGTAACAAGCGCACGAGCTTGCGCGCAGCGGTCGCATCGTTCAGACCAAGAACTATAGATAATATCATCAATACACGGAAGAAATCTGATGTACAGGGAGAACCCACCAGCAACCCGGATAATAGGCGCTTCGCTCTCCAATCCGCGCAAGGCGAGCTGCAATCTGCTGATATTCACCTGCTCCGTCGCAACACCCTGGATCTGATTCAGAGCCTCGTACAATTCCCTCAATCGCGGCGGCACATGTCGGGCGTGGACCACGGAGGACGTGGTGATAGGGCGAGAGGAGAAAAATGAGAGACGGCTGGCTTCCAGACGGGGAGAAATGATGCCGCTCCGACGCGTGGACAGACTCCGTCTCCGCGGCACGCAGGACGGGCAGTAATAAACTGCACCTTTGTCCCCCGAGCGCGACAGGCTCTTTGGGAGCGAGCCGCACAGTTTAGGAGGCATTGATGGGTGGGGTGCGGGTATCTAGCCAAAAAAAAAAGATAGAGGGAAATCAGTAGTATATGGAAGGGCGAATACTTGGAAGTTGATGTTGAGTCTTGGCAGCCGCGGAGGCCCGTGACAGCCGATGCGGTACCACCATTGCAGCAAATTACTATAGACAGGACGTGCCCCATACGGAGGAATGTCTGTTTTTTACTAAGGACAAAAAAAAAAAAATAAAAGAGAGAGAGAGAAGGCTGCCTACAAGTTGCGATAGAGTAATAAAAAGACTGGAGTGTGTCATGGTGTATCGATTCATCAACTCATAGAGTCAAGACGTCACGGACGCCTCGATAAATACAACGATAGTCTCTGTCGCGGTTCCAATACTCAATGCAGTAATAATCTGTCTCTCTTGACAGATAGGGACATAAAATTATGTAGCTGGGCTGTTCGCCGGAGGGTAAGTTCCTCTGTATACCCTCCGGCTCAGGGGCGCTTTATACAAGTACGGAGGAATAGTGCACACCAAATCAGTCGAGAACGCCAGGATGAGTAGGCACAGGATCAACGCGAAACGGCTTAATGATAATATCCGTCGCTCATGCTTCTCGGCTATCTCTAGCGGCATCTCGCTGGCGCCGGCTTCTACCCGAGCCCGCAGACCTATGGCAAAGTTAGAAAGCCTTCTTCCATATCCTATGTTTCATCAAGGAGACTTACATGCTAATCCGCCGAGCTACGGTGGCTAATCCAGTGTCATTATCTGCCTCGCGTTGAGCGCGCTCAAGGGCAGCTTGTCTTTCTTCCTCGCTCCGTTTATAAACCTCTTCTGAACTAGGGGGCAGACGCTCGTTTTGCAAGTCAACCTTACGGGCATCCTCAAAATTAGTGATTGCCTGCTTGATTCCCTCCGCTCCAAGCATCAGAGTACCCGCGGGAAGGCGACCACCGGTTGCTGTCTTAAGTTCCGTGACCCTTTCGGACTCCTCACGCAACACCTGGAAGACTCGCGAAAGACGACCGATAGCGAGAATCTTGTTCTTGATGGCGCGTCGCTTGAATTCGCTGCTTTCCACGTCCATGGCAACAGGGGGAGAGGGCGGACCGGTAGGAGAAACGGTGGTAGGAGTATCGTCCTCCAGCTCCTCCTTGGAGCAAGTGTTGAGGATCGCAATCAGCATGTCGGTGATCTTCTCACCGACGAACGGAAGAGACCAGGTAAACACATCCATGAAGTTCGGCAGCCAGTATGGGTGAGGCGTGCAGTTGAATTGCCGGATGTTCATCACATTGTTCTCGTACTTCAAGACGGCAGCTTTGTTGTTGTAGACATCCAGATAATTGGGAGCACTGAAGATGGTCATCACACTAGGGAATCCGGTCGTTCTCGTTTTCCGGTACATGCGGTATCCGGCGTCCTGAGCCTCGTGCGCTCGGATAATTGAGAGGAGGTTGTTCTTTTCCAGGAAAGCGCAGGCGGCAGGGTACGAGAAGAAGTAGGAACATCCTCGAACACTGTTGTGGATAAAATAGTCCCCAGTCTTCTCCTGTCCAAATTCCTCCAGGGGATCAGCCCAAAGAATATCACACATCAAACCATGAGTAGGGGGCTCCCTGAAGCGATCGATCTGTGGCTTAAATTAACATTTGGTAAACACAGTGATCTCATCATTTGCTTAACCTACCGACTTGATATCTTCCAAGGTGTGCAATTCGGGGCTTAGACCACCGTGGATACAGAGGAACTGCTTGTTCATGACCGCCGCCAGCGGCAACGAGCAAAACGATTCGATGCAGGCCTCATAGATGCGCTCGCTGTACTTGTGCTTACATTCCAGTTTAAAGGTGAAGTAATCGGTCAAATGCCTACACTCGTGGTTACCCCGCAGCAACCAGAGTGTATTTGGGTACCAAATCTTCAGGGCCCAGAGGTAGAGAACACACTGCATAAAGTCAGCCCATTTTGCGCGACACAACCCAGCAACGGGGAGAAAGCCCAAATCACTCACTTCAATGCTAAAATAACCTCTGTCCACATAGTCGCCCAGAAAAAGATATCTTGTCTCGGAGGGATCGCCGCCGACTTCGAAGAGCTTCATCAAATCATAATATTGGCCGTGGACGTCGCCACACACTGTGATGGGAGCATCCATCTCCAGGAGGTTCGGCTCTGCCTTCAACAACTGCGTACCCGCCTGTATAATCCATAGTGCCTGGTCTTCTGTCAGACGGCCTTCGCGGTAAAAGTGTTGTTTTAGAAACTGGAGGTTGGGCTTGGAGGGGTCGTCAGGAGACCAGAATTGTTCGTCTGTCGGCGTCTGTAACGCCGGCGCTTGCACCTCTGAGGGATTGCAAAAATGTCAGGATGAGAGCTGAAGCTAGAGAAATTAGGATTTCTACCTTTAATTACTCGCTCCATGGTAGACACTTGGGTGCCATCTTCCATAGTATGTAAGGTGAAGTCGATCTCCGGGACCGGCTTCTTCTCCGTCACCGCTCGCGCTATTGCCCGATCCATCTTGAATTAGTGTTGGATAGAAGGCTCACGATTTGGATCTTGAAAATCGCAAGAATTCAGGGCCCAGAGGGATAGGGCGGGCGGGAGGGAAGGAAAGGGGGTGAGAGGGAGACGTTGACAGCGCGGAGAACGATGTTTGGTGGGGTCGAGCCCGGCCGGAATTCACACACGAGACGAACGCCCGAGTTGAGGCTGAGATATGGTTGACCCTAGAGGATGGGAATGTTGGCCCTTTCAAAAACAATTGCAAATAAGAAGACTTTTTGCAACTCGAGCAATAGGAGGATTAAAAGCCAATGAAAAGACACTAGTTAAGTGGAGTGAGTAGTAAAGGGGGAATTTTAAAGGTTAAAAAAAAAAAAAAAAAGAGGCGTGGGTCGTGTGTTAGAATAATTAAGAAGAGAGACAAAAGCAAAGTCGAGCCGAATCCAAGTATTCCAAGATGCTAGGCAGGGGCGCAAAGGGTAAACGGACAGTGTAAAAGGCAATTTAAACAAACTTCGTGGATAATATGGGGGGGAGAGAAAATCAGGCCAGAATTAAGCTTGATATCAAATCAAATCAAATCAAATCTAAAAATCTGGAGATCCACGGAATGCAAAATATATTATAATATTATGTTTTCCATGTATGACAGGTAATTTATCAATCGTACTGGTGGTATTACTATTTATTGGATAGATGTCGTCACGGGGTTTTCCCCCTCAGTTGATTGTCTCTCAGAGTATAAATAAGAAATACCTACACTTGGCACAACCGCTTCCTCCACGAGATCACCGTCCAATTATCTATATTCCTTCTGCTGGGTTCTTTTTTCTCCGTGGCACTTCACCCCCAATTATCAACGATGTATGAATCATACCGTACGGCCCCCCTCCACCACCTTATCTCATTTCATACTAATCAATGATCTATCTATTCAGGCCCGCATCCGCTCCTAGCCCAAGTCCCATTGACCGTCTCTCCATTTATCAATCTCCCTTCCTCAGTCACCCTTCCTTACACCTACAAATCGCTTCCATCTACGCTCCCAGCATCTGTAACTGTCAACCCCAGCGATCCCGACGCTAAAACCCGCTATGTCCTCTCCCCCAGCGGTGAGCACGCCGCATCCCCGGAGGAGATCCTAGCTTCGTGCAACTCCCTTGAAGAACTACTCAATAAAAGCCGCACTGATGCGGAGAAGGCAATTAAAGACTGGGAAGATTCCATTGTGCAACGGGATCTCGCAGAGAAGAGACGAGTTGCGCCTGGATGGTTGGATCGAGACGAGAAGCTACTGCAACCAAGTCGATCAATGTTGGATCCTAGGTCCTCAGGTCAACCAGAAAAAAGCTTGCTGGATAGCTCATCATCTACAGACCCTGATGCATCCAAATTGCCGTCAATGAAGCCGCGTGACGAAGGCGAGGAGCTAGACAGAGCGTTCGGTGGGCTAGACGTAAAATGAGCAAGCTTGATCAATCGGGTGTCAGGTACGATCTTCTCGCTTGACGTGGCAGCGACATTTAGGTTTCTCTGTCATAGTCAACGGTCACATAATGCAAGATATTAGCCAAAGTCGCCGATTAGGCCATTCCGATCTAGCTTACGGCTGACTCTGAATTTAGCTGCACCTCGTATGCAGACTGCAGGCGCTTTGTCGTATCAGACATACTGCGGCCCCAGCACAAGCGACACAGGCCACACCGCATTGTTGAGCAGTCGGCTCACAGTCATAAATGATATGGTGGGTTGAGAGAAGAAATATGTGTTGGGTGTCTATTTTGAGCGGACTCCTTTGTTCCTACAGTTTTCTAATGATACCCTCATCATAGCGTAAACGTGGTTCTATCTATGTTTTCACGGCGGAGTAGATGAACCAAACAAAATCAAAAACTTCATTACCTATAAACCGACTGTACTATAAATATAAACCCTCTGCTCCGAATAATTTGGGCATAAATATAATATGAAACGAAACAAACATTAATATAAGTGTAAATGTAAATATCAAGGACAACCCGCCAACCCCCCAGCAACGGAAGACCCCCGCCGAACCATATCACAGCTCCGCCAAAGCTCCGGCAGAAATATTAAACCACTGCCAAATACTCACTTTTCCCAACCTCAATATCCCCCAATCAACACCACCATCTACCTCAAAACAACTTTACCAAACCAAAAGTCAACCACAATGGAACCGCTCCAAACACCTCCCGAAACCTCCTCCTTCGTCCTCCTCGCCGACCACCAGTCGCGCACCCCAACCTCCTTCCACTCCGGCCCCGCGGTCCTCCACTACCACAGCAAGCACTGCAAGCTATCCATCCTCGAACACGAGCTCCTCGCCACCCCAGTCCTTAACTCTCTCCATAGCGCAGAGACAACACAAGCCCCAAACGGAACAACCACTGAGACCGAGCCTGAAGCCAAAGAAATCGTCCTCGACGACCTAGACATCTGGGTTACATCCGAGTAAGTCCCGTATACATTCCAACAACCACAATCTACAAAACCCAAACTCAAATTGACACAAACAAACCAGTAAATTCCTCCTCTACAACCCAACTCTCTCAAAGGGCCTCTCAATCCCCTACCCCAGCATCTCCCTGCATGCAATCCAACGCCTCCGCCTCCCCTCCTCCCCAACCGAAATCCAAGGCCTCTACATGCAAATCGCAACCCCCGCTGCCCCCGGCGCCGGGCCCCAAGAAGACGACTTTGAAGAATGCATCACAATGACCGTTATCCCTGCGCCCGGGGAACCGGACCAGGTAGCAGAGGACAAGGACGAAACGCCCACGCAGGCGCTGTATAATGCTGTTTCGGCGTGTTCGAATCTGCACCCGGACCCTATGAGCGAGAATGAGGATGAGGAGGGTGGGAGCTCGCTTTTGCAGTCTGGGCTTGTGGAGGCGGGGAGTGGGGATGGGGGGTTGCCGCCGCCGGTGGATGGGAGTTCGGGGTGGATTACGGCGGATAATATGCATGAATTTTTTGATGAGGAGGGGAATTGGATTGGGGGTGGGGAGGAGCCGACGTTGTCGCTTGGGCCTGGGGCGGGCACTGTTAGGGGGAGAGAGGGGGAGGATGGGGATGGGGATGTGGAGGTTCTGGGGGATGAGGAGACGAAGTGGAGGAGGACGGATTAGGTACTAAGTTCTCTCTTTCTTGCAGGGAGGATGGGTGGTGTATTGGTGGGTGGATTGGATTTGTTTTTAGATTTGGATTTGGGATGGATGGGTTATTGAGTTGTGTATTTCCTTTTCCCCCCTTCTTTTCTGCTGACTTTGGGTTGGAGAATTATTTAATAGTATCATGAAAAGTGTGAATATAATTATTTGTTATAGTATCTTGATTGTATAGTACTTTGGTTCTGCTGATTATGGCTATCTAACAGTTGGATATCAATAGTTCACCCACACTCCGAATATTAAAGCAAAAAACACCTACCTCTCCAATAAATACCAAACATTCACAGAATACAATACGCAGCAGCTACCTGAGCTTGTAATAAAATTACTCTTTTAAGAACCCGTCCCCATCATAAAGACTGCCTGGCGTCGCAGCGCCAATACCCAATCCTACCGTCTTTTTGACGGGTGTTGTGAATTCCGCTCGTGTACGACTCTTGCGATGTTCCTTTCTGCGAGAAGAAGACTCGCCGTGGAGTTCTGCGGGTCCGTCCTCTTCGGATATAATAGATATCGTGGATTTCCGCGTTGAGTGGCCTCTTAGTGTGCGATCTTGATCCTCCCATATCGGGAGGTTGCGGTTATGTGCAATGCCAGCCTTGTTGACACTGTGGGAAGGCGGACGGCCTGGTGGTTGTAGGTACCTTTGTTGCTGCGTATGTAACGAGTCACCCTCGTTCTGTTTTTCTTGGCCGTCCATGCATTGACTTGAGGGTCGCGGCAAGTTTGCGGCGGTACTTTTAGCGCGTTGTAGTGAGTCGGTGGATTTGCGATTCGCTCCATGCTTCATGCTCTGACTGCGAGGGCGGCCCGACGGACTCGTGGCGTTCGCGCTGTCTTCTAGCGGAACACTTCTAATACTATTGCGACCTGATCTATCTGGCTGATTACGTGGCCCCTTGACAGCGGAGCGACGAGGACTGCCCGGGCTCGCGGTATTTTCGTACGTCGTTGGTGAGCCGCTGTAGTTCGGGGCCATCCAGACTGGGACAACCTTCTCTGGTGATGGAGTCTGTGACAGGTTGCCATCCGTGCTAGGGGGCATTGTAGTAATGATTTCCAAGACGGCTTTGTCCTTGCCACTGTTCGGCGTGCCCATCATACTATCGATTGACGTGTCTCGACTATGCTTCCGCTTCTTAGCCGGAACTATGTAGGTTGAGCTTCTGTACGATGGTGGACGACTGCCGCCGGATACGTTTGTGTTGTGAGATCCGTTTAACTGATGGTCGGGATTGCCACTCCGACTCCCGGAGAACGTGGACACGCTTGAACGCAAGGACGAAATATTAGACGTTGAGAAATCAGACACCTGTGATCCACGCATATCAAACTCTTCTAACTCCTCCGGCTCCTCAACTGTCGGGGCGAATGCAGGTCCTCCAAAAGTGATAGGCGGGTGAATCGATATCCGGACACAGTTTTGTCGCCTATGGCCTTTTCGGGCGCTGTTGCCACCTTTCAAAGCGGATGCTAAGGGTAGTTTGGGACGACCATTTGGGGGCGGCAAGTGCATCTCTGGGATGGATGAAGCATTGGCCTTTCTAGGACTATTCTGATAAGCAAACCCACTGGGCACGGTCCCGTAGAATGGGTCAGTATCCCGCCGTTCACTTCCATGTATTGAGTGTCGTTGGAGTTGACTAATATGGGGGAGAAGGACTGCATTACGTCCCACCGCGCTCAGCGGGGGGATGCGATCTAGGTCGGTGTATGGGATTGACTCTCTTCTGGGCAGGCGTGCATGGAGGGATTCACTTCTCCGGGGTGTGGGGCTAATCCGCTCCATGGAGTGAGTTGGGCTGCGAGCCGTCAAACTGCGACGGGGAGAAGTGCGGTCCGGCTCTAGCCTCTGTGCTTCCCCCGCTAGAGAGCCTGCAGGAAAGACGAACGGGGCTGGTACCGTCGGATATGATAACGCGACACTCCTTCCGACGTCGTTGGCACTGTAGGGGGCGAATGTGGGACAGGGAGGTAAAGCTGGCGAAGTAAAGTCACTATCTACCCCGGCTGAAGTTCTTCTACTGTCGTTCATAATGGAACTATCAGCTGTCTCAAGACTTAGGGAAGAAAACCGCAGTGAGTCATTTTTGGACAGCCGAAACCGGTTCGGAGGGTAAGCACAAGGTGGTGGTGGCACAGGCTGCTCTGGAGCAGCTCCCGGGGTTTGAGTGACGATGCTCCCTTCTCGTGGTCGTGTGCGGGTTGAGTCGAACGATTCGTATGTGTCTTCCATAACCGGAAATAGACTACTTGATCGTTCTTTTTGGTATATCGAAGGCCCGGGCCCTGAGATTGGTCGTATACTTTGATTTGCATCGTTATCTTCCTGTTCTCTTTCTGGCGTATGTCTTGGTGTCGTTTCTGCCGGTAATTCCAGAGCTCCGTCGACCGCTGAGATTGAGACATCCTCTCTTGCTGAAGAGCCTCTGTGAGTGACAGGTGGCCCGTCGATATATTCGGTCAGTGGCGTTAGAGAGCTTATTCTATGTGGCCTAAGCAGCCTCGATTGTCGATGGGAACCTGACAGGGAACGGCACAATGACCGACCTTTCTCTGTCCGCTGAGAGAGACTGTCTGAGTCGTCTTGCGAATGAACTAAACTTTCGCGCGATTCCAGCACACCCCATTCGGTTGGTCTCCCATACGGTAGTTGCCCATATTGTCGTAGCACAGAGCCTTCCTCTCGGGATAATTCTGTCAACGTCTCTGCTGGGAAGGTCTGCAGGCCGTGACCTAGCCTCCTGGGTGAAATTCGACGCCGTCGCTGGCGCACCCTAAACCATAATAGAGTGCCACCCACGCCACCCACGATGCAGACAGCAGCGGAGACTACTGCTATGGCGACCACGGCCGACAGCGCCAACATGGTTATCCTTTATACCTGCCCGACCGACTCTGCTGATTATCAATGTTGGAGTAGCCCAGTCATCCAAGATTACCTATCCTTTCTTTGTTCGATGACTCCAGAGGCGGTTTCCTGCTGTCTGAAAAAGCTCTGTGAGGAAGTCCCGAGACGGTTAGGGTACTCCTAGCAGTGCAAGCAATCACAACCCACGATCACAACGCTGGAGGCAAAAGACAAACAGGTGCATAACAAAATGAAAGGGCGGGCCTGGGGTAGAAAGGGAGAAGGCGTTTGTTATGGAAAAGCCACTCGATCCTGAGGAATGTGGCCGCATTACAGTGGGTTACGCGCGGAATGTAGCAACGGTTAAACCTCCTCATCCTCGGGAGCACGGTAGCAAGGTAGAACATGAATCCTGAGGTGATAATATATGGCAACATTTTCAGATTGAAACATAAACATTTTTTAATAACTGAATACCCTTGGGAGTGGAACCGGGCGTTTATGCTTGAGTCAATCCAGAAAGAAATCCTTTGAAGAACGCTGACACCCTTGAGCGTAATAAGCGTTGGGGGGTATGACATAAACGGAATGAAGTGATGAAAGCTCACACAGAGTCAAAGGATTATGTTTCTATCGATTCTGTGAGAAAAGTTCATTTAGTGGTGTTCTCGATAGTATATACGGATTCATATGCTTCGAGATAGGGCACCGTGAATGCTTAGTAACCACGGGCATCCATATCACTGAAATTCCGAGGAGACCTTGGCGTGCACCCGGACATCCTTGTGTGGTATGTTAGTTCCCTGTAAGATTCCCCCCATCCCAAGATCATTGGTGTTATCCTGCCCAGGTGGAGGGCCTGTTGATATGCTGTCGGGTGATGGTTGCGGGCATTTCACCTTCAGACCAATGATTACGAAAGGTCATATGCAATGCGAACAAGAGTCATTCATTTCCACAGCTCCGATGCGAGAGAATGGGAGAAGACTTTGGGAGTGACGGGCCCATAGTGGTTAGTGAAATCATGGTAGTTAGGCTCCTAGCCACCCGAATCCTTCCTGGCAGCATGTCGAAGGTGCATGGTCTGAGGTACACTAGTATTCGATTGCCAGCTGTCGCCCCGTTAGCGAGCTGATTATATGTCTTCGATAGTCTTTGATTGGTCCGGTAGATATGCAATGTAGGGTGACAATCCGAGTGTTGTGCGTGGTAGTTGGAATGATCTTCGTTTGGAAGGAGGGGATGTTTATCTTTCTGCCTCAGGCAGTGACATAGAAGTCAGTAAGTTCGACGTCACGGGACTGAGGGACGAGTCGGAGAAAACATCATCAGACCCACAGTGCCCTAAGTTCCCCTCTTTCCACTTCTTGGGCAAAAACAGACAAAGACATGGAAGATAAACTGAAAAAGGGAACATGAAAAGAACACAGATTAGTCTCACCGCAACAAGGGTAAAACCATGGGACCGACAAATTCAATCTCTCCGAAGATGAATGAAAGTTTATCCTACCCCACGTCTATCAATGAATCCCGCCTTTTTGAGATGTTTAGTTCCTTCCGGGACGCATAGCGTCATAGCCCACTTGGGTCCAGAACTCGAAACTCTTCTGTAAAGCCATTGGGACAACGTACGTGTTGGGATGTGGAAGGTCCGTCGCTATTGAACCTTGTTATGCACGAAAGGATGGACGGCATAAGGAAAATAATAAATAGGAAAAAAAGGCAATAGAATAATTCCTAAAATGAAAAATGGAAATTGACATCCACCCCGCCATGACACCTTTCTCACCAATTCTAGGAAGCTACTCCGTGCTTATATATAACTATGTAATGTACACAACTCCGGCTCATCTCTTTTCTCCCTTCTTTCCTCTCACAACTGCCTACCACCTCTTCTATACTCCCTTGATCTTCTCCTGTTAATCTGCCCTCTGTTTCATAGAACAATCGGTCATAATGGCTGCCAACCCCGTCCAAAATGGTCTCTTCGTCCACGGCAACACCACTGCGCCCGAGCACCCTAACTTGCTGAGTCTGTTCTCCCTGAAGGGCAAGACCGCCATCGTTACTGGTGCTGGCGCTGGTATTGGTCTTGCTGTCGCCCACGGTCTGGCCGAAGCTGGTGCTAACGTTGCCCTGTGGTGGAACACTAACGACAAGGCACCCCAGCGTGCTACTGAGATTGCTTCCAAGTACGGTGTTCAGAGTAAGTCCCTTATTATTTGTTTCCTTATGACCTTTTGATAGTCTATCATTTCCGTCGCCTTTACTGACTACATGCAGCCAAGGCTTACCAGGTTAACATCACCGACGCCGAGGCCGTGCAGAAGGCCGTTGACCAGACCGTAAAGGATTTCAACGGCCGTCTGGATGTCTTCATTGCTAATGCCGGTATCCCCTGGACTAAGGGTCCTATGGTGGATGGCCCAATCGCCCACTACACCGACGTCGTTAACATTGACCTTGATGGTACCTACTACTGTGCCAGGGCTGCCGCTGCCCACTGGAGGAGACAGAAGGAGGAGGGTACCGACATTAACGGAAATAAGTTGACCAACTTCACCTATGGAAGCTTTGTGGCTACTGCTTCCATGAGCGGCCACATTGTCAACTTTCCCCAGATGCAGGCTGCCTATAACGCTGCCAAAGCGGCTGTTATCCATCTCTGTAAGTACCCATCGGATGCACTTTCTCGAAGATCGCCCCAGACTAACGCATACAGCCAAATCTCTTGCCGTCGAATGGGTTAGGTTTGCCCGCTCCAACACTGTCTCTCCCGGTTACATTGCAACCGAGATCTCCAACTTCGTACCCCAAGAAACCCACAACCTCTGGCAGGACAAGATCCCCATGGGCCGTGAGGGTCGCCCCGAGGAGTTGAAGGGTGCCTACCTCTACCTGGCTTCCGATGCCTCGAGCTACACTACCGGAGCCGACCTGGTTGTCGACGGTGGTTACTGTGCCCCATAAACTATATATCCTTAGTAATTCTTGATTTCTGGCGTCTTTTCACCATGTTGGGTTCATTATATATAATGACTTAAAAAGAATGATAAACAATAGACGAATGAATGACCTTAGGATATCCCTCTACTGGCCGATCGCGCTATAGTTTTTGTGATGTAGATATTGTGGGAAATGTTTTCCAAAAGCTTTTCGAAACGAAAATCCTTGGATGTGGTGGCGTTTTTACTAGGGTTCCTGCACCACGATCGGGCCTTACAACCACGTCCTTGGGCGGTGACACGAAACCGTGCAGATGTGGCTTGCTGCAGTATGCATTAAATCCCTTGGCCAAAGAAGGTGATGTCCTCGGCGCGTGACACTCCCAATCTATTCCACGCCTGGGGTTCTCAAAATGATGTATCAGCAAATGTTTCGATGACGAAAGTAACCTGAGGTGTCTATCTTAATTGGCCTTGACTAGAAGCCCTGCTTCTCGGCATACCTCTTTAAGAGTGATCCCGCTCGTTTATAATCAAATCATCACTTTAGGAAAACAAGGTCAGGAATGCAAATATATTCCCCTAAAGAGATTCCATTTATTAAACCCAATTCTTTCTAATTAACATCTCCACCTTGCTTATTTCATGGATGTCGCATGGGGGCGGCTCTCCAACGCTAGAAATCTATACCATTGAAGGTATTCTACGTAGTACTGTACGTACAAGGCTAGCGTGTCTATTTGAATGATGGGTGCGTAAAAGATACTTTCACCTTCTGAAGTGCGTAATAAAGCCGGTTCATAAATTATTGTTTCTGTCTCATCTTACTGACATCCTCATTTCAGGTCCACGTTAAAGAAACCGACTTTTTTTTGTATGACCGCATATATATGAGGCCTTAGGGCTACTCAACTAGAATGATCCCTAAACACCCTAATTTTATCTTGTTTGAAATCACATCCATTTTCCGTCAACTTCCCACAGTATATATTTCTTCTGTTGGAATGTCGTGCACCCCATCCTACTCTACTGCTCAAATGCAATAAACCATCCTTTACTTGCGACTGTAGATGTTTTTCCGATGTGGGGAGCTACGTCATGGCAGTATCAGGTCTTTGCTTTGCGAGAATCCCCGACAGCCTTCATATGGGTCGCCTATATAAACGGCCTCATCTCGCTACCGGATCATCCTGGATTAGGGGCTCGACCAAATCAACCTGCTTCGTAGTCCAAATTAGGTCTTAAGTCTCCATGTGGTAGGGCTTTTCTATATTGTAATCTTCTGTGGATATTTTACGCCCGGTTGGTGTCTTGCAGTTCGTTGCTACAGGGAACCTAGATACATAGGGACTAAGAGGCTTAGGTAGAACATGTAAACAAGCTAGGTAGATTGTGACTCTTAGACTAGGATGATCAGGGACCAAGATGAGATCTACCGGGAACTTCTGTCCAACCGGGGCCTGGTGGCGCCACCACGTGGTTTTCTATATTGGAGAACCCCTACAGTTGTACAGAGCTGGAAACAACCAATAGACGGGAATGAGATAAATGAGCACAAAATAAAGAAGATCCGCCATTGTAACTGATTAATCTAAGTGAGTGACCCTCGGTGACCTAATATGGATCGACCTACAGGCCGCTGATACACATTGTATCTAGATACTATACCAAAGATAGAAGCAGATGACCAAATAGCTGCATCTGTTTCCCGCAGACAATTAAATCCCCAGCACACCACGAGTATATTCCCTGATACTAGTTTCCAGCATCTGGATTGTACTGGGGGAACGAGGCTGTGGTATAAGCTAGTTTCGCAATTCTGCTTTCACTACGACGAGCTTCACCACAAGGGCCTTCCCTACTGGCACCTTGACCACCCCCTAAACCAGCAGTTCAATTCTCCTAGATCGATTACCATACTTGAAAGATTATTCCTCCTTTCCCTAAAATTAGAAGCCTGGAACGTCCAATATTCTCCATGAACATAGCCATACTCCACCATTCACCGACTAACCAAACTCAGCCACCACCCCAACTCAAGCCCTAACCTCTCCCCTTGGTCATACATCACCAAATGTCCCGCCCTCTCAATAACAACAACATCCCTCGCCCTCAACATAGCCCTCAACCTCTCCGCAGTCTCCACTGGAATCCACTTATCCTCTCTCCCCCAAATAATCCTAACAGGCATTCTCTCCCCAACCTCAGCATATCTTCCCTCCACCTCCTCCGTACTCCGACTATTAGCCTGCACCATCTGCCTCACAAACCCCCTCCTCCCAGCCTCACCCGCAACCCACGGCCCCTTCAGCACCTCCATGGTTCTCTTATCCAGCTCCTTAACCGCCGCATCCCGAATGTACCCCTCCACAACCCCCTCAAACACAGCCCCTGTCAACTCATTGAACACCCCCTCATTCTCCGCAACCAGTTTAAACAAAGGCTTCCCAAATGGTCCACAAGCAACAACATCAATAAGACACAAGCTCGCATACTGACACCCATGCAATAAATGCGCCCGCAGGCTCATCAAGCCGCCATTATCGTGCGCGACTATATGGGCTTTATTATATTGGTTCCATTCCTGCGCCCAGAGGTTGTATAGTGCGGCGAAGACAGCGGATTGCTGCGCAAGGTCGGCATCTAGGGCTTCTTTGGGGGTTATAGTGTCTTTTTTGGAGGGGAGGGGTTGACCGAGTGGGCTGGTGCCGAAGCCGGGGTTGTCGAAGAGGTAGACGTGGAGGTAGGTGGCGAGGGAGAGGGCGTAGGGTTTCCAGACGTGGGAGGACCAGGGAGTGCCGTGGAGGAAGATTAGGGGTGGGGAGGTGGGGTCGCCCAGAGAGGTCCAGCGGATGGTGTACGTGTGGGTTTGAGTGGTGTGGTGGAAGGTTTGTGGAAGGGGTATGGGGCTGGACATGTTTTGGGATGTTTTGAGATGCTGTATATGTTATTTGATGTGGTGTTTGGGTTGCACCGGTTGTGAAATAAGGATATGTCTTGCGGTTTTTTATAGGAATGATAGTAGGACCGACGATTTTCTGCGAAAACCTGTTTGGGGTCTTCTTTTTCTGTTTTAGGCTTGACTTGGCGCTGCTTTTTGCTCATGAGTTAGCTTGGAGTATAATGTAAGCACACTAAGCATAAGGCTGTAGTATGACCTGGAGCCATAGTAATAGGAAAGGGAAGTGGCGCCATTGCCAAATAACAGGGGTTTTGACAACGGTTTAAGGCGTGTAGGCAAGGAGTACGCCGTTATAGATAGAGGGTGTTTTTTTGAAGATGTAGTTGTACAGCTTTTTGCCACTAGTATTTGTGCCGAACAGCTTGTTGAGTGTAACACACGTGTTTATCTCTGCTATTTCATTAAGTATAAGTACTAGGTATGGAGACAACAACATATCTGTCAGATGCTGAATGGTTGAAAACGGAGTGTTAATACAGACCCTTGCTTCTCTGTAGGGCAAGGAATGATCTATAGAATAGGGCTTCATATTATTGTGACTACCGTCTCAGAAAAATCTCACAGAGCCTCGGCATTCTCAGAGGCATTGGAAGATCTAGCTTCTAGCAAAAAAATGTTCACTCACAAGCCCGAGCCGCTCGTACTTGCTCATATCAGCCGGGGACTTCCCGAGAAGTAGATAGGCATGGGATAGCCATTGCAGATGCTGGCTGCGTGCCGGCCGCTCGCCCAGCCAATACCCAAGATAAAGTAGGTAGACCGGTGTCGGTGACTCGATGCGTTTCTTGGACGACTTCAATGGGGCTTGACGAATGGAGGTCTCCATGACATCTTCTGTATTAACCGCCACGAAGCTCTCCAGAGCCATATCAACGTAGGGTCGGAGCTCTGCGCTCCCCCTGGAAACAACATAGATCTCTTTCTTCGCCTATTGATGATGGGGTTTAACAAGTAGCGAGGCTTTACCGAGCAGCCCTCGCAGCGTCGCGTACGCACTTTGCACCCGACCCAGGGGATTCAATCCTAGCACTGTTGCTCCAGTGTGGACTACCGCGCACCACTCGGCGGTCACCCAGCGCCTTCCAAGCTTGTAGGTCGTTTGGTGTTCAACCGATGCCCAGGAAAACGTTGGGGCCCGATACCTAGCAAGGGGCAAAGCGGCAGAGCTCGATTCAACGTCGGCGTTAGTCGCCACCACCAACCCAAGATCGGGGAATCAAGTTGTCTGGCCATAGTCCGGCAATATATTGGGAGTTGGTGATCCTCTGGAACACATGTGCTATGCCAGATATCGCGGGAAGTCTGTCTAGCGGCTCCGTCAGCTGGCGGTTGGTATATTCCTCGACCACATCGTGCCATTTCCGGTACGCCTCTCGTGTCTTGTCTATGGAACAAACCACCTGATCTGAAAAGGGTCTATCCTCGGCGGGAATGCTATCAAATACCTTGCATTCGCAGGCTAAGCCACCCAGGCAGGACCACCATAGCTCCTCGCTATTGTATGTGAATACTCTTCTCGAGAGGCTACTTTCCTGTAGTGTCCAGCCTCGACACCATAGTGGCGGGGTCTCGAGACCATCTGAGTCGGTCGTGTGCGATGATCGAGCAGGTATAGTTCTCGCGCCCAGGACAGTCTGTTGCCCTGCGGCGCTTTTCCATTCCACCGACAGGGGAGGCCTGCTTTCAGCTAGGGGATGTTTATAATGGAGAAAGCCCTCTGCTGCACCTTAGGCTGTGGCAGCTGAAATTGTCAAATACGCGTTATGATACACATGCCATTTTGCTGCTTTCGATTTTCCAGTCGGCGGCCGAATCCAGGATGATACATATTGCATCAACCCATAGGTAGCGATGCTTCAGCCGCCGCGTTACCATGATCGCATCTTGAATGGGTCTCGGGAGGCAGGAAACTTGTATTTCTCTTTTCATGGATTCGTAATTTGACGCTGCGGTTTTGAGGCTGTCGACTCTGCCCCAGCAATAACTAAGGGCAATGTACTCATTCTCACATGAGGAAAACGTGTCCGCAAGTCGAACTTCGTTGCATTCAAGTTGACCTACGTCAATAAGCTGAGTTGGAACGGAAGCTAATACAGGTTTACACGTTGAATGTTGATCACACTTTGCAAGGCATGCCTCAATGAACCTATACGCGTCTTCCGAGTCCCGCTGATGACTGAGCTCGGGGCCTACCACAATGCCCTCCCACGCAGGTGAGTGTCCTAGAAAATAATGTTAAAGAATATCCACAGGACAATCGACAGTGTTGGGCGGCCACCTTACCTATTGGCGTGTAAAGCTGAATCGTTTCGTATATTGACGGGAGCAACAACTCGGCTTGGCCTGGGGCGTACACGTCGATGACAACCGTCGCATCCCCCGCCGAGGAAGGATTGAAATGCAGGATGGATCCTAAAATAAAACTACACAACTCACATCCCTGCTCACTTGTATTCTTGAAATCCTTGATATACTCTACCTCCGGACATGCTCGGAGGTTTTCGTAGACTCTGATCCGCCAACCGGCACGCTGGGATAAATAGCGCACAGCAAAGCAAATATCACATAGCTCATGTACTTCTTTATCTTGGTACTTGGATCCTGATCATGTTCTGACTTACAAGGCTTCATTTTTGGTTAAATGCTGAACCTTAATATTGCTATATCATCGAGCCGGGGTTATCCCACTATCTTACTCGGCGTAAGACAATGCACAATAATCGAAGAGCTTTCTACCCTCTGTGAGATCTATTGGGTATGCAAGGTTGCCATCTAGGCTGAATCGCCCTGCACAGTTGCCGAAGAGCCTTGGTGGGTGTAAACAGACAAATTTGTCTACTATTTTGCGCTTCAGCCTCATTTCAGCCTTGCCAAGTAATACCACATGGTCCTACTATTAGTCTGGTGCCCTAGAAGCTTATTATTATAACGTCCAGCATTACTTTCTAAGGTGTAACACGCCTTCATGCTAATAGAGTAGGTATGATACCTATTAGTATATGTCAACTGCTAATGTCTGAAGACTTTGCATATCAGGACTAGCCATCAGGCATAGCGGGTACTGCCATCATCACTAGCACAACCAAGACTGACAACGTTGAAGGAAAATACTGTCCAGTACTGATCACCGTGCGTAACACAGGCATCACTCTCATCGCCTCCGCATAGCGAGTTCTGGTGGACATTCGAGGAATCCAACTTTCCAACTCTTTTCCCTCGTAGCCTATAAATCCAAAGGGCTTGATGGGTTTATCCTGCTGTCGTAAGCAGATATTGATTAATCAACGATGCTTTACTGTCTGATAGTTAACTGATGGATCTAGTAAATGACAGAATCTATCCGGATACATCCATAATCAAATATAATGGATGTGGGGCAAACGGATCTCAACAGCAGCCCTGGCCCGACAGCGTCCGGCTTTCGGTGTATATCCGTTTCTAAATCGCCGGCGTGTACTATTAAAATACATGTTTATTTTTTTTTCTTCCGCCAGTTGACCCTCATTTTCTGTCCTGTATACTCTTTTCCATAGTTATTCTATGTCGGGCGCTTTTTTGGCCCGCTTCTTTATGGATAGCTTGTGTCTATTTTCAGCTGTCGTTTGACTATTGAAACGCAACATTTTTATCTACTATGATTGTCTCTATTTTAATTCGCTGAGTGGAGGGCCCTTGGCTAATAAGTTTTCGGCAAACTTCAGTCCCCCAGACCAATTAGAGGCATATGTGTGGCTCTGTCAGAATATGGCTTCTTGAGGCGCACATGGAACGCAAATGACACCCACATGGGACACTGTAGCCTAGAATGATTAGACCAAAGACAATGATTGGTGGGGTCGGCATCCCACGTTGCTCAAAGAGCACTCTGGGCTGCTAAAGGCCATCGAAGCAGCCAGAACGGCAAGTAAAGCGAACTACCCTCAACCAGAATCTTGCAACACTGCTGAGGTCAGATTCCCTTGCGTGGGCTACAGTAGAATGATCCAAGCTTAGCGTCTACTCTCTATCTAGAAGTCCTCGCCGCTTAACAGCGGTAATTCTGCGTCGCAAAATGATAAAGTTAAATACCATGTACAACGAGAATCTCTAACCCCATAACAAAATCCATAAGATTTGCTCTACGACTCCTGGATCGAGAGACGGAGCCCTGCATTGTTATTCCTACCACGTGCTGACATCAAAGCTGCCGTACCAGCAATGCTAAGCACCCATGATATTGTATAGGATCGAGCTAATTTTTGTCAAAGAGAAACTGTGACATTTTATTAGCAAACCCACAGACTATATAATGCAAAAGGACAGCGGGAGTAGACGCCTAGCGCTTCTAGCAACCTATCTAGCCTATGTCTGGGCCAATTCCCCATCAGTGAGTATGTCAGATTCTCTACAGTCCCTATCCAAAATGGATCTGGATATTCTTCCCACAAGGATCAGAATGTACATACATCCCCAAAGTAAATGATAAAATAAATCGATATACTGATAATGGACGAATAAAGTATTCTCTTGATTCTGACCTTTTCCCGTTACGGCTGTATCGGTGCTTTTTTCTTATTCTGTATAGTTTAACAATAACAGTTTCTACTCAAATATTTACTAATATTCTATTAGATTTCTCATGGGCCTTTACTACCAGCCCAATCACAGTCGCAGATACAAAATTATCATCGTAGCATGTTGCCTGGTGTTTATGCTTATCTCTATTATCCCACTCTTGATTGATATCCTTAACCATGATATCTTCGGCCCCTAGGGCGGCGATCCCAACCGGGTCTTTGGACTTGGCCTGTTTTTCGGCTTTCACTATTTCTATATCCACCCGGTTATCTTTTTCGTGGGACCGTTTGCCTGGTTTCGCCAGTCTCGTGAACTAGATTCTCGGACCAGATTACACGCTCTAAGCATGACCGGCCTAGCTGTCCAGGCCATTCCCTTCACCGTTATTGGGATCTCGTGGATTTTTTAGAAACAATCTCTTGGATGATGCTTTAACCAAGCTTCCTTTCTGGCTCACCATCCCCTATTGGTTGAAGTTGATATGGTGGGCAGCGGAGGATAATCTGGTGTTTGCAGCAGTCCAGGCAGGTTTGCTTTTCAAGGCATGTCGCAAGGCACGGCTGCAGACGGGAGGCGAGACAGAGCCCTTACTCGGAGACCGGGAGGAGGATAGTTAGAGGGACAGAGACTATAGTTACAAGATAGATTATCGTATATTATTCCTATTCCGTAATAATGTGGTAGAGGCATGGCAGGAATTGTAAAATGCTGCTGCATCTGCTGTGATGGTATTGTAACACAGTGCTGAGACCTGACTGAAATTATCCAACATACATAGCATAATAGGTCAATGGAAGTTATTATCCCTGAATATATGCCGGAACTGTCCGTCTATCAGGCAGGATATATACCACTCCGGCATCCTCGCTCTTCCACACCTCTTCCGAGTAGTATAAGCTCCACAGCCCTTCCCAAGTAAGCTCCGAATTGGCAGAAAGGAACTGAGAGAACAGCCGCGCCTGCAATCCATCCGCGCCGATTCTTTCATCGTCTCGCACATGAGACACTTGTTCATGGAATGCAGCGTCCATTCCGCCAAAAGCTGTCAGAATCATCTGCGACCAGAATGCAGCACATGTAAACTGGCCTCTCTCGTGAAGGAATGATATTTCATCCCATAATGCACGAGATATTGAAGTTTTGCTCTGCGTAGAGCCTGTTACTATGATCCGGATGAACATGCGTCGTATAAGAGCCGCGTGCGTATCAAGTGAGCCGTTGTAGTTAGTCTCCAAATCCGTAGCAGAAGTGCCATTAACAGCCCACTGGACCCTCAAGAACAGCTCCTCTGGACCAGGGTGACCGTCCATTACCGATTGACCATCATGCATGGGATACTTTTCATCTAGCCTCGAAGCAATGGTCTTGTCCAATTGCGTTTGGGGCGGTGTTGGGAAAATATTGGGAAGAGGCCTTCGCTTGGGCAAGACAGTTTGCATTCGTGCTTCCATACTATCCCACTGCTTGGGGGAGTAGTATTCTTTCCACACATCCTGACTAGCCAGGAGATCTGGGAAAAGAATTGCAAAATTGTTAAAGCTCAGGCCCGTAATATCGACTGACATAGTTTGAGGGACTGATTCAACAGCAGCGTGAAGCATTTGGATCCAGAAGTATGCTTGGGTTTCAGAGTAAGGCTCTAGAAGTCCCGGGGATTGTGCTCGTAAGTGGATTATATACGACTGAATGAGCGGCAATGATTCATTGATTATCGCTGCACGTCTTCGCTTCATGGACACTACGGCCCTGAGGATGGTGTAGGCGAATCGCTGATAGATCTCTGTGTTTCCCTTGGGAGATTGGGCGATGTTTCCTGCTATCCTTGGAGTCTTCATCTGTGAGATGTATTGAGGGAGTGGCTGTAAGTCGGGTAGTCTCCAACCTTCTTTTGCCTCTGGGCTGAATATTACATCTTTTGTGTAGTACTCAGCCTATAGTCGTCCTCGCATTAGGTCGGGATGTTGCTCGAGAAATTCGCTAAATCGGTCACGGTGCGGGAGGGCTCCGTTCTTTTCGCGAAAAGATAGTATTTGAAGGTATATCTGGTGCAACCAGAAGATCGTCGTGGTCCTGATACACACTTTATTAGCCCTTTGTACATGGCTACAGCATAGTGAAATGGGAAACGATTTAAACGACAATCTTGTTAGCAAAGAAGCAATTGTCTTACCTGTGCAAGGCGTTCCGAAATTTGCCCGTGTTAGCCTTCAGCATTTTATCCAAGCACTCGAGAAACATATCCGCTGCAGCAAAGACCACATTATCTGTCAGAATACATTCCAATAGAAACAGGAATCCGGCACGCAAATGACACTGGTGATCCCATTTCTCCAGTTCCCCGGTGACCAATTGCCGCATGAAATTATCGGAGGATAGCTTATGAGTCGGGTCTGTCGAGTCTTCTCGAATTCGTTCCAGAAGATCTTCTCTTGATAGACTTGGCGGATTTTCAACCTCTGCTATCCTTTTTGTGACTGGTCCCTTTTCTAGCTTGGTGGTTTGTGTCTTTGCGACACGGGCCAGTCGTTTCAGGAGAATATCCGTTGACTTCCCTGTTGCCGCATTAAATTGGTCCAGGTCATCGTAAACTTCACAAGGAAAATCCACAAGGCGCCTAAGTCTTTCAATAACCTCGATGACCCTAGAAACAAGACTCCGAACTTCAACGCGATCTGACTGTCTATACGCAAAGTTGTTAAAAACCACCGCAAGATACTTAGCCTCAATACCCTTAAGGTATTCCAGCTCATAGACCACCTCATCCGCTCTCTCAGTGTCCGTTTTATTAATTACGAACAGACAAATAACTTCAGAGGTTTGGTAGTGCCTAAGCAAGCCCGGGCTAAGTCTGGAACACCCCCCTAGATATCACGTAATGTTTAGCACTTTGTTGAATGTGGAAGTCTGTCCAATACTACGCTTCACTCTTCATGTGGCTGTATGGGAAAAACACACCTGAAATGTCCCAGAAGTTGAGATCAACTCCCTCCGATGGAACATGAACCGTTTCAGCTATTTGGCGGTTAACCAGGTCCAGTATACTTGGTTCTTAAGGAGAAACTAACCGTTAAAACCGATAGTTGGAATTGTTGTAACCTGTTCCCCTAGCTTGAGCCTGTACAGGAGAGTTGTTTTTCCTGCGGAGTCGAGCCCTAGGAGGGTAACTCGGGACTCGGTGCTTTTCCACAGTTGGTTAACATAGGTTCTTGCTGAGGATATGAGGCCTGCCATTGGGGGTAATATCACGACAAAATGCAGTCTGCATGGCGGTGGAGATGACAAGGGGTGTGCTAGGGATGTTAAAGGGGTTGATTAGATAGTAAATTGTTTGCTCCTCAGCCAAAAATGGTGTATCTGAGAATGTATATCAGCAAAGTAACAGAGGAGCCTGGCTAGGCAGCTGTCTTCACATAAACTGTGATCTGGCCTGTTCGTATCCGACAAACCATTTGCGGGTTAATTTCGGACTTTGACTGACGATCAACATGCCATCGCAAATGTCATCTCGAGGGATATATTCCTCCTGTGTTTTGAGCAACGGCCTCTCATCTGTACTCGAACGTGTGTGCTGATATGACAGAATGACAGACTGATCAATCCAATGTGTGGAGATAAGGGTTTTATTAAGTGGGTTTTTGAGAAATGCAGTCCGTTAGACTAGACTAGTTCTAAGTAGATGATGACTATATATCTTGGAAGATAATGTGGTATTTGCTATCAAATCAACGCGAGTAGGGACGTGACGGAATCCTGAGATCAAGGAGACTTCAGTCTATGCTGTATTATATTATATAAAGAGTATTACGCCAACAATATCATATAATGCATTAATTAGCAGAGTCGTTTGCTGCCCCTTCCATCCGTTGATTCTCTGATGGACCGACAGCAGCAGTGCTGAAGCTATCAGCGAATGGATTCTGTACCTGAAATTCTCACCTAGCCACACATGCGTACTTCACCCTAACGTCGACTTGAATATGTTTAAAAAGGGGTTTTTTTTTTTGTTTTTTCAATCTATTACATGAAGTATCTATCCTGTAATGTTCTGCTCCAATGATAGTAGCATTCCTATACAGGCTCTCGATCTTTCGCTGGGGAGTTTTTTCTGATTCAGGATTGAACACGTTGTAAGATTGGTCTGCGCACATGAAACGGAGCTCTAGAGGATGAATGCAAGTTTGTGAATTGGACTAATGATGATTATGTTGCGGCCTAAACGATCACCAGATAACCGATCTTTCTGGGAATGGCCTCTAAGTTGAGGTGTATCGGTTACACAATATAGATAGTACTACTGTCGTATCTCCAGAGGAAAGCATCCAGAGCGTAGGTGACTTTAGATGCCGACTGCAAACCTTTATACCCTCGCTATACCCGTGTGGACGCCCTTCGAACTCCGCCTACAGGACCTTTCGCAATGATCCAGCAGTGCGCTTTCTGGAGGTCTGATCCCATCAGCACATAGTATCCGCGGTATACTCCGATGTATGCTTTATTGCCTGGGCCGCGAAGGATAGTTTATTTATTCGTCCTAGGAATGGGGATCCATATGGAACCCTGGTAGATCGAAAGCTGCCCGACGCATCAAAGCCATAGGATCAGCTCTAAGCTCGTTCAACACAGCT